CACTTAATATTCCTACATTTTTGACAAAATCCATCCAGCGAATTGAAGTTATCTTACTTGACTTTTAAAGATGGACCAAATTGAAGATTTGTATAAATGTGGTGTTACACAATGTGAAAAGTTCTTACAAAATTTTGTCTCTGATCTATTTTTATGCCATTGATTTTCACCCGAAACAAATAAGCCAAGAAATAAGATCTTTCTATTCAAAGAGTTAAGACGTGAGAAAAAATATTTCGTACATACAAATTGTGGCTTCTGCACATTGCTAACTCAAAGCATGAAATTTTTCTTATTTACACCTCCTTGCAATGGGTTCATTTACTGCTTAACTTGGATTGATACTGTACACCGAGCAAAAAGTTTCAACCATTTGTTCATCAATGTGTTTTTAAATAATTCCTCGTTTATTGTTTGTTAAAAGAGCTGAGCTAAGGTTGTGATACGAGAGCCAAAAAATGATACATTGTTTGACCTTGAACTAAAATTATTTATCTGTGTCCACTGATTTTCTTTGTGATGTTTATGGTGTCAAAAGCAGTTTAATGGTGTGGTTTTACACTACTTCGATTTGTACACTCTATAGCCAATGGCCACAGCTGCAAAAAGACCATCTTCAATTAATCGTGCTCATAACAAGACCAAAAGCGAAAGAAACACGTCTGTACACATAAATTCTAAAGAAATATGAGACTGGAGATGGCTTTTGTTCTCATCATGTGAGCTCTTAAATATCACGAATTGAACAATAACAAGTGATATTCATTATTGGCAGAAGTCTTTCACGACCTCACTCTCAAAATATCATTTGTCTCAAATAAATTGGCATGGCTGATCTTTCATTTATTTTCAGCATATTAATCCTGGTACTTCGTTGTAACAACGTTGACGGGCAAGCAATTATAAAAAAGCTCAATAACAGACCGATCATTGGAGTGTTAATGCAGTCAACTAAAAACATGCCATTTAAATCAAAGGCACCAAACTACATTGCTGCATCGTACATCAAATATCTCGAATCAGCCGGAGCTAGAGTCGTGCCAATATCGAATAAACTTACAGAAGAAGAAACGGAAGACATCTTTTACTCCATTAATGGCGCTCTTTTTCCAGGGGGAAATGTTGAACTTCAGGATTCTGGGTACGCCGTGACTGCCAGAAGAATTTTGAAATTAGCAATGCAAGCACATTCAAAAGGAAAGTATTTCCCAATATGGGGCACTTGTCTTGGACACGAGTTCCTCGCAGCATACGTTGCAAACGCAACCGGCGACGTGCTCTCCTATACTGACTCGATAAATATAACTTTAACTATGAAGTTTGCCAAAGGTTATGAGAAGAGTCGATTGTTTCGGTCAATTCCGCCATTTTTGAAATCATATCTAAGTAAAGTACCAGCCACCGCAAATTTTCATCATTTCTCGGTAACGTCAGAAACATACAAAAATAATAAAAAATTAACCGATTTCTTTCAAGTCCTGTCAACTAGCGTGGATCGCAAGGGAGTCGAATTCATTTCTACAATGGAAGCGAAGAATTATCCGATATTTTCGACGCAATGGCATCCCGAAAAAATGCGTTTGAATGGTACTTGAAATATCGAGATAATCATGAACAGGGAGGGATTCTTGTCACACAGTATATGGCTAATTTCTTCGTTAGTCAGACTCGTCTCAATCACAACAAATTTGAGTCACGTGAAAAAGAAGAAGCAGCATTGATTTACAACCATGCTCCAAAATACACAGGAAATATTTCAGGCTTTGAGCAATGCTATTTTTTTGACTAAGTGGTTGAAAATAGAACATGAAAATAACACAGGCTACATGATTTTAAATAGTAGAAATCATACAGTTAGACTAAAAATTGAAAAGACATGTTTTACAAAACATTATAGGATATAGAAAAAATTATGTAAATCCCATAATATGTACTGCACAAGATCATCACTAGAATTTCAATAGCAATGCAAATAATTACGCTTCTGAGATTTGATAATGCGTTTCCTCAATCAGGGCCGTAAAAACAAAGGGATTTGGGTGTGTGTGTGCGACACTCTTCCCCCCTCAATGTTATAGTATTTCAGCTTTGTCTAGCAATTTCCACAGTATACGACATACTCGTCTGACAAAACGTTTGTTGATGAGTCTATCTTCTGCTCCCTCAACATCATAGGCATTTCACATACCCACACTTTCCCTTCACAAAGGTGTAGAAAAAAGAAAGATCTTCATAAATTGGTTAATTGTCATAATGTTCATACCTGATCACTATGCTAAGCTCACGAGAGTATTTTTGTGAATATTTTGCTTCTAGAAAATTCGTTAAATTCTCAGGAAAAGAAAAGCTTTTTTGCTGGTAAAAAATTGTAATATATACAAAACTCACGTAATTGATCATGCTTCATGCACGCGTGGTGAGCTCAGCATAGTAACAGTCATTGAAAATTTGAAATCGTCGCTGATCCTTCAGTTTTTTTGTATACACCCCTTGTATATGTACTGGGTAGAAGCTACTGGGTGTATGAAAAAGTATGACGGCGATGATCTCGTAATAAAATCTTTCTGAAAACCGAGCTTGGGAAATAAAGCTGTTCATAAGTTAATTTGCCGCAAAAAATAATAGGAGAAACGAGTTTCATTCAAATTCTGTGTAAGAACTTATACGGGAAAATTACCTAGAATTCCAAATCTCCAAGTACTACAATAGAACTTAAATATAATCCCAAACATTCCGTGGAATAAAAGATATTAATTCTTTGATCATGTTTCGTAAAGAGATTCGAGAGGGAACGACGACATACTTCATATCAATTGAAAATGTGAATAACTTTAAGCTATTCATGCAATCGTATTTTCAATTACAAAAATTATGCCTTTACTCATGATTTTAAACTTACTTCTGTAAGTAAGTTGAATACTACGAACTTTGTTTCGCTATTCAAATGAATGTAATATAATGTATGTTGTGGTACAATGCCCAGACTTTACTCTCTTGCTAGCATATTCATATCACGCAATGCTTACCCTACAACAAACAACAAAATCACAAAATATTCTCAGGTGAACTCCTCCTGATTTTAAACCGTGAGGGGGGGGGACATATTTTCTATTGGACTAATGGACTTTGCATTGCTCAGGTGAGGTCACAAACCTAGTTTCTTGATTTAATGAATTTTGAACCACATAGTCATGCTGGCTAACACCTATATACGTAACACGCATGTTGATCCTGTCATAATTGCTTCTTGGGCAAAGTCACAAGATGTCTGACTTGTTTTCGAATTCAAAAAGAACAACTTGCGCATAAATAGTATATTTCTTGCACAGTATATTTCTTATGTTCCATTTACTCACATATTTAGCAAATTTTGCATCGAGTTTTGTTGCTGTTGTCGTTTTTGTAATGAAACATAGTGAATATTTCTAATTAAATATGAACATTTCTAATTAAATACGAACATTTCTGATTAAATATGATTATCTATGGCATGTTATATATTTTTCGCAATTTCTTTGGAATCTGATGATCATGGACTTTTATACTCCAAATTTTATTATTATACTTCTCTCAACATCATAATCATCCTTCTATTTCACTTTTTTGAGAATGTCTGGTTAAAGACCACAAAGAATGATTGTACTGCAATATTTTGAAAACAACTGGCCTGGATGGCTGTGTAAAATGATTCTTGTACTTGACAAAGAATCAGAGGATGAACACGCCTTTACTGAGACACAATTTAATCAGACAAAAGAGCATTTCCCCTGTCCAACTTTCCTACCACAAAGAATCCTTGGTTCAGAATGAGCAATGAGAAGTGGCGTAACTACTATGGACTTAGAGTGGGCGAACCTATGGGCTCCGTGGTCTAAAGAGGTCTAAAGATTATTATTATACAAAGGATTAAAAGAAGAAAACTTGCACGACATAAACTTATGTATAAAAAATTTAAATTTAAAGGCTAAACAGCGAAATCATACTAGAGAACAAGAATGTTTGAGGTTAAAGGCACATTATCATTAATTCGTACCAATACTATGTAGATGGTATTATATTGAGCTGGCAATTGCATTTTAATATAGTTATCAAAGGGGGGGGCTTTGAATACTTTGCCACGGGTCCCAGTTGTGCTACTACGCCACTGACAATGAAAATTTCCTGCAAAGAATCATGGGCAAAAACCATGAAGCTAGCGATAGGACTGCCACAGGTGGCCGACTTTATGACATACTTTCCTGTGTACATCTACCGTAATACGTTTACACACTGCAGAGAGCACATATTAAAAAACTTCAATACAAGTAACTTTGAAGAAGCATATCAACAATTTCACGAAACAAGCAATTTTCTTTCTCCAGTAAATGTTATCATCAGCTACGCTTGGTTCTTTGAGAAAGATCGCTACGACTGGAATATAGGAGTTTGCAGTGATTTGAATGTTTACAACAGCCGTTTACCCGAAGGCCACAAAATTCAGCAAAATGACACAGTTAATTGGAAATAAGCTGTTGAGTCAGCCTCAAACTGCTTACCATGGACATTTAAATGAAAATGATTCCTACAAGAGACTAATTCCAATTTCCTATTGTTTGTCAATAATGGAAGCTGCTGGTAGGAGTAAAGACATGAGCAAAAAATATTCACGGTCAGATGTCAATGAGTCAATCGCTTCAAATCAGATATGAACGGCCTTTTGGAAAGGCTTTTTATTCTCTATCCATGTATTGGAAATCACACTCATTATTACTTAGATGTCTTAGAACGTCATATCAAGAAAGTTGGTGTTGAAATCAAAGAAAACAAACGAAGAACGACATGGGATGACGTCACAACAGTTGATTCTATTGCCCGCAAAACAGGTGTAAACAGTTCGCCACATTGGCTACAACCACTTTCATTTTATATGAAGTCTCACATGAAATGGCCAGACATGCCTAATCTTGTCTTGAATCAGCCTTTACTTAGCTCAATATTAAACCGTTACTTTAGAGTCATTTGCTAATGTTTGAGTTGAGAAAACGAAAGCCCTTATCTGTGGAGACATCTTGTTTTCTTAAATTGACCAACAGATTTCAACCTTTCTTCTAAACCACCCTTAGCATACTCAAAGGTATTCACTTAGTAGGATAATTTTTGGTTTATCCAAGACACAAATCAATTGTTGCAACGACAAAGATGGAATATTCGGACCTACCTAAAGTGACACTGCGTTTGAAAGGGAGCCTGGTACCGAAACATATGTTAACATTCGTCATTATTACAACAAATTTGAAACACGCAAGAACAAGCAGAATTGATTTATAACTATAGGTTATCAATACACTACATGGAAATATTTCAGGCTTTGAGAAAATGACATTTTTTTATTAATAAGGTCAAAAACATAGATCAAATCTTCTCAGACAGGCTCCACTGCCATGTGAAGTTAATACCAAATTTGATTGAAGGTCGTTTCTCCTGTTCTTTTATTGTTTTTATTTCTTTCACATCAAATCCACTCGCAAACAACTACATTTTTCAATGGCTGTGCTGTTGAGGGAAAATTTTGTCACTGGTGCATGGATGAAATAAAAAACCTAAAAATACGATGAAGGAATTGCAAATACACACGTGAATTGTAACAGATTGACAATTGGACACCATTCAATCATTCAGGAAGATCTATCACCAGATCATCGTCGCCTTCGTATATACTATTGGGAAAACTATGAGACTCTGTTGATTCCTCATTGTCACTGCAAACAGATAAAGAGAATAATATCAGTATTCGTAGTTTCTCCACTCAATGTAAATGTAGGTGGTTTGCATGTTACGTCAAGACGTGTTTGATAGTCAAACACAAAAAAATATTTATCAATACTATTGTGGGAACCATTAGTCGTGTGCGAGCCACGTTTGATGACTCATTGGAGGTTGGTTGCAATAAATGGGTGGTATTGAAAGAATGCGGATTTGTTTTATCTTGAGCTTTTGAAAATTTTACTCGGAAACCTTACGGATTCACAAACAAAATAATCGCATTTTATTTAAGAAAAAAAATGATATTTTCTGTAATTGCACAGGCTTATGCAAACAGCAGAGACGTTTTGGAAAACTCGAGAGCTGATCAGCAAACACAGTACGAAACATGCTCAAGAGTCTTCACAAGCCTCTCCAGGATTTGCATAAGCCAGTGCGAACATGAAAAACATCTTTCATTTCTTTCATAAAATAACAATGTAAAACAGACAAATTCAAAACAAATGTTATAATTTTTTTCTCTAACATGTTGTGACGAATAGCTTATTTGCAAATTTTCTTACACTGATTCATTAATTGAGATCAGATCGATTAGCACAGGCTAATGTAAACTCAGATGTACACCAATCCTTGCACGCGTTCATTGTTGTTATTTTATAACTATTGCTAACCCTACATATCGTTTTCACCTGACGTCATTGCCGATATGTTTGTGTACCAATTAAAAGAATTTAATGAAGTTCTTTAGTATGCAACACCATTATGGCTGCTTCCGTCATTGTTATGATTCAACTGCTAAAGTGTAGAATTTGCATGATTCAGCAATATTTGATCCTCAAGGAGGCGTAAAACGTAATTGAACCGAGTTTCGTGTAATGGCTATAGCTGCAATAATCGTAAATCAATTGCATTTACACCTCTTTAGGGATCAATAACTGCTGATTCACGCAAATTCTAAATGACGGCTGATTTCAAAGATGTGCAGTTTTTTAAGCACCTTATAAATGGCAAAGCTTTTTTACCATTGAGTTTCATTTCGCATCTCGATTTTTGCTTATGAACATGGCCACTACATGGCTAAATAAGCATCAAGCACTGCCCTTGACACAAAATCTCACGTATTCCAAACATGCCTCCTAGCTCAATCATGAAAGGGTATACTGCTTCAATATGGTGCAATACTCAGATAAAATACGACAAGCAATGCGATTCACGGGTCGTTTCAAACTTGTCATGCATTGCTGATGACAGAAATGAAATTTCTTTTCAATTTCTTTTCATACCTAACTATATCGTCATCATTCATACTGAAGACATCCTGAGGTAATGTCGCAGATGTCTCTGGAAATTCTGTTGACTCTTGATTTCGCAATAAATGTAGTTCATTTAAATGAGCCTATTGGTTATGAAAAGCAATAGATAAATAATAAGTATCCCGACTTGCACTTAACTTCAGCGGTCAACCGTCATCCCCCCTCCTCTCTCTCACACACACACACACACACACACACACACAAAATGCTCAGCGATCCCTGGTTTAGAGAAGTGAAATTAAATCATAATGATGAAATAAAGAAAAAAAAAATCTTTCTTCTTAAAAATGTGTAGGGTACTCGGAGTGAAATCCATAGACACATATAGCAAAATATTTCATGCATATATTTATCAAACTCCTCACAAAATGCACTATATACACTCACAAGATCAGAGTGTAGCTGTCCATCAGTAGAAGGTAGAAGTTGGCTGGCCTGGTTTGAAGAATTGTCTTAAGGGAAACAAAAAATAGTCATGAGCGATGGCATACAGTGCCATATGTCAGACATCAGAGCCCACATAAGAGACGTTTGCAACAAAAACAACCATGTTTTCGGGACGCTTCTTGTTTCTTGTTTCTTTGTTAAAAAGAAACACTTGTTTTCAGCAGAGTCTTTTAATTCTTCCGAACATCATAAATCCCAAAATGCACAAAAACAAAAATAAAAATAAAATGTTCAAATTTTGCATTACCAAGTACTCAGAATTAAGATGACAAATGCAGTATTCATATATATATATACATATCCGGTCTTCTGTAGAAGAGGTTTTCGCAACATGTTTTCATAATATATTTTGACCATTTGGCCTATACAGCTATACACATACCTATATTTATAAACATGTATTGAAATGACTTACTCAGAATAATAAACTCGACAAACGTTCCCAAATTGCTGCATTTTACTTTGCTAAAATTATTGAAATCCAGATATCCTTTATAATGACCATATCACCGATAATCTCTCATACGCACATGCAAATCTTTTTATCATTTTTATGTGTTGATCAAAGTAAAACATACAAATGTAAACTCAGCTTTTCTGAAACATCTCTAGACTTTAAACCTTTTCATTTTTCATTTGTTTATCTAAGCTATACTATCGTGAAAACATAAGCTGGTTCCCAAAGCCAGCGTGTAAGAACTTAGAAAAATATATAGAATCCCAAATACTCCAATAGACTCCAACAAACCAAAACATTCCGTGGATTTAAATTCTTTGATCATGTTTCGAATTCACTAATTATTCGAATTTACTAATGAAATTCAAGTAGGAACAATGACATGTACTTCATATCAAGTGAAAATATGAATAATTTAAGCTACGCATGCAATCTTGTTTTGGTTAGAAAGATTATGGCACGATTTTAAACTTATTTCTGTAAGTAAGTGAACTACTTACTCTGTTTCGCTATTCGAATGACAGTTTTATGAGTGGTACAATACCCAGACTTCGCTCTCTTGCTAACATATTTCACACATTGCTTACCCTATAGCAAACAAAAAAATCATTGTAAGTCAACCGAATGAATTCACTTTATCTTAAGTCTACGTACAGTCATTCAGAACAATACTAGCTGTTTGTAATTTTAAGTGATTCAAACTACTTAACGAAAAATAAATTACAAAAAATATCGAGTTTGTAGCTAATGCATGAACCGAAAAACAAAACATTCTCAGGTGAACTTCTCACGAGTTGAAAAAACCCACTTGGGGGACGTAGTTTACTTAAAAGCAACCAGATTATAATCATAGATCTTTCAATTATTGCCATGTTTCAAAAGGAGCTTAAAGCTTGATAGTTGCTTCAACTTTATGTCTATCATTTCAACCTTCACAGCTCACAAACCTAGTTTGTTGATTTAATATATTTTGTGTCACATAGTCATGCAGGCTAACACACATATATGTAACACACATGATGCTCCTAACTATGTGTCAAGTCACAAGATGTCTGACTTTCGCATTCAAAAAGGACTTGTGCATTACGGCAACGTATATTTTCTTATATTATATTGCAACTACTCACATTTTCAGCAAATTTGCATCGAATTTGATTGTTGTTGTCAATCTTCTAATGAAATAAAAATGAGATAATTTTAATCATTACATACTTCTCTTCAATTGCCTGTTGTAATTTTAAATGCAGATCAGTAGCTCCACTCCCAAAGTAACGCAGACACGAGGAAAGTGGGCGATGAACGCAAGAGCAAGAAGCTGATTGTCCCCACGCAGCGTGAGAGTGGGCCTGGTGCCTAGTGGATATCATGCGACCTAGGAAGTGTGGGGCGATGTTCGAAATATGAGCACATTACGATCACGAACCCAAAGTGGAGCATGTCCAGGCACAGCGCTCACACAACCAAAGTTTTAAATGATGGCCGAAATGTGTTCGGTCGATAACACCGGATTTAGCTCCGTCGATAACGACGTTTTACCATTCACATAAGTGGCAGCACGTACAAATAACGTGAAAAAATTTTTTTTGAGACAACAGAATCTCGTACTTGACTATCTAAGCTTTCCTAACGTGATCATACACCGTCTTACTAATATGTTTTCGGGTAAAAAGTTGCTTGGTCAAGAAGTATTTTCCACCGGTCAGTGTCCGTTGACGACCGGCCGTTATTATTTTGAGCCCAGCACAGTAGTGTACAATTCAGTTCCTCAAAGAAACAATTGATCCTTATTAAAGCAAAAAACGTCTTGATTATCATTAGTTTGCTGTTGTATCATTTGAAGCATTTTGAATCCAGATTTAATTTTCATGAATTGCTTCATTGTAATAATGTGTTTATAAAGCCTGAACAACGAAATCATTACAAAAACAGAAAATGCTGAAAATACTTCACATGTTTTTACATACAGCGTCTTGTGATGAAGTTGCTTCTGAGCTTGGATCAACAGGAGCAGTGGACTGCTTTTTCGATCTGCAAAATTGACATAAAAACCTATATGAGAAGACTTCCATCAACAAACTTGCATGCAGCCTGTATTTCCCTGACGTTGCTGAGTAATTTTTTTCAAAATTTCATGAAAAGCAAAAGCTTTTATTCTAATTGAGCTATCCAACAGAATGAAACGTTAATTCAAAGATAGCAAAACTTTTATTTCCCTGAAGAAAACGTAATTAACATTCTAACGCGTTAAAAATTATTTAATTATCAATTATTGGTAGTTAATTATTACGCAACCAAGCACCAGCGGGGCTCCTACTAAAGCCTACATATAGTTGAATCAGTGGCATGGCTAGCTAGTTTATTTACTCCTGCAATTCAAACCACTCACACACAAAGCATGAGTAAACTTGATAGTTGGCACTGCAATTGAGCACACGACTACGGAGCCTTTGCGTGGAGAATTACTTTCCCATATACACACAGTGCACATGTTACAAAGATTTTAAAATTCTCAAAATAAATATTAGAGCCCAACAAATAATTTTGAGCATAGTCATAAACAATTTGGTTTTATGAAATTTATAAAAATAGTGACGTTTCGTCTTGACTCAAGACATCTTCAGAAATTATTCATCAGAAAATTAGACATCTTCTAAACTTATTTACTTAGCACATATTATACCTTTTTTCCTTGGGAGCACCGTCAACAGCAGCACTCTAAAAGTAATGAAAATGTGATTCTTACAATCAAACCATTAACATAGAAGGGATGATAAAAGCTATGAAGTAAAACAAAAAATGGCTTTCTGTACGAATAGTACACCTCTTGGCGAAGGACGTTTATTGCCAGTTTAATGAATCAAAATTCAAAAATTGAACTTTCGAAAAAGCATGATGGTGCGTCCATTTCATGTTAAAAGCGTTTATCAAGGTCATAGAAAATTGTTTGATTAATAATATGATGATACGGTTGGAAATGTTTGCTCATGCGCAAAGGAGTTAATTAGGACTAAGGATCCGTGGTAGTGCAGAGTTTGAAAAAACTGAATTTCATTTGTAAGTTGAATCTATCATAAAATGTTTCATACAATCATTTCATTTCTCAATGAACTCTCGTTCAATTTTGATTCATAAGTATAAGGAGAACATTCATCTAAATAATCAATTGTTGTCTTGTTGTTGACAATTTACATCAGTCAAAGCTTGGTCTTATCATAGAGTAGTAAGAACTGTGCAAACAGTCTTGGGTATTGGGAGGCATGGCTCAAATTGAATTTTTGTTTTCAAAATTTTTCTTTGGTCTACACAGGTACACGTGTACGAAAACTTTTTTTGATATGTCGAAAACATCTGATACTCAATCCCAAAAAAGATTAATGTAGTCTGTGTGTTGCACATATTGTTCTCATACCAATCACTCAACACCTAACAACACTACAAATTTGCCGAGCAACTTGAGATTAAAAATTTATATGATACGTAAATCTAACTTGTTGTAGCCCTTATTTTGAAAAAAAACTTGAATTCAGTGCCAACCTTTTGTTGTTCATCATCACTAGATGATACAGCAGTTTCTTCATCCTCTAGAAAATAGAAGTTGAATTCTTAGAACTGTTGCTAAAAAAGCCAGAGATTATTTAAAATGCTAAATAAATGGGATTCCCATACAAAACAAATTTGAGTTAAATTTGTCAATATTCTACATATACAAATGAAAATTTAATCAAACAACATACATCAAGCCAGCAAAAAGTTTCAGTCATTTGAAATGAAACTATCAATTACCTGACCTTTGATTCTAAATTGATATCAAAATTAATGAATTTGCTGTATGTATATGGCAGTTTAAAAGATAGGAAACAATGAGAAACAATTGGTTTTTGTTCCAAATGATGGATAATTTAAGGGCAGCTGAAGTTGGGTTGTTTGAATTGATAGAAAACCACAATTCTTACAAGTCTAAAATAATGCTATTCAAAACTGAAATCAGTTGAAATTTAATTACCAATAAAACAACAAAAAACAGATTGAAGTTCAATACCTGAGGAAAGAAAATCAAGTCCTTCAACTTGTAAAAGCTGATCAAGAAGAAAACTGAAAATACGAATATTACAAATGAATCAGTTTTTACAGACTCAATCAAATAATGACACCAATCAATAGATAACAGACACCTAGCATTTTTTTACAATTAAAAACAAGAATATTTCATCATAAGGAGGGGTTGGGGTATAACTGAATAATTTTAGAATAAAAACAAATAGACGTTATTACTTTACACTTTTTTAATGAAAAGGTGACTCAATAAAAACCTTTTGTCCTTTGATGCTCTTAAAAGTCTTCTTTGAGACCTTCGCAATTCTTCCTGAAAACTTTCTTGCTCCTTAAGCAATTAAGTTACACAAACACAATGTTTCATACTAAAGATGATGATATGCAAATTAAATGGCAACTATCTAAGAACAACACAAAATCTACTTTTTTTTGTAATATCAATGGTAGACAAAAAAAATAAGTATATTCACAAAACTTAACTCCCCAGGCTATTTCATGATGGTCATGCTGCAGCAATTTACATACATAGAGGAGAAATTTTAATTTTCGCTTCAAAATCCTGTACTTTTGTTTGTAAGTCGAGCCATGACTGCTCTCTGTGGGTGAAATGCCATTACCTAAACAAAAATTTTGCAAATTTTAATAATGGATGCCTACAAAAATAAACATGGAATAAGAAGATGAAGAGAGGGAGAAACTATCCTAGTGACTACAATCAGATTGAAAATTGAATGAGATAAACGCACATGAGCAAATTCGATTTGCCAAGTTAACAATTGTGCATGACAATAATTACGATTACCTGAATTCGTCGTAGATGGCATAATTTTACTCGCCATTTGAGGGAGTCGAGTCAAGACACAAAGATACTTGTAGTAAATTATCTACTTTAAAGGAAAGATAAAACAGAATTTTTATTACAAAAATGTTTGAGTCTATTAACAGTGGTTACTATAAAATGTGTGAATTTTGATCAATGAATGAAAACAGGAAAATATGCAATGCTTTATTGTTAACCGCTGACCATAATTATATCATATTCATATTCATGTAATAAAAATTAATGCCCAACATAAATTTCTGATTAGAGCCATAGCAATAGACCAAAAAAAACAAATTGTAAAATTAAATTTATTGTAACGTTTCGTCTTTACTCAAGACATAATTACTCAACGTTACTCGACGTTACAATAAATTTAATTTTACAATTTGTTTTTTTTTGGTCTATTTCTATGGCTCTAATCAGAACTTTATGTTGGACATTAATTTTTATTACACGAATCCGATTTCCGCTCGGCAAGTCTCTCGCTACTATTTTATATTCATATTCACGTTCAGTCGTTTCAATCAATCAGTTCAAGTCTTTCAATGGTATTACTGCATTAACCAATGGTATTACCGCATTAACCAATGGTATTACCGCATTAACCAATGGTATTACCGCATTAACCAATGGTATTACCACTTACTAGTGTGTATTGGTGTGTATTACATACATAATCACTTTGCGTGCTACAAAGGAAACCTCTTTAAGCTTTTGTGAGAGTAGAAAAAGAGCAGGAGTGTATTGGAGGGGGGTCTCGGAGGGGCTCAGCCCCCTTATTATAATTTTTCGTTAAAATTTACTCTAATATTTTTCGCCCTGCTGGTGATATATATCAGAGAGTTCCCCTTGTTAAAATTTAGGCAAAACACCCCTGAAAAAGAGTGGAAAATATCTAGTCACAATTTTGCTTTCCTATCAAACCAAGAGAAACCCATCTAGCACAAAGTTGATACGACGTTAGTATAACGTAATTTGGTTATAGCTGCGAAGCCATTATTGATCAAAAAACGCGAAAGCGCAAATCGCTATTTCTTTTTTGAGAAGCAACTGGAAAATTATTGGTACTCCTCGCGAACAGGATGCGTTCATGCGTGTCTTAGGTCTGTGAGTGTTAGATCGTGATTTACAATTATAGATATATTCACTTGACGTGCTGCTCCTAGCTTAATACCGGAAAAAAATTCAAGGAATTTAACACACAGTAATCTAGCAGACTATTTTTTATCATTTATACGTCTGTGTTTAAGTGTTTTATAGCACATAACATTTTGAATACACATCGACTGGATTAACGTAACGGATAACCAGTATGTGGGGGGAAAGGCGTCGATCACATAAATACCTATATTTTTACAAAATAATTCAAATATTTTTGCTTGCTTTCTATGAGGAATCATCAAAAATTTAGTCAAGCATTTGATGAATGTAGTAACACACTGTATGATGACTTTCAATAAAACGCGATAGTCTATCTATGACCCACCTTATTCGTAAATGGTTTTTAATATCGTAATATTTCCTTTCAATGAAAGTTATGATAATTTAATTACGTTAATTTGATCGTTTAAATAAATTAGAGAATTATCAGTGAGAATATTTTCCTACAAACACGCTTAACATTAGCAATACCATTCCTTATACAACGTCAGTATTCCACGTATCTCGTGCTTTATGAAGTTAAATATTTCATTCCTAAATTGACATCACACCCCCACCCAAAATAATAACATAATCGCATTTTAAACAAAATGAATGTGAAGATTGGTTACTGCTAAGTATAGCCTAGAATTTTGCGCATTAGGTCAATTTCCTCCAAAATAATTTTCGTACAAATTGCATGCTCGGAATGACACACCTCGGGTCTTTATAGGAAGTCTCCCCAGAAATTTCACCGAGCCATCTCAATTCACGCTTTATTTAGGTCTCATCTTCACCGTATCATTTTTGTGGCTTTCGAAATATTGACATCAGTCTCTTGACGTCTTTTCCTTCACAAATCGACAGCATAATGAAACGTAACAAAATTTATGTAGTATGAACATACCTTGGTCACATCATACCTATAAGACCTAATGCTTGCTGATAAAAAACACAGTTGCATGCCAAAAACTTCTACAAAATTCAAAATCTGCCTTAATTTCGAAAATATAAACGAGATATAAGACATACGTTATGAAAATGGTTTTATTTCCCATCATGTCATCTATACTTTACCGGACGCATGTTGCCATTTGTATTTTCACAATGATTTTGTGAATGAAGAACTTAAAAATCGCGTGTTGTCTTCATGGACAATAATGATGGCCAAGCTTTACTTGGAAATAAGGAGTCTTGTGTTAGAGTTATTCAGTGGTAAAAATAAGTAAATTTATTGAACACTTGTATATAACAAGCAAATCAGTTGTACTAATCTGGACAATGAATGCATTTTTTCTGTCAGAGATTAATCTTTCACATTGTCAGCATAATTAGAAATGATGATTGTTGGGCGATGGCTAGTTTCTTAGTCACGATAGTTTTCCTGTTTATTTTATCAGACACAAGCACAAGCGGCTCGCGTGTTATTTATATTAATTATGATTAACCTTTGTCATGTTCATCATCGCTAAGAAAAGCTCCAATTATATTATGGCATGTCCTGCACAGATTGAATTTGCGGTTATGCCTTTTAAATGCCGTCCACGAAAGTGACCAAAACAATTGGCCAGAAATAGTACCGAGGCATCTTCAAAAAACGATTCAAATAAATTTTATCAGTGACGTTTATAATTAAGGTTTGATAAGACCGCAAGCTGTGCTTAAAGGAACGGCACATCCTGGGCTCGGACTGTCCTAATCTTCATGGGTCAGAAAAGGTTAACCACCTTTGATGACGTGCATTCATGAAATTGTATTTATGCAGGCAGCTGAATCTGATTGAAAGCAAACTGTCAGAGAAAGAGAAAAGGAAAGAAGGAACAACGTGACTGGATTTCGCAAGTCCTGAGTGTTACAAACTATCATCAGCTATGGATTTAAAGAAGGTACAAAATTGACATTTTTCAGCCAGAAATCTTTTATCAATGTATACTTGTTTTTTTTTCATCATTTTGAACAAACTATTTAACCTTAAGTTTGATTTTTTCACTGCACTTAACGTAATTTTGTAGCTAAGCCTTTATAGTATTGTCATTGTGATTTGATTCCAGTTTAAGGAGATGTCTTCATGAGCTGGGATTCTATGATTCGAGATAATAAAAAGAGTCGCGCCTTTTCAGTCTTAAAAATTGTATATTAATTTACTAAACGCCTTGAAATATCGTTCTTCGAACAATTTTGTAAATAAAACGATCTAGACGTATAATTATGCACAAACTGAGAATAGAGTGAAATATTTCAAACAGATAAAAAGTTTAGGATCGTTTCAATTCGTTAAAAATTGACTAACACTAACTGAGTAAACCAGCTACTATCCGGGCTCATAAGTGCAGACAGCGCCTGATGATAAGCTTCCATTCCTCCGATTTGCACAGTTCGTTACAATATGTGTAAAAATAATCTTTTTGCAGCTGCTAGTTAAAGTTGAAAAAGAAGGAATTTCAGACATGATTTGTAATTAGTTGTAATCTGATATTTTTAGTATTTATTGATACTTTTAAACAATTTTAGAAAAAGCTGTTAGGAATTATCTTTATTGTGGCGAATATATTTCACCCCGCTGGATGTGCACCCGTATCTTTCAACTTCGAAGGTATTTGTTACTTACTAATAATGATTTTGTTCTTAGAAACAGAAGCAATTGAAACTTTATACAGAATAAATAATACAATATCAACAACAAAAATTTTGAGCACAATATAATTGGATGAATATTATAATTGCATCTTTACAGTACATCAATGGAACTTTTCAAGGAGCCATTGAAAGAACAGGTTCTTTTACCATTTATTAGGTATGGTGGTCTCTTGTCCTATTCCAACCGGGACATGTTTTGCACAGCCTGAGGACACGTGCTTTCAGAATGGTGATTGTTTTGCCGTACAAGGATATGCTGCCTTATGCTGTCCTCATCAGTGCAAGGGATTTAATGTTTGCAAGTCAATAAAACGTAGGCAACTATTCATTTTCTCAGGCCATTAGTGAATTATCTGTGTTTCTTTAGCATGAAGGAATAAGGTTTCCAGAAAACCAAAAATCAAAAGATGGATATATGATGCGATAGGCTCTTGTCCAACCTATTTTATTTTATTTATTTTATATTTAGTGCCAAAAATAAAATCAACCACGCAAAGACCAACGACAGCCCAGCAACCAACAACAACTCAATTACCAACGACAACCCAAAGACCAACAACAACCCAAAGACCAACGACAACCCAAAGACCAACGACAACCCAAAGACCAACAACAGCCCAAAGACCAACGACAACCCAAAGACCAACAACAATCCAAAGACTAACGACAACCCAAAGACCAACAACAACCCAAAGACCAACGACAACCCAAACACCAACGACAACCCAAAGACCAACGACAACCCAAAGACCAACGACAACTCAAAGACCAACGACAACCCAAAGACCAACGACAACTCAAAGACCAACGACAACCCAAAGACCAACGACAACCCAAAGACCAACGACAACCCAAAAGCCCACAACAACCCAATTGCCAACGACAACCCAAAAACCAAGAACAACTCAATCGCGAGCCACAACTCAATCAACAAAAACAATGACTCTAACGTCTCAACGTCTTACAACAATGCAAAAACCAACAATGACTAACAAACCAACCACAACTAAGAGGCTAATTACTACAAAACAACGACAGACAATTAAAACATTCCCTGTAACTAAAAGTCCAGCGTCGACTCAGCCAGCCACAAGCCCGTCAACGTTTACATCTGAGCCAAATATTTGCAGTACAAGCAGCCCTAAAGATATTTTGTTCATACTTGATGGCACTCGAAACTACCGAAAATACTGGTGGGAAACGAGGAAAGAATGGAAAAAAGTGAAGGCTTTTGTTAAAGATCTAGCCTTAGATCTGAATAATGGAAAGAACAGAATTGCTGTCATGCAATACGGCGGACTTATTTCTCCTAGAATGGCCATCGAGTTTTCGGCACAGTACGACATTGTCAATCGTATCGGTAGAATATCACTTCTTGGTGGAAGACAAAGAATGACTCACAAAGCTTTAGCACTAGCAAGCAACAAGGTCATTGAGTTTCACTATATTGCTTTTTTCTGCAGGCACTCAATTTGAGCCAATTGACATTCCCTTGACTTTAAATAACCATAATTAGGGGGTGTTGCAAATTATCGAATGATTTCCCCGACGATTATCTTCTTATATCACGCATTTGAGTTCAACAACTCGAAGAATCTTGAAGATTTTAAGAAATTTAGAATTCTTAATTTTGGGGTTTTCGGGTTTTGAGTTGCATGTGAGGAGCATTGTGTAGAAGGATGCAAGTCAAACAATAGGTCAACTTTTAAGAATTCATAAACCAAACAAACTCTTAGTTATCTCAACCTTTTAAGGTCTGGTCGATTTTTTCAATTAAATTTCAGAATTCAGAAAAATGGCTTGGGGGGTGGATGAGACACATATGACCTGACAGCTTACGAAAGGTTGTAAACCTTTTAGAAACTAATTAAATTTCCTTCATTTCAGTTTTATGAGCTGAACTCTATTTACGAGCGTTCAGATGCGAGCGATATCATTGTACTGATTACGCGTGGCACATCATCTGATATTACACAAGCCGTTTCCGAGATCAAAATGCTGAAGCATAGAATGGTTCGAGTCCTTGCAGTTGGAATAGGATCCTATCCACAATACTTAAAAAGTTCTCTGCAGAAATTTTCATCGTTCAATCAAGACGCGATTGGAAGCAAGTACAGTGATCTCAGCAACAGAAAAATGGACGTTCTTGAAAGAATATGTTCCCCAGTCTATTTACCAGCATGTAAGTTTACAACTCGTAATTTATAGATGCCGAATCATCTTTCCCACAGATTATTTTCAAATCTTATTCCCCCCTCTCAATCCCAGACTATTATTCAAAAGTCACGTGTAAAAACAAACGTTCACCACGATAATCAATTATCATAGCACCGTCAATTTGTCACAAGAAAAAGTACGACGTCAGTTTCCTTCTTGACGGATCAAGAAGCATTCGCGAAAGTGATTTTCTCAAAAAGAAACAATTCCTTCGGCACGTTTTCTATTTACTAAAGTCGCCTTCTTCTCAACTAAATTTGGGACTGATGCAATTCAGCATGATGAAGAAATTTCAAGAAGTTTTTCCTCTCGAGAAGCATTCTTTTAACGAAGAAATCAAAGCACTGGACGAAATGGAGTTTCACGCAGGAAGCACAACGATGTTAGGCGATGCTCTCGAACGAGTTGAACAAAACGTAAGTCAGAACAATATTGATGCATGACTATCGATATACATGTTGTAATCATCTGGAGTTTAGTATTCAAATTGACTGACGCAACTTACATCTGTACGTAGGTTTTTAATGGTGAAGGTGGTGATCGTCCTGATGTTAAAAACGTACTGGTGATTTTAACGACGGCGAAGCTCACGATATATGGACTGCATTCAGAAAAGCAACCAACTTGAAAAAGAATAACGTTCGAATAATTGCAATCACGGTTAACAAGTATAATGAAGTACCCAGTAATCTTAAAAAAATAGCCAGTTATCCTAAATATGCGTTGGCCATTCGAATGGATAACATCGCATTTTATGCTGAAAAGCTGGCGTCGTTGATTTGTCAAGCGAATCAGTTGTAAAGACCTTCACGAGCAAGCGATCTTTCAGTTGCAGAAACACCTCGACAAAAAGGCAGAACGAAAACATAGTAGAACTCTTGTTGTAAAAGGTATATTGCATCTAATCGAAAAAAACGATGTAAAAGGCTAAAGCACTTTTTTTCGACAAAATCAGGAAAACGCGAATGGAGAAATTTTTGCAACACTTGATGAAACTAATTATGAAAAATAGCAACAGTGAGCGCAAAATTTATTGTAAAATTTCTTTGTCTGTATGACATGTCATGAAATGAAATATATTTATTTATTAACAGCATGAATATACTTCAGATCGAAAAAATGGCAAACACTTCAGTCTCTAAAAAAAATACACGAACACACAAATAGAAGTACACAAATACAAGTACAACACACGAACACAAATAGAAGTGCGACATGGCTGGCAGAATCTGGCGTCCTGTTCGATGCTTTTCCCCTGCCATGGGAAGCTTAGCTAAATACCAGAGAGAACAGAAATTTCTACTTTGCTGATTTTTTGGGAAAGTAATAGTCAGCTGGCTTGATTTCTCACCCATTTTTGATAGGTCGCTAAAACATGGGGCCTCAGTCCTCTGTTGGTTGAGTGAGCTAATGGAATCAGAAGTTGAGAAAGTGGAATCTTGTAATTCTGATAATTCGTTGTTAGTTATATGAGTTGGATTGGTATCTGGGTTCATATCAAAGCGCTTAAAATATTTTGCACAAAATATGATACGCGTGTTGCAAAAATGACCTCTCTCATTACGAACCCTCGAAACTTTCCAACATTAGCCAATTATAACCTTAAAAGTAGGTAAGATCGCGTACATATGTGCAATCTGGCATTTACATGACCACATGAAATGTTACATGTTTTTAAATGATGATCGTCCAGGTTAATAAAGTCCTGAGAAGGACTGTTTTTGTAGTTGTTGACTGACGTTTCGACAACCTTGGCGGTAGTCATCTTCAGAGTCAAAAAAGTTTTTTGACGACACCAAATCAATTCCATACATTCAGCGTTGACAATTTTACACAGACAAATAAAAAGTTAGACACATCATAAACCCATATCAACAACTTCATTAAACTTTCAGAACGATGTAAACATTATACAGTTATGAATTAAAATATAACATAAAAGAAAAAATGAATGGTTCTATCAACCATTCTATCAATGGTACTATCAACCATTCTATCAAAACTAAAATATCTTGCTATTTGATTATGCTCTCGAAAACGCAGTTGTCTAAAGGTGTTTAGGCATTTCCAAACAATCGGTTTTGCGTACACTCCGCATATATAAAAATACCAAAAATTTAACATTTTTTTAGGTACAAGTATGAACATTATCAAGGAATGTTAAGAAAATGGAAATCTTACTACCTATATACTCTATAACTATATACAACGTATCGCAATATAAAAACTTCCACAACAGCAGCTGTTTTATGTTGACTTGTAGTAAAAGGAGCCATCTTCGTGTATATATACGAGGAGAATGATTGCATATGTTGAGGAGAAAATGCCAGAGGTTCACAACAAAACTCTTCACTCCATTTTTGTGAATGCATTCGTCAAAACATTCGTTGGTCGATGCTTTTTTCATTATTTTACGCTTTTTACTCAAAACTAGATTATTGTAGCTCTTCAAAGATTTAACAACGAAAGTTTTTAAAGGTTTTACTTAGTGTCATGTAGAAAACTTGTGAGCTGGAACTGGTCTTTGAAGAAAAAAATATCTAAAAGCAATATCAAAATGTTAATCTTCATTTACAACATTCTTCAACCATATTTAGCAAATCCAGAAGATTCTCTTTTCAGCTATAATGGTAGATTTCCTTAAGAAAAGTGCATTTTTAACTATACTGGCGAATTTCCTTAAGAAAAGTGTATTTTTAACTATACTGGCGAATTTCCATAAGAGAAGTGCATTTTCGACTATACTGGTGAATTTTCCACACACCTTCTCATTTCTTTCACAAAGAAATGTAAAAGCTTGAACTTTTTTATGCATAAACACTCCGTCCAAATGTCCAGTTTGTACAGAACGTACTTCAATAGCTTTCTCCCCAACCCATAACCTGTCCAGAACCGACGTGAGCTGAAATTAATAATACGAACTATAAAATAAACACAATGAAACACGTGCACTGATTGGTCTAGAGCTGATTTGCATTAGCCAGTGCAAAACACATCTGAGCCCAACCAATCAAATCAATCATAACAATCAATCAGTCAAAGAGAAATTGATTATGAACACATTTTAGAGCAAAAATTAAATGTTTGTCTTTTTCGCATTATTTCATTTTATTAAAGAAATAAAAAGATGCTTTTCGTGTTAACACTGGCTTATACAAACCTCGGAGACGTTTGTAAGAACTCTGGAGCAGGTGCAACCCTCGACCTTCGGTCTCGGGCTTGCACTGATATGCTCTCGATTTCTCCCAAAGGTCTCCTCAGTTTGCATAAGCCTGTGCAAACACAGTAAACATCTTTTATTTCTTAAATAAAGAATGGTGTTTAAGGTAAATAAAAGTACCATTTACTGTATATTATAAAGGAAAAACTACGTCATGAACATGAAGTAATCCACCTTTCCGACGGTAAACACACGTCTCAAAAAATACGAGATCAAATTACAAAATTAAGATAGCCAAATGGTCGGACATGGTATTGTATATGTAGAATAGTGGAAACAAATAGAAAGAAGATGCTCTTGGGGCATTTGTAAATCTTATTTTAGATATTCAGAACAACTAATTATAAAGGCAAAAGGTGCAAGAGTGAATAAAAACCATTTTCTGTCAAATCAAAGGAAAGCTTGGATATGACATGCAATATAAATGCAGATACAAAGTAATGGAGAAAAATAAAAATATCTCTAACATTATCACAAAGTGTTGATTGGTTTGATACGCATTTGTCAAAACAAGCTTAAGAAGCCAAAAATATATGATTAAAAATTTGCTATGCCCATATACAAGCACCAATTTCAGAGCTCGCTCCGTCACAAATTAATTGAGAATCAATTCTCAGCATGTGTAGTCAACTCCATCAACTCTTCAAGTTCATGGTCATGGCAACGACCAACTGCATCTACTAGCACCGATTTTGAAGTAAATAGCATGCCTAGTAACAATTTAATAGAGAAATCATCTGCGCATGAGCTCCAGCATGCGCAGTCCACTCGACTGATTGTTCATAGTTATGGCAACGACTAACTGTATGTACTTGCACTACTTTCATGGCAATTAGCTCACTTAGTCGCAAATTATCAAAGAAATCATCTGGGCATGCGTAGTAGTGACTTTAATAATACCACAACTTTCGTAAGCTTTGAATTTATGTATATATATGTATATATATATAAAGCTAAAACTTCATGGAGTAGATGTCAACTAGCAGTGGAAACTGGGTGCGATTAGGTATGCAGTGGCTTAGGGCCCAGACTTCGGTCGCGACCGCACTCTCCCTGCGTACCCCGAGCAAGGCCTATCGCAGGTGATCTCGAGGTCTGATGGGCGGAAGCATGCTACGTATTGGCATCCCCAAGCAGGATAGCGTGGAGGGGCCGAAATCTCCTACCAAAACGTTAACATGCGGCTTTCTACTGCCTTACGCTTAAGAAGGTATCGGGAGGCATGGACCGAAAACGGGGTTTTTTGCTTTCGAATTTTATCTTTTTGTTTATTTTAAAAGAGTTCTTCTCATAAAATAAACCAAGTATGCTTTAATTAACTTCTTCTGACACTGTGCCTTTTTCTAACACTTATAATTTAAGACAACCTTCAACATGTCTTATACAATTTTTATCGGTTTATATCTTTCTGATTTAACTCTCTCATTTACTGTTTCTCATGCATCACGAGCAAACCATCCATGGCTTCATGGCAAACAAAGATTGTCTGGTTCCCTTAATCAACATGCGACGCTCTAGTGCTCAACTATTCCGGGGTATCGGGAGGTATGGACCGAAAACGGGATTTTTGTTTTCAAAATTTGTCTTTTCTTTACAAGAATTCTTCTCATAAAAAAAACCCAGAACCCAGAACATCCAAGGATAGTGCAAAGGTTTAAGCAACTTCTGCCTTTTTGACTTATAATTTAAACCAACCCTAAGCATGTTTATACCTTTTTTACTTGTTATCTTTTACAATGTAATTTTCAAAACTCTCTCGTGATGAACGAGAGCCTCCTTATACAATATGACTCTCGCATCATCTACGATAACATCATGGGCTTCATAGAAAAAAGGGATTGGCTGTTTTTATACTAGAGACGCATATTGCGTCTGGACGCACAATGCGTAATCTTTATTATTCATCTAGTATAAAAAGGCGAGGAATTATCCAACGAAGTATCAGACGAACAACTTGATAACTGTGCGAAAAACTTATTAACCGCTTGCCAATGTAGCCTAATCAAAATCTTATTCTAAAATTGTTGAAAAAGTAGATATCAGTTGAAGCTACAACAAGTAAACCCGATCGAGAACTTCAAACACATAATATAAATTCTCACCAACAGCATGAGGCGTTTCACCCCACTGCATGACAGCATGTTTTACTAAACTGCCAGAATTGTTCACATAAACACCTTCATCTACAAGAAAGATTATGGTGTCAAATAAATCTGTACTTATTAACTCTTTAGAAGAAATAGTTTTATGTACGTATAACATAAGAACTATATCATTTGCAACTATGACATTAAGATCTTAGATCTCATCCATAAAGTAATGGGAAAGAGATTGTTAGAACTATCATAAATTCATAATTGAGCTTTTTTGCTTACTGTTGAAACAAAGCAGCAATTCTCGTCCGTTAGATTCTAAAAAATCAAAATCATATACGACAAAATGTTCCGATAAGTATGGCTGTATTTAAAGTAACGCGCATAGAAACACGATAATTTCTTTTGTTAGCTATAAACTGTGTTCAGTTAGACAAACAATATGTTTAAAAAACTAGAGATTATACAGTAGTTAATGCATTATGAAAAACGCAGTATCCTCTAATAAATTACCTGGAAGAGGGATTATGGCATGTGCCTGAAAATTTTCGGTCAACTGAAAAATACAAAAATTACTGATCTCTGCGGTGCCGGTGCAGTGCTCTAATCAACTGAGCTATGAATTCACACTGTGGAGAGCAGGTCAATTTGTTGGGCTCATGTTTTCCCGTGAAAGGAATGTAATATGAAAGATTGTTATATGCAGTGCGGTGTTTGAAATTGAATGAAGATATGATCTTCGCACTTTGCTGGACAATTTAAGCAATTGTCAACGAGATCCCGTTGAGTCACCTGAATTTTTCAGGTTCATGAGACAATTGCTTAAATTGTCCAGAAAAGTGCGAAGATCATATCTTCATTCAATTTCAAACACCGCACTGCATATAACAATCTTTCATATTACATGGACTTTTATTGTCATATAAACTCGATGACTTACGGACAATGGACATAACAATAATCTGCTACGAATATCACAATTAAAATACCCATGTACTATACACGTACATCAAATACATACTGCTAACATTGAACTATATTAAATTGTTTTATTCTAAACGCTATGCATTTCCTATCACAGATAACTTAGGGCAGGTAGGATTTTTTTTTCAAAAACAAATACACTCACATGTGATGGTATGTACAAATCGTAAACTGATGCCGAATCAAGATCAACACCATGAAAACCTATAACACAAAAAATGGTTGATCGGGGATGTGCCATCATGCAAAATAATCGCAATAAAAGTCGCTTTTACTACAATTTCTAATGTACGTGAAATGTTAAAGATGCGTGAAAGGTAGGGTAGTTGTAAACGTAATATTTTTCATAAACTTTTCCTACACTTCCAAAACCATAAACAGACCTTTTGTTGAGGAACTTGTTGAGAGAAATTTGAAGCACAGGAAAGACAACGGCAATACGTACTTACATTAAAAGATGTAAGGGATGATAACTCTTACATTTTACGGAAAAACGTCGCTAGATTATAACCAAACGATAATCTCATTAACAAACTTCAATCAAAACTTACCACTTTCAGAAGCATATATGACCTTTAATCTGCTCTGATCGTTCTCAACTGTCATGTTTACTTTTACAGGTCTCGGAACAAGGTTCGAAAAAGACTATTTAACGACAATAAATACCAGTATGAAAGTCGTATGTAGATGAAAAGTACAAAACAGAGACAACAAGAACAACATATAAAAAATGGTCATACCTTAAAAGCCATGAACTTATGATAAGGTTTCGGTGCCCAGGCATAAACCTCAATTTTGTCTTGCACAGCTATAGACAAGAATTTGATGCGGTGAAAGTTAACTGAAATAAAAGAAGCGAATTTTGTATTCCAGTGAACAAAATTTGTCGCTTACCAACAGAGGAGAGAGCGGCATCCCGGTATAAGTTTGTTTATTGTATATTTATTGGAGTGGCCAAGTCATACAACTCAATTGTATGTTACCATATTGAAAGCTGTATTATTTTAGTTTGCTGTGAATGAACACTAGCCAAATGAACGCACAGACAATGAAAAGCTGCTGTATAAGAAGGGTTTTAATGTCTGCCTCGATTTCATTTCATTGAACTGTCTCAATGTCTATGTATTAATTATAAATGTCTTCTTTTTCAACTACTTTGATTAATCCATCCATACATATGTATACTTACCAACTTTATAGTGTGTACAACCTTCAAGATCACCAACGGTTACATAACCACGTAATCTATTTTTGTCCGCCTACAAATTGATAAAAAAAGTTTAACAAATTCAATATGAGAATACAAAGGCCTCAGACAAACATGGCGCCTTGTCTAATCAAGAGAAATATTATAAAAAGTGTTACAGAAAATTCAATATAGGCAACATACTTCGTCTGCTTTTACGATTTTACTCTTCAACCACGATAAATAATACACTCTCAATTTATTCGTTTTCCCTGTTACAAATACATTGAATTTTTACACGCAATAATGTGTTCAAACAAATAATTTTTTACAAGCAGTTACAGAAAATGAAAATTTATACATGATATGAACTAGTTACACATTTTCATTCCGAAAATGGTACAGGAAACATGCATGTTTCACGTGACAGTCTTACCACTTATGCTTGTTAAAACATTTATTCCCTCAAGAACATCAATTTGCTCAAATCTTCGCCTTGATACCATGGTGAATACTAAAACGCAAGGAAAACATAATACAGCTCACCATTATTCATTTGCTGTTGAACGGAAATCATTTAAGATACACAACCTTTTCCATTGCCACTTCTGTCAAGTAAAAACAGTCCATTTTCTGTTCCAATGAGAAGATTTACACCTTAAATAAAACGTTAAAACATTAATACACCATTATGACAATATGAAAGTCCAGCAAGACGCTTTTTGTCATTCATATTCTATAAATCGATAAAGGTGCATATAGAATATAATTTTTAGAGGCCCACAGGTTGATGAAGCAGAACATACATTGTCTGGTTGAACAAGCATCGTAATTTGCCCATTGAAATATCTTGAGTTGCTTACTTTTTGAAATCTTCATGTACATAAAGGGATGCCCAGTTGAAAAAGTCGTAAAGTATCTCTAGCCATGTGACTAGTATATGTTCAATACACACTTTTGATTGAATTACTGATTGAACGAATAAAAATTTATTCACACACACTGATCTCATGCAACATTGCGTTGACTTTCAACCGATTAAGAATAAGGCAAGGAGTCGTACACCAACATCATTAAAATTTGTATAAAGCAACTTTAATAAAATTAAGCGCAGCTTTATCATGTTATTTCTTGGCTTTTGGTTGACATGAATGAAAACACACAATGTAAAAGAAGATGACTGAACTTACCCCAAAGCGCGCCGCAGAGAATTTCAGATCGGAACTTGTATTTATATTTTTCAATTTTAGGCATCTAATGGAAAAGTGAAATGATCTCGATTTACAAGGTACGTACGTATACTAGATGTTTCTCGTGTTGTAGCAAATATTTTATAATTACGCACGGTTGAGTCATCGTAATAAGACGCTGTTCTTTCCGGTGTAACATTGACAGTAACTTCAGCGGGATCTTGTTGTCGATTGCCAAATACGAAGGATTTTGAAGACTTCCTTAATTTCTTATCATCCATATATGACGAAGACGATGAAATAGAATCGTCTGATATGGACTGATCGTCGACATCGTCTTTCTGTTTCGATTTATTTCTCTTATCTTTCTCCTGTAAAAATAACATACATTCATGTTAGTGTACCATATTCTGCGACTACAATCTGTGACCATGCTCTGTGACCACAATCTGTGACTAAATTCTATGACCACATTCTGTGACCACACTCTGTGACCACAATCTGTGACCATACTTTGCGACAACAATCTTTGACCACATTCTGTGACCACCTTCCGTGACCATACTCTGACCACACACTTTCAACAAACTTCTTTGACCAAACTATGTGATCACACTAGGTGACCACATTCCGTGACCATACTCTGACCACACACTTTCAACAAACTTCTTTGACCAAACTCTGTGATCACACTAGGTGACCACATTCCGTGACCATACTCTGACCACACACTTTCAACAAACTTCTTTGACCAAACTCTGTGATCACACTAGGTGACCACATTCCGTGACCATACTCTGACCACACACTTTTCAACAAACTTCTTTGACCAAACTCTGTGATCACACTAGGTGACCACATTCCGTGACCATACTCTGACCACACACTTTCAACAAACTTCTTTGACCAAACTCTATGATCACACTAGGTGACCACATTCCGTGACCATACTCTGACCACACACTTTTCAACAAACTTCTTTGACCAAACTCTGTGATCACACTAGGTGTGACCACATTCCGTGACCATACTCTGACCACATACTTTCAACAAACTTCTTTGACCAAACTCTGTCATAACATTCTGTGACCACCTTCTGTGACCATACTCTGTGATCGTACTTCAGTAAGATGTATTTAATATTTACATTCAATTTCTGGTACAAGAAAAATTTAAATCACATATAGCACACAGACTTGCCTATGTTCATTTTCAACTCTCTATGCTGCAATTCATAACACGATCTTACCTTGAGTTCTTTCAGCTGTCTTTCGGGCAAAACGTCAGGCAAACTACCAACAAACGAGGTTGGAGTCTGTCCACTTTCACCAAAGCTTGTCGAGGACGATCCAGACTAAGAGCGATACCAAAAAAATTAATGCACGCGGTTACACGAAACACGTCACTCAAAAGACAAGTCAGCTGTGCGAAACCCATAAGCCACAAGATAAATCAGATTATTGAAGCACATTGCCATGAAGGTAAGTCAGCTGTGCAAAGCTTGACATTCGCCCTCCCCCCCTAATGATGATAAAATTCCATCTCTAGGAACTCAGTGTGAAACTCAGCATGAATCTCAGTGTGAAACTCAGCATGAAACTATGTGAAATATTTATTTAGCATAACCAACCAAAAAACGATATTTGCAAATTTACGTATCCGACTAGCTTAGAAAACCTCTATATGACATTTATTTAGCCAACGCGTAAACCATTCGATTTATCGTTATTACGGCACAGCGGATTTTAGTTTCAATAAATGAAGTGCACATGCTAGTCAGTGTTTTTCTTACCAGATCATGCCTGATGAGCGTTGACTCTCCCACCTGCTTTATATACTAACCAAATTAAGAACCGGAGGGAGTGTTTAAGGCACAAAAATTGCATGTACGGTCACACTGATGCCAGTAGCAGACAAACAAACAATGGCCGTTAAAAATATTTCTTGTCGTTTCGAAAATATTTAGGAAAGTATATCGATTAAATTTGGGAGTTTTAAGTTCTGAAATTTCTACATGCACAACACAATATGACATAGCCTCCTAGATCAACTTCACAAGGGCTTCACGGAAAAATGAATCATAAAGCAGAAGTGTTTTGTTCATGACGAGCGTGATTACATTTTATGAAACATATCAAACATAGACATGATATCTTATCAAAGCCATGATATATAGCTACTGACAAGTCAAAAATCAGGTCACGCCACCTCAATATAACGGCAAAAGTATGCACGTTTACATTGTAATGTTTAAAGCACTTTCAATTGAATAATCATCACACAAACATTACATGCTTACTATATATTGCCTTCATACAGCATATATACTCACAATTGAATCATCGTCGTCGTCTTTCGTAAAATGTCCGGAATCATCTAGTTTCGATCCTGAAAAATACCATTGAAAACAACCGTAAGTAGACGAACAGGAAAACATGATTTTCGATAGTGCTCCGTAATTGAAAAGATATCGACGTTCATTGTCTTGTATATTATCCAATGAAGAAACATGATAATCTGCATTGAAACTTGGCAATGATACCGCTAAAATACTCACGTTGAAGCTGTCTTGATATTTTTATAGTTTCGTCCGAGTACTCCTCTCTAAGGGATGAGAGCATATCATTTTTTCACTCCGTAGGAGTCACTTTATTGAAATAGACTTAATATGCTTCGCGTCATAGAAATATTGCAGAATACATAAAATATGGTACAATATAGTACGTGGAGGTGAAGTAAGGTACAGTACAGTACAGAGTAATACATCATGCCATCTACCTAGAGCCTTTTGATTGACTTGCGTCCAATGTTCGATCACTGTATTCTATATCACTGTCCGCATCTTGAGCAATCTACATCAGCACAAAAAAACAAGAATTAACAAGAAATTCTTGTTCGTGTTTCCTCGCGAAATTTCCTTTTATGTATCTTCGAAAATTTAGCCAAAACAACAGCACACCCAATGGAAATGCTTAGATTTAAATGTCGCAAATAACTTCAATTAACGGAAACATTCAGGTAAAAAAAAAGATTTAAATGTCGCAAATAACTTCAATTAACGGAAACATTCAGGTAAAAAAAAAGATTTAAATGTCGCAAATAACTTCAATTAACGGAAAAATTCAGGTAAAAAAAAGATTTAAATGTCGCAAATAACTTCAATTAACGGAAACATTCAGGTAAAAAAAAAGAAAAGTAAGATTTTGAAATTTACAATTCAGTCGTGAAAAGTCGTGAAATGATCAAGGTTTTAAATTTAGCATTCAAGGTTATTTTCCAAAGTTGATTATGGATGTCTTCTAATCCCGCGCCTAACCATGCACTATTAAAGTAACATGAGTCCAAAGGCAACCAATAATTTTATGAGAGAGGGAGTTCAAAATTCCATAACACTGAAAATAATGGGGAAAATACGATTATAATGTTGTTTGTAATCACCCTTTTTGAAAACTGACATGTTGTGGATTGGCCTGAACTATTCAGATCAAGACATCTTCAATGTATGAACAGAAGTTGAAAGCAGGGCATCTAGTTGATGCACGAAAAGTGCTAAAGTTTTCATTGATAAATCTCCTCAATATTTTAATAGTAGGCAAGATAGTTACAGCGTCAATAACGATTGTAATACAGCTTACTCAGCTCGCATTACCTGTGCACTAGTACTGCCATGTCTTGAATAACGCCGAGGTTCTGCTTGAAGACCTAAATTACACAACAACATGAAATCTCTATGCAGCCAAATGCACAAAATTTTTGCAGTTCAATTTTAGAACATTATCTTGAAGTACAACCTCAAAGACAATTCAATGTACACAGCTACTGTGAAATAATTTGATAAGCTGATGTTGCCCATAATTGGATTTATTCACGTTACTCGTTTATGATACAAGTTATATTTTAAAATAAATACGTTAAAACGCGTACAGTGATTGGTCAATAGCCGTGATTGCATTGGCCTGTGCAAACCGACCTCAGCTAAACCAGTCAATTCAATCAACCAATCAAAGAGAATTTGATTTGATATTTAAAGGAAATTGAAAACGTTTGCTTGAAATTTGTCTGTTTCGCATTATTGTTATTTTATAAAAGAAATAAAAGATGTTTTCGTGTTTGCACTGGCTTATGCAAACCTTCGAGACGTTTGTGACAACTCTCGAGCACGTGCTGCAACCTTCGATCTCGGGCTTGCACTGATCTGCTCTAAAATTCTCCCAAAGGTCTCCTCGGTTTGCATAAGCCCGTGCAAACACAGTAAACATCTTTTAATTCTTAAAGGCTGATTCCATTCAGTGTAAATTGTCGCGAGATCGACTTTTTGCGATCACTTTCTTTTGAATTGTGTGCAGCAGTGTAAAACTGTTCCGGTCGAGAGCTTACAATTGAAAAGAAAGTGATCGGAAAAAGTCGATCGCTTGACAATTTTCACTGAATGGAAATCAGCCTTAAGAGGTACATGCTGAAAAGTTTGCATTGTACAGAAGCAAGTCAACACGTTGTCAATAAGTTTGCACGCGTCAACAGGTTCAAGGCTCAAAAACAAACACATTCATTTATGGCAAACACTTTAACATTGATTCATAATAAATGTACGTACCTTGTACTTCAACGTTGTAACTTCCTCCCTGCATCAGAGTAAGATTTCTTCGTAACGTGGTTGACTCGCCGCCATTCCTAACGAAAAAATATAAGCTTGGATAAACGGACGTTTTGTGAGAACGGCGCAGCCTACGCTCAACGTTGAGGACTTTTAACTGACAAATATTTTGCTAAACATTTTAATCAAATTAAATTTGTCAAGAGATCACTCCTTATAAAGAAATAAGCAGACAAACATTCTACATACTACATATTTTTACTAAATGCTTTTCTTCGTGGTATGTTTATGATAGATCTGGTTTCTTTTCCCAAATGCTAATATTTCTTTTTCTTATTTGTTAAATAGATGTATAATGTTGATAAACTGTGATAAATTCGATTTTGAGAAGTCCTCTACGAGATAAGTAAGCTGTCTCATTAAAGTTGAGCCTGAACACTGCAAATTATCGTTATTATTGCTGCGAAGGCAAAACTTTCACGCACACTTCACAAATGTTGATTGTGCATAATGAGATTATGCAGCAAGAATAATTGAAATAATCAGGTTGTCGTGTGTGTACAATTCTTACCCCATATCATCAGCAATCGCTCTGGCCAGTTGTGTATCGTCCTCTTCATCACTTCCAGAGAAAGTAAAGTCGTCTTCGGGATCAACTGCAATGAAATTTTTAATCACTTAACAGAAGTGGAACGTCTGACACGTATGTAATTTAAATTCAAACAAACAAAAAAGATGTCGAGAAAAACATTTAAAGAGGCTGGAAAATTAAAGTACTTATAACGTTATTCAAAAACTTGTAAATATGTTTCGGGTTAATGCGTATTCCCTGAGCTATATAACAGCTCAAATAGAGATTTTGGAAAAAAAGAAGCAAACACTGGAGGACTGGGAACCAGGAATACATCTGTGGAAATTAGTTTATGTTACAAGATACTTGTCGTATACTTTCACAGTGTTTCAACAGTAATAAACAAGGCATGTTTCGAAAAAAAAACTCCACGACAATGCATAATCTACAAATTGGTGTTGAAAGTGTATTCCTGGGATCCAGGACTTTGGGTGCGCTTCACCTGTGTTTAATCTGTTACATTTTTGGAAATATTTTAGTACGTAAAAACTAATATCGAAGTTTTTAACTAATATTTTGAGATCTTCCATAGTCAATAAAAATCAAAAATGCAGTCACAAGCACTTTCAAAAACAAGAGCATTAATAGGATGATCAAAGTGTACAGGTGACTGTGCACCGACTTCAAATATGTTTGACATTACATTATGATAACACGTAAGCAAAATGGATTAAAAACTAAGTGGAAGCACTTACTTCGTCTCTTTCTCATTCGATCAATAAAGTCTTTCAATTCGATTCGAATCTTTCTCTCGTTAATTTTCATATCGCGAACAAATTCGTGCTGCAAGATATGCGAAGACAGTAAAAAAAATTAATATGACGAAATGTTAAAGATTTAGAAATGAAAAAGGTGCAACACGTTTTAAAATTAATATTGCCGGTTCTCGAACAAACTGATCATAAAAACAACATGAGATTTTAACGACAATTTTGCAAAATATATTTTGACAAAAATTTGACAACATCAACTGGTCCCAGGCCAACCTGTTTGTTTTTCAGCAAAATAAATTTACCAACTGCCAGAGTCGGATACTGGAGGAGGCGGCGGGGGGGAAGGGGTTGGGTTGTGTTGCATCCCCCAAATTAAACTCATCTGTTCAAATTTTCAAATTAAATCATTGACTCGTTTTGCCACCCCCCCCCCCACAATATACAATTATCAAAGAATATAATATCAATATCAAATACAAATACAAATATCAAATAATAAAATTTATTTATCTATAGCATTTACGTACATAGCAGGGGTTTTGGAATATCAATATTATTGGTACATTTATTGATGTATCGAAATCATTTTTCTAAATATGGCATGAACGAAAGGCCTACCTGCAGTAAATGGTCAGCAGTCGGTCTTCTGTGGTAATCCTTCAAAAGACACGTCTGAGTGAAGCTTTGAAACCTTTTTGACCAATTTTTCCTCGATTTCAGTTTGGGTGGATCACTTCGAGGTATAAGAAAGAGTGCTCGCATGGGATGCATGTCACACAAAGCTGAAAACGTTCATATAGAAAAACGAAATGTTTCACGGTACATAATTTATGCCAATCAAACAAAATAAAACAAGTGAATGGCGGAGTATCGTTGCACGTTTACAGATGTAGATCATCCAGGTCAGTAGTGTCCTGGACAATCTTAGCGTTGGCAATCCTGACTCTACGAATAGATTCCCCATACGTCAGTCAACACCAACAGTCTCTCAAAGACTCCACTAATCTGGACGACTTACATCTACAACAACGTTGACGTAATGATTACTTACGAGGAGCAGATTCGGCCATTTCGATAGCTGTTATACCAACCGACCATATATCACACTGGAAAAGAAATCAAAGTCGAATTGAAAAATCAAAATCTAAAATATAATTGATTGCCAAAAACTGCAAATGGATTTAAGCGTTCAAATGACAAAAACGTTTGACTGTAAATGATACAGGACAGTAGCTGAGCCATTGTTAATGCAATATCAATAACAACAGCTCATGGATTGGTAAAATTTTGTTCCATAGAAATTCATAAATGAATGAAGCAATGTTAACTTTACGTACCCTATTGTCGTACGTGGCATCTGGTTGCTCATCACACACGATAACCTCAGGTGCCATCCTAGACAAGTAAAATACACTAAACATACGTATGCCATACATCTCTTCGTTAAATGCACAATAGTAATTAGAAATGCAAAATTGTAGAGTTGAAAAAATTATTCCTGTTGACAACCCAAAAGCCATGTATACACAGCAAAACATTTAGCCTACCAGTATGGCGTTCCAATAAATGTATTCCTCCGACCAATAGTTCTGTCTAACTGAGCACTGACCCCAAAGTCGACTAAACAATTTGGAAAACTTTAATGTTGTCGCATTGACAGGTATTAAAAAGTTGTTCAACCTTTATACGGTTCGCATATCAAACTATTGTAAAACTTTGTATGGTTATAAAACGTTGCATGGTTCAAAATAAAGATTATCATTCATTCATTCATTCACTCATTCATTCATAGTAAATTTCACTTATAACTTAGAAATGCAATCTGATCAAAGAACAAAAAATTCCTACCAAGTTTGATTTCAGCATTATCTGTCAACAAGACATTTTGTCCTTTGATGTCACGGTGAATGACTCGATGTTGATGTAAATGACCGACGCCCTAAAGGCGAAAGGTACCCCCCCGTATAGGTTATTGCAGTACATCTGAATACCGGACAATATTAAAGTGTCGGTTGATATTTAAATAAATTCACTTAATTCAGCACTTTTGACATTTTAGTAAGGCGCAAGGGTTTTTGATTGAAATTTTTGTTTCAAAGGTGCAACTCAGACGTTTTGACGAATGAATCGTCGCAGTAGCCACAGACGAACACAATGGCGTAGCCAAACCGCAAGTTTAGAGTTATGCTATGTACAGTTAAGATCCCCAACATCATTCATTTATTTAGAAATCTGTTGTTTTTACTGTGAGAGAACACAGAAATAATTACATAACATGAATAAACTTGCGGGCTGGCTATGCCACTAATTATTACATATTTGGTGTTAGCTGTGCGGTTTCGTAAGATTTTCTTCATATCGACTTTATCGACTTTTAGATATCTGCTTTTGTAAAAACCGCAACAGCCTGCAATGCAAGTACACACAAAGAGTCATAACAAACGTCTGTACAATAAGTCTCTTTTGTACGTAGAATCGTAGCTACAGCTGCAGACAAAATAAGATTCGAAAAAACGGCCAGGTGACTTGAAAAGAATCAGATAAACAATCATTTTCCCTGGTGTACATGTACGTTTGAACATACGTTGTTATTGGAGCATTTGAAGATAAACCAAGCGTCGTATGGGGAGCATTTCAATCACACAAATTTTATGGGGAAAGCCAACACAGACGTCGATGCAAAAAATATCGTCATCAAGATATCGATAATATAGATTATTTTTCAAATATCAACAATATCGATAGTTTTTGAAAATTAATAGTCAATAATTTCCAATATCGCAAGAGCGGAGGCCATTTTCTTCATTACGTTATATACAGCAATCTCATAGCTTTTCAAAGTCGTGATTGTAATAAGAGATAAAGATTGTAATATACGAAAGTTATAAGTTTGATTTAGCGCATTTCATTATTGACAAGAACCACTTTTTGAAAAATTCGCGCATTCATCGCTTAGTGGACGGAAAAATTATACTCAGTGAAGAACGGGATTCATAAATGAAAACAAGGGGATTTCATAAATCAACACATTGTAGATACTCACATTCAAAACTTCACGACAAATAAATGCTATCCATTCTTCTTTAAGAGTTTTATTCTTGCTAGCTAGAATAGTGTGTGTTACAGACTAGCGTCAATATTCTTTAAAAGTACGCCTGGGGAAACAAAACGTCAGGGGGGGTGTCTATCAAAGATAGACAGCAAAGACTTATGGAAGTTCCAACAGAATGCTCTTCGTCAAAAGGGCACTTTAGGGGCTGTTTACATGAGCCCTACAGGGAGGGCTGGCCCTACTAAGCGAGATCTTGCCTGTTATTAAAATTCCATATAAAATCACTCTTCGTTTACATGAGAGGAGGGCTAGCCTTACCAGCCAAGATCTCGCTATTGTTCACTCGAGATCTCGCCATGTAGGGCTGGAAATTTCCCATGTAAACGCATTCGGTAGGGCTAGCCCTGCCTGTAGAGCTGAAAAATTAATGCATCTTGCATGTGATAAGGCAACGCTTTTCAGCAATGATGAAAAGAAACAACATCAATGGGAGCAAACAAACTAAGAAAGCGTAAAAAATCAAAAGGCAACAACTATATTGGTTTGTTTTCAGCTATTTTGTATTTTAGCACCGAAATTCGCAGTTCAAACCGAGCTCTTGATGTAGGGCTAGAATTTGCATGTAAAAGAGAGGTAAAACACACCCCTACAGGGAGGACTAGCCCCTTACTAATGATGGTGGTATACAGATCCGTTTGTTAATGTTTCAGAATGTTGCAAATCAAACCCTTCACAAACAAATTCATTGAAATTTAGAAAGCCAAAAAACAAAGAGTTATAAGTAACCCCTCCCCAGTGTTTGCCACTGGTTGTAACAAAGGCATATGTTTGTTTCATAAAAGTCAATTCATACTTTTGACAAGATCTGTAATTGATCCAGCACCACACAACTCCATGACAAGCTGAATGAAACACAAAAACAACGAGGTCAAATCCTACACAACTACATATATTTTGATAAAAAAGCCGGATATTCAATAAATAAACATGTTTGCAACAAAGAACAGCATTTTGAAAAGAAACATCTGCACACAACAACAAAGCATATGAAAATGAATAAGAAAACATACCCAAAGTTGGTCCTCCTGTCCTGGTAAGCCTTTCTTGATAAATGCACCATAATACGTGGCAATGTTTCTATGATTTGAGTACTACAACAAGAAAAGGCAAGCAAATAAGAAAAATTTCACTAACGTCATCACACAATACATTCTTCACTCTAATAATTGGAAATTTTTTTATCAAAACATAAAATGGTTAGCAACATAAATATACTTTTCTAAGAACGTTGATTTCCAATTTTATTTCTTCTTCCTCATCCTACAGTAGAAAATACAACACATTATGGAAATGTACATACAAGTACAATGGACAAGATTAATCAATGAGAGAAATGAATGGTTTATATAGTTCTAACCTCTGTCACATCCATAATCTTGATTGCAGCTAACTGCCCTGTTTTGTTATGTCGACCCTAACAGTAATATGAGGCATTCAAACAAACAGTTCATAATTCTAGATCAAACCTCAAACATGTAATATTTTGTGAAAACATTTGAACTCATAATTATTTATGTGTAGGAAAATTGCTTGTTATAGCCGACCTGACGTTACAAAAATATTATTTAATTACATACATAAATCAAAATTTCAGGGTCTATATCAACATTACAAATCGAAAGTGATCAATTTTTAACAATGAGAATGATATAAATATAACATGTTTTAATATTGAAAAAGATAAGTAAAAATATGGCAAAAACTTTAAGTCCAATGTTTCAAAAACAAAATTGTGCATATTTACAAATAAATTGTAGTTAAACTGCTCAAAGTCTCAGAGATGAAAGCATTTTTTATTCAGACACATGTTGTTGGAGTGCTTGACATGCATGTGACTGTTCATATATAACACTATCACACATATTTCACAAGCAACGTCACTTTTATGTATTAATTTCCGCATAAACGCAATATCTTACATCTTTTACAAGATATCTTGCATCAAAACATGTACTCAGAAGTTAGAACTACTGCTGAATATTATGTACAATGAATTTTTTAAACACAAGCTACTGTATGCAAAATTCAGTACAAGTACTTTTTGATATTTGCCTGAACAAATAAAAATTCAAATTCTTCTTCAACAGCTTTTCTACATTATTGAGCAAGAAGTAATCATCATCACAAAGCTAAGCAAAGTTAAAAATAAAACAGGAACAAAAATGTGTCTGTGTTGAACATGTGTCACTGTGTGTGATTAAGCTTTAAGCTTTATTCAAAACAAAATAAAGATTGAAAAACAATGAATTATTTAAGATTGAGTATAACTGAAGATAACCTAGCCAATTAAATACGCACAATGCTTAACAAGAAATTTTGATGGGTTTCTTTTTCAATAGCCAACAATAGCCAACTGGCAACTTTTTACAATAAACATTACAAACTGGGCTTTAAAAAGCCCTTTCCTTAACACAGGACAACACAAAGCCGTTAAATTAACATAATAGAAGCATTAACATAATAGAAGCATTATCATACAGGACAGGTCACATCTTGTAAATAGCCATGACACACACTACATAATGATTGCAAGGCCAATAAGCAGCACTAACATCTTGAGCTAAACTCCAATAAATTGGCCATGTAAATAACGTGTAAACGTTAACTGAAATGGGTCAATTCGTGGCTTTTTCAAGCATTCATCACGAAATAAGCAATTAATTTTTAAGTGCACAGAAAGGAAACAAAATCTACTTCAGTCTTGAGATAAAAAAAACATAAACACATTATTAATGACAACGGACGCTAAAAATGTGCCGAGTTACAACACTGTAGGTACGGGACAATGTTTTTATTCGTGTATGGAAAATGAACGATAGGGTGTCCCAATTCATAACGAAATTTCTTCATATTCATGAGAAGAAAATATAATTGCAACATTGACTTAATTCAACGATTAAATAATTCGCAAAAAAATATTGTACCCTGCTGAAGAATATTCCTTCAACTGTATGGGCATACCTTATGGACTTGTCCATAGGTTCCATTGCCAACAACTTCGACCAGTTCAAAAAATCCGGCCGGATCCTGTACGATAAATATCATAAATTTCTATTAAAAATTTGCACAGAAAGTGTTTTTATGTTAGAATAAAAAGTAGCTTCATGCGAGGCTTCATGGACTATAACGATACTGAACAATACTGGTAGATTCGATTCAAATAATCGATGAAAGAGGCAGAAATTCATTTTCACGGTCAAAACAGTCTCGCGTGTTTTAAATTGGTATTATACGGAAACAAGGAAAAATTTATAATAACTATAAAAACTATAAAAACTATTGAAGGATTCACAGTGTCCCTTTCTCTCACCACCAAAAGCAGTGGGTATTCTTCTATACGTAGATTCATGCAATGCGATGCACATACCATAGCACGTCAAATTAATAAAATGACAATTGATTCACCTTCAGTGTGGCTAAATCGATATCATCCAATCCAAAAGACATAGCTGTTTTGATTGAGAAGAAGGCTAAAACGCAAGGAAAACCAAAGCACGACTTTCTTTGACCGAAAGTTTACAGTTTCAACAACGTGAGCCGACAGACAAATGAAATAGCAGTGACTTTGTGGTATAACTTTAGTTCATATCCAGCGGTGACCGAAATTTTTCATTTTTACACTTATCGACTATAAAACTTAGCAGTAGTTTTGTCGAATTAGACGTAACTTACTTCATCCAACATGAACATAAAAATATATTGATGTACAAATGATATTTCGTATATTCAAAACACTGCCAAATATTTTGCCAGGAATTATGGGGCCTCACCGGAAACGCATAGGGGGAAGTGAAGTCATAAGTCAAACCAGCACAAAGCCGCACCCGGAATTTGATCGTGAGTTCAGTACTAGGATTGTGTTAAAAAAATTGAGCTTTTTTAACAAAACAATCAGAATCCAGAAGTTCGGCTTTTATTATGCTGGCGTAAGCGCCTTGTGACGTAATAATTGTCTTCAGAGACGTAAATTAAAATCTTTTACTGCCCACCACGGGAGTCGACTTTTATTGATTCAAAGAACAATTAAATACAATAAGCTACAGAAATCATAAAATTAAAGAGCGAATAATTAATGTTCATTGTTATAGACTTACTGACGCAAATGGAAAATGCAGTAGGAGCTTACTGTAACACTGTTGACCATCAAGACAATGACTTCATTGTTCCTTAAATAAACTTAGAAATGAAACGGATGCAGAAGAAATAAGAACACACACAAGTCGAAAACTACATGCGTTAAATTTATTAGGAGTTGCGTCCTCATTTAGAATACGAGGAAACAAGCAACAAGTATGTTGTACGTGCGATTCTACCATTTTTTCATTGACATTTTTTAAAAATCTTACTCTAACTTTTACACATTGGACAATACAATCGTTTTAAAAAAGTATTACCTATATCATCAAAATCGATCATATTGATTTTGAATGTTTGATTTAGTAAAATATAGATATACAGACAGATATAATTTCGCAAGTGTAGACTTTTTTACATAAGTACAGTCAATTAACGTATGTACATATCTACTTTAAACACGACTGTAAAATTTCTTTCTCGATCTCATCCGTCTTTTGCTTGTAACACTGGGTTTCTTATATCTGAAATATAATAATGGCGTGTTCAACATTTTGAAGTGTCCGTTTTCTACAAAAATCAGTTCAGGTACGTAATAAAATATTTCTCCTAATCATTGTTGATTACATCAAAGATATGGCTAATAGCGGTTAATGTGAGTATTTCACGTGACAATCATACGTACAGCTTTAGTAGTAGCGAAGACAGAACGACAGACACCGAAGACGCAGCCATCGCAGCGCTCGCCATCCAAGGCTGTAGTACAATACCCCAATGATGGAATGCTCCAGCCGCAATGGGAATACCAATCACGTTGTAGAAAAATGCAAACACGAAATTTATACGGATTCTACGAACAGTTACTTTAGACAAATCAATGGCTGTAGAAACATCCAGAAGGTCATCCTATATGAAAGATTCTAGCGTTTAAACAAATGAAAAAGCAACTTTAGCCTGAAGAACGATGAGGGAAAAATTTGATTAGGTGTGAATGAATTTACGATATCTTTAACCTGCATGAAGTAAATAAATACAGCGAGGGTGCAACGACTCCGGTAAAAAGCGATTTTCTTGAGTGTTTAGCAACAGGGTGCGGTCAAAATAAAAATTTACCGAAATCTTCACAACTAAAAACGGTCATATGTATCCTACAATTTCGGCAAAAAGTACAAAACCAGCTCCAGTTTTTGAATACCTTAATCAATACAATATCTGCAGCTTCAACAGCCACGTCTGTTCCTGTTCCTATGGCAATGCCAACGTCAGCAGCGACAAGAGCAGGTGAATCGTTGATGCCATCACCAACCATAGCAACACATTCCTTCTGCTTCTGAAGACTGCGGACACGGTTAACCTTGTCAGCCGGAAGAACTTTTGCATAAACTTCCGTGATACCAATCTGTAGTGAAAGTTGAACGCACATTATGATTTAATTGTTTGGCAACAGATATAATTCGAACTTTTTTACTTTTGCCAATGACCTTTTGTCAGTGTCGATGATCTAAAGCCAAAATATACATACCTGTTGAGCAATTGCCCAGGCAGTTCGAGTGTTGTCTCCAGTCAACATGGCCACCTTTATTCCCATATGCTTTAGAAAAGACACAGCTGCTTCCGCCTCTGCTTTTGGTGAATCAGCAATACACACCATGGCAACAATTGAATCTGCACCAAGCAAATATCAGAGTTTTATATTCATAATATTTCTCGGTAAACACCTTATTACGCTTGGTTTATGTAAGAGCTTAATATCAAACATCATCGCCTAAGATTTTACCAAATTCTTATGAAGTGTTTCGTAAGATTTCTTGTACTAACCATCAACACCGACAAGTACAACGGTTTCGCCTTTTTCTTCACGTTGCATCATTTGCTGGTCAATTTCATCCGTTATCTGGAAACTATGCTTCGACATCCATTCACGATTACCAATTTTTACCGAATATTTATCACTCGATGGCTCTGTAAAGATAAACGACACTTGTGAAATGGCAAAGAGTATTGACAGTTGTGCATAGTTAAGAACTGGCAAAAAGCACCAAAACTTCTGAGGTGAATAGCTAAAAATTTTCAGATACTACAGAATTTTCGCTAACCTGTGGAGTCCGCAATATAACTGGTTGACTTTTTGTATTGCTCTTCAATGTTATATACTATTCCGGACAATCCATAACCAGGAACAATTTTAAAGCTATCACAAGAGGCAACAGCACTCTTCCCCAGCTTCTATACAAAGTAAGAAGCAGTGGTTGAACATAATGGTTTATTTCGAATAAACAACTATGTTCAACCACTGCTATTTAGTATGTAAAAACGTAAGGGGACAAAATATTTAGTATGTAAAAACGTATCTTTGACTATCGCTGACACCAATAAAGATTCCAAGAATCTAGCCAAGAATAGTACTACTTATCGCAATAAAAGTACTACTATCGAATAGTACTACTTATACTACTTATACTAAATATTTTGTCCCCTATAAACAGTCAAAATCTTTAGAAAATCAACGATGAACAACCAAAGCTAAAACATAAGACTTCAAATAATTGAGTCATTACGATTTCAAAATCTTACTTCTTTAGCATGGTCGACAATGGCTATAGCCAAGGGATGGTCACTGTTCGCCTCGACCGTGGAAACGAGAGCCAGAAAGAAGTTTGGCGGGCAAACATCATGGCCAACGAACATTTCAATATGTGTGACAGTCGGTGTTCCTCTTGTAAGGGTTCCAGTTTTATCAAATATGACGGTTGAAATCTTGAAAAACCCCAAAACACAATAATATCTTGTACATCTTCTATGTTCAACAAAAAAACACAATGATGGTGCATGTAAATACAAAGAAACATCAAACATCTAAGCAATGAAACGTCCACCAAAACGTGCAGAGTTAAAAAGAATAAAGTTTATAAAACGAGATGATGTGAACCGCACCAAATTTTTGAGAAAAAAACTGTTCATCAACAAGTCGATCATTGTATACGACCATGCCTTTCAAAAATTTATGCAACAATGCAAGTCAATATATACATACCTTTTGCGTCGTTTCGAGTGGTTCCCCGCCCTTGATCAAAATACCATTTTGTGCGCCCACACCAGTGCCAACCATCACAGCAGTCGGTGTTGCCAAGCCCAATGCGCATGGGCATGCAATACACAACACGGTTATTGCGGTGAGAAAAGCAAATTCCAAAACCACTTCGGTTTTACTTGATTCAGAAGGCTACAAATGAAAAGCAGGTATTGCAGAGGTAAAATTGTCAAGCAAATTCATCCGTGACAACACGAAATAACAACAGCCATTTGTTTATAAAACTTTCGTTCTTACAATAATACCATTATCATGTATAATTCATCAATATTTGACAGCGTAGAGTGTTGTTGGATGAAAAATTTTCGAGAAAAACCCTAAATAGCACAATACTTACATCAAACGAGTCGTCTATTGCTGATACATCATTGTATCCGATGACTATCCACACATTTAACGTCACTATCGCCATCAATACGATAACAGGAACAAAATAACCAGCTATAGTATCCGCGAGTTTTTGTATCGGTGCCTAAAAAGGAAATTAAATCTCATATAAGCATAAATATAACTCAAAAATGGGAAATAGACAGTTTATTTTATAAAAAAAAGAGTCCTCTAGAGAAATCACTTTCAGGACAGTAATTGTGAACTCGCTGAAAAACCAACTGAACCACGAGATTCATGTGCAAGAAAAAATTTATTGAGCTACGTATTTATATACTTTATAGCATAATATACTAAAAAGCTACCTTTGAAGTCTGAGCTTCTTCAACAAGTTTGACAATTTGTGAAAGCGTCGTCTCTTCGCCAACGTGAGTTGCTTCGAGAATCAATACGCCATTTTGGTTTATAGAGCCAGCTATAACCATACTACCTACAATTTTATGAACAGGCATTGACTCCCCAGTTATTAAAGATTCATCTGCCATCGATTCTCCCCGGACAACCCGGGCGTCAACCGGAATCTTACCGCCTGGAACAACCTAACCGAATAGAAGAATATCCAATCAGGAGGGAGAAGGCAAAGACTGTGGGAGGGGGTGAAGTCTGGGGGAGGTGTAAAACTTGGGGAAGACACTCAATCATTGAATTAAATATATAAATGGAAGGCTACCTTTATATAAACATGCCTGTACTAGCTTGAAGCCAAATTTACTCACAGACACGCGTGTCTGTGATTGAAATCCCGCATTCTAGCTTATCGTTGTGAAAGATAATTCTTTGGGCCGTGCGTGGAAAGATTGGGACTAGTTGAACTGATGGCTTCAAATTTTGGCGGAAGGTAGCCTTCAAGTTGTATTCAGTTCAATGCACACTCAATTCATTTTTGCATGCGCATATCTACCTTTAGAACATCTCCACGCTGAACAAGGTCAACATTGATAGACTTTTCACTGGAAATATTTCCTGTATCCGGATCAATGACGCAAAGCGTTGCTTCAATAGGTTGAAGTGATAGAAGTTTCGAAAGAGCCTCGGACGTTTTTCCTTTAGCAATATGTTCGAGCCAACGACCAAGCGATATAAAAACCAACAACATTGGCGGGGTTTCGAAAAATGTCTTCGGACTCTTTGGTAACTTCAAGATCATGGCAATCACCAATACTGCAACCTTAACACAAGCGATCATAATAAGAACAACATATACAATTAATGCAAACATAGTTTTCCTCAAATTTCTATACATGGAAGATAGCATGCATTTGAAAGCACAAAACTCATCACGAAAGAGATTTAGGTTGACTTTTTCAAAATGCCGCATGCAAAAATAAAAAAAATTGTCGCCCATCAAGGATTACGAGTTAGTGATATGTGTTTTAACACAAGGACAAAACTTCTATAGAAAATCAAAACAATAAAACTCCAAATGCAAGGATTCTAACCTAGAAACTTATATTGTAACTATGTCACAAACAGAAATATGCACCACCATTTTTTCATGAGAATATCATCGTCGAAGATGAGCTTCCAAAACAGCCATACTATTTCAACATGCTCGGAAAGAATGTCATCTTAACTTACCGAGTAAACATAAGCAATAGTTGTTGCCAACATGATCAAGACGTCCATATTTGCAGTGCGATGCTTCAACGATTTATAAGCTTGTACATAAAAATACCTTCCACCAATGAACTAAAGTAAACAATTGGAGCGACTGTCAAACTGCTAAGAATTTAGTCACATGACATATATCACTCCACACTGTAGAATCTACATAAGAGGTAAGACGTCATAAATAACACCCGGAAAATACGACTTGATTTAGGACAATGTCGGGGAACAACTCTTGTCAACGAATACAACAATAATATCTTGTTAAGATCAGGATTATGGTTGGGGTTTGAAAAGGGTTTATTTAAATTTTGAAAGAGTAAATGATGAGCTAGAAAACTACCGGTCGTTTAGCTAAATTGACGGCTGCAGGTTGTTTAGTAGCTTCGTTTAAGAATTGGCTCATAAATCATAACATGAATTTCCAGCGTTAACCATTTACGAAATTCCAAGCTGTCAAATTCGATCAACGATAACAACAATATTTAGAAAACATACCTGTACAGGAGTGCAAAGAAGAAAATAAAAAAGATTTTCAATGGATAAGCCAGGGAGAAGAGTCTTCATGGTTTTTTTACCATAAATTTTCATTACGGCCATATGATACATCATGATTATCATTACAGGCAAACCAAATATCATCGATATGAGAAACGACCGTCGCCATCTGTGAAATAAAATGTTTTAAAATGAACTTAAAACTAAAATAGTTTACCAGCAAGAGGGTTGAAATATTCCCTCGCTGAAATCAAGACGTACTTTAATCTAATTAGTAGTTTTTACAATTTAGAAATTATCATAACCTTGACAAATTTCGAGTAGCAATTATGATCGCTGTTACTGCAGATGAACTCATTGGAATAAGAATCAGCTTCAAAACAGTTGTGACACTTTCAGATTCGAACTAGGGACCCAAGAATAGTGCAAAGTGTCAAAAAAAACCCACTGCCTTTTGACTCGTATAATTCAAATCAATCATGAAATGTTTCATACATTTCTCCAATTTAGTTTAATTCATGCGTCAAGTGGTAATTAAGCTTTAGTCTAAATAATCACTTGTTGTCTTGTTGTCAACGGTTGACATGTAAGCGATTTTTTTTGTCTACGGTGTGTTCGTTTATTAGCTACTTTGCCCTCATTTGTGGGGTGAAGTCGCGCAAGATCGGTAACGGTCGTTAAGGTGACAAGTTTAAAAATGCATTTTTTGAAACAAGCTGAAGTAGACATAGATTCCGACAACATATGAATGAAAACTGTCGCAGTCCACTCAACAACTAATGGAGTCTAAACCAATAACTGAATCTCCTTGTATTGCTTTGTGAGTGACTACTCAATAGCTAACTCGCTCGGTCACGAAATATTAGAAAAAAAACATGTAGTACGTGCAGTCTATTCACCAGAGGTGGATTTTCTAGGGGTGTCTAGGGGTGCATACACCCCCCCCTAAAAACCCTCAAGCACATCGCAAGAAAAATTCCGAATCAACTGCAAAGTCGCAATGTAATTTGTCCATGAAAGAGAAAGGCGTCACGATTATCATGATATAAAGTCTCAGTTGTCTCAAATTACAATTATCTTAAATCTGGCACAAAACGATTGAGTAGCTGCTATTCTTTCAAATTCATCCGACTGAATGTAGTATAAAACATGTAAAACGGGTGAGAAAACAGCTACAATCGGTGAGAAAAAAAGTAAAAGCGGAGAGAAAACCCTAAACAACCAAATCCCACCGGTTTTTAATAAGAAGATTTTCTTTCGTTGACACAATGACCACATTTCTATAGTATACCTTTTGATCTCTTTTGTATGATCCAGCATTTTACGTTCTTGGCCTGACGAAAGTTCTGATTCAAATCCCATATCATTAATATGATCTATGATATCTCGCGCTCCAGTTAACTCAGAATCATAAGAGATCTTTCCTTTGCCTGTGGCGAGCGCCACTGATACATCAAGCACTCCACGTTTCTTCTTCAAACTGCTCTCAATATGATGAACACAAGACGAACACGTCATACCACGAATCTTCAGCAAAAATACGAGACAACTTATTCATATAAAACTAGACCAACAATTAACACACCCTAACATGCTTTCGTTCAAAGGAAATCCAAATTCAAATGATGCAATATGGGAAAGTCACTATCAGTACAGAGCGAATTAACGGGTAGTAACCATGAACATCCCTATGAAACAGGCAGTAACCATGAACATCCCTATGAAACAGGCAGTAACCATGAACATCCCTATGAAACAGGCAGTAACAATGAAAATCCCTATGAAACAAGCAGTAACCATGAACATCCCTATGAAACAGGCAGTAACCATGAACATCCCTATGAAACAGACAGTATATACATGTTTAAAAAACTCACGATGACTTCAACTTGGTTTTTGGCTCCGTCCTGATGATTCATTGGCTCACTCTCAAAACCAAGATCATTAATCCACTTCGATATTGCTTCAGGATTAGTGATCTTTGCGTTGTATTTCACCTCAGCCTTCTGAGCAAGTAATCCGACAAGAACCGAACTCACACCTGGGAAAAAAAAGTATTTTGAAGTTTTAGTAACTGCACCATAAAAAAAAACATCAGGTATAAGCAAGCAAAACACAAACGATACATTATGACGCTTTCCTTACACAAAATCCAAATAATTTTTTGTCGAGGCAGTCGAGTATGTCTGTTGACATTTTAAATATCGTAAACTAGAGGGCAGGTGGCGCGATTGTCTATGGCGAGCAAATGAACTGATTTAACTGTAATTTTTGATTGCTTAAGATTGTTTTGAATAGGTTGTCAATTAAAATGTTTGCCGCAACACATAAGAGACAATCCCCGAATGGGCAGAGTTCCTTTCGATCCTGTGAAGTTACGTCAGTGCAAGATTTTAAGCAATATGCCCTAACATAATTAAATCGGTGTGATTTTCGTTATAAGTATAAGTAATAGTAACGTGCAATTACGAATAAACATGCACGAGTGACTTTAAAGACTGCCGCGAAATAGCGCGAGTACGAAGGAACTATACTAATTCTTAATAATAATATACTTTGACATATTTCTTGATTGTACCGTCTAACTCCGTCTCGCTTCGTTACTCTCTGTCAGGTTACAGTATTTACAGTGCAATTGCACTTTCCTACAGTGCAATTACACATTTTCACAGTCGAATTACAGATAAAGTGCACTGCAATCAACCAATCACAGTCGAGAAATATCTCATAGTATATTACTACAGAAGAAAAGAAACACCTGACTGCTATCGCTTTTTCATCAAAAATTCTTGCTCTTCCTTCATAGGACAACAAATCATTATCAGAAGTTCTTTAAGGCTTGTTTCCACTTAAGGAAACTTTTCACGGAACGCATAAATTTCCAAGTTACGTATGCGCTAAGTAAGGCAAGAGAAGTTTTTAGATGTAGATCGTCCAGGTTAGTAGAGTCCTGAGAAGGACTGTTGTTGTTGTTGTTGTTGACTGACGTTTCGACAACCTTAGCGGTAGTCATCTTCAAATTGACTCTGAAGATGACTACCGCTAAGGTTGTCGGAACGTCAGTCAACAACAACAAAAACAGTCCTTCTCAGGACTATACCAGCCTGGACGATCTACATCTACAAACATGTAACGATACTCCCGGGTTCAAACCATTTAGTTTATAAGACAAGAGATGCGATCAAATTTTCCAGTGGAGAAAAATTGAATCTTTATTCACGTAGAAATGTTTCGAGGTAACTGCATGCGCAACCTGGAAAATTATACGCTCAGTAAAAAATATTATACGCTCAGTAAAAAATATTATACGCTCAGTAAAAAAAAAGTAGAAACGGGCTTTAACAATCACAACTGACCAGACGAGAATCTGTCAAGTAGGAACGTGTTGCAATCATTGGCCCTTTTTATATTACAAACGGATCATCCGTCTGCATATGGACGAGCTTGACACTTTCGTCCACATTCCGTATTTACACTCATAGACGGATGATGCATGCGCCAGCGCCCCATGCAAATTCGTCTATATAGACGAATTTTTCAGATAATTCGTCAGTGTGCACGTATTTCCACACAGACGAACTTGAAGACGAACTATGTCTTGTTTGCACAAGTTCGTCTGGCGTCTCTAGTGTAAATTGGGCCATTGGCAAAACTAGGACTTTATAGTACCTTCTTTTTTTGGTAGATTTCCTTCAATCGTGGCAACGCATGACGCACATGTCATCCCCCTCACGTGGAAGAAAGCTTTCGACAAGGGTTCTGTTTCAATGCCCGAGAGACTCTTCTTCGTTTTGTTTTTCGTAATATAAGATGCTTGCCATTGACCATTCTTCTTAAACAACAACTCTTGTTCCTCATCGCTACATTCGTCCACTTCGGAGCTATATTCAAGAGCACTGCTCTTAACACCGTTCAAATGTGGCTGAACTAAATCAAAATAAAGTTTGCAGGTATAATACATAATCTATAGAAACAAGACAAAATTGTCTCGCCTCTGTCAGGGTGCGCAGTCAAAGCGCTAAATTTCGAAATAAATTCGCGTGAAATGTCGAAGGTTACACAATATGACAAGCACGTTACTTCATGCTGATTTCATGTATATTAAATTAGAACAAACTTTTCCATGACGTCTTAAACAAGTTGTTTTACGTATTAAAAAAAGGATTGCTATGTCTTCATGTGTCACCAGCAGTTTGTTCACTTCTCATAAAATCATACTGCCACTGTAATAAACTTTAGCAACCGCCGAAGAAGTGACAACGAAATTATAGTTTTTGGCACGTGAAATACTGTATAGTATAAAGCCAAAAAAATACTGTAACTATGATAGCAAATAAGAACAAAAGTACACAACTGAAAGAGCGTGTGAATTCGCAAGCAGCATGATATAAATTATGGTATTTGTGTGCGATACAAAAAAAATATAGACAAGTCTAGAATGAAGTAATTTCCAAGCAGTTAATTCGTTTTCTTGGAGTAATTAAGCTCTCGATTTGGTATATCTTTCTTGTTCACTCAAATTCAACTAACGCTGGATTTGTTTCGGATTATGAACATTGGATTAATGAATATCTTCTGCTTTTGACTGAAACGCTTTGATGCAAATGGTACATGTTAGTTTCTTCAAAATCTCTTATTCAGTAAACAGGGTAGTCTTTTCAGTTATACAATTAACGCTGTTATCAATAAAGAGTAATAATAGTATGATCTGCATGCTTGGGTAACATTAGAATATGCAATTTAACATTGAGGAACCTAACAAAAAGCAATGAAAATATTATTACTTTTCTTGATATCTGGATGTTTGTTTTTTTTTGAAAAAAATAAGGAGCTTGCATTTTAAAACAATTTTAATTTCTTTTATTACCGAAACTTGTCCACATGTCTGAGGTGTGGCGAAAAAAGACAAAACGCTCCCCGCAGAGAAGCCACCTCCCCGAACACTAGCTGGAGGATTTCGCAAATTGAAACTTTGTCCTCTGAACGTTGTAGCATTTTATCAATCGTTATTCAAGACATAACACATTTTTCAAATGTTTACAATTGCAGGAAATTCATGACGTCATCTCTTAATCGAGTCAATGATTCAATGATTTTCTAACATTTTCTGCTCACAAATGGCATACATGACACGTATATTCAAGGACACAAAAGCCACTGCGACAATCATAACAATTCCCTCTGATGAAATTCAAATATTCATTACTTGTAACTGATACTTAAAGGGTTGACGTACACTTGTGGGAGTTTGTTTACACCGTATTTTCAACAAGCAAATGAACGAAAAGGAACATCTGTTTAAATAGGAAAGTATTACTTGATATAGTTTCCCCAATTTAGAGACTAGCATACATGCAGTCATGCACGAAGCAAATCATTGTATTAAATATTGTTAGAGGTCATCCATACAAAAGAATAAAAGAGACATCATAAGGTCATGTACGCAACGACCGACAGACAAAAATCGAGAAACGATGCAACTGCTTTTCAACGCACTAAAGTAAAGTCTTGCTATGGTGTTAAGCAACTACATCTTGTAGATAAACAATACGTGTTTTCAACAGCACAGAGCTTTATTATACGTATGAAGAGAGTTTGTGATACATAAACAAAAGCATTGGATTGGAGAGAGTCACTCTTTGCCATACGTATAGTAGTCAAGTTTGATAATATATGCGTGGACGAGTGGGCTGTTATCTAGATATCGAATATAAGAATGCAAACAAGTATACAATCTTATGATTAGATCTTCCATTTACTCTCAATGAAATTCAGATTCTATATTTAACGAATGTAGTGTTACAGTAAGCATTAAAGAATAGAAAGTAGATCGAACAAGCAGACGACTAAAATAACAAACGCGGAATATTAAATTTCGAAGACTTCACGAAATCTTAGCAAGTGAACAAGAAAGATGTGCCTTTTGTCAATTATTATAAGCAAAAATCTCAAACGGTATATGCGTTGGGAATTACTTTAGAGCCAATAAATTAAACTTCACGCGAAAATGGCTTTGTTCCGTTGTAGAATAATTCACCCAAATCTTCTTATTGCTAAAAGTTGTACATCAAGTGATTATTTCAGCACAGAACGTGAGAACGTATCAACATGAATTACTAATGATCAAATGTCAAACACATTTTTCTGTTTCTCTGACAGAAAATCCTGGTGTAAGTGTTTTATACTGAGTTTTTATACAGGAAAAAAACAAGGCAGAAATCGAATTTATAAATAATGGCGTTAATAACTGTGTTCAAATAACATTTTATATTGATATATACTGTGTTATAATTGTGATATTGCTGGCTACGTAGCTCACACAACATTTCTAAATGCGATAGTTTCCTGAACATAAAATTCGTATGAATTGGAGCAATATTGCGACGCACAAAACAAGTTTCCATCATTCAAAATTACACAATGATTATATTTTTCATGACAGTCATACGCAAGACGACAATTTTTTACGCCGTCAAACTTCCCGCTGAAAAAAACGTAATCTTACGGGCTGAGCTCGCATTCTATACTTACTAGATTTATTCTGTTGTTTAATAACAGCATCAAATCCCATATCTTCAATAGCGTGCCTTAAATCTTCTTCTCCAACAACGTCAGGATTGAAGACGATCGTGCCAAGTTTTTCCTCTAAAGAAACGATGATTGATTTTACACCTGTTCTAACACCAACAGTTCCTTCAATGTTTTGAACACAAGAGTTACAGGTCATGCCTTCGATCGAAATGAAAACCGTTTGGTGCCCGGGTGCTTCGTTGTTGGAATGGATTAGGCTGGCTTCAAAACCTTTATCTTGGATTAATTTAATCAAAATGTCCGAGTCAACAACATGAGGCTGATAACGAACTTCAGCTTTGTCATTGTTTAGTTCCACATTTGCTTCCTTGACTCCATTAGTAGACTCGATTGTTTGCTTTATTGTATCGACACAAGAAGGAAATGTCATTCCAGCAATCTTTATTGTGATCATCTTTGTTTCTTCATCTCCAACATCGCCAACATCATGAACTTCAAATCCTGAATCTTCAATGGATTGCTTGAGCATAGCAATATTAGCTTTGAGACTTTCGTATCTCACAGTGGCTTCTTCATCCTCCAATGATATTGCAGCATCCACAAAACCATCAATATCAGAAAGGTTTTGCGTTATTGATTTAACGCAAGACTGGCAGGTCATACCGAAAACCTTAAACTTTATTACGTCGATCTTTCGAGGCGGTAATTTGGAAGACATAGATTCGGATATTTCAAGCTCGTTAACAGTCTTTACACAGGCATCGAAGCCCATTTCTTCAATTTCATTTGCAAGTCTTATTTCACTTATTTCATCTGGAAAATAAACAATGCGTCCCTCTTTCTCTTTGAGTGAAACAACGATGGACTCCACACCATCAATATCGCTGATATTCTGCTCTATGTTTTGGACGCAAGAATTGCACGTCATACCATCGATGCCTAAAACAGCACATTTTTTTGCAGGAACACCAAAAGATAAAGGAAAGTGTCCTCCTTTTCCGAAAACGGTAACCTACAGGAAGAGGATAAAATGACTTTCAACCTGATCTTGAATGTGCAGCAATATCGGAGCACTTTAAGAGATTTGTGAAAATTATTATCCAGCGTTGAGAACTCTTCATGGAAAAGTACGGATACTCAAAAAGCATGTAGTTATTAGTGAAGTCAGCACTTTTTTACTGCTACAATGCAAATATTTTGTTTCTATTTACTGGGAACATAATGAATAGAATTGATTTTTTAAAGAAATTAACACTAATTGTAGCAATAAATTTGCATGGCAAAAGTTCGAGCTTGCCTGGCCAATGTTTGTTGGGTGATGAACACAAGTAATAAAAGGACAACTGCATTCACCCAGTTTCCTATCACAGTCTATTAAGCATGCATACCTACATCACATATTCTAAGATGTAAAGTATAAAGTTATATATTGTTTTAAAAAAATCAATTCAAAAATATATAATCTCAAAGTTTAATAAACAAAAGCTAGGCATGTGTACATCTCAAACTGCAATTAGTTTACTGTCGGTTCTGATTCGAAAGAATATCACACTGCTTATTTAGTCAAAGTTTGCAAAATTTGGCTGTTTACTTTTCGGTTTAAAAGTGAAATTTCTTTCAACAATGCACACAATTGACTCTGAAGATGACTACTGCTAAGGCTGTCGAAACTTCATTCAACATCAACAACAACAGTCCTTCTCAGGACTCTACTAACATGGATAATCTACATCCACAAACATGTAACACACTATTTCATTAAACATATGTAACTAGCAATTAAATACATAAGTGGCAGTTGAAAATGATTTTGTGAATCATTCTCATCTTCCAATACAAGAAAACAATTGATCTGAATCCAACCAATATGAAATTCACATAACACTACAATAATTCAGGTTGGCATATATTGGTAAAAAAGTAGACTTTTACATAGCTTTCATTTAAGCCATTGTTGAGATCAAAATAAATACTGACACAGGTTGAAATAATATATCATTTGGTGCATATGTTTCAATTACTGCATCAGCATGAATAAATCAAAGCTGAAGCCCGCATATTGTCTCCTTGTACGTACATATTGCTAATATTTTTATCGTAACTTCAGTTTTCAATGGTTTGAATACATACCAAAATCAGCATTTTATATTCATTTAGGAATAACAAAATAAGATGGGTATATGTTTGGCTACTGACTAAAAACTGTACGTAGCTTCTTGGGAACAGAACTTGACTTGAAAACTAACGGTAAAATATAAAACTACTTCGACGCGAAAGATTCTATGCGCAGAATCGCAAGTAAAATAAGTATTTTGGGGAATCAAATTTTCAAAATACAAGATGATCAAGCATTATAATTGACAAATAATCGTCATTATATGATGAGATTACAAACATTCCACGAATGTCTATAACAGATCCAGATTATAACTAACAGGCGTTGTAATTCATAGCAAATCGAATAAGAAATGTTTTGTTACAATATATTATTATTGAATTATAGTTATGATATCACATAACGGTATAATACCTCGGGAGCGATACCTTCGACAACCATATTCTTGTTTGGTCACCAGCACTTCGACACACGATAAACAATATATCTAATGAGCAAGCAGCATGATCGTGGAAATAAAGAAGAACACAAGACGTGAAACAAATGTTTTTAATGAAATAGTAAACTCGAATTTCTTGTTGACTTAAATAGCCCTTGTTACTGTTGTCAATTCTTGATATTGCCAAACGGAAGTTAGAATTAGAATGAAGCCTCAACTGAAGGGACAGTCACGTTCACAGTAAAAGGTGTTACGAATAGTCATTGCGCATGAACTACTCTTGCAAAGGCATTCGTTGGTTCATTGGGCTGATTTCATTGGTTGGTTTGCATGACGTTTTACTTCTATGACAATAACAGTATAACACACAATAATCTTTCATCACGCCTCGTCTTATTGAGATATTTTCACCTGAATCTTCAGCACGTCAACAAACATCAAATGCAATGATGGCTGATGAAAAAGACGTCACTTTGTACAAATCTCGTTGCATATGCTCATATTTGCGAACATCGAAATTGTATTTTGAGATAGCTAATGATTTAAAGGTGAGAAAATAGGATAAGTTGAAATCAAGAACGCTTGTGATACAATGAAATGAATGAAATGAAATATGATATTTGATTTCATTTATTTCATTATTCTTTATAGTAATGATTATATTCATGCATATTGCAAAACGATTCTGCTCGGGCCACTCTGGTTAACTGTAGCAAATCAGCTATTTCTGTCAGTTTTCTCAGCAGCTTTGAATGTTTTTTTGACTTTTATAAGTAAAAACATTGAAAGCTTGCACCATGTGTTTATTGCAACTAGAATAACCATGTGGTGCAAGTACCCTAATTGTGGAATATCCAATGTACTTGGCTAATTAATATTTGAAATGACAGTGATTTTTTGATAATGAAAAGGCTTAAAAGTTCAAGTATATTGTTGTTGGTGAATTACCTGATTCTCCACTGCTTCCTGTTTTCAAATATTTGAAAGTCAGGCAATTAATGTGTATAGCAAGAGTGGATCCGGGTTGGGAGAGGGATGCATCTTTTAGAAATGTGGGCTGCATACCTTGACCTTATAAGAAAAACATTGCCATGAAAAGTGCAATTACCGGGTTGAATGACCAAAATTCACCAAGGCAATTGTGCTTTTAAGGCTAAAGGCAATATTTAGGTTTGTCACCTGCTAGCATAGCCAGCCTGTTTATTTAGTTCTGCTATGTTAATAAATTATGATAATGTTGTGAAATTTACACAGCAGGACCAAAACATGCGTGCTAGCTTCACCACTGTTGTCACTATGACAAAGCTTCTGTTTTAAAAAAAAATGTTGTCTCCCAATGACAACATATGGTTACATGCACTCAAACTTAAGATCGTTTGGCATCCCTATCTTGCTGAAAATATAGTGTTTCTCAGCCTTTCCAGTCAAATCCTAATACTACTGACAATTTTTGTTAATTTATGCACCAACTCAACTAATTGTAGTTTTGATACTGATATTGCTATTGAAAATTTTTAAGTTGACTGAAAAATAATTGTTACAGAATCATCATAAGTGCATACAGTGTTATGGTCTGCCATTGAATGTGGCAGGGTATTTTGTGACTGTCATTTTCATGGTTGTTTAGGAGCAAATATCAAAGCCAAATGCTGTAGTGGAAGATTTAAACAAATTCTGTCAGTCGTATATAGAAAATTCTACATGGAGTACAAAAATTCAAAATGCAGTTTATCAACAGTTAAGGAGGTACATTCAACAAATAAAGCCAACGAATAAAAATTTATTTGATTCAGCCAAATTAAGTTAAAAAAATATCCACTTGAGTGGACAACATGCTTGTTCAGTTCCCCATGTAAATTATTATGTTTTCAATCACAGTAAAAACAAATGATTTCTAGAGAAATAAATTACATTAATGTTCTGAAATTTAGATAGACGGACTAAAACATGCAGACTGACTACATGCCACATGGCAGTACTGTACATACGTATGTATTTTTATGTTTTAAGATTAAAAATTGACACTGTTGTTGCTGACCAAAAGTGTTCCAAAGAGCCACTTCACTTCCTACAAAAAGCTCAAGTATGTTTCATGTTCATATCATATGTAAAATTTGTTTCTAGGATTGTTTATTTTGCATTTTTCTACAATTATAGTTGTGCATATAAAATTTCTGTTTTTAGTCAATATTTTGAACTTGTTTCCTGGCAAATATGTTTCTTATCCCATTTAATCAGTTGCAGATTCAGGCTTTGGAAAAATGAATTATAGTTATTTGAAACTCTAGATAAAACCATACCATTGGTAATGGATTTCAAAAGAAGGAAATCAGTGGGCTGTTTTAATTTATTTTGGCTAACCCTCTTTGATTTTTTTTTGCCTGTATCCCTCAGATATCTCTCTCTGCTTGTGTTAACTAATACATACATAGCTAGTACAAATCCATTGCCTATACCCAGTACAGTAAAACTAATTTTACTATAGGAGGCGTCGTATGACGTCATTGATATTCACAACGTATAACTGAGATGACTGATAATATAAGAGCCTGCATATAAATAGTACCTTTATTGGAGTAGACTGACATTGTTATACAAATTATTGTTAGTAATGTTTTTTCAAGTTTTTTTTGTCTAGATGTTACAATGTTTTTAATGTCTGAGTATAATTGCAATGAATTTGCAGTCTTCATATGGACGAATGCAATTTACTCGTAGACTATACTAAAAGAGAGCACAAATATTTTAGAGATCTTGGGAGAAGAGAGTGTTAAAAAGCATTAATAGCATGTGTACAGAATTGTCCCTTCCTTTGGCACGTAAGGTATGCGTGTGTGTTTTCAATGAGTAATTCGTTGTTTGTGCTTATCTCTGCGCTAGTTGCCTGCTTGTTAGCCTTGAAGAATGCTTCAAATTGGTTTTAAAGAAAAATTACGCTTTTTGCTCCGATATTTTTTGTCGCCTGATATAATTTTGTTTTAGAATATTCAATGTTTGCTGAACATCGTAATTTTTATGACGTACTAAACACAATTCATTATCCAGTTTAATTCCCATAGCATATTTCATGAAGTGTCTCATTTAAATGTAATGTGGCTGTGATGTTTCGTAAATGTTTTCAGCGATCACCAAAAGACCAGGCTGCGTTGTTGTCAAAGTTTAATACACTTGGTTCGGAATGTGATATGACGGGTAGGCCAATTTAGAATTATTTTCGTCTTCAAGTTTTTTTTTGAAAATACAATAGCTTTCAGAAGAAATCAGTCGGGCAGAGCTGAAACATGAATACCCTACCCCTAACTAACGGTCGGCGTTTTAGCGTTTACGGTTGGTGTTTCGCATGCCTACTTCCCCCTGCTTTCTTCGGTTACTACTACCGGGTGTCGACAAAAAACTGTTCACATCGAAATCAGCTGAAATTTAGAATTTGCATAATTCGGGAAAAATTAATTTCGAAGAAGAAGTAAACGCGATTGAAATGAATTTCATGGTTGAAATTTGCAAGCAACAGAAGCTGCAATATATATGTACTATTGTTTTCAATAGTACATACAGGTCTTTGCATAGGGATCAATGACTGCCGACTCATGCAAATTCTAAACGTCGGCTGATTTCAAACCTGTAGTATGATCCTTTAACAAACGATGTTTCTTCTAGTGCTAAACAAAATAAGACCTGTGTATTCCACAATCGATTTTATGGAGGTAAATTTTCTTGGCGACTATTTTGGCATATTTCAAGGTGCAGCAATGACCACGTATGACCATGCTATCCTGCTACTGTTTTTCAACGTTACTTGAACCTTCTAACTTCAATCATTTCTGTTTTTGGCGTGTGTTGATTTGAAGTGCAGTTTGACCAGCATCGGTTGAGCCCTATGCCTGCAATTGCCTAACATTTATAGTTTATTGTCCCATATTTTTTCAGGTGGTTTTGAGCGTCAGGAATCCAAACTATACGCCTCTAAAACAGAATCCAAAGTACATGCTCATAAAATTAATCAGTTTGGTTTTTATCAATAGTGGAGCTTAATTCGCATGTGCATATTTTTAGCTTAATGAACGGTTGGGGACGAATTCAAGTACAACTTAAAGTAAAGACGATCTCAGAGTTGGTATGGCAGCACATTGACATGCTTCCTTTTTTTCTCTTTTGTAGCTTTTTAGTTGTGTCTTGACTAGCTAAATGAATGTTATATTTCGTTTTTAGCGCGTGTTTTTCAAAGAAATAGAACAATGTGGTAGTCAGTATGGCGCATACGATGGTGAAACAAATTCTAAAGGTTTATTTTTTCATGAGATTCATAGACGTAGGAAGCTCAATATTTAAGGGGTGTATATTTATTTTGGAAAACCACGGATTTCAAAGGAAGTTCATACTGTAGATTGCGCATATATGAATATTTCTGTACCCACCCACCCCACCCCCCAACTATCGATCGTCCCACGTCCCTGACTAGATTAGTGCATTTTTTCATGAGGCGTTTTTCATGAAATTGGTCTCTAAATAACATCGATTGGAATGGTAACCTTACGGCTAGGTTTTTATCCGAAATACTGAGCAACAGCAATCAGCAGTTTACAAAATGTCTTCTCTATTTCAGTACATTGGAGTTTGTAAAATTTTGGTCGTGTTTATTTTTGTCAATAAGCAAACAATACGTCAAGTGAAAAATTTTACTTCAATAATGCGTGTGTTGCATGCGTACAGTAAAAAGTGAAGTTGATGTTACAAACTAAGAACAAGATATAATCATCCAATCATTTCATATCTTGGCCTGTCGTTGATTTTGTTTGATTTTGGTTAGTTCATTATTATTCTTTCTCGCAGATCTATCTGAAAATGATTGGTATAAATTGGGGAAAAGGGGTAAGTTTTTTTATCGCAAGTTAATCATTTATAACTATACTGATTTAGATTGTGCACTTGCAATCAGCAATGAAGTCATCTTCTAATTTTACATTACGTTTGTATTTGCCTGCAAAAGTTTTATGAATTACGATAGCATTTACAGAGATCCCACGACTCATGCTTGGCCATATTTGAAATATTGTTTCGAAGTATAATTCAAACAATTTCGAGCGATTTTCTTGGTTGTTTTCGATTGTTCGTTTGTGACACTCAAGGTTTGCAGCTTCTTACATTTCATAAAGAAATATTCTGTGGGACAGAATACCTTTGCTCTCAGATTACTTTGCCCTTTGCTCACGCTTTGTTGAATCTCTCATCCCACCCCGTCAACCCTGAGCTCCCAAGCTCAACACTTACTTATCTTAACAATACTGAGGTGTTCTAAGTTGTTCTTTTTTCAATCGTTATCAATTTTCATAGTGTTTGCTTTCATTTTAAATCATTTTTTTTGGTGTTGTATGATTTGTCTTTGTTTTGCTTCAGTAACTCATTTGCAAATTTGACGAATTGAAGATGAAATTCATATTTTCTCACCGTCTTGTGTTAACTTCTATATTTTGACACTTATATTGATTGTATTTTTTCACTAGTGATCGATAAAGAAAGTTGTCCTTCAGCGCAGCAGTATGCAAAATCTGGATGTCCCAGTAGCATTAGACGACACATTTGGGCTCTACTCTTAGATATAGGTGAAAAAGATCAGGTGTGCCTGCAAAATTTGATGTGTTTTTTTAGAATTGTGTGATTTCTTTACAAGGTCTGTCGATTATTCTATTGTATCCTTGATCAACCCCAACAGCTAGCAAAGAAATCGCTTAGCTGCGCAGAACAAGTACTGTCGAATTAGTGGGGGCGTGGTAGTAGTGGCGAGATTACTAATTTCATCAATCTTAGGAACCTAGTTAGAGATATGAGTTACAGTCGATAAAGCTGAAGACAATGTAAAACAATCAAACAAAAGTCATGCAATTATTATCATTAAGTGCATGGTATTTATACTACTCTATATTTTCCATGCAAAACATTAAAGTAGTTATATATTCCTCAGAAGGTACATTCTATGGTGAATTTTTAACGTCTTAAGTTATCTCGTGAACTATATTATTATGATTGGTACTGTACTGTACTGTACTGTTGTACTTTATCTAATATTCCTGATTGCTCATGATTTCTCTTCAGAATAAGCTGCACTTTGAAACACTTAAATCTTACGTTTGCAAATATGATTTGCTGGTTGATATTTTAATTAAGAAGGTATGGATCGATCTTATTTCATATATATTTAGATCACCGCGGGCTCGAATGCTCGAGTGCATTTTATTTAGTCTACAGGCAACGAGTTTTTATGGAACCATCATTCGTCAAATACTATTCAAGTTTAACACTAGAAATCTTTTTTCAAGTTTTTGCACGGTTGAAAGCTGTTTCATATTGTACTTTACATAGATGTGTCTTTAGTCATGCATGATAAGTCTTTCTTCATAATGTATTCTTACAAGGACATCAAGTCTACAGCAACAAATGACGATCAATATTTCGTTTTTGAAGACTTGCTTTACCAGGTAAAAGGAATTGCGGTGTGTTACATTTTGAATAGAATCATTGTGTATGGATTTTTTCCTTCAGAATACTGAAGACATTTTTACGCGTCCGATGTTGCTTACAACCATTTATGCTTTTCTAGCAAGAAATATCAGTTACAGGAATTTACATAGGGCTAGTATAGGTTACAGTCAGCGAGAATGTTGTAAATCTCGACTGTTGACGTGGAAGGTTTTTAACATTCTGTCCCCTTGTTCGCTTTGATTCCTGGATTTTTTTACATAAATAAATCGTTTGAGTTACCTTACTAAATAAATTTAGAATTCCATTAATAAATTGAAAGTTTTATGGTGGGCAATGGTATTTATGAAAAATATTCGCTTTCTGTCTTGCAAATATATATTCATTTAAAACATGAATTTTTACATGGAACTCCTTCATGAAAACTCGTGCATGGAGCTTTCCATTATCATTGTATGCTGTACAAACTCTATTACAAATCAAAATATGCTTGGTTGTACATTGAAGGTGTTGATGGCGTTCGCTCGTGATACGAAAGTGTTGAGGTATTTTGAAGGAACACCGGCAAATCCACCCAGATCTTACATAAGAGGTGAGGTTAGGGGCTGATCACTCGAGCCCGGGTAACCGTGATTCAGCGAGGCGTGAAATGATTTTGAGTCATTGAAAGGAGTAAAAACTTTAAACACAAAACTTACAACCTTTTCTTAAGTGTCATAAGTCATTTTAGTTGTAATTTTTAAATCACGCTAAATTATTTGTTTTCATTTTAAAGGTTTTGTGAATTTGCAAAGTCAGAGCGTTGAGAAATTGCTCAAATAAGTTTTTTGTTTTGAAATATTTAATCTTTTCCATTTGTCAAAATGATATAACGCTTCGCTGAATCCCGGCTTCTGGGCTCATGTAATCAGTCCCTTAGTTAATTACTAAACATTGTTAGTTAAGTCACGTTAATTTGAAAAACTAACGATTGCAAACCTCAAGTTGACATTTTTGTGTAGTTCGGATTTTTGTGCATTTTTATAGAAACATTGTTTTAATTATTCAACAGGAAAACTGGGCATAGAAGAATATGCTGTGTACTATCCACCCAATGGTAGTTGTGTTTATTTCATATTTTAATTCCTACAGTTGTAAGCTCTATACTTCTATTGTTCTACGGAAAGTTTTACTGAACTTCCAGCTTTTCTCTACTTAATGTAGGTGTTATTCCGTTTCATGGATTTTCTATGTATGGTGAGAACACTATAAACTATGTAAAAATAGTGGAATGTATACGTAACTTTTCGTTAGCTAGTGCTTGGAATTGCTAGTTGTTCATCGACTTATTACTGTCTCTCTTGGAAGTCAATGAATCAGTCAGTTTTCCCATATAAAGTTTAGTCAATCATTGTGCATTTATTTAGTCAGAAAAGTTTCTTTCACAGCATGTGATAGAGTACAAAAGTGTTTTAGTTTTGTTTTGTATGCCTAACTCAACAGGCTAGCCAACTCCATTTTTGGACGCACGGCCGCTTAAAATGTAGAACTTTCACAAACTTTTATCGAATTATTTTATTTCGTGTATATTTATACAATGTATCGCTTGTCCAGCGTTAAGCAAAGAAACCAATGTCTATTTTACAGCATATGGTATACATAGTCAGATTCTCATGTCGACTTTGTTTATTACAGCTGCTCCGTTGTGCTATATATATGAAGATCCGTCCAGTCTTTACCATGCTTTTAGAGGATTATTTACGAGGTAGCAATGTGCCGAAATAGTTGCAGTTGGACTTTGACTTCTGCTAAACATCTTTTGCCATTTTTACTTGAAATGCATTTTGTATTTTGTACAGATATTTCATGAGGCTTCACAACATCTCATCACATCCTCAGGTAAGGCTATAGAATGCATACAACTTCAAATGCAAAATACTGAAATAAAGTAAAATTACAACGTTTCATGTTTAAGGTAGTTAATAACCTTTTTATGCACACTTTTCACTGCTGTTTTAACAGTAACTATCATAACTATAATACACGATCAAAGCGAAATATCTGCAAATCATTTGCACACAGAAGATGGGGGCACTGGATAACAATAAATTTTGCAGCGGACGTTTGGAATGCCTTACCCCTTTCCATAAGAGATGTGCCCACCTTAAGCCAATTTAAGCGTGGTATCAAGAAAGCACTATTTTAATTAGTTTCGTTTTTAGCATGTTAATTTTCAAATGATGAAGTTTTATCTTCATATTTTTCGATTTGTATTCTTTTTCGTTTTATTTTTAAGTAGTTATATTATATTTAGTTACTTTTAGAGGACCCCTCTTTAAACCACTTTTTAGTGATGTTGGCATCCTCAATAAAGATTAGCTATTATTATTATTAACTGGCAAGAAGATGCATCTTCTTGCCGACATGTCGGAGGACTTTGCTTTGCTTTTCCTTTGTTCGTTGTTTGGGATTTTAAGGATCCCATACATTCTCACTTGCTGTCCGATTGCCTTTCTTATATTCTTACTCTCTTATCGAAAAAAAAGTTGCAGATGGAGGATTTAACCCTGGAGGAGGATGGAGGATTTGAACCTGCAATTCTTTTTTAACATGATTTAGCAAACATTCATTGCATTATTGATTGACAATTACATAAACGATGTGACAACTTGTTGTGTTACTCATCGCGCTGCGAATTGCAATAAACAATTGGACTGTCTGATAGACTTTGCTGTAGCGCGAGGTTGCTTGCTTTTTACTAAAATGTCACAAAAGTTTAAAAAAATATATCATAAATTGTACAAGTGTTAAAACCAAACAGAAAATGCGAAAAACATTCATTGCTTCATACTTGCTGACATTAAACGAACTAACTTCCACGAGTCTATATCATCCATTTTATTTGATTTGAGAACAGAAAATATGTATATTGATAGATAAATTTGAAAACATGTTTTCAATGTTGGTTTTTTGCCCAACCGTCTTGGTATTCTTTCCAAACAACAAACCAAAATTCGTAATTTTTCGTAGGGAATAGTGTCATTATGTTTGCTCTTTGAGACCTTACTTCAAACTCTGGAGCCTGATTTGTTCTATCATCTCAGACAGATAGGATTTCATCCGTAAGTTGGTGTCAATTCCTAATAGAATTAATCAATTTGAACGCGGGTAGGCTATTGTAATTGTTCCCCTTTCCAACTTAAAGAAACTTGTCGAAACAATGTCTCATTCTTGGGTCACAGAGACCTATTGTAATTGTTTTGTTGATTCGTTCAAACTGATGAGAAGGAATACTAAACATCGAAACATTGCTCAACTCGCTTTGCGTGTGCATTTATTTTGCTTTTTTTTATCATATTCTGATAAAATATAGCGTAAAAACTGCATTCAATTGGATATTTTATGTGTTCTCTGGATACTTGGAAAGTGAGCAAGTAAGGGATGCATGTAGTTTGACATGAAACTATTTATATTTTTGAAGTGATTTCGAACTTTATCCTTAAGGAAAGGAATGTAATTCAAATTATTCATTTGAAGTCTTTTTACTGCAGGTACTAACACTGTGGGACAGAATTCTTGGGTATGATTCTCTGGAAGTTCTTTCAGGTTTGAGTATAGATGTGAAATAGTTGATAGAATGATACCCGGTATACTTCATGTAAAATATATAACTAAGTTCATGTGCAGAACTTAGGATGCTTGAAGATAAAAATAAGAATTTTCCATCCTTAAAATAAGATTTTATAAAGATGCAATGTTTCAATGACGAAAATTGAACAATAAATATATTATGATGTGTGAGAACAAGTACAATGCATGATAAGAATGTCAGAGTGGGATAATTTAACTGAGCTCATCAGTGTTTACACGTCAAACTGTGCATGCATTTGTTGTTTTTTTTCTCTATTAATTGTAATTGAATGATTAAAAAGGATATGTTTTTCAAATTACGCGTTCTTGTTTTTTCAGTGCTGGCTCATTCAATATTCTCATTTCGGGGAAAGAGTCTACTTGACGTCACATCTCCGGGTGGTGCTGAGGTAAATACAGTAATATCAATGTTGATGTGCGTATTATCTTGCTTTATTGAAAGATGTATAGTGAACATATAGGTTGTCATGAATTTATAAATAGCCCGCGCAGATTGTTAGCTTTGTCATCATCATCATCATGTCTTTTCGCGCCAAGGGGCGATCCAAACTCGGGCTGGAAGTTTGGAAGTGTTGCGCGTGTTGTAGCAATCGGTCGAAATCAGGGACGGCACGTGAAGCCTTGCTACTTGTCCTCGTTAGCTTTGTAAAAAGTCTAATTGTTTTAACCATTTTTTCACAGGCCGTCCTAAATGACATCACTGATATAAAGGTTGTTCCGTTGCTTCAGAGAACTCTGTTCCTGTGATTTATAATCACGAACGTAAGTACGTAAATATTTGGTAGTTTTCTAGTTTCTTATGCAGTTGTTGCTCAAACTCAGCTGGCAGCTGCTTCACTAAGTGCCGTATTTGTTGGCATATTATTACGATGCAATGGCGTACGCGTTATTCGTCGTGAAACCTGTATTGCACTTTGAAATCATAATTGCTCTTCAAAATATAATTGCTCTTCTAAATTATAATTACTTTAGGTACCGAAGCCCATTACTTTAAGCCCATGTTTAAAATTCGGATTTTCCTGTACTGTTGCAAGATGACATAAATTACGCGTGACTTACACGAAAACCTTGAACCGAATGAATGTTCGCGAGCGAATGTCACTGATGACACGTGTAAAGCCTGGTTCTCATTAAGTCGCTTGAGTCATCCGAGTCGTTCCGAGTTTTTTCGTTGTTTTTCAAAAACGACTGTGATGACTCAAGCTATTGTACTTCTCATATATTCGTACTAGCGCTACCGAGAGACTGCTTAAGTAGTTTTTACGCGAAACATTTAATGGCGGCTGTTGCTTATCAAAGACAGAGTCTTTTGGCTGGTTATTTGCTTCTTCAAATCGTTTTGCGCCATAAAAAGGTCGCTTGCATTTCTCAACGGTCGTTTCGGTCGTCCAGATAGAGCAAAGTTCTATCCAGGCGACCCTGGTCGTTTCAGTCGTTTGAGTCATTGAGGTCATCCCGGTCGCCTCTGAAATGTTCTCATATAGTCGCACTTGTCGTCTGTGAAATTTTGGCAGGACTCGGACGACTATATGAGAACCAGGCTTAATGGAACCCCGTGTAAATAAATTGCCACATGTGAGATTACATTGCCGTGAATTTCAATGTGCTATTTAGCATCTATTGTAATACGCAAATAGAACCAAACACTGTTCTCGTGTGGCTCGAGTGAACACCTGATCGGCGTCTTGTTGCACTTTTAAACTATAATTGCACTTCTAAATTCACCAATTTTCATTCTCAGCATCAATCAGTTCGGAAGAGGCACTTTTCTCATCCTTGTTCTAAGTTCCAAAATCAATTATCTTTGTGTTCTTTTGCTTTATCAGATGGTAAACATGCATTATCGTCTTTTGAACACACTTCAATCCAACGTCGGCCGTTGCTGAGAGTGGGATGCAGAAGTTTCTTTTCTCGATCAAACTTGATTTCTACTGGAAGATAATCCGCAGCAATCACTCCATTCCTTTTTTAAAACAGATAATACTGATATATCATCTATATGATGCGTTCTCTGGGCACCACATTTTGTGCAAGGATACTCAACGCTTTTAACAATTTTCTTACACAGTTTTCGTATTTTCCGAATATCCATGAAAAGATTTATCTTAGCAACATGCAAACACCCTATATTACCTTTGCAACATACAAACACACTGTCTTTAACTAGTAACATACAAACATCCCTGCCATACCTATGCAGCATACAAACATCCCTGCCATACCTATGCAGCATACAAACATCCCTGCCATACCTATGCAGCATACAAACATCCCTGCCATACCTATGCAGCATACAAACATCCCTGCCATACTTATGCAGCATACAAACACACTGTCTTACCTTGCAACATACAAATACACTGTCTTACCTTGTAACATACAAACACACTGTCATACCTTGCAACATGCAAACAAACTGTCTTACCTTGTAACATACATTCTTAAGATCCTCGAGAGGCTTGTTGGTCCCTTTAATTTCGCAGCATCTCTTTCGAATTCATCGATTGCAACTTTAGTAAGCTGATGGGAGTGACCAGTTCTAAATATCTGTTAGAAATATCAATTTTGTTTAGTCATTTTAGAAATTTTTTATCATTATTCGATCATTACATAGAACGTGTCGTTTTGAACAAAATTTTGTTTAACTAGTTTGTTGTTTTTCACATTATGTTGTGCTTACATGCATTCTGGTACCATGTTGTGGAAACAAAAAGTTGCCCAAACTGTATACGGTTAATTGATAATTTCTCTTCACGTGACCCTGTATGACATGGGGATGTGCGCCTATTACCGCTGACACTCCCAGCGAATGAAGATAATTGGCAACGCGCTTCTGATCTTCTTGCCTAACTGTTTTATATTCTTTTCCCCAATGCATGTAAACTATTATTACATCCACTTTTTCCTTTAAATGTAAAAATAGGTGTAAATTGAAAGCGAAAATTTTAGTCTGTGCATGCTAACATTACAAACGCTCTTTGTTTTGTGAAAAAGTAGATTTTCCCACAGTTGTAATCATGTTGTAAAGAAAATTTTCTTAAATCTAAAATTTACCTTCAATTTTTGAACATCTTGCTTTGCTACATCATCGGTAAAAGACACCGGTCCGGCGTTAAGATTAAATCTTTTTCTTAAACGTGAACAATATTCTCCCTTTTTGCGCATGAGATAGCAATACCCAAGAAAGCCGACTCTTATCTTCTTTACATTGAAAATGATGGGCCTCTATGAAAAAGGAAAAAACGCTTTAATGTAGTAAACAAGAAGTCTCTCTCAGTATTCATGAAAGTACTTATGTTCTAAAGTATTTATAAATAATTATAATTATTTACGTAGAAGCACAATTGAAATAATGCTTTAAATATAGAGAACAAACTTTTTAATACAGACATGTTTTTGCAAACTTATGCCATCATCAGTGTGAAATTGTATTAAAAAAAGTTTGTTCTCTGTATTCAATGAATTATAATTATAAACAAAAATATATACAAAGGCAAAAACCTGGGGTATGTAGACGCCACCAAAATTAAAACCCATGCTTTCTATTCCAACTTTTGCTAGAGAGTCGATCGTCAGATTAACGGGTTTAACACCGTAGTCGTTAAAATGATTATTGGCAACGCTCATTATATCAAAACCTGCAAAACTATAGAAAAATAGAGCAGTTACTAATTTTTTTTCTGCAATATGTCGAAGGCGTGTGTCAAATTCTAAAAAATACTTGCGCACCTTCTGTTTTCTAACAAAACTCTTAACGAGTTCAAAAAATGTGAATTTCAAAAGAAATCGATGAGAAAATCAATTTGCTCGATCATTTCAAAAGTGGAAATCCCGAAATCACACAATTTAAAAAATTTTAAATTTCAACAACTATAGGAAACTATCGAGCATTGTGTACAAAAACTTTATTAGCTAGATTACATTCATGTAAATGAAATGCCATTTGAACTTCATTTAAGTAATATTTATAGTCTTTGCCGAGGCTTATGGAAACCGAGGAGACGTTTGGGAGAATACGAAAGCAGATCAGTGCAAGCCTGAGACCGAAGGTCGAAAGTTGCACCTGCTTAAGCATTTGCAAACACGAAAAACATCTTTTATTGTTTTTATAAAATAACAATAATGCAAAGCAGATAAATTTAAACAAATGTTTTAATTTTTTTTTAAACATGTATTCATGATTGATTTGCAAATTCTCTTTGATTGATTGATGGATTTAATTGGTTGAGCTCAGATCAATTCGTGCAGGCTAATCCAAATCCAATTACAAGTCATCACCTTCCTTACTTTAATGCTTCCACACTCCTGGGATCAGCATCAATTAGTAATCTTTTGTCTGTGACGCGTTTGGATGTCATTGATTTCGTAGTTAGAGAAGATTCAAGATTTCCTACAGCAATATCTGCTTCTCTGATAACATCTGCAACTTCGGCCAACGTATCGTTGTATGTATTGAAGCCATGCTTCACGTAGTACTTTACACAACCGTTGAAATTTATATCACCAACGAAAATTATGGACAGCTTGTTTTCTGTAGACAAAAAAAAAATACAACTATACTCTGGCAATCATGCAATGTTTAAGACATTAAAAATAATTTATACATCGTCAGTAGTATAACATGGTTGTGTGTTCATGATGTAAATCTTTATGAATTCTTTAAACAGAAGAAGCTAAATATGCAAATCTTATAACTTTTGGTATAAATCTTAAAATTTATTGGATGTGCGAAAATTGAACATAACAAAAGTTTTAATATTTTTACTGAATGAAAAGAGATATGTACGAACTATCTAAGGAAGTCCATTGTCATCTTATAAGTTCTGTTTGATGAAAATATAATTTAAATTGCAAAATTTTCGTTTCATGAATGCACTTTATTTGCGTATGCTGGAACACAGAGCTGTTTATTCTTCCTTTTAGCTAGGTAAATGCAATTTTATGGGCAATTTTGAAACTAGACGAGTTCAAAATCTCTACGTTGATCTTCGCTGAAGACTAGCTACTTATCTAGATGTAGACTGTGAAAGGCGAGAAAGAGAAATCTCACTAAAGAAAGGTTGATTCCCGCTAACTTATCTATTCGTATCAACAATTTCAAGTCTTAAGTACTAAGACAAAGTAGATTTGGATGTATCTCCAAAGGCTCTCGTTAAGGAAGCAAAAATTTACTATATATGTCCGTGTGCTCATACATTAAACGAGAAAGCTAGACACAAGGTTCTTATCATTTTACTTTCTCTACTCTCTTCATATTTATGTTAATGTAACTAGTTCAAACAAAACTAGATAAATTGTGTTACTATATTTACCTTAAATAATCTATGTAACTATAGTTAACTTTCTTTAAAATCGTTTTATTTTTCCAAAACTAACCTTTTTCAGTCATGTCACCCAATCCATCGATAAAAGTAAGCAACATAGTGTATAAATAAAAGAAAATTAAGTAATATTTGATAGGTTTCATTCTTTTGTCTATTTTAATTTCGTTTAACACCTGTGAATCAAAAAAAATTTATGGGACTGGTATGCAGTCATCTTTGAACAATGCCATTTTCCTTTGTAAACACTGTGATTTTCATTAAGATTGTGTTGCATTTCACTCAATAGTTTCGTTTGGTTAACAAAACATAAAGGAACTAAAGCAGTCCTGCAAGAATAATATCCTCCAAAATTAGTATTCATATATTCAACGTTACGTTGTGTAAAGAAGTTCCATTTCTTCATTGTGAAACCGGTGTTGAATACGGTGTTGGTGAAGCAAATTGACAATCAAGAGTTAGCTAAGAGTTACGTCATATCCGTCATAAAATTTCCTTTATTCGAAAAAACATTGCAAGGACTTGGTATGTTGAAATCAGCATTCACAAATTTGACAAAAAAATACTGCTAATTATCCAGTTAAAGACTTGCAAATCTTTCTTGATTCTTGCAAATCTTTCTTGATCGTTTAGTAATTTTAACTTCTAACAGAAACTGTAGCAATCAGTTAAGAAGGAGAACTTCTCATCCTTGTTCTAAGTTCCAAAATCAAGTATCCTCATGCTCTTTTACGTTAGCAGATGGTAAACATGCATTATCGTCTTTTGAACACACTTCAATCCAACGTCGGCCGTTGCTGAGAGTGGGATGCAGAAGTTTCTTTTCTCGATCAAACTTGATTTCTACTGGAAGATAATCCGCAGCAATCACTCCATTCCTTTTTTAAAACAGATAATACTGATATATCATCTATATAATGCGTTCTCTGGGCACCACATTTTGTGCAAGGATACTCAACGCTTTTCACAATTTTCTTACACAGTTTTCCTATTTCCCGAATATCCATGAAAAAAATTATTTTTTTTTAAAAACATGCAAACACACTGTCTTACCTTTGCAGCATGCTAACACTCTGTCTTACCTTACAACATACAAACACACTGTCTTACGTTTGTAACAAAGAAACACATTGTTTTACCTTACAACATACAAACACTCTGTCCTACCTTACAACATACAAACACACTGTCTTACTTTTGCAGCATGCTAACACTCTGTCTTACCTTACAACATACAAACACACTGTCTTACGTTTGTAACAAAGAAACACATTGTTTTACCTTACAACATACAAACACACTGTCTTACCTTTGCAGCATGCTAACACTCTGTCTTACACCTATATACAAACACACTGTCTTACGTTTGTAACAAAGAAACACATTGTTTTACCTTACAACATACAAACACACTGTCTTACCTTTGCAGCATGCTAACACTCTGTCTTACCTTACAATATACAAACACACTGTCTTACGTTTGTAACAAAGAAACACATTGTTTTACCTTACAACATACGAACACTCTGTCTTACCTTACAACATGCAAACACACTGTCTTACTTTGCAACATAAAAAAACACACTTTCTTACCTTGTAACATACAAACGCACTGTCTTACCTTTGCAACATGCTAACACACTATCTTAACTTTGCAACATACGAGCACTCTGTCTTACCTTACAACATACAAACACACTGTCTTACTTTGCAACATAAAAAAACACACTTTCTTACCTTGTAACATACATTCTTAAAATTCTCGAAAGGGTTGTTGGTCCTTTTAATGTCGCGGCATCTCTTTCGAATTCATCGATTGCATCTTTAGTAAGCTGATGGGAGTGACCAGTTCTAAATATCTTTTAGAAATATCAATTTTTTGTAAAAGTTCATGGACACTGGTACAAAATCTATATTGCGTTTTAAAGTAAATCTCCTCATTGCTTTAAAAAAATTGGAGTTGATTGCGTCATGCTGACATTCTTAGTCTTATTCTTCTCATTGATATATACCTTTGATTGCTTCTGTATTCGTTTTATTGTGTTTAGTCATTGTAGAAATTTTTTTTCATTATGCGATCATTACATGGAACGTGTCGTTTTGAACAAAATTTTGTTTAACTAGTTTGTTGTTTTTTCACATTATTTTGTACTTACATTCATTTTGGTACCATGTTGTGGAAACAAAAAGTTGCCCAAACTGTATACGGTTAATTGATAATTTCTCTTCACGTGACTCTGTAAGACATGGGGATGTGCGCCTATTACCGCTGACACTCCCAGCGAATGAAGATAATTGGCAATGCGCTTCTGATATTCTTGCAAAGCCGTTTTGTAATCTTTTCCCCAGTGCATATAAACTATTATTACATCCACTTTTTCCTTCAAAGGTGAAAATGTGCAAATTAAAAGGGCGACATTTTATTCTGTGCATGCTAACATAAACCCTCTTTGTTTCACGCTTGAATAAAGGTTCGTGCTTTTTAAAACAAGGTTTTCTCACAGTTGTTATCATGTTGTAAAGAAAAGTTTCTTCAATCTAAAATTCACCTTCAACTTTTGAACATCTCTCGTTGCTACCTCATCGGTAAAAGAGACCGGTCCTGCATTAAGATTAAATCTTTTCCTTAAACGTGAACAATATTCTCCCCTGTAACTGAAGATAACATAGCAATATGCAAGAAAGCCGACTGTTATATTCTCGACAGTGAGAATGATGGGCATCTGAAATAAAGGGAAAAAGGTTGTAATAACACAAAAAAGAAGTCCGTTTATAATTATAAAGAATTTACAAAATTATTCATATACAAAATTATTTATGTACAAAAAGATTTATGTACAAAAGTATTTATAACAAAAGTATTTATGCACCAAAGTATTTATATACGAAAGTATTAATAACAAAAGTATTTATGCACCAAAGTATTTATATACGAAAGTATTTATAACAAAAGTATTCATGCACCAAAGTATTTATAAACGAAAGTATTTATAAAAATAGTATTCATGCACCAAAGTATTTATAAACGAAAGTATTTATAACAAAAGTATTTATGCACCAAAGTATTTATAAACGAAAGTATTTATAACAAAAGTATTTATGCACCAAAGTATTTATAAACGAAAGTATTTATAACAAAAGTATTTATGCACCAAAGTATTTATAAACGAAAGTATTTATAACAAAAGTATTTATGCACCAAAGTATTTATAAACGAAAGTATTTATAACAAAAGTATTTATGCACCAAAGTATTTATAAACGAAAGTATTTATAACAAAAGTATTTATGCACCAAAGTATTTATATACGAAAGTATTTATAACAAAAGTATTTATGCACCAAAGTATTTATATACGAAAGTATTTACAAAGGCAAGAACCTGGGGTGTGTAGACGTCACCAAAATTGAAACCAAAGCTTTCTATTCCAACTTTTACGAGAGAGTCGATTGTGAGATTAACGGGTTTAACACCGTAGTCGTTAAAATGATTATTGGCAACGCTCATTATATCAAAACCTGCAAAACTAGAAAAATGGAGCAGTTAATAATTTATTTTTTCTGGTAATAAGTCGAATGCGTGTGTCAAATTCTAGAAAATAATTGCACACCGTCTATTTTATGACAAAACTCATTCGAAATATTTGAATTTCAAGAGAAAACGACAAGAAAATCAATTTGCCCCTTCAACAACTATTGGAATATATCGAACGTTGTGTACAAAAACTTTATTAGCTAGGTTACAAGGACATTAAATGCAATTTAAACTTCATCAATTTTTATCTCCAATTACAAGTCATCGCATTCCTTACTTTAATGCTTTCACACTGCTGGGATCAGCATCAACTAGTATTTTGTGTTTCATGATGCCTTTGGATGTCATTGATTTCGTAGTTAGAGAACATTCAAGATTTCCTACAGCAATATCTGCTTCTCTGATAACATCTGCAACTTCGGCCAACGTATCGTTGTATGTATTGAAGCCATGATTCACGTAGTACTTCACACAACCGTCGAAATTTATATCACCAACGAAAATTATTGACACATTGTTTCCTGTAGACAAAAAATTACAAGTTCAGTGTGGCAAATATAAAATGTCTAGGACATTAAAAACAGTTAATTTATATATCGTCAGAAATCTATAAGAAAGAACATGGTTGTGTGTTCATGATGGAAATCTTGATGAATTCTTTGAACAGAAGAAGCCAAATATGCAAATCTTATAACTTTTGGTATAAATCTTAAAAGTCACTGGTTGTGCAAAAATTGGACATACAAAAGTTTCAATATTTTTACTGAATGAAAAGAGACTTGCACGAACTATTTCAGGAAGTCCATTGTCATCTTAAAAGTTCTTTTTGATGAAAATATGATTTAAATCGATAAATGTTCGCTTCGTAAATGCACTTTATTTGCGTATGCTGGAACACAGAGTTGTTCATCCTTTCTTTTAGCTTGGTAGATACAATTTTATTGACAGTTTTGAAAAGAAACAAGTTCAAAATCTCTACGTTCATCTTCACTAAACTTATTTAGATGAATATTTAGATGTAGACAATGAAAGGCGTGAAAGAGAAATCTCACTAAAGGAAGGCGATTCCCTCTAATTTCTCTGGTCGTATCAACAATTTTAAGTCTTAACTCCTAAGACAAAGTAGACTAGGATGTATCTCCAAAGCTTCTCGCTCAGGACCCAAACATTTTTTTATATGTATTCAAGTGCTCATTAAACGAGAAAGCTAGACACAAGGGTCGAAAGTAAAATGCTCATCGTTTTACTTTTTCTACTGTCTTCATATTGATGTTAATGTAACTAGTTCAAACAAAGCCAGATAAATTGTGTTACTATTTTCCTTAAATAATCGATGTACCTAGTTAAATTTCTTTAAAATCGTTTTTAATTTCCATGACTAACCTTTTTCTGTCATGTCACTCAATCCATCGATATAAGTAAGCAACATAGTGTAAGCATATAAACAGAAGTAAATTAAGTAATATTTGATAGATATCATTCTTTTGTTTATTTTAACTTCACACTTTCGTTTAACACCTGTGAATCAAAAGATGATCTATGGAACTGGTATGCAGTCATCTTTGAACAATACGATTTGGCTTTGTAAACACTGCAATTTTCACTAAGTTTGTTGTGCATATATCACTCAATATATTCGTTTGGTAAGCAAAACATACGAACTAAAGGATAAGACCAGCAATAATATTTTTTTCATAATCAGCATTCATATATTTAACGTTACGTTGTGTAAAGAAGCCTCGTTTCTACATTGTGAAACCAGTGTTGAATACGGTGTTGTTTAAGCAAATTGCAATGAAGATTTAGCTAAAAGTAACGTCATTTCCTTCATAATTTTTCTATGTTGGAACAAATATTGCAGGGACTTGGTATGTTGGAATCGCCATTCACAATTTGACAAAAAATATTGCTAATTCTCTAGTTAAAGACTTGCAAATCTTCCTTCTCAGGAGGTTTTCTAGCCAATTAAAAGCTTGCAAATTGATGTAAATCACACTGTCATAACATATCCAATGAAAACTGCGTCTGATCTATGTTCCAAAATCAAGTATCTTTATGTTCTTTTACGTTATCAGATGGTAAACATGCATTATCGTCTATTGAGCACACTTCAATCCAACGTCTGCCGTTGCTGAGAGTGGGATGCAGAAGTTTCTTTTCTCGATCAAACTTGATTTCTACTGGAAGATAATCCGCAGCAATCACTCCATTCCTTTTTTAAAACAGATAATACTGATATATCATCTATATAATGCGTTCTCTGGGCACCACATTTTGTGCAAGGATAGTCAACGATTTTCACAATTCTCTTACACAGTTTTCCTATTTCCCGAATATCCATGAAAAGATTTATCTTAGCAACATGCAAACACCCTATATTACCTTTGCAACATACAAACACACTGTCTTACCTTTGCAACATGCTAACACTCTGTCTTACCTTACAACATACAAACACACTGTCTTACTTTGCAACATAAAAAACACACTTTCTTACCTTGTAACATACAAACGCACTGACTTACCTTGTAACATACATTCTTAAAATTCTCGAAAGGGTTGTTGGTCCTTTTAATGTCGCGGCATCTCTTTCGAATTCATCGATTGCATCTTTAGTAAGCTGATGGGAGTGACCAGTTCTAAATATCTTTTAGAAATACTATTTCTTTGTAAGTTTTCATGGACACTGGAGCAAAATATATATTGCGTTTTAAAGTAAACCTCCCCATCGCTTAGAAAACTGGAGTTGATTGCGTCATGCTGACATTTTAATCTTATTCTTCTCATTGATATGTACCTTTGATTGCTTCTGTACTCGTTTTATTGTGTTTAGTCATGGTAGAAATCTTTTATTATTATTCGATCATAGCACGTGTCGTTTTGAACAAAATTTTGTTTAACTAGTTTGTTGTTTTTTCACATTATTTTGTACTTACATTCATTCTGGTACCATGTTGTGGAAACAAAAAGTTGCCCAAACTGTACACGGTTAATTGATAATTTCTCTTCACGTGACTCTGTAAGACATGGGGATGTGCGCCTATTACCGCTGACACTCCCAGCGAATGAAGATATTTGGCAACGCGCTTCTGATCTTCGTCCATAACCGTTTTATATTCTTCTCCCCAATGCATGTAAGCTATTATTACATCCACTTTTTTCTTTAAATTTAAAAATATGTAAGTTGAAACCAAAAATTTTAGTCTGTGCATGCTAACATTACAAGCGCTCTTTGTTTGTATGAAAAAGTAGATTTTCCCACAACTGTAATCATGTTGTAAAGAAAGTTTTCTTAAATCTAAAATTCACCTTCAATCCTTGAACATCTCGCGTCGCTATATCATCGGTAAAAGACACCGGTCCGGCGTTAAGATTAAATATTTTTCTTAAACGTGAACAATATTCTCCATTTGTGCGCATAAGATAGCAATACGCAAGAAAGCCTATAGTGATGTTCTTTACATTGAAAATGATGGGCCTCTATGACAAAGGAAAGAACGCTTTAATAAAGTAAACAAGAAGTCTCTCTCCGTATTTAAAAGTATTTATAAACGAAAGTATTTACAAAGGCAAGAACCTGAGGTGTGTAGACGTCGCCAAAATTGAAACCAAAGCTTTCTATTCCAACTTTTGCTAGAGAGTCGATCGTCATATTAACGGGTTTAACACCGTAGTCGTTAAAATGATTATTGGCAACGCTCATTATATCAAAACCTGCAAAACTATAGAAAAATAGAGCAGTTGCTAATTTTTTCTGCAATTAAGTCGAATGCGTGTGTCAAATTGTCAAGAAGATTTGCGGACCATCTATTTTCTGAAAAAACTCTTCACGAGTTCGAAAAATGCGAATTTCAAGAGAAATCGACGAGAAAATCAATTTGCTAGATTATTTTTACGTGTTGAAATGCGGAAATTACACAATTTGAAAAAATTTATAATTTCAATAACTATAGGAAACTATCGAGCATTGTTTACAAAAAACTTTATTGGCTAGATAACACACACGTAAATGAAATGCAATTTGAACTTTATTTATAAAAAAAAGATATTTATTTTCTTTGCCGAGGCTTATGCAAACCGAGGAGACGTTTGGGAGAATACGAAAGCAGATCAGTGCAAGCCTGAGACCGAAGGTCGAAGCTTGCTTAAGCATTTGCAAACACGAAAAACATCTTTTATTTCTTTTATAAAATAACATTAATATAAAAAAGATAAATTTAGAACAAATGTTCTAATATTTCTTCTAACATGTATTCATGATTAATTTGCAAATTCTCTTTGATTGACTGACGGATTTAATTGGCTAAGCTCAGATCGGTTTGCGCAGGCTAATCCGATCACGTCTACAGGTCAACCAACGCAGGCGTTTTATTGTTTTTATTTTATAAAAATTTGTAATCTCAATTACAAGTCATCACCTATCTTACTTTAATGCTTCCACACTCCTGGGATCAGCATCAACTAGTATTTTGTGTTTCATGATGCCTTTGGATGTCATTGATTTCGTAGTTAGAGAAGATTCAAGATTTCCTACAGCAATATCTGCTTCTCTGATAACATCTGCAACTTCGGCCAACGTATCGTTGTATGTATTGAAGCCATGATTCACGTAGTACTTGACACAACCGTCGAAATTTATATCACCAACGAAAATTATTGACACATTGTTTCCTGTAGACAAAAAAATTACAAGTATAGTCTGGCAAATATAGAATGTCTAGGACATTAAAAACAGTTAATTTATAGATGTATGTATAAAGCAATCTATAAAATCAGAAAGTCCATTGTCATCTTAAAAGGTCTGTTTGATGAAAATATGATTTAATTTTAAATCGCGAGTTTTCGTTTCATAAATGCTCTTTATTTGCATATGCTGGAACACAGAGCTGTTTATTCTTCCTTTTAGCTAGGTAAATACAATAATATGGGCAATTTTGAGACTAGACGAGTTCAAAATCTTTACGGTAACTACTACATCTACTTATTTAGAAGTGTCTGGTCAGTGAAAGGCGAAGAAGATAAATCTCTTCAAAGGAAAGCAATCCTCTCTAACTTATGCATTCCTATCCACATTTTAAGTCTTAAGTCCTTAGAGATTGGTCAGATTTACGTTTCTGCCAAAAAGGCGTTAATATGACGTCTCTCACAAAACTCTCCTCCCCCCATACCCCTCCCTCCCAAAGATGTCATGCTTTCGGTCAGTAGAAATGCTTGATACAATTAATGATAATTTGATTTGCTGCTGATTTAAAATTAATTTTACGCTTACCCCCACTCTGATTGTTTTGTAAAAACTAACGACAATTGTGGTGTTATGTTTCTGCATCTATTTATGTACTATAATCTGAGAAACAAAAAACCAAAATTCAATTTTCGAGCTTTGTTAAACACCAAAAACTGAAAAATAAAATTTTAATTCGATTTTTGATTTGGAATGAGAAACGATTGGCAGAATAATTTGCGCGTTAGATTTGAATGTACCTTCACTGCTTCTCGTTCAAAGCGCGAACATTTTAATGAAATTTATTCATGCTCATTTGGTAAACAAAACATAAAGGATTCAAACCATACCTGCAATAATATTTTTTTTCAAAATTAGTATTCATATATTTAACGGCTAAAAAAAGTTCCATTTCTGCATTGTAAAACCGGTATTGAATAAGATGTTGATGAAAAAAATTGCCAATCAAGAATTATTAATTGAAAGTAACGCTCATTTCCCGTTATGATTTTATGGGTACGTTGGAAGAAACATTGCGCAGCTGGGAAAGACGTCTCTAAGTTTATCTTTGACAGAAAACACTGCAAATTAATTACATGTAGCTAAATACTTGCAAATCTTCTTTCCAATGAGACTTTCTAGGCAATTAAAAACGTTCAAATTGATGCAAATCGCAAATCGCATTGTCAAAACATTTCCAATGAAAGCTGCTTTTCATTTTCCATTTAAACCTCTCATCTTGAGAGTTTTTTTAAAGTGGTTGTATGGCGGACTTTTTTGTGGCTATTGTTTATAGTTTTAAAGCTTCTCACAAAAAGCGTACTTACCTTCTTCCCATTGAAGCATGAAAATTGCATCTTTGCTTTACCTTCAGTAACTGTATTTTTGTGGTTCCACCATGGATTTGACAGGCACTAAGCCGTTAGAAAACTGCCCCACCATGTTTGTTAACAAGAACATTGTTGTATAGTGAGTTGAATTTACACTTAGTGATCTTTTCCTTTGACAAATGTACGTGCTATCAACTTCCGATAAGCTATATTCATGAGCTTTTTTAAACCATCCTTACTCAAGTTAGTGCAGTCGAATCGTAATCGTAATATTTGCAAGTCAAAATAACTCTCTGGTAATCTACTCCTTTATCCAAGCTTTGACATTTTCTTCGTTGTCTTTTTCTTAAAATCTTTGTGAAATGTGCGAGCTTTATGTGTGTTGTATTTTTTCCTAATGTTTATATATGAAGTTTATCATTATCAAATACTTCAGCCGACATCGTTTCATCTTTGCACTGTTCATTTCAATCTTACGATCAATGCAATCATTTTTTTTTGAAAGTTGTTGATAAAAATAATTAAACTGCATTTCATTGAAATTCATGTACATTTCATTGTACATGAAATACATGTTTCATCGAAATACATGTACATTTCATTGAAATTCATTTATGTACGAATGACGTCTGCTTTGTTTCTTCCTCTCTTGAATCGCGATAAATAAACAACATTTGCTTTTGTGCACAGTCTGTACCTTTGATTTTATCGTTTGGCAATTCTCATTTTTTTTGCATTTGCCTACGTTGCACTTCTTTGTCAAGCGAAACTTTCAGGTCTAAACTGGTTAACGTTACATTTGTTCAAAGCGCTTTTGCTGTGCTCTTCACAGCGTTTTCTCGTATTCTGTGAGTTAGCTACATGAGAAAAATCTTTTGCAAAGCCTATGCAAACATGAAGTTTACCAGTTGAAAACTGTACGTTTTGCTTGACGAACGTGACGACTATAACTTGGGGAAACTGACGAAAATTTGGGATTCAGTAATATCAGTTGAACGCAAAATAGTAATTTATGTTCATAGACAATACAAGTAGACGCACCCTACGATGTGTGTTTAGACCAATCGGCGAGCAGATGTATTTAACTACACATTTACATATACTTATCACTCTCCATATACATATTGCTATTTCTCTATGACAACAGGATATATGCTACTTGAATTGAGTACAGACTAATTATTGTAGCATATATGAGACTGCCCAAATGAATAAAAACATCGTAAGCTGGTGGAAACTCACGCTGAGTACGTTGTCGAATAAAGTAGTTTGGACCACTCTTGAGTTTGTTACCTGTCATGCCATGATTACTTTGGTATTTTATCGTATTGTTGAAGATGAAACTTCATATGACATGAGCACATGCGTAATTAATGTTAATTTCGCCTAAATGACAGCGATGTCATTTTGGCAGGCAAAAAGTGATGACCTGATTGTTGCACATTGCCCATTGTCTTTTTAGTAATTTAGTAATTTTTTCCTTGCAAATAGCATTGAGAACTGTGCACATTCTTCTCTGGTCTTTTTACAGAAAGATGATCTTCGACGGTCTTGTTTGATTACTGGTGTCTTGCATTATTCCGTGTGGGCAGATGTTTCCTTTTTTGTTTTTGTTCATTTAGTGCGCATGCTCTTAGACTTTCACAAAACATGTTACATCTGAATGATCTCATGTGTCGCTGGCATGTTTCACAAACGTGAGACGTGAAATATTTGTTAAATTAGGTATGTCGCGTCAGGAGGAGCCAAAATCTTTCTCTGCAACGAATGTCATTGACTTAAACGTCGGTGGACAGCTCTACACAACAACGCTGGGTACCTTAACAAAAGATCCATTTAGCGTACTTTCCAATCTGTTTGACGGAGTGTCTCAGCCAACTCCGAAGGATTCTCGTGGACGATACTTCATCGACCGAGATGGCTTGTTGTTTCGTTATGTCCTAGACTTCTTACGAAATTTAAATCTTACGTTGCCAGATGACTTTAATGAGCTAGACCGCCTTTTGGCGGAGGCAAAGTTTTTTAACCTCAGCGGTATGCAGGAAGCGATCGCAGACGTTATCAAGGCTCGTACTTCGTCTCGTACGAGCATCGTGAAAACGAAGAAAAAGACAAGTGGCTATTTGTCCGTTTGTGTTCGTGGAACATACGCGTTTGGTCGTGATGGTGTTGCAGATGTGAAATTTCGCAAACTACAACGGATCCTGGTGTGCGGAAATGTTGCACTTGCTCGCGAGGTGTTTGGTGATTCTCTCAACGAAACGAGAGATCCGGCAAGGGAAGACATAAGATACACAAATCGCTTCTTCCTCAAGTACAATCATCTTGAAAAAGCGTTCGATCAGCTTGCCGAAAAGGGGTTTCACATGATTTCAGGTTGCGCAGGAGGTGCGGGTTACGACACTGAAAGCGAAGAAACCAAATGGAATCATTTCAACGATTATGTTTTTCATCGGCATTGACCGAACGGATTTTTTAAAATTTAATGTATGTATATATAAATATATGTATACATACATAAAATTGTTGAACATGCAATATATATGGCTCTTCTTATGCTCGCTGACAGCAGGTGTTTATCAATGCGAAATAAACATGCATGACATTAATGTTACTGTTGATAAAAGAAATCTTTCTCCGAAATGGAGTTCATAATAATTCTTAATTATAATTGCTGTACATTTACAGTCAAAATAGAGTTTATTTTTTCAACAATGACATAAGAAGACAATGATGCAATATTGCTTAAAGCATTTCAAGTGTCTTTTCCTGCAATATGAATTCGACACTTCAATAAATTTTTTCATTGCCTTGTCTTTGCTGAATTTTGTAATATTTAGTGGTCATTTTTATGAAATTGGGCTATTTTATTCTTGGACTTTTTATGAATGAATGAGATTACTATTCGTCGACTACTTCGCTCGCCTGTTTCTCTACAAATATTCAGTTTTTACGAGCTGTATTGCTGCCGACGAAAAAAAAGGGTGCGGCTCGATAAAACTAAGGCGTGGGCATGCAAGCTATAACGCTACAAAGCAAACCCAACATTGTTGAGGGAACAGAAGAATAGACTCATTAACAAACGCTTTGCAAGACGAGTATGTCGTAAGTTGTGGAACATTGAGAAAGGTGCTGCACACCCCCCCTGTAGTTCCCACCCTGACCGCATGCTCCAGCGTTTTCCTTGATAGAAGGGAGAATAACATTCATCCGAAGAGAAACGCACTTGCATCCTATTATAAAGAACAAACATGCGATGATTGCTAGACATCAAACCTAATGCAAATTACCAATCTTGTACTTGCTATCTAAAGGTTTGGTTGCTTTTCGTAATTTTACAGCAAAAGGGACCACTGATAATTTCTGGCAAGATAAGAGAAAACAATAAGTACGTAATCAGTAATTGCGTTTTTTTCACATATGACTGTCGTTTTGCAGATTGATGTTTTAATTAATGTAAATAGTGCTGGCAGCTTGGAAAGGTTCTGATAAAATCACAAGTATAATATTTTCAAAAATAGCTGCTATATTATATACAAAAAACTAAAGTTTAATTTTGAATGCATTGTATATTTAAGCTCATGTTAACGCAAGTGAGAAAACCGCATAGCGAAACCAATTTTTTTGTCATTCCGCTCTGATTACAATACTTTAATATATTTTGAACTTTTGCAATGCACATCGAAAAATAATAACTAGCTACCTACTGTAGAGTTTAATATTTTCCGTAAAATGTAGAAGACACGTGATTTTAGAAGATAAAATATGAAAAATATTTGTGGTTACATATGCCACTTTCCGGCAATGAAACAACCGTCCAAATAATGGTTGCCGACCTGCCGTTGCGCCAATACTAATGTTACTATGTCGCTTTGTTGTCGGTTTGTATTCGTCATCATTGCGTCCACTTCGCAACCTAGGATTTGAATGCTTCCGTTTTCAGTTGTGAAGAAATATGATCAAATTTGAACACGCTCACTCTGCAGTTTGACTGTGAAGTAAAAGAACTTGATCAATTTAATTTTTCGCTGCGTTAGGAGTTCAGTTATGACATTTATTACATTGCAAAGAGTTCGATCATATTAGCCAAGATAAAAGGTTATGTTATATAGTGTTCATTTCCAGCAATTGTAGAGGTATTTACATAAACAAACTATCGTCTATTGAGGTAAGTTGCATAAGATGAAAATTGTTAGTCATATCTTAGTATTTGCGTTTGAGAAAATGAAACGTATATTTATCGACCTAAATGCGCTCTTTTGCCACAATATTGTAATCAGCTGGCGCAAGAACTAATTGCGGATTTGATGGCTTTGGTATGGGCTTTTTCTCTCCTTCTGGTACTTCAATTGTGAAATTTTGCATCAAAGATGAAGCAAAAAGGCAAATAACAATTCTTGCCAATTGCTGACCTGGACATTCTCGTCGACCAAGGCCGAAGGGAATTAACGCCTGCTTTGTTGTCCAACCAACAAACAGACCATTTTCGTCAAGAAATCGCTCTGGCTTAAAACTGTGAGGCTCCGGCCATTCGCTGTTGTCAAAATGAATGTTGTTGATGTTTATGGCAACATAGGTATCTTTGGGTACGTGATATCCACCAATCACTGTATCGCGTGTAGTATTTGTTCCATATACGGGCAAAATACGTGACAGCCGCAATGTCTCGCAAACACACGCTTGTAGATAATTGAGCTGTTTGGTATCTTGCCAACTTGGTGAGCGATTTCTTCCAACAACTCTGTCAATTTCGTCGTGAATATTTTGTTGAACATCTTGGTGGAGCACAACATAAAGAATGAACCAAGATAATACTGCTGACGTAGTATCTGAGCCTGCAAAAACAAGGTCGACCATCAATCCTTGGATGTCGTCGATGGTGCTAATGTGTTTTTGCTTTTCCTTAGCAATCTCTTTATGAAACGCTGTAAGAAAACCGTCGATTAAGTCTCGGGTTACGTCTTCATTATAGGTTTCTCTGTGGTACTTAAGTTCACGGCCGAATATTTTATCTCTTGTCTTTATTAACTCCCGAAGCTCCTTGTTGAACTTTGTCGGGAGATGAGACATACCAGGAATCAGTTGAACAAGAGTGAACTGCGCCCACAATGCAGAAATCTTATTGTTGAACTCCACCAACTGTAAAACCCTCGGGTCTAGCAGCGAAAGTTTTTTTGAAGTAAGCCATTCCCATATTTGACAGAGTATCGCACGAGAAAGAAGATCCTTAGGGGAGAACTTTTCAGCCTTCAATGCCTTAACCTCATCAACCAACTTCTGTACTGCATAGTTGACGCGTGTTTCTGCTTTTTCTATACCTTGACCAAACATATGCAGACTACGTGTGAGAACCTTTTTGCAAAATAGGTGACCTGGTCCGAAGTCTGAACAAATAACATCACGTTCTCCAAAGATGACATTACCAGGGTACATCGTGTTTGGTATCTTACCGGCCAAATCGTTCTTTCGTGTAAGACGCGCTTCTCGCGCGAGTTTTGCGGTGTTGATAAGAACGCAACGTCTCAATGGAAAGGATACCGACACTATCTCTCCGTATTTTTCTACGAGTTTTTTGAATGGGTTTATGGGATCGCTGTCCATCTGTAGCAAGTTGCCGATAAAAGGCCAGGGGTATGGTCCTGGTGGCATTTTTCGTCGTTCGAGATATGTGGTTAGATTGTACCATACGAAAAAGACAACGAGCAGTAACGTTGCTGCTTCCAAAAACATTATTAAGTGCGTTTCTGTGGAAAAAGATCAAAATATTTGCTGAATAGTTGTTCAAATTTCTCTTATTGATGGATTTTTTAAGAAGTGATTGCACATCGATTTCATTTGATATATTTGTGTATGGAAACTCAAGTGGACGCAGCAAACGTAGTTGCCGGATTTTTCATCTAAAAGTATTAGCATTCTTATTTTTGTAAGACGACTTAATAACGTATTTACCTAATTAGAATTCGCCTCTTCAAAATCAAGAGTCGTATGACTTTAATTGCGAGCGACCTTAATTGCATGTCTCTGTTCTTGTATTCATTACTAATAATCTCGAATTTTTTAGTTTGAAATAATAAAAATCACAACCAAGTATTTCAAAAAAGAAAAAACATTTAATTCACACTATCGTTCATAGTATGTAAAGCCCTGACTAAAGCATTTTGGCAATTATAGTATTACAAAGTAAAACCACGGTAGTTTGATGAGTTAAAGCTCACCACCTGCACCCCACCACCCCCCGCCCACCCCTCTTGTCGTTCCTTGTCAGCCCATAAACTCAGTGAGAAAACAGTGGGAATTTTGACTGGAAATAAGAAAAATAAGTACGCTGTGCGTACACAACGACTTGCATTGGAAAAGTTATGGAAACTCCAAGTCAAGCAATATGCACTGGTTGAGTGTAAGTGCAGGCACATACAGAAGGATGGGAAAGGATGTGTTTCTAGTCTCATTCGGGTTTCACCTTTTTTACTCATTTTCCGTTGCAGAGACGTTGAATTATGCCTCGAATATTTTAGGATAAGTAGCCGAAAGGTGTGTTCATCTTTAAAATTTTAAAGTTCGTACTTAACACTCATTTATACTAGGCATGACTCTTATTTGCTTTATTTCGTTTTGTCAGAAGACAATTGGCACTTGTTAATGCAAATATGCGATGTAAGTAAAACGTGCTGCACAGTTTATATTAGATTCATCGTGCTGAATACTTGCCTGATCACTAATTACTAGACTAGGAAAACTAGACAATGAAAAAAGGTGGACTGCTCTTACAGATAAGAATGTAAATTTCCTTGAATAGTATCGACATGCAACATCACTTCTGGGCAACTTTTGGATGGAACATTAGCTCACGAAAACCTTACTCCCTAGACGCTATGTTTTGCCTTTTAGCGTTTCCAAATTGCGCGTCACTTCAGCCATGATTAAAAAGTTATCTGTGGTAAAGGATGTATGAAAAATAAAACAAACTCCGAATACAATATCCATCTTTAACTCAATATTTGAGATGAAAAAGCGGAGACAATAAACCTGTAATATATCGACTTTGTTACAAACTAATTGGGGATGTAATTATGAGTCACGACAGTGTAATATTACATTAAACAGTGATCAGATAGTCAAAAACCTTAGCGTTTAACAATTAAGTTAGCAAATCATTCTTGGAACTTTTAACACCAAGAAACATCCAATTTGAACAAATAATACTTTTTGGAACATAACCATGCATAATTAGCCACCTTCATTTTTGAGCATTATTTTATGGGAAAAATCTTAATCGTTTGTTAGTTTATTTGTGGGTGAAGGAATTTGTGCAAATGTTTTTGTTTGCATCTACTAAACTTGGGCAATCGAGTCAAAACAAAAACTTTTGTTGGGAGGCAATCAACGGTATCAGGATACATTTGATTCAGAAATGAGAGTAAAGGTTGCGTAGGAGCAACGATTGATAAGATATTTACGTTGAGGGTGTTGAAGTGAGCTAGCAGTTACATAATTGATTGCATAGAAAGAAGTTGACGAGAGAAACAATCGTGTTCTTATCTACATTGTCTTCAAAGAGTTTTGGTAAATGATCATGCGGCCATTTTTCTGTTCCCATAAATATATGACAAACAAACTGTTTCCATAGCCAGGCAAAAAGAGTTGCTGACAAAAGGAATGTATTTTATGTATAAAAAAATATCTTGTGAGTTGTTTTACTCAATAAATCAAACGACAACACATCACATATAATTGAGAAAAATTTTTCATCCATGACGATTACGAAAGTTAGATTTTCCATATGATCAGACTCTGCACTGTCTTTACCTTAAAAAGCAGCCTCGCTGTAGACATCAAACAATATTCATCATAAAATTTTTAAAGCAATGAAATTACCTTAAATTCTCTGTTCTTCATAAACTGTTATATGATCGTCTGTTCTGCGCATATGAAAACAATGGCTATTCCCGAATCAGCATTCCTGTTATATATACTCGAAAGATTACGATAATCACATGGTATATCGCAAATCCGCAACGTGTTAAAAAATTCACGGTTTCCAGAAGGTCGTAAGCGTGTCGTGATGCATCGTAAATGTGTAGTATAGATGCTTGAAACTTCTATTTACGAAACTGTTGATGTTGGAAAGCGTTCACTATCAGGTTAAATTATCCTGAATGTAATTATCACGAAAAAGGGTTTAATTAATAAAAATATATAATGCTTTGAACAAGTGACTAATACGACAAGTTTTGAACGGCGTCTGTATGAATTCTCTGGCTTCATGTAGAACTCTTCCACGTTCAAACTTGCCAATATTTCTTGAAAAAATGTGAAGTTGAAAACATCAAACGAAAACAGTGGCTTACAGCGTCATGACAGACACCGACACAATTGAAGAGGCGTTTTTTCCCCATCTCGAATCCTCCAATTAAACATGGATTAAGTCCTCTTAATAAGAGACGATCTCTCACTTATAACAAATACTGTTGAGAACATCTTCCGCTAGATAATCACGTTCGATTAACATGTATGATGCATCATGAAAAACAAGTATACACAAGCACAGCAATTAAGTTTACGAGCTTGGTGATGGCTTACTTGTTACTCTTTCCTCAAAAGTAATTCCATAATGTGAGAAAAGTCGTGACGAATATGGGAAAAGACACTTACTTTGCTGATCACGAAATATGACAAAAAACATAGAAAGCTAATTTGTCAATTTGCAACGCGTGCATGTTTTTTGCAAATATGACATATGTTAATTTAGCTGTTGCTCAATTACATATTTTCGTATTTATCGAGTTATTCAATAGTGACTGACCAAGTGTAAGATTTCGACATCTTAACTTATAGGCACCGTAAGTGGCATTGAAGATGATAGTTTTTACGTTGTGTTCAGTGAAGATGCTACCAGATGCAAAAAAAAAGCTGTTTAATGCAGACATGTATTTTAAAAGAGCTCCTTATCTGGGAATACATCTAGATAACTTTTCAGTTTTCAAATATTCTTTTCATGTTGGCAGTAGTCTTTAACGTTGAGCGTTTTCCATACGTATAATGCAAATTCAAGTTAATGTAATACTTATTTCAGACACCTATGGTCACATATTGAAATTCCTCGTGGCCAGTCTCGGCTATTGACGTCAATTGTTTAAGTCGATAAACTAAAAATTTAAATCTTTGACATCTGAACTTGTCTTGTATTTTACAACTATATACACTGCAATTAAGCATATAGCTAAAAAGATGGTAATGTTTTGCCCAAATCTCGTTTTTAAAAAGCTTTTAAGACATCAATTTTATACGTAGTTGTATACGAAGAGCTGTGAAGAGGATCATGAGAGAGAAAAGTGTCTAACACATATAATACTGTATTTTTAAAGCATAGTGTTGTGGTGTATAGTTCTCAGATAACGTTAGGTGTATTGTGAAAAGTCTGCCACAAATGTTTTATATTTACAAACTTGATCGCCTAGAACAATCATTTTTCACTTTCTTGTTTGTTTGAAGCTATCTAAACGGAAAAAATTGAAAAAATTTGCTAATCCTTCTTTTATATCTATAACTAGTTTGTGGAACATCACAGTCTATCAAACTAGAATTAAGACTTTGCGTGGCTTTAAGACGTTATGGATTAATATCATTTGTTGGCTTTTCCAAATTAATTTTCCCCATACAGCGCTAAAAATACACTATATTAAGGAAATTTCGAGATACATTTCAACCCTGTGCATTTCATTGATCATTCTAATTTTAAAAGGAAAACAATAACTTCTGCTTAATACCAACGAAATTTTCGGTTATTGAAAATTTTTTAACTAAAAATCTTCTGAAGGTGAACAAAACGTACATTACAACTTTTGTGCTCTTTTAGAACTGAAAAGTGTGATATTTTTGTTCAAATATCGTAGTTTTCTAAAGCATGGTGTTGAATGTTGACCTAATCAAAGTTTTAGTTAATCAAAAATTGTAAGAGTTGTCGTGTATAAATTATAAAATTCATTTGATTATATTCAACTATAAAATATACATTATCAGAAAAGTTCAACTTCTAGATTCTCATACACTCGTAAAAACATGCTATTTTGAAAAAGATTTAATGCAAGATAACCATAAATCCCTTACATTCAAGTGGAAAAAGCCTATTGTCGTTTGCACTAGCCTCGATGTTTCCATTCATACTTTTTGTGAGTGGAGTTGCTTTCAGTGAAAACGTGTATAAAACTTGGTAGTGATTCTATAAAGGGACTGAAATAAAGACTTTAACAAGATAGCATCTGATGGCTGATGCTCTTTTACATTACCGCTAAAATATTCCTGTATTTTCTTTATTAAATTGGGCAATTGATCAATCCACGCCAACGTTGGATTTTAAGAATAAAGAGTATAATCACATAATATCCGCATTTATCAGTTGTTTTGTTTATTTTTGAGTTGCTGAAACAAGCTCCCGTGTTTTGTTTTGTTTTTATCTTCTTTTTCAAAAAGTAAGAACAAATTGAAAAAAAAACCCGAAGCGTTTTAACAATTTTATTCTTCGTTTATGACAGCAACCTCGGGAATGGGAATAAAAGTCCGAAACCGCGAGCTTAGGATATTAACAACATCTGGCAACTTGATTTATACAAAACGAAACCTTTATGATAAGAGCTTTATCCTATCCTCGATCCTATGGATTGCAAATTTTGTTATTACATTTGCATACATTTGCATCATCAAGTATGCGTCAGGGCTGGTAATTCTTTATAGCCAAAGACTAAGCAAATTTGTGTAAATCTAAATCTAATATTGTGCTGGTAAATTCGATAAATAGCCTCTGTTACCTCTTACTTAGGATCATCTACTATCATTGTCACTCTTAAATATCATATTGTAACGGAATCTGCAAGGTAATCTTCAAAATCCTTACCTCTTACTTAGGATCCTCTACTAGCGTTGTCGCTCTTAAATATCATATTGTAACGGAATCCCCAAGGTAATCTTCAAAATCCGATTCTTGTCATGACTCATGGTCAGTTTTATAATTCATTTACAAGTTTTAAAAGAATTTCCCAAGTTTAAAGAAGATAGCAAGTTTTTTAAAACCTTTCGAGGTTAATGCAACATATAAACTATTTCGAGAATTTTGTCACACGAAGTTAAATATGGTGAGATTTACTTCGTCATACATGAATAAATGTTTGTTGCCAGTTCACATTAAAGTAGGTTAATATCAACCGGCTACCATTGACTACAAATGGTGTAGTCAATGGTAACATGTTAATTAACAGTTATTGCATCCATCTACCAGACTCGAACTGTCTCCAAATTAAAGGCCCTCCATTTCAACTGTAAGGGTGATGATCAAACTGGTCAGTAACACCGGGTGCTAATACCTTTGGCCATGGAGCTACTTGTGCAATAATTTTGTGCGCATAAGCAATTTTAACTCTTATACGTATGCTATCTTACAAAACTGAATGTTACATGTTTGTAAATGTCGATCGTCCAGGTTGGTATAGTCCTAAGGACTGTTTTTGTTGTTTTTTTGACGTTTCGACAACCTTAGCGGTAGTCATCTTCAGAGTAAAAAAGTCCTTTTTTTTGACACAATGGCACAATAGCCTGTCCGAGCCTGCCAGCCATCCACAATCAACTTTGTTGGAGTTTGACAATTTTCGTTTGATGAATTTGATTCGTGAAAATAAATTGAATGTAGTTTGTGTTACTTTCATTCAAGTAAGGACATATAATTCGAGTAAAAAGGAATTATTCACCAATAACAACGAGCTCAAGTATTTCAAGTAAAATCAGTTCTGGTACGTGATGGTATACAGGAAACTTAGGTAGACTTTCGTTCGTAAAAGTGACAGGAAAAACATGACGACAATTGCAACTAGCTGAAAACTATGTTACAAAATTCTATATTTCAAATAGTTAAATGCAATTACCTCTTTTTTTTATTGGTATGATAATTTCAAAACATCTATTTACATATGGCGATGGCGATATATGTAGAAATGGTGATATAGTTAGAAATGGCAAAAAGATGCCAAATAATTAGTATACGGTAATCCTTACAAGATTTTTATGTTAAAAATGGCGCGTTCTATGTTGAATTCTAATCAATAAATAACCTTTCGTATTCTCGGGAGAAAATCTCCTTATTAGCGTGCTGGGTAACCTGAATTTGCACGATTGGTTACAGCATATATGGCAAATTTACATAAGTCAGTAGCTACATTGTAAGTTAGTGTGGTTGCGAATTGGCTGACGTAGACACAGGTTCAATACCATGTTGTTGCAATTGAGTTCGTAGCATAGCAACTTCTTTTGTCGCTTCTTCATACTGTTGCCTCATCAATTCAACATCAATCAGTAACCGTTCGTTTTCTTTTACTGCGTCTGCCATTCGTGCATTAGCTGACCTTAAATCGTGTATATAGTCGACGGTTTTACCAAGAACACCTCCTTTGCTCTGAAAAACGATGTAATATATCTGTAGTTAATGTCTGACGACATTTTATGGAAAATATTTTGCACAAAATATTTCATACAAATACAATCGTCGAAAATCATGATAATGAACAACCAATTACTTTAAAGACAAATTGGTTATGATTCTAATTGCAAAGGCAAAGTTAAGAATATTTTACACTCCACTCATAACGCTTTATTTTTTTCTAAGATAACAAATCGTGCTTAACACAAGATTTCGATCAAACAATTTATGTCTGAAACCAGGACGCTGTCGCTAGTACTATCAAAATAAAAATTATATTTCATATTCTGTATTTCGTTATTAAGCTCAATAAGCACAGGCAGCATGCATTTCTGAATAGATAAAATCTTTTTCGTACTTTCACGTCTACCTGCCCTTGCTTTGAATGATCCTGGTCACTTTCAGGTAAGAGTTTTGCCAACTTGTCAATCCAGTTGTTGATCTTGTCTCTTCTGCGTCTTTCAACCTCGTTGTGAGTTGCCCTTCTTTTCTCATCACGTGGGGTTCTTTGACTATCAACTTTCCTGTTCAAAGGAGTAAAAACTGATATTGCAAAAAAACACAAACATTCAGCTATGACTAACTGCCAATGAACATGCACAACGGCATGACAAAAAAACCCAAACAATGGAGCTAATCCACTAGAATGGAAAGAAACACAATTCACGAGTCGGTTTCTGTACTGTACTTATATTTAAACTTTGACAACGTTTATCAACATGTATTGAATTTTGACTGATTTGTTGCAATTATTTGTAGCAGGTGTTTCATCCAAAAGCTGGTAGACAACTAAAAGATATTTATAAATTTTCAGCCACTCAATATGCAATGTGACATAACTTTCCGTATAAATTGGACATCATAAAAAGGCAGTATCTTGCAAATGCAAAGAGGTATGATTAAACTGTTTTAGAAAGTCCATTTGGAAATAACGTCCCCAGCCAATGAAGGCTATTGGATGAATTGATACAAACAATATTCATAGCTTACGTATTGGTAGGATGAGACCTTGGAGCAATAGTTCGTTGACTTCCAGCTTGCAAGACATCTTGAGGCATCATCACATAAAACTGCCCTAAAATTATGACAGAATCTTAATACCATTTTTTTATCACGCCAGTACCATTTGGCAAGCTTTTGTGAAAGAATTCAATACATAATTAAAAATGTCATCACTAGTATTATTGTATAATGCAAAACATATTTGTGGCATAATGTACATAATAAATGCACACAATACAAAATTTGTAATACAGGAATTTTTGTTGTTCATAAACATGACAAAAATTATAAAATAAAGACAGTTAAAAAAACGAATTTTGTGAATGAACAATCTAACCTATTTTTGAACATCTATTAAAAACTTCCCTCATTTCAGATAATCAAGTCTGTAATTATCACATTCAAATTACATTTTGAAACAAAAAATTTCTGTTTGTGGGTTGGTGGTAGTTAGTGGGGATGGTAAGAGGTTTTAAAAATCAAGCTACTCAAGATAACTGGTCTACCTACGACCAGATTATAATCCATGTAGGCTATGACAATTATATTCAATGTGGATAATTGATTTTAATTGTAATATATCATATGAAAACTCTAGGCATTTATTTGTCATACAGTTCACACAACCCAGAATGTCCATAGGAGATAAGACAATACAATCTTTTATACTGAAGTTTACAAAAATTTTTTAAGAACTTTTCAAATTTTATACCTTGGGTACCCTGAGTGACAGGAATCACATTTCCCGCAGGAATGGGTGAAGAAGGCTGAGTGAGTCCACTAACGGGTACCGTTCTCACAATGTAAGCTGTATTTGGATCTATACTTTCACCTTGCCCTGCACTTCCTTGATCAGTAGTTGCATGCGAATAGTAAGCAAATCGACCAGAATCACCGTCGACTTGAGTCGGTGGAGATTCAGGGAATGGACTTTGTATGACAGTTGGTTGAGCAACATGGGAAGACTGCACGAAATTGTTTTCGGAGACTGGAACATCGACTCGATCAAGCGTGTGTTCGCCTTCGTCGCCATGCACTTGGACAACACGGATGTGAGTGCCGTTGCCGTAATTCGCCGATGTGTGTACATGATTTTCATCTAGATTCGTGTCTGGGCGATATTGGTATTGAATAGCATTCGGATCGGCGTACCTTTGAGCATGATTCGACTGCGAGCCAAGACAGCTCGAGCCTGCTACTGATGGGTCGTCACCTACAGTTGATACCGTGACAGTAACGCTTTCATGTTCAGGGCTTGTGGCTGTCAAAACTCGTCCTTTACTTTCCTCTAAATCGCTTGGTTTTTCCGAGTCCAGAGCCCCTTCGAGCATGTCAAGCGCTGGCGAATTTGAACTGGTCATGGGATCAAACAAATTGGTCATGTGAGCAATCTTATGAACGAAGAAGAACGAAATTTAGACCACGGGAACAACGCTTCGAATCACATGATATAGCAAACGCGAAGCCGAACAAGCTCTGTGTGTCGCTGTAAAATATGACACGTGTCACAACAATACTGAATGCTTATTCGCTACATATTGTCACGTGGTCTGTATTTCAAAAGAATCTATTTTTGCTCTTCTTTCTAAGTTTCTTCTATTTTTTATTGACAAACGCTTATATTTTGATTGTCGAGCAACAAGCAACGTGTTATTTTTAATGGACGCATAATGCTGGGCTAGGAGGCTCTTTGACGCCAAAGTTCCAGTAAATTTTAGATTCTCGGAGACTCACAGTAAATTAAGTAGGAAACTAATTTAAAAAATGCGCATATATAATTGTTTAAACATTCTTGTACTCTAATTTTATATGCACATTCAGGCGACAAATGAAGGCGGATCAGACAACTTCAATATGCGTCCCATTTTCACCTAAAGGTTTGTCTCTATACTTCTACTTTCTTTCCGTTTTACTAAAAATTTGAATTTCACCACAGACTGGCTGTTGTTTCTCAGTCATTAAAATGTAAATAAATTTTGTGCGTGAATACCACCGAGTGGAATCGTAATGAGTTATTGAATTCTCTTATGAAATTCTCCGGAGAATTCCAAAAACTTTAGTTCCGCCCATGATTTTTAACCGACATAAATTGGCTTTATTTTTAAACTTCGTTGCTTTCAATTGAATGAGCCCAAAGCCATGGAAGCAAAGAAAATAAAATTCGATTGTATGAGTCGACTAGGAACGCAACTGAGAAACAAATGACGTCTCTCTTAAATGTGTCTGTCAAGGTCTCAACAAACTTTTGAAAAATCTACGGAAGACCTCACATGGTATGCTTTGTCGAAATGTTATTAATGCATCAATATTATCACCTGATACAATTTTAAGATTAAAATTTCATGTTATAAATTGTCACATACTAAATACATTCAAGTATATATCGTATAAATTGAGTTAAAATAATGAATTTTACCATGCTATGAAGACAATCCACAAATTACTCACTTTAACTTGATTATGTAAGTTTTTCTGACTTGTTTGATTACTACTTCGACAATTGTTAAAGATCCAAATCAAATACGGCCATTGCATGTCTGCATTTCCAAACACATGACAATTTAGGAAAGAATTTAGTCTTTAAGGAAATGGTCACTGATCAGGTGCTGAGTTCATCGACCTCGTGGTAATCACGTTTAACCGCGCTAGAATTTCGACAATTACAGCTGGAGTTTGGCCACTGCGAGCCAGGGCCGTACATAACATAACTCAGAAACAATAACAGAGCACTTCACCTGCAATTTCGAATTGACATTAGATATTGAAAGTCGATGACTTTTCCTGTTTTTGATAATTTTAGGAACAATTTGACATATTCTTACGTTAAGATAAAATTTGATGGAGGAAACAGTTCTTTTTCAGTTCACGAGTATTGTGATTCATTTACCCGGGCTTAGCCTTCAGGCTCAGCCATGAAAATTGTACTCATTTGTTTCATGTTCAAAAGACCAGAACTTGTCTGATAATTCTATATGGCTATGTACACTACAGCCCTGAGATGTATATGTGTTTGTTATCGTAGCTTCAAGGGGAGGCAATGTGATGAAACACTTAATAATTAATACAGTGTACATTAATTATGTATAAATCAATGTTAATTTTTAGAACGTACAGTAATGCTTGGTTCATGAGTAGTATCACGCATAAAATATACTCGGTTTCAATTAATTTTCTGCGCACGACCGACACGACCAGGCTTCACGGGCTTTTTACACAAAATATGTGCTCCCAATGTGCATGCCTCATATTAGAAGACCTTCTACGGTAAAGTCAAGTTAAGCAAGTTCTACTTTCTACAGAAGTAAATACGCAGGGCATTTTGTTTTAATCGACTGAAACAACCGCTTTCAATTTCATATGTACAATAGTAAATTGTTTTTGGGTTGCTTGTTGGATACGCGATATGATTATTGCCCTCTTGTGATACAAAAAATATTTGCATCATTACCAGACACCATTTTTCATTTGGTCTTCATTTTAACCAAATTTTGCAATTAAGCTTACTTATCAGGGCAAGTTAGAGTATAGTATGCATGCCTCAGCCTCAGCTCAAATACTCGTTCTCCGCATGCGTCAAAGTAGACGGGCAATGTTTACATTGAATTTTCAAAGCATATATGCTTGTAGTCGCATTTGTCGTACATTGCAAGAAAGCTCAAAATTAATCCGATGTAAACCGCACGGGACTACAGAAGTAGTATGTGGTAGTGTTGTCACTAAATATAACATTACAGCTACCTTATTCGCGTATTTTGTAGAAGGAAAATGAGGAGATAGATAGGAGTAAATGATATGACAAATTGCGATACACTCTCATACAATAACACTGATACAACATGTTCCATATAAGCTATCAGAAACAATTAAATTTTAATCAACTTTAAAAAATTTTCAGTTTCCAAATAAGAGGAATGATCGTGAATCAGCGTAGCTACAGTTCAATTAATGAGGAATTTTTTAATTTTTTTGTGACTTTATTCTCAGTATAAGTCAACAAGGACGTGAGCCATTTGTAACTTTAAACCCTCAAATAACAATAACACAATTTCAATACAAGATTATCGTACGTTTAATTATCATGTCCGCTCCCAAAAACCAAATAGCTAGCTTATTTAACGTGTTGTGTCATAACGGTACAATCAAATCTGAAAAGTCCTCAATCAAACGAACAGTCACAGTCTATACTAGTACTTGGTTTTCAACTGACATGTCAGTTGAAAACCAAGTACTAGTATGGACTGTGACTGTGTTATCTGATGATGAAACTCAGAAACTATTTACAACTCAGAAACTATTGCACGGGGTTTTCTCTGCTTTGCCTTTTTTCTTTCATTCTCCTATTCTGGAACCAAGTTTTTATTGCTATTTGGCTTACACCTAGATCTTCGGACATCTTCAATCTTTCAGGCATGCTAATATAACGGTTTTTCCTAAATTTTCCTTCAAGCACTTGTATTTGTTCTTTTTTAAATGTTGTCCTTGTCCTCGAGTAAGACGCACATCTCATTCTTTCCTTTTGCGTTGGCAACACGTAAAATGAAAAAAAATTCTCTGGAATGTCGTTCAGAATGTGACTCTTCGAACAACCTTGCGCTGAAGTGTCTCTTTCTAAAATTTCAGAGAAGAGTTACACATTAATATAGACTGGTGCAGTTGCGAAGTTGCGTTTGGTAAAGAAAAAGTTTTGTCGCTCTTTTTGAAGGATTAAAAAAGTGATAGTTTTTACAAGCAGAAAGGACTAATGACCACAACATTAAATGAAAAAAACATGGCCAGTTAATGATAAAACTGTACACACCCTAAGACTAAACATTTAAATTGTTGTTATGTCTGCCAGCATAGAAGACAAGCAAGGTCGGAATTATCGCTAAAAAATTGCTTTGCAAATTTGTAAAATGTGTTATGGATAGGCCGTGGGTGCTCGCGCTCATGGCAATAAATTTAAGAGTTAGAAAGTATGTCATTTTCATCTTCTTTCAATTCAGAATGTATAGAAGCCCTAATATCTACTACGTTTATGGAACGATCAGATAATAAAAAATAAGGAGCGATTATGTTCTACGCGATATCTACTCTGTAATGTTCTTAAATACTCAGTCGCGTGAATACATACACGCTTATAAATAGGGAGTGAATTTTTCAAATAAAAAGTTTTGTTAAAACTAAATACTTTTTAACACTATGTGTTATCTAAATTGAAGATAAACAGTTTGTTCCGTGTGTTTAGTTTTCATCTAAGCGATTGAAAGTTTTAATGACTGAAGGCTTCGTGTTTTAGCTTCTAATAGCGTTAAATAGAAAGGTAGTTGTTGAAATGAGGATAACCTCAACTGCTCTGACGAAGATGACTTGCATTATTTTGATAATTTTCATCTATCAATTGATATTATCATTCCTTATGAATCTTAAATTTTTGAGTTTGATACATGATTTGAACCCCCCTTCCTAAATAATTGCGCTGATAAATCAAAGGTTATTAAGGATATAGGATATACACCAATGACTAACTTCATTATTCATCACTAAGAAAGATATGAAAAGTTGAAATATACACTATTTAAAACCTGATGAACGTAAACTCTCATCCGGCGGCTGAGACTCTGCTTCTCCGAGTATATCTTTAATATAAAATGATTTGAATTTGTTGCCACATACAATTGACTTGCTGGCCGTTGAATAATACTCATCATTATAGATTGGATATTGAAACATCGAAGGCACTGAAGTTCGTGTCCAAGGATAAAAAAATGTTGTTGGATAAGGAAATACATTCCTTGTCATATACCATGAAAAACCAAATGGTGAATGCGAGCTAAATACTGTAGTTGAGGCTTCGTGAGACACCATTCTTTGCGTAAAGTGCGAACTTGATTTGCGTACGACAAGTTCGACATACAGTACTGAATATTGCGTCAAACAGGAATTAATGACATGACAAGAACAAACAAACGTTACATCAAATTTAATGACAGCTTTATCTACCTAAAAGTTGCTCATGCTGTTTTGATAACTACCGTCGGTCCTTTGGTGAACAATAAATATCTTTTCTTCATGTCTCTACAAATTTCATGGATGAAATATTTATTTCTATATTTATTTCTAGGAAAACCTATTAGTAAAAATTGCATGTTACAGTTCAAATTTAACGTTCGAATTGCTTTTATGGTCAAATCAAAAAATTAAACATGGTCCTCCAGGATTTGTCTCTATACCACTAACTACTAAACTTTAATGGAAGTTAGCTACATTCATGAGAAATTGTGTCAGCAAATAGCGGACTCTGCACTTTTAAACACTGACTTTGCTTGCGACGAGTTGTATTTCGGAGATGTGATCACTGGATTGGTGCATCCAAATAGTTTTGAATTCGTTGTTGTCAACAATTCAAGTCAATTTGTTGATTATCACAACACTTTTAACAATGAATGCAAAATAACTGTTTCAAAAGATTCTAATTTCTACTCAGTAGGTTCTCTTATTTTCATACAAGTGCAATGTGCACATTTTAGTAAAAGGACTTTTCGCAAGAAAATACATTTGCAATTATGGTCTGGAGAAGTTCAAAACTGTTGCCAACAACTGAGTTTATATCAAAATTTTTGTCTCTAAGCAAATATTTGTATTTCATTTTTCTTTCAAGATTTTTTGTGTGTAAACTCGTTTCGACTCGGTTTGAGTAATGAGTATTGTAAACCCGAGTTAAATCGATGATGTTAAATCAACCAATCACATTGGAAAAATGATCAAAGCAGTGAAAGCACTTTATCTGTATAAGATTAATAAAGTATGTCATAATAACCAGCTTAAGATGACTTTTCTGGTAACGTAATTCAAATTTTAACCCTATTTTTTCAACATGTCTGTTTCGCTACGAAAGGTATCTACAATAGTTTTGTGTGGCAATGGCATATGCACTGCCAAAAGAAATTTAAATTCCAATGGAAGATAAGAAGTGTTCGTGAGCGGTGACATTTATTGCAGCTGAAAAAACATGTCCACCTCGTTTAACAACAAATAGACTACGACAACAACTTTTCCTTCATGATACTGTAAGATAAAATAATTAAACAATTAACGCATTCCTTCACAAGACGTAATGACCGATTTAACACACGACCGGCAGAGATATAATCTGAAGTATTAAAATGTTGCAATTACAGTCAAGTGTTTGCGCCGGAGTTAGCGCCCCATTTGAACAAAACTGACATTAGAAAAGATTGCGACGCCACTAATCTTGCTATTTAACACGCTAGTCGAAAATGAGGTGGCGGATAAAGTTACGGTTAAAAACTTAACAGTGTAATGCAAATGAGATAATAGAATTGTTTTTACTTTTTGCAAGAAGCCAGGCTGTGAGCATAACAAGGTGGCTTCATGTGTTTGCTATGAAAAAGAGCACAAGGAAAATTGAGCTACAAAGTTTTCACGTTTACAGGCTTGCGTAAAATTCATCGTTGTTGATAAGTCGATGATTGTTTGATCTTGAGAAGAATGCAAGGACAGATTTTCATAAATTTCCTTGTACTTTTGAATTTTTTAAGTTATGAAACTTCCCAAATTTAGCTCGTAATTCTAAGATTTACAGGCATACTATATACTGCCCTTAAAAAAATAAAATGTTTAAGCAGGTTGCATTGTGAAAGGCTGCCAAAATTTTTTCATGAAATAATGAGAGTGAGGCACCAAAACTAAAAATTTTAAAAGTGAGTGACAACACTACAAAAGCCCACTGAAATCTTTTTTTGTTAAAAATGAGCGTAAAAAAATCGATAATTGGGGAGGGGGGGGGTCACATTCATATATGCATGTCATTTTTAGTGGTTGCAATCCGTTGAAAACAATTGACTTAAAAACTATCCGCCCCCCCCAAATGATCTATCTTTCTACGCCCATTTGTTATGTTTTGGAAATCAACTGTTGTTATGCTTAAGTAGTTGTTATTATAGTGTTCTAATATTGCTGTAACTGTTGACTGGATTTCTCTTTCTCATCGAATTCTGTTTTTATTCTGACATAATTTTGTTCATATTCTTTCGCTTTAGTACGTAGCGTAAAGATACTACTCAAGCGCTTATCTTGAGCAGGTGGGGACAGTGATTCAATTCCATGTTTCTTTGAATTGTAAGATGCTGAAGACAATGGTGGTGATGTAAGTAGACATTGCTGTTGCAATCCGCTGCATGAGCAATGGTACGTGGGTGTACTTAAAGATGCCACAAACCCATCTGTAGGATACTCGTACCTCGTTGCATAACGCCGAATATCAACCGGAATTTGCATATTTTGTCTGTATGAAGTACCTGCATTGTCACAAGAAAGTGTTGGGTGGTAGTACACTATAGCAGAAGCTGGAAAGGGATATCCCAGGGTAGTAGGAGATATCTGGGGGTAACCATCGAATCTAGTACAGTATATTTGAGGAGAAAAACCAAACGCTCGCATTTTTTCGCGTTTCCGCCATTTTGCTCTTCGGTTTTGAAACCAAACCTAAGAGAAATTGGAATTTCAGTGAATGTTGCAAATTAATTTCTCTGCTTATTAGAATGGATATTAGATACTGATTGTTCAACTACTGTTTACAGTAAAACGAACATAATAAAAGTTTTTATGACACGAAGCGGCTTTATCATGAATTTTTTTGATTGTATTGAAAAAACCACATAAAATGACTTTATAACCTCTTCAGTTAAATTTAGTCATTGCACTTTTTTCCAGAGATAATAACTTTTTTCTTTATGCAAATGAGATCGTTATAAGATCACAGAGCATAATGAAATTTTAAAGATCATCAATTTTCAACATTGTTAGAACGTTTAATAAACAAACAAAACAAAGTTTAACGTATAAATGTTTAAATGAATATTTGTAGAGATGCCAAAGTTCGGTGTTGCAATGTTAACTGTGGACAAAAACTAGTTTTTCCTAGAGCTAATTATCCATTGTGATGTCACAACAATGTCCTTAGCACGAGGTTTCTCTGCTTTGCCTTTTTTCTTTCATTCTCCTATTTTGGAACCAAGTTTTTATTGCTACTTGGCTTATACCTAGATCTTCGGACATCTTCAATCTTTCAGGCATGCTAATATAACGGTTTTTCCTGAATTTTCCTTCAAGCACTTGTATTTGTTCTTTTTTAAATGTTGTCCTTGTCCTCGAGTAAGATGTATAACTCATTCTTTCCTTTTGCGTTGGCAACACGTAGAACGAAAAAACATTCTCTGGCATGTCGTTCAGAATGTGACTCTTCGAACAACCTTGCGCTGAAGTGTCTCTTTCTAAAATTTCAGAGAAGAGTTACACATTAATATAGACTGGTGCAGTTGCGAAGTTGCGTTTGGTAAAGAAAAAGTTTTGTCGCTCTTTTTGAAGGACTAAAAAAGTGATAGTTTTAACAAGCATAAAGAACTAATGACCACAACATTAAATGAAAAAACATGGCCAGTTAATGATAAAACTGTACACACCCTAAGACTAAACATTTAAATTGTTGTTATGTCTGCCAGCATAGAAGACAAGCAAGGTCGGAATTATCGCTAAAAAATTGCTTTGCAAATTTTTTTAACCCCGACCAGCTTTTTCATTCAGCCACCCCCCACCCCCCGAGTTTTCTAATTTGTAAAATGTGTTATGGATGGGCCGTGGGCACGCGCTCATGGCAATAAATTTAAGAGTTAGAAAGTATGTCATTTTCATCTTCTTCCAACTCAGAAAGTATAGTAGCCCTAATATCTACTACGTTTATGGAACGATCAGATAATAAAAAATAAGGAGCGATTATGTTCTACGCGATATCTACTCTGTAATGTTCTTAAATACTCAGTCGCGTGAATACATACACGCTTATAAATAGGGAGTGAATTTTTCAAATAAAAAGTTTTGTTAAAACTAAATACTTTTTAACACTATGTGTTATCTAGATTGAAGATAAACAGTTTGTTCCGTGTGTTTAGTTTTCATCTAAGCGATTGAAAGTTTTAATGACTGAAGGCTTCGTGTTTTAGCTTCTAATAGCGTTAAATAGAAAGGTAGTTGTTGAAATGAGGATAACCTCAACTGCTCTGACGAAGATGACTTGCATTATTTTGATAATTTTCATCTATCAATTGATATTATCATTCCTTATGAATCTTAAATTTTTGAGTTTGATACATGATTTGAGCCCTTCCTAAATAATTGCACTGATAAATCAAAGGTTATTAAGGATGTAGGATATACACCAATGACTAACTTCATTATTCATCACTAAGAAAGATATGAAAAGTTGAAATATACACTATTTAAAACCTGATGAAAGTAAACTCTCATCCGGCGGCTGAGACTCTGCTTCTCCGAGTATATCTTTAATATAAAATGATTTGAATTTGTTGCCACATACAATTGACTTGCTGGCCGTTGAATAATACTCATCATTATAGATTGGATATTGAAACATCGAAGGCACTGAAGTTCGTGTCCAAGGATAAAAAAATGTTGTTGGATAAGGAAATACATTCCTTGGCATATACCATGAAAAACCAAATGGTGAATGCGAGCTAAATACTGTAGTTGAGGCTTCGTGAGACACCATTCTTTGCGTAAAGTGCGAACTTGATTTGCGTACGACAAGTTCGACATACAGTACTGAATATTGCGTCAAACAGGAATTAATGACATGACAAGAACAAACAAACGTTACATCAAATTTAATGACAGCTTTATCTACCTAAAAGTTGCTCATGCTGTTTTGATAACTACCGTCGGTCCTTTGGTGAACAATAAATATCTTTTCTTCATGTCCTCTACAAATTTCATGGATGAAATATTTATTTCTATATTTATTTCTAGGAAAACCTATTAGTAAAAATTACATGTTACAGTTCAAATTTAACGTTCGAATTGCTTTTATGGTCAAATCAAAAAATTAAACATGGTCCTCCAGGATTTGTCTCTATACCACTAACTACTAAACTTTAATGGAAGTTAGCTACATTCATGAGAAATTGTGTCAGCAAATAGCGGACTCTGCACTTTTAAACACTGACTTTGCTTGCGACGAGTTGTATTTCGGAGATGTGATCACTGGATTGGTGCATCCAAATAGTTTTGAAATCGTTGTTGTCAACAATTCAAGTCAATTTGTTGATTATCACCACACTTTTAACAATGAATGCAAAATAACTGTTTCAAAAGATTCTAATTTCTACTCAGTAGGTTCTCTTATTTTCATACAAGTGCAATGTGCACATTTTAGTAAAAGGACTTTTCGCAAGAAAATACATTTGCAATTATGGTCTGGAGAAGTTCAAAACTTGGGTTGTTGCCAACAACTGAGTTTATATCAAAATTTTTGTCTCTAAGCAAATAATTGTATTTCATTTTTCTTTCAAGATTTTTTGTGTGTAAACTCGTTTCGACTCGGTTTGAGTAATGAGATATAATCTGAAGTATTAAAATGTTGCAATTACAGTCAAGTGTTTGCGCCGGGGTAAACGCCCCATTTGAACAAAGTTGACATTAGAAATGATTGCGACGCCACTAATCTTGCTATTTAACACGCTAGTCGAAAATGAGGTGGCGGATAAAGTTACGGTTAAAAACTTAATTGTGTAATGCAAATGAGATAATAGAATTGTTTTTATTTTTTGCAAGAAGCCAGGCTGTGAGCATAACAAGGTGGCTTCATGTGTTTGCTATGAAAAAGAGCACAAGGAAAATTTAGCTACAAAGTTTTCACGTTTACAGGCTTGCGTAAAATTCATCGTTGTTGATAAGTCGATGATTGTTTGATCTTGAGAAGAATGCAAGAACAGATTTTCATAAATTTCCTTGTACTTTTGAATTTTTTAAGTTATGAAACTTCCCAAATTTAGCTCGTACTTCTAAGATTTACAGGCATACTATATACTGCCCTTAAAAAAATAAAATGATGTTTACGCAGGTTGCATTGTGAAAGGCTGCCAAAATTTTTTTCATGAAATAATGAGAGTGAGGCACCAAAACTAAAATTTTAAAAGTGAGTGACAACATGACAAAAGCCCACTGAAATTATATTTTGCTAAAAATGAGTGTAAAAAATCGATAATTGGGGGGGGGGCTTACATTCATATATGCATGTCATTTTTAGTGGTTGTAATCCGTTGAAAACAATTGACTTAAAAACTATCCGCCCCCCCCAAATGATCTATCTTTCTACGCCCATTTGTTATGTTTTGGAAATCAACTGTTGTTATGCTTAAGTAGTTGTTATTATAGTGTTCTAGCATTGCTGTAACTGTTGACTGGATTTCTCTTTCTCATCGAATTCTGTTTTTATTCTGACATAATTTTGTTCATATTCTTTCGCTTTAGTACGTAGCGTAAAGATACTACTCAAGCGCTTATCTTGAGCAGGTGGGGACAGTGATTCAATTCCATGTTTCTTTGAATTGTAAGATGCTGAAGACAATGGTGGTGATGTAAGTAGACATTGCTGTTGCAATCCGCTGCATGAGCAATGGTACGTGGGTGTACTTAAAGATGCCACAAACCCATCTGTAGGATACTCGTACCTCGTTGCATAACGCCGAATATCAACCGGAATTTGCATATTTTGTCTGTATGAAGTACCTGCATTGTCACAAGAAAGTGTTGGGTGGTAGTACGCGATAGCAGAAGCTGGAAAGGGATATCCCAGGGTAGTAGGAGATATCTGGGGGTAACCATCGAATCTAGTACAGTATATTTGAGGAGAAAAACCAAACGCTCGCATTTTTTCGCGTTTCCGCCATTTTGCTCTTCGGTTTTGAAACCAAACCTAAGAGAAATTGGAATTTCAATGAATGTTGCAAATTAATTTCTCTGCTTATTAGAATGGATATTAGATACTGATTGTTCAACTACTGTTTACAGTAAAACGAGCATAATGAAAGTTTTTATGACACGAAGCGGCTTTATCATGAATTTTTTTGATTGTATTGAAAAAACCACATAAAATTACTTTATAACCTCTTCAGTTAAGTTTAGTCATTGCACTTTTTTCCAGAGATAATAACTTTTTTCTTTATGCAAATGAGATCGTTATAAGATCACAGAGCATAATGAAATTTTAAAGATCATCAATTTTCAACATTGTTAGAACGTTTAATAAACAAACAAAACAAAGTTTAACGTATAAATGTTTAAATGAATATTTGTAGAGATGCCAAAGTTCGGTGTTGCAATGTTAACTGTGGACAAAAACTAGTTTTTCCTAGAGCTAATTATCCAATTTGATGTCACAACAATGTCCTTAGCACATTAAAGAAATGTTACATATCTTCAATTTAAAGTGACTCAATCTTATTTAAAAAGTTGTTAAGTCAACATTATAGTCAGTTTACAATACAATAAAAAAAAACAATATGGTAAAATTTGGTGTCATAAACACTTTAATAAAGTTAAATGCACTTGTACCTGGACTCTGGCCTCAGTAAGATCAATTTTTGACGCAAGTTCTTCTCTTGCAAAAACGTCAGGATAGGGAGCTTTGTCGAACGCCTTTTCCAGCTCCTCCAGTTGGTAGGAGCTGAAAGTTGTTCTGTAACGGGTTTTCTTTTTCTTTAAGTCAAGTCCATTTATGCTTATTTGGCTCTCGTGAATTGGTGTGTTTCTTTCTTCATTTTCGTTCTCGCTGGAGACATTAGAGCTGCCATTCTTTGCAGCAAACCTGTCTGCTTTTGCACTTATTTCTATATGTATAAAAACATTGTGTCATTTAATTATCAGTGCATGATGCACATAGCTAATGCACAGCAATAAACACGAGAATCAACAAACTTGGACACTAGCTATGTTTCTATCTTTGCTATTTTTACTAGACGTACCATTGCAGTCATCGCGTAAGTTCAAATTGTTTCATTAATTTATTCGTATGGAAAAGTGGAAGTTAAAACTACTATACAGCTAGGGGCCCCATTAATTATGTTGTGATCATCGGTCTCGGTAGTTTGCGCATCACTCGTTTGGTTTTCTCGCATTGAAGTGTTATTTTTGGTTTGCTTACATAATTAAGGCGTTTTAAATATCTTTAGATATTATTTAGATTTTTTAATACTATAGCATGAACACAGACAGGTTTAATTTTCACAAGCTTTTAAATGTGAAATTCATGCTTCTCAAATTGGTTTATGCATCCCAACTGAGAAGCAATTGCCGTGTTGATTAATCTATCTTGCATTTATGAAAACGTTAAAAAGGAAAAAATCTAGCAAAAAGAACTTTTTTAGAACAGATGCTTCATTATGAAATAGGTTTTAACGACTGAGCTCGTAATTAAACCCGAGATACTGGGTATTATATATCTTTAAACAACCAGCCGCTCATTTCAATTCCATATGTTCTAACTGTGATTAAAAATACAAACGCGACATTGTATAATGTGTCGATTATTAATAATGCGACATTTGTGTGTCCACGTGCGCGCTTGCTGCCACACAAAGCGTAAAGTATTCAAGTGGGTTTTTGTGAACAGCAATTCATTCAAATATAGCTACCATATCAATTTTATAACAGCTTGTTAACTTTTGATATTTAGTCGTTCTAAAATCCATGTAATCCATTTCATTTATCTTAATGCAAAGATTTTTTGACGTGTTTTTTTTTTCCCCGTACAAACAGGCTAAAAGTTTCGGCTACGAGGAAATACATTTTAATCGTGGAAAGGTGTGAAAATTTTTTGTAGGTTTTTGTTATATTTTGTGCAACTGACAACTGAATATGTTATTTGTGTAGTCCCCATGTCTATTTCGCATGTAGCTATATTAAAATACATGTGTCAAAGCATTGAATAATTTGGTATAAATTTATCTGATACTGTTGAAATTTATTTTTCAACATGATGCTCTTTTTAACATATAACACAAATACAGATAAGAATTTTGAATGATCGTATACTAGATTAAGCTATAGCCACATTGAGTTTGCAGAGTTATGAGTGCATGAGCAAAGCTGTTGTTATTAGATATGAAATACGATAATCCGTTACTCCAATCTTTCTGATAAAAGATTAGAAAAGAAAGGCCTCGCATGGCGATTATAGTTCAAAACTCTGATGCATTATCCCACCCACTTAAACAATACTATACAAATGCTAAAAATTTGGCATGCTTTGAAACACCAAGCAAATCGTAGATGTGTAACTTTAAAGCCTTTCAAAAAAAGAGCTGCTTTAAGTAGGTCATTAGCGGCACATTCAATCGGTTTCAAGCCACTATGTTTGGTAACTCAACACAAGGATATTGAGCCCATTATTTAACGCTTTATTCCGAACTTCCAAGGTGCATCGAAATAAACACGCTGAGCTAGATTCAAAAAAATCATTGCTATAGTCTCTTTGGGTGCTTGAGAATTTTCAAAAGTAATTAAATGAGCTTTAATTGAACTGACAAATACCAAGATGGATGTAAGTGAGAGTTTCAAAGCAATTTTGAATGTTCTCTTTATCGGGATAACACTTTTCTTTGTAAAGCTGGATTTCAACAACAAATTTGAAAATTTCTTTAAGCATTTTGCTGCTCATATTTGTGACAGAAAACCAAACGAAAACATTACAAGCAGATTTCCAGTTCAGTGAACTTTCACAATGCTGATTATGTCTGTATAACAAATTCTGCTAAAATGGTTCTTCAGTAGTAAAAATTAAAAGTGGCATTCTCAACTGTTGTGTTGTTTAATAATGAAACGTTGAGTTGAAATTTTGAAATTTTTGATTATTGTCGATGCTTTTCATTAGTTAAATTTTATGCGTATATAGTATTTTAAGTTTTCGCCTCTACTGACAGCTTTATAACTACTGATATCAAATGTTCCTTACCTGTTGCAGAAACATACATGCGTTTTGTATCTTTTACTCAAGAAACCTCGTGAAATAATTGCTAAATGAGCAATGGATGTTTTACTTAACAAACAGAAAAGGGGGAAGAAAACTTTCTTACTTAATTGATTTATGTCTGTGATCCGTAAGTAAAAGTTATGACATCTTTGAGTGCAGTTTTTGCTTCCTTCATGTTATATGTGAGGTGATAACTGCAGAAGAAACGTTAATGTGTTATTTATGACTGTCGGAACCGCCTTTTACGATGTCTAAAACTCGTATCTTTCGTAATTTGCTGTTTGTTATATATTCTAAAGTTACTGTTGCGTTAAAGCTAAATAGCAAAACATTGCATGACTCTACCTTTCTTGGGAATCAACTGAAAGTTTTCTTCAGCGGTTCCAGTGTCTTGAAGGTCTTTTGCTGCAAACGTTTGAGGAGTTTGACATAGTTTGGTGTTTTCGAGATTCTTTTCCAAATCTGCATTTTCCCAGCCCAGTATTCCTGAAATACTGTGAGAAATGGGCGTTTGACTTCTCTCCGGAGCTGCAACTTTCTCTCCTTTCTCTGCCATTATGTCGCTTCAATTTTTCGATAGTGTACAACTTTGATGCGTAGATCTTGTTGTCAATTGATTAGTCTATGAAAGAGGCAGCCGATGTCTTAAGAAATTGTTTCCCTAACATCAATGGCGAGAAAGTTATCTACATTCTACTTTAATAGCAGAATGCTTGATGTGTTGAAGTTGTTAGCCAATGAGAATCAGTTTGAAATGATAAAGCTTTGAAATGAAGACCATTATATTATGGCCGGAATGTAATTAGAGTAACGTGTAAACATTGTAAAGCTAAACTTAGGCCCAAATAGTTTACATAACAATTCCTGAATATATACGCAATAAAGATGTAATTATATAGGAATTAAAGTTTCTTTATGGGATATGAGCTGCACGAGGAAAGTAAGGTACAGCTCAAAGGTCATGTAACATTTTCATTGACCAATAAAATCCGTTCATGGAAAAAGTTTCCTTTTGGCTTAAAGAGGAAAAGTATAACGCTGCAGCAGTTTTTGAGTACGGCGGTGATTCCTTAACTACTTTAGCAAATATTGAGAGAAGCATTTCCAAAATATAATAATAAAATTTACACATTTGCGTTGCTTATTAATTGAATTTAATTACCGCCGTCTAAGAGGTGTCACTTCATTGAAATTTAATTAGTGTACAGCAATAGTTTAGATGTGACACACACAGCAAATAGAGCTAGTTTATTGTTCAGAAAGTGAGGGAGGATCTGGTGCAATTAAACTGAGGGAACGTATGTTACAAGAAGATGAGAAAGCTATGGATTCTCACTAAAATCAAAAATTTAAATGTTTCTTGAATTTATATTCATCAGTGGAAATCAATATAGCTACTTTACACATGTGGACAAATAGCCATTGCTATAGAGTACCTTTTCACTTTGAGACTTTTCCCTGCATTTCATCAGAACGAGTTGACATCGACGACTGGGGATATGTGTACATTTTTAAAAACATCATAAAAGAAAAAAATGATTACAGAGAGAACAGGAATTAAAAACGATGTCATGCGAAAAAGGTGAAAAATTAAATTGCCAACACTAGTGGAGTAATCTGCTTTAAGATCGTTTCAAGACGTCTTGTTTTGGCTCCTGCATTCTCTGCACGCAACTTGACAATATGGCCGGCATCTGCCGGCGTCAAACCTTTCGAATTGGAATTTTAACAAACAATTTACTCTTTATTTGATTTACTAAAAAATGTTTGACATACATATGGGTATATTTATTATCACACGAAGATCCCCCATAAAAAAACTAAGACTGCAAATATTTTGTGTAAAAGAAGCAAGGTTTTATGTGCTTATTTTTTCATGCTGTATTTAGGATGTTCATTTTGCTTCAAGAACGACTTGCTTTGTTACTGATATCCAGTGTACGTGGGATCATATGAATAGCTTATACATAAGCTGTCTCTTTATGCTTTGGCTTAATCTTATTAAATTTAAAAGACCTTTCTACAATCCGCGGCGTGTCTACCTCATGTTTAGTTGGCGAGCAACCGTTTATCTCTACCGCCTTTTCTACGTTTATTTAATGTGAGATATTCATCAAAAGAACCGCGTTCATCTTTGATGTTGGCTCAACAAAGATGGCTTGAATAGAGTTCACAATGATGGACTTGTTCATACTTGTTTGCCCTTTTTCATATCGATATCATCGCAATTACACAAATCTTGCAGAGGGGAGCCAAGCCAATTGGCAATTAGTTTTGTTGCAATTAACGCGAGTGCAATTACAACATAAACTTATTTTTTGTAGTGATCGAAGAAAAAAGCAATTTCAAACCACAAATTTGCCACACACTACGATTAATAAAGTAATAATCGATATTTTGTTGCGCAATAATTGCCAATGAAGTCTGGAATCTCAATGTGTGACTTTGTAATAAAAGCAGGAATCTATCGAGTAAAAATGTCGTCAGCGGGCCTTTTTACTTTTACCTAAAAGCAAACATTCGAACTATTGGAGATAATCCGAGTAATTATCAATAAACTTATCTGAAACCATTAATATATTTGTCGTCATGATGCTACTGTCCCAGATGAGATAGTTGTTGCAATTACTGTTTTCATTTTGTTTTAGGTCTTACGAGGCTAATTACGGTAGATTTCACTGAAAATCATGCGGCCCTTTGAAAATCACTTGTGAGAAATGTCAGGGTGACTGGAGACCATCTAACCATCTAATAAATAATAATAATAATAATGATGAAAATTATTTTATAATAATAAACATTTTTTATAATACGCGATGTCTCAAACGCTGTTTCTCTACTAAAGGCAGGAGATCTTCTTAGGTCAACATCATAAAAGTTGTATGTAATTATATTTTCCTGAGACGTTGTCAACGTTGTTAGTGAAAGCAAGAGTTTGATTAATATGATGCACAGAATTAATCTTGCGCTGAAGATGATAAATATTATACTGTAAAGCTGTGACCATCTGGGGAACTTATCAAAATTGAAACTGTGCAGGTCATATAATTAAAACATCAAGCCATTGAAGTGTTCTACTTGCCGAAGCAAATCCATGCAAGACTTTTCATGTATCATAACAAATCGCCAAAGACAGCGACCGGACGCCAGAGGGCAAAATGATACAGTGGTCGAACTATTGATTTCTATAAGTCAAATTAACCGCTCCATAATTTTGTGGCCAAAGCAATATGGCGTATTGAGGAGGGGGAGGACTGTATTGATGGAATGGAAATCAATTTTTAAACATGACTGACGTTGTTGCGTACGTCAGTAATTGTTTTATGCATATTTTTCATAACATTTCATAAAACTAAATAATTATAAAGAAAAACCTGACTCATGAAAAAAAACAAAGATTTGATAAAAATTGGCAACCAGCATTTTAACAGCCATCCCTTTGCCAAAGCTGATCATTTTGCGAATCTTTTAAGGAAATATTGTTCGTTTTATGTCTAATTATTATAATTGTTCACCCTAGAATGCCAAAAACTACTACAGCTTCCTTAGGCAAAGTAACTATTTAGAGTATTTGCAAAGAGCATTTGACGATTGTTTATTCTGGAACATTATTCCATGGTATGGGAGTACATTGCTTGTAGAATATCGATTGAGTTGCAAACTTGAGAGCAGAACAGTACTTATCTATTTTGATATCTTGTATATGTTCAAACTAACAAGCATTTTTGTGTGTGTTTGCACTTTTGATGCTTCATATAATATGTAAAGCATAAGTATATATTTGCCGACAGAAACATTCTCACTTGTTTGCACTTGTGATACTTCATATAATATGTAAAGTATAAGTATATATTTGCCGACAGAAACATTCTCACTTAGGTAAACGTCCTGCCGAGATCTCTAAGATAACAGTAAGCATTGTCTATGGAGAACAGAACAATTGTTAATGTTACAACAGCAATTCAACCAGAAATTTCTCACAAACTTTTCGCCCACAATTTATAATTACTGAAATACAAACGTCGTAAATCCATAAAACATCCTCCTTGCCTTAGAACATTTTGCCTTAACGACAATCTAATAAATACACTGAGGCTCTCCTTTACATCCTTGGTATTGACGACGAAAACATAGCTCACCGATACAACAGAGGCATGAATTGGCCAGTGATTTCTTTTGCAAAACCTTAAAGACTTGAACCAAGTTAATGCATTTTCTAGATATTCTCCGCCTCTCAATATCTCAGGCGGTTTTTCTATTGGAGTACTCTTTTTAAAGCAATTTAATAATAATTTCTACCTTCCTGCGCTAAAGCTTTTTTGCTCAAATTTTTTTCAATTTTTCAACTTTCTTTTTCCTCGATAACTGGTAACTGGAATTTTGGTGATACCCGAGTGTTTTTACCAACATAAGGAGAAGACAAAGAAAAATCTCACTAACCGTTTCCAATAAACAAAGAGGTGAGAGTGTTTGCATAAACGTATTTCAAGATGGAATTAGCAATGTGATCAAAATCAAAATTCGGGACACCATGTCGACAAAGAGATGAAAATTGATATCGGCAAGTTCTGATTTGAAACATCCAACCACGAAATGAGCAAGAGAATGATCTTGTTATGGTATAAAGTTGACAGGGATACGTACAAACAGTAGCCGTACTGACCGGCAGAGGCGTTGTCAGGATTCTACATCTGGGGGCACAAGCAAGAACGCAATTTCTAAGGGGAGGGGGGAGGGGAAAGAACAAAGTTTCTGATGTGTTGGTTGAACTTAGAAAATTGAAGTTTGAAGTACGTCCATCGTACATATATGATCAGTATGTACTTGCACCTTGATGTGCGCTGTCAACGAAATCCCAATGAAAACCATGTTCTGTAACATGTAACAATTCTGGGATCAAATAACTGGGATTAATTCGTTATACGATGGGGGAAACAGATGTTCGCAAACAAAAAACTAGCAAATTTGAATAGAATTTAATATTAACAGGATGCATTAAGTGGCACGAAAGAATACAAATAAATAGTAAAAATATGTAGAAAAAGTTAGTATCATTACGAAAGAAATAAAATATGCTGTCCAATTGCATGCAGTTATGTTGAACTATGTGCAAAATGTTTATTTACTTACATATGCTTACATCAATAATTTACAAAATATATATTAAGTATTATATACATAATCATGAACAGTGCAAAATCCAGTAATGGTTAATTACTCTTGCAACTGTATGTGTGCTCTAGAGCATTTTCAATCGTTCATCCCCATATCAACATAACAAAAGACACGTCAGCCATATTGGTCTTTTTAGCAAAAGAACCCGATTAAATTATCCATCAAGTGAAAACGCTCTATATTTGTCAAGTTCGAACAAACTTTCTTCTATAGGAAGTAAGCCAATTAGAAACCGACTTTCCGCAGGACTTATCAACGATTAAATACTATCAAAAAAACGTCAATCTACGTTCCATGCATACACGTAGATGTATTACATTTATTATAAATCAATGAAGAAAATCGATGCATATACGTAAGGATTGAAACTTATCGGAAACAAGGGATTGAATATTGCAGTCAAGCGTAAAACACCATTCCAAGTCTTGGTAAACAAATTTTTTTGGTAAACACAATGTTTGATAGATTTTTAAATTTCTGAAAACTCGGGTCTGTGAAAATTCCTAACATGTGCAGATTGCTAGTTCAGCTAAATGATAGGATTTTATGTTGAAAAGAGTGTTTTGTAAAACATTTACCACTTGTTATCGAGAAAATTAATATTCTTCAAAATGGAATCACCGATAACTCATATTAACTACCTAATTTTGTTTATCATATTAAGATTGGTTTTTGAGGAACTCCTCGCAAGACCAACGGTTGTGGATCGTTTCTTTAACTGACTTTGATCAAAACATTTCCATATTCGAAGGGTTTCATCAGCAGCAACAGACGCAACGTACTCTCCATTAGGAGACATCGTCATACAAAGGATTCGTCCAGCGTGATCTGTAAGATCTGCAACCCGGCTCAATGTCGGATACTTCCAGATGGTCAGCTGATTCATCGAGAAGCCATGACTGGTGATTAGCTCCTTGAATTCCTTCGACCATAATATGCTAGATATCTGTAAAGCATAACAAGAAACAGACTAGGTTGCCCATGTGATATCATACATTTAAACGGGTTTTTGCCTATGGAAGCATATTCAGTCAGCAATAATTTTAAGCAACAACTGATTACCATAATGGCAGTTCGAAAAAAAAGAGAATGCAGGTTTGAAATCCTACCTCAATAATTTATTTTCACGCATACCTGTGACTTTGTGTCAATAGTATTGAGACATGATCCGGAAGTTACATTCCAAAAACGTATACAGCGATCAGCAGTACCTCCGCCGGTTGACAACACATTCCGTTGCCAAGGACACCAAGATACAGCCTGAATGGAAAAACGGCAAACACGTAATACATAATGCATGTTTCGGGAAATATACGTAAAGAAAACGTAAAACAGAGTAGATAGGAGCAGCAAATGAGAAAAATGAAGGCTATGTAATTATGAAATACATTGATACAACATTAGGTTTCTACAAGTAGTTACCAGGCCTACACTATTACAGTATTACTCACCTTGACTGCAGCTTGATGGTGAGTCAATGAATGTAGAGGTTCTTCACAATTATTGAGGGGATACCATACATTGACAAGATTATCATTACCACCACTTGCTAAAGTGCGACCATCTGATGACCATGCCAATCCACAAACATCCTGTGAGTGGCCATTTAAGGTTGAGACAATATGCTGTGCCACTCTTACATCATGGTTGATTATCTTGCCAGATCGGCCACCACTATAATAAATATATTTAGTTCCCAGTAACCATTCTCACTTCAATAGTAAGTTGTAATTTCTCCCACACATACATAGGAATGTATGTGCCTCATGAACAGAATACAGGCATGTGTGCTGGCATATGCAGTAGATTCAGGTGTAGCCTTATAAACAAGATAGTCTGTTGGTGATTTTCATACACAAGTTGTATTCACAACAAGAATAAAATGTGTAATAATGTACCTGGTGAGTATGCAAGAATTCCACGCAAGAGATCCCACTCTCCCTGAATGACCACATAAAGTTCGAAGGCATTTTTCTGTTTCAACATCCCACAGCTGAAGTTTAAATGGAAAACGCTTTTTCATTACCTTGTTAAACACACTGTGAGTTCAAAGATACTGCCTGTGGTAATATTGTATACATGGGCAGAAATGGGGTTGGTATAACATTCAAACTTCATTGTATTAAAGAGTTTTTGTACAAGACTACCAGGATGGCATTTAAAAAGAAAGGTAGCGCTAGGCAATAAAAATAAAACAGGCATAGTAAAGCAAACCTCTATTTTCAAGCACTTACAGATCTTACAATGAAAGATTTGACATTTAAAGCAATGCTATTCCAACCTCCCAGCCATATTGTTGTCAATTAAATGCTCATTCTCATTTTCAACACAATCCCTACCTATGTGAGTGTTGGTGTCATCATATGATGCACATCAAAAAATTTAATTTACTGTATAATTTTAAAACATACTTGTATGTTTGTATTACTGCTTCCAACAGCTAGGACATTCCCATCTTTTACCCATGATACACTTGATACATAATCATCATTGGGCATTTGAAGAACTTGTTTTGTTGATTGAGTTTCATAGTTACAAAAATATACACCAGAAGTCAGGCCAATCGCAATACAGTTGTTGCAACCCCAATCGACCAAATTCAAGTCTAAAATTGAAAAAATATAAGCATACATGTTCCAAACTATGCCATTACTATGCCAGTATCCTGTTCACTTTTATGAACCAACAGGTACTTCACTTACAAAAGTCATTCATCAAGTCAGGTGCATCCAAAATCTTTTCGGGAACTTTAGGAATGTAACGAGAACTTTTCACTTTGGACGATCCTCGATTTTGGCTGTATACAACACGAAGATTATTTTGGTAACCTGAAAATGTAAATTGTATAAACAAGGTGGTGAAATGAAGGTAAGGAATTCCATTACTAGATTACACATAGATTGAAAACATACGCCAACCTTCTCTAGCAGCTGGGGCACTTTGCTTAAAATGAAGGATTCTTGAGCTACAATCTTCGTTTAAGTTCTCTTTGATCACTTTTTCTTGACGAGTTCTTTCGAGTACTTCAAGATTTTGTTCATTTTCTGCAAATTCCGAATCTTTGTCATTCATGATTTTAAAATAGTTTTTCTCGTTATCCATTACTGCCCTGGTGGAAATGAAACGGTCAAACTGCGGGGTATTTTTCACAGGGGTTTTGTGCGGTGTTTTCTTCAATCGTGGTGTTTTCATAGGTGTTTTACCGACTGGTTTTATACGTTTCGGCGTTTTATACGGCGTTCTTGAGGATAAACTTCCATTATAAGGAGACAAAGGCACACTGGTATTCAAACTGTTGCATCGCTTTCTCTTCCAACAGGGTGTTGTACAGTTTGCAAGAGGTGCGTTGAGCCTTTCCAGGCATTTGTCGATTGAGGACTCAAATTGAAAGTTGCTCATGTTTCAGTCACTATCGAAAAGGAAAAGATATTTCAGTGAAATACAAAAATAAACAAAAAATTAAGAGTCTAAACCCGTCAGATCGTTCAAACTTGGCGCTGTATTACGAAGATTTGCGAAAACTCTCATGGCCACCAAGTCGCCATTTTTAAAGCTCTTTTTCTCGAAATCTGATTGGTCAATTTATTTTTAAAGGGAATAAAATGGGTAAAATCCATCCATAATAAAGTCAATGGCTAAATTGGTGAAGGCACTGACACGAATTAAAAGTATTTAAAATAAAGTATTTTGTTTTAAAATATACGCGGTAGCTTTTGTGGCACATGCATACTTTTTTATTCAATTTTATCGTTTTAAAAAGGAAGCAAATATTTGACATGCGACGAAACAAACCAAATTGTCATTGGGTTGTGTATTAACTACATTAACATTCGTCTTTCCTCGTGCTTGCGTGCGTTGAAGATATTTTTCGCTTTAGCAATAAGCAGTAATGCCTTCGAAGAAGAATACGCCCAATGGCTTTTTTTTATATATGCAATCATTGCGTCCACTATTAAAGCGGGAAGGAATTGTAGTGAAGAATAATAAACAACTGGCAGACCTTGCTGGACCACGATGGGCTGTGAGTATATATTTATCATTTATGTATGCTTAAAATTCATATTAATTGACGATGAAGTTTTAATGAGAAGAAGGAGAACAAAGAGGCGACGATGAAAACGTATGAAATGTTCTAATTGAAGGAAAATTTTATGCTTGTTAAATGAGTGTTTTCGGACCGATGATCCATGAAGATTTAGACAATCGAAGGACACAGTTTTGTCTCATGTCAAACAACAACAAAGAACTAATAACTTGTAAGGGAAGTTCATATGGCATGGTTTAAAATTCATACCCCTACCCCTCCCCTTACCGTTATATGTGATTAGACTTAACCAGATACATATTTTTCCCATATGTTTTCCAAACTCTGCAAATGATCATAAACTTGCTCTTGAATACTTTGATTTTTTTGGCTTTGAACCTGGCTTTGATTTTTTGCACATTTTATTTGCATTTCATTTGATGGAAATTGGTGTCTTGCAATTGCTGTTCTCTAAATATTCTTTCTAACTTTGGTCTTTGGCAACGACATGTTCTTCAAGTATTAAGAATGCCACTTTTTAATAAAGCAAAATGTCATTTGAATTTCAAAATATGTAAAATAGAGCTCCTACATTTTCAGGCTCTTACAAAAGAAGAAAAGGAGCCATACATGAATGAGGCAAAAAGAGAGAAGGAATGTCGTCAGTATAATTCACGTCCAGATGCTATGGACTGCACAGGACAATACATATCAGTAGGTTTTCTTGTGAAGTCACTAGTATTAATCAAATAATTATCAGCAATGTAGGCCAAAATAATAGTATGATTCTGTATCTGTCCAGTTTCACATCTTATATACTTACTTACCTGATATGTTTTGTCACTTTTATGAAAAAGTTCTCTTTAATTGGATTAGAAATGTTTCTAGCAGTCTTTTCTTCTTCTTTGAAGACTTTATGTCTATTGTAACATTTAGGTCAGATATTTCTTATTGAAGACTCTTTGCTTTTAGTTTCTTTATTAGGAATTAGTAATCTTTTTATAGCAACGTGTGGATAATGTGCAGATTAAGGAAACAAGAAGAAGAAATGTAAGAAAGAGGGTAGTTGAGTCCTGGTTAGGAAAAGGTTGGTTATTTTTAAGACATGTATTATTTTTTAAAATTTTATAATATTTTATAACTTTGGTTAATTCAATTCAAAAATTAAGTATTTTTGAAATCGTATTTGCTATCATGAGAATACCACAGGTTTTCATTTTTATATTTCTTGTTTAGATGTCACAGTTGAGAAGTTTTACATGGTTGACTTTATGAGCCTATGTGACCTACCTGGCGATCGGTTTATGCCATGTGAAATGGGCTTGGTTGAGTATTCTTTGCAGTATGGCATCATTCGTAGCTTTCATAAATTCATTTATCCAGGTAATTATTTGTTTTTTTATCACAAAACACTTGCTGCAGCAATAATATTGTAGTGTTTGCAGGGGCAGATGAAGCTTGTGCAGAAAAGAAAAGCCATCCCACTTGACTGACATCTGTTATGGTCAAAAACTCGAAAACTATAATTTTTTGCCATTAGAAAAAATATGTGCTATAAAAATTGTGATATTTCATTTTAATGTTTCAGCCAAAGCATATGTTTTATTTTTTACTATGATTTTCTTACAATAATGAGTCCAACGCTTCTATGATATATTGTTTGAACATAGAATTTGATCCCATCCATAGTCTATAATAAAATGCGAAGTTGAAATCTAATGGGAACACTTGAAACTTCCCTATAATATGAACTTTTATTTAATAACTAATATCTGATCTTCCATGCTAGGATTTTTATATTTCTCTTGCAACATGAATGCGACCAATCATAACACTCCCCCTCCTTGATCCAGCCCTGAATGTTTGTAAAAGATTTAATTATGGATGCAAATTTCAAATTGCTATTCAATTTGCTCACTTTAGAAGTTGATTGTTTCTACTTGTTTATAGGACATTTGAGTTAACCATTGTTGTAGAAAATGTAGAGTTATTGACTGCAGTTGATAGAACATAAACATATTTTAAATTCTATGTGTTAATGTGATATTTGTAGGACAAATTCCTCTTGGATTCAGATATGAAGCAATGAGGAAAAGTGAGTAGATATATACATGTTTACATCTATGTATTTATATGTATTTATATATATATATGTATTTATAGTGGTTATGTTTGGGTTACTTTCTTATTATAATGTTTTCTTAATTTTAGGTATAGGCTCTTGTGGGAATTGTTAAAAGCAAATCTTTTGTTATTAATCAGTAGTATAACAACTATGCTTAGACGTAATTTATTGGATTTGTTGAGATGTAGATTCTGGCTCATTTAGCTAATTTGTAGCTTCTTTTGATAATTATTTACCTTGCTTAAAGTATTTACTTTGATCAAGATATTTACTTTGATTAAGGTGAGGCTACTCATAAAATACCGATTGAAGGTCTTGCGACAGATTCATATAGCCAAATTTATGAAGACTTATTGGATTTTCTCAGCTCAGGGCGGCAAAATGATGGCCAATATCCTCCATTGTACTGCAAGGTGCATAAGAATAATCTATTTTGCTTTTGATTATAACAGTCTACTATCTCTCACAATAGCAAAAACAAGTGTTTGCACAAACCAACTTCAATTTTTGTCATCTGAAAATAGTCCCAAACATAGCAATATTCCACATTAAAAAACTTTCAACCATTTAACTTGTACCCTTCCTGACAGTAAGTAACATTAAGGCAAGACCACGAGTAGTTCATATCTGCTATATCTGCATGTTTTACATAAAGTTGTAATGTATCATTTATTTCTAAGGCTTCGCAATCAAAGTTAGTAGAGTTCTCTCTCATATGGCTGGCACATTCTGCAGGTATTTATTATGATATTTTTATTCAATTTTGTGGATTGAAGAAAATAAACTATGTCTTAAAAAATTTGGCATGATTTTGCTATCATCGATTTGAAAGAAAAGTCAAGTCTGCATTGTTAATATGCTTAGGTCAATAGTCTTGCTCGTGCATAGGCGCAGAAATTGCACCCACATATAAACCATTATAATAGACTGTGTTGACTGGTCACTGCATTTGCTAAACTCACCACACTCATCGCACTCACCACATTCACTGCACTCACCGCATTCACTGCATTCACTGCACTCGCCGCATTCACTGCACTCACCGCATTCACTGCACTCGCCGCATTCACAGCACTCACCGCATTCACTGCATTCACTGCACTCGCCGCATTCACTGCACTCACTGCATTGCACTCACCGCATTCACTGCACTCACCGCATTCACTGCACTCACTGCATTCACTGCATTCACCGCATTCACTGCACTCACCACATTCACTGCATTCACTGCACTCACCACATTCACTGCACTCGCCACATTCACTGCATTCACTGCACTCGCCGCATTCACTGCATTCACTGCACTCGCAGCATTCACTGAACTCACCGCATTCACTGCACTCACCACATTCACTGAACTCACCACATTCACTGCATTCACTGCACTCACTGCATTCACTGCATTCACTGCACTCACCACATTCACTGCATTCACCACATTCACTGCATTCACTGCACTCACTGCATTCACTACATTCACTGCACTCGCCGCATTCACTGCACTCACTGCATTCACTACATTCACTGCACTCGCCGCATTCACTGCATTCACTGCACTCACCGCATTCACTGAACTCGCCGCATTCACTGCACTCACCGCATTCACTGAACTCACCGCATTCACTGCATTCAACACATTCACTGCACTCACCACATTCACTGCATTCACCACATTCACTGCATTCACCACATTCACTGCATTCACCACATTCACTGCATTCACCACATTCACTGCATTCACCACATTCACTGCATTCACCACATTCACTGCATTCACCGAGTGTAAAATCCTTAAAATATCCTTTATTCCCATGTATAAGCCCATAAAAAAGGCCTTACAAACTTTTATTAGCCAGTGGCTTATAAGCGAAGGCGATTATTCAGGTTTTTACATTGCAATGTGACGTCATTGGTAGTGTAAATTTAATATTACCAAAACCTCACATCTTGCAAATAAGAAGTGACGTATACACTTTGAATACGTGGTTTAGTACTTTGTAGCATCTTGATATTACCTAATTTAATACATCATCTTTTGAAATAGACCTTGTTGTAACTTTATCTTAAGATTGTTTTAATATTCAGGAAGCTCGAACAAATTAAAGCATGTGTACGAGCTGGAAGGTTTGGTTTGCGATTTATTCATGGAATCTGGGGAAGCTTTTGATGGTAAAGTAATAACACTGCACAATGCAATGGAGATATTGTCAACGACGGTTTTCGATTATAATTCTGGAACAAGGTTTGTTGTTTTTACAGTCGCTTGAATAGAGAATACAAGTCATAAAACAATTGATGCATTAACTTGGGCAACGTGCAAATACTCTCATTGTGTTGACTCAACATGTTCTCTACATTGTAGACTCTACATGTTCTGAACATTGGAGAGTGTAGAGTGGCATTGAGCGGTGTTGAACTTTCTCGAACTTTCCACGTGGTCACCAAACCGTTAAGGCTCAACATGTTGACTCAACATGCTCTCTACATGTTCTGAACATTTGAGAGTGTAGAGTGGCATTGAGCGGTGTTGAACTTTCTCGAACTTTCCACGTGGTCACCAAACCGTTAAGGCTTAACATGTTGAGAGTGTTGGCACCTAGCTTAATACAATGTACTTAACTGTAATGAAACAAAAACTGTTAGGTCTTGACCTTTAACATTGCGCCTGGATTGATATGTTCTCCTGTATGTATGTAGTCCCCTATATATACTAGTGCATTTTGTTAACATCATTTTCAATATTGTCTTCAATCGTCTGAAGTAATAAAATTTAAATTTTCTTTGAAAGAAGGCAAAAATTACAGTTTTGAGTGGAAATACTAAATCAGGAAAGGTTGAACTAGACGAGGAACCAAGGTTTTTCCACGTGATAGAGGTCTAACCGTCTGCGTTTCGATTTTACACACTGTACGTAACTTTTCACTTGCACTTCTAGATGTAAATGGCACGAGGAAATTGATAATAAATTCTGTGCATTGGGAACAGTGCAACGATATTGGTAAGTTGTTGCGTTGAAAAGTTCAATTTTTATATTCACGTAGAGACAATGAAGTTTTTTTTAAAAGTTTTTGCATGTCAGATGTCTTATGTCGAGCATTCGACATTGAATTGACGTCAAAGCATGTCCCTGAGAGATCTGACGGCGATACATGCGTCGTCATCACGCCATGGATGTCGACAGGTCGACATAGTAAAAACGATGGTCAAACAATAGATGGTCAGGAGAGAACTGGTTACCGAAATGGATACGGTATGTTCATTGTTACTTAGTAATGGTACGGTTTGAACCGTCTGCGTTACTTCCCTTTCACACCATGCTTGTGTGAAATAACTTTAAGGTCACGCATTCTTCATCGTTCGCGTGTAAGATGACACAACTCAGTCTCCAATATTCACGTTCGCGTTTTTAGTTGACAGCTCTATCACCATGTTCATTTAAGTTTGACCTAATTTGAGTAGCTAAATGCATGCAGCACATGAAGTAAGTTCAACACATGATGTTGTATCGATGTATAGGTCGTCCATTTCTGTTATCGAAATTGTCTAAGCAAATAAAAAAGGCAATTCACCGTAATTGTTAAAGACTTGAACTGAACTTGTGTATTGTGTGAGAAAATGAAGCAATATTGCAGACGTATGTGCATCAATATTATTGTTGCCATGTCCTTCAAATAGGGTATTGAAGCCTCGTCCTTTTAATTACTTGCGATATAAACACAGGCACAAGATTATCAAAAGTCCCCATTCTTTTTATGCGTATTTATTCTTATATATATGCTCATGGCAGCTTATTGCAAGTGAGGACAATTGTCCTTATGCTTATGCTTATGTCGTAAGCGAGGACCAAAGTCTACTTTGACATTCGTAGGATTTCTTTTTCAGTTAACAAGAACAAGAAACATCTTTATACTGAACGCGGCCCCACGTACGACCAAGACGTTCTAAAGTCAGCGGAAGTTCGCGAAGTAGCAACTCCTACCAAAAACTTACCAAGCACGCTTTCGACAGGACTTCATTTTTATGGTAGAGGACGCGGCCGTGGTCGAGCTGCTCTTTACAATTCTTTAAGGAATCCTTTCGTGCTAGGTGGCACGAGTAGTATTCTAAGTGTCACTGCAGGACCTGGTACTACAGAAGGAGTTCGTACTTCCTCATCACCATGGTCAGGTACCTTAGGGGCTGGACGTGGTCAGGAGGTCCGTACACCTCATACGACCCCGATAGGTTGGGCTGGAGGGAAATCAGCTCCGCATCCATCGAGTGCTCCCTTTCCACCAACATCGTGGCAGTTGCCTTCGAGTGCTTCATCTGCAATACCCTCTTCACCTGCAGTAAAGTTAGAGCAAGACTTTGAAAGTTTTTCGCTTTTCGATAAAGATGATTACGGCTACTGAAATCGAAAGTGAATCCGGTTTTTAAGTTATTTGAAGTAAGACGGACCATAATTATTCATGTTTTGTTGTTGTTAAAAGTTTACAAACCTGTCTAATAGTGCTTATTTTCCGTTGTTTTTTTGTCTTTTTTCGAGAATGTGAAGTTATAAAATCGTAGTGCCTTATCTCCTTTTGCTAATGACGACATAATGATTTTAAAAGTAGACGAAACATGGCTTAAAAATTGTCGACTAGCACAGCATACTGCAGTGTTTTTGTGTTTTTGTGATTTTATTTCTGTTTTTACTTTTACCTTAGGGGTCTCGATTGAATGATTAACTTGTATATAACAGCTATACTTGTAATAAATATGTAACTTTTTGGACAGAGTTGTTGAATATTGTACCTTTCAAGTAATCAATGTTTGCAATCAAAGCAAAAGCACTCAAAAATGTTGTAGAAAATAAGAATTAGCTTCATGTGCACTATGCATTCTCAAGGCAAAGTGCGAAATTTCATGCGAAATAAGAAAGCGCCGTGACGACCTTGGCAATTGCATTTTAATTTGAACTCCAAAACGCAGCGTTTACTTGTTGAAATAATCTGAAGCTCGAAGTCTCGAACGTTACGTGCAAGAGAAAAGTATTGACAAGCTGAACTCAAATAAAAACCAATATAAACTCATAGTAGACACGTGGATTTTGAAGGGTGAATACACAGAATTAAAACATTTCAACTTCTTGTGGACCAATCAGAGCTCGACGCGTCCAGACCACTTGCTCCAGACAGATACCGGTGTCACAACAACGATATGAAATTATGAATGGATGTTGAATTTGAACACTCGACTCAAAGAACCGGAGAACTAATTTAAAGGATACATATTTTGACTTTTACGATATAAAACGATACACATAACACGACATTTTGTTAAAGGTTAGAGTTATGAAAAGTTTTTACATCATTTTGGAGTTAAAATTTCATAGGGTATCGAAGTTCACTCTAGTTTCATAGTATAAAATACATGTGTTACCTAATATTTTTAATATAATAATGATTCAAATATACTAATGATTTTTAATATACTAGATCATCTTTAATTGTTGACTTTATATAGATTTCAATGATTTTGTTGTAACACATATCATATAAGCTTTGTGAATCCTCAAACTATCAGTGTAATAAAGGTTGATAAAACGTTAAAACAGGAGTTGCAAGTTGCAACATAAATTTGTGTGCAGGAATTGATGTGAATAGGAGTTAACGTCCAGTTCCATCTAATGTGCAATGTAAACTAAATCTAACAAGCATAAGTTTGCCATTAAATCTTGGTATGTCTGACAAATACAAGTATAGCCACATTGCTAGTTTTGGCTGTGCTATGTAAATTGCACATCATTAGCATAATAATCTTATTTCTTTACTATTGTTAATGCAATTATACAGTGAGTGAACATGCCACCGGCACAACCAAACCTGTGGCTAGCTACCTCACTTAAAACTAGCTAAACCACTGATAACCAGGTATAAATACTTTTTTGTCCTGATTTGCAGACCAAAAGATACAAAAACCTTTTTTGTTTGCATCTTACAAAATGTTTTGAGATAAATATTTATCCCATGTAAAGTCCTTGCTGAGATCCTTCAGCATTGGCTACATGGAATTGCATCTTCTAACAGTTGAAACTGCACATTTGTGATGCTCCATATTATGATGAAAATTGTTTTGCCACATAAATACTTAGAGTAGATAGTTAATTGCTTGAAGTTAACTTTTCTTCAAAATCAAGTAACTATGAATGCTTTTTTTATGTTTACATTTAGAATAAATGCAATAGTTGTTCAAGAAACAATGAAGAGTTTCCATTACTGTATCGTGTTTATAATTTTAACTAAATATTTCATATCTTATTCAGGTAACTTTAAATGTTTTGATTGTGTAGAATTTATAGTTTGCATCTTCAGTCAGTGACTAAGTAATTACCCATGTATATAATGAATTTTGTTGTTATTTAAACATGTTTTCACTATGATTGCTCATGGGCATATGGGAGCTATCATTTCTGGGGTGGCAGTAAATATTTTCCCCAACTCACAATGAAGGTTCCGCCATGTTTTCATCCAACTAATGTGTAAAATTTGCCCAATTTTTCAATCATCCAAGTTTCTTTGGGAGGGGGAGGTGCACCCACACCAACCCCAAACCCATATGCCTGTTTGATTGCTCATTTTAGTTGTGCAATATGAGATTCAGAACATATTAATTGTTAATTTTTTTTAAACTTAATTTATGAAAATGAGAGATTGCTCACAAATTTTTACATGTACTTAACTATATACCACTATTACATACATAAGCCTCAGTTTTGAAATCCTTTTTGAAGAACAGTTGTTTATTCACAAAAACCATAACTGTACAAATTTTATAGATGGATTGGCTGTGATGTCAATAGATCTTGGTAGTGAATTTATGAAAATTGCTATTGTTAAGGTATATTTATAATATTCATATGATATCCATCTAGATATGTTTTATGCCACTTAAATCTTGTTCCTGCCAATTTATCTTTCGGAATCTATAAAGCTATTTATATTTGTGATATGGTGTACCAGATACTCTTGGAACTTGCATGGTACAATAAAATGGCAGAATTTGCATCAAAATAAATTATGGTATATTTTTGGATGTATTTACATTTCAACACACTTTATGTACAAATTTACATGCAATTCAAGATTTCATTTTTTGGAAATCCATAACAATTGCTTTGATATACATACCAACACAGTTATTTTCATGAAAAACTGTCCTCCTATAATGTGTTTTGATATGCACTTAATTTACCTCTGGTTAAGTTGCATTTTTCAATTAATTACATGTTACATGTTTTGTTACATTAGCCTGGAGTTCCTATGGAAATAGCTCTCAATATGTAAGTAAACCAGAATTTCGTCAAGTGTGTTGTGTGTATGTACCATTTATTCAAACATTTTGTCTCATAGTGTGACATTGGCTTCTGTTTGAATGTCCAAAAAAGTTTTAAACATTAAATGTGAACTTTTTGTTTCTGGTCATATGCTTTGACTTACAAATAATACCTGCCATGGTACTTTTATTACTGAACTCAATAGATAGTTTTCCAATTCAACGATGCAAAAATATTTTTCAATAAATGATGGAACGTTTTAAAAAAGACAAGCGCCAAAGACACTGATTGCGTTATCACACAAAAATTTTTTGTAAATTAAGTTTCAGTGATTGCCATGTTGAAATCAATCACTCAAGCACAATGAAACTATGTTCAAGTCACTTCATTTATCTTTCATATCATTTCCCTTGAATCTAAATGTGTTAATGAGTTGATTGCTTTGATGTGCCATCATTGCTTTGCAAACATGAACGTTTTGTTGATATGTAACTTAATTCAAAACTCGAACTTTATTAGAGAATCAAGAAGAAAAACACCTTTAGTTGTCTCTTTAAAAGATGATGAGAGGCTATTTAGCGATCCTGCCATGGGTGTGGTGAGTGTCTTTCATTGTACATGATAGTTCACAAGATAATAACCGTTTGGAATTCAAGCAATTTTATTGGTCGAGGGCCATAATGTATTTAAGAGAGGGCCGACGCAAGGTTTGACGTCGCGAAAATTTCTCGTTCATAAATTACAAATGGCGGTGGGCGATTGGTCACTTTTTGTTCTTATCACAAATGACGTCATATCGTCATATCACTGAACAGAAATGTATTTAATTTGTTAATCTGACGTCTCGTCTTTATGGGTAACTTATTTTATAAAAATAACAGCAACTTATTTTATTCGGACAGTTTTGAACTTTTCGGTTTTAGGAAAATGTCCATTTTGAATTCTTTTCCCACTGAGATGTAATGTTTTATATGTTTTTTTGGAAGTAACTGGTATAATTACGCTCTGCAGCAAGAAGTTAGTTACAATGGCGCAGACGCGAAATACGTTTTGAGTTGAACGCATGCGCCAAAGGTAAAGACGAGTAGGTTTGAAGGAGCCAACTGGCTGGAGAATATGCTCTGGATGATAGACCTCTTTTTCAGATACAGTTTTCGAGCGACGTATACAAGCAAAGTGATGATATTTTGCTGGACGTTGGCCTTTTATTATTCGATTATATTTTTCTCTTTCGTTTCGATGTGATTAGGCCGTGAAGAATCCAAAGTCTGCGTACCTTTACCTTCTTGATGTTATCGGGAAGAAAATCGGCAATCCTCTTGTTGAAATGTATAGAAAAAGGTGAAACTACCTTCAAGCACAGAGGACGAGTTGAATTAATATCACTTTCAGATAAACATGAGCTACTGTTTTTTTGTAGATTTCCTTATTATGAGATCGTAAAAGATGACAGAGAATCAATTCTATTTCAACACGACAGGTGAATTTTATATGTTTAAGGTTATATGTCAGGTGAATTTTATATGTTTAAGGTTATATGTCATGTGAATTTTATATGTTTAAGGCTATATGTCATGTGAATTTTATATGTTTAAGGCTATATTATAATTTGTATTGTAAAGACAAGTCATCAATATGTATTCTAGCGAAACAGCGTTTTCTGTTGAAGAGCTGCTTGGTATGATATTAAACAACTCTCGCACTATTGCCGAGAAATTCGCAGGTACTGATCACAAATGTTTTTGTTTGTGGCTTAACATAATTTTTGGTCTTTTGCGCCCATTTTCTCCCAGTTGAAATGTCCATGCATTACATGAATAATGTGAACAATCTTTGTGTATTCGTCATGGACTGTTTCAATTGTGTTGTGTTGCAGATCAACCAATCAAAGACGTTGTTATAACTGTGCCACCATTCTTCACTCAAGCAGAAAGACGGGCAATACAAAGGTAAGCACGTATTGTTGCCCTTGATTTCTTGCTACTGGTTATTTAAATTTCAAGCCTTTTCTATCTGATTACGCAAAACATTTAGCCTGTCAGATTGTAAAGGCTTGAAAGCTTGTGTATGTGACAGCTACGAACAAATACCTACTAAGCTAAATGTTATAGATCAGCTTCAATGGTTGGCTTAAATGTTCTTCAGTTGATGAATGACAATACGGCAGGTTAGTTATATTTATTCCACGTAGTTTAACTTGCTTTCTGAATTTTTCCAAATTGCTTTTGACATAATTTGGTGTATTTTTAGCTGCACTGAACTTTGGTGTTTTCCGATACAATTCCTTTAATGCAACAGAAAGGGTAAGTCAAAGGCTTGTGCGCTTCTTGAAGGATATTGACGCATGCCTTCTGGATTGCAATGGACTACAATATATTTAGGACAAAACCATATCATAAAATGTCCCGTAAAATTCATATTTTCATCCTGTCCTGAGCACTGTGAAACAATGTCGTACCAGGTGCTTATTTTTATCTCGCATTGTCACAAAATCTCGCGTTAGATGCTTGTTTTTATCTCGCGTTGTCACACAGTCTTGCGTTAGATGCTTGTTTTTATCTCACGTTGTCACACAGTCTTGCGTTAGATGCTTGTTTTTATCCGCGTTGTCACACAGTCTTGCGTTAGATGCTTATTTTTATCTCACGTTGTCACAAAATCTCGCGTTAGATGCTTGTTTTTATCTCGCGTTGTCACACAATATTGCATACCATGGTTATTCTCATCTGGCATTGTCATACAATTTTGTGCCATATCTTTATCTTTATCCTTGGACTTCTAATTAGTTTTATTTATAGTTACATGAAGTTACATACGTGGAAATGTAAATGCTTGTTTTGCAGATCTATATGTTTTACGACATGGGAGGAACGAGTACAACTGCGACTATTGTTGGTATGTATGCATATTTTTAGAAAGACCGTGTACATGCGGGTCTTACTGCACTTTATAATAATATCCTCTTCGTCGTTGTTGAACTGGGGTTTTATAGTCTTAGTTTTAGTCAACTCCTGACTGCCGATTTTTTTATTTTCCGACATGCTTTTATTCATGAATTCGAGGGTGGAGGTGTTTTTTTGCATTTTCAATGTGAAAAATGAAACTGACTACTAAATTTTCTGTAAGAAGCATTTTAAATTCACCAAGTCCGTATTTCTTCTGTAGGTTATAGCACTACCAAAGTAAAGGATAGAGGAATAGCCGAAACTGCTCCGCAACTTGTCGTGAAAGGTGTTGGGTATGGCGTTGTTTTGTGTATTTTGTTGCATTTTCAATGACTTGAAACGTTTGTCAAAGTGCGCATGACTGACTGCAACTTGTCGTGAAAGGTGTTGGGTATGGCGTTGTTTTGTGTATTTTGCTGCATTTTCAATGACTTGAAACGTTTGTCAAAGTGCGCATGACTGACACCAACTTGTCGTGAAAGGTGTTGGGTATGGCGTTGTTTTGTGTATCTTGTTGCATTTTCAATGACTTGAAACGTTTGTCAAAGTGCGCATGATCGACAACGCAGAACGATAATGAATATCGAATTTTGTAGATTTGATCGTACATTGGGAGGTCGAGAGTTTGATTTTCGTATCCGAGATCTCTTAGTTGAGCTGTTTATGGTGAGTAAAATGAACATTGTTAGCTACATATAGTCCACGAATGTACAATACTATGCGTTTTGTTTCGGTTATCAGAAAGCTAGATTTTGGCCAAATGCCAGTTTACTGTAGATCATGTGCTTGCTGGATGTCGGAGCATGCTAGATTACTGTAAGACACCAGTCTATAAGATGTTAACCATCATAATTGTCAATGTAGGCTATCAGGCTCCTGGATATAGTCCATTAGTCTACTGCATGTACATATAGACCATCAACATAGGATGTGCGATCCCTCTGCTGTCTTGTTAAGTACCAAGTTTACAAGTTCGAAGAAAGTGCTGCACCAACATAATGTGTTACTTTTCGTGATCGTTGTATTTGTGATTTAGGCTTTACAATTGTTTCTGTGTTTGTATGTGAATTTACAGGAGCAACACAAAGGCCTGGACCCTACCACTTCACCTCGCTCTATGAATAAATTTCTTAAAGAAGCAAAGCGTGTGAAGCAAGTTCTGAGTGCTAATACAGAGACTTTCTCACAGGTTTCTCGACACTATGCATTTAATCAAATCATTTCTAATATTTAATGCTGAAAAAACTAAACTCAAGTTTAGAGTAGTAAGTTAAATTGCACCTTTTGCACATTTGTTACGTATTTATCATTATGACCAATGTACATGATTACACTATTTTGTTTCGGCGTATATAGATATAATGTATAGCGTAGCTATATAGCTAAAATTTTTGTTTCTGTATCAATGTGCAGGTATGCGTTGGTTAATCTTATGCAGGCTGCAAAGAAATAAACCATTCAATGTCGTTATTTGTAGATAGAAGGCGTTTTTAAAGATCAAGATTTCCGAGCCAAAGTAACGAGATCCAAATTCGAAGAAATGAGTGCTGATCTCTTTGACAGAGTTGCTGGTCCAGTTAATCAAGCATTGAAGTCATCTTCTGTTACACTTGTAAGATATTGCATTTGAGATTTTAGACATTTGAGATTGTGAGTTTGAAGATCGTTGATTTTGTGCTTGAAAAATTTCTTAAAAAGTCTTTGGAAGTATGACAAGAAAAGTAACGCAAACCCTTAGAAGTTGTGTATTTTCTTATTTTCAATCCTTTTTATTATTTGTAGGACGAGATAGAGAGTGTGCTTGTTCTTGGTGGCGGATTTAGAATCCCTAAAGTTCAAGAAATTCTTCTTAGTACTGTGAAGAAGTAAGGCAATTTCCTGTTCTTCTTCCTGCTTGAACCTAATCGTAATTTCTACCTACAAACGTTCGTATGATCATCATTAGTTGTCAAAAGCAATTGATCAATCATATTATCGAATTATTATTCTCTGATCTTTATCTATCACAGTAGATGAACTCTTGTGTCATTCAAATCAGCCTGCTGTTGTCATATATTTACCATGGGCAAACTTCTAGGATAAGGCACTTCCGATTGAAAAAAGGCGACAAATTTTCATGGCACTTTCCAGCAAAAACAGCCTCCTGTTTGTTATTCTTAATTTCATCTTACACTCGCATTGTGTGAATATTGTTTAAATATAGTTTTAGTTACATTACATAATGTATTTTAATTGGCATTTAAGTATGTGTGTTAGTCCAGTTATGTAACTGCGCGCAGCAACATTCATGCGATGAACTCCCAACGCAACATTTTCATTTCAAATAAATGCATTTTAATTTCTTGTAGGCCAGAGCTCAGTAAGAACATTAATGCTGACGAGGCAGCAGCGATGGGTGAGTGTTCAATACATAAGAAGATGAACAGATTATGCATGAGTTATGTAGTTTTGAGATGATCTTTTTTGTTCCTGATGCATATGTACTGCAGAGTTTTCTTATGATTATTTGGCAAACGATTACTTTCCTGTTTGTAGAACATTCTGTTTTAAGCATATGGGACGCTGGAACGTTGATAATTTGAGATCGACAAATATTTATACATTCGTGGTCAAAGCTCATATAAAAAATAATTGATTTCAAAAGAAGATAATTAGGCAAAACACGCATAGATAATTTGAGATCGACAAATATTTATACATTCGTGGTCAAAGCGCATGTAAAAAATAATTGATTTCAAAAGAAGATAATTAGGCAAAACACGCATTTGAGATCGACAAATATTTATACATTTGTGGTCAAAGCTCATGTAAAAAATAATTGATTTCAAAAGAAGATAATTAGGCAAAACACGCATATATGAATATTTGCTCCCTCGCCAACTATCGACGTTTCGGCATCCCTTTTTTTAAACATTCTATCTGTTTCTACTCGTATTTTATTTGTTGTGTGCTGTTTCAAAAAAGATGTCCCCTTTTACATTCATCATTCGGCTCGTTGTGCTCGTGAAAGAGCAAAGTTTGCTTCACGTCAACCACATTATGACCGTCTCTAAATGCAAAAGTAAATTAGGAATAAACAGTAGGACCTCTTCATCTTTCAACTGGGTGCTGAATATTTATATATAAGACTGTTAGCACGGATAGCCAGCATAGGATACCTATTGGTCATAAAATGACTGTCTTCCTTTATGGTAATCACGTGTGTTGTGAGATCTGTATGTGTTGTAACAATTTCAATGGTGTGGCCCCATTGCTCGTTACCTAAATTATTCCACTGGTAGGGTATCCTTTGCATCGTTCATATTTTTTTTTAATTTCACCTGACCTAGGTGCTGTTTATCAAGCTGCCAGAATGAGTAAAGGATTCCGAGTGAAGAATTTTGTCGTGAAAGATGCAAGTGCTTATCCAATTGAGGTAAGATTTTTACTGAGCTATCATCGTTTTTTACTTGTTCATTTCTTTAAAAGTGTATTGTTTTCACAGTAAGTGAAAACTAAAAAAGAACACAGGAGGACCAAATAAGCGGGCTGGTTACGCCATTGTCATTACTTGAAACGTCTTCGGCTCCTTCAGTAGAATTCGGTATAAAGACACGAGACTCTAGTTTATTATTAACATTTTCAAATTGACGAAAATGATTTTCTAATACAATTAAGTCACGTGGTCGTAAACATCCACCTAAAAGACCTCGGTTTAATAATGTGTTTCATGATAGCTATGTACGGACTTCTCTTGATTGTCTAAAAGCAGTACATTGGCACTATCCTTTGATCTCTAGTTTAGCTCTGAATTACATTTTTTGTATAAGTGCAAGTTTTTCAAAGACTATAATTACATTCGTACACACTAACTCGTCATTACCAGTAGCTACTACATATATTTCACACAGAAAAAGCTTATACTCTACAACAAGCATGTTATCTGGCCATCCACCATTCAACGTATATTTATATAAATTTAACAACGTAAATTATTCATTTGAGGAAAATACTTGACATCGAATTTCCATTAGATTTAGCAATGTCGATAGTTACTTTCTCCAAAAGTATTTCAAAATGGTCTTCTTCGCTTCTTGCCTTATTGTTCTGTCCTTCCAGAAAAAAATCGACGAACTCACTACGGCTCTGAGCAGAAACAAATTGGCACACCATCTTTCAATCATGACGATTTCTGTTTTCGAGGTTTTCATTTGCGTTATGATAGCTGGAGCTATAAAACTGACGAATGAACACGTGACCTCTAACAAACAGGACTCAGCCAGTTTAAAGTTTTTCATGGTTTCCTGTTTTGATGGCTTGTGCATAGTGTTTTTGTTATTTGTATGAGTGCTATTTTGGGCTCTAGGTTCAATTTTACCACTTAATTTTGCCAAGTCATCTTGTCGACCATTGTCTCTTTCAGAAACAGGTTGTGGACAAAGCTCTATTTCCAATTCATCTTTCACCCAAAAAAATGGCAGTTCTTTCGGTGTGTGATTTTGAATTCTTTATTTGACATTTAGTCCATTTTTCTGCATTCAAAGTAGTTGTTTCATGAAAATAACTCGCCCATTGCAGTTTGTCTGTACTGGTACTTTGTAAATTGTCAAATTTTCTGCATATTCCGCTAGATTTTCCTTCCAAACGTTTGTGACAACTACGGAAGGCTTCAGTGTCTTGTACTTTATTCCTTGAGTATTGATGTATTGCACCTTCATGAGAGACGCGATTATCTTTTAAGGTTTTTATCGGGTTTTTGATGTTTATAAGAGCTTTACCGTGCCAAAAAATTTTCTTGTTGCTTGCTTTGCGACGCGAAAAATTCTGCCGTACATGTAAACGACACTGAGTGTGTGAAAAGCGTAAACAGCAATGTAAAATTTCACCAGTGGTTTGTTCGAGCCCAGGACCTTAGCCACGACGCTAACAATAAGATATGGAATGAAGATGCAGCAGATATAAGCTGTCAGCCATTTTTTCGTGAGTTTTGCTCGATGATATACTGGGTGGATAATGCTTAGGTAACGTTCAAGGCTCATGGCAGATAACATAGCCACCGATAAAACGATGGATATGAAGAAGAGGTTGTAGAAGAGGTAGAAAGATGTACAATTGGGTTCGGCAGTTATGGCTTCTGTCATCATCTTCGCGCAAAAATATGGCGAAACGAGCAAACCGATTCCCAGATCAAAAACAGATTGAAGGAATACGAGGAAATATTGTAAACTTGTATTCAAATTGTGTGACATGCAGAACGTAAGAATTGCTGTTGAATTTAATAATATGGTTGCAATTGTTGTTAAGAACGTCGTGATTAGCAAACAAATGTGGTTTGTATAGTAACTTCCCTTATGGAACCTTACTATTACCTCTTTTTCCATTTCCAAAACACGGCATATTTTCAGTTGTAGATGTTGTCCTAACGTGGTATTCATAATTTAAGGTTTCAGTGCAGATATTCTTGTTGTTCTTTTCAAGGATTAAACGTATTCCTCACATCTCCTTACTATGTTTACTACTTTATATATACAATCCACTGTAATGGATTAATTTGTCATATGCATTAACTACTGGAAAAAAAGGTGCTAAAACGCTTTACTTTTGTCGGTAACAGACCGAAATGTTGTATTTCCATTGTAATATTACTTTTGAGTTCTTCGATTTCTGAATACATCATACTTTAAAAGGTAGCCTGAGTATTAACAAATGGGTTGCTTTTCTGCAATGTTATACCTTTTAGAGGCGGACTGAATTTGACTAATTTTGGCTAATTTGTGTGAATCTTAAATTTTTGTAACTTTGCGTTGTCCACATTATTATACACGCCTGATATTGATGTCTTTTTCCCTTTTAACATTATTGAGTTTTTTTACAATCGACGTACAAATTAATGGCAAAGATTAAGTGAGCCTAGTGAACGCCATGTTTCGCGTCTTGTTGCGAATTTTTTTCCTCGCTCAACATTTTTAAACTTTACTTACAAAAAGGAAAAACAACCGATATATTAGAATTAAGATAGTTTTTAAGTGAAGAGAAATGTCTGTAAAAAATAAACACTCCGAAAAAAGGTCCATCCTGAACTCGATATTTGAAAAAAAGCTTAAAGCCTTAATCATCGATATAGTTGAATGCTCAACTTTGTTTTAATTGAAAGTTGAATAAAGATAAATTATAAATGTAAGTATATGATGAAGGCTATCAGAAAAAATAACGTTATTAGATAAAAGTTGGGACTTTGTATTCAACGAGTTTAGGCACTGTTTAAAACCTTTCTACTTCATTAAACAGAAATATTTTGTACATTGAATAGCGCACAAAAATGACATGGCAAACACTCGTATTTTTATTTAATTCCTGCAGTTTTATTGGTTTTAGAAACTTTGTTCTGCAACATATTGACGGCGGTTCGAACGTCGAACTCTTTTTAGCAACAAAATAATTAAAAAAGCGACGTTTTCACTTTTTATATTGATGTAAATGTCTAAGCCATGAAAGTTTTTCAAGGTTTATCTGGAGAGTTTTGCTTGAAAGTTTTCAAAGGTTTATTCTTTAATAGCTTATTGATAGGTAATAGTTCTCATAGTAAGCGTGAATTTTGTCATCCACATGGAGTTAACTGTGTTCTTTATCGGTTAAAATAAAGAAATGAAATACTTTTATTACCGTTAGACATCTGCTAATCAGCGACTAAAAGCTTGTTTGGTCACGTGAATTTCTCAACTAAAGCAGGGACGCATGAATATTTATATATAATTATGCCAATGCCTTTCTCTTTGAGAGACTACATTTATACATGGCTGGCAAATGTGCCTCGAAAGAGCTTATACTACAAAATCAAAATCTTCCATTTCGTCCCAAATGTTGTAGCGTTTGCCTTCAATAGGATTTACATCCTATTTTTTTCGAGAAAAGAGAAACCCTACAGGCATATCAACGACGCTATGTTGTCGAAAATAATTAGACTAAATTATAATATCAAACATTCAACAGCCATGTGACCATATAAGCAGTGAGCATTTTGCCGTTGATTAGTATCAATAAAATTTACGTTTGGACTGTGTGATCGTTCACAATGTAACAGGCAGCTGGCACGCGCAGAATAGTTATTCTCTTCGTGACTATCAAAATCATTTTTGGGGCAAATGTGGTATAGTCCAGTTAGGCTAACGCGTTACTAATAAACTCATATACGTATGCTTTTTGAAAATACTTTGCAAGTGGGCTCATTATTTGAGAGAAATGTCTGTTACAGAGGCGTTCATTTGTTATTTCAATGAATTCATGCAGCAAATATACTGAGCAAATATCTATTAGTGCAATAACAACATCAGTTGGTATATACTGTCGTTGTTAGGGCATTTATAACAATGAGAGGGCGAAATAATTTCCACTAGGTTGGGTTGCCCACTGGAGTGTAATGTTTTGTTAGATATAGACGACTTTTTTTATGAATACTGAATTATAGTCACCAACATCCAGTTTAGGTTCAAGGGAAAATGAGGCAGATTTACTTATTATAACCATAATAGCGCAAAGATATCATTATCGTTATAGAACTCACTATTTGATAGTTTTCGAGACGTGTTTAACTTCGAAAGTTTTGCAGCAATTTTATACCAAAATTTTCTGGAAAAAGCTCTTTGTATTCACGTATTTGAGCATGCGCAAAATGTTCAAAACCCCTGAACTGTTCTCTCCGTTTTAAGGTTACGTTTGAAAGGCCGTTGAAAAACGAAAAGGGTGAACAGACCGGCGAGTTTAAGACAGTAAAAAGAACTTTATTTCACCGTAACAACGTCGTTCCTCAGAAAAAAGTGATGACTTTCAACAAAAACACGGAAGATTTTAAGTTTGCCGTCAGCTATGGCGATATAAGCTTTTTGCCCGAACATCAACAAAGGTGTGTTTATATGTATGTATTTATATAGTCATCCAATCTACGGATACGAGTTACGGGCATTACGGACAAAGGTGTAGAGCACGTACATGTTCATTTACACAACGCAAACAGGAAATTTAAAACACACTGTGCATGGAAATATTTCATGCTTTCTATGTTTCTCTTAGCATGCTCGGTAGCTCTCATCTCATGAACGTACAAGTGAAAGGTGTTGTTGAATCGTTCAAAAAACACGAATCCGATGAAGTCGACTCCAAAGGAATAAAAGCTTACTTCATGTTAGACGAGACCGGAATTCTTTCTTTGGAGAAGGTAATAGCTTTGCAAATTGATCGCAGCAAATTGCAAAATCGTGTAAATTTGATTACGTGTATTGGAAAAGTAATTGTTTTTCAGATAGAATCAGTCTTTGAAAAAGCTCCTGAGCCAGAAAAAGAAGAGCCATCAACCTTTGCAAGTAAGTTGGCTTTTGACCCATCGTGTTAGGTTTGAATGATTTTTTCATCCTTCACTTGATGTAACGACCAATGGCAATCTTTCGACTCACCATTTAGAACTGGGTAGTAAAATATCGAGCTTTTTTACCGGGTCGTCCTCGGAAACGGAAGAAACATCGGAGGGAACGAAAGAACAAGGAAAAAAGGTGACGAATTAGTTTTAACGTAGATGGAGTCGACGTTACACTATGTATTTGACTTACCCTATGTCTTCTTATATATACGTCTAAGTGTAAAAATATTTGATTTTGTTTTACACATAAATAACAAATGTTTATTGTTGATAAATTGATGTATTTCTTCTTTACATCAAACACCTTACGAGAGATCCTCTTTGAATAATTAATATTGTGATATACTAGGTGTGAGTTAGAGGTATCTTTTATCCTTTTTTCATACCCCAGCATGCATGTTGCTTGTTTGCTAATGAGAAGTTTTATCGTGAGGTCGTCTTGGAAAATTTTAGTTACATCAAATAATCGCAATTTGAAAGCGGGATTTAATTTTTTTTCGCGTACTTTCTTATAAACGTAAAACGTCTGAACTCCGAAGTCAACTTCCGACCTGCAATAGAAGTGTATGCTCAAAGTAAATTTCGAAATTAAAACTTGTTACGTTTGAAAGTGAAAAAGCTGTATGAACTTCCTTTTGGAATTTCTTAATTTATATACAACGTTTTGTTTCCACGCCAAAGTTGTCTCGTTAATTATGAAGGAGAATCGTCTGGCGTTAAAAGATTCTAAGAATATTTCACAACATTAGGCAACTGCTTCTAACAGAAAATCAAAAGTTCATATGATAAAGATTAGATTTTATTCTAGGTTGAAGAAGAAAAGGAAGAGCAGCTGAAAAATAATGATCATGAGAGCGAAAAGAGCGAAAATGGAGACGAAATGGTGGGCTTTGCTTTGAAGACAGTTGTTTAGATTGGCTTAATTTAACTTTTAAATAATTTGTCAATTTGAAATACATACTGTTACTTTGATCAAGGGGTATATGATTGAGAGGGTGGGTTGCTTCAAAAATTCTATTTCAGGTTAGGGCTCACCCCTTCACAATTCTTCAGTTTGTTTAGTTTGCATAATTTCCGTTATTCTAAAGTTTCAAATTCTGTCCCGACGATCTTCACATGACAATTTAGGCGTTAGCGCGCTTGAAGTTTTATGTCACATTATATTCCAGTTTTGTTTTGAAGTTTTAAATCAGTGACAAAGCCATCTTGTATGTTTGGACGTGCTGTGTAAATATTTCTGTTTTCTTAATGCAATAATCTGAAATGGACATAGCCACGACCGATATTGTGGGTGACTAAGATACTGCTTAAGGAATACATCAGCCAGGTGCATTTTCTGTAAGAAGGTTTTATCATCCAAATTCACCAGGTAGCAGTGACGTAGCCAGCCCGCAAATTTAGTCCTGCTATGTTAATTTCTCTGTGTTTACTCACTGTAAAAACAACAGATTTCTAAAGAAATGAATAATGTTAATGTTCTAAAATTTACACAGCAGGACCAAAACTTGCGGTCTGATTACGCCTCTGCCAGAGAACTATGCGCTTACTTTACTCGGTTCTCAAATAAACCATCCACTTTAATTTATAAATTTATAATTATGCTCGTGACGTTTTTCATGGAGAAATTACATTTATTTAGGTCATTTATGTTCTCGAGATTTATACTTAAAATTGCCATCTTTGCCAATCGTATATCACAATTTCTTTTTCATCTCTTCATTGTTATAGAAGAAAACAGATGGAGAGGCAAACAAAAAAGCGGACGAAAAGGATACTGACAATGCAAGCAATGATACGAAAGATCAGAAAGCGAAAAATGATGAAACAGAAAAAGCAAAAAGTCGTGAAAAGGAAAACGAGAAACCTAAAAATGAAAAGAAAGAAGAGAAAAAACCTGAAGAGAAAAAATTAAATGAAGAAAAGGTTAAAAATGCCAGCGAGAAGGTTAACAGCACAAGTGAAAACCCAACTCCGCCAAAACCATTAAAACCAGTCATTGTACGAGAAGCTCTTGAAGTTCTACCTGAAATTGTCGATTTTCAAGAAATGTCATCCGAACGATTCGAGTTCGCTGTAACGAGGTAAGTTTGATTCTTGGTAATCATTTAAAACTTATGAAACCAATATATTTTAGTTTGATTTTATTCGCATATCCAGTAAAGTAGTTCTTTTCAAAACTCCGGCATTTTTATGCAAGTGTACGTATGTTTATGTTCATAATCAAGGTTGAAGAATTTAAGAGCTCGTGATGATGCTAAAATAGCAATTGCCCAGGCAAAAAACTCCGTCGAGAGTTTCCTATTTGAAACTCGTGATAAACTTACAGATGAAGAAGGCGAAATGTTTATGACTGAAGAAGAACGAGAAAAACTGGAGACGACATTGAGTGAGGTTTCTGAATGGCTAGACGATGAAGGCTGGGATACCACCGAAGAAGTAAGTGAGCTATGACTAAGCGAAGGTTGAGAGCAGTTATATCTACGTATAGTTTAAGGTTTAACTTTGTTTGGAGTACTATGACTACTATCGAATATTGACTTACCATTTCGGTAGTTAAAGAATTACCATTTTAAAAAAATTACTGTACGATTTATTCTGAATGGCATGAACCAACTCCCTGCGAGTACGCTTTTAAATATAAAGCCCAAATATCAGTAAATAGACCGCTTAAAATGCAGTATGGTCGTGCTTTGATAAATTTTTGGAATCCAGAAAGGAGTGACTTTGCATGGTTAGTTTGAATATAATTCCTTCGTTTAAAATCTGAAAGTACGATTTTGTATTTGTGTGTGACAGGTGTATAACTTGAAGTTGAACGTTTTGAAAGATGCATCAAAAGATTTCTACTTAAGAATATCTGAAAATAAAAATCGTCCCGAGGCTTTGGAGAATCTTCGACGTAGCATGAACTTAACGGCAACATTCCTCAGTCAAATTGCTGGTATGAAAGAGAGAGAAGACATGTTCACCAACAAGGATTTAGAAGATGTTTCGAAAGTTCTAAATGAGACAATTGTAAGTTATTAAAGTTTACAATTACTCAACACGAGAATCGTACAAGACTGAATTACTAAACTATTTGGTGATGAACGTGTTTCTTTTATTTTGTAAATTAAAATACAAATACTGGGTTCAGTCATTTTATACCATACGCATAGAGTAACATTTCTTCACGATAAATATACATATTTTTATATGTGACTAACCTTTTTGTCACAACCGATACCACGACTATAAAATCTTTCTCAAAAACAGTTTTTCCTATAAATATTCAAATAAACTATCCCATGGATCATGAATCCTAAACAAAAATCAGGGACGTGTCGATTTCATATTTTATAAAAGAATAGATTGAAATCAGTCGTAGTTTTCTTTTAATGAACTAAAACACTGTATTGTAAGACACTATCATACATATTTCACAAATTCACAGCATTTGATAACGGTACATTAATTTTGAATTTAATCATCAGGAATGGCTGTATGTAACAGAAAAGAAACAAAACGAGAGCAAATCATCCGACAATCCTGTTCTTTTGGTGAAAGACATTACACTAAAGACTGGCAAGTTAGATCGCGAACTGATGTATTTGCTGAATAAAGCCAAATATTACGTTCCCAAGGCTAAACCTTCAGGTAGGACATTTCGTGCCGGCGTACAATCGTGAATTGTAAAACTAAGTACTTATGAAAATTTAGCTTATTCGCTTTTACCGATTAATTGAACAAATATTTTTGTTCACACGTCGAGAACACATTTAGTCATTAATGTTAACGTGTTGCTTGCCTGAATGACCTTAGTATTGGCTTTAAAGAAAATTCTGTTTTGAGAGAACGTGGTTTGGAGGTATTTCCGATGTGATCAAAAATACTCTCTTGCTTCCCAAATACTGTAGATGTACATTGACCCAGTTTCTATAGTTTTGTGATCTTTTTTGACAGATAACAGTACAAGTACAAACAGCACTGAACCGAAAATCCCAAAAATCTGATGACAAAATCAAAGAGTCCGACAAGACCGATGAATCTAAGGAAGGAAAAAGCAATCGACAAGAACCTGGTGATAATGTAGAGAAAAGTGAATCAGCCAACGGTAACAAAGATGATTCCAGTGATGAAATGAAGGGAGAGAAAATTATACAAGCAAATGATGAAGCGGATAGCGATAGTAAGAGGGAAAAAGAGGACACAATTGCATTTAAAAAGGATGACAAAGACAACATGAAAGAAAAACTGGCCGATACCCCAACAGACGACACGACGGAATCAAGTAAATCTGGGTCAAGTGAAGATCATAAAGAATTATAAATTATTGGATATGATGAAGAGAGAGTTTGAGTGAAAGTTAAAACCATCTATTTCTAATGCCCTGTTCGTTTGCTACGTACTTGTATGTATTTATTGTATGAAAGCAAATGCTCGAAACTTTTCCTCATATTTTTTCCTGCAGTCGATCATCTTGAAACATTTGCATTTTGAAAGTATTAGTTTCTGAGCTGTTTCCTCATTTTGTTGGTGTATACTACTTGCCAAATGCTGTGTTATTTTTTCAGCTATCTAGTATAAAAGCAAGGTTCTTTGAACCGTTGTCTACATCTACGTTCTTGCAAAGAAAAAGTCGCATACGAGGTAATACGCATGCGTATTATATTGAATTTTTAGCTTTCGAGTTTAAAAGTGTTTCAATTTGGTAATTTGACTTTAAATGTCAATATACGTTAGCCTTTGTGCTTTCTTGATAGAACTATACTATTAACAAAAGGAAATCTGGTCTCATAGAAAGGCAATTATTTTTCTTTAGGTAATGATAGTACCAGATACTAAATTCATATTAATACACTTAAACAGTGAGGACAGGATATTTATTTGTCAAAAAATTATCAAAATACAATAACGCAGGTACAAGACTGCACATTTAGGTTTATATGAGACCGAAACCTTTGCTATACGTTATTGCTTTGACAAGACGTTCTTCCAACTGACTTTTCATGGAGTACTCTGGCAACAGTAATACATTGAAACACGTGTGAGCAGTTGGCAGGCTAAGAAAAAAACAGAGAGATTCTTATTTCTTTAAAAATTTCCAACAGTATGACGATTTCCGACGTGAATGCAGTGTGTTAATAATATTTGGTCAATCTAGTATGAAGTGACATAAGTTCTGTGATCTCATACAAAGAAGTTTTTAAGTGCTAAACTAATAAAAGTTCTTAAGTTCCAAATTACTCTTTGGTTTAATAACAGTCCCTATCTATCGAGCATTTCACTCGCCCTCCAGCCAATAAATTTTGAAAAAATATTCTATATGTTCGAATGCCTCGTAATTTTGCAATTTGCAATCCACTTTCAGCAGGAGGCAATATTGTTAAACTTCATTTGATTAACAATATATAAAGAGTGTTATCACTTGACGTCATGGTCGCCATGTTGGAGTACCAATCGAAAGAATTTCAATGAAGTTCACTGACATGGCTGCTTCCTTCATTGTCATGTTGATCTCTGGGGAATGACTCGTCAGTGCAAATTTGCTCGCATTCAATATTCAATATAGTCATATAAAAAAGCCAAAACGTGAATTGAATGAAAGTGTTTTCACTGTCCGCCATAAGGTGGAAAATCCGAATGGTGAAAAGGATTCATTTTGATTTCATGCTTTGTTGATCATCTTCGAAGAAATCTATGTTTAAAGTTTAAAGTAACCTACCAACATGGCGCTTTGACGTCAATGAAACCATTGGGAATCAAGTTTGCACACAGGACGCATAATTTATAACCTGTTCTATAACCTACTGCGCTCACCTGTTCGAATTAGGACCCTGTCTAGCAATTATAAGTTTGAGTTGAGCTAATCCACCAATAGGAACTCGATCACTCCCGGTAATGAACATGAGTAGTTGCTTCTTTTGATCAAGCGTGAACTGATGAACAACCTCCCAGAACCATCTAAATGGAAGTTAGAAAAATAGCTACAGTAAATATGTCTTATAATTGTGAAGTAGCCGCATGTAGATTCAGGAATCGAAGATTTACAGCTTGGTTACCTTACGATGGGTGATGTTGCTTCATAACCTCCTTCATATTCGGTTGTTCTTTCTAAAGCTTCGAAATCAAAATCCTGTGGAAAGTGAGCGACGACGAATAGGTGAGTTTAAAAAAATACGTTGATTGTTAGCACAAATTTGAATGAACAAAAACTCCACTTGTAAATTGGTTACAAGACTACAAATAAACCCTACACGGTAAAGCTTCCCTAAAGCCATCGTAAGTCCATCGGTCCACAAGAAATTCTACAGTCTTTGTCGCGTAAAAGTTCAACAACCGTTCGAGGCTAAAGTACTTAATGCATATAAACAGTCTAACCTTACTACCGCAAACAAGAAGTTCCAATTCCTCAGGTCGAAATAATCGCCTCAAAGGCGAGTCTTTGGTGACCATATCAAAACCTTGCTTGAACGGTTGAAACTAAAAATAAGCATCGTTATCGTTTCTGTTTCGGAGAAGTTGCCTTTTGACGAAAATCTCATACGATGAAGTTACCTGTTCCTCAATAGATTCATTGAGAATATAATCAACATAACGCTCAACGTATTTCTGGGGAAAATATACAAAAAAAACACGTTTCACTCAAGTTAAATATGCCACTATTACTTAGATGCACTTTGCAAGCTTTCATAGAATGTCGATATCAATGAATCTCTCTACAACCCAACGTTTTTCCGTCAACAGAATGTCAAAGGACGATTTCTTTGAATTCGAACAATAGTGGAAATAATTTTAAAACCTCGCGGTTTTCATTTGTCACCATGACGTCTTTGCCGTTTTCTATCAGCTCGTGCTTCAGATGGTTGCCAAACACGTCACTATAACTGATCTCAAACGAACAAAGGAACGCGCTTTCCACGTCTCCATCGAAATCGAGGATACTTTGTAGGCTATTTGCAATTACCTAATAAATTAAAGAAAATTTTAAGACCTAAATTGCCATTCACATCTTTGCCCTCTTATTGGTGAAGTTACCGAAAAAGTTCATTGTTTTAATGAAATTGAAACAAACAAAAAACTTAGATCAATTAGAATTTCAGTTGTAGCTGCGAAAGTTACTAAATTTAAAGTCGGTTCAATGAAGATAGAAAACTTATCACAGGATCGATTTATGTATCATAAAATATATATATATATCAATTTAAACTATTCTATCCAACCGGATGAGAGTCTTTAAGGTCGAGCAGGCTTCCGTGTCTGGCAAAGAGTTTCCGATAAACAACCATAGGAAAGTGTACGTCCAGAATGATATTGTTATAAATGGCCAATCCCAATATTAGGCCGATCAACATGAACTGCGCATGACTTTCGAACGATGTTTGATTGAACCAGAATTGTCGGGTATCTGGATCGTATGTGAACATCCCTGCAATATCCCATTGATTTTCATCACTAAATATCTATTTGACGGTAAATCGCTTTAATGTGTATGAATACGGATCAAATAACTCGACAATGGAGATGTTTTCTTTACTTTCTCTTCAAATGTACTTTTTAGTATAATCACTAAAGTCCTTTGGTTATTGTCATGCTCCTTTTACGTACTTATCTAGTATTCAAAAGATATTGATATTATAATACAAAGCACACACCGCAGTCAAATCCATATAACTGTTATTTCAAATAATTTTTTCTATGTTCATAATAGCTCATTGCTTTGAATTATAAAAGTTGTAACTGATGACTACAAAATCAGTGCCTTGAATACAATAGGATAACTTTAAACCGACACATAAATTAAGCTGTAGATACGTCTTACCATAATCTGGATTGAAAATTTGTTCAACAACCAACTGAAAGAACTCTTTTGACACTCCTCCTTCGTCGAGACCTTGTTCCCCAGCAAACTCAACAAATAATTGTTTTTTCAGATCAAGAGGATTTTCTTGATAGATCATTTCGAGCTGAAAAAGTGATGGATTTGAGAAAGGTTTGACTTTAAGAAACGAGAAATAATTTTCACATTTTTTAAGGTTTGGGTCCTCATTACCTAATTATGGGTTTCGGTATACGTTTAAAACCTCTAATCCCCACCTCAGTCATCTAATTACTATTCATTAAAAAATACAATGAAACGCGTGCGCTGATTGGTCTACAGCTGTGTTTGCATTTGCCTGTGCAAAACACATCTGAGCTCAACCAATCAAATCAATCAAAAAATCAATCAGTCAAAGAAAACTTGCAAAGCGATCATGAATACATTTTAGAGGAAAAATTAAAATGTTTGTCTTTTTCTCAATATGGTTATTTTATAAAAGAAATAAAAGATGTTTTTCGTGTTTGCTCTGGCTTATGCAAACCTTGGAGAGGTTTGTGAGAACTCTCGAGCAGGTGCAACCTTCGGTCTCGGGCTTGCACTGATCTGCTCTCGAGTTCTCCCAAAGGTCTCCTCGGTTTGCATAAGCCTGTGCAAACACGAAAAACATCTTCCTTCAACTTATAAACATGAATACTAAATACTTTTCACTGACGGCTATTTACTTCTAAATATCAAAACTCTGAGGTAAGCCGCTTGACGCGTCACGCGAAAACACTACAATTCAAACGTACTAATGCAAATTTGGGCTGCAGTAACCAATGCAACAAATTGATTATTCAGGTTCAATTTACAAGCAAAAAAATAGACACGCGATACGTACATGGGGGGTTTCATGATTTGAGCCAATGCCCACTGCGATTTTTTCAAATTTATATTTAAATGATTTAAAATTTAATTTGAATCATTTTGCTGCAACTTTAAGATATCAATTGTTAAATAACACAAGATATTTACAAACTGGTTTGTTTAATAAATCGACTAATTTTCTTTCAAATCAGTCTGTTAGCAGAGGTTCGACTGTATTTGAATCTGTTAAACGGAAAAGATGCATTACCTTAGGGTATAAACAAGGCAACTGGGCAAGTAGGAAACCAGCTAAACTTACATTGACAAGAGCATCTTGTATGAGGTTATCTCTATGCACGGTCAACTTAAGGTACGGCGCTGCAGGCTCCCCCCGTAACAAGCTATAAAAGTGCGTCCAACGTCTTTCCTGCAACATGTTCACGCGATTGTCATAAAACATCCACGTGCTTTTCGTGGATGTCGTCAAAATGAAGTTACACTCCTTGAATGAGAAACCTTCCCTGGTTTTATAATATGTGAAGTCACGATCGACGACTATAGCATCGTTTAATGGTTCATTAATAAACTCGTCCAGAGGTAGCAGAGGTTTCCGACAGTCCACTGCATTGATTTTCAGTGTTTCTTCAAAAGGATCACGATAATCTTCACCCCGACTAGAAATCGGAATATGATTTATCATAGATGACGTCTGGTGTTCACCTCCATAGAGAGATGCATAAAACAAAATTTTAAACACTTCGCAGCAGTAACAATAGCATCATCATCGTTCACACACTTTGAACTCGAGTCAGCCGAGGGGCCCATAATGACGCGAAGTGTTATAAGCTGTTGAAGAGTTTCCACTTTCGTCTTTAACAATTCCCTCGATTGTTTAGACCAATGTTTGATTAACAAAACAGCGGTAGCGATTGGAATAGAAGATAAAGCCTGACAAAATCTTGGTAGAGCGTGGTTCATGTATTCCGGTTGGTTCATATATGGATTCTCAAACATGATAAGGAACAGTCGATAATCTACGAATTTGTTGGATTTGCGTTTAATCTGGACGATAAGATCTGTTGATAATGTCTCAAGACAGTTCACTATTGTATTTTCAACGACATCATCATTGAGCGTGTACAACCTGTCATACATCTCTCGCACGGCTTCCAAATCAACCATATTTTCATTCGATGAAAAACTAGCACATAATGAAGACGATTTGGTCAAAACATTGCCAAGTAAACTGATCAATGCTTTATTGTCATTTCCATTCTGACATGTAGTAATAATGTCATCCAGAATTTCTCTTTTCAAACACATATCTTCATTGTCTTGAAAGCAAATTATAGAATGATGATAGCATATATTATCTATTTCATAAAAAGGACTAACTAGATAAGTGCTTATACATGGGACCATCAAATTGACTTTTTTCCAAAATGGAATTACTTCATGATTATATTCAAAATTCACTAACCCTCCAGCAATGAAATTCAAAATTTTCACAATATTTATATTTTTGTCTTGCATGACACCATAAAACATCAACAAAATTCAATGATTGCTCTATGTCTGTCTATGACACAAAAAAAAAATCCACTTGTTATAAAAGAGTAGCAAATGAGCCTAAACTTGTAAGGACTTTACATGGAAAAATGTTTCATTCTTAATGGTCCATTGTAAAGGGGCTTTGGCATAGGGTTATCACTAATCTTTAGTAAAATAAGAACTTTACATGAATATCTCGAATGCCAAAATTAAAAACTTGTAGACACAAACATAAAATTGACCATAATGACAACTTAAAAAACAGCCAAATCCTTACCTCCTTGGTTGATATTTGTACTAGAAAGTGTTGATTCTTGCACACAAAGATCAGCATGTTGCTTAAACAACTTCAAGGCAATAGCAGCAGCTTCATCATTGCTAACAGAAACTCTGCGGTTTTGAGCACAATGTTTATTTTGACACGTCTCATTTCCACAACCATGCATTACCTGATGATGATATCGCAACAGGATGTTTTTAAAGACCAATTTTCTAAAATCATTCAATGTTCATATAATTTGATGTCGAAATACTAAACAGTGCTTAATTCAAAACATGAATTAATTTTAAAAAGCTACAGAAATGTTTTGTAGCTTCAGGGATGTCACCAAGATATTTCATTAAAAGTTTAAGGGAAAATGGGGTTAAACTGGGTAGTGCCATCAGCAGTGTAGCTAGTCTGCAAGTTGGCAACAATCTTGAATATATTTATAGTTAGATTTCTCAAATAGTGGTGTAACCAGCCCAACATCTCACTTCAACAATGCAATTTTTTCAGCAAAATTATTACTCATTTTTTGAGAAAGTTAATTCTGCTATTCAATATTTGAAAACAAAATCTTTGCATTCTCGGAGTAAAAAAAGGCTGGCTTTTGCTGAAGTTCAGCTCATATGAACTGAACATTTCAATAATTTCATCTATTATTTTTTGGTGGGCAAAATCAATTGATAATGCCAAAAAATGTCTTTGAAGTCAGCTTATACTATATTTAGGAGGAATTAATTCTGTATCTAATTTATATTTAAGTTAACTCAGCCAAGATGATAAAAAGTTTCATCGTGCCTATTTATTACGAAAATGACTGATCATACGCAGAAGATCATTAGAATAGAGTAAAAATAACGGTTGTGCTCTTATGTTATCAATGTCCTTTATACAACAAACAATAAAAAAATCTCACCCTCTTCAAGATATAATATGAAAACTTCGCACTCAAATTAAAGTAGAAAGAAAAGTATGTATTATTGACCACACTGACCTTGTATAGGACGGGTCGTCTGAGTGATCAGCAATATTTTCAATTTTGCCATCTGATTCTTGTCTTGAAACCATTGTATTTTATAATTGTGTATCATTTAAGTTCCTACCATTGGACATTTTCCCATATTCCTTATTTACCTAACGACTTCCTGTCGAAAACCGATGGATCGATGAGGAGACTAGTGGCACATGGGAGCACATAGGTATCACTATAGTGAATAATGTACCTTTAGATAGACTCCACCGCAACTCCCCCCTTACCCACGACGTGAAAATGTGAAAATTTCCTCGCGACAGTGATATTTGATTTTCTACTACGCCATGTCAACATTTTATTCCCAAATACTCCAACCAATACTATTTGGGAATAAAATGTTGACTTATAGTCAACGGAAGTGAAGAAGACTTTTTTGTTTACAAAGTAACGATGACATTGATGACATTCACACGCCACATTTTCGTGATATCGAGGAAAGGTGTAGCTGCCTTACTAAATTACTGGACCACGCTTTTATGGTTTAAAATTGTCGTTAAGTGACCGTGAAGGATCATTGCCATTCATGTCATTCATTGTTTAACTAGAATGACTAGCACAAAAGACGTCGCCCACGAAGATCGTAAGGTATCTTATAAACTCATCTTGCGAGTGCTATTTGAATCTGTTGACCGTTCGCAGCTGTTGTTGTTTTTCCTGATAACGTTTCTCTTTTGTTTTTGTAAATGGCTTTGTTGTTTGTTTTTTTTTCAAGGCCGAATAAAAGTGAGTAATATTTTTAAGATAAGAACTTAGCCTCTTGTATATACTGGCAAGATGATTTTAACTTGTATTTTTTTTGAAAACCAATTTGCTTCACTTCGCTGAAATGACAATTATTGACGATTCTTGATTGAGCGCCAAAGCAGCTTATGAATATTGTTGGAGTAACTTAAAGAGATACTGTACTTTCGTCTTTCAAGTGTAATACTCCACTGTTAATTAAGCCTACTTGTGTTTCCCTTGACAACTCAGCGCGTACTTTCCTTTGGGATTTAAAATATATTTATAGTGCAAATTTTATGACTGAAATTTTAAAACAGTCAGATATTGCAACATTAAAATTTCATGAATGTGAGTGATACAACTGCATGTAATAAAATCAGAAATCTGAGCAGTTAACCATTACAAGTACAATTTACAATAAAATGTATTGGTGGATAAACTACTTTCTCTAAAACATCAGAAATATGTAGAAATGTATCCATCTGTTTATCACATAGCATCTTTAGTTGTTGAGTGTGCATTCTTTTCAATTCAGATTGAATTCTTTTCAATTCATATTGAAAGCTTTAGCTGTTTGAATTTATGTTCCACTTTATAGTTGTCACACTGTGTTGAAATTTGCTTACAACATCTTGGTACTCTGTCATGATTCTTAAAAAAAAACAGTTAGATTAGCCAGTAATTGAATATCCAATATGTTGCAAGGTTAAAAATCCCAAATTGCTGTCTTGTTGATCTATCTTGCTAAACATGATATGCAGATTTTTATAAATAATTTTTGTATTGAATCATTCTTGTCACCTTTAACGGTTTATAAATATTACTATTCCAAAAATGTTGCCATTTTCTTTTCATGTACCATATAAAATATTTGTTCCCCGTTATACTCTACTTAATCAAAATAAGCTTAGTGTATTGTCATTTTGCATAGGTTTGAGAACATTCTTTAGAGCGTTATAGTTTAGTCAATGAGCAAGCCCTAAAATATTTGCGTGCATAGCTTGCTTAAATAAGACAGCTAGTTACAATTCTGTAATAAATAAGGATATTTTGTTGGCCTATGTATGTGGTGAATGATTGGATAACTTAACCCCAGAAATCCTTATGCTGTTTGTGTGACAAATAAATGGAACTCACTCTGTGATTGCATGAATGAAAGCTTCCACCATATACTTTTGGTGGATTTGACATCAATCTCCAAAAAACCTTCCAATCGACAGCTCCTGATTTTTTGCAGTATGTAGTGGCTCATGAAAGACATGCAGGATCTCCTTGCCTTAAATGTGGACCAGAAATTTGCATTGGTGGTCTTGATTTACATTTCTGGAGGTGATTATTGTCGCTTGTTGTATTCAAGCAATTTTCCTTTCAAAAGTTATTATATTACCATGATGTCACTTAGTCAAGACGATTTTTAGGAAAATATGTAAGACCTGTAAATGTGGCTTTGCGGATCACGATATAAAGAGCGACGAAGACTCGACTCATCAGGTGATCTTGCGTGAAATTCATCAGTTAGTCACTGGTCCAAATGGATGTGGTATAGTCCAAGATAACATAAAGAAGTTCCGATTGGCGAGCTCCAGTAGTGAACCTGACGTTAGCCCGAAAGGAAGCTTTCTATGGGTACCATCTGGCATCTCAAAAGAATTGGTATACGTTCTTTTATATGAGCGAGGATTTTTTCTCGATTTCTTTTATCCCAATCCCATAGCTCAATTTGTGTCACATTCATTAGGTAGAATTTAATCAAAATTTAACGCCTGTACGTAATCATTTAGTGACCATTAGCTTCCTTCGAGAACATTCAACACTGAGAAAACATGTATGATTTGACCATCTTTCCCGAATGCCACACAGCACGAAATGAAACGTAGAAGTGTTATATTGGATTATGTGTTGGGCAAATACATAAATTAGCTAGACCTTCCGCTTGGGTGGCGTTTGGGCAAGATACCGTATTAGCTAGTGACAAAAGAACAAAAAAACGAATTGTAAATTTGTTTTTGTCATAGCTTTTTTCAAAATTTTAAATTGCTAGTGATTGTTCATGTTCCTATTAAAACCGATGTGTAATCTATTTACTCGTAGGCGAAAAAATACATCGCCTCCCTTCCTGCAGACAAGGCGCCAATCAAGAAATCAGACGGTGAGTTTTATCGTCGTAAGCAAATGATGACGCAACTTCCCGCTCACGACAATGACGAACGGTTTTGTGATGAACTCACGGACGAGGAGAAACAACGCATGAGAGACTTTCTAGACGAAAGAAATTCAAAAGCTGTAGGAATTGGAGAGGTTGGAGAATTGGCTGATACCAAGGAAGTTAGTAAACTTGTAAGTATGAGGACAACGTTAGATTCACTGTGTTGCTACCAGTTTAAGGGTTAATGCCTTCATAATTACGTATGCATTCGTAATTTTGGCATTCAGAATCAGAGCTACCTCTTTCTGTTAACTGTTAACATAACTGATGTGAAACTTGTCTGATAAAAATCCAATATGAGATGAGTTTTTTTTGTTCTTTTTATTCATCAGAAATGCCATAAATGTGGAGAGGCTCTCGTGCCTGGAGATATTGCAGTGTTTGCAGCCCGAGCTGGTTCAGATATATGTTGGCACCCCATTGTTTCGTGTGTAAGACTTGCGACGAGCTCTTGGTTGATCTTGTATACTTCTTTAAAGACAACGAGTTGTATTGTGGTCGTCATTACGCGGATTCCTTTCGACCGAGATGTCGTGCTTGTGATGAGGTAAGACCTTCATCATGTTTTTACCTTATCTTCATTCTGCCTTGGTGATATAACCACCCTGATAGGAATGCATGTACATGCGAAGGCAAGGATGTCCAATCTATTCATTTCTCGCGAGTCTTCTAAGGTTTATGGTACATGGACATACGGAAAGTTTACTTACAGGAATTGAACATTTCGGTTCGCGTTTTAAGGCTAGTAAGGAGCAATTGAATCTTTATCTCGCTTCCGACATAAGTTAGCTCCATCGAGGTTGTTGGAAGCGATATTAACTGGAGAGCGACCTTTTTCTAATTTTGATAAATACGATACATATTAGGTAATATTACACTCATGTTACCATTGTTTTCAACATCTAAGGTTTTAAAAGTCGCTGCAACAACCTCACTTCCAAGGCTGCGCACTCTGAATGTCCAATTTTTTTCTTGTTAGCTCATATTCAGTAAATCGTATACGCAAGCAGAAGGCTACAACTGGCATCTCAAACATTTTTGTTGCTTCGAGTGTGACAAGAAACTAGGCGGAGAGCAATATGTCGTTCGAACACATCCATACTGTCTTGATTGTTATAACATTCTATTTGCAAAGAGATGTGGCACGTGTGGCAACATTATAGCAGCAGATGATAAAAGGCTGAGTTACGAAGATCATTTCTGGCACGCTACTGACACCTGTTTTCACTGTAGCAACTGTTTGGTGTCCCTCGTCGGAAAACAATTCCTTCCTAAGGGTAAAAACGCTTATTGTTCGACGAAATGTTACAAAGGCCACCAATCACAATACATTCAGTCGCAGTCGTTAACTTAACTTTTTTTTTTTCTTTTGAGATGGTTGTCATATAGTTTGTGCGGCGGTCAAAATATTTTGCTTTTTGTTGTAAGCTTGATTAAACACTAATTTGAACCTCAAATATTGTCATGTAAATAAAAGAGACAAAACAATTATTTAATTAATACAATTAAACTACATCTTTCAAACATACAAAACATTTAGAATACCAAGCAAATATTGGGCCTTTTAAAAAAATATGTCAGCCATTCCTTCATCTAAGAATCGTTTGTAAATGCTCATAAACTTTGCAACAAATGCTTCCAAGTGGTATATCACCTTATTACCACGCTGTAAACGGTGTTCGTAAAACGCCGCGATTCGAGACACCTCCGCTTTCAATGAACCATCGCAGTTAGATACGAGCTCTTGTACAAGACCCTGTTTGTGGAGCAAAAAAAACCCAACTTTACCACGTCCTTCGATTTTTGATCAAAACTTTTCAAGACAGTAAAACCCTGTGCATAGTGAACCTAAATATTTTCAAGTTAGCCTAAAAAGGTTCATATGTTAATGCTTCTTATTGCGATGTTCGGTTGAACATAGTTCTAAAATAGACTCTTATTTTCGAAGGTAAAAGTGAGTCATTTTCGTATTATGTTAATGATTTATTTAGCAGAGACGGCGCAACAAAATTGAACCTGGGGGTCTAACTAAATTTACTGCGTCTTACTTTTCCTCAAGTTAGGCTAAAATTTATAAATGTTTGCAAAAACTTTATCTAGGGGGGGGGGGAGTTCAACCTCCCCCACTTTAGCGCCGTGCCTGTTTAGGATTCTGTCATCTAGTTCATTTTCATTAATTCGTGAAGAGTTTATTAGAGTTTAGTTTCGCGGACTTTTAGTGTACCTTAGGGTACCTTAGTGTACCTTAGATGTGGTATAACTGTTGTATGTAGCTATATGGCAGTTGCACCCTCAATAAGCATAAAATTCTCTTAATGCCATTCGACAATATTTCAATATCACGCGCACCTTCATGATTACGTCCGCTGGTATACAATGAGCCAATAATTCGTAGAGCCTTCCTCGGACTTCAAAAAGTCTAATTATTGGAAAGATAATTTTCATCAGTTGCAATGTGAGACTACGTAGATACTACCAAGTATACTAATCTCCTAATTTTACCGTTGTGGAGATTGTATTTCGGTTATTGCTTGAGCCGTTGCCTTGAGATAAACTTCCCAGTCCGCTTCCTGGATCTGTTGGTCATCGCTGAAGGGATACCTAATACGTATAACTATGTGAGAAATGTGGCGTTTCAAAAAATCGTGTTACAGTTCAGTTTTATTTTCTCCTTGTCTTGTGAATAGTGAATATTTTCAACACCACAACAAGGGTGGATTTTCTAGGGGGTTCACACAACTCCTGTCAAGTGCGCATTAATCTGCCTTGCACCACAATCAAAAACTGAGAAACTCACTGTTGCACTCGGCAAGCCTCGCACATAAGCAGAGCCCTTCGAAGATTTCTTCCAGATTTTTCAGAAATACGTCGAGCTAGTTCCTCAGGCAAAGTCAATCCTTCTTTTCTGCACACGTTGTTCAAAATTTGCGAAATCTAAACGAATCAATGCATTGTTTGATAAGTACAGAAAAAGATTGTGATCCAGGGTCGGGGCCCTGCCGGAGATCAACCATTGCTACTTAGGTCTCGGGCCATAGCATGGGAAGTGTCTTTTAATTCACATCCAATGAGTAATATTAAATAAATTTATTCCTTAAAGAGATACTATTACCCAAAAAATGTTAATAAATTGTTTTTAATTGGACTGAATGACAGATTCAAACCTACCTCCTCGTTTGTAGGAGCTGGGACTCGAATACCCAGACAGCGACTTCTAATTGCTGGAATGACTTTACTTGTTGAATTGCAATAGAGAATGATGCGACATGTTGCTGTGTATTTTTCCATTGTTCTTCTTAATGCATGTTGGGCATCTTTAGTTAGTTTATCAACTTCGGTAAGTAAAACCACTAGAAAATTGAGCACAACAGGATTTGGTTCAGAAAAAGATGCATTGTTGGGAAATTCTGTAAAACCAAGACATTTTCATTTGCATGCTATTAAATTATCCGAGCTCAGCAAGGGTGTTCACTTTTCAGCACTTGCACCAACCCCTCTATATAAGCCCATGATATGATAAAACTTTGATTATATACTACATTTTGAAGGTGTACTTCATGATGTGGGTACTTCATTGTGCCACATGCAAAACATGAATGCTTTCAAAAATGGTTACTTAGCTGAAATATTTTATGGGGGCTGTATTTGTGACAACCATGTTGTTTTAGTAGTATGTAGACTAGGATTTTTTACCAACCACAATATCTCCTTTACATGAATGTTATACCTTTGAAATCCTTTTGTGATCCAGAATCCAACTGATGAGACTGTGCAACTGTTTTTATAAGATCTTGAATAACCACTCGATCATATATACCTGCATCGCTGTTTTTTTTGATAATTTCAGCATTGATTTGAGTTATGATGGTAAAGTATTATTTATCATTGCCTATGGTTACTGTCATTCATTAATTTTGTGTTAAAATCTTAGTAAATATCTCTAACATTACCTTGGGTTGACTTCAATATGATAGTTACTAGCAATGGAGGATATTTCAACTTTCTTGTTGGATGGAGTCTAGATATGAAGCATTTCACGACTTAATTCGCTTTAATTGAACTATACTATGCAAAAACACTTCTGTATTACTTACAGTAAACGTTTGCTGTTGAATCTTAAGTTTCATAGCACCAGGACCATAGAGTTCACGCAACACACACATTATCCTTGTCTTTTTCCCAGATCCAGAAGGTCCATAAAACATGAGATGTGGAAAATCTCTACTGCTAGCCTTAAAATAATTTTTAAAAACAGAACTATTAACCAATCAAAATAACTTTTAAATAGATAGTAGGGCAAGATTCACTAGTGCTCTAAACTTCAGTGGTAATTTTTTTATTTAACCTTAAAAGATATAACAAAAAAAGCATGTTAAGCAAGGAGTAAAATGTTGCTTTTCTGTGCGAGCAGCATGTCAAATTGTTTACAAGTTATAATACCAGCTTCTTCAAATGCGCAGTAAGATTCTTATGGTAATCCAACTTAGCAAGAGAATTTGGACGATATTTGTCTACCCATAAACTCATAATGAACCAACAATATTTAAATGAAGATTGTATCAATTGGTATTTTGTATAGCGAGCAGTCGTGTAGATCTGGCCCTCTTCTGACCCTCTTCGTTTAAATAGTGACGTACATATTTCCCGCCAAAATTGGAATCTCGCTACTTGGACTTTTTTATGTAGTATATTATTTTATATGCTTTGTTTGTCTACAAATAACTAAGCAAATATGGTTTATTGGCATATTGATGAACAAATAGGAGAAACAAGAGCATGTCGGGGATAGTGAGGAGTTCAGTAATACATTAACGCATAAATATCTCGTGGATCATAATGGACTTCTTTGGATTATTTGGTTAATTCACAGCCGCCATATTGGAAAGCATGAAAGTCGGCCTTTCTCATGGTCTTTTTTTTTTCGTAAATTTTTGTATTTTTTGTTTTATTTTGTCTTCTCCTCGCTATTTTATGTGTGACTATGGCTGAAGAAGTTGTATGCCAGGAATATGCATCTTCTTTGGAGGATTTATCATTTAACTCAAAGCCACTAATAAACGTGCTGACCATGCTTGCAGAGGAAAACGTTCAACAGGCAGAAGGGATTATAAAGCTTATTGAAAAACGTATATACGAGGTAATTTGTTGTACCACGAAGTGCACCTTAGTATTTTAAATAAAATTTCAAACATTTTGATATGTTGTAAATTTGTTATATGGTTTTTATCAGATTTAATGTTTTTATCGTAAATGTCGTCGGCATTACATTTATATCTCGATGTAATCCATGAAATAATATTCGCCCTGGATATTCATTCGACATCGGAAATTAATCCGACATAACTATTTATGTCTTAAAAACTTAAATAAACCTAACCCTAACCAAGATTATTTTTATATTTTTATGTGTTGGTTGAAAAAAATGAAAGATTAAGTCGATTTTGAGAACGAAAAAATTATTTGAATAATTCGACAAAATCCGACCTGCGGGGGGTGGGCTACTAACTCATATAACTAGGCTTCTTTCACTCTGCTCTTACCACTAGACTACAGAAGCCTTGCGAAACGTAATTTTACAAAATACACAACATATATACGTGAAAATTAAACACGAGATGTCTGATGTATAAACACGGCGAATGATATTTTATCTGTTCACCACAATATGTGTCTTATTTCCTCACAAAATATTGTGTTCATTGTATTCCTGCTGCTATAAGCTTATCAGTGCAACTGCATCTGTAAAAAAGCCTTCCCTGTTCTTATGAAAAGTTTTCTCACACTTTATTTAATACATTCTCAATTTTTCTCAGACTTATATTGTCAATTTTTGTCATCAGTCAGATCTCGTCTCAGGTATTACCAAATGCATGTAGATCATTAGTCATTTCAAGTGCATAAACAAAGTAGGAAAATGCTTTTGTTGCAAAACAAGAAGACTGTTTAAGAATAACAGATTTTACAAAATTGCTGAAAAGTAAAATGGCGACTTGGTACCTACCAACTTTCACTAGCATATTTATGCACTAATTTATCGTTGCATATATTAAATTTGAAGAAAATTTATGTTTTGAATGTACATTGAACCTTACATCGTGCGACTCCTATGCCAGTGTTCATATGGTGATTCCCATGAAAATGGTTGCTCACATAAGCTGCAATCTAATGTCAATCCCTGAAGTGTAAAGAAAAAAGTTTGATTTACCCAAGTCTACAATGCTAAATACATCATTAACCATTTCTGCAAAAGCTTCATGTTGTTTTCTGTTTATATATCGGAAATCTTACAGATATAAGTAGAATTACTTTATTAGACTTTTCAGACACTGGTAATTTTCATACCTTGTGAAGTTGGTAAATGTGAAAGTATGGTGTTTGTGACTTTCTCAAAATTAGAAAGGATTTGCTTTAGTGAATAAAGGTAGTTCCAAAAATAGAACTATAATTAATTATTGTTTGAAATATGCAGAACTGGTTGATGCAACCAACTGCAAGATGTGCTTTTATTGCAATGCAAGACCATACATATATATTTATTTATTTATGGCAGCTCTTAATCTCTATCTGTGTGGATGCTTGTATGGCAAAAGAAAGTGAAAATCACTGCAAGGCAGTTGAAAGTAAAAATCACTGCCAAGCAGTTGAAAGTAAAAATCACTGCAAGGCAGTTGAAATCTTCCCCCTTGAAAACTTTTACAGTTTTCTATGTTTAGTGGCAGCTATCTCTTTTTCGTCTTATTTTCAACATATTTGAGTGTTTGGTGTACGGATAATGGAAATGAGTCAAGTGTACCATGTAATCACATAGTTGTACATTGTCATGTATGTTTTCAAAATACACGTACCTTGTTGCTTTCATGTAATTTGCTGAGCAAATAAAAAAGATAAAAATTACGTAGATAATTATTGATGTTATTCTTGTACATGTCCGCCTTTCATCGCTCCTTGTCCCCATTGTTGGGTGCTTGTCTGGTTTTTTTAATCTTCCATGTTACGCAAAAAAGAACTTTGTGAACGCGATTATATTGTCCACTTTAACACAATTATGGCGAACGAAATACCCACTAGCTATTCCAATTGGCAATATCATGAATTGTGACATTGTGATATATTTAGTATAAATTATCCATAATTTAATCAAATTTTACATCGTTTGACGGTGAGTGTGCTATCTGTATCTTTGGTGTGACATTTAGCACCGTACCTATGTCATGTTTTGGTAAGTATACAATTGTTTTTACGCATTCCTAATTAGTAAAGGAACATTTCTGACAATCTCCATGTGATAATTAAAAATTGCATATTATGCTTGGCTGTACTGTGCCTGAAAACGAAACTGCATGTATAAAAAGCGTTTAAATTGCCGGTGTTGGAATGTGGGGGGGGGTGGGCTCTCAACATCAATTATTTGTTTGATGTTTTACCACTTATGGATGTATTCGCTCTATTGATTACAGCACATCATTTGTATTGGATGTATATCCAATCTCTACTTCCAATAATAGTCTACCCCTTGATGTTTCAATCTTTCGGGATACAAATATCTACTTTCGCTCCGAATGTTCTCCATTGTATAAATCTGCATTGTGTCAACTGATTCTGGATTTTTTCGTCGAAAGGAAGTATTTCAATCGACTTTTAAGTTCTTTAAGAAAATCTTCACAACGACGTCTTTTGTTCACTTAACATCTACCAAGAAATGAACTATGGTCTGTCGTGAAATAGAAAACGTCACATTTGCCCTCTTTTTGTTAATTATTCCTCATTAATTTTCTCGGCTACCTCGTTTCAGGTTGATATTGACAAGAAATTGCCTGCACTCTACTTAATGGATTCTATCGTAAAGAACATTGGAAATCAATATATTACTGCCGTCTCTCCTTGTATTGTCGCCTTGTTTACTCATGTTTTTGAACAGGTAAACAACTGCTAACTGTTCTTTTTCCTCTTAAGCGCACTGACATGACGGAAGATCAAGAGCACAGCAGCGTCTTTAAATGCGGCCAATTTAATGAAAGGCCCTTGATTAAGTCCTTTTCTCGCTTCCACATAGAGCACGAGTGTGATAAATTGCGTTCAAGTAGTATTTTGTGCGTGTAGTACGTGCTTTTCATGTATTGGTAATATATTCAGGCGGACGAGAAGACCCGTTTGGCAATGTTCAGACTGCGAAACACATGGCCAAATTTCTTCACCGCAAAGATACTACACGAACTGGACTGTAGTGTGAACAAACGTGATCCTGGTTGGCCTGTCATTGAACCCCCGCCGCCAAGTCCTTCAATTCACGTTAATCCAAGATTCTTATCCAAGGTAAAATATCCTCTGCATATGTACACGCAAAGGTATGACTCGTGATTGTTCCTTCACAATGTCTTCAGGTTGAGGAAAATGTGGACAGTCAGACGAGCTGCTCGTCATCAGACGAGGCGAAAATTATGGATGAATTTGAAAAGAAGAAAAATGAATTAGGGAAATTACAAGGCGACGAAATGAGAACTCAAATGATGCAACTGGAAGAACTGCAAATGAAGTATGAATTGATTAAAAAGAAACAAGAAAAAGATCGACTGAATCTTCTGAAACAACAGAAAGAAAAAATATTGAAAATGAGACTGCAGCAAGAAGAGCTTGTGGCTGCTCAGGTATTGAATAAGTGTATGCTAGCATACTTGAAGTTTTACTTTTTCTCTTAGATCATTTTCATTAAAAACGTAATAATCCCAGAGCAGTCGGGGAAAAATGAATTGAGCGTTATTTATGGTTAAGTTCTCTCATACACGCATGCGTTGTATTGGATAAGTATGATTAATCTATAATTTATAATGAAGGATATGGGAATAAACCGATGTTGGTCTATAAATAAGATAAATTTTCAGATGCAAAAGCAGCAGAGACACCGCTTGAATTTAATTGAAAATTTCCGACATCATCATGCACTTGATATAGAGCTTTGTTTTAAGAAATTGTAGTCTTCTGATCATTAGGATGCCTCATCTACGTAAATTATGTTCGGAGTCTGCTTTCTTACACGCATAAGAATATGTAGAATTACATAAATTCGATCTGTGACTGCGCACGTGGAACACTTTGGGGGGGAGAGGGGGGGGGGGTAAACTCAACAAGAGCATGAAACCGAGAATAGAGCGATGAAGAAAAACATGATACCTCAACTATCATCTTTCTAGTAAAGATTCTGAAAAACATTTGTGTCCATTGTGTAAATTAACTATTTCATTCTGGATTACAATATATTGTAGGAGAATGTGCCGGTTTCTAAAGCGGAAGCAGCGTCAACTTCTATAAAGAACAAGGCTGTTGATGTGAGAATTGTAAAGATTAAGGAAGACATAGATAGTCAATCGACTGACGACACTGAAGAAAGCCAAGCAGATACCGAGACTGATCCTAGTGACAAAATGGATGTGGATTCTTCCTCTGAAGGCTTGATCATAATTGAGAAACAACCTGATAAAGTTGGTTTTGATTCGGAATTCGTTCCCCTCGATGAGGATAATCATGATACTACGAACGAGCCTGTGGTTGTTTATAATAGAGACAGGCCTTTGGGTAAGAACAGATACTTTAAGAAGGATCCAAAAGCCAAGATCATTAAAAGCGAGAGCGATTCGGACTCGGACCTTGTAGATGTTAAGGATTCAGGTAATGATGAAAAAAACTTCGAAGATAAGAAAGGCATAAAACGTGGTGCTATTGGACATCGCAATTACAGACGAAGAAAAGAAGATGATCGTGCAAATGAAAAACCGTCGCAAATGGACGATCGTAGAAAACCTGAACAAAGTCGTGACAGAAAGCAAAATACCGATGATGTACCTAATAGCCATAGTAATTTGGATGATACTAAAGCTCGTGACCCACTTCCGGGAAGACATCGACGGTCTGAGCATTCAGATTTGGGCAACCGAATGCGTGGACAGGGAAGACGTGGTAACCGGCATGATGCTCCAGATGACCGTCCTGACGGGCCAGATCGACGCGCTGAGGGACGCATTTCACGGCATGGTGATCGTCCTGGTGGTGACCGTTTTAATGATCGTTCTGGACGTCGACCAGAGGATCGCTTTCCCGGTAGAAGACGTCCTGGTTTTTCAGTAAGAGGTCGCATGAGTCAGAGGGACATGGATAAAAGATTTCAGGGGAGAACGGATGAAGGTGATAGCATCCGTGGTGGACGGTATGATAATCGTCACGAAGGATGGGGAAGAGGCCGTGGGCAAAGAAGGTAGCGTTGTTTCATATTATGATGTATCATGGTTTACATTTTTGTTCTTTTCGTTTTAAACAAATGCTCTAAAATAGGGTTAGTCAGTACTGAGACAAAGATGTTTGATGTCGTGTTGCATATTTGTGGGTGGTGTAGAGTGAAGTGAAATTTAGAAATTTGATTTTTTTACGTCTTCCTTTTTAGACCGTTCAGAGGACGCGGGTTTAGTGAGTCTGTTGATGGACACCCCCGAGATTACGACCGTCCATTTGAGCGAGGGTTTGTTGAAGAGCCTCCATTCAAAAGGTCCCGTCCACCCTCCCCACCCAGACCTTTGTTTAGTGCAAGGGAAATATCCGAAATCCGGGAGCGTCGTGAATCCCCAAAACACGCGGGACATGTACACGGCCCCCCTGACGAATTTGTTGAACCATGGCTGCACGAGAACCTTCCACACGCACCTCATGAATTCTACGATGGTCCTCCTGAGCATCTTGGTCCTGGACCACGACATTTTCCTCACCCGCACCTTGCACCCCGTAACCATCAACGATTGCCTGATTTCCCGGGTGGTGTCGAAATACCAGTACAACTTAACTTGGATAATGAATCGGAGCTAATGAGGAACGTATGTAGAACTTTAAAATATACTATGTCATAGTCATCATGAAAACTGAACAACTTTGATCGATTCACTTGTCTTGAGGCGGTCGCTGTAAGAATTTTATACGTCAAAACTTGTCGTGACACTTAATTCTGCCCAAACGTACACGCAAAGACATTAAATACAGTTTGTCGTTTTGAAATACGCAAAAGGTCGCGTTGCTAGCTATGTACATCATCAAAATGTTTTCTTTGTTAAGGCGGATTATCGTTTACGCAACGGAGATTTAAGCCAAGAACAGCATCGAGATTTAATGGAGAAACTTGGTCAATTTTACGAACTTCAAAAATGGCAGCGACGTCATAGTACAGACATGCCTATACCCCCTCACTCTTTTCATGATCGCCCTCCCTTTATGCTACCACAACCTGCATCACACCCGTCAGGAATTCATGCAGGCATGCCTCTACCCGATAGTAATACCAGAGCTCATGAATCTCGTAGGAATAATGACCGTCTGCAAGGTAATCAAATTTCACTTCGCGTTTTGAATTAAAATGCAAAAATGACCATACATGAACACATCGCAACATTACCCCTTCGCTTCATTACTTAATGCGCAGCTCAATTTTTAACTGTTAAACAATCTTTGAATCTAAGGAGGAAATGACGTATTACCCCATCAAGATAACATGATGACGGATGGAAGGTCTCATACATCGTTACCAGACTCCATGATACCTACCGCCAACTTCAAAATTGGATCTGAATTGTTGAAATCAAATCAAGGTATTATCTTCTTGTGTTTTTAGTGTAAAATTGCTGTTGAAAGGCTATTAACTTTTCAGTTACAGAAACAGGTTGAACGTATTGTTATTGAGCCGCCAAAAAACAAACATGAACAGCGTGTGTATGGCAAGCAGATTTTTTTGTAGGAAATTACTTAGTTTCTTTGAACAATTGTTGAACATAAAATGTCACACAATATGACCATTTATATTTGAAGAATTCAATGAGCGGTCTATAATAAAGTTACTTTTAAGTTTGCTTTCTATAACGCGTACATCATTAGCTAGTTGGTTACAGATGATGTCTAAATGAAATTGACATAAAATACGTTCATCCAAAAAACACTGTACATTTTCTTTGAAGGTTAATGAAAGTAAAGTCATATGTTAGATAGATATGTTAAACAAAATCATCGAGTAAAAGTTAACATGCAGAAAAAGTTTGATGTTTTGTATTTTACAAGGTTATTCATTATGACAATCAAAATTGAACTCATGAAATCAAAACGCAGTGAAAATACAACATGTAACAACACTTAATCAAAATTACACCGTTGAACTATTATATTCAAATTGCAAAGTTCCATCGTTTGGTGCAAGTTTAAGATGTTTTGACTCAACATTAAATGAGACAAGGAAACAAAAATTATACTCTGTAGAATATTTTAGTGAGGCCAAGTTCATTTTTCATTTACATTGATCCATCCATAACCCATATAACAGCATGTGAACTGCAAGACAAAAGGACGTGAATAAACTCCCGTACTTAAGAATGTCGTCACTTTTTTTATTCGTGCATGAAAAGGTTATGATTGATCGCATTATGCACTATTTGGTCGGAACAGGTAAAATCTTCATTCACTGTTAATTTATTATGATATACGTTTATTCCAGATAACGTTCCACCCTCAAGTTTGGGGATGGAAAAGCAGGCAGTAGATGACTTATTTAAAAAATTGATGGACGTTGGTATCATTAAAAAGGTGAACGAAACTGGATCCCTTTCTCCTGCTCGAGTGTCGACTCCCCCCATGGTAGATTCCCAGATTTTAAATACAATCACGATCCCGGAAGTGCAGCAGGAAATACCCGAAATAAAGCTGACCTTGGATCACCTTCGCAGGTATAGCTGTTTCTCAGAATTGCTGTCGTTTTATTTTCGCGTTAAATATTCCCAAGCAGGAAGCACCGAAACCGAGGCCATAACAATGCCAGGGATAACAAACACGCTTCAGGGCACTGTTTTGGAAATAGTTTTAATTTGCTGTTTCCCCTTTTTTGCTTCTTGCGTTAAAGCGCTACTGGAAAACAAAATTTGCTAACAAAAAATTTCTTATGAAAACATTTCATGTGTTCCGACTGCTAGGTGGTAACGTGTAGCGTTTTAGATGCTTTTATTTGGGATTACAGATTTAGCTGTTGATGAACCTAAAACTTAAGGGGAGCATCGATTTGTAGATAAAGTGTTTGTATAAAGAGTCTTGCGCTGTTTGCAGGGGTGCACAATGGGGGGGGGGTTCGATAGGGTGTAACATCCCGTCATCCTCCATGAAAAAATGCAGGTAAAACTGTGGGCTTTTCTATTGGAGATAAAGACCCCATAAAAGTCGGTCTTGGAGCGTAGAACCCGCTCAGTTTTTAGAGTGATGCGTCCCGTGACGTTTTATTGAGTGTTTTGGATGTATCTCTTTGATCAACCATCAATGTGTATGTTGCATATAAATGTTGACGTTAAAATTGTGCACAGACGTTATGATTACATTACTGTGGAACTTCATCGTGGAACCCAATGTTCGTCATGTGGTTTACGTTTCCGTGAAGAAAATAATGAAAAATATAGACAGCACTTGGACTGGCATTTTCGAATTAACAGAAAAGAAAAAGAAATCGTGGCTGCTCATCGAAATTGGTTCATCACGACGGACGTAAGGAAACAATTCAACGTTCTTATGGAAGCAATATTTTACAGCAAATTCTAATGATTTATCTTCTTTTTTTTACTCTAGGACTGGCTGGTGTTTGAGTCATCGGAAGTAACAACTTTCAAAGGTAAATGGATATCATGGCAAATTTCAAACAGTTTGTCTCGCTACTGGCGTGATTTTTGTTAGAATATATCTTTTTGCTATCATGTCTTACAGTGATCAATAGCGAATAATCTCGTTTCGGTTGAACTGGGCTTAAAGCGTAAAATAAGCCTTAGAAAAACGCAAACTATTTTATGAGAAGTGTGGCTAGAACGTTTTTTGAGTAGATTTGCCGATTATATGAAAACATTTCAATAAGATCATTCATTTCGAGAACATTAAGAAAAAAGTCAAGCTTAAGTCGTTCATTTATGATTTTAGAGATTTAGCATAAATATCGCTGCTGTTCAATGCTAATCAAGTTACGAATTTTTCCTCTCGTGTGGTGAAAAAAATTGCTCGGCTACATACATGCAAACATTGTCTATTTTACAGCTCGAAGTACTGTATTTGAAGAAGAATCCGATGGAGAGTCTGAGAAAACGGAAGACTTACAGGAAGGAAGTTGTCCTGCATTGATTGGTGATACTGAAACGGAAAGGGTATTTTTGTTTATGTGTATCGTACATCTATGCGTAATCTTTGGCATGTTGGAAAGTTTATATATTATACCGATGTTGTCTTTTGTTTTGTGTTTCATATCGTTTGGTCTTCTATTTCATAGCAATGCGATATTTGTATGGAAAAATTCGATACCTTTTGGGATGAAACGTCAGAAGATTGGCATTACAGAAATGCAACTAGAGTTGATGGCAAGGTAAAGTATGCAAACATGTCTAGATTTGGGAGCCACTAAATTCAAGAAATTTTAGTATTTTTTGTAAGCAGTTCTCGTCCAATTCAGAATTTAGAAAAGATAGATTCGTTATTTGGTTTCCTTTTATAATGAAATTTCACAAAGCTTAATTGTTTTATAAATCAGCTTTATTAGATGGCTCTGTATTCGCAGTGATTTTGTATTATTTTATTTATGTGTATTATTGAATTTTTAGACGTATCATTATCTTTGTTATCAAGATGCAAAAGAGGTAAGATCAATATCGATATATCCACCCGTTGTCAAAAAAAAATACTCGTTTGAATTATTTGGAGAAAAAAAATGTAACAATGTTCAAAATATATGTTTTAATGAGATCTTTTTGCCGATCTAGAAAATTATTGGTGATAATGTTTGCTCTGACTGATTTAAAAAGTACTGAAACTAAATCAGCCTTACAGTTAATACATGTCTATATTCAAGCTAGTTTTTTGCCTCTATTGTTGTTTTCTTGATTACTTGTATTCGTAGACTAACGCGAGTGATATGGATGGCAGCGACGAGTTGGACAACACTCATGACATTAGTCATATAGATGATAGCAAGCCTGCGGATTCACAGAAGACTGATGAAGAAAGTTTACAAAGTAACACCATTTCTAACGATGAAAAATCATCAATAGTTACGCTCCATACTACACTACAAGCGACTGTAGAATCTGTAGTACATGCGAGTGATGGGCTAGGGGTTAACAATGCCAATAAAGACACGATCAAAACAGAGTCTTAAATTCATCATTCTCAACGCCAATCTTCTTCTTCTTCGCAAGTTGGACTTCAAACCTCTTCTGTACATTGTTCAATTCATCCAATCTATCTATGGCACACATCAGATAATTTTCTTGGTTGTTTTTACCTTTGTTTCATTGACTTTGTGATTTTTTGTCTTTTTCTTTCGCTTTTTATTCATGGCATTATTGGGTGCAAATAGCGATGGAAAAGTCATTTAATTTATGTCCAGTCATATTACGGGGGGGATGGCAATGCTTCAAAGTTGTACGTTATTTTTATCGTAGATTTTTCCTCGCGTGGAAAATTATTCGCCCTATTTTTGGATTTTTATAACGCTTCATTTCGCAAGCAGCTGCAATCATTTGAACCTTTGCCATTAGCATCAAAAATTTGATTGCTATTGACCACAAAATTTCAAGAAAATTGTCCCCGTTGCCATCAATATTTGTTGTGCTTTTTTTCTTGAATTTCTAACTGTTCGACATTATTCAAACATCCAATTCACCATTTTGATCAAAGCTTTCTTAATCAAGAACTCCTTCTCAAAATCTCTGTTTTCTTGTCTTGTGGTATGAAATATAAGAAATGCCTCCTTTTAATTGTTACTTTCGTGTTCTATGAAGTAAAATAAACGTTTGTTACCAAAACGTGTTCAGTATTTATTTCTCTCGTTTATCCCGGTTTTTTGTTGTCTGATTTTCACTGATTGCTCCCTTTCCCTGCTAAAATTTTCAGTTTTTCTTTATTTGAATGGGGTCCCTTTCCCATTGAATTTTCCATTTGACAAACATCACAAGTTCATAATAGACGAATCGTTATTTCCAAATGTGAAACGTTTTCATCTCAAGACTAAGTTTTCGAACACTTTCTCACAAATTGTTGAATCGTCAACGATATGTTCAAGCACTGGCATAGGAAGTGATGGGGGGTGAACCCTACCCCACCCACGTCCCCAAGAAAGAATAGGCAACAAAATTTATTGAGCAGTCATGTACAAGTAGCAAAGAGAAGTATTTAACCCTCTTTTGGTATATAATTTACCTCATTCTCAATTTAAATCTTGTCTCGAGGAACTGGGGAAAATTACCAATGACTTCCAATAATTCTATCCTCAATACTCCGTGCCAGACTAGGTAAACTGTTAGAACTGTAGCCTTTCATGGTGCAAAGTACTTGCTCATTACACTTTATAGAAAGAGTGCCAGCGCCATTACCCTCTAAGGTGTTTAGAAATGTAAATATACGCAAAGATGTGCTGCAGTATTTTATTCTGACGTAGTCTGGATCCGCCACTGGACACAACTAAAGATGACAACGATGTCACAACGTGGATTCATTGGAATTGTGCATGTACTTAGTCTCAAGATCTCGAACTGTTCTGGAGAGCTGTCCTTTTCCAAACTTAAAATTTGTATATACAGGATGGATTATTGTGAAAAGAATACTCTAACGAATGTTATTGAGGAGGAATAGTGCAAGGACAAATAGAGAATCGCATGGCGGCTTCTCCATGAGATTGTAGAAGGATTAGTTCACGTTCCATTCACGCCGCTCATAGTATCCGTGACAATGTTAGAGATGTTTTTATTTTCTCCTTAACTTTGTATCTGCATATTTTGTTCTTAAACGATGCTCTAATATATATGACAGATATTGTAATTCGTGGATTGATGTAGAAGAAATAATTGAAAATGAAACTTCGAATAGTGAAACAAAATCAAGCATGACAGAGGAGAAAAAAACACGCTAGATTCAAGATGGCGTGATGATATTGAACGTAGTTGAAGCACCTAGCGCTCGCTCGTGAGTTTTGGATGTGGGCTCGTGGACCAATGGAAACACGAATGACTCCAAGCATGTTGACGACTATAAAACCTCTAGCGAGGACGAGATTCCAATACAAAGTAATAACACCGAGTCTTCTGAAGATATGTTCAAAAGAAATATCGCTGAATCACATATACAGTTTGGAAGCTAGTTGGCTCACGTGGTATATAGTAGTGGGGCCTGCTGAAAATATGTAAAAAAAACTACCAGCGTCTTTCCTTTAGGACGAGAAATCTGGTTTCACAAGTGAAGAGGAAGCAGTCACCAAAAGAGATTTGCAAGAACATTCAAAGTTTACTTCGCAAGGTTTGTATATACAGATGCATGGACTATTTTTGAGAAGAGTACTCTAAGGATGTTATTGACGAAGGATAGTACAAGGACCAATACAGAATGTAGCGGCTTGTCCGTGAGATTGTAGAAGGATTAGTTCACGTTCGTTCACAGATAAAAAATTTCTATTATCTGGGGTATCATAGGGCTGCATTTACCATTTGGCAGAAGGGGCGTACGCCCACGAGCCAGCGCTTTAGGGGCCCCATGCATTAATCCGCAAATTCTTTTTTGTCGCATCTTCTGATGAATGTGATGGCAAAGATGACACAACCAAAGATGACAACGATGTCACAACATGGACTCATTGGAATTGTGCATGTACTTGGTCTCAAGATATCGAACTGCTCTGGAGAACTGTCCTTTTCCGAAACGAAAGCTAGTTGAGTCAGCTCCGATCATGTATGACGCAGAAGCGAGTAAACAGCCTTTTGAACTAAGCATCGTAAATGATCTGCTTCGTAGCATTAACATGTCGTCCATAATTAAAGAGTTTGCTGTAAAGAAATTCCACAAACACAACGTTCAAAATGCAAAAACGAGATTTAAGTGAAAGATATGTTACATTACTTACACGTACATTTTACATACATGTCGAGCGAGCATGCATCGCCGCTTCAGAGCATGTATACTGAATCTTATGAATGTTTAGTTTGTTGATTAGGCTTAATTTTTACTTTATAATCAAGTTCTCTATAATTATCAATTAATGTTAATGATATAAGCTGGGTTGGATGACAATTCATATATTCAAATTACTCTACATACGTTCTTGTTTTATCATGCACATATTTTTGAACATCATGGTATACATATTATTTTTTTAATCTTTCTGATTTCAGTACAATCTGAATTTCAGACGGCCGGGGGGTGAGAGAAGGGCCTCGTGCTGAAAATGTGCCACGAGCCACGGGCCCCACGAAAGGTTAATCCGGCCCTGTTACACACGAGCAGTCACGGAGTATAGGCATAGTACAAAACTATAGAAAGCAGATGTACTTCCTTGTCGAAAGTGCCCGATCACACTGACCAAGGAAGGAAAAATCATTAGCATGATTCCATCGAGGAATGCTATATCAGCAATGCAAATCATCAAAAAGAAGAAGATAAGCCATAATGGATTCTAAACAGATATGATCAAGCTAAGGAAGTACGAAGTAGATGTAGATTATAGGAAAGATTTTCCCGTAAATTAAGAACAGATCTGCAAACCTTCAATCAAATAAATCTCGCCAAAGCAATATGAAAGATGATGAGAAAAAATCGATTGTAAAAATCTCAATCCTAAACACAAAGCGTTGATACAGCATTGCAGTAATGAAGCACTTTAATGAATTCAACTTACAAATCTAGGAAAATACTGAACGAAAAGCTGTCAAGGTAGATAAGCCCAATTGTAGACACTGTAACTAAAAAAAAGTTGAAGTATAATTGACTAGGTTTTTGAGTTGAAGGAAGATACTGTCATTAAAAGCGTTCATAAGCTGAAGATCATACTGAAAAAATGGGGGAAATTGAACGGTACATCTGCACAGCGCTGTAGATAAGAATCTCACTTAATTGTCATGGTTTGTATGATTTCACAAAATCAGTTGGCTTTCATTAGCACTCAATAAAATTAATTAACAGTATTTTTTATAAAAAATATTTTACGACAAAAATTGCCTGTTTTCATCGAGCCTCTTCAAAATTTCGTTTTGGTAAAATACCACCCTATTCATTTTTCCATAGATTTCACAGTTAACTAATCCAAATTGTCAACTTCACAACTGACCAACGCAAAAACATCAAAACTAACAAATTATAACAATATCGCAGAATACATAAAATCAACAAGAAAAGCTCTATGCTGCAATAATTGCTCAATATTTATACCATGTGCAGTGTAGAAGGAACGACAAGTTTACAAATCTCTCTTCTATTTCGGCCTTTCTGCGCTGAAAATAGTATAAATATGAATCATTAATGCATAAGGAGTTCGTTTTTTTAACACCAACGGCAAAGACTTTTTGTTTTCAAAAGACTGTTCATAGAGAAAATTTCAAACTTCTTAATGCGTGAAATTGTCATTAGTCCTTCCCCCGACGTTCCCGTGGTCTCTGTTGGTCTCTACATTATAATAATAATAATATGTTATAGTCTCAAGTTTGGGCTATTTAGGGTCATATTGGGATCATTGTCCTTGATGACATGCGCGTTAGGTTGTGAGCAAAGAAATCTAATTGCTTCAGATAGGAGATAACTACGTTTGCGTTTATTATCAAAGAATTTTGTGATGTTTGCAGGCTATTTATGACTTATACCATTCATGTACATTTGGATAAAGTTTACGGCGAGGTATTTATAATAAATATAATAAGTAGGATCTTTTTTTGAAGGTTAATTTCGCACTATGAGTTAGCATAACATCCTGCTATCTTCAATCTTGTGTCTTGATTTTAACGAATGTACTGTGCTGTTTTAGTTAAAGACTAAACTGACTTTCATATCTTTTCAAATATGTTGTCAAAATGAATGCATTGCAAAAGTTTTATGAATCGTCGTCAATTTCCGTCACTGACTGACATGAATATTTTTTTAAGAAAGCTTCACAAGTAAATTTAAGGAAGTTATCTATTTAACATTTATACATTGGAGTAAAAGTTTTCAAATATTGATTCATTTATGCTTCATAGGTAATTACTATGTTTGTTTGTCACGCTCCTCAATTACTGCAAAACTTTTGGTTTTGGATTTTCTGATGTCTATATACAAACGCTACAAAAGTTTCACTTAAAAAGTGAAACTGATTTATGTACATCTTGAAATAAAACTCCCTTACATTTCTTATCATGTACCAGAATATGATAAGAAACATTGTCAATGCCTCAAACCAAAGTGTAAAATGATATTATTTACTCTCTAATGTGTAAAGTTTGCAGCAAGTTTGCACAAAGAAGAAATTCATTCTGTACATGAAACATTTTTTTCCTTATGTTTACATTTTACATTTAGAAGTGTAAATATATTTTTATTATGTGTACACGATGTATTAGCATGTGGTATTGTACTGACAAAACAATTCACAATCTTGCATGCAATGTACCATTTAACAATAATCTTATGTAATTAAGTGTTTCTAGTAACGTATATTCTGATGCGAAACATTATTTGTTCAGAAGTACTCAATAAAAGTTGTAAAAGTTGTGACAGACAGATGAATGAGTTTTCACAATCACTTAAAAATATAATCAGTGCTATCTGTGTGCCTGCATGCTCCACAAGATATTTTAAACCATTTGCTATGATATATCCTTTAGCAAATTTCAATTTTTTTGCAAAAGAATTTCATAATCATGCATATCTGTTTCAAAGTTTTTGTCAATGCCATATGTAGGTAATACATAAACTGCACTATAACGTAACTTGTATTTCTTCTTGATGTTCATAGGTTTGTCATAGTAGAATTGATTGCTGATACCAGATGTCTTTAATTCTTGTCAAAAGGTGAAAATATTAAGTAGTCCCTAAGCAGGTATTTAACAAGAATAAAACATGACAGTGTCTGTAAGAGGTGGTGTACCCCTTGATCAAACTGTTCCAGTCGAGGGCACAAGTCAAGATGATGAACAGCTTGAAGGGAAAGGAGAAAGCTCGGAAACAACACCTGCTGTCAATGATGAAGAAAATGAAGATAATGAAGTTATTCTGGATGAAAATGGTTGTCCTGTATTTCCCATTGAAGAACTTTCACGACTTGATGAAATGATAGGCCGCCAGAAGTGGGTTGTTCCTGTTTTACCCAAATGTGAACTTGAGATCTTGCTAAGAACATCCATTAAATTGTGTCGAGCAGGTATTTGCAATGTGTTTTTTATACATGACACCTTGAGCCAAGTAGTATTGTGTGTTCGAATATCTCAGTTACTGTAAACTTTCATCTTTTCGATAAAAAGGAAACATGCTAAATTTATTGTTGATCAAATTTTCATCAACATAACATAAACCCTGCCAGCAGCTTCATTTTACACACTTTGTTATTCTTTGTAAATTTTATAATTGTTGAAGCTACGCTGTACATGAGCTTTTGTGACACGAAAACAAGAAGTTTCACAATTTATATCACTTCTATCAATGTTGTGAAAGTTGAACATTGATGTTTTTGTCAATTCAAGCAAAATCCTTTTAGGCAGAATAAGTCTTCCTGTTATCATTGACTTGATAATCTATCATGTCTCTTACATGGTGTAGGTCTTGACACAAAGAGTGAACAATGTCAACGATTTTTTCGTGAGGGTCTAACAGTTTCATTTCAAAAAATTTTAAATGATGATGCCGTTCATAGCTGGAAATATGAAATTCAGGTGAATGTGATGTTTGTTTCTTGACTAATTCACAATTGTACATGTATTTAGAAGGTGGAAGCTAAAGTAGGTGATATTCTTGCTATTTTTGATGAGTAATTTCTTTTAATTACAGAAATGCATCTACAACTCAACAAAACTTTTGATAGAGCTTTGTGTTCTTAAACTATCACAAGATTGGTTTGTCTTATTGGATATGTTAGCACTAGCTTTCAATCCTCATTGCCGGTAAGACTCAAGTTAAGGCAGCTCCTGCTGTAGTGGTTTGATTTGTTAATGCTGTATGATTGATAAATTCTGGACTTGAATTTGGAAATGACAATTTATTTGTTTTTTGCAATTAAGCTTGAAGCTTGAGTTTTAAAATTTGAGCAGATGGTTAAATTTTTTATTAAAAACCTGAGATTGCTTACACCCAGAAGCTTTGCTATAGTTTTTCTCTAGAAGATCAGGAGTCAAATGTAATTTTCCGATTTTCAATTTTAGTTTGCTCAACCATAAAAAGATTTTTGAGCAACTAAACTTAACGTTGTCTCCAATGTTTGCAAGGAAATTAAGTCACTAATAACATGACAATGCTTTCGATTGTTTCTCTCATAATATCTCATTTCTTTCCATTTCAGGTTTCATATTTTCAATGCAGGAAGGGCTGCAATGAATTGTGGTCAAGTTGCCCAGGTAGTTGGTGAAAAGCTGTGTTCAACAATTTCATAACTTTCATAAAGTTTTTTTTATTATTTACAGGATGGGGAAATGGAAATATTTGCCACTCCGCGGTCATCGAAGGTATTGTACTACGTACTGGAAACTACTCATCGTTTTAACTATACCTGAATAATTTATTATCAAAAAATACGTTGATCTGAGCTCATTGCTTCCTCCCGTTTTGAATGCTACAATTATGTAAACAATATGGTAATAAAAATTACCAAATCCGGCCACACTGACTCATTATAACTCATTGTGCTTTATAAACATGCTCACCAGCAACTGGCTCATGTGTTGTGAATGGCTGCCATTAATAATTGTACTTTGATGTTCCATAGGGCTGGCTAATCGATTTCGTTAATCACTTTGGAATGTTGGGAGGCTTCAAGCTTCTACAGGAACGTATATGCAACGGGGGATCGTTATCAGTGTCACTGTTGGCTGCGTTAATAAGGCATGTGAATAAAATGTCTTGTTTTTTGCGATTTTGTCCTCTTATTTTTTTGTACTCCTTGATTTTGTAGACCTTTTGGTCCTTGTGCGCAGGTACTTTGCTCAGGGACGGTGAAGAAATATTTTGCTCCTGTTATCGTAAGTCAATCTTTTAGGCCTTTTTTCCACGTATACCACCACGATCTTTCTTTTTTCATCAGTGTTGTGATTATTTTAGGAATGTGTTCAAAAATTCCTGGACAACCTGACAAATGAAGAATTGAAAAAGGAGACGAAAAATGAGTCGAAAACAGACTCACTTTCATCAATTATAAAGGTATGAATATTGGAAATACAGTCATTGCGAATTGAAAATATACTCACTTGCGAGTAAACGTCTCTTCTTTATGAATGTCAAATGCAGGCATTAAAGTCCCTGGCAGCAAAACTTCCAAAAGGTGAAGAAGTCGGCAAAGATTTAGAAACGTTTCGATTAAAGATGATATTTAGGTAATACTGTAACTGCAAACTGGTGATAATTTACATGAATGTGTGTCGTTTTTGCGAAATGGGAATTTTTTATACGACTGAACCTTGTCGCGGTCTTTATTTAAAGGTTGCTGCAAGTATCTTCTTTTAATGGAAAAATGAATGCTTTAAACGAGGTTAGTTTATAGGAGGACGGTTTCAGTATCTCAATTTATTTTCTCCGCATTAATATATCGTTGCATGGACATTATGAATAAAACAAAGAACTTTACTGAAAGCGTTCATTGCATGTCTTTTCTAATGGCTTTCTCTTCGTATGGTCAACTCTCCTTATTTTTTAGATCAACAAAGTTATTTCCAGTGTTTCCTATTACTCTCAGCGTCATTTGGACGACGAAGAATGGTTAACAGCTGATAAAATGGCTGTAAGTTGATTTTTAGGGATAGTACGAAGTTGATTTTTAGGGATAGCACGAAGTTGGTTTTTAGGGATAGTACGAAGTTGATTCTTCGGTTTTTCTTTAGAGGCTATTCCTTTTTCTCTAATATATGATTGTTTCAACTGCAATATGTCTTTCGCTTTTTCTTGTGCAAGATGCGATGAGTTTTTGTGAACTTGTAACCCTGATTAGAATTTTTCTCTATTACGTCAATTGACAATTGCTCTTTCTGCAGGAATGGATCCACGAAAACGATGTTTTGTCTATAGTTTTGAAAGATAATCTTCATCAACCACAGGTCAGAACGAATTTATTAATATTAAGCAAACTTGTAATCAATTGCTCAAAGAATTAAAATCTTAGGATATCGAATGTGGAATGTAGCATTTCATTCATCATTTTCTCTACATAAGTAAAAAAACAGGGACGGATTCAAGACGATTTTTAGGGGCTCTTGTATGGTTTAGACTTTGTGACTACTTGGTAGGTGTAGCCATGTAATGTGGGTGTGGCCTGCAATGTAGGTGTGTACGTGCAATGTGGGTGCGGCCGTGCAATGTCAGGCATTTTTGTTAAATTTTGTCACTCTTAGGGATACCATGATTGGGTATTATTTTTTGCAAGTACAGAATGCTCCATTAAACACAAATCTCAATTGCCTTCGCAGTGGTTGGTATAAGTATCAGTATTCCGTCGGAAAATTGGCGGCACTCCTTCTGCGTTCCCTCTTGCTAAGGTTAGGAGGGGTGTGCATCATCTGGTGCCTCTCACCCGCCCCAAGTTTGAAATAAAGGGTTAACCTTACAACGCAAATTATGCTAAAGAATACGTGCTGATAAACATTCTAATGTTTTTACCTGGACAAAGTTGATGGTTGCTTTGGTCTTATTTTGTAGTATGTAGAAAAATTGGAAAAAATCATCCGATTTGTAATAAAGGAAAAGGCTCTGACTTTGGTAGATCTTGACCATATCTGGAGTGCGCAGGTTAGTTTATAGAAGTTAGAAACTTGCGTTGCGGTCAGGCGGATTTCTTTTCGGGCAGATTACTTTTGCGATCGATTTCTTTCAAAATTCAAGTTTCCACGTTGAACAAATCGATAAAAAAAGACAATTTCCTAAAATATCTTTGTAATTGGAAATCCTGCTATGCGCTTCGGAAATCGTTTGCTCAAGAAATAAAAAAAACATTGTTACGCCTTTATATTTTTATCCATCTTTACATGCCGCTTTCGTCGCCCATATGAAAATCGTATATTCGTTATGTTTCAACGTTATGACTGTACATTGCATTGTTTTCAAGGCTGGAAAGCATGATGTCATTGTGAAAAACATTCATGACCTACTGGCTAAACTGGCCTGGGATTTTTCTGCTGAGCAACTTGATCATTTATTTGAATGCTTTCAGGTTAGTCTTTGAGATATTTAGTGCAAATTTTCCGTGGAATAAGTCCAGTTCATAAGCTAATAGTTTATTTAATTTGTTTAAGACGGTTTTTATTCAAAATTAATTAATATTTCACTTAGGATTAAATGCTCATTGAAGAGTACGCGAATTGCTTTACTTATTAAATTTTATCATTTTAAAAACTTCAAAGTCTAATTGAAAGGATTTTTTGAAACTATGCACTATCCTTGGATCTTCAACTTATTTTACTTGCATCGTTCTCGTCATTTTTGTTTTAAATTTTATTTATTTGTTGAAATGCAGGAAAGCTGGACGAACGCCAGTAAAAAACAGCGCGAAAAACTTCTAGAGCTAATTCGAAGGTTGGCTGAGGATGATAAAGAAGGTGTAATGGCGCACAAGGTAAAGTGGTTTTTTATGACTTAGTGAACTCAAGTTTCTGATATTATAGAAACAGCTTTCTTTACTCAATTTCACTTCTTTATGAAATGAGTTTGCGTACCATTATGTATGAACTAAAACTGTTATATTTTCTTTAGGTACTTGGCTTGCTCTGGAACTTGGCTCATAAGGATGATGTGCCTACCGATATAATGGACCAAGCATTAAGTGCTCATATAAAGATACTTGATTATAGCTGTTCACAGGTTGATTATAGCTTTTCGCAGTTGTTTTATCATTGCGTTAGATTTAATATAATATTTCTTTATTCTTGCTTCATTTGTGAGTCTGTAATTATATGTTTTCCATGTTTTTTAATCACAAACATTTTAGAAATTTAAATTAACATCTCCAGAAACTCAGTTATTTGAAAGTTAAAAAATGGCTGCTTAATAGAATAGTATAATCCGATCTTTTCTATCCATGAATCAACTCAACTGTCTCGTCTTGCTCACGGTGTCTTTTGCGTATTGTGTTAGGATCGTGATTCTCAGAAAACTCAATGGATAAACAGATGTGTTGAAGAGCTTCGTAACGACACATGGGTACTTCCTGCCATCAAACAAATACGTGAAATATGTTGCTTGTTTTATGAGGTAAATGCAATTGTGAACTGATCTCTTTTTGTCGTGGAGCGTTTTGGTCCCGTTAAAAGATCAAAGTACATCATTTTTCTAATTTTTAGAGATACGTAAGTACTAGAACCGTGTATGTTATTCAAATATAACGTCAGATGCTATTTTTGTGTTTCAGGCTCCTACAAACTATTCGCATACGCAAAAGAATCCACACGTATTTTACCGTCATGATGTTATCAATGATTTACAAACTCGTCATCAGTTGATCTCTCTCATGGCATCCAATCTAAAGAATTATATGTCTAGTGTCAGAGATATGGAATTCGGTTTGTAGATATAGATGTCTTTTAATTTGTGCTTTATCGCAAGAGTCTTGATAAAAGACCTTATTTGTGAGATGGAGTGTTTTTGGATAGCATGAACCACCAACCTCAGTGTAATCATTCAATGATATTTTTCAAAATTGTTATATGTTTGGGTTTTTTGTTCATTTGAATACAATGAATAGATAAGTCGTCCGATCCTGATGATTTGTTACCCGATGGAAGATATTGTCATGTTCAACAAGTACAAAAACGATTGAGTTTTCTCAGGTGAGAGTTAGTTTTCTTCATTTTTACTTATACAGTTCAGTTGTTACTATGCGGCGAGTGATTTAATAATGGAATTAAGGGGATTGTTTGTCTATAATGATGATATTTTCTATCACAGTTTTATCACCGCTGAAGTAAACTGATATCATACGCCTTTAAGTTGTATTGATTGCTAAAGGGTGGTTAAATAAACTTTTGTGTGGTTGTCTTGTAGGAATTTGAGTGTTTAAATTATTGGTTGTATTTGATTTTATTTGTCCGGTGTTTTTAACATGTTAAAAATGTTAGGAAGGTCTTTTGTGACGTATTAGTTCATTGGTACATGCCTAAATTCTTTTTATTGACATATGGATTTATGACTTCATGACGTAACTAAAACACTTTTTTTTTCATTTCTAGATTTATTTTACGAGATGGACAACTGTGGTTGTGTGCTCCCGAAGCAAAGATTGTGAGTGCTGCATCGCTTTCTAAATGTTTTGATCGTGTATTAATGATATTTCCCCCCATATTTCATAGATATGGGAAGCTTTAGGTGAAAACTCTGTTTTTGAAAGCGACAGGGAAGCTTGTTTTAAATGGTTTTCAAAGGTATCGTAATTTTTGACTGCCGAAAGCGAGTTTTACACAGTGTTTATTACCAGCTAGAATATACGATTTTCTTCTTTGTAGTTAATGGGTGATGAACAAGATTTGAATCCAGAAATTAGTGGTGTATTTTTTGAGAGCAAAGTTCTAAAAATTGATCAAAGTTGTCTCACCGAGAATGGAATGGAGTAAGTATTTTGTTTCTACCTTTGGTTTAAAAGTTAACTTATTTGTGTGTGGTAGCATTTTTGCTCTCGTGGGATGAGCTTCAGAGGAAAGTGTGCACCGGGATGCATTAATATGATTTTTATAATGCTATTGCCGGTTGTGTTTAGTCTAGGATTTTACAAGACTAGAGTTTATGAAAGTGAAAACATTTCTAATTTTTGAAATCGTAAACTTGGACATTTATAAAAATCTCAATTATCAAAGATGGTACCCTTAATCTCCTCGAAAATTTCTCATGCTTTCAAAAAGAAACCGCCACCTTACTTCCATAAAGAAACCAGCCGTGCACTCAATGAAATCATCCTTTAACTTCCTTTGATCTTTGTGCGTTTCAAATAACTTAGTTTAGGTAGATGTTTGACCGTGGATATTAATCTTATGCATTTGATTCTCACTTAACAGATGCTTCGAAAGATTCTTTCAGAAAGTAAATATTAAAGAAGGAAAGTTTGTGAGCAAACGTCGCATGTTGGTGATGGATGATCTTGATCTAATCGGAATCGATTACTTATGGGAAATTGCCTTGAGGGGATCAGAAAGGATTGTGGGTAGAGCTGTTAATCTTTTGAAACAAAGTTATACTAATCTTGGACCAAGATTACGTGCAAATCAGGTTGGTGAGAGAAAAGCTAGCCTACTGAAATACATGAATTTCTTTACTATTAAGACGAATAAGTACTATTTCAATTTGAGAAACTTTTATTTTACTGAGACACAGTCGTTCGCTTAGCAGTATAATTTTTATTTCACTATCCCCAGTGAGTTCATGTGTAGCTTGTTGTTGATTTATGTGAAACTAATATAGAATTTGAATTATTTTTCTTTATTCTTAGGTCGACATTCACGAAAAAATAATACAAAAGTGCATGCACAATGTGAAACCGTCCTATGAAGTTTTACAAAAGGAATCTGTGAACAGAAAAAACTGTAAAAATAAGAGCAACGACTCAAAGATACGCGAGGCAGCATTACGTATTGTAAGATGTTTGACAGTCCTACGTGAATATATCGCTGAATGTGATGACGATTACAGCGAGGAGAGAATAATATTACCGCACGGTCGATCGTATTGCGGCAAGCATATTACATTAGTTATAAGAACGGCTACCCAAGGTCGGCCTAGTGATGACTTCGAACTATGGTCTCATCTTAACGAAACTATTGCCAGCGTGCGGCGACATATTTTACAAAGGTAGGCAAAGATGTTTAAGATATAGGTTTATAAAAAGCTTGAATTTCGTTTAACGCCAAGCCTTTCTTAACAATGTTGCGCCAACCAACAGATTAAACAGTATTTTACGTTAACGGCATAACTCTTGTTTGGCTTTAGAGTTTATGTTGGATTTTCTTCCGATTATATTCAGGAAATTATCTCTGAAATGTCTTTTTTTATTATTTACAATTGATTCATCGTTAACAAGGCCACATACGTACATCAACATGATATTTTCAAGTACAAATTTTTTACCAGGATGCGTAACCATTATCCCCAAATTACGAGAATTGATTTATATATTGGCGGCGAGCTGCTCTCTCCTGTTGACGATAAAAGATTGATTGGAAAATGTAACTTGCCCGAGCGTGTGGTAAGTTACTCAAAAGAACGTTTTCGCCTGATACGTTTTTACATCAGTACTGACGTTATTATTTTATTGTTTAAAAATATTTTAAAACGGTAACTCTTCAGGGCTCTTAGGCACCAGTTTTTCAAGAGGCCGTTTACTTATTCTATTTACAAATTTCAATATACTAGTAAATTATTACAGGCTGTATTATATGAATGCATGCAGGTCAAAACTATTGCTATTTACGAGAGTTAAAAGTTAAGTGTTGTGCAGACTTTAATGTTCAACCTTAAGCACACCAGTATATTTAAAGACATTTTATGAATAAACGTTTCTGCCAAATTTATCGTGTCCATTATTCATGGTACACGATTATCTTTCGTTGGAGTTTTTACCAAGAATAATTGATTTAGTTGTTTATTTTCTCGCCTTAGATAATTACTGTAAGAATTGGGAATGCAAATTCTTCGATGCCTTCCTCACCGGATTCATCGGATGACTCATCCGGTTCTCCTCCTGCCACGTTAGATGGTCCTAACATTGAAGCTGAACGCTGTTTACCTGGAGTGGTGAGCGTCATATATATATATATACAAAGTGTATATACAATGTGCCCTCCAGGCTATCACCACAGTGCAACGGTGACTCCTGCACTTGGGACACAGGATGTACTGTTACACATTGTATGGATTGTATTGTAGAGTCACCAGAGTGCTCAAACCTATATAGGTGAGCTTTGCATATCGCAAACACGGTGAACGTCTCCATATGAGACTCTACACAATCCTAGAGTGCTCAAACTACGCACGCGCAGTGAGCGTAAAATACAAAGTGTATATACAATGTGCCCTCCCGGCTATCACCACAATGTAATGGTGACTTCTGCACTTGGGACACAGGAAGTACGGTTACACATTGTATGGATTGTATTGTTGAGTCCCCAGAGTGCTTAAACCTATAAAGGCGAGCTTTGCATAAAGATATATATATATATTTTTTTCTCGTATAGAACTCAATAAATCCCAGTTACTATTTTTAACACTTTTTATTAACCCCAAAACTACAAAAATATAGTTTCCGATCAAGCGCGTCCCAAGTACATTGTTTTTCTTCCCTGCCCGTTTGTGCTCTGTCCCTTTTTGTCCTTACATTATTGCATCTGTTGTTTAAAGAACGATATGACATACTTTTGAATATTATATGTTTAAGATTATAGCAACGAAGACTCAATATGTGGAATCATTTCTCCGTTTGGCGGAATACTCCATACAATTTGACATTCCTGAACTACGAGAGGAGGTCTGGTTTTTATTGGGTATAATCCCTACAGGTAATTCAAAAGAACATTGTCGATGTCAGTCATTTCATATTGATGATAACAGGCGCTTAAAACGCGTTTCACGCTGATGTTTATTGGCTAGATTTTGCTCACGTGATCTTAAATCAAAGCAATATATCCAAATTGGTAACACATCAAAACTGCTGCCCTTTGAAAAGCATTATTTGCCACTCCCCCCCTTCTATAAACTTCTAACATCGACTTCGTCTTGGAAGAATTTAAGCTGTCTTTATTATAAGGCAAGCGTCACTTCCGGCAAAATGGCGCACTTTGATTGGCTCAGAAACATTTTTGTCAGTCCATTATTTTCCCGTAATCGACCACGGTCCAAAACACGTAATTTTACAGTCAAATGTAAACAAACTTCGTAAAGCAAACAGCAAAACGCAAGAAAAACGAAACAAAAAACCATTTAAGAATGTGAGTCGAAGGAAAAACACTGGGAAAACAGTTTAACTATCCAGACGATACAATTTGAAACGATTTAATTTTTACTGACGAAAACTATAAAAGTGAAACCAACCCGTACAAAACAGCAAAAACGAGAAAGAAAGCAAGCTTCGTTTCAGGTCAAATAATGCCATATAATAAACCTTTTAATAACCTCGCTTTCTCGGTCTTTACTGAGAATATCGGACCTTTGTTTTTGTACAAACCTTGCCCTACGTGCTCGGTCTGTACAAGAAAACCTCGTCCGTTATTTCTCCGTAAAGACCTCGCGCTCGGTTATTAAGGGTTTATTAGATTTTGTGATCATCAGTATGTACCTATAAAACGACCTTTAATCAAACTTGAACGTCAATTGTGTTTTTCTCAAATGTGCGTCGTAGTCTTCAAGGCCTCTACATATGCTGTGGTGAATGGATTTTTCACTATAAATTAAACACTTTATATTGCTCAATGATTCTACACTAGGCATATACACCTCAAACTAAATATACTACGCTTAATATGTGTGACATGCGCACTCACAGAAAAAAATACTGCTATTTGGGATCCGATAGAAAAATATTTGATGTGATTTTTTACGTTTCATATTTAGATCGTTCAATGGTGGAGAATATGAGAAAAGCATGTTCTTATAAAGCAGAAAAAGAAGACGGTTCAGATTCTCGTTCGTTTGAAGCATGCTTCAATTCTTCATTGTCTTCTCAAACAGTTTATAATCTCGAGGTACATACAAACACATCAAGAACTGAAATAATAGTGAGAATCAAGCTTTCATGTACATATTTCAATATCCAAGAGAATTCAAGTTCATGAAATGAGTACCAACACTTCAACAATTCATGCAATTGAACATCAACATTTTATACAAGAGATAATTATTTGCGTTTGCACTAGTTGCTTTCGCCTGTTCTACATGAAGTATCTCTCATGTTAATTTCAAATTGTGTTCTTATTTATATTTATATATATATATATATATGTTTATTTAATTAGACGTTATATGCTCTTTTGATGCCAGCTGGACAGTTACATCGTGAAAAGGCTGTGGATTTTCAGGTTTGTTTTACTTTCCTGGTATGTTAGTAAGTGACGCAAGCCACTAATAAACCTTACTATTGCCTTACTAAACCTTACTATATATTACTATTGCGAGGTTTTTTGCAAGAAATGTTCTCAATAGTAATACATAAGTACCAACATCTTCCATTGTATTATTGTATTATACCTTGCAGATGGCTTTCTTTAAGAGTGGTGGAGTAAAATGCATCCTTGATCTTGTCACAAAACCTAATTTTTTGGAATTTTCTGATACGTGGACAAGAAGGTAGTCATTACGCCTTTTCCACTGCCTAATTCCTCGAACATAAGACGTTAAAGTTGCTTTGAATGAGATCTTTAATTGAATTAGTGTAAAAACCATGTAAGATTAAAGCGCTCACTTCTCGCGCTGTGCTGTTTCCTTTAATGTGTTAATCTTAAAGAAAAAGCTGTAAAATGTTAGGAAAAACTACTTATCGTAATACGTTCTGATAAAAAAATCACTCGAGATAAAATAGCCTGCTCGATAACCACTCATCATATGTACCAATAAATCTCGTTTGCAATCTGTCTCAATTCTGTCATCGTTTAACATTGACAACACAGACACGGGGTTTTGTTTATTTAGGTCAGCTTATCTAACACTGATGAAGATCACAAAGTTTGCATTAACTCGGTTGCATATGCTAAAGTTTACATAGTTGCCGAGGCGTTTCGAGCCGACACTCGCTCAGATATATCTGATGAAACAAAAGATGCTGCTGTTGTACTACAGCAAGCTTTACAATGTATACCAAATCTTATCTTGGAATGCGTTCTCAGAACGTACGCCTTGTCGCTTGGACAGCGCAATTCTGAAGAAGTAAGTAGATGTGTTGAGGAATCTTTGTAAATTCTTGCTTCTCGCGATCATTGTCTTAACTGAATACCGATGTGACCAATGAGCAACCAGTCAATAGGGTTGGGAGCAAACGTGAGGAATTTATAAAAATTGAATCGCATTAGTTAAAATTGGTTCAACCAATGAATTTAGCTTCCCTCCGTGTTAGAAATTTGTCACACCTAATGCTTGTGCGCTTGTACAAAATCAGTTTATTTATGTGTTGTAGCGCATGTACATACCGGGGGTTAACGTCTTTTGCCTCGGACATGTAACAGTAAATGAAAACATTAAACTTCTTTTTCAGATTTCACTACATACTCCTGATTTCCGTGTTGTAAAAGCAATCCAAAAGATTTCTTGGACAGCGGCAGGTGGTATGATGGACATACTTCGTGCTTCACCGGATGAAATACATAAATCTTTTGAAAAGGTACTTGAGAAAGTTGCCCTCTCATGATTTGAAATGTGGCAATCATAAAATAGTTTATAGAGGATACTGTGATGTGCTGCACTAAGTAATATCGAGTGTTAAACATGATCTCTTTTACAAATAATTGCAAACAAAACAAGTAAAACATATCATCGCTTTGCATGAGCATTGAATCTCATATCCTCAACGCGTTTTTTCAGTAACCCGGACTAAAGGGTTGAGTAATGAAACACGTTATCCTGGCTGGATGAACTTGAATATATTGAAGGAAAAATCAGTTGAAGTCTTTCACTAAGTGCTTTTAAACACGGCTGGCCAAGACGCCTCACTTCTTCTAGTCAGCCCTTGATCTTCAACGTATGACAAGGTTATTTCTGTATTTAGATGGACCTAACTTCTCACTTCTTGGATATTAATGATATTAATACGTGTAAGGAATCTACAGAGGTATGTTACTGTGACGCATAGAGCGAGTTTACTTAAAGTCATCTATTTCACGATCCGTTTTTCGTTCCTTCACTTCAACTGCTTCATGATAAAATACAGTTTACGTAAATGTCAAGTCTCGTGCAAATGTAGGTTTTAACTCTGTGTCTCGCAATCCAACCGAACCACCTGGAAACGTTGAGTAAAGATCGATCGTGGCAAAGTTTTATTACAGATTTAGTACTACGCTGTAATAACAGGTACATCTATGGACTATTATCGTGAGACTTACATCAGTTTTTCCCACTATCTGTACTAAGGATTGTTGTATGTACGAGGTCGTCGCTAGAACCTTATTGGGAGAAGGGGGAGCGGTGTTTGTTCATATATTTAGTTGTGCCCAACCGATTTCTTTTGATCACTTTGAAGAGAAATCACTCATGAGCAAAACTGAATATGAAAATAAACACACCCCAATAAAAGTTCTAAGGATTGACCTGTTGTTGTAAACATTTATGGTATTTTGGCGTTTTTTCCCGTAGCTCTTTAAGGTGGTACGTTGTCGAACAATTTTTTGTCATGGCAACACGATGTTCGGATGGTCACAGACCTTTAATATTTTTCATTACTTTGCTGTTTTCCGTCTTAACGGTACGTTATTTATTTATAATGGACATATCTTTTGAATAATGTTAATTTTGTTTTGTATATGGAAATAAAATGTCACTTTGAAAGAATAGTTTAATATGTGGGACAATTGTGTGTATTTGTGTATTCCAGTTGATCCTAATTCGTTCCCATGGTTGTTTGATTGCAACCACACCCTATTTTTCTTCAAGTAGCCACACCCTATAAACACTGCGTGCTCAAGGGTGGGCATTTAAATGCTACTCGTTATGTAAAAATAATTTCTTTCAATTTTCTGTAGACAATTGTTGAGAACAACCCTGAAACAAGTGGAGAGTATTTTACATTGCTCTCAAAGTAAGTTCTTTGGTAAAAAATACTTTACATTTTTTTCAAAGTAAGTTATTTTTTAAAAAAGGCTTTACATTGTTTTCAAAGTAAGCTCTTTGGTAAAAAAACTTTACATTGCTTTGAAAGAGAGTTTTTCCGTCCTTTACATCGCGTCCAAAGAGTCATAGCTACAGGCAGTTATTTTACATTATCCTGTGTATTATCTCTGAAATATCTCTGTTTATTACTTACTCACTTGCAAGTCTACATTTTCAGTAGTGTTTTTCAAACTTTCTATGCGCAGGCATCGTCTTAGTTACGTGGTTGGGAGGATGTTTGTTTTTTTCTTGTTTATAGCATTTTTATATTTCACAGGTTGTTGCATTTCGCACATTCCGTACACGCGCCCTATTCTACTGCTGAAAAGTTATTGACAAACGAAATACATTGGCTTAAAAGGGCGAAGGTTTGTTTATATTTTCTCAGCCTCGCTACTAGTAGACAAGCGACAACAAACAACCTATGTAATTATGGCACCTTTGAGTTTTTCTCGCACTTTATTGCGTCTCCGTCATGTGTAGGACTTGGTAAAATCGACAGGAAATTGTGAATCCGTTCAGGGTTGTTTGCTTGAAGGACATATACTTATTGCAAGAGAACTGCTGTTGTTTCTTAGTCCAGTGAAAAAACATTATATCGGATGTGCTCCCGATGGACCCTGTCTTGTCAAGGTAGAACAGTTCTTGTTATGTAAAGTCTAAAAAGTCATTAGTGAAATACAGAAAGTTACGATTTGAAACAAGAACATATTAGAGTAAGGTTTTTGACGTGAAAGAAATCTACAACAACGTTAAAGCATTCGAATTTTTTTTTTCGCCTATAAAATTACCTCGTAGAAATATTTATGTTAAGCACCGAAGAGTACCGTCTATTTTATTCATGATATTAGCATTATTGTACTTTTGGTCGTCTAGTCAAACATGAAAAGCAACTAACAGTTCAAAAGAGTCAAAGTTAATATTAACATTTTCTTTTTTTATAACCAATCACGAAGTTTCACCTGCTACCACAAGTTTTGTTTGTGTCTTAAACTGGTTTGACTGGGTTTTAACAGAGAATTCTGTATCTGGGCCAATAATCAATGGTTTTAGATACGCTGTGCAAGTTACTTTTTATATTTTAGGAACTGTTGGACGAGTTCATTTTCCCAGCATCCAAGATGGTCATAGAATCGAGGAAGTGTGGTGGTAAGTTTCTTAATGGTCATATATACAAATAAAAAGTTTTTCAATAAATGATGCGTGTCCCTTTTTCCATTATTTTTTGTTTTCTAGATGTATGGAATAAACCAGTTATCGCTGTTTGCAATACGTCACCAACACTTGTCGCTGCTTTTGAGTTGCTCGTATCGCTATGTACTGGTTGTATTGAGAATCTACAGTATGTAGCGAATGCACTCACAGAACTATACTATTCAGGTATTGACAAAAATCCAATTCTGTTATCTCACACCATGTTTTGTTTAAGAACTTGAGGTTTTTGATAAGAACTTTGTAAAGGTTTGGTTTCGCTTCTCAAATTTATGTCATATTTGGTTTTTATGACAGGAAATGAGATGCCTCTCCTGGAATGGGAATACACGCCTCCCATTGGTCCACGTCCAATGAGAGGATTTGTTGGTTTGAAGAATGCCGGAGCTACATGTTACATGAATTCTGTTATCCAACAGGTATATATAACTGTGAGGAAAGTGATATTGACTGAAGATAAATATTCTCAGAAACTGTTTTCCTCATATTTGTCTATTGATTTTTGTCCATAAAAAAAAACAACAAAATGGTATTGTATTTTCCTACCGTTTGTCGTTTATGTCCATACTTATAAATCAATGAAACTTTTTTGTTTTGTTTTTTTTTTAATTTAGTTGTTCATGATTTGTAAAGTTCGTGACGGTATTCTTGTTGCTGATGAGACGTTATCATTGCCTGATGAAGAATCTGTAAACAATGACGAGAAAACTGAGAGCGAGGGTACAAGTGATACTGGATACTATTCAGAAGACACGAAAGATTATAATAACGAAAAAGACTGTAATGACAGAGAAAAGGAAGCGAAACTAAACTTGAGATATCAAAAGTCGATACTCAGACAGATGCAATTCATATTTGGTCATCTTAAAGAAAGTCAGTTGCAATATTACGTTCCTCAAGGATTGTGGAAGACATTCAAGTATGTATGGTTTGAACATGAATTTGTGGAAATGCACGGGTTTGTAAAAGAGAGAGAGGTGGTAATGGGGGCTATACTGTCGTTGAAAATTAGCTGACTCCCTATGAATTCTATATGAAATCTGGGCGTTTTACTTCTATTTGACTTATTGCTGATATTATTTCATCTAAATGTTGATTATATTATCTCATATACATAGTGAATACATTGTCTCGTGTAAATATTGAATGTATCATAACATGCTCATATTTGCATAAATTATCTCACCTTCGTTTTGAATATATTATCTCACGCAGATACCAGGGGGAACGAGTGAATCTTCGTGAGCAACACGATGCGCTGGAGTTCTTTAACAGTTTGATTGATATTCTGGATGAAGGGCTAAAGGCTGTTGGCCACGAACCGGTTCTTATACGTGTTCTTGGTGGCATTTTTGCTGATCAAAAAATTTGTAAAGGTTGTCCACACAGGTTGGTGACTTAATTTAGTACCAGATTTCGTTGTATTTTTGGATTTAATTATGTTTTATTAACAAATTGATGTGTTAAACAGTAGAGCGAATTCCATTCAATCTATGTGATTTTCTGAACTTGAAATGTCCGCTTTGTTTTAATGTTTGTGTCATAGATTATAATATAGTAAAGTTGGGATTTGGCAGCGTACGAAATTTTCAGTCAAATTTTGCTAATTTTACTAAATTGCTAATTTAACAATAAAATAGTTATCTCAATAAACAATGTATTTCAACAGACTAGAAAATGTCAAGTATAGTTATTGAAATATATTGCATTACTATGCGTATAAACTAGCCATTACACCAAGAATAAGGACTTTACATGCAGTTGCGAAATGTAAATATACATTATATAAAACTGTTGGGTATTGTACAGTGTGTCGTTGTATTGACTCTGAATGTGATCTTGAGTGTAAAATTGATAAAGTTTCATGTGAGTTTTGTATGGTATAATAAATTGTATTGATGATAAGACTTTTTTCTTTTTTTAAGATACTCCAAAGATGATCCATTTATTGCCCTAACCATTGATATTCGTAATCACCAAAATCTCATTGAATCTCTTGACCAGTTCGTGAAAGGCGACTTGCTCGAGGGTGCAAATGCTTATCATTGTGACAAGTGTAACAAAAAAGTGAGTGAAAGTTTTACGAACAAGACTGCATGCTCGTAAAATTCACTGCGAATCTGTGTAAATGCTATTTAGATTGACACAGTTAAAAGAATGTGTTTTAAAAAACTACCGAAAGTTCTGGCTATCCAACTGAAGCGCTTTGATTATGATTGGGAGAGGTATTATGTCTCAACAATTACCCAAACATTCTTGAGAAAGCACTCATGAATGGGATTTGTATTAATTTACAGGGATGTTGCAGTGAAGTTCAATGATTATTTTGAATTTCCAAGAGAGTTTGATATGGAGCCATATACTGTACAAGGTCTTGCTAGAATTGAAAGTAAGCATCATTTGGTTTTTATATCTGCATGTCTTCAGAACAATCGACATGTAAGTGTGTTCATTGAATGAAATATGTAAATCAATGTCCCAAACTAAATTACTCATGCTTGCACGAGGTCTAAATTATTTTCTTGTTTACATGCGCGAATAGTCCGAACGTTTCTGGTTGACATTTCAACTTCAAGTTTCTGCATAAAAATGGAACAAATTTCGTAATTAGATGCCTTGTTATCTTGATATTCAAGAGAAAAATCAAAGGTTTAAAGATAGGTAATATTTTGTCTGTATTCTAGAGCTATCGTCTAGAAATGATCATTGGTCTCATATCATGATGAATGAAGACGAAATATTACGTGTCTTTAACCTCTTGTTTCTTTTATCTCGAGCGTAAATAAATTTCTATTGCGAAGAAACATTTCAGTTCGTTCAATGAAATTACAAACGTAACTTGTTATTACATTTGATGTTCGTATTTGATCCGAAGATGGAAATGCATCCATTCTACCACGTTTGTTCAAACGCTCTGTACTGATATTGTGATTTTTGTAAGAATATAAAAATGCCTTTCGTATAGACGACCCTGGCGAGTTCGACGAAAGCACAACTACGATATATGAAGAAGATGAAAAGAGAGAGTTATTGAGTACTAAATATCGTCTAGTTGGTGTCGTTGTTCATAGTGGGCAGGCATCTGGCGGTCATTACTACTCGTACATAAGGTAAACATGTAGTATAGGATCTGCTAAATTTTGGTAATGAAAATCTACTGTCGAAAGAGATTAAGGAGAGTGGGTTTTTATGTTATTTAAACAGAACGACAACTCATGGATGCACAAGTTGGTTCAAATTTGACGACGGTGATGTAAGCGATTGTAAAATGGATGACGACGAGGTATTTCATTGTATTTAATTAATTTAATTCACCTAAACTGATTAATGTATGAGATAAGGAACTATCTTAATATGTGACTTGCCAAAATACACGTGTTTTAACGTCTGTATATAATTATCGAGGGCAATTGTCGCCAAACTTTTACATATGATCATTTGAAAAAATGAACATAACTCTTTCTTTAACGTGGCTGTAGTCAAGAATTTTTTTTAGAAATGGTGATTTTTTTGTTGTGGGCTATTTCCGTGAACAAGCCATGGTAGTTTTAATGGTGACGTCACCATGTTGTTTTTAGGAATTGAAAACGCAATGTTTTGGTGGTGAATATATGGGAGAAGTATTTGATCACATGATGAAGAGGTAAAACAACAAAAAAAATCGATTGCATGCGTATGTTGAGTTGATGTGAGAAGATTAATACAATGATTTCCACAAAGTGCGCTGTGTCTACTTGTGAAAGTGTTCTATGTCCATGTATTTGAAGAAGAGGATTTTCTCTTACTAAACCAATAACCCTGACAACCAATCTTTATTACATTTATGAACATTGTTTGAAATTGGTTAAGCATTACTTGTTTTAGTCTTATGTGAAATTGTGTTTCAGAATGTCGTATCGTCGTCAAAAAAGATGGTGGAATGCTTATATCTTGTTTTACGAGAGGATAGAAGAGGAAGACAATGGTTTTGTCCTGGTCAAAAATGGTGACCATAAGTACATCGCTCAAATTAAGCAAACAGACATGTTAATGCCATCGTTGCTTCTATTTAGATGTAAAAATCCCTTGTGCGATTGAACAAGAGGTTAGAAAACAAAACATGGAATTTCTTCATAACAGAATACAGTTCTCAAACGAATACTTTGATTTCATTCGAAAACTGGTGACTGTGAATATTAATTTGGATTCGGTGAGTTGGACTTTTTTATAAATTGTTAATGACGAGGTTAGCCTGGAAGAGGTGGTGTTGTAAAGGAGTATTGAAAGAGTTGTATGTAACTGCCTAAAAGGTTAATGTTTGCTTGAGAGATGTTGAGGAGCAGTGAAAGAGGTTATGGAACTGTGTAAACGGTTCATGTTTGCTTGAGGGATGTTGAGGAGCAGTGAAAGAGGTTATGGAACTGTGTAAACGGTTCATGTTTGCTTGAGGAATGTTGAGGAGCAGTGAAAGAGGTTATGGAACTGTGTAAACGGTTCATGTTTGCTTGAGGGATGTTTAGGAGCAGTGAAAGAGGTTATGGAACTGTGTAAATAGTTCATGTTTGCTTGAGGAATTTTGAGGAGCAGTGAAAGAGGTTATGGAACTGTGTAAATAGTTCATGTTTGCTTGAGGGATGTTGAGGAACAGTGAAAGAGGTTATGGAACTGTGTAAATAGTTCATGTTTGCTTGAGGGATGTTGAGGAACAGTGAAAGAGGTTATGGAACTGTGTAAATGGTTCATGTTTGCTTGAGGAATGTTGAGGAGCAGTGAAAGAGGTTATGGAACTGTGTAAATAGTTCATGTTTGCTTGAGGAATGTTGAGGAGCAGTGAAAGAGGTAATGGAACTGTGTAAATAGTTCATGTTTGCTTGAGGGATGTTGAGGAGCAGTGAAAGAGGTTATGGAACTGTGTAAATAGTTCATGTTTGCTTGAGGGATGTTTAGGAGCAGTGAAATAGGTTATGGAACTGTGTAAACGGTTCATGTTTGCTTGAGGGATGTTTAGGAGCAGTGAAAGAGGTTATGGAACTGTGTAAACGGTTCATGTTTGCTTGAGGAATGTTGAGGAGCAGTGAAAGAGGTTATTGAACTGTGTAAATTATTTTTGTTTCGAAGTGTTATTTTTAGTGTTTATATTTCATTCTTATGTTTTGCAGGAAGATGTTGAAGATCTAGCCATGATCAGCATGCAATTATTATCAAAATTTTTGTTTTCTTGTGGACTACGGACTAAAAAGACTATAAGGTAGACAGGAATAATGACGCAATATTCACACATGGTTCTAGAATTGCCCACGAGTTTCAACTATTGTATTTTCAGAGGTCCAGCTGGAGATTGGTACGAGGCTATCACCGGTCTCTTACGTCAGAGCAAAATAGTTCGTTTGTGGTTTGCTCAAAATGTCTTATTCACTCACTCAGAAAGAATCTCCGAGTACTTACTAGAGTCACCATCACCTGAGGTAAAATTAAAACTTCTACATTCTAAAGAATCAATTGATATCAATTTAAAAATTATTTATCATTTGGGGCATGGCACTTTCTCATGATGTTTTAAGGGATGCCTTGTGCTGTTTTACGATCTAAAATTCATCTCAATTTGATGTGTTAGGAAAATTCTAAATATGATAATCGCTTATTCCTTTTTTTTCTCTCTCCGGATTTTGAATTGAAGGTCATGTTTATATGAACGTCTCGTTAATGAAGTGTTGAGGATTTATTTTTTATAAATAAATACAAGAAAACATTGCGAGTTGTTTTTATCGTCCTAAAGTTGTCGCTCTATTGGATATCATAAAACCAAATTATTTAAAGTTGACACATTATGATGCACTCCAGGTCCGCACTATGTTTGCAAGGATGTTAGTATTTTTGTGCCGTGCATCAAGATCTGATGGTGAATGTGATCCACCTTACGTTATGGAGGAAAAACAGTTGGAGAATAATGAAGGTAAGGACATCTTCAAACAAATATAATGCTTTACATTTTCTTTTCACGGAGTTTCCACTTTAGGAAATTTTCCACGGAACGTATAATTTTCCAGTATGCACGTGCGCTAAGTAAGGCAAGAGATGCGATCAAATTTTCCTGGGGAAAAAAATTGAATGTTTATTCATGTAGAAATTCTTCAACTTTTTGTATTTAGCCCGGTGAAAGCATGCGCGACCTGGAAAGTTATATGTTCTGTGGAAAATTTCTTAAGTAGAAACAGACCTTCGCATTTCTCAATCAATTTTTGAAGTTTTTGAATAACGTTGAATTGTGTGTCTATGGGGGGAGGGGCGCCTGAAGACACGATTGCCAAAAGCTTTATCTTTCTGTTATCTTTCTGCATCTTTCTATTGTCACGTTGAAATTATGATAAGTACAGGCTGTACACATCACCTTATTCTTAACATGGAAAGTTTTTTCGCTATTTTTTTTCTTTTAGGCACTAAGAAAACAGTTTTAAGTGAATATATTCTTCGTGCCGTATTGAAATTACTCGATAAGGAAGTTCCTGAAAATGGACGAAATTTGCATCAATATTTCTCATTCTTTTGTTTGTATATGAATCTTGGAACTTACGAGGTAATAAACGCTGAGTTCATCGAATATGTGTGGTATATTTACTGTTTAAACCATTTCAATTTATAACTCACATCGAAGCTGTACAGAAAAACCTTTTGTGATCTTTTTATATACTTCGCACACTTTTCCTGAGATGCATAATTTGGAGAAGTTTGAAAGAGTTAATGTTTGTCGTTTTCTAGAAAAAACAACTATTGGATCTTAATGTACCTGCAGCGTTTATACAATTGGCTCTAGATGAAGGCCCCGGTTTATCCATACGATATCAGTATCCTGAACTTGGAAAACTTCATGCTGTTATTTCCTGTTTAATACGGTCATGTGACGTGTCACATAGATGGCAGTCTTCTATGGTAAACTTTATGTGAATGACAATATGTTTAACGTATGTCAAAATGTCTGTCTAAAGTGGAAACCTATGAACATTAAAGTACATTTGCATGCTTAGGCCCATGATGTACTGCTAACATTACATTTATAATGGCTGTCTTTAATGTATATATTTTTCATTAGGATAATGGACAACCAATTCGAATGAGAGATATGGAAACGATTATGAAGTTACAAAGCAATGTTGATGAACAGATTTTCGTACGGTTCAAGTGAGTCTGACCATATGACGCTAATGTACATATCTTTGTAAAAAGCGATATGATCAATTGTTGTCTGACGTAATTTTTTTCTGTATTAGTTACATAAAAAAAATGATAGAATGTTATACTGACGCGGAGGAAACAGTGCTGCTTTTAAAGGTGAGAGAATGTTTACACGTGACTTAAGAGATTGAACTGAAAATCACCGTCGATGGTCGATAGAATTTTGAACTTTTTATTCAATTTTTGATTGAATATATTTCTCTATATTATGATTGAATATATTTCTCCATATTGTGATTGAATATATTTCTCTATATTGTGATTGAATATATTTCTCTATATTATGATTGAATATCTCTATATTGTGATTGAATATATTTCTCTATATTGTCATGGAACATATTTCTCTATACTGTGATTGAATATTTATGTCTATAATGGGATTGAATATATTTCTCTATATTGTGATTGAATGTATTTCTCTATACTGTGATTGAATATTTATCTCTATAATGGGATTGAATATATTTCTCTATATTGGGTTTGAATGTATTTCTCTATATTGTGATTGAATATATTTCTCTATATTGTCATGGAACATATTTCTCTATATTGTGATTGAATATATTTCTTTATATTGTAATTGAACATATTTCTCTATATTATGATTGAATATTTTTCTCTATATTGTGATTGAATATATTTCTCTATATTGTGATTGAATATATTTCTTTATATTGTAATTGAACACATTTCTCTATATTATGATTGAATATCGTTCTCCATATTGAGATTGAATATATTTCTCTATATTGTGATTGAATATATTTCTCCATATTGTGATTGAATATATTTCTCTATATTGTGATTGAATATATTTCGCTATATTATGATTGAATATTTTTCTCTATATTGTGATTGAATATATTTCTCTATATTGTGATTGAATATATTTCTTTATATTGTAATTGAACACATTTCTCTATATTATGATTGAATATCGTTCTCCATATTGAGATTGAATATATTTCTCTATATTGTGATTGAATATATTTCTCTATATTGTGATTGAATATATTTCGCTATATTATGATTGAATATTTTTCTCTATATTGTGATTGAATATATTTCTCTATATTGTCATGGAACATATTTCTTTATATTGTAATTGAACGTATTTCTCTATATTATGATTGAATATCTTTCTCCATATTGAGATTGAATATATTTCTCTATATTATTATTGAATATATTTCTCTATATTATGATTGAATATATTTCTCCATATTGTGATTGAATATATTTCTCTATATTGTGATTGAATATATTTCTCCATATTGTGATTGAATATATTTCTCCATATTGTGATTGAATATATTTCTCTATATTGTGATTGAATATATTTCTCCATATTGTGATTGAATATATTTCTCCATATTGTGATTGAATATATTTCTCTATATTGTGATTGTGACCATGTTGCCAAGCTTAGCATTTGAAATTAGACGTTAAAATTGTGGGAATCTATTTTTTTACGTTCTTGTTTTTTTTAGTATTGTTGCTGGGAAAATCCTCAATTCTCGTCGTCAATTCTAAAGGAGCTTTTATTCCAGGTTTAGGAACATTGTTGTAATGTGTTGAAAATCAGACTTGTATTTCTTTATGGATGATTATTAGAACCTCACCTTGTGTTTATTACTCTTGATTTACGGTTTTCGAGTTTTCAATGTTGTCTTAAATGTTAGAAATAAAATGATTGTTTAATTTTATTCTTACAGCTAACGATTATTGTCATTTTTTAGATTGCTTGTTTGTACACGTATGAATTGAGGCCTTACATGGATTTGTTACTGGAAATGACTTTTCTTAAAGACTCTTGGCAAAGACATCGGATTGCCAACATTTTGAAAGGTAACCATTGAAATTTCTATGGTATTGATATTATATGCGTTTATATCTCGTGCGTTTGTATTATATCTGCTCATAATACCGTTTATAATATATGTTTTTATAATGCAGCTGTTTGTAATGTATTTTGAATAACATAGAAATTTTGATTATGTATCCGCTGTTGATAGAAGTTTTTTTGTTACTTTGCATTTTTATAGGAAGTGATGGAAAGGATGGCATCTTTGATACTATACAACGATCCAGAAATCACTATCATAAACGTGTTTACCAGTGTATAAAATTTCTCGTCGCATTGTTTAGCAAGTAATGAAGGACAGCCGTTGATTGCATGTTATAAATGTGATGAGCTTGCCTAAAGCAAACTCTTAGTCTTTCTCAGTTTAATTGTTGTTTATATATGTGTTTATCGTTTAGTAGCCAAATGGCTTATCAAGTTGTCTTGGATTCTCATGATCTCAAATCGAAGTGGACTGCTGCTGTTGACTGGTTGAATGACGAGCTGGATAGAGTGAGTTTTGCGATAATATAGTCGTATTGAGTGCTTTTTGCTTTTTACAATTACCTCTTTTCTTAAATTACCATCATTTGCTGGTACATATCAAACCGTTTGCTTACATTTGACTAAAAACTTTCAAAAAGGTTCATCAACGGTAAATTTGGATGTTTATCGTTAAATTGTTTAAGACGTTCATTTATCTCTTTTGTGTTTATCTTACTGATATAATGGATCATTGTTTCGATTGTTTTAGAGACCATTTGGCTCATCAAATGCTTATCCCTACAATAATTGGTCGCCACCTGCACAATCCAATGAAACATCTAATGGGTAAGTACGAAAAGCAAAAATTACCTTGAAAATTATTGCAAACTTTTCACGACCTTCTGAAAGTCTTATTTAAGTGTAAGATAATCCTCAGGCTGTCCAAACGACCCTCTGAAAGTCTTATTTAAGTGTAAGATAATCCTCAGGCTGTCCAAACGACCTTCTGAAAGTCTTATTTAAGTGTAAGATAATCCTCAGGCTGTCCAAACGACCTTCTGAAAGTCTTATTTAAGTGTAAGATAATCCTCAGGCTGTCCAAACGACCTTCTGAAAGTCTTATTTAAGTGTAAGATAATCCTCAGGCTGTCCAAAGTTAGATGTGGCTGATGCTAATTTTGATAAGCAGGTGTTCTAATGCGAGTTTCAAGGCACTTAAATATTGATAAAAAAGTGCCATCGCCAAAATTTTTTCAACGTTTTAAACAATTATGAGCTAATTGTCAAGATAGACGTGCTCTTGTAGACATAACATCTGCGACTACATGTCTTGCTTTTCTTCGAGGGCTTGTTTATCTTCTAACGCCAATTTTACTTTTTGTGATATAGCTATCTCCCAACGTCTTTTGAACAATTAAGCTTTTGCGAATTTAAATTATATCTCATAATGCTGACATAATTATCCCATTGCAGACTGGAAAAAATTGTGTTTTCTTTACGCCAGCTGATCGCACCGCTATCGGCAAGAAACGTTTATATATTGCCCTTGGCCTTCGTGAGCGTATTGTATTTTTTACAAGCATTATACCGAAACAGCGCAGAAATATTGATACATTGGTCCTCAATATTTGGATAGAAATTATTACCATATTAATAAAGGATAAAAATTTTGTTCTAACAGTTGATATTTTGAATTGGGAGAGAACAGTTTATGTTGCCGCTAACTACCTTTGCAGGCTACGATTTTCATAGTAGCTAATTAATCATTTTAAAAATAGTTTGATAATGTTTTTTTTTTAAGTGGAGTCATTCGACTACAAATTTAAAAATAGGTACGTGTACGCACGGCTAACCTGCAGATTTCCGAAATACATAAATCATTTATTTGAAACTTCCCTGTAGCAAAAAGAAGTTGGCAAGAGTTTCTCATTTTAACGAGATTAATGAAAACTTTTTTTTCGTCAAAAGTCGTGTATTTATAGTAATAGCAAGTGTACAAGCTAAAGAATACGGCAGTTAATGTTTATGCATGTTCGGGACATCAGATGGAAATAATGTTATCTATCTTACATACAAACTTTCTTATGAAAGAATGTTATATGCAGTGCGGTGTTTTGAAATTAAATGAAGATATGATCTTCACACTTTGCTGGACAATTTAAGCAATTGTCTCATGAACCTGAAAAATTCAGGTGACTGAATTCCGTTAAGTCACCTGAATTTTTCAGGTTCATGAGACAATTGCTTAAATTGTCCAGCAAAGTGCGAAGATCATATCTTCATTTAATTACAAACTTTCTTCCTTCATCTGATCAGTCCAAAGGTAGATAAAATGATTTTTTATGCTTTTTTGGTTGTACATCCCATTCACTGTTATTTTTAAAAACATAACTCTGGATGCAATATTCATTGAGGATTTGGGAAAAATTGGGGAATGGGCATTTGCTCATAGCATTGACATTAATTTCGCTAATTCGTTATTCTCTTGCACGTAAAGATATTTATGGTTGCCATATTATCTCGCTTACGAGGTAGATTTAGTTCACCTCCTGTGCCGTGGAACATAAAATGGTTAGCTACTCAAAACCATATAGCGATTTATATGTTTTTGTGTTTGTAGCGTTTTCCTTGAACGTTCCCAAAGTGCAAGATTAACATTACAAAAAGCATTTGAATTTGTTCCGGAAGAGGTGAGGAACACAATCATGGCTAAAGTTCAAATGGTCTCTTGTACTTTATGTCAGATAATTATGATTTCGATCTATGACGGACGATTCGCTAAAACCGTTTTTGGTTTAGGAGCAAGAGGAAACGGCAGTGGAAGATGTGACAGAGTGCGAAATCACTGAAGACGAAAACTCTTCTGAACGAGAATCTAATGCTGCAGCAAACCAATCAACATCCAGTATTTCTGGACAATCTGATTCTACCATCCCTCAAAGTGCCGATCAATCATTGGACGAAGTGGACTCGAGTTTAAATGACTCTGAAAAACAGGAGGACGATACAAGCACGGGAAAATCAAATGAAGCATTATAATAACAACCTCTTATTGCGCATGACGTATTCACGCATTCAGAAAATATTTAGTGCTGGCCTGTATTTTCACGATCAAAACTGGTGTTGGCAATTACTAAATATTGATTTTGTAAATCCTTAAAAGAAGCGAAAGTAACGTTTTCAAGTCATGTTTCCTTGTGTTGCTAAAACATTCATTAAGAAAGATGTTTCATTATTAAATTAAAAAAGGAACGTTTTAAAGACATATTCGCTTGTGTTGCTGAGGCATTCCTTTATAAAAATATTTCAATAGGAAATTTAAAAAGTAGCATTTTAAAGCCTTATTCCTGTTTACTAACACATTTCTAAATAGCGGATTGCATCATAAAGAAATTATCAATCAAAGTAAATCGAAGAATTTTTTGTTTTAATATTTACTAGCTTTCCTTGTGTGTGTATTTATGATCCCGACATAGAGGTTATACGTCTATAAACTAGCAGAACAATGATTCATTAGGCAAGGATATATATACCGATGAGGGCTTAGGGCTGATTCTTAAAAAAATCAGTCGTCTCTCTAAAATTATATTGAGATATTCAAGGCAATAAATGTAAAAATGTCTCTTTGTATCTGTGACAGCCAGTCGCATCAAACAATTGCCCAGTGCAACTTTTTTTATTAAATTCCACTCATCTCTAATGGGATTTGTCACGTGGCGAGCCTACGGGTTCCTCGTTACATTAGCAAAAATATAATATGTTGATGAATTTTTGGTATTTCTCGTGAAAATAGCATACATACAGATCTCAATCTCAGTGGTCTACCAATCTAGCAAGTAAGGTTGTTCACGCTATGTGAATATTTTAGTCTTCACTTAATTTCCCTTACTTTAAAAACAATAGACTTCTATATAAATAAATACTAGTCGGATATTTTACATAGCCAACCAAGTGCCAACGCCACTTATCAATGTCCATGTATTTAGCTTTGGTCAAATAGCTATACCAATCTATGTATAATATTTACCATCTAAAATATAATATTATATAAAATATTTTGTTGATAAAAACATACGTCAGTTATGATTCATACGTGAAACGTTTGAAATATTATGTAGTGTGAGTGGATTGTAGGAAAATATTTGTCATGTATACATGCAGGTAAAGAACGGGTCTTAACTTTATCATTTGCTTTCAACATTTGCTATTTCTTCAACTGTATGCAGTTACGTTTTTTTGCCATGCTTGTAGACTTTGCAAACACAGCTAACATCTTTTATTTATGGATGTAGCAATGGATTACAGTATATTTATATGCATAGACATTTAACTATATTATTTATTTGAATTTAGATTTTCGTTGTTAAATGTAACGCAGAGGGGAACATGGATTAAAACAGTTGTTGGAAAATTTTCTTTTTACTTTGTCTTTTGTTTAAAAATCAGAGTGATTATTTATAAATATAGTATAGCACTTGTTTACTTCAAATTATTTTTGTCAACTGTATAATTCCCATTAAACATAAGTCTACCCCACTATTATGTAAAGCAACCTGTATGAAAACATGAATTATGAAATGAAAGTAGTTAAGATGTTTGGTTGAAGATTTATGCAGTTGCATAGATATTACCTATTAAGCACATTAGTTTAGTGAAGGTGCTCAAGTTTAACAAGTGCTGTAAATTACTTTTATAGCTGTAAATTCAAATGAATTAACTAAATTGACAAATTTAATGAACCATAAAAATTTGCCAAATCGATAATTTACAAATGCATGCGTACAAGTTGTAAATGCATGTGGCAGAAATTTTAACATGAAATATTCAATTATATTAAGCCACTAAAAATTCTGCTTTTTATATCCTAATGTTGGGCATTGAGTAGTCGCTGTTCATGGGCCATTTCTAAAAAAATTAGTAACTTAAATATCAGAATTGCATCGCTTTTAAAGTAATTTAATTTTGAAATATGTTTGTTATAACGTAGCTAGTCAGAGACTTAACAATGATCTGCTTCTGACACTTAACAGTATCAACACACATGCAAAATATAATAAATAAATTTATAAAAAAAAAACATGATATAAAAAAGTGTATCTAGCTATACTGTAGATTGGCTAGTCCATAAGTTTTAGTCCTGCTTTGTGTAATTTTCATAACATTATTTTTCGTCATTTTTTTAAAATCTTTTTAAAGTAAGAATTATCGATCGAAGAACAAAATAAGCGGGCTAACGACAGCAACGCAAATGACTGTATAGCTGCATATATACACGTATAAATATCAATAGCAATTTAGTAGTTCGATATCTCAGTATGAACGCTTAGGGGGTACTTGTAGGGTAAAAGCGCTGTTTTAATGACACGAAACGTCTATTGTAAACATTTTTGCTCTCGTTTTTAGCTACTGTCAACAATTATACTCGTGCGCAAGATTATGTTAGTGTGTTTCTAGGTCTTTTTATTTTCAAGTTTAGTCAAATAGTTTCAAAATCTATTAAAATATGCATTTTAATACAGTTTCATTCAATGGATGCCATGCAAACAGTTTGTCTTATAGTAAGCTTTGAAGCATGCATGTTGTGTTCAACATTTTAACACGATGTCGAAAAACTAGACAAGGCAGGCTAACTTGTAGACATGTCGATGACATACAAATCTGATTAAATGGTCAAAAGCTATTTTATTAACGAGATAAACAATATTTTCTAAGTACATAACCCGATTAGCACGCATTAATATATAATCGCTGGTGGCAACAATGCACTCCATGAGATGCAGGTTATTTCTTATGTTCTTAATAAAATGTCACAAATAAGCAGGTCCTGTTTTGTAAAATATCTAATTCGAAATATTCATAGAGTAAATTATTGTTCGCGCGAAGTTGCTTGATAAATAGCTTACTGCTAGTAAGAAGAATTCTGAGGAATTTTCATGCAACATTTACTATCATGTTTTGGAATATTGCAAACTGACGAAAGGATGGTCCATTCAACAAGAAAAGGGGTAGCATGGCCCTTCGTGATGTCTTGACATGTGATCCGATATCTAAAATACCTGTTATAGATTAAATACATTTCTTGTCTTGCTAAATTGTTCTTTCAGTGCATGTACCCATTTAGAATTATCAGACGCGTGTTTATTTTGAGAACATGAGAAACACATGTTCGAAATTAAGATATGAAATATGTTTACAATTTGATTATTGAGTTTTATAATGGTTTTGATTGCTATAATAAAATCAATTTGACAGACATGGCTTTGGCTTTGTTAATTAGCTTAAGTCATGGTACCAGAACATGTTAATTGCGTGTCATTATGCTTATTGTTTAACACTTATTTGTATCGCCATTATTGTTGCGTTAGTTTCTGTCTTATATTCAAGTCGCAGAAGTTGGAGTTAAGGACTCGGGTTTTCAATTGTGTCAGGTATTATAAGAATATTTTTGTTTTACGTTAGTATTTGCGTTTATGAATCGTCACGGATGATTATAAGGATAATGAGTTTGTTATGAACACCAATGTCCTTCGTATATATAAACAAGTGTGGACCATCATAACACAATAGTACCATTCTAATGCCTGCTTATATCCATTGAACGCCTGTCTTAACTTTCATAACTCAATATAATTTGCATGGCATTTAAGCCAAGAGCTAGCTTTAGACGAAAATTGATTCATGAGTATTAAAAAGGAAAACTAAAACGGTAGGCAAAGCTATACTGCATAACTATATACAACATCTCTGTATAAAGCTTTTTCTTCATTCAAATTTTCCCATATTGTTTAGAAACATGCAATAAAAGTATAATATGCGTCAAACTCCTGTTTTCTTAAATGATCTCACTCTATAATCTATTTCATACTTAATTCCTGCAGTGTTTGTTTTATTTCTTTATTAGAAGGTGTGTCTATAAAAACTTCCTGCATTAGTTATAACGACATTTACCATTAATATATCTTCCAGTCAGGCAGTCTTTGTAGCTTAAAAAGGCTCCTCACGAATCCTAAAATCTTACTAATTGTTATCAAAACAAATAATTTGGTGTTAGAAGGAAGCATGTATTGTAGGTAAATATTAGTGACTAGCGGCCCAATGGCCGTCCTGAAAATGTTCGCAAACACATATTTGATTTCCTAGAAAAAAAGGCCTAGCTAACCAACGTGAATAAGCGTTTAGACATTCTCCTCCAGCATCTCAATAACTTTCATTTACAAAATCGCCATGATGAGCTGAAGTCCATAAAGTTTTAATTAGGTGTTCGCTATTTTTCATCGTACCCATACTGGTCGAGAAGATTATCCTTGTTTGTAATATTTTGTACGAACAAAAACAATCCAAAATCTTCAAACAAAGACTCGACATCAGAAGCGTAACTAGAACGTTAATTGGGGGGGGGGTTGCATATTCATATATTCCGTTGTGCCCTACTGATTTCTTGTGAAAGTGATTTGAATTTGAAAAGAAATCAGTAAGGCACAACTGAATATATGAATATACACCCCCCCCCCAATTAACGCTCTAGTTACACCTCTGCTCAACACATGTCATGAGCATATCTTTGAAATGGATGTATAATGAAATGTAATAAACAAGGTCTCGCTCGTGATATTCAATTGAGTTTGTTTCACCAATCAAGTTTGTGGCCAAAACTTTGAATTGAAGATCATGAGCTTTAGCTGACAAATTCAACGTCTCAATCCATCGACAAGTACTTTTTATCGTTTGTTGTATACAATCATACCCATAAATTAATTAGCTATTACAAAGTGATGCTCTGCCCAAAAATGTTTTAGGAATTTTTCCGAAAAATCACTCATTTCAACCAAAAACCTAGCCTCAAAAAAGTCAATTACATAAAGTATATTCACCAGTAACTTCACCATACGATATTCTTATGACTCACATACAATGAATTCTCATCGTTTATTAACCTTAAGGGTCTGAATTTTTTTCTCAATTCATCGAAATCTGGCTTTCCGATGGTGATAAATTTCTCACACTGCGCACAGGAGGTTTAAAGTAATTATTTTTGAGAAGAAGCAATTAAAGCTGTTAGTGTTCTCCGTTCTCAAATAAAACAATCATAATGGCGATTTTCAAAAATTTGTTTTCATTTGGATCACGTGCATTGTTAGAAAATTCAGGAAATATGGAATGAATTAACATTTTCATCATATCTATACTAGGATTAAATATCGAAACAACTTTAATTGGATACCCTTGGTCAAAATTGTCATCAGTACAACTAACCACAGATGCACAAATTTGCATGTAATTTTCCGAAATGATGTATCAGCAGAAACACTCAAACAGGCGCCATCGTTTCCTGCGCCTTAAAATCACCCATAAGTATCAAAGTTTTGATGAAGTAGTATTTGATGTATGCTCATATGAAAACAACAAAAATGTTTGCAGTTTGGAAAAAGTTGCGAGATCTGAGGACTCTCCGTATGATTTCATGGTTAGGACAAATAAAGCGTTTAAGAGGGAAATTGGCAGAAATTTTTTTGAGCACCACATACGGTTAGGTATTAAAAAACAACACTATAAAAGTTGATGGAACTAGAACTAACCTTGACCTCACCAATGATCAGAAGGGAGTTTGTTTTTTTACATAATTAAGTTTATGCCTCACATTCCCGGTGCTCGAATTCCCTGAAGATTTGGTTCGCTGTTTGTAAGCAACGCGGTCCACAAAGTTTAACACATCCAACGATTTATCTAGTAAACAAAATTTACAGCCATTAAAGTATAACCCTGTGCTTTATGTTTTGTTTTGTATTTAAATTGAAATAATGAAGGCTAACATTATAATAATTTTTTTAAGTCTTAATTTATAGTTAATGTAATTAAGTGTTCATTGACTAATTTGTTATTGCCTCCACCCATCTGTCATTCATGAATTCCTCACGTTTTCATCAATCACTATCCAATGTTTTCGCTTTACTCGCCCATGACCGGAAATCAAATAGATTGGCAGTAATAGATCAGAAGGGATAATAGGCCACATAGAATGTTAGAGAAATTAGATTATTGGATTAGTTTGATCGCATTGACAGATTAGTTAATTTTATCTTGAAAGAAAAGCATTCTGTATAAGTTCGCAAAAACTGGATTAAACAAATTTGGCGATAAAATTAGAAAACAATATTAGTTTTTAATTGCAGCTACAATTGGATACGTTTCCACTTCTAGGCGTAATGGTCAATAGTTGTCCGTATATGACAGAGCTTTAGATCTATGGAAGTATAAAAGATGTAGATGTAGCATTTTTTTTAGCAGCTACAGGAAAATTTGTAGTATTGGCGTACATGTATGTTTATAAGGTATGTGAAAAACAGTATACGTATATAAACTATATCTTAGGGAAGCAAAAAGGAATAACTATCTAAAATTATGATTCACTAATCGAATTAAATCAATTGAGCTAAGTTGAAAATTTGAGCTCGAGAGTTATGAACTTGTAACTTGTCAAACACATATAACCTTTTTTTATATCTATAGCCTTATCATTGTTCGTATCTGTTCGCTTTCCGTTAATTGCTTTGAATTCATATGGAAAATTATCATTGTGTTATGCAAAAAGGGGGATGGAATGAAATATACATTCTTTATCTTTTGATGGTTACTATGTTTGATGAAGTCGTACGCTGTACATTTTCAATCTCAGTGTAAGCCCAAATCATGCGCACAACTAAATATACACCCGTTGCCATACATATTTTCGGAATAAATATATCTATGTTTCAAAAAGTAGCTAAATGTTAATAAATACAAAGCTATACATTGCTGAAAAGCTGTTGTGAAATAAAACCACACAATTGTGGAAGCTGTAAACGTCTGCATGTAAACCATGACCCTTGATAACTTAGTATTCTGTTGGTTCATATTTCAATACCAATTCTTGTCAAAGACTGAATGACCCAAATCATCAATCATATCGTTGATTTACTTGCCAAATTGACATTTGGTTAAAATCGATTTTTCGGCACTTAGTAAAAAGCGTGGGAGAGTGTGCTTACTTTGAGGTCATTCCGTAAAATATATTTTTGAGGAGAAAAGTCTGAATCGTACTAGTAGGGGGTATGATAAAGTCAGGCTAAGGATTTTTAGTATGTTTCCTCAGATGTGTGCAGACTAGATAATGCACATAAAAATTACCAAAAAAATTATTACTTAAAACTTTCGTAATAATGACAGATGTGTTCGATTAGCACCGAAATCTACGTAAATTTTTATCAATCCATCTGTGACAATATGTGATCTGTATGGAACTTTCTTTTATTCTGCGCTTGTTATTGCTTTTTATAGCTACTTCACAACATGATGATTCATTATTGAAACGATAAGTTGTTCTTATCATTTCTATACGATAATTTTTTTATGTTCCCAAGTACATACAGCTTAATTAATTTGCTTTAGTTGCTCGATGAGATCATTAAAATGATTCCCACAAAAACTCATAAATGAATAAAACAAACAATTCATTGAATGAATTTTTCCAAATGCACCCGATTTAAGCCTATAGCTATATATTACGAATCAAGCAATTCATCTTCAGCAGATAGTAGCTAGCTAAATGAAAGCGTTTCGAAAATTTTTTGTGTCAAAAATACACAAATTATGTGTTTAGTCGAAATTGCTTTCATTTATATTTCAAGAAAAAGTAAAGTTGTGACTTGTGACGTACAGATTTTCATGTTAAACAAGTGAAAGCCAATATTATATAGCCTGAGCTACTTTGTGTAATAAATCAATTAAATTTGTAATTCGTTTCGTTTCAATTATAAAAGCAATCGTCACACAATAAATAGCTTGATTGTTGAGATATGAAAGCGCGGCGAGTAATGTTAATGATGTACTCCGCAAAGACCGCAACAGATGTTTTAATGAATGATGGAGTCTTAAAACAAGAACATGACAGAGATGTTTTCATAATCAAACATTTTCGAATATTTCGTGTTGCACCGATTGCTTATTGCGCGTGATGTTTCGCCCTAATTGATTTCTAGTCGTTTTTTTTTTTAACACAAGCATACACTCACTTAAACTTAATTTGTTCTCCAGACAATTTAATTAAGAAGGAAGCGAGCAACATCAAGTATTTAGCATGCATCGATGTTTCCCATGGTTAAACCTTTACCAAATCGCTTTGACATTTCAATTTTATTGATCTTGTGGAATGTGGACGTTTTCTATCTTGACTTTTATTTTCTTACGATTTGGTCTATGATTTATCATTGTGTCATTTTATGGATTAGTATTATAGAAAAATTTCCATTTTCGTCTTGATCATGAATAGATCATTTTCATCTTGAAAGTAAACCAGATATCTGTTAGACATCACTCGTCAGTTTATCGAATTAGCTAGCTCAATTGGTAAAAATATCAAAAAGTTATAATGCAAGAATTTTTCTCGTCATATCCACGTCCAAAAAATGAAAATCCTGATTTTTGTGACGTCAAACAAGTCGCAAATATATTCTGAAGGAATACAAAGTTTAAATAGAAGTTAGCTACTTCTAAAATTTTGCTGGATTTAATGACAATTTATCATTTTGTATCTGGTCGCAACCTTTCCTCACTTTTTTCTTATAGTTAATTAAATGTTTTAAATTTTTATTGTCTGTACGCGTACGGGGCATCAAATACAGTCGTATTTCAACATTTGTTGATTTCTGGAAAAATGAAAACATTTTGCAGCTAGACATGCAGCTGTTTTAATTTTACAACAGTTATTCACCCGATTTTTTCATCTTTCGCAAAATTTTCTTGAATATGCAAACGTCAATTTAAGAGCCCATGAAATAAAACAAAAGTGTTAACATTTTTTTTGTCTAAATTAATGAATAGCAGTTTTAAATCACATATAGTAATACATCTATCCGTTCAATATCGTGCTAAAAATGATTTAGAACCCAATCCCCTACATGTCTAACTACTGTGTCAAAAGCAAAACCCAAAATGAAAAAGAAGTTAAAGGAAAGTTTAAAAAACCAATCCTAGCAAACATTTTAATAATCAAACCTATACTATCAACTTTGCGTCTGTATATCAACTCAGGAAAAGTAGATATCAGTCGAAAAACACCGTCCGTTTCGCCACTTTTCAAGATGGCGGTTTACCTGACTCGTCACAATCGAATTTTGACGAACTGAGATATTTGATAGATTGAGTTCTAGGTCATTGAGGCTACTGATTCAATCAGCCTATTATTACTTAGTTATTGATTTTTACTTAGTTATTGATTCTTTGACGGACATTTCAATCATCAGATTTAGCATCGATTATTTCATTATTATAATTTGACATTGAATTTTTTATTTGTTATACAGCTTTAAAGCCCTCCCAAGCATATTACAATTCGCATAAATCTTTTTCAAGAACTTCAATCGGATTAAATGTCCGACATTTTTCATATTGCCAAGTTAAAGATAATTAAAGTGAATGAAAGACAGTATTTAAAAGGTTTCTGATAACTGATTGCATACGTGATAGGAAACATTTGCATAAAACTGTCTTCGTCATTTATTATAAGCTTGCCACATTTATTAAACTTATTTGTTCGTGGTCGTCTATTATGATTCAAGTCAGCAGTGAACAGCGCTTGGCAAATGAATTTGATGATTTAAATGGCCCAAGGAAATTTGTCATTGTATGGCAGTCTGGTGGGATGCTGTAAAAAAATAAATAGAAAATCATATTTAAAAACCGCACGGTGTCGAGTACATTGAACTAAAATACATCTATTGCATTTTAGTTCAATGGTCGAGTAGTGCTTGTTTTTTAATTGCAAACTTTTGCAAACATTGACTCTAATAAAATTGACATTTTTAAACATTTTTAGTAAGATTTGTCCATAACCAATGTCCAAGTGGGCATTCTTAAAACTTGCAGGTATCATTTCATTTGCATCATCCTGAGCTCCCTACTTTTTGGAATTTCCCGGTTTTTTATTCATTTAAGACGCTCTTGCGCGTCTGAGCGTTCCTGTTGGATATCAACAACTATGCCTTACAACATTAGTTTTATTATCGGATTTGGCAAAAGATAAAGCCAACTGCTGCTTTTTATTTATTAATGAGATTAGCATTCAATAGCACTTAAGATGATTTGATTTGATTAACCATATATTATCGCTGTATGCACTGTCAATTGCCCTTCCCCGCATATTTGAAATACATATTCGGTGAAATGACGCGATTGTTTGTAGGTGTTTGTTTATGTCTTTTGACTGAGGTATTCTTAAATTATGAAAGGGAATTTCTTAATTGTTTGCAGAGTTTTATTGATTATTCATAACATAAGAACGTGCAGAAATGCTGCAAACTTCCAAAGCAACAATACTCACCTTTCAACCTTAAATGCAAACTCAAATTACAAAAATGCATTTTTTAAGTGCTCACCAAGGTGCTCACAACTGCTGACCAAATTTCAACAATCAGTTTCATTAAATGTTTCGCAAGCATATTACAAAATAGAAAGATTCAGACAGTTATCGAACTATTTAAAACACTGGCCCACACGAGAAAACTAGGAGGGTTGCGACAACATTCTTCAGGAGATAAGATTTTGCTTGTGTTTGCTTGTGTTGAGAAGGAAAAGGTCAAAATTCGTACGTCGATGATTACTTGAGATACACTCAGACGCACCTTAAGTTTAAAAAACAATTTGCTTGTCAACACTATTTTTGCTTGATAATTTTTAAACTAGATATCTACTTGCGGTTGAATTTGTTAATATGAAGACGGTGAACACGTATGATTTGTTCCCGAGTCTAATTGGTCAAAAAGCTGAGTGGCTTCCACTTAAAATAAACGTAGTTAATTGAATAATTAACGAAACAAACGATTATCAATTACTCTAATCGAATCGTTGGAATAAGTTGGCTTTTCCATATCAAAGACTTGCCGACGTTTCTTTGTATTTGTGAAGCAGCTGCAGGGTCGTGTAATCAGGGAAATGTTGAATAATCGTCACTACAGTAGAATATGGCTTTAATTTGACATTATTAGCCTTGCTTTGTTTATTCATTCACACCTAGCTAGTTGTAGATCACTTTTGGGAAAGTTTATCTCATACACAGTTATTGATATAAGTTTATATTTCTACAAGAAGCGAAACAAAATTTGACGATATAAGAAGAAGAATATTTACAAAAATTTTAAGTGGGAAAAGAGGACACTGGCGAAATTTATCACTTGGTAAACAAATTGCGAAATTTTTCATTTTACTTTTTATGTGTAAATGACATGAAGAAATGCCCACATTTTAAAAGATTACTTTCTAGGAGAACTTTTATTTGGCAAACTGAGGATTCTAGCTAATTTTCGGGGACATTTACCGTTTTCTTCTGAAATTGCAGCCACATGTATATATCGAATTGCGAAGAAATGATGATCGAACCTGCCATTTGACTTATTACCATAAACCTTATAAATTGACACTCTTCTCTTTTGTCTTTAACACAGGTCAAGTTTGGTGTCAACGTAAGCAAAAAGCAAGGAAAGATTAAAAGAAATGAGTTCATTAGACGAAAAAAGAATGAGCAAAGACAAAACAACTATCAATAAAGTGCCAGTATATTCAATCGAAGGACTATTAGGATTCAAAGAAAATGAAAGATCATCGAAAAGTGAAACATGTCAAAGTGTGATCAAAAAAGTTGGTTTGCCCGATCCAAGCAAGCGTTCTACCTCGAGTGCGTCACCAGAAGTTGAAGATTTAGACAAGAATGGTAAGTAAAACCCGTTCAACATTGAGTTGTTTCAACATTGTTCCACGCTGCTAAATTAGCCGTTCCCATGCAGAAATCGTACACTTTAGGGATGTGTCTTTTGGATTTCATTTTAGAGTTGTGTTTATACTGATGTCCGGCAATACAACGTACTCCAGTCTTGTGCTTTGAATAGGTGAAGCCATGTATTTAATTAATAGTTTTCATGTTTGGACTTGTATTCAGAAAGTACTTAGCTTTGCTATAAATAAACTGATGCAATATTTCTCATTCCACGTTGGTCGGTGTGCAAATGAAAAGCTGCAGACGTGCTAATGTTAGATAAACTAACTATGTGCATCTTAATTATGTTCGTAAGGATCAATTATCATGTTCACAATTGACTGCATAGCATAGTCTATTTTCGTCCACAAGGCGCGACCTCCATATAGCTCTATATGCTTTTTATAACTTAGAACCTTATGAATATCACTTGCTGGCCGTCGAAAATCTCCACTTACGGGAAAGTTAAAATTAGAATGAGCCGTGTCACGAATATGAAATACAATATTGAAAATAGGAAGCAATGATGCCCATTATGAATGTAAATTAGATGGTCGAAGAGACTTGGCTATGCAGCCACATCGCGCTGTATGGCTACCACTATAAATAAAAGATACTAATTGCGTGAATGAATTAGCCTCTCTAAAGTTATACATTTTAAATGTAATACAATAATAACATTGTATTATGATCGCAAACATCCGACCAGTCATCAAATCTATATATTTTAATTGTATTAGCTATAACCGCCTAAACCTATCGCAAAACAAATCCCGACACGGATTTAGACCTAATCCAATTAATATTAATCTCACGAGGTTGCCTAATACCATTAAAAGCTGCTTATAGTTGTTTCACCAACTAAATGAGATGAAGCGTTCTGTGACTTTTAATTCATAAAAAAGAACTGAAACTTCCACTCCCTTGAATATGTTTAATCATAGGTGACGGAGTACGTGTGCACAACTTTTTCTTCGCTAATTTTCTATGTATTCGCTTTGATAACAATGACTATGAGTGAGCGCCTTTAGCCGGCTTGAAGCCTTGAACTTGGAGATTATAAAGAACAGTGTTACCATGTCTTATAGATTGCGTGGAAAAGCTTGCAAAGACTGAAGAAACGAGAGAAGAATGCGAAGAAGATGGATTTTACAAAAATGATTTCAGTAAGTTCACTGACAACGGCAGCATCACTCAACGAAAGCAGAGACGATATCGTACAACATTTACAAGCTATCAGTTGGAGGAACTTGAAAGGGCATTCGCTAAAACACACTATCCTGATGTGTTTACACGCGAAGCTTTGGCTATAAAAATCGATCTTACTGAAGCTCGAGTTCAGGTAAAAAGTCCTTTACCTTGATCTTACTGAAGTTTAAGCTCAGATAAGAAATCCAAATGTGAGACTGCGTTCAAGGGATTGAAAAACAAAGAAGAACATGTCTTAACCATTTTCAGCTTTTTTTGGCAAATCATTGGGGATGAGCTGTAACCTGACTCCCCTCCTGTCTCTTACGGGATTGCAGATTGAGGCTGCGTGAATGAGCACTTAACAGATCTTGTTTTTGAGTTTTTGCTTACACACGCTTTACGTATAATATATCAATGAAAGAACCAAAAGATCTTTACTGTCTTTTCACATGCCTATGCAAACCTTCGGAAACCTTCGGGAGAACTCGAGAGCTGATCAGGGAAAAATAATGAAATAGTAAATATTTAAAAAATTTAAAAAACGTTTTATTATTCCTTAGAAGTATAGTCATGGTTGATTGATTGATTTGATTAGTATAGCTCTGACCAGTTTGCATTTGCACAGGCTAATGCAAATACAGCAACAGATCAATCACCTCGCGCGTTTCATTGTTTTAATTTGAATGCAGCACATCTCTGAATGCAGCACACCAGTATTTTGCCATGTACAGACTATTAGTAAATGCTTATGACAAGTAATAATGAGTAAAGTAAAGGCCGCTTTCTAGTCAGACTATACATTGCTACAAAAGTTATAGGATTGGCAGTGGTAGGTTTGACTCATTTTCCTACTTCCTATTGCTGACTAATGTGGAGTGAATAATTATTTGTACCCTATAACTGATTCTGGCTTTGCTCATTTTTCTAGGTGTGGTTTCAGAATAGGCGGGCAAAATGGCGCAAGAGAGAAAAGTCACAAGGCCTACGTACGCATGCGTCAATAAATAATCTCGGCCCAAAAGAAATGGTACCAAACAACGGACAGTTTTCGATTCCTCAAACTACCTCCGAAGAAAACATTTCTAAATGGGTGCATTTTTCGCACGGTCCTTTACATCCTGCAATGACAATACCATATCCTATTGCACCGACAATGATACCAACACACTTTCATCGTGCATTGTACTACAATCATTTTGATTATGTAGCTACAAATTATCCCCAGTCTTCTCCACCACAAATTTCGTCCAACATACCGCTACCACAGGAATGTAGGAATGAAAGTATTGCTACGCTGAGAAGAAGAGCTCAGGAGCAAAAATTATGATTTAGAAATACTCGATTTTTATCTGTGGCTGTATATCTCTATTTTACTTTTTCATTTTTGTTAAACATATCACTTAAAATGCCCCCTTTCCTTCTCATAGATAAATTGAAATTAAGTTAACTACACCAACGTTAAAAAATTCAGTTTTTCGTTTTTGTGGGAAAAAACAGCGACCATTCACTGACGAAAAATTTAACAATTGTTTTGGCCTGTCTCAACAACACCATTATGGAACATTAACTATTTCAGTAATTTCACCAAATTGTTTCAAATTTACCATTCACGGTTCGACATAGTACGTATTCATCCTATTTGGTATTCACATTCTGCATATTGTAAACTGACAATTTTTAAATAACCCTCCCACGACAAAGAAAGGAGAATTATCTTTCCAAAGATGAAGGATTCCTTGGTCTATCGGCCTCATCTTGTTTGGGAGGGCACAGCACCAATTTTCCCGATTGCTATGTGTTCATAGTACGTACATAGAATATAAATGAAATATAGGTATGTTTGAAAATTTGTACAAAGAAGTACTGTTACATAGAGAAAATATAAAAAACAATGTTTTCAGTGTACAAGAGCAACATGAAATGATCTTATAATAAAGTTTTAGTATAGCTAACAGCTTTCAAAAAAATGTAGCTTAACTTGAAATCAAAGAAAGTGTGTCCATATCATCCACTTCAGTTGTGTTTCTTGTTCTGTTTGGTTGTTTGTTCATTCATACTCATGCATCAGGCATTCAAGTATTCAATGATTAAACGTCAATGTTGTATTCGGAAGCATTGCTTTTGGGAAATCGTGGCTATTTCAACAGCATCGATTGTGGAAAGTAATAATAACAAACTTTTGAAAGAAAGTAAAATAAGTAAAAGGAAAATTTTTGTGTAAAACATGCATATATGAAATAAGCCCACTCCAGCCCCAATTATCGAAAATTGTGGTGAAGTTCTTAGGATCGCCCTTAGGATTGTCACCGAGCATTGAGACAAATTGTTAAGATTTAAGAACCTTTGATAAGCTTTGTAACAATGATAAGCTTGGCGAGTTGGAGTCGACAATCATATGTTGGATGAAAAATTTATTTTAATTACTACATACGATATCACAAAACTATTACTACGACATTTACTGAAATAATAGCTAGTCCTGATGCGCATACTGCTAATCTATATGAAATGTTGGTAAACTCAGTATAGTCTATAAAAATATACAATTTTATGGCTTATTTTGCGAAAATTTACGTTCAATTATGAGCAAATGTGCTTATCGCTGCTTCTTTACTTCGTGTGATTCTTGCACGCAGGTCACACCTTCCAGCAGCGCTATGCAGGGGGGGGGGGATAATTGCTATACCAATAACCAATGTCACCATATTTTAGATAAAGTTCGTATTTTCAGAAAAAAATAACAATATTTGTTCTGTTTTTTTTTAATGTCGGCATTAAACAAATAGCGAATGAAATAATGGAATATGGACTTTGACAACTAAAATATGTTTACTATCAGCGAAGCAGATTTTAAGGTAAAACATTTGACAAAATTATGTCACTTCCTTGTTCCATATTATGTCTTCATACGTAGCATCATGGCTTTTTTTTCAAAAGTGTTTGATTCAGATTTGCTTTCAATTTAGTTGCAAAAATTTCTTCCATGAATCTTACTAAGTTTCTTTGCATCTCTATAACATAAATTTGTTATGTAATGTCAAGTGTCAAATTTGTGGGGTAAAAAAGTTACTACAGACTTCAGTAAGAATTTCATTGTTTAAAATGTTTGTGTAGTTGAATCGTATTGTGTCATATTATGATGGATGGAAATATTTTGTTTGTGCATGTATTTTCAAATTGCCAATGTACGCAACATTGAATTTGTTGAAGTATAGCTTAACGTACATATGGGTTACATGACTCAGCATATAGAAGTGATGTATGCGTTGTCTAATGTTTAGATCAACTTGTGTTGTTTTGTCTTCATCGCAACAAAGGCAAACTGACTGAAACAGAATTGTAGTTTAGGTTGTTGGCAACCAGTTCATTTCAGTCTGTTCTTGATAAATTAAAGTCACAGCAATTCTAGTTTTACATCAACATTGATTTGAAATTCTTAGGAACCATTTGCTTGTGCGGAGTATGTTGAGAGACTTGCAAGTACTGTTGAAGGTGGTGGAACAAAGGGTGGGGAGGGGAAATTTGATCCAAACAATCTTCATAGCTTTTTTGTCAATTCAATTCATCAACTTGAATTATTGGACAAATCCATCCAAGGCCAGGTCAATAAACTGGAAGAGCTCTGTACAAAAGAAGAAAAAGAACACAAAGGAAGGATTGTTAGTTTGGAAGATGAGATTAAGGTAAATTGTATGAACTCTAGACTAGGAAGAGGTGTATGTATGTATATCTATATTAATATGTAGTAGTTATTATCTGCTGAAGTTTACTGTGATATGTGCATTATACTGTATTTCTTATGAAGTATAAGTGGTTTTCTTATTTGTGTAGTCAAACAATATAATGAAGATTATATTGTAAACAGTGGTATAGCCAGCCAGTAAATTTTGGTCCTGCTATGTAAATTTTAGGTCATTAACATCATTCATTTCTTTAGAAATCTTTTGTTTTTACAGTGAGTGAGCACAAAAAAAAATTAACATAGCAGGACCAAATTTGCGGGCTGGCTATGCCACTGACTATAAACATGCTTTTTAATATGCAAGCCTCTTGTATGCAAAAGCATTTGAAATCCAAAATCAAAATTCCTCAAACCATGCCATCAAATAATGCCAACATATAATGTTAAATGAACATGAACTAGAGCTTATGACTGACTAAGTTTGCTGGATGCATAGCTTTGACTGAATTTGCCTGAAAGAGCTTTTGCATATAGACAGCAGTGCATGACATGTAACTTTAGTTACTTAAGCGATCATCTTTTCAACAATAGCTAATTTTGACAGTAGACATGCCAAACAAAATGCAGAAAATGTATTATTCCATTATTATTTCTTGTCAAAAGTGCAACATATTTTTGAGGCTTGGAAGACAATAACAATACACTGGTTCAACTCATAATGATTGGTAAAAGTCAAACATATATTCATGTATGTGCTGGTTGTTCTGTTTCTTCCACTTTCTTATGTTTTGCTCATTTCTACTTCCCCAATAGGAACATAAAATCACTCCCAATGTTTTGTTTTATTTTATTTTATTTTCAGAGGGCTACTAAAATATTCCATACGTTAGATAATCGAATAAATTCTGTTGCCACCAACGTTGTCCATCTAGGAGATCAACTTGAAGGCATCAACACACCAAGACAGCGAGCTAAAGATACTTTACAACTCATGGAGTATTTTAATGAATTTCTTGTTGAAGGTACTCCAACATCAACTGTATTTCACGATGAAGCAAAGGTAATATTAACTAAAAAATCTTTTGGTTGTGATTGTTGCAAACAGTTTCGCATCCAAATTATAAAAGTCATCTTTTGTTATGTTACAGCACATCACTGAATGAAAAGAGTGACATACACAGCATTACTGAGATCGAGATTGTGCTTAAAATAAAGCTAAAACAGTATTCAAGGCCAAAAAAATCTTCATTAAGATGCCAAAAAACAATAAAAACATCAAGAATTGAAATATACTAAGTTGAGACAATTTCATCTTTTTCTCTAGATTCCTATTACCAACCCCTGAATCACACGTCCAACAATGGCCATCTACCCAAACAAACAATAACAGTGAAATCCTTGACAATCATTCCTGCATTAAATTTATGTTTAAATATATGTATTACAATCCATGACAATCATTCCTACATGAAATTTGAAAATTAAGTTCAGAAGAAGAGCAGATTTTAATCATCTATTTTTTTCTTTAGTTTTTTTATCGTGAAAGCAGTAATGTTTTTAGTGAAACAAACTATGATACAATTTTCGTTCATATTGGTGCATTTCAAAATCGTTCTGTCTCTTTCACTGCTATTGTTTGTTTGGATATATGGCCATTCTCAGTCGTGTGGTTTAGGGGTTGGTAACACGAATCTAGAGAAGAAAGATCAAAATGTCCCAACTTAGTATCTTTCAATTCTCAGCGTTTTAATAATATTTTTACGTCTTTATGAAGATTTTTTGGCCTTGAATAATGTTTTAACTTTATTTTAAGCCCAATCTCGATCTTAGTAATACTGTGTTTGTCACTCTTTTGATTCAGGGATTTGTATTTTAAACCCGCAATCGTTCATTTTTTTAATTTCCCAACCCATAGATACACGAGGCAGCTAATGTAATTCAAAAACTAAACCAAATATCGCAAGAACTTCCAAATGAAGAACGGTTAGTTTCACTTTCGAAATTATACAGAGCGCGTTGCTTGTGTACTTTTGACATGCTTTTGAAAAGCTAGCTCTTTGACTACCTAAAAATTTCCCATTCCAAAAAGAGTCCGAGATAGGATGTTATGAAGTATGACCAAACGACAAGGGAAGATTTCAAAAATGGCGGGTGTTCAAAATAACGATGCGATAACGCACGAAACTCAAGCTTAAAATAATAACGAAATTCTTTCATATTAGTTATTTTTAATTTGTTTTTTCTTATACTTGAATATTTCGTCAAAGTTTGAATCATTAGAAAAGTCCTGTTTCCTGGTGCTCGCAAATAGCTATCTCTTAAACGTTCAAGCGAGAGTAGCTAACTTTGTGCGTGTACTTCCTATAAGGCACACACACGCTCTAAAAGTTGTAGGTGTGAAGACACACGGTTAACCATGACTTTGCAAGCACCTGCAAAAAGTAACTTGTGATACTGGCTTGTGTGTCTCTTAAAAATTCTCTGATTTATTATTGAATGATGCGTCGATTCGTAATCGACGTATCGTAATGATATGAAGCGATATAATGATATGATATAATTAGACAATTGCGAGGTTATTTAAAAGGTTTATTTTATGGCATGAGACATTTTTTGTACTTTTGCTATGTATTGTACAAGGAAAATGTTTAGTATATTTTGTAATGGACTGTTGAATACATTTCGAAGCCAATGAAAGCGCATTAATTCACGGAAAGTGGCGGTTGCCATATAATATATGTTTTTCAAAAAACATCCATTTGCTGATTCTGCTTTTATTTTTAGTTTCAAAGGCGTAAAGGAGCATATTGATGGTTAGTTTTATTTATAGAATAAATATTGAATTCATTGCTTAAGAAAATATAACTTATCAGGAAAACAAGATGACTTAGTTTTACTCTATAGTTTTGATGTCTAATTATCCTTTAAAGAAATTATATATAGTGGTTATCAAAATACATAAGATACGCCTTGCTGCAAAGCGTCTTGTTTGTATTTTGTATTCTTACTTAACGCGTTTCTACTGATTTCTAACAGTCTTCATTTTTAAGCACACGACATGGAGACCCAATAAAAAATATCTCTAAACGATTGCATACTCCTCAAAGGGAGAATTCATACAATAGATACGAACATCTGATAATGCTGATACTGTAACGTGCCATATTTTTCTAAGACATCACCGTTAGTAATTTGGGTTGTGATTTTGTCAGCGCCGTTTATGTAAAGTTTATTAATATTTCGTCCTTTAGAATATTACAAGGATATTGGGGACAAATTGATTACACTTTTCAAACGCGCTCATCACGAAGGCGACCAAGAAAAGATGAAGACGATTGCCGAAACTCTTCAACCTTTTAATCCGGTCAATGTTTTGTTTCTTTATATGTGTTCATATATCTACAGTACATGTTAGATTTCCTAACTTTTGAGCTTGTTGGTTCATAGATATATTTATTAGATTTAATCAGTGTTAGATTTTCTAAGTTTAAATCTATAGGGTTCACATGGTGGATTTGTGGAGATTTAAGCTCTAGGGTTATCGCTGACTCACCTTTTAACAATCAACTCCTCTACCATATCATAGTTATTTCATGTTGTACTTTTTAAAAAAAATTGCGGTTACTAAATTTTAGCGACAAAAAATACACGATTGTGAAATAACACTCCACCAAAACCTTAATTTTCTCTCGGTGGCACTCTCTCCATAAATTTTCTTCGAAACATTCTGACATATCTTTTTTTTCAATTGAAATGGTTGATTTTCTCATCATATTTATCTGCAGATCGTAGCGTAGCTAGTTCATGATTTATACTCTACGTATGACAACAGAAATTTTATGAAACTCATTTTGTTTGTGTAGCATAATCAAAATTGCGTGGACGTTTTCATATCTGAGAGCCAAAAGGTATTGCACCATTGATCTCTATTAAATTGACCACTCCAGTTAAGTTTGATTGACAGACGTATAGGTTACTCAGATAGAGTAAGAATTGAGTGTCGTGCAAAGCACGCGTGAACAAAAGACATTTTAGTTATATAATACACTCAAACCACCCGTAAGCTGACAATTTTTTGTAGCACAATCTCGTATCCCCTTACAGGACGTGTCTGTAAAACGAGATTCAAGATTCAACTGTAAATAGACATGTCATTGTAGTAACTTTTATCGTTTTGTTCCTGCATGATTTTTTCTACTAATATATTTCGTATAATTTGGGAACGCTACGAAAACGGAACCTTACTGTCTAATGTATACCTTCAAATTAAAGAAAGTCAAACGAGTAAAAACGAGTGAAACTCCAAATAATTGAGTTTCTCGAACCATTAATTTTTAAGGATGTTCAAAACGTCTTAACAAGTCGCGTAGATTTTTATAGGTTGTTGAAAATTGTTTCGAGTTTCTACGTTGATGTTTATTAAAGATTTTCTAAAGTGAATGGTTTGAACCCGGGAGTATCGTTACATGTTTGTAAATGTAGATCGTCCAGGTTGGTACATGACTCTGAAGATGACTACCGCTAAGGTTGTAGAAACGTCATTCAACAACAACAAAAACAGTCCTTCTCAGGACTATACCAACCTGGACGATCTACATTTACAAACATGTAAAGATTTTCTCTTGGGTTCTATTTCACTGTTGTATTTGCAAGTTTGCTATTTCTGACAATGCAATGAAAATTTCCTCGGCGATCAACTTTGTGATCGTGTGTGTTGAAACCTTTCAGCTCCAAAGTGGCTTTAATTCAAATGTGAGGTGGATTATCTTCAAATCGACTGTTGCACTTTTTTAGAGTCAGTTCAACTCTCAAGATGTCTTCAAAGACGTTGTCGGATTATGCCGAAATGTGAATAGCCTAGTGAAGTTTGTGTTTGGAATGAGTGGTGGAATGGTTATGGATAAGCTTGTTCAAGATGTCTATGAAGGTGCAATCAAGGTAAGGGCAACAAAAAAGTATTTTTTCTCTTAAACACTATTTTTTTCAAATTACGTATGCTTACAGTTTACTTATATTTAATATTATAGAAATATGTCGATCATAAGCTTGACCATAGAATTGCCACGCAAAAAGAGTCTTACTTGGAAAACCTTTACGTTTTATATCGAAAGTATGTTAGATATCACTATGATTAATTCTATTACCCAACTTTACAACGAAATTAGCATTTTTATATGTCAGTCGTCATTTCGCCATTTAAGGACTGTTAATCATTAATAGGCAAACGGTGGTAGTTAATTATTTGCAAGCAATCATTTTATTCGTTTTTCTCAATATTATCCTTTCTCATTCAACTCACTTTTTAACGATTCAAGTCGTCTGCATTATTTGACTTATTTTCAACTTCAATATTCATAAACAATTCTCCTAAATCGCCTATAGAAATGGTCTTCGGCATGAAAATGAAAAAATCGTAGCCACACGATCGTTCTGTGCCAGGTTTTCGTTTAGAGAGCCTATTTTACGTTTAAAGTACCAGTTTATTATTAGATTGTCAGTTTTGCGTTCAGAGAGGCAGTTTTGCGTTCAGAGAGGCAGTTTTGCGTTCAGAGAGGCTGTTTTGCGTTCAGAGAGGCTGTTTTGCGCTTTTCCATAATCATGAAAGATTGTGTGCAAATTAATTATATCCCAAGCGAGGAACGAATCCGTTGCTCCATTTTACGTTTAAAGTACCAGTTTATTATTAGATTGTCAGTTTCGCGTTCAGAGAGGCTGTTTTGCGCCTTTCCATAATCATGAAAGATTGTGTGCAAATTAATTATATCCCAAGCGAGGAACGAATCCGTTGCTCCATAAAAAAAATTATCGCTAAAATTCCTTTTTATTGCTAATTGTTCAGTTACATGGATCACGCGTACATGATAAAGAAAATTTCTCACACATGTGCATTTATCCAGGACAAAAGAATTGGGCCAAAAGTTATCAGAGTGTAAACTTGGTCCTGACTTAGCATCTTTGTCGCGATTACGGAGAAACATTTTTAGCAATTATTTAAAAGATTACGAGAAGTAAGTTGGTGGATGTGATTCGTAATGTTTTTATTCATGTTACTCCACTTTTATTGTGCTGTTAAAGAAATTTTGCAAACGCGATCTATCACCTAAGACCTCGTAAAAAATGACGCGGTCTTTTGTATACGTACACGTCATTTTACGCAATTTTTCATGGCGTCTTCGACGATACGTCGCGTTCACTGCATTTTTCTATTTGTACCTTTTTTTTACCTCTTTACAAACTGCTTTTTGAGTGGATATCATTCTTTTTCTTATTCTTATTGAGCTATTTATCAAACACTTATATGCTTCTGCATTATGGATATGATTTTCTACAACATAAATATCGTTCTATTTATGACTCTTTTTGTCAATCCTATTGTGCTGTTTATAACATCCTTGTCCAACCCTATTGTGCTGCTTAGGTCACCTGTATCTGCTGGTGTGGTGATTTTTTATGTATTTTGTTCTGTTTGCAATGCAACGCTATGGAATGCCTTCATTACGTTCTTCATGCTATTCAACTGTGTACTATATATTTGTTGCAGACGCGAACTTGAATACCTAATACGCAAATCTGAATCTCTTCTCAACAAATATTACGAATCCATTGGACATCAGAAAAGAGAAAAGACTCACATGTCTGGGTGGGTATGACAGTGACAATTATACATCTTTTTGTTTGCCGTATTTCAGTCGTCGAATAAACAGATATCTTTGTTCATTAAGGTTTAATGACTTTGTTCGGATGACTGGTTTAAGTCAAGGACCACAACAACAAAGTGACAACACCAAGGAAACATATCTTAATCAAGATGTTGCTGTGAGCCTTTTGCTTGAAAATAAGAAATCCTTACAAAGATGTGAATTGGTGAGGCAGTTGTTACCCACATCGTCTTGTCAATAGAAAACGCTTCCAGTGCTGTCGTAAGCTCGATAATTGACGGGTCCCATATTCGTATAAGCAGGTTATAATTCTTGGAAAACAATTGATTTCAAAGGAATTCAACGCGGTAGAACATGCATACATGAATATGGACCCCAATAGTTATCGAGCTTTCATATGTTGCGAGGTCATTGTGTCAAAAGTTGCTTGATTAGTTTGAAAGCTGTTCCACTATGTCTAATTGTTTAGTCAGAACTTGTAATCGTTAACCCTTCTGTTAGTTAATCGATGTGGTTGACCCTTTCTAGCTTTGCAACCCAGATTTTGTACCATCGTGCGTACATGAAATATATTCTATCCTTCTGAACTGTTTGTGTCGTGACCATCTTGATTACGCTCTTACTATTGGATTAGAATGTAAGTGTATGTTATTGATAATCATCTCTTGATTTTCACCATCAACTTTACACCATCATGTTTTCACCATCAACTTCTCACCATCATATTTTCACCATCAACATTTCACCATCATATTTTCACCATCAACTTCTCACCATCATATTTTCATCAACATTTCACCATCATATTTTCACCATCAACTTTTCACCATCAACATTTCACCATCATATTTTGATCATCAACATTTCACCATCATATTTTCATCATCAACATTTCACCATCATATTTTCAGTATCAACTTTTCACCATCATATTTTCACCATCAACTTTTCACCATCATGTTTTCACCATCAACTTCTCACCATCATGTTTTCATCATCAACATTTCACCATCATGTTTTCACCATCAACTTCTCACCATCATGTTTTCACCATCAACTTCACCATCATATTTTCACCATCAACTTTCACCATCATATTTTCACCATCAACTTCACCATCATATTTTCACCATCAACATTTCACCATCATATTTTCACCATCAACTTTTCACCATCATATTTTCATCATCAACATTTCACCATCATATTTTCACCATCAACATTTCACCATCATATTTTCATCATCAACTTCTCACCATCATATTTTGATCATCAACATTTCACCATCATAATTTCACCATCTTATTTTGATCATCAATTCTCACCATCATATTTTGATCATCAACATTTCACCATCATAATTTCACCATCTTATTTTGATCATCAATTCTCACCATCATATTTTGATCATCAACATTTCACCATCAATTTTTCTCCATCATATTTTGATCATCATTTCACATTCATCTTTCTACCATCATCTTTTCATCATCAATTTTTCATCAATTTTTTCCCATCATCTTTTTATTGTTCCATTCTTACCATCATTCTTCATCATCCTTTGCGTAAACTCCTATTTTATGTTTCAGATTTACCTGCGCCAGAACCCAAATCCATTCCTAATTCACGATTCCTGGAGGTTGTGGACCAAGCTAATGCAATCTTTCATTTGTTGGAAAAACATTTCAGCGACGCCATTTTGCCACTAGTTGGGTGAGTTACTGAACATGTTACCCAACTGGTTATTGTCAAAATTCTAGGTAATATCACGTGACCTAACGCGTAGCTGTCACTACTCATATACAATATCACGTGACCTAATGTGAATTGTCAAAACTCGTATGCTAATACTTTTGTTGATCTGTTTTCCACTTTTCTTTTCATGTTTACGTTGCAATGTTGCATATAAAGAGATTTTTGTATACCTGCGTTGTCTCGATTTTGACTTCATCATTAAAGCAGCTGATTTTTGTACTTAGTAATACATTGCCGTTTATCTATAAGAACATGCACGTCTGAATATCAATAACGATGATTGCAATCAATGAGTTTTCACCTTTTACCAAAAACTACAATGCATTAAGCCCCCCCCCTGTCACCAACCAACAGGCAACAAACCCGCCACCACCCACCTCACACAGTAACCTCACCTTCTAATTCATCGCATGTTCTTTCAGTTCCAGCACTACTTACGGTCAATGTGTTCGCAAGAAGAAAGAAATCATGGAAGATATGGAGAAGAAATTAGATAACGGAATGGAAAGGTGCAGAAAATAGTTCTATTAATCAACCTCGTGTTTTTCTCTTGCATCAATTAAATGTGAGATAATTCATCGGTGCGCAAAAGCAAAAACTACTTCACGACTTCTGTGTTGGTACTGGTTTTTCTGGTACTCTGTTGGTACTGGTACCTTCATGAACAGGAGGTTGTCAAAAAGACTTAAGGTTGCAAAACGTTGGACGCATGGATAAGCATTACCAACCATTACTCTTCATTGACTGAGCATTACTCTTCATTTCTTGTCTCTCTACATGGTGTCATCCCAAGGAGCAACACAATAGAAAGTATCTCGTTCAATTTTTTTGGGACATCCTACAAGATGATATTTGACAGAGTTATAACTGACAATAATTAAATGGCGAAATTTTGTCCGTTTGGTTTGCTTAAGAATTACTTATGTTAGGTTAAGTATGTCTGATGAATTTTTCAATGATATTTTATACTTTTAGATTGATCACTTCTTACGCGGGATATGTTAAGCACGTATTGAACACGGAACAGAAAAAGAGTGACTTTCGACCTCCAGAAGAGCAAAATGCCGACTTGTTTAGCTGTACTCAGGTACTTCTAATAGGAGATGTTAAACGTGAAATTTTTATGACTGTATGCTATGTGTCATATGGACCTAAATGCCTATATCCGAGTTGAGCCCATGCATGTTTTGAATCATGCATGCCAAGAAATACATCTCTGTCTTTGACAATGGGTACTATTATTGTGTAATTTTTATATAGGCCTGTAAAAAATGCTGTCAATTTATCGAAATCCAACGTTCCCTTCTAAAGGATTATGTGGATGGCAAGAATCTGGAATGTGCTCTAACCGAGTTTGGCATTAGAGTTCATCGACATCTTGTCGATCATTTACAGCAATTCCAGTATAACTCGATCGGTAAAGTGATTGTTTTGATATACGCCTATTTTGTTTACTCCTGAATATTGAAATGCGTATATAATGGGAAGGTGTCAATTATTAAAGTTTCTTATCACTCATTGTGCTGACAAAGATTAGGGAATTTTGGACGTTGGAAGGCGTGGTGATCAAATACGGCATTTTTAACACATTAAGCCAATCGTAATGCTAGCAAATATCTTTAATTGTCTTGAGTTTACACGTGGCAAAACATCGAAGCATCGTGCTTTCCCCCTGAGCTTTTAGAGCCCTCTGTTTTCACAATTTAATTTATAAGTTATGGTGGTCACGCTTAAGTTAAGTAAATATAGGTCGCATATAAGATATTTTTTATTTGCTCCTCTGCATGCAATCAGATGCTCGTAGTTTTTTCATTTTTTATTGGGTTATTCGACAGGTGGAATGTTAGCAATATGTGATATCAACGAATATAGAAAGTGCATACAAAAATTTGAGGTACGTGATCTGTACTCCTCAATTGAAACATTCACAGTTTTACGCTGCTTGGAAATAACTAATTATGTGTGTGTAGTTTTTCATTATTTATCAAATTATTAGACAGGTGACATGTTAGCAATGTGTGATATCAATGAATGTAAATATGAATAATATCAATATTTTGTCGTCGTATTTTTCAATCGTAAAGTTTCCTTTTCTGTTGAGCAACATTTACGGAGATCGTGTCACGTCTCACTCACGAAATTAAACTTGTAATCGCTTAAAAAGAAGATAATATACCATTTAGCCGGAGATATAAAAAAATGTTACGCACGCCATCACATGGAAATATGTCCTTCGGGCGATCTTTTCTGTGCTTGACCTTGACCAGGACCTGTTCTGAACATATGGGTGAATGAATGACATTATGTGTTTATTTATTTTCTATTGTTGCGTTGCTTTCTCATCAACTTTTAGTATATAATTAAACACTGAGAAACATTTAAATGTTTTGGTTTGACATGCAATATGTATTGTGTTTCCCTCTGTCCCTGAACATAAGTATTAATTTGGTCACATGCCCCCTTTCTGATAGCTAGTCAAAATGATCAGTGATTCAGGTGTGCGCCATATATGGCACGCTGTACATTGAAGGGTTAATACCGTTTTATGTGTTTTTTTTTTAAAGATAAAATTGCTTGACAAGTTATTCAACACTCTCCATTCTCTTGGTAATCTCCTTATTGTCGCTGCAGATAATATACCACAAGTTATTAAAGAAGAACAATTGGTGAGTATGCTGTTAAAATTACTTCTGTTGAGCGAAAATTCCTGAAAATGTTGGAATTCATGGAACAATAACTACTTTTTTGATGTATCATACCATTAAATTCTGCTATAAACAGGTCATTGCGACTTTCTCTGATTTTTTCAATTTCGTTTATTTTCAGTTTAGTAGCTATAATACGCTTCGATAAGAATCATCGAGAAATAGTCTTAGAATCCTTGCTGTTCTTTTTGTTCGCATGATGTATTTGTACAAATGTTTTTTCTTTCAGGCTCCTCTTGAAAAGAGTGTAATTCAGTCGTTTGTGCAACTTCGAGCTGACTATAAGACGTCCAAGCTTGCTAGACATCTTGAATGAATATTAAAATTTGAAAAGAATATCGAAGAATAGTTTTACTGTCAATTTTCACAACATGCAGCGTTCAGTATAATTCTATGTAATGTTGCGAAATTAATTTCAAATTTCCAGTGTTTATTTGTCATCAAGTTAATTTGGAAACGAACTCCATTAGAATTGCATGCCCTAACACCTTGGCAAACATATATATCTTTAAGCAAACTTAGTACAAGATTACGCTGAAAAGTTGATATGAAATGAATTCTAAATCAAAAGAAGATCGATAAATTTGGATGATTTCGCACTATGAATTATACAATTTTTTCTACAAGAAAAAGGCGTGCGTCAATTTGTATTTTTTCTAACTGCACGTGGGCAGTTCATTAGAATTGCAAAAATTCCTATCAAAAATAAATCCATGTGAGATGCACGCCGAAATCCGTGTAAAAAGGCACAAGAACATTCTAGTTGCGCAAAATTCTATTGAGATAGCTTGCAAGAAACAATCGATATCAAAGTGTGTTGATCACTTCTCCTTATCTTAGCCTTATTAGCCATTACCCATGCCCAGTAATTTACACAAAAATCAAAAGATACAGTTGAGTAATTGTTTATCATTGACGCACTTTCATAATAAAATACCACAAATTTACTTCATGCTAATTCGATAAGTCATTTGACACAATTTTATCGCTTGAAATTTGCGCAAAAATAATTCCAATAGCGAGAATAAAATGTACGGCTGTCTTCGCCAATGAGTGTGATTGTTGGCCCTCCATTTTTCGTGCTGATGTTGATGCCGATTGTTTGTGTAGATTATAGAGGTTGGTATGGTACTTTATGGTTTGCAAGGCTCAGATTCTTGGCAAAACACAAGTTGCTAGAATACAACTAGGGCTCTGTCTCTCACAGCTCTGGTGGACCTCGTGAGCGACGAAATATGATCGATTACAAAACCTCTGATACATAAAAAGACATCTCTTTCACAATCTTCGTTTAAAACATTTTATTTTTCAATCATTCGTGTGCACGTACAGTGAAAAAGTTTAATTGATAGTTTAATTTGGATTTAAGTACTTTAAGCAATCTTGTCGTGTCCACATTAATCCAGCGAACTACACGCATGAACGGCAAACAGCATGTTATATTTTTAATTAAATTGCTAATCAGCCTTGAGAACAGCTGTCGTGTAGTTGCATTGTGGGTCAATTGTAAACAACCACTACTACTAAGAAATTCTTAATTTTTTTTGTGGCACTCATGTTGCGTGTATCGTGTTGAAAAATTATCAAATTTGTGTGTGCAGACGAATAAAAAAAGCAGAAAAAACTGCGATCGAAAACGTCAAAAAGAAGCTGTATTGCATTCAATGGGGAAATCTTATTTTCTGTCTTTCCCCAGCTATTGTTGATAAATCTCCCCAGTTATCTTTGAGAAAATGTTGGTATACCGCTTATTTTGTAAGAATATTTCATTTTCAGTTTGGCAAATTCCAAGGTACTTTTGCTTTTAGAATTAGAACTAAGTCAATATATCATTTAATCAAATTGCGAATTTACACGGCCATGACCACCATGTCTCCATTCACATCAACTGATCAATATGCTCTTTCTTTGTTGCGAAATGCTCGAAGTTTTTTGTAGTCAGTTCCGGCGAATATGCTGATTGGCAAATCCGTATTTGGAATTCGTTATTGTGCGATACAACTTTTCACTGTCATCTTCCTTCCGACGTCCGTTTAGCGGATTTTTGGACGCTTTATGCATAATTAATAATCTGCGTTGTATGAATGTTAGCCAATAAGAATTTAATAAATTATACTTACCTTGAGATTGACCTTTGCGTGTTGAGTATTTAAATTTCTTCTTCCCATGACCTTCGAACTCGTCTTTCGAGATATTGTTTTGTGATTGTGAATGCTCGGTTGTTAAGAAATTGCAAAACTACTAACTTGCGATTGTGTTTTTGGGATATTTCCCATGTCCGACATGGTAAGGTCGACGACATTGGAGAAGTAAGTATTTGATAAAGGCAGCGACAAATTTTATCGTTGCTGTGGCTTCACCTTAAATATGGCGGGAATGTACGCGTTCAATATTTATTTTATAGGGAGTTTGGTGTTTGGGTAACTTAAGGTGCTTAAACTTGTTGTGTAGTTCACAAATAATTGCGAAATAGTAATGAATATAAAGCAAGAGCCATGCGACTTGGCACAGACATGTCTTGTGTGCAATGATGTGGCCACAGGAAAACATTATGGTGTAATATCGTGTGAAGGTTGTAAAGGTTTTTTCAAACGAAGTATCAGGAAAGAAATGCGCTATACCTGTCGAGAAGAAGGAAAATGCTCAGTAGATAGGTTACACCGAAATCGCTGTCGTCTTTGTCGACTAAACAAGTGCTTGAGGATGGGAATGAAGAGAAGCGGTTAGTTTTTAAAGCTCTTGCGCAAATTATTTGTTTCCTCAATGAAAGTTGGATAGGGCGCGAAACCGCCGAAACATATAATTTCATATTAATAAATTTTAAGTGTTTATATACATTCATGACCACAAGCAGTTTAGAGGCAAATGTTCGGATTTTCATTTTTTAAACTTTGTAAATGCTTGAAGTCACCTTGCCTTGGGACTACTGACCTTGATTTTGTCAATTCCAAGGGGAAGGTCGAGCTGAATTTTAATTTCGTTAATCCTTATGACTGATGATTCAACTCGTGTTTTGAGCATGCTTCCTTGAAAATGCCAATGCTATGTATAGATGCTTTTTTTTACTGACATGAATACATAATCCCAAGCTGTATAATCTAGTTAGAGGGCCACAGGTTTGTCAGCTTTTCAGCTGTTACGTGTCCCCTCTATAATTAAAGTCCTCATTATTATTATTCTAGTTTGCCTCAATTATCACTTATCACAGGAGTGTACCCAAGTCAAGAACTGAGCACTAGAAAGCAAAGGGTGTCAACCTTTTCTTAGAAGGGTTTTGAGTAAACACAAAAAGCATCACTATCACATTACTTAATAAAGAATACTTATCATTCTTGTGTCTGTTGTCTGATGAGAAATTTTTACCAATTTTTGAAGTACCAGAATTGTGGGGTCAAATTTTTCTTTGCATCTATGTTAACTGTGTTTATATCCAGGGAAAGTATCATTGTTGTATACCTCAATTTGCTAAATAGGTTTATGTTCTACGAACCTATTGCAATATAAAATACTGGTCAACAGTTTTTCATTGAAAATAATATCAAAGTTAAGTCATGCCAAAACTCTTTCAAAAATTTGTCTGTTGTTGTTCATAATAATTTTACTTAACTATGATGGCCTAACTTGAAAATAACATTGCAGTCTTGTTTGTTTTTAGAGAAGCTTACTAGCATGATTGAATTAGCTAATCGAAAGGTTCATTTTACACTGTATTTTATTTTCAGCTGTACAAATGGAGAGATGTGCATCTAGCTCACTTCAAAATTGTACCTTGCCCTCTGTAAGTGGCTCATTTAAATCAAAATTGACTGACAAATGTGAATTTGCTTTTGAAATGGAATTTCCCAAAGATAGTAAGCTCACTATGGAATATGTTTATGAAATTGTGACAAGACTTCTCTTTTTTTCGATTGATTGGGTCAATGTAACTCATTCGTTTAAGTCTTTGGATAAGAATGATCAAGTTTTGCTTTTGCAAAGCTCCTGGACTGATATATTCCTCCTTAGCTTTGTTCAGTGTGGGAAAGTTTGTAGAGTTGAGGCTACATTGAATGTAATGAAAGAAAATATGAAAAATTATGACATCGATTCCTGTGAAGCCAACAAGTCACAATTACCTGTAAAAGACATTGATAAAGTAAAAGATCTGCTTCTTACATTGGATCGCCTGGAATTAACACCTACTGAATATGCATTGCTAAAGCTCATCTGTCTTTTCAATCCTGGTAGGTATTTATGTTGTAAACAAACGTGAATGGTAACCACTGTAAAAGACAACTGCTGAAAAGTGATTTAATTTGTATCATTGTTGGGGGAAGTCACATTACGTGGTGTATGCCAAACACCCCCGTCTTTAGTTAAAGAAGTCAAAAAATTCAATTAATAAACTGTTCTAAGATGGCACAAAAGTCGGTCAGACTTAAACTCTTGGCTTTTCTTATATCACTAAAAAGTATTTCCCTAACGTAGAATATCTCCACATATTATTTTGGAATGAGCGCACCTGATTATCGTACGACATGCGAAAACGCTGATGCGTGTTGCCATTAAATAGCTATTTAATAAATGTTTTTAATGAGCTCAAAAAGGAAGTCAAAGAGAGACAGTCGTCAAGGAAAACGTTTTTACGTTCGAGAAAAATGCTGTCTCGTACAAACTTGCTTGAATAAAATTTGCTTTTGCGCCCAAACCCCCCATTGATTATTTACATGTCAGGATGATAAATACTTCATGAATGTTCGCCAAGCAAAGTGGTGCTATTGTTTGCTCGTGAACGGGCGTGTGAAAATTCTTTAAAAATGAATTTGTGTGATTTTTTTATAAAAGTTTCGAGAATGAGCGGTGTGCTTTATCGTTTGTGACTATTCTATTCCTCTCTCACAGATGTTACTGGTCTTAAATGTGTTCGAGACATTGAAAAAATGCAAGAAATGGCGCAGAGTGAACTTCAAGATTATGTTCGTGAAAGTAGCTCAACCAATCAGTGTCGCTTTGCAAGAATTTTGCTTCGCTTACCAGCAATCAAGACGATCAGTTCTATAAGAGTGGAGGAGATCTTTTTTTCCCCTCTCATTGGTGATGTGAAAATTGATCACATTCTTCCTTCTATACTTAGTAATAATTCGGGCAGTCTTGTATGAAAATATGATTTATTGTTAGCGTGGGAAAAATCGTATGAAATAATTGTCTCAGAAAGCAGCTATATATAATGATTCAATTAATCAGGTGACATCAAACAAGTCGTGGAGAAACTTTTCACTCTCAATATTTAACTTTAATCGAACAAATGGAGAAGGCAAACCAAAAAACTGATCTCTGATTACGAGAATCGAAACATAAACGCGCGAACGTTGTAAGTGTAGTTTCGATTAAATAATTGAAGCTAAAAATAACTCTGCGTTGGTGTTAGCAACATAGCGACGTGATAACGAAAAATCCTGCGGAGTAGATATTACAAAAATCTTACTGTCGATACTATCAACTTCCTATCAATATCAAGAATGCCCTATACATATTATTGATATTTTCTATAGGTATAAAAAATGCCCATCCAATATATTATCGAAATTCCATTATTATGATAGTCTATAGAAAGTATTGTAATTCTTATTGGTATTAGTAGATGGTATTAATAAGTTAAATAATAAACTCATAAATACATATCAATGAAATAGGAAGTAACTGTTTGATATAACATGGTTATTTTTCAAAACGCTCAGGCAAAATTGCCAAAAGACCTTTCAAAAATCACCATAATAAACCAAAAATGCCTGGTATCATAAAAGAATCAAACAACTTTGTTGAATAAGCATGCATATTTTAGCATCTTTTCCACATTACTTGTTTCAAAGTGGGTGTTACACATAGCGCCCATGCTGTTTGTTGGCAAGAAACATATGGTTTGTCTCGAAATAACCCTTCTTTTCATCTTTCCTGTGGCAACGTTTACCAAAATTGATCAATTCCTTTTATTGCAATTGTCTGCATTAAACTGAGCATTAACCCGATTATGCCGCGCCTCATTTCTAGATGCCAGTCTCCAGGACTTTATGATGTGCAATGTGCAGCCAAAGTGGCCCAACATTTTTGCTTGGCTGTTGTGCAACCCGTTAACGATCTCAATGTGTGAATACCTTTCGTCATGCCAAAAATTAATTGTAGAATGCAGAATTTTTTAGTTGCCCATTTAAAACCGATTTCCTTTTTCAATCAACAAGGGCAATTGACGTCCTGAGGAATTTTATACACCTTTTATAAAGTTACTATACATCATAAATTTATTGAATTGATTAACCCTTTGTTCTTTGAGACTCGTAACCGACAGAATGATGATAAATCTAAACATTTAAAACATTGATCCTCATCTTCCAACATTGAAAACACGACTCCTTGTTTACTTGCGAATTAGAAAAAAATTAGAGAATGTTTTTTTATTTTTCACAGCATTCCCTCGTTAATTCTAGTTTGCTTTAATCCTGCCTGGTTTATGACATAAATGTTAGATTATTTTTTCACGTTTGATAATTATGACACCTTTAACAATAACTCGGCGTTTTCCCTGGACAAGCCCAATGCCACAAACATGATGAATAAAATCATTTGTAAGGACACCTACGCAGTCTCTGTTTATTGTAGCATTTTACCCCAGGGAGTGGGTGAATGAATTGAAAATGTATTGTACTATTTTCACAATGTTTTCAAAGATTCAACTGCTTTTATTACTCGCCATGCTCATGCTATTAATGTACTGTTATGTTGGTAACCTGTTCTCACTAGTTCTTCTTTTGCTTTATTAAGCATTGAGTACTGTGACACCTCAGTTCTTTATTTTTCATAAATTAAAATTCAATGCTTGGCATGTCCACTTGGTATGTGCTGGATTGCTTTTTATTTCTTCCTTTAAAAACTGACAAGTTTAGCACAATAATAGCCATTTCCAAAAGACAAGAGACTGCAGTTGCTTTTTTGCACAAATTTTTGCACAATTTTTGTGAAAACAAGGAATTACTCATCGAGTAAGAAACAGACCTTTGTTAATTGTATGCACATGATTTAATTGTAAGCACGTGACGAACATCGATTTATGCGAAATAAATGAAAGACATTAGTCTAAAATTCTAAATTTTAAAGATAAAAAAAAATTAAATTCATTTAACTTAAACAAGTTCACGATTTTTGGTAGACGTTTCTATTCGTGTTGTACATAATTGCTCAGTTATAAATTCGTGGGCGTATGTTATGTATATCATGTTGCACATCACAGACGTCCCCTTTACGTCTAATACGAGTTAATCGACCACAGCAAGTTTGCTGTCGTTCAACACATTGCCTGTCCGGCTATATTTTATTGTTAATCTACATTTTTGTACAAGGATTGTCAAGAACACTTGACACAATGCTAAAATTCAAAGCGGACGTGCTCGGATATATGGTCATGAATTGACCTCTCAGTGAGCTGGTGTTTTGATGTTGAACGCATGAACAGGCAGTACTGACACGACCACAAGGTCGTTTGTAGAGACTGTACATTTGCTTGATAAATGGACGCCTTCGAAGATTTCGAAGGATTTGATTGCTCAATATGTCTGGAACGATTGGATGAGACTTGCAAGGCATTGCCTTGTCAGCATACGTTTTGTAAAAGTTGCTTAAAATCTATCGTAGCTTCGAAGCAAGAATTACGTTGCCCCGAATGTCGTCGCCTTGTCACTGAAGATGTCGACGATTTACCAGGAAATATAATGTTGATACGTCTCTTGGAGGGGCTAAAAAATAGGCGCACGAAGAAAAAATTGGAAACAACGTTTGTCAGACCTGGGGTTTGTAAAGTTTATCATTCATGCAAAATAATTTCATTGAACTGTGAGCTATTGTTGTGCATGTGTGACTCAAGTGTTACTAGATTATGGTTTATCCATTACATTTTGCGTCTTTGCCTATGAATCGCTAAAATCGAAGAGTTTCTTTTAATCATAAATCTATTTGGGTGAGTGGCTTTGTATTATTGTGGCTCTGCGACCATGTCCTCTTTAAATGGCGTGTGTGTTTTTACTTGGTTTTGTTTGTAATCATCACTAATCAACGTAGTTCATATTTGATGAATTAGTAACTTGACCTCCTGATCTTATGTCGCAAATACTTAGCAATATTAAAGTTCTCACGAATTGGTTTCAAAGATCCAATCGCTTCCTTCGGTCAGAGCCAAGAAATTATTGATTGGTCGTGTTTAAAAAATTTCGTGGCGTTGAAATAAGCCACATTTCAAAAAAAGATGCAAAAATAGATTGTGAAATGTAATTTTATTGGTGATCGTGTTGAATGACTGATGTCAAATAAAACCATCCGATGGTATCGTACTTTGGTGCCCTGCTAACTAAAAATAACAGAAAATATGTGCTTAATAATGAAGCATTTGTCCACTCACTTCCGCGAAACAAATATTTAAAGCAATTTGCGTTTCTTTTACACAAAAATAACGATAAGGACATAATTTTAGTTTACAATTGACCTCATTTTAAAACTTCAATTGATGCGACAAGTTATGTATATGCAACATCCAGTGAAGGTTTTTCTCACACGATAGAATTTCATCATTGACATATTTTTCACTGTTTGTACTGGAAAGTTTCCATAATTTCGTAAAAGCACTATTGCCAATACACATTTAATATAAACAACAACTTTTTTGAAAATAGACATGTTTATGTATCATATTACATTTATATAAACCCTGTATCACCTATTATTTCACTCATACTGAAGATGGCATCATGAGATGTTGAAACATGTCTATTTTCAAAAAAGTTGTCGTTTATATTAAATGTGTACTGGAAAGGTTAAGAAGGCTCATCAAAAAGGGCTATGCATCCTGCAATAAACACAAGCATTTGCATCAGAAGAACGGAGAGTTTTTATAATCTTGTGCTTAAAGCTATGCTTATTTTGCAAGTGACGACCAGGCTTCAAGTTATCTGAAAATAGTTTCTTGCTTTGTACAAGAGTCTTCAAACACCGAGTACAGAACTTTTTATGTTCCACATATATATCACTTTTTATTTTATTACATTTAAAAATATATGGGTACAAATTAATTAGGCAAGGAAAAAGATATCATTATTGAAATCGCTCCACAGCCTTATTTTGCCTGTCTGTGCATAATGAATAGTACCTTTTATATTGATTTCATAACAACTATGTCTGGAAAGTTTGCCATTGCTTATACAATGGTGAACATTTTATAAATGAATGCAAACTGTGTATTCCAAGATAAATTAGTTTGTCTCTCGTTAAGTTCACTAGTTATTGAAGAAGCCTGTGGGCAAAATATGCTAATGTGCTGGGGGTGCGACAAGAAAGAAGGGGTTTGTCAACTGTTTTTCATTGTTTGTTTTCGCAATTTTTTATCACAATTTTATAGAAACCTCAAAAACTACTCATTGTTTATTTATATACTTGTTTATTTACCTATATTACATTTATTTATACTCAAGAGTGTTATAATGTATAGCAAAATTGCTCCAACTTTAACCTTATGAATATATTTGCTAGTATAAGTTTGTCTTTTATTAGTAGTTTTTGATATAACTATTATTTCTATATCGATTCAGTGTTTGAACTTATTTACCCATTATATACTGTGAATTATTTCACAACACATCAATGCACATTAATCGAATGATGTAAATATTGGAAATGCTTATAGCCATTTTCCTATTTCTTTTTTTGGGGGGATAAGTGTATTTGGAAATGAATATCTAAGTTAGAAAGTTGATATTGAAGTACTCAAAAAATTATAAAATATATTTTTATTTGATTTTTCTATTCTTGTAGTTGTACTGTACATTAAATGCTTTTACTTTGAAGAAATATTTACTAAAGATGAATTTTTATCGAGTATCTATGAGCATTCAATGAATAATTTAATCTTACTGAAGTTTATTTCAATGAAAAGCTTTAATGTTGTGAGTCAGAATGTCTATGCTTCACTATACCTTGTTTATCTTTCGTTGTCAATAATCCCATAAAAGTTGACAAACCGCATCTCCAATTTTTAAAGTTTATCCATAAAGATTTGAGCGTTTGTTTGGTTCATAGCATCATGTACATATAAATCTAACAGAAAAATTCCTCCTTTTAACTATTCTTTATCGATAAATTAATCAATAATTACAATTAATTAATTCTAATTTTTGAAGGAACTTTTTTTGTGCATTATTCCTATATTATTACCGTCCGGGCAGTCATCATTTGAAACGCCCGAAACTTTAACACGCATATCACACCCTCAAAATTGTCGACTTTAAAAGGACAGAATTTACGTGATGTGATCATGGCTCGTTGCGCTAAGTCTTTGAAACTGTTTTTAACACTTTTTGTTGAACATTGCCACGATGATTAATGTACAACATAAACGGTTAATTAGGAATAAATTTTAACATGTACTGTTGTAGTTACAACGATTTGTTCCACATATTATGCATGACTGATGTCAGTGTTTTTATTAACATAGATTCCATTCGATGAACCATGCGCTCGGGCGAAATTCTCCTACAACGCAAGAGAGCAAGGGTTGGTGTAATTATTACACTATACAACCACGAAAGAGTGTTGCGTCATACAAGCTTGGAGTGACTTTTTCGTTTAGGGATTTGACTATTAAACGAGGGGATTTGGTCGTTCTTCTGCAAAAAGTTGACGAAGATTGGTATATCGGCGAACTGTCGGGGAAGCAAGGATACGTGCCGGCAAATTTTGTTGAGGTATGAGAAAGAAGTACACCGTATGCTTAATGTTTATTAGCACAACATCTCTTTCTTCGATAATGAGTTTGACGTGTTTTTTGAGCAACACGTTGCCCGTCCGTGGTAATGAGGTCATCACAACATGAGTTGTATTCTTGCACGGATGGGCATGTTATTGTTGCTTCATCGGACTGTCTTTAACTAAGTTCTATATGTATTTGCTTTATGCATCTTCATCATGGAGTTATTCCACGATTGGCATTTGATCAACATGATCGAAGTTCGAAAACGCATTGGATGTTGTTGTTAGATTTTGAATGAAACATTTTTTCGACGACGAATTTCGTGCAACAAAATGTCTGTGTCATTATAGTAGACTGCGCAACATGGTGTGTCTATAAGCTATTATCGCAACATGTTGCAAAGTAAAGCCACGTGTTTCCAGCATGCCGTTCCTAGAAAACAAAGTCTGCGGCAAGTTTCAAAGAACTAGTTTAAGTTTAATGAAGAGCGTGATGAAATTTAGACATTTTTTTTCAATTTTCATCCCTTTTTATTCATACTCCTAGTCATAGCTATGCTCTTACCTCGCTAAAGCCAAGAGGTAGGAACGTCAAAGTAAAGAGACTGGGCACGAGGTTGCACGTCATTGTGGTGGATAAAAGGGCTTAAGACGGATTTGAAAATTTACATTTCTGATTTTGAGAAAACTGGGTTTAGTTGCCAGCAACGAATGTTTCGTAGAGGTTACGTTTCTCGTGTGCTTCAAAAACTCCTGAAAATAATAAACATGCCAAAACTCTATAAATTTTGACTTTATATTGTATTTTGTGTCTTTTCAAATGAAATATTAATACTTTCACCATTTGCTAAGCTTGTTTTTACACCAATTTAACTCAATGTCGAGGTCATCACGATAATAATTTTGAATTTTTTGTGTTTGGTACACGCATGCGTCGTTTGTAGTAATTACCTGAAACCACTGCTCGAAAAAGTAACTCATAATTCCATATTGCTCGTTAAAAATCTATATTTTTGTTCTTGAAAAATTCCAGAAAGTTGGGCATAAAATTCGTGAAAAGTTCCTAAATTCGCGATGTTCATTAAGAGTTCATAAAGAGAACGAAATGTTTACGAATCACTGTGAACTTTGTGAATGATGCAGAATTAATTTCATTAACATCATTCAGTCAACTAATTTTGAAGCTGTAATTTGTTGAATGGCTCAAAATAAATTCCTCTTTTAAAATAGTATGAATCTATATTTACTTCATGGTTTTATGTGTTTTTAGGTTATAAATCCTTTGCCAGCATTTTACGACACGAAGCGTGCTTTGGCAAAAGGTCTTCACGATTTTGAAGAAGGCGAAGAAGACGACTTACTTCATTTTAAACAGGTTTGCAAGAGATGACTTTAATAGAACTATCATCATGATGGCATCCCAGATTATTCAGAACAAAAATGATGGGTCTTGTTCACATTGATGGATTATCAGTTTTCAGTTATCCAGATGAACTTTTAGATTAGGTACTTTTTTGAAGTTGGAAGAAAACTCTTTAGTTGGTGAAACACAATTGTATTGGAATTGACTTTTAATTCGGGCGATTTTCACAACTCATTTTTATGTTAATGTGACATTTGCTACAAATTTTGCTTTCGTTATCTCCATCATACTTTGTTTTGTTGTATATAGTTTACATTAGAGTGAAATTATTACAGCACGGTCAAAATAGCTAACAGTTGTGTTTTGTTAAATATGACGCATTTTATGTAAGGGTGCTGCAACTATAAAGCTCTCGATGCAAACCCTGTTGATTAAGACATACTTGATGTAAGGGTGCTGCCATTATAAAGCTCTCGATGCATACTTCGCTGATTAAGACGTACTTGATGTAAGGGTGCTGCCATTATAAAGCTCTCGATGCAAAGTCTGTTGATTAAGACATACTTTGTGTAAGGGTGTTGCAAATATAAAGCTCTCGATGCATTCTCTGTTGATTAAGACATACTTTATGTAAGGGTGTTGCCATTATAAAGCTTTCGATGCAAAACTCCGCTGATTAAGACATACTTTATGTAAGGGTGTTGTCATTATAAAGCTCTCAATGCAAAACTCTGTTGATTAAGACATACTTTATGTTATGGTGTTGCAGATATAAAGCTCTCGATGCATACTTTATAGATTAAGGTATACCGTATTTTAGGGTGAGATTATAACGGTAACAAGAAGAGTTGATTCTAATTGGTGTGAAGGAAAGATCGGTTACCGTTGCGGAATTTTTCCTGTAAATTTTGTTGAGGTGTGTGCCACTTATTTGCAAAGCTGTCCGCAGACGTTATTGTGTTTGCTTTTTGAAAGTTGTTTTTGCTTTTTAAAAAGTATTATTTTTATTCAGCTAAATCGAGTGGCATCGCTAATGCCTTCTTCCAATGGAACGATAGCAGGACCACAAGCTCGCATGACACCCAATGTACCTCTCGGCTCGTTGTATGAACGAAAACCTCGACAGAAAGCTCAGCTTTACCAACCTCTCCAAAGGTCCTATTCAACCCCTCGCGAGACTATGGAAAGCTATGGACGAAAGGTCAGAGATTTCGGGTCTTCGACGAAATTTGCCGCTCCTGGTCGCCGTCGAGTGATGGGTTTAATTCATCGGCACTCCTTTGACGCGCTTTCGATCGACGATTCGCATGATTCTCGTGAACGCCAAGGGGAACGTCTTTTGTCTTCATTTCCAACAAACATTGAAAACAGTGAGCGACATCATTCGGTTGAATCACGTATATCCCAGGTAAATACAGGGGGGTGAAGACGGGGTGTTAAAGATGTAGTAGGTCATATCGAGACAGGAGGGGCAAATGAAGGCAGGGTGGAAAAATATATTTTTGAACCGTTGATAATTAGTTTTTTTGAAGGTGGTGTTTGTGAACATTGTGTGATTATTATAGTTTAGCAATGACAATGAGGGGGCATCTTTGAGTTTTTAGAGGAAGAAGGATGATAACTTATTTGATATCCATGTTAAGTATAAAGGCTGAAACACACTGGGCAGTCGCTTCAGTCGCGCGTCCAAAGCGAATTGATGCGCACGCGTCAGTCGCTTGAACGCTAGAAACACACATGCAGCGACCATCGCGACTTTTACCGTGGCGTCTATTGCACATGGCGGTGATTTTAGTTTGTTACAGACACAGATATCACTTAAACTTTTTATTCTGGCCTTTATTATAGCTACTAATATATGAATATTTACTCAGTACAAACTACTATGTGGAGAAAAGAGAACAAGCCAGTTAAAACACGCCAATATGATCATAGTCCATACGCCATTACGCGTATATTGTGGATAATCTTATTGTGCGCACTTAGGTTGTGCATTAGGGTTCCAGTTTGTAGCTCCTATTGTCCCTATTTGATATGTCATATAAAACTGAAAGATTCCACTATATATTGCCTTCGTTTTCCAAGGTATAATCTATAAATTTCGTATGATGCTTATGACAAGAAATATGATATGCATTTAGGAAGTTAAAATGTATCTATTGCCAATCAGTGTAAAGCGACTGAAGCGACCAAAGTCAAAAGTTCAACATGTTGAACTTTCAAAGCGACTAGCTGACGCGACTACGCTACTAGCTTAGTAACCACGCAAAGCGGTAGTTTTAGACGCGCGACTAAAGCGACTGCCTAGTGTGTTTCAGCCTTAATGGTCAAAACATTTAGATTTTATATTTCTTTTCCAATGCATTATTGTGTCCTAGGATAATCAAACTGAAACAACCTTACAACAGAATAATGATCCAAGTGGCGAATTGTAAGTATGAACTCTTCCCAAAAGAAGATATGATATTTTGTGATTGTATTTGCGTTCACTATGTATTGAATGTGTTGCCATTTTCGCTTTTTTTGGAGTGTTATACCATTGTACAACAGTATATATGTGTTCTTCTTGCTTTATGGCGTGACAATAAAAGTGTTTAGGGGAGAGACATATCGCAGTAGTATGTCAAACATAGAGTTATATGTGGACATTGACATGCTTTCAAAAATGTTAGGCACCGCATCCCCCGTTTTCAACTGCCCTATCTTGGATTCATCTGTAAAAACAACTTAGTGTGGCATTGTGTCCAATAATAATTTGTTTTTTTGAAAACACGTTGTAATACGATTCGTTTTGTAAAAGCGTGGTCAGTTTAACAATTTTAACAATTTGCGCGTTTAAATAACATGAAGTTACGAAAATGATTTGCATCGGGGAGTATATTTCTAGCCTAATGAGGATGTAGACATGTCAGTCAAGAGTTCTTCACAGGACTGCACTGACCTGCACGATCAATATCTTCAAACATATATCTTTATTGATTTGTTTTGTTTAAATAAGAATTTATGTAAAGCTCTCTTTTATTATCGTCTCGAGTGGTGGGCATATTTTTTTCTTACATATTTTCTTTTCTGTGCTTTTTCGTAGATACGTAGCTGTGTATCAGTACCGACCACAAAAGGATGACGAGCTTGAGCTGCGCTGTGGAGCACATTATAACGTTATAGAAAAACGCTCAGATGGTTGGTTCAAAGGTTTTCCCGCACAAGAAAGACAAGTCGTTGGCCATTTTCCGGGAAATTATGTTCGCCCTGTCAGGTGAAAAACAGATTACAATAAGTTAGGCATATTCTTGCCTAACTTATTGTATCGTGCAAGCAGACTTCTACGAATTATTTCTGCGAAAACTTATTTCCAAAAAAACGAACAACATTGATATTGTGGAAAATGAATGAAATAGAAAATGTTGCAAGATTTTGCTGGCTACGTTGTTGAACACCATTGTCATTAAAATTATCTCAAATCTTATCCATCTATAATGGACCACTGACCTGTGTGTCAATTACCTGTTTGGACGTACAATCTGCACCAGCGGATGATGAGGATGTCAGCTTGGTGTCATCATATAGGCATTATTTTCAACAAATCGACATTCTATAATGTGGAAAATTTCTTCCGTTTTTTTGAAAATTCTGTAGTGACAATTGTTGTTGAAATATATGCTGGATCTTCATGTTTGTTTCTGTTTCATTTTTTAGCACCACAACTGCGAATGGGGAAAGTATAACGGACAAGGGAATGTCGTTAATTCAGAGACGTTTTCATAAGAGCCATTCACAAACTCTGTTAAAACCTAGTGTAAATGCATTGGTAGTTCCCAGACCTCGACCGTTTTCAGATATCAGCAATGACTTGAACGATAAGTCTGTGTTACCACCCCCTCTTACTCCGCCTTTAGTTGCAGCTAAACCGCCCGTAAGTTCATACAAATGTAAAGTTTCTGTCATCGAGCTTTTTGTACATGTACATAGAGCGAAAGAAATAATTGCGATTTACTCCGGCTAATATATTACACGCACCTCTGATCTTGCTGTGTAAATAATCTCTTGACACGTGATATTGTTATGAAAACTTGTGTCATTTTGTGATTTACGTTTTAGTTTGATCGAGTGTTATTTTTTCAGAAACATTCTTTGTTTTGGAAACTAAATATTGGTAAAAAGAAAGATCGCCACAGTGTTCAAACGTTGCAGAGGTAAAAGTTTCAATACATTTCAGTCAAACTTTGGTTAGATAAATGATTATAGTTATATGTATTAGATGCTGTCTTTCCCAAAAATGACTTTACATTTTATTAATTTATTTGATGGTTATTTTTGGTCCAGACATCAACTATGCATTTACTTTACACCTTAGCGAGAAAACATCTGTTCATCAACCAGCAGCAGACGGAGTCATACCTGCAGGGGCCACCTCTTCTTCAAAAATTGTTAATACAGCCCTGCATTCTAAAACTAAGGTATGAATATTGCATGCTAACATTTTTCGCCCCGTCCACCTAACGCCGGTTTCATAGCACGAAATCAAATTAAGTATTTTCAAATTTTCTTTGAGCTTTCACCCCCACTCCCCCCTCTCGAGCCCATGTGGTAGGTAAGATTTTAGTTTCAAAATAACATTCATTGAAGGTACACTAAATACAAGATAATTTATTGTATACTTCCTTTCTCTGCCCTAGAAAAAAAGTAGAAAGCCTCCTCCAAAACATTTGGTAATTTCCTAACAATCTTCACCATTAATGTTTTATGTTGACAGGTAGAGACGAGGCAGACACCGATATACAGCTGCAACGTCAAAGAAAAGTATGTAAACGATAAATGTTTAATTCCTGGGATAGAGCTTACATGCATTTATTTTCTGCCAAACTGTCTACATTTTTTTTTTGATGTTTCAAGTTAAAAAGTATGAACAATTTATAAATTGGCAATCAAAAAGAACCGCTCATTGGCAAAAATAAGGTTAATAGGGTAACATTGCGACAGAGTGCCAAGGCATTAGGTACAAGTTACTCGACAAAAAAAGTATAATTAATAACTGCTTTAGTTATTAATTATACTCTTGTCTACTCTTTTTTAGTTACAGCTTTGCATCGGTTAGACATGCTCTCTGTCAAGTAAATCAGTCTTTGGCGTTAATCACTATAATCATCACTATTTACAAAATTACTGAGGAAATGTTTAGCAGTACTTTTCGAGTGCCTGTGTATGAATGTTTATTCATTAAAAATGCTATGCCACATACATTTTAGAGTTTTTGAACTTTTCCAAACTGATAAAGTTTATGCTTCCCAATTAGTGCATGGAATAAAATGTATGGGATTTCACAGCATGCTCTTTTGTTTGAAGTAGCTATATAATACTCCATTGGCGTAGGCCTTGTGTACTTACGTGATAATTTTGTATTGACTTATGCTGAGGTTATTCACGTGATACCCTTTCCATGACGTAGGCGTGGGATATTCACGTGATATCATTCCATTGACGCAGGCTCTAATGGAGTGTTTTCATCGGTAGCAATGTTGGGGGGAAATCTCAAACAGTGAAAAGAATTTATCCTAATTTCATTCTCTGCATGTTGAGCATCGGTACTTTGATGTACTTCACCTTCTACGTCACATGCTATAGTTTTTTTTGTAACTTAAAGGTATTTAGTGATAGCAGACTATCCTCCAATCGGCCCCATGGAATTAGAGTTAAAATGTGGTGATGTTGTCTATGTGACAAAAAAGACTGAAAATGGCTGGTTTCATGGGTCATTGGAAAGGAATGGGAAAGTCGGCTATGTTCCAAGTAGTTTCCTGGAAAAGATAGTGGGTAATTTGATTTGAGTGCGTTTATTTGGTCGTCTGTACCTTGGATCCCGGCATAATTTTTTTTCAATAATTTTAATAGTTATAGTAAACTATACAGTATTGTAGTATTGTACAGTTGAACTAAATGAATAGCGTAGAAATCTTTAACCATTTTGTGATTAATTTTGTAGCATAATTGAACTCTGTTTGAAGTCAAACTTAATACATGTGGTCATTAAAAGATACTAATGGGCACAAGTTGAAAGAGAATTTAATTGTCTTATTTTTGCAAAATCTGTTGCAACAGGCTAAAAAAAGGCGTTCATTCTAATGTTACTGTTTACATAGAAATTGAGCTTTAACCTCCGTTTTTATTTATTTTCATTTTTTTGTGTCATATTAGTCGTGATCACATGATGGAGTAAACCAACAGCATGAATATTATTAGAATTTCATTGTTATATGATAACCTTTAGAATTTGAGCGATTGCATTGGTCGAGAGCTATGATCTCGCCTCGGCCGCCCGTGGCCGTTTTTTTAGTTCTTTTCACAAATGACGTTATACCCGTGTATCAACTGAACAGGCAACGGTTAAATGTAATCTATTTGTTAATTTAAGCCTCGGCTCAATTAAACAGGCAATGAAGACACCGTAAACTGGAGCAGAGGCTGCAAAGCGAAGAGGCATAGGCGATGTAAATAATGACGTCATCAGCCACCCATTGGGTTGAAGTTATACGAGCTACGTTTTCTGGTGATATAATACCATATTATTTTAGTTGAACGCGTTTCGGTTAAACAATAAGCTCTTAAATTGCGTTGTCTTGGCTAAAATTGACTTCACTTCTCATTGAAAGTGCAATTATGGGTTCCTATTTACTGATAGTAACCTTTGTGATGGGATTGTGTGTTAATTGCGGTGCTTTACACTATAATATAGCAACGTTTAGTCAGGTTGTTGATCATTTTAATTGGAATATCAATTTGACGTTTGAGCAGCGATACCTGTATTCAAATGTGTACTGGCATGCTGATGGACCGTTTGTGGTTTACACTGGTAACGAAGGTAACGTTGAAGGCTACTGGGAAAACACGGGATTTGCCTTTGAAATCGCTAAGCAGTTAAATGGATACATCCTTTTCATAGAGCACAGGTATTACGGACATTCTCTACCTTTCGGCCAAAAGTCTTTTTGATCATGACAAAATTGGTTATTTATCGATAGAGCAGGCTATTGCGGACTATGCTGTAGTGATACAACACATTAAGAAAAAGCTGGGAGCTACAGAAAATGCCGTGATTGCTTTGGGTGGAAGTTATGGTGGAATGCTAAGTGCTTATTTACGATTTAAATATCCTAATGTTGTGGACGCAGCTTTGGCAGCGAGCTCCCATATACCTCGCAGCAGGTTTAGCAAATAACCATTCATTTTGGGAGGTGGTGACCGCTGACTTTAAGGCTGCGAACGAGCAATGTCCTAGTAGAGTACAGACTGCTTTTTTGGAATTGAAAAAACTTCGCGATTCTGGTCAATTGGTGGAGATTTCAAAGAAATTTCGACTTTGCTCCAACTTGGTTTCTGACAAGCAAGTTGACTATCTCATTGGTTGGATAAGAAATGCGTTTGCAAGCATGTGCATGGGTGATTATCCATACTCCGCTTCTTTCTTTGGAAATCTCCCAGCAAATCCAGTTAATGTTTCCGCCAATCTCATCATGCAAGCGGAAGATGCTCTCGAAGGACTAGTCCTTGGTACTGGACTCTTCTACAACAGCACAAATAACAATACTTTATCATGTTTTGATCCATTTACAGAGTATTACTTTTGTTCTGATCCGACGGGTTGTGGATTGGGTCCAAACAGTTTGTCATGGGACTACCAGGCTTGTACAGAGATACTCCTTTCTAGCGGTACGAATAATATCACGGATATGTTTACACCGTTACCTTGGACACTAGACATGAGAGCAGAGTATTGTTTAAAGACATGGGGTATCAGGCAAAGACCTGGTTGGTTCGCCACTTCACTGTGGGGGAATTCTATCCAATCTGCATCTAACATTATTTTTTCAAATGGTGAGCTTGATCCATGGAAAAACGGTGGAGTTTTAGAGTCTCTCTCGGATACAATTATTGCTTTATTGATAGACGGTGCAGCGCATCATCTTGACTTGAGATCAGCCAACCCGAAAGATCCTCCGGCTGTTGTTGCTGCAAGAGAAGCTGAGCTGTTTTTCTTGAAGAAATGGATTTCAAGCGCAAGAGAAAATCATAAAATAACATAAACGTTCCGTGTTTTTGTTGAGCGAATAGTTAAAAAAACAACTATCGTGATCTTTGGTCTGATTTATTCGTATTATTACAAGTTTAACACAGCATTTTGTAGAATTTTAATAAATTAATACTAAATCTGTCGAATTGAGTGATGTGGTTTGTCATCAACTGAATAAATTTGCACCGTGGGCTTATCTTGATGATAGATAGAAGTCAAACCCAGTTGTTATGAATATTTTTTTATCCAACATAATTTTGGTCGTAAGAGTCCATGTGTTTTTGCGCGGTTATTGTTTTAAGTTTTTCGTAAAACTAAATTTCTTGATATTAGTTGGTTTGTTGCTGCAGTTGAAAAATTTGCCGGCTGATTTCGTGCTTTTTCATCCAAGTATTTATTTAAAGTTATATGAATAACGAAAATTAAAATTAATGAAAACGAAGATGAAGTTCACCAAAAGTCTGAAGTATCAGTCGGGAAATAATTTCGGGATGCCAAGTACGATAAAATTGTTCGACTATTTGTTCATTAAAGAGCAATAAATGTATTATGCTATCACTAAAAATCACTATTACTTTACTTACAATTTTATCAAACAGTGTTTTTGAACTCGAAATTTTCGTTGTTTTAGATTATTTGTATTTTTCAAAAAATAGCTTTCTATCGTTTCTTAATACATTTTCAGACAGTAAAAATAGATTATTTTAATTCCCAATCATTGGAATCCCCTGCAGTTATCCTGGCATTGTAATTATTTCTAGCCATTTTTCCTGTCCATTTTTTATTTTTTTCAATCATTCATCTTCAACAAAAACACGGAACGTTCATATAATTTTATGATTTTCTCTTGCGCTTAAAATCCATTTTTTCAAGAAAAACAGCTCAGCTTCTCTTGCAGCGACAACAGCCGGAGGATCTTTCGGGTTGGGTGATCTCAAGTCAAGATGATGCGCTGCACCGTCTATCAATAAAGCAATAATTGTATCCGAGAGAGACTCTAAAACTCCACCGTTTTTCCATGGATCAAGCTCACCATTTGAAAAAATAATGTTAGATGCAGATTGGATAGAATTCCCCCACAGTGAAGTGGCGAACCAACCCGGTCTTTGCCCGATACCCCATGTCTTTAAACAATACTCTGCTCTCATGTCTAGTGTCCAAGGTAACGGTGCAAACATATCCGTGATATTATTCGTACCGCTAGAAAGGAGTATCTCTGTACAAGCCTGGTAGTCCCATGACAAACTGTTTGGACCCAATCCACAACCCGTCGGATCAGAACAAAAGTAATACTCTGTAAATGGATCAAAACATGATAAAGTATTGTTATTTGTGCTGTTGTAGAAGAGTCCAGTACCAAGGACTAGTCCTTCGAGAGCATCTTCCGCTTGCATGATGAGATTGGCGGAAACATTAACTGGATTTGCTGGGAGATTTCCAAAGAAAGAAGCGGAGTATGGATAATCACCCATGCACATGCTTGCAAACGCATTTCTTATCCAACCAATGAGATAGTCAACTTGCTTGTCAGAAACCAAGTTGGAGCAAAGTCGAAATTTCTTTGAAATCTCCACCAATTGACCAGAATCGCGAAGTTTTTTCAATTCCAAAAAAGCAGTCTGTACTCTACTAGGACATTGCTCGTTCGCAGCCTTAAAGTCAGCGGTCACCACCTCCCAAAATGAATGGTTATTTGCTAAACCTGCTGCGAGGTATATGGGAGCGCTCGCTGCCAAAGCTGCGTCCACAACATTAGGATATTTAAATCGTAAATAAGCACTTAGCATTCCACCATAACTTCCACCCAAAGCAATCACGGCATTTTCTGTAGCTCCCAGCTTTTTCTTAATGTGTTGTATCACTACAGCATAGTCCGCAATAGCCTGCTCTATCGATAAATAACCAATTTTGTCATGATCAAAAGACTTTTGGCCGAAAGGTAGAGAATGTCCGTAATACCTGTGCTCTATGAAAAGGATGTATCCATTTAACTGCTTAGCGATTTCAAAGGCAAATCCCGTGTTTTCCCAGTAGCCTTCAACGTTACCTTCGTTACCAGTGTAAACCACAAACGGTCCATCAGCATGCCAGTACACATTTGAATACAGGTATCGCTGCTCAAACGTCAAATTGATATTCCAATTAAAATGATCTACAACCTGACTAAACGTTGCTATATTATAGTTTAACACACCGCAATTAACACACGATCCCATCACGAAGATTACTATCAGTAAATATGAACCCATAATTACACTTTTAACGAGGAGAGTAACAAATGCACTGTTTCTGTCTGGTTTTTCATGCTCTTTGCTTTTGTGTATACTTCATGTAAGTAAGAGTTGTAAATCCATTCTGAGATGCAACACATGGTCATGACACGGTGTGACAGTGGTCACGAACTGTCTTGCCAGTAATGGTAAGGTTAAAGTTGCTGGTTCATAACTTTTAACTAATATATTTTCTTAAGACTCTAGTGCACCATTTTTTGGAGTTATATAATATATTTATGTATGATTTATTGAGATTTGAATCAGTTGATTACATAAATGTAAAGTAATTTTTGTTATAGGGAATTTGAGATCATTTCATCTTATCATTATTACAATTTGATTTTCTTATGTTTAACTCTTCTTCCAGAATTAAAATATGGCTTAAACATCTTGTAGATCTGTGAGGAATACTAGTCAAATTTGATGTGCACGACAAGTGTGTGCTCTGATGACTCATGACCGAAAGCGATTTATGTTTGATGTTGTTGGTGAAAATTGTTTGTTTGTTGTTTAGTAACATGTGTTTGTTTTACTCTTGTCTTGCCCTATGTCTATAATATGTTTCTGTTCTGTTATATGTACAATATTGTGTTATTATAATTCATTGAGTCATGATGAGATTCTGGTAATGAATATGATCCGATTATGGCTATCATTTGTGATCGAACACTGAAAAAGATTACATTGTTAATCTATGAAATGTCTCTGAACTCAACAATTCTGATATATCTGGGTCTATTGACTTTATACAATAGATCCAATCTCAAAAGTATGTAATCTGTGTATCTCATACTTGACATTGTGTATTAAATGTGAATTTTTTGGTTTGAATTGTAATTTTGATATGCAATGTGATATGTTCAAAGTTTACATGGCAAAATAAAGCAAAGATTCTTTGTCAGCAAGTGATTAAAAAGGTAATTAAATTAATAGGGAAGTGAATTGCTGGTTTTTAAGTTTAATATGTTGATATGTGAAGAAAATCTTTGAAGGAAATCATGTCATTACTTTCTCATGTCAAAGCTAGGATTGTTGCCTTTTTATTCATTTCTTTTTATCAATGGGATTAAGATCTACATTTAATATAAACAATAAGTTTTTTGAATATAGACATGTTTTGACATCTCATGATGCCATCTTCAGTATGAGTGAAATAGATGATACAAGGTTATAAACTAGTTAGTTAATAATATGCTCGGACGCTCCCCATTAATTTAACTTATTTCCTTTTTATTGTTGTAATTTATGTATCATTACTTTTATATAAACCTTGTATCACCTATTATTTCACTCATACTGAAGACGGCATCATGAGATGTCAAAACATGTCGATTTTCAACAAACTTGTCGTTTATATTAAATGTGCATTGGCAATAGTGCTTTTACGAAATTAAGATCTACATTGACCAATCTTTTGCATTAGCATATCAAACCAACTCTAACCCTGACTGCAGAGAAGTGCAATGGGTAAGCCAAGATTTATCAAGTCACAAGTTTCAGCGCACCCAAATTGTTAAGCGGAAAACAAAAATGTTACTCAAACAAAGGCGCTTGGGCACATTTGTGCCCCTGGTTTGATATTTTCCAACATTCCATCCCCGATAACTTGGCAAAATCGGACATACTCTGTAGTCTGGACTGTCACTGAAGAAATTCTTGTGGTTTTTTATTCATGTTTGTTAACAGACAAAATTTACTTTCCAGCCATGAGTTTTTAAATTGTTTTATTTCATCTCAATTCTTAAATATTGCTACATTGTGACCTGGTTCAAACTCTTGAAAAATTATGGTCAATTGTCAATTTAGTATCAATAATAGCTGTTGGAATTGGGGGACAAATTGTTGTAAGTTTTTATGAAGTGAAGCAAACATGAAAAGTGTTAGTATAATTGAATCACATTAACAACACTAACTATGTAGAATGCCAACACCAAAACAGTGTCGAATTATAAAACAGTGTCACTTTAACAGTGTCAAATTTTGCTACTTTGCTTTGACTGGAACAAAATGTTCATAGTAGCTTTTTGTATGATCAGTCATAATATCCTGTATGCATCCTGGTAACATAGTGGTGAGAGTTCCTGGGGAACCACCATACATTGTGTATGGTGGTACAACAGTTTCTGGTGGAAGTACTGTATTATCTGCAATGGCACAACAGTCTTTGAGGATAGAACGTCGACCAATAACACAGTTCTTTCCAATATGGACATATGATCCAACTTGTGCAGCATTGATAACACAATCTTCTTCAATGAAAACATTATCACCAATATGCAATGGGAAAAATGCAACTCCTTTGCTGAACTTCTTAAATGGCGGCCGTATCACGGATCTTTTACTGATTACACAATTTCTCCCAATCCTGACATTAGCAAGGTCTCCTCGTATGATGCAATCCGACATAATTATCGTTTTTCCATTAAGTACAATATTTTGACTACCACACAAGACTGACTGTCGACTCACTTTATTCCCAGATGCAGTTTCAATGTACTCATCCTTACTGTAATGGATGTCTTTCAGTTCCATTTGAAAAAAATCTTAGTCCTAGAAAAGCAAGACTGTCTAAATGTTTGTCTGTAAAATTATACACACAGTAACGTCAAATAAATATCTAGCCGATCGAAAGTTATACTTATCGTTAATGGTTAAATGACGAATTCTTATAAAATACCTGAATATCTAAATTCTAAAAATTGTATTTTGCGATAAAAATTTTAATTTTTTAAATAATTATAACGATGAGCCCGCAATCACTACATTGCAAACTGTGAGAAGCTTAACTTCATATAAAAAAAATGATGTTTCATAAATTCCCGCCAAAATTAAACTTCTAGGGAAGGGAAGATGGTAAATATGGATGCTGCCAGCAACCAAACTTTAATTCCTGAAAAGAATTCTTGCGAAAGGGTACGATCAGAGGGGATTACAGCTCAAGTAAACGAAAACGAGAGAACAGAGAGGTTGATGATACTGAAAATAGTCAATGAAAACTTCAAATCGTACGCTGGGATACAAGAGCTTGGGCCATTTCATAAGGTGATGAAATGATCAATATTCTGTAGTACATTTTAAAATACTTAACGTAAACTTTTCTTAAAAGAGCATTATCATTTTGAAAATTTTGTAAGCTTAAAAAGATTGTCTTTCCAATTAATGAAATTTCATTGAAAATCAAGTTACTGTTAATGAATCACCAAACAATTGTACAAAACAATTAGGCTACAATCCTACAATACAACCAACTGTGGTACAAAATGACCATAAACCTTGTCAATCAACAGTATTAATGGTACTAATCATCTAAAAAAGTCAAAATACTCCAGTTATTGGTATCAACTATACAGTATTTATTTCTGTACATTGTACCTCTAAACATTGAATCTAGGCAACCTTGATTATGTTATTAATCTCAGTTGGCATAGTCTCCAGAAGCATTTTTTTATGACATGAGCAATAGCAGCAGCTGCTTCTGTGGTTATTTCATGCACTGATTGTTATGTCAGAGATGGCAGTTGTATCTTTGCACTCATATTGCATCATAAAGTGTCAAACTTAGCAGTCATTTTATGCACCAAACACTACATTTTCATGATTTATGTTTATTTATTTATTCAGAATTTCACCTCAATTGTTGGTCCAAATGGTAGTGGTAAATCAAATGTCATTGATGCTATGTTGTTTGTATTTGGTTATCGCTCCAATAAAATCAGGTCAAAGAAGATATCAAATCTGATTCACAATTCGGCAAATCAGCAGAATATTCAAAGCTGCACAGTTTCTGTGTATTTTCAAAAAATAACAGATCTGGTAAAGCTTTCTTTGCTCGATTCATATTTGTTTATTTTTTCTCTCATGAATTAGTAGCTAGCATCACAGATTTCATGAATAGTTTTAATATCTCTCTATAGTCACATTATTATTAGACTCTAATTTCATTTGCAGATCATTTAACAATCCAAAAATATGTAGGTAGTAAAATTTCAAAAACATTTGTGTTTCAACAAAACTACAAAAGGATACTTTAGAAAGCCATCATTTTCAACGGACCAGAAGATACTTTTTTTCTATTTGGTGGTGTTATTTGCTTTTTTTCAAATCTTATTTCTGTTTCTAATGACTGAAAACTTTTCATGATGGATGTTATAGATACTATGGTAAGGTGAATATTCTGGTTGTTAAATTTTCATGTTTTCAGAAAAAGAAACACCCAGTGATGTTAGTTTGTAAGTGGATGATTTTTGCTGGCATCAATTTGATTACTAAAATATCAACAAACACAAACGTAAAGCTTCCTTACATTTTTTACTTAGCTGTCCTTTGCTCGCAGATCAGAGTTGGCGAAATTTGAAAATTGAAATCTACTTTTATTCACCTGAAGTGCTTATATTTTGTTTAGCCTGGCAACGACTATGAAGTTATACCGGACAGTGAGATTGTTGTGTCAAGAACAGCTCGTAAAGACAATACCTCAGACTATTATTTAAATGGTCGAAAGACCCCATTCAAAGAGGTTGCTTCTGTCTTACGTGGATGTGGTATTGATCTGGATCATAATCGCTTCCTTATATTACAGGTAAGGAAGGCTTGTTTCAGTTAACTGGCCAATGTCGCTGTCAAGTAGGTTAATGATTGAAAAATGTTCACCTAATTTTATATAATGATTAGTTTCCCTGGCAGCCCTAATATCTGAATGCAACAGAACATAAATTTAAAAAGAATAATTGTGTTTAGTGAAAAGAAAATTGCCTTGATCTTTCTATATATGTACGTATATGCTCTAGCCTGAGTTACATGTTATGTGTTTGTGCTTTTTTACATTTTGTGCAAAAGGGTGCTTGATACAGAAACAAAATAGCAGTGATGTTCTCTAAAATTCTCAAAAATTTTAACAATAAATTTCTTGCCATTTTCAATGAATATTTACATGTCGTCATATTTGTTTTTCAGTATCTTTAAATGCATTCATAGATTAGATGTAACTGTTAACAAATGGTCACATTGAACATAGGTTCTCGCTACAGAATTCATGGTGAAAGTAAAAATCGAAATTTGACCTCCTTATATATTATAGAATAGGTCTGCTGACTTGCTCACTTGCTCACCTTGACAGCCAGCCATAAACTTCATTTAAAATTGTAGGGTGAAGTTGCTCCCCTTGACAGCCAGCCGTAAACTTCATCATTTAAAATTGTAGGGTGAAGTTGCTCACCTTGACAGCCAGCTGTAAACTTCATCATTTAAAATTGTAGGGTGAAGTTGCTCACCTTGACAGCCAGCCGTAAACTTCATTTAAAATTGTAGGGGGAAGTTGCTCACCTTGACAGACAGCCATAAACTTCATCATTTAAAATTGTAGGGAAGTTGCTCTCCTTGACAGCCAGCCATAAACTTCATCATTTAAAATTGTAGGGTGAAGTTGCTCACCTTGACAGCCAGCCATAAACTTCATCATTTAAAATTGTAGGGTGAAGTTGCTCACCTTGACAGCCAGCCATAAACTTCATCATTTAAAATTGTAGGGGGAAGTTGAACAAATTTCGATGATGAAACCCAAAGCTTCAACAGAACACGAGGAGGGAATGTTAGAGTATTTGGAGGATATCATTGGATCAAGTCGTTATAAACAGCCCATAGAGGATTGTGCAAAATCTGTGGAAGAATTAAACGAAGCTAGAGGAGAAAAGGTTTATGCTTTATTAAATGAAAAAATAGAAATTTCTATGAAGAAAATAATTGGTTTGTTCAACAAATACAACCAGTTTTTCTCAAAATTATTATCTTTGCTTGCATTTTGTTGTAGCATATTTTGCAAAAGAAAATCACGTTTACACAACATATAACGTTGTCTTTGCAGTACCGTCACTTTGGAGAATTGACTATGCTATGCTATGCATTTTATTTTATGTACGTTTACTCGTAGCTAAATCGCGTAAAGGCTGTGGAAAAGGAGAAAAATGAATTAGAGGGCAGTAAAAATGAGGCAGTCGAATATCTGAACATGCAAAACAGCATATGCAATGAAAAAAACAAACTTTATCAAAAAAACATGTAAGTGAAGAGCACAACTTGTGTAATAAATATCGTGATTCGTGTAAGTTTTGCTGTGTCATTTTATACCAAATTCCTGTAATTCGCACATTTTTGTCAGTATGTTTTGCTGTTTGTTGTAGATATGACAGCCATGGTGCAGACACAGAAGCAAAGGAGGAAAGAGACCGAGCTAAGGAAACTTACAGCGAACTTAAAAGGAAAATGGAGGAGTGTACAGGTACACAAATGCATTGTATTTTATACCTTACGATCTGGAGTAGCCATTTTTAATTGCGGTTTACATGCATTTAACTGGTGGTTACTTGTTTTCACTTTCTACGTATCCTGCCCACCGTTAGTTCTCTTTCTTCTGAGTGACAGTTTTTTTCCCTTCATTATTTTTTCTTCCTCTTTGTCATTTTATTGGCTTGTTTTCTTTGGTTCTTTTTTGGTATTACTTTTCTTCTTTGCATGTGTGTTTTGTTCCGGTCGCTGCTCTCGCGAGGAGCGGTGTTATCAGAAGGAGGCGTTTGCTTCATGTATTTGTGTTAAATTCCTATTTTTTAGGGCGGAAAAAAGCCAAAGGCAAAGAACTAAAGAAGCTTTCAATGTATCATTGTCGTTGTTTTATTATGAAATTTACGGTGCATAAGCTATAGTAGCTACAAAATTGCGAATTTTTTTGATTTTTCAGGAGTCAAGAAAAACAGGCTCAAGTCGCTGAAGAAAAAAAAGCGGCTTTCAACGAGTTTGAAAGAAACGACTTGAAATTAAGAGAAGTAAACGTGATTTGGCTTTATCAAATTATCTTTGGTGTCAGTACACATAAATTTTGTTTGAAATACACAGGAATTGAAACATAGAAAAGGCGAAAGTAAGAAAATAGAATCAAATTTAGCAAAAGAAAAGAAAAAGGTTGGTGGACAGTATCTGAAGGTTTTTTATTGAACTACAAGTAATTATACTTCAATAGATCTTTGGGAATTCTATTTTTTGTCCGTCGAGTTCTTAGATTTTTTTACAAATATTTAAGTGTACTTAAATGTGGCTAGAAGAGCCTAATCAAGACACGATTGAAGTTCGTTCTTGACTTCTTGGATATATGTAATCTAAAATTGTATAGGCATCGTTAAATCTAACAACAGCTACTGTTGAGCGACGATAAGGATAGAGTTACTGAGAACAGTAAATCCCAAAAAACGACAGGGTATAACGAAATTGTAGAAAACCCGAAAAAGGAAAAACATGAATCCATCCCATCAATGAAAAACAAAAGATAATGACAATTTTTGAGCTTGTTAGCAACGATTAAGTTTTTACAACAATTACTAGTGAATCGATGATTTCATATATTTATTTCATCAGTTGGAAGTATTGATGGAAGAACCTGGGAAAAATCAAAAGAAGCTCGAAGAACTCGAAGCAAAGAAATTGTCGGTTGAGGTGAGATGGAACTCCCGGTTATTTGAAGCAATTGCAATTGATCATATAACTTTCGTGCAACTGAACTCTTCCTTTTAACTGCAAATAATTGTACTACATAAATTTATGATAATCACTAGGAAAAGAAAAAAGTTGAAGACTCTAAACTGAATGAAATTATGGCAGGTTAGTATAAAGTAAATGATTTGAATCTGGGAGTATCGTTACATGTTCGTAAATGTGGATCGTCCAGGTTGGTATAGTCCTGAGAAGGACTGTTTTTGATGTTGTTGACTGACGTTTCGACAACCTTAGCGGTAGTCATCTTCAGAGTCAAAAAAAAAAGATGACTACCGCTAAGGTTGTCGAAACGTCAGTCAACAATAACAAAAGCAGGTAAGAATGTTGTTTAAAATGCCTCTGACGCATCATTTTTTATTCTTAGAAATAATAAGATTTTTGAAAACCCTGCGGGATTTTCTTTTCAACATTTAACATTACTTCGACATTTAACTTTTTAAGCTTTTGTGGTACGCGAATTAGATAATTTGGATGCTTTCCTGATTTATACTTATTCTTTACTTTCATTTATTCTTAACCAAATTTACAAATTTCCTTTACGTATATCTTGTAAGTGACTAGCTTACTTCAATAACAATCATAACTTTTTGGTAAACATGCGCATGCAGTTTAGTAGGTTAACTAGGAAAATAAAGTATGATTCCAACCAAGATATTAGAGACATTAAAGGTCAACTAGGAAAATAAAGTATGATTCCAACCAAGATAATAGCGACATTAAAGGTTAACTAGGAGAATAAAGTATGATTTCAACCAAGATATTAGAGACATTAAAGGTCAACTAGGAAAATAAAGTATGATTTCAACCAAGATATTAGAGACATTAAAGGTCAACTAGGAAAATAAAGTATGATTTCAACCAAGATATTAGAGACATTAAAGGTCAACTAGGAAAATAAAGTATGATTTCAACCAAGATATTAGAGACATTAAAGGTCAACTAGGAAAATAAAGTATGATTTCAACCAAGATATTAGAGACATTAAAGTTCCCAATTTAAATGTCATCAATGCTTCACGTGCTCAAGAAGTACGTTTACATGGGAATATAAATCATTTTTGCTTCAAAATTGCTCGTATTTTGCATGTTTAGGTTTGAAAGTGGAAACACAAGGTCTTCAGGTTGAAAAAGAGGTATTAGCTGCATTTTATGTGCCTATACATTCTAATATACATCTACCCAACTAGTCATCTCATGTCCGAGAATGGCTTTATTTTGATTGCTTATTTCAAAATCACAATTCAACCTTCTCGATCATTTTTTGTCAACACTTTTCAAATATTTTCCCCTTCAAGACTTTTTTTTAAAAAAGTTTCGTTGCACATTTCATTGTCGTTTTTTCTCCAGGCAAAAGAACGTCAGCTTTTAGAGCTGAGCAAGTCCGTCAACGCAGCTAAATCAAAGGTAAAATGGTTTATTTTCGTATTTCATTTTATCGAGTGAATGAACGTGTTATGTATGCATTATAAACATGGTATCTTTTTGTATTTATGAATGCGTTAGCTTGACGTCGCTATGAGTGAACTGGAAATATACAGTACTCAACAAGATGGCTTAAAAAATCAGATGAAAGAGGCCATGGAAAACCTCAAGAATGGCAAAGAAAAATTGAAAGACTTGAAAAGGTTAACGTGAATCTCTTTGAATTAAATGGATGTATCTACGTTGGTTTGCCAAACAAGGTTTTATTGTTAGACGTGTTTATAATCAATAACGATACTATTTTATGTGATTGTATATTATGTACTTATTATTACGACTGAAAATCTTGATAGTCTACATCCTGGAACATTGTTCTCCAGCATTCCAAAATGCAACGGGCTTTAATGTTGAATCCATAGCAGTATTCTTACTAGGACGTATTTTGTCTTTTATCAGAGACATGGAGACAATAACTAAGGAACTTCCCGAGAACAAAAAACAACTCAGTAAAACTAAAAAGGATTTGGAGAAAGTTGAACACGAAGAAAAGAAACTTTGCGATGAGGTGTGCATGGTTGTTTATGTTAGCAAATTGTAACACAACTATACGTCTGTGAAAGTAACATTTTATTGTTAAAACATTTAAGTTGCGGTTATCTCGTTCAAAAGCCGAAGAAGCAAGAAGTGCACTACATGCTGTTAGTAGTAGGTGGGTACCTATGGCACTAATTTTACAGTGCTTTTGTCTTTTCTTTGATCTCATTCAAATCTTCTGTCCAGTTCATTTTTTGGTTTTTTGTTGCAATCATATATACAGTAGAACGTGTATCAAGCGGTCGTAAGGCAATGTCAAAAAAAATTCATGATATAAATACCGACCTTTATTAAACGGTCACCTCTATTAAGCGGACGCAGCCACCTTTTCCAATGTCCCAAACTTAAATTTTCATTGTTTTGAAAATGTATTAAACGGTCATGTAAGGTAAATACACCACATAATAAAATATATGATTAAATATTTTTTCTAGGTGTCACTTATATTGTATACAAGTCTTTATCTTGTATTTGTCTTCTGCAATCACTCAAAAGTGTCAGCAATATTTTGTGTGGACGTATTACACCAGCAATTTCAATTTTTTTACGTCCCTTCAGCTTTTGACAAGAAAACATATCTCCAAGAAAGGGATATGCGCATGGAATTTATAAGTTATAACCACCTTCTCTGTTGACAGGCTTGCAATTGATTATGTTTCAGCAGTGTGAGCCGTGACATTATTATGTATACTATTTTCTAATTTGAACTAAGATAAAAATTGCTTTGTATAGTGTTTTTGTGGGTTAATTGCCATGTACGTTGATGAACAATACCGATTGGTTCAAATTTAGTTGTATTAAATATTACACGTAGCCCGTCTGGTGATTTTCCCGACGATCTGTATTAAGCGGTCACACGAAAAATCCCCAAAGGTGACCGCTTAATACAGGCTCTGCTGTAGTTCTTTGTCTACGTCCCTTTGAGCTTAAGACACCATTGTTTTTTTTAGGAAGGGTTACGTATTTACGTATACGTCCCCGAATTTAAGACGCCTTTTTTGGGAAGGTATACGTAGTTTGCTTTGCCGAACGCTATGTCTACGGAACTTCGTTAGCTTAGGGATCTTGTAACGCTTTCAAACTTTTAATGGTTATTTTCAATGCGGGAAATACCGACTACGAATAATTCAAATCGTGCGTTAATGCCAACATGATATTAGATAAAGTTTAATCCATTGTAATCCATTGTAAAATGACGCAGAATATACTTAACGTTATAGACATCAAGTAGGACTTTCACCAAACTATCCAAAATGTTAATATATTTGTACAATCAGGTTGATAAATTTGAACGTGCTCATTAAAAAACTCGGATTAGCTAGCCAGCCAAACATTGAAGGCATTTGAAAGGCATTCTCAATTTTGTTGCATAGCACTTAATGATCGAATTTTATACGTACAAACTTGGTAATATGTTGTAACATCAAAATTTTACCGATTTAAAAATCTAGAGGAAAGGTTCTAGAAGCCTTGTTGAAGGAAAAGCAATCAGGAAATTTGAAAGGAGTGTACGGAAGATTGGTAAGAATCGTAAGACATGTTTACTTGTGTACTTGGTATAGCATTACCTTGTACAGTGGTAGCCCGATATTTTGGACTTTTCTTTTTTCCTTGTGGACATCGAAATAGTGCGGTGTGACTGTACCTATTATGAATTGATGATGACTACTCCTTTTTGTCGTCGTGCTTTTCGGAATTACCATGAACTGTGTAGTAGCAGTAACAATGAGCTGAAGCATGTCTGAGTGCTGTCGTTTTTTAGGGTGATCTAGGTGCGATTGATGATAAATATGACGTTGCAATAAGCACTGCTTGTGGACCTCTAGATAACATTGTATGCGATACGATTGATATTGCTCAAAAATGCGTCAACTTTTTGAAAAGAAACAACATTGGCTCGGCCACATTCATTGCTTTGGACAAGGTGCGTAAATAAATAAATATATACATTATTTGATGCCGTATGATGTTTCTCGGAATCCAAGAAAGTTTCTTTTTCTGTTGTTTTCTCCTTTGATGTTTTTCATCACCAAAATCCATGATGAACCTTTTTTTGTCACATTTACAGATGGAGCATTGGAGAAAGAATGCCACGAGTACAATTAAAACGTATGACTAAGCATGATCAAATATCGTAAATGATCTAACACCTATCAAACACACGGCTCGTATCTAATAAACGCCCCTCCCCAGCACTCGTCTTCTACCCCTATCCCTAATAGACACCCTTCACAATTCAATTATCATAACATTATAATAGTGGTCGTCGGTTAAGGAACCATAAATTTGATCTTAGTGTGTGTTCACCCAAATGCGACAGAAATGATGACGTAAACGCCTCGTGTCTGCACCTCCTCCCCCCTCCCATAGAACCGATTTTTGTAGTTAATTCAACACCCCGGACGTTTGTTAGATCATTTAAGGTAAGAATGAAAATGAGATGTTGATGGTTACCCAATTTTTTTTACTATAGACCAGAAAATGTTGCCAGGTTGTTTGATTTAGTGAAATTGAAAAACGACAAATTAAAAACGGCATTTTATTTCGCCTTACGAGATACTCTTGTTAGTAAAGATCTTGAGCAAGCTACTCGTATTTCAGATAAGGTATTTTTTTGCTTTTATTCCGTCTGTGTTGAATGGAGAATGCGTTTTTATGAAGGATGGATGATTTTTACAGGGCGGCAAGAGATGGCGTGTTGTGTCCCTGGCAGGAGAACTTGTTGAACAATCAGGTTACTGGCTGATCATATCGTATGGTATATGTAGCTACATATCACGGGCCGGTAATTTAATGTAAGAATGTTGTAGGCCATCAGATCTCACCGTTAATTGTAATTGCGATATCTTAAAATCGACGATGTAGAGTGCGTTTTGCGAAGTAATGTACATAGGACTGCGAGGCAATTGATATTCTAAAAATGAAGGGGGTGTCCCATAATGCATGTTGTTTATTAGCTTTAGTTTGGGTTGATGTCAATTCTTCAGAGAATACTGTAGTTTTGTTTACACAGTATTTTGCAAGTTCCATTTTACTTTCATTCTTGCAAGTAGAAAATATATATTTCTTGATTCGAAATCGTTGTCGACATTTGTATGTGAACACTTTCAACCTCCGGAGAACCCGCAATTTTTTTTGAAAATCGTCAAATATATCATATGATCCTTTCCCTTTGGGAACTCGATTATTTATTTACGTATGTATAATATTTACTTTGTCATGTAAGGGGCGATGACTGGTGGGGGCACTAAAGTCAGTCGCGGAAGAATGGGATCAAGTGTTGTACAGAACGTCACTCCACAAGAACTTAAAGAACTTGAGAAGAAACTTGAAGCGCAAACACATCGGCTTGAGGTTTTTAATACTACAAACATTGTCAAGACACCATTTAGTTTCCTGGCATGATTAACCTTAGGAATTACTTACAGACCTTTTTTGTACATCAAATTAGGAATGCCGAAGCTCAAAAAAGAGTTTGGAAGAAGCCCAGGACGATTTGATAAAGACTGTTACATCACAAGAGCATCAACTTCAGAAAAACAAATTGGAAGTTCAAGTAAGTTGAATGACGACTGGCTAAAATATAGCGTGTATTACAACGTATATGGTGTTGGGGGTAGAACTTCCAGTAAAGGTCAAGAAGCCAAGGCTCATCGAAAGTTGATTTAAAGACAACGCTCATTTCATCGACAAATTATAAAATTATTCATCGTTGTTGTTACTCAATACGACGCATGCAATCACTATACATAGGCGCTGACTGAACAAGAAAGAGTTTTGAATGATCAAATTAAGAATCTTCAGATTCAGTTAGAACAAACAGTGCCAGATCAAAATCACCTCCAAAAACTGGAAACGAAAGTGAAAGAGAGCGAAAAAGGTACGAAATGTTGTATGAAACTGTTTACATCATTTCTATATAATTGAAAAAGGCGGACATGTTACTCCATATTCGTAACCTGTTTTAAAATATGGAATGCGACAGTTTTAACGGATTTTTTTTTTCACAACTATAATTTTCATATTTAGAATGGAAAAAAGAATCATCCGTATCTACAAAAGTTGAAGCTGAAATACAAAGGTATGAGATAACGGATAAAAATATAAATGCGCTAAAAGAAGATAAATACAACAAAAATAGCCATGCATTGTGGTTGGTTGCATCAAACATTAATGGCCAGTTGCTTGGCTTCAAAGTCGATTACTCTGTAAATTCTAGAATATTTTTATCATTTCTGTACAGATCAGTGTTATATCCTATGTAACATTCTAATCTATCAATTTTTTATTTAGTTTGCATAAGCAAATAATGGATATCGGTGGCTCAAAACTGAAGGCACAGCAGGCAAGCATCAATTGGTGTCTATAAAAATATCTGGTGTCAGTGTTAATAAATAGATTTGATGGTTACGAATCCTTGTGAGAACACATGTTCTTTAGTTTATACTAATAAAATTGGTTTCTATGAGATTGATGTATTTTCAAAATTTATGTTCTCCTTTGAAGAGCATGTGCGACATGTTAAAGACGGTTTCATCGTTTCAGACATCCAAAATTTGAGTATGCGACAATTTATCACAAAAAGTAAGTTATAAACTGTTTTTCTTTTCAGGCAAAAGTGGACATATTTAGTAAAGGGATTGATGAAATTACTCGGGAAATAACTAAAACAAACGTTGCTTTAAAGTCATCAAACAGGTGCGATTCTTTTACCTTTGATCACATTTACGATGATTCTTTGACATTGGTTACATGCACATTAATGCCTCCAAAAGTTCAATTCGATATACTGTTGTATGCTGGATGTTCTCATGATATAGACATTGTTATCTATTATTCTCAATTCTTTAGAAATATTGCTAAATCGGAAGAGAAAATTCTATCCCTTGAAAAGGAAATTCAAGAAAATAAAGACGCTATTGAAGCACTGCAGGTGTGGTTTTTTGTTGTCTGTTTTTTCAAGGACATTTACTGCTACACTCAATCTCATTTTTTTTCTTTTTGACGTTGGCTTTACGTACAAAGAAATTGCTGTCAACGTTGTTAGTTTTTTGTCTTTAGAAAGAATTCAATGAACTTGATCAAAATGCGGCAAAGGTCTTCGCTGATTTTAATGAAGCGCAGGTAATATTCTCTCAATCATGTTTCAGATTACATCTCACCGACTATATATATATATATATATATATATATATATATATATATATAAAAGATAAAAGTTTCTCCGGATATCGTTTTATCTTTTATGTATTAAATGCCTGGATTACAAATTTTCAAACTTATATATATATATGTATAGCTATAGTCGTGAGTTGTAATCTGACATGGTTGAGAGAATTTTTACATTCAACTACGAGGGCGAATGACGATAGATTGTAGCTAAAATTGAAAATCTGGGATTTATTATTACTTTTAGAAACAAATGAAGGAATGTGTGGAAACGTTATCGTCATTGAGAAAGGAATACGAACAGGTGGAAGAGGAATATAATAAAATGAAGAGCGAGGAGGTCGATATAAAAAATTATTTGGAGAAATGTGATTCTCACGTGAAAGAAAATGACGCTAAAATTAGACATTGGAAAAATCAGGTGATTGATTGGTACAAGATAGATCGTACTTTTTGCTGTTACAATTTTTACTTTGTTGTTTACATTTTTGCTTGACGTAGTAATCTTGGAAATTTGAAAATCACCCTCCTTTAATTTGGTTGGATTATTTTAATTTAGATCAGTAAACTAGAAATTCAGTCAGTTGGTTTGAACAATGAAGATGAACAGACATTGCCTACGTTCAATGAAAACGAGCTGCAAAATTTTGATAAGACCGCCATTAAGGTAGGTAGTGGTTTCTAGGTTTTCCTTCTTTATCCATTGACAGCAGCTTCACTTACCATCTTCATCCATTTGTTGGGATGTTCACATGCCTTTGTATTGCTGAAATGTATGTTTAACTTTGGTGAATATCGATGAGGAAGCCTCGCTAAGTTTTATGAAACAAGAGCGTTGTTTTTGTAACAGAATGAAATCGAAGCTTTGGAAGAAAGGTTGCGTGAGATGACACCAAACATGGCAGCCATTGAGGAATATCGTAAAAAGGTTCGTTAGATAACTTGCATCATTTAATTATATTCATTATAATTATATAATTCTGAATTTTGTATTTACTACTGTTATCTGCTATGTTGATTGACTCTCATTAAAAAAAGTGCTACAGTATTAAAAGAATTAAGAAAACCCTGCAAAATGGCGGTAATTTTCATTCACAGGAAATTTTTCCTAAACCTAATTATTGTGTTCTATAAAATCAATAATGGGTTTTCATTCTCTATCCCCGAGTGGAGCTTTCACTTTACCATTACTGTAATTCAACGTGTGAATTACGTAAATTCCATGATAAATAACAATGTTGGATTTTGGAAAAAAGAATTTCCTGTGATTTAGGAAGAGCAGTACCTACAACGTGTGAACGAGCTTGACGAGATCACCGAACAACGTGACAACAAGCGAAAGGAGTATGAAACTTTGAGAACGAAGAGATTGAACCAGTTTATGGAAGGATTTTTGACTATCACGATGAAGTTAAAGGAAATGTATCAGGTATTTTTTTCTCGTAGTCCTTACACCATGAGAAGAAGAAAAACTCGCGCTACCTTTGCCACTTCTGGTTGGTTTATCCTGGAATCTCCTTTTTTGACAGTAGTTTACATAGTTCAGATTTGACCTGAACTTTGGCAATTGTGACCATTATTATTCTGTTCCTGATATAATAATCAATTGAGAATGTCAGGAGTTATTCGTTGATCTGTGTTATCTAAGCAATAACTTGCATGCACTTTCATTGCTCGTAAATGTATAGCTACTTTAAAAATACTAAGTTTAATTATATTGTCATTGCATGCATCCTTTAGATGATCACTCTCGGTGGTGATGCGGAGTTGGAACTTGTTGATAGCTTGGATCCTTTTACTGAAGGTGTCGTCTTTAGCGTCAGACCACCAAAAAAAACATGGAAAAACATCTCGAATCTTTCTGGTGGAGAAAAAACACTCAGCTCGTTAGCTCTCGTTAGTATGAAAATTAACGCCGAATGCATTCACATGAATTGTTTTCTTTTACGATGTTTGAAAAATATTTTAATCCCTCAAATTATCGCTAGATTTTTGTTATATTTATATATTGTATAGCTTAATATATTTGCTAACAAATTTAGGTTTTTATGGTATTGTTTCAGGTGTTTGCTCTTCATCACTTCAAACCTACACCATTGTACGTGATGGATGAGATAGACGCAGCTCTTGATTTTCGGAATGTTTCCATTGTTGCTCATTATATCAAAGTAAGTACTGACGTTATTTTTAATTATTTCGTCACATCGATATCGTTATTGTGCGATTTAGACTTTCAAGTTGTTTTGGAAGCTTGGTTAATTTGATTACATTACAATAGTCAGGCATTGAATTGCGTTTCCACTATTCAGGAGCGAACTAAGAATGCACAATTCATAATCATCAGTTTGAGAAACAACATGTTTGAACTGGCAGATCGTCTTGTTGGTATATACAAAACTCATGACTGTACAAAGAGTGTGACCATCAATCCATCCTTAGTTGCTTCTAAATGCTCAATGGTTCAAGCTGAGACATAAAAAACAACAAAAAGATAAGTTTTTCATTTAATATCTCATTGTATATGGTGGTATATCATTTAGTGGTGTGGTAGCAAATATATATATATTTACATATATGTATGGTATGTGCAATGGTTTGTGGAAGGACGAAGCATGTAGTATAAAAATTGGAAGGTATCACACCATGCTGGTACAATACATTACAAAAACAAATTTTTGTTTTGTGACATCTTCTCTTTGCTTCCTGTAAAAACAGCTTGGCTTTGAAATGATTGAAAAAAGTTTGTTAAAAAGGTTTTTTTAGAAAATCTAGAGATGTCACAAAAGACAACATATTGCTAAAGGCAAAACTTCACCCGACAGGCTTGGCATGTGTAAAAGATTATTTAGTAATTTCACTCAGATCATTTACATCTGTTTCCTACTTTCCTCATTCAAAAATTGCTTAAAGTTCATGAATTCCTTTGACTCAAAATTATGCTACTTGCAGTCAACTGTACTAAACTTGTATTAGTGAGATTATCATAGAGGTGATCAGCATTTTTTGTGAGTTTAATTTAGTGGTGACTTTTCTCTTTTTGTAAAATACTTAAAACCTTCAAGGCCTAAACTTTTAGTTATAATGGGTTTCAAATTTAGAGATTTTCTAGAGACTCTGAGGATTGCAAAGCGATATAAATATATTACCAAACTAATAAATGTGGAATATGAAATTTTTAAAAGACATATAAAAGCATCCAATATATTTACAAATAATAAATACCATTATAATTAACATAAAATTACCTCTTCCGTGTACCCTAATTCTATATACAATATCTACATAAAATATGTTACATTGTTTCACGTGCCTATTTCCATTTCAGTTAGCTTTGAGTATTGCCATTGTGGCAAGACCTAAAGATAAAAAATAGATGATGGTAATATGAAAAACAACCTCAACAAAATAATAAATTACTCTAAGCACTTTAAAGATTACAAAATGTGTGTCACTTCATTTACAAATAGAGTAATGTGAAAAGATCTAAAAAACATCAAAGATATACCTAATATGTAAGCTGCAATCAACTTTTGATTGATAGTTAAATGTAAATAGAATGGCATTGATGATATTTCACCAACAGTTGGTAACACAAGAGCAATAAGACATATTGCACATAAAATTATGATCAATGCACTAGGACCACTTCTCACTTCAGAATGAACTAAAATATATAATTATTGTGTTGTGAGTTAGAGCTAAGCAGTACTGGTATGTTAAAAACCAATTTCACGTTTTTTTACCTTTAAAATCTTGATGACTTCTCAAAGATTTTTTAGCTGAATTGGCTGGAAATTTTTTCTGAAAACCACAGAAATGATGATTCTATCAAGTCATGTGTTGAGTTTAGAATATTTATGTTAATATCATATAACTACAATCATAATCATAGAAGTAAAATGGTATGGTTAGTCTTTAAAATCCAGATCAAAATAAATGACAAACTTATAAGATTGGCTGTGCAGGATATTAGTGGTATAAAAACAGTCTAATATTTTTTCTTTGAGAAAAATCAGTACTTTTGTTTTCAAATAATAATCGTTTTTACATTACACATACTTAAACATTTGCAACTAAGACGTCAGACTTGTTAAATTACTACAATGCATAAAAATGTTTACCTTATCTATATTTTCCTTTTTATTCACCACTGAAGCTGCAATCACTTTTTCTCCTATGCGCTTTTGTATTCCATGCTCAAATAAGCACAGGCGAAATTTGTCAGTTCTTTCTGTGTGATTTTTTATTTCCAGACAACGTATTACACTAAAATGTAAGTTGAAAGAAAAAATGAAACATGTAATTACATCCAGAAATGATTAATAGGCATGTTGATCTTCAAAACAACTTACATGTCAACACAACAGTGTGGTTTGATGACTCCTTGAGCTTCTGTTACTTTGTATAAACGAGGTGCTGTTCCAAACACTGAATTTAAGCAAAGTAATTGTCATTGATGTTTATGATATATAACCACATAAAACAAAATTGTCCAGGAAGGTCATCACAGATCATACTGTTAAAAAAACTTACCTTTATATTCTACAGAAAATGTGTAGGGGTTGTAAACGGTTAGAACTTCCTTGAATGTGGATTGGTCATCAGCAAAGAATGTTAGTGACTCCGGAAATACAAACACTGGTAGCCTACCATCTTTTAAATGTGATGACTTCATACAACTGAAAATTTTGATTGAAACATAAAAGAGATCGTACAGTGGACGTGTCGATGTTTGAAGTCAAATTCTGTTGGGTTTTATTCTTATTAAACATTTTCAAATCATAGCTGTCGATGCACGTAGCTCTATAGCAGTTTTTGAATTTCACACATTTTTTTGAACAAAACTTTTGGTCTATCCAACATCATCGACATTACACTGAGGACAATGAAAAATAGACCAAAATTTAATACCATTTATGGAAAAAAAAATTAATTAAAATCATATTCTCCTTTGACATTCAAATAACCATTTAACTTACTGCCTATTGTCTATTATTTGATCTCTCAAGAGTCCTTGGCTGATGTGTCTTTGCAATGACGAGATTCTTCACTTATCATGCAAGAAACCGATTCGCTCGGTGTCAGTGATATTGACGTTTATAATTTTCAAATTTACAGTCTACACCATTGTCTACACTTCAAAATTACTAATCGAAGGCTCCAAAACAAATGATTGCACAATAAGGCAAGCGCGCAAGGCATGCCGGAATTTGGCATCATAATTTCGATTTTCGACGTATTCAAATTACAGTCAAAGAACATCGCTGATTGGCAATTTGATTCGGAGAATTTTGTTATCTATCAACCAGCAAATAGATAATTGTTATACTTTGGCTCTATGATTTCTCAGTATTAAATACATAAACAATTAATACTTTGTAGATTGTAAACACAAAGTAAACAAAACATTCAATCATTCGACTTTAGACGACTACGCCTAAGTCATCTTCAGTGGTAAAAGTAAATATTTCTTTCCAGAATGTCTGTTTTTATGAGAGTACATATAACTGTTATACGCCATGCTTCTATTTTCAGTGAATGCAGGAGTTCCACCAAGAATTTCCTGACATAAGGGCAATGACTTCATTGATTTCTTTCTAGAATGTCTGTTTTTATGGCAGTATATATAACTGTTATACGCCATGCTTCTATTTTCAATGAACGCAGGAGTTCCACCAAGAATTTCCTGACATAAGGGCACTGACTTCATTGATTTCTTTCTAGAATGTTTGTTTTTTATGGGAGTATATATAACTGTTATACGCCATGCTTCTATTTTCAGTGAACGCAGGAGTTCCACCAAGAATTTCCTGACATAAGGGCACTGACTTCATTGATTTCTTTCTAGAATGTTTGTTTTTTATGGGAGTATATATAACTGTTATACGCCATGCTTCTATTTTTGGTGAATGCAGGAGTTCCACCAAGAATTTCCTGACATAGAGGCACTTACTTCAGTGATTTCTTTCTAGAATGTCTGTTTTTATGGGAGTATATATAACTGTTATACGCCATGCTTCTATTTTTGGTGAATGCAGGAGTTCCACAATGAGTTTCCTGACATAGGGGTTAACTAAGGTCCGCCACAGGGGGACTTGGCTCATTTGACCACACACAAAGTTGGTTCTTTAAAATTATCAATCCCTGCTTAAAGGATATCAGTAAAGCATAGTTGGTTTAGGAAATAATAATTTATATCTATAAAATTTATCAACATGGTGTACTTGAAGTAATAGATTATCTGTTAGCACGTAAGACGTACGATGTGCAACTGTCCTTAAATTTTGAAAACTTTGCAAAACTTGGGAAAAATAGTCAAGGAAATAGGGAAAATTGTGCATAAAGTCATGTATTTCTTCATGAGACTAAATATGGCGTATAGACGTATAAAAATACGAAATGTGTTTGTGAAAAAAGGTTACACGGCCAATTGATAATACAAATCTGCATGGGATTAAAAATTCCTACAAAGGCTTTTAGAACAGTTTGAAATTTGGGCAAGTAAACCACTACCCTCTATAAACTTAAAGCTCCCGTACGCCTATGGTTGTTAAGGCCGTAATCATCATTACTATTTTTAGGACAGAAATGTTACTTCTTAATTTGTTGAGCGGCATATAGGGCTGCATATTCCTTGATTATGTAAACTAATAAAATATTTCAAAAGTGATCATTTCTTTTTTAAAATTGAAAATTTTGAAGTCATTGTTTGCCAACTTCGGCGAAATGCAATTTTTTAGATAGTCATATCAAACTTGTATCTCCTTCTCGGCCTGAGCAGATAAAAAATGTGCAGACGTTTTGCACTTTAAAGTCGCTTGACGAAAACTTCAGTTGCGAAGAGATGAAAACTGTTTTCTATGGTGTCGAATCAATACTAGGATTTCAAGTTGTGGATTGTTTTGGTAATTTTATTTAAGAGAACGAAGAGAATAACAGAGGTTTTTATGTTCAGTTGCGGTACTCGGAAATTTTGTGTTTCGTGCGTTTACACCTACATCGATTAACGTGCACGAATTCCACATAAGCCTTCTTGATGATAAATCTAATGAAGTTTCTAGTGCTATCAAAACTTTCAAAGTCATTCATCCACCGTGTTCTCCTTCCATCACATTGAGTTATCTTGACCCGCCAAAGTTTTGCAAAGCAGCTACTATTTGATGTCGTGGTGTTTAATATTTTTGGTGACCTATTGCCTTCAAATTTTTACGAGGCCTGCAAAATCAGTATGGGGAAGGTCGATCAATCGTATGGAAGAAATAGCGAAGCTGAAGATGATAGAATTTTAGTGCACGACAAAGATTTATGAAGTCATTTATGTGAAGAAGACGAAATTTCCTGTAGTTTGGCCGGCAGAGTTTTTGAAGTGTTCGTTGAAACGGAAAGTTATAGCATTGTGAAAGATATATTTTTAGAAGTTTTGCCATCAAGCCTCCATCATTTAGGAGACGTCAAATTTAGCATTGAAGCCACTTTAAAAGATGCTACTTTTTGTCCAGATTCTTCCAAGTTATACAGAGGTCATGGGTCGAAGTTAGAAGCAATATTGTCCGATCGTTTTGGCAACCCTATCGAAGCTTGTTTCAGTGATAGTTTTGACATTCAATTAAAACTGTTTGGCGACCAACAAGAAGAGCATTTTATCTGATAATGTGCTCTTAAATGGGAAAATATTTCGAGCGGATTGAAAGTTGAAAGCGTTGGGATATATTTGCTATCAATTGCTGTCGTAAGAGAAAGTGAAAACATCGTTTGAATGACGTCAAAGTAGTTGTAGACGATGCACCGATTCATTTGGAGAGCCTAAAACTCCGTCGACCTATAACTATCGTTGCAAGCACCAGCTTTTACGTTGAAATCGTTCCGTCTGATGTGTTTGGTTCCCTCTTGTTTCCAAAGTCAACCAACAGCATTGAACACCTCGAGGGGAATATTCAAGACTCATGTGATGACGAAGAAATCACAGATATCAAGTTGTGAAAAAGGAATCAAACATTGTAATTGTTGGTTCAGTTCGTCTCACGAAAGATTGACGATAAATTCAACTTTCCTGATTGCAGATGAAAAAGGAAAGTCGAAAATGTTCAATATTTGCGTGTATCCTGATGTCAATAATGCTCAGTGGAAAGTTGATAAAGTAAAAGAAAGTGCATCTAAAAGAGAGGAATTGTCTCTTACCGTTTGCCTTGTAGATTGTTGGAACAACGAAGTCCAAATCAATACTCCTATTCCAGAATTGGTCAACGCTGGTGGTCCTGATGGTCTTACGGCGCATGTGTACACTCCATATTAGTGATGCCAAAGTTGAAATTCGATTTTCTTTAGAACGAGCAGGAAAATATAACTTTTATCTCACCTCTACCGAAAGCAAAATTGAAATCATTTTTGTCAATTTCAGTTAAGGATGCTCCCATAGATTATATGAAGTCGTAACTTGAACGGTTACCAACGCACAATGTTTGTCCAGAACATCCTGTTTTTTTCGATGATGATTTATTCCAATGCTGCTTAATGTTGAAAAACGTTGTAGGATTTGCTTACGACCAGGAGATTGAGCTTGATCAGATCATAATTCAATATAATAACGAAAAAGTGCAAAATGTAAGTGTGTCTAAGCAAAATGAGGCTGGATCTTTCAAAATTACCGTTCCACTGATGAATCTCACAAACGATGATTCATTTCCAGAATTTTGGTGTTTAGTAAACGGTGAAAAAATCAACAAACCTTTAGCATTGGAAACTTTTGAAGCTTTTGCGAAATACAACGACGACGAAAATTGTATTCTATTTGAAGATTCAGACGTTGTAGAGCTTGAATGCCATGTTATACCGGAACATGAAATTAAAGGAAGCGATTATTCTCATCTTAATAACAACAAAAGAGTTTGTGAATTCGATGAAGATCCTGTAATCTATGGCCTCGATAATGATGAAGAAAATGACGAGGATTTTGTTACGGTAATCACACCTCCCGTACAAAGAAGTGGTGGAGATAAAGCGTGAACATGACATGAATATTCCAACAAATAAGAAAAATTTCGAAGTATTGTGTTACATCTTCTTCGTGCGATATACTATCGCAAAGAAGCTTTTTAACTAGATAAAGAACGGGGGAAATGGAAAGAAAAAGCAGAAAGAAGTTATGCTGATCTCAAAAGAGGGAAAAACGTCAACAAGGACTTGCCACGTATTTGCAGTAACATAAAGAAAAAGTTCGCTTTATTGATGGAAAGTTATCACGAAGCCGCTTGCGAGGAGTTTTTTAAGGCAGAAAGAAGTCAAATTGCAATCGATCTCAATGGATTGTTGATTGCTGATGAGACGAAACTTCGAAAATATAAAAACCAAATGCGTTCTAGAAATTTGAGTGACGCAAAATTTCTAAAACAATCAAAGACGAGCGAGAAAAAGGCGATGAGGCTATAAGGTATTTGTTCTTGACTGAGAACTTCGAATATAGGAGTTTTTTGGCGAAGTTTTGTTTAACTTTTCCGTCCTTTTTCCACTGGATAAAAATACATTTTCTTCTATCAAAACTGTTTGCTAGTATATTTAGGAAACTGGAAGAGAGAATTGACGCTTTTGACTTACAAAAAGCCAGGAAGGAAGACGAACCGTGGCTTGAGATCATAGTCTGCCCAGGACATCACTCCAAAGTTAGAGAAAGGCAAAAGATTCGACCTAAGGTAAAGTTGATTAAAATATAAGTTGTTATGAACTTATTTATGACTAAATTTTACCATTTATTTTTTATATTTAATCGATATTTTATTCGTAGTCATTTTCTTACAAGTATTGCGTGTGAATGATCGAATTAATAAGATGTACGAGAGCAACATCGTTCTATTTATGTTTCGAAGTTATATCTCATAAGCAACGACCTCGAAAGTTCTTATTATAGTATATTTTTGCATATGTTTGAGAAAATTGTGAATTCATAATTCATCAAATGGAATATCGTATTGAGGGACACAAGTCCTTGTTTGTGGAATTCGACATCATGTTAATTCTCTCGTACATAACGTGTATACTGCCTTAGTATAGATTTTCTCGACGTTCGGTCTAATTAATTTCTTAAATTTTAATACTTTTAAAAGGTTGAGAAATTTTTGAGAAACAGAGGTTTAGAATTTCGTCCAGTCCATAAAGGTGCGTTGGTGGTCACATTTGAGAAATATTCCGGAAGAGAGTCGTATTTTCGTGAATATTATTGCGAGAAATGCAATAACAGATGGCGAAATTGTCGAAGTTGGATCGATAAATGGCAAGCATGTTACAAATGTTTTAAAAAAGAGCCTGTACCGTTAGTTAAATGTTACCCTCGAAAACAACGTCCGTGCAGAAGAGTTCAAAATTATTTTAGAAAGACCTATAACTAATATAGCCTACCAAGAACCCATTCCTCATCTTGAAGAACTTTGCCAAAAATTCATAGAGCTTCAGGGGCCATGTAATGAGTTTTAGCTACAGTTACCAAACTACATGCAGTTGTTGTTTCATTCTTAGAAAACTATCTAATTAGCAAAATAACTAGTGATTATGAAAGGGGTAGAAAAATCTTACAACCATTTTTTTAACAAAGTTAATAGCACTACATAAGCAAGGTGAGTTTACTCGTTTGCTCCAATTCTTTTTTGTTCAATTATAATTGTGTTAAGTTTACGAAATAAGAACTTTTATTGTTAATGTTTGTTTCATCCTTCCTTTCAGAGACAATAACTGAACATTTGAAATTTACATTAATACAGAGCACTTGAGCATTTATGATCCTGCTTAAACTATAGTGATGTTGATCAGGATATTCAACTTACTTTATTCACAAGGGCCTTAACATTTTAAATTTTAACATTTTTCATTTTGGCCAGGTGCGCATTGATTTTTTCTAGAACTCTGGGTATGTATGAAATATGTTTTAAATATAACTACAGTATGCAATTAACTGCAAAATTGTTGCAAAATTATGTATGCAATATGGTAATCGGACAAAAACATTATGAAAGGCAAAAATATGAACCAGTAAGGTATCCTAGGATGGTGGATTATCAATTTCAATATATTATTTAAAGTCAATAAAAAGGTCTTTTACTCGGTCATCACATTTTTCATCATAACTTTTCCTCGATGGTGAAATGAGTAGAAAGACTGTCTATTTCCCACTGTTTCCCAACTTCTAAAAACAAAAGTTTGTGGCTAAATGTTTCAATAAAAAACAGTTTTTAAACAACAAATAAATAAATAAGTTATTTGACTTACTTATTAACTAAATCAGCAGATGCTTTAATTTCCTTGAACGCTCCAGCCATATTGACTGCACCAATTGATCCGAGTATGAGACCAAAAACACATTGTAACACAATCTATTATGCAAATCAAATTTCAGAGTCGAAGTTAAATTCTAATTGAGCTGCCTTAAAAGTTGATACATTGCACCTACATCTTTTGGCAGAGATGTGAATTCTTCTTCAATAAGCTTCAAATAAGTTCTATCTGATTGGTAAAACAATAGCATGTGTCATACAAGAGCTACATTTTCATTTTAAACGGTATAATCCTAAAGCCTTAGATTCTATCAAATAGCTTAGACATAAATAAAGAACGTAATGGCCCCAGAATATCATATTGACAATGTTTTCGTATGCATATTGATATTGTTAGCATTTCAGTAAAATAATATTCATTATTTGCTGAAGAAAATTGCTGCTTTAAAACTCACATTGCTCCGACGAATATCCAGCATGGATGATAGTGATTAGTCCGACAAATACTAGTAACTTGCCTAAAACACCCATTAGTAACCACAAACAATAGCAAATTTCTTCGATTTTCCAAATTACAAATATTAACCCAGGTTAGTAAGTTATATCAGGAACATCTTTTCAACGAAATCTTCTACTCCTCTATCTCATCGCCAATTGTTTATTAATTTATGTATAGAGATCAGTGGAGCCGGATCAGCCGATAAGCCAAACTGAATTTCATAAACAATACACATCTTCAACGAGTAAATTCCTGTTTGAATAAAAATGTAATCACTTTTCCTAGAAAATTTTTGCTTAGTCTTTTGGAAGGTGTTAATGTCAAAGTAAATACAACAGTGGATCCGACCAGTTCAAACTTTACAGCCGTAGTATCAGTCACGTGGGGGGATGAAGATGAAGATCATTATGAAGCATCTCGTTCACCACGAGATAAGTTTATTAAGTGCAAAGTCTATTTACTCGCGAAGGGCTGCAAAACTTGTATGTATAGGTGCATTCTAGAAATATTTAGCAACATTGAAAATGAAAATGCAAGAAAAATTAGGGAAGAAGTTCAGATCTGTCTCATTATTTGAATGGATGTTAGGAATTAGCTGGATAGTATCTCACGGGGTAATTTTCGTTATTTCACAATTCTTTATTGTGTATACCACTGATGAATTTCATAGATCTAAATTCCAGCTCATTATTGGACATTGCAGCTTTAAGTGTGTGACACTGAGAACAGCAATTTACCAAAATATTCATTGGAAATTGCTTCAATTGCCTTGTTTGTTCAACAATCTGGGGTGACAGCTGTTGCCCTTTCGCCCAGTTTTATATTTACTGGACTTGCTACTTTTTTAAGCTATCTGCTTTTTGAATCATTCAACTACTCGTATTATATCCTTTATAAGGCAATTTTTTTAAGAAAAAGAGACCATAGAAATACAACTAATTATTTTATCATTTCTATTTGAGGTGCTATCATTTTTTCCTAAAGTATTGCCTTGTCAGCAACTTGGTGAAATGGGTGATGTTTTTTGTTATTATGTCAAGGAATACAATTATCTTATAAAAGTAGTGTAAGTTGGCTTATGAGCTATGATTACATATTTTAAATTCTTTCTAATTTCATTATTTGAATGACAAAGTATATTTTTGATGTGATTGTACCCAAATTTTGCATTTCTTCTGTTTGGTATTGAGTCTGTGGCCTGTGGGTGGCAATCAACTTGATGTTTGTGATTTTCTTTACAGCTACATTGCAGTGATTGCCATACATGTGTTGGAGAGTTTATATTCATGGGTGCTGAGCAGGTTATTTTTAAGCCTTATTATTCTAGTTTTAAAATGCTAAATTAGTAATTCTAAGTATCCTGATGCAGATATTTCCCATTTCTTCGTTTTTGCTGTCATCCCATCACTATTCCTCTTAATAAACTAACAGTGTGCATTTCATTTATTTATATCATTGTTTTTCACGAAGATCATCAATATTTTATTTAGCAATTTGGGATGTAGCCTATGGGATCAAATGAAGTGGTTCTTGCAGACTTTTATTGTTGGATATTTTTCCCTATCAATTATCCGAAAAATGAATAATGAGCAAATGAAACGAAAGCATTGAATGTATTTGACTCACTCTCAACTTAATGAGGGGGGAATGCAAACTGCAAACACATGAGAATTTATAAATATGGTTGTAATGAATTGGAATGCGAGAATTGTATTTAATTGCATAATCGATTTTGAAAAATATATGTGACAGTGACTTCGTGACCTGAACAAGAATCGTCATTCGCCAACGTGTTACGTATCAAGTGTCGAGCCGAGTTGTGCTTCCTGGGGTTGAGCTCTCTCGTTTAGCAAACTATTTTGTTAGAAGAATATATTTTTGTTTTTTGAATGGGAATTACCTTAGCATCAAATTTAAAACAAATTAAAGTTAATATTTTGTCAAGACTTGTACGTGGGCAGCATGTATATTTTCTGGCCAAGTACGGAAAAAATAACCCAACATAACGCTGCGAGCAGGGTTCGAACCTGCGCGGGGAGACCCCATTGGATTTCAAGTCCAACGCCTTAACCACTCGGCCATCACAGCTTTCCGGAATAATGGGTCAAAAATAATGTTTTTAATTTAAGAGAGAAGAAACTATGTAACAAATTGGAAGAATGTAGAAAATGGAAGTAACAGGAAGTCTAAACAGCATTTTTTTGTTATTGTCGAAGTGATTGTTTTTGACGCTGTGACAGATTAATAAAATAACAATACGCCAACTACTTCAAACAGGGGTTATTAATAATTCCATTCAGGGATAAATTCAGGTAAATATTCAAATAATTTCGCCGTTCGTTTGTAATTTAAAAAGAAGATTTTTTTGTGACGTCATTTTGTGTGTAAGTCAGTCACTTTATGGTCACAATGGCAGGTCGCTGTATGTCCTCTTTATAGATCTTAATAAAATATCTATTTCATTGATATGCTCATTGCACTACATGTATAATTAGCTTTGGTACTGATTTTAGTTAATACTTGTAATATTTTTACCAGTTTTTTCAGGCACATTGTTACAGGTGTCCAGACAATTTGAAAATTGAAATGAATAAATACCAAAGACTCTTGTAAATGTGATGTGATGTCTCTTGTAACAAGTGACACAGCACCACAAGAAGACATATGTTAACACTTCATGTTTATTTTAGATACTATGCTTGCTCGGAATTCTTATGGATGAACCCTATTTGATATTGTTCTAACAGAAGAAGTACAAACAGAATTTAAAAACATCCATGTTATGATACCTTTTCCAGAAGAACAGGTGAATGTATTATTTACTAAGTAATGGCTTGTTTACGTTTAATGCCATCAAATGCTTTGAGAAGGAATTAACATGGAAAAATGCATGGAAATATTCATGGGAAAATGCTAATCATTAGGCAGTCTGGAAACTATGTTGTTTTTCTACGAGATCTCCGGTGTGCACAATGTAATTATTGGTGTGCTGGTGTGAAAATCAACTTTCATGGTGCTCACACAAATAGCAATCCAAAATATTATGATGAATATTAGATATTTGTTCATGAAATACTTGAAATTTTGTCGTTGTTTATTCGAATGTTTACTTGTAAATCGTTTGTTTCTCCTACAAATAATGTCACTTTACAGCAATAGACCGTGTTTGACTTCAGTTTTAATGACCAACTTTGATGGCTCTCGCTGTTTATAAATGTGGATGGTGTGCGGCAAAGTTACATGATATAAAAAAAATTCTCTGGTGTGCAAAAAGCACACTTTCCAGACTGGATCATTAGTTCATGGCAAATTATTAGTTGAAATTCTTTTAAGCCTGGTTCACACAAGTGAAATAAGCATATAAGTACAAGCTAGGATAAACGATTCAACATCAATCATCAAAGTATGTATGTGCCAAGGTATTTCAATGGTAGAATGGGGCAATGTCCATGTTGAAAATCATCTGAAATCTTGCTAGTTTTTTAAATCTGTTTTTTAAATCTGTAAAGCCAAAAATTCAATTTATTCATGTCCTCTCTTCTAAAAAATCAATATTTTTTTCCCATGGAGATTTTTTATTGCATGCCATATTTGTGCTTAAATTACATGAATCTTGGGTGTGGTGGTCTGTGTTAGTGCTTTGCTCTAAAGTTTGTAATGGACAAACCCCACCAAACAATACATGCAAATTATTGCAAAATTTAATACATATGAATTGTATGCAAATGCACACAGAAACATCCAAGTTTTAGGAGAGTTTTTTTAGTGTGTTGCATTTGAATGAGTGCTTGTTCATTACACATTGACTTCAGCCCCTCTCCAACCCCCATATTTGAATCAGTTCCCCACACTTGTGGCAATCAATACTCCATTTTTATGCTTTAGAATTATAGAAGTGCTGTCTGTTTTTTTTGTATTTGAAGAGTGCACCCTGCTTACATGAATGAAACACTAAAAAATTATAAATTTTTGATTTTGTGATTATTTTAGGACTGTTTGACGGAAAACATTTCATTACTGAAAGACCTCAAGTTGATGATACTCTTTCCTTCATAATGATGCTAAAATGCTCCTTCACAGAATATTTCTTTTCATTTGTTGGCTATTACCAAATCTACGCGACCATCCTCATCGTGTACTGGTACCGTACTGATATAGTCTCAATACGTTGTATAGTAGATAATTCATGTGATATTGTCTGAAGTATTGACAAATAGATTTTGTCCTGGTAATTGGAGACCTGTACCACCATGTGGAGAGGGGGTAGCCCAAAGTCCGCGATGAAAACGAAAATCAGTACGAAATCGGATTTTTCAAAAGCTTACCGAAAACCGATATTCGTAACTGTGAAAACCGATTGAACTAAAATTATCTTCACGCTGTTTTCTTGTTGTCTGCTTGCTCTTGTCGTATAAAAAACCTAGGACAAGCTGGACGATGTTCCATAAGTGTCCAACACAGGTGCAGAAGAAAGAACCAATAGTTCTTTGAATTGTTTGATATAAATTGTGTCTGTAAAGATCGTTTTGTAAAAACCAATTTGTGTTTGTTCATGAATCATGAATTTGTACAAAAAATGCAAAATCGAAAATTGTCGCAAATTTCGGACTCTTCACCCTCCCCCTCCTTTAGATCTGAATTTACGCTCCCGATAAATACACTATGGTCTGGTTAGGAAGACGTCGCACGTCTGTTTTTGTGTTGCATGATTTTATGCAAAACTTTTAAGGAAGTGATGAAACTATTTTTTGTGGCAGAAACGTTCAGACCCTAAACTGTGTGGTTGATTTTTTCTAAATCTTATTGGCATGTTTTCATTTACTCGTTTGCTTAAATACGCTAGTCAAAAAATCACATAGGTGTGGAAAGTTGTGGTCTACGGAGCTTTAGGGCTTTAGCTCTAAAGTATGAAAGGGGCTAAACCTACGAAACAATGTATGCAAATCATTTCTGAATTTAATGCATATGCGCAGATCATACCATCATCTCCCCTCCCCCCTCCCCCTCAAAGGCGATGGGCAAATCTAATTTACCAATATACACTCAATTACTTAAGCAGAACATCATAAAGTTTAAAGATCATTTGTTCGTCTTTTTATCATTGAAACCATTAATACATAAATAATTTTGTATTTCATCTACTTTAGTTTTTATTTTTCAAAATGCAACAAATCTACTACTCTCACAGGGACTGCGTCTTCCCCGCCATCAACATTTGGGTTTTAAACACTACGTGCGCTAGAATTATGCCTCTTCTCTTTAATCCATTTGTTCAAAAAGTAGATAACAATTACCAAAAGATAAAGCAACGGTGTATATGCAAAAACATTTATTGCATACCCCAACCTGTCTTTTTGCGTTGCTGTTATGTTATTTGTAGCTTGAGCAGCAAGAATACTGACCACAGTAAGTGTAGTCAGCAAGAGTGCGTCCACTCTGTTGATCCAGTTATATTTCTCTTCGTCGTAAGGCCAACGATAAATGTGCATTGCAAGGAGAAGGACCGAGGCAATTTGCATTAGGACAGCGTTTGGAGTCCCGTATGGCACGAAAGTGGAAATAATAAGAAGAATTAAACGCGCGAAAAAATATACTGAAGCGTGCCATCGACAGTTATTTTTAAAGCATGCCTTAAAGGTATTTAAAAAGGGAGTTAAGTAGACGAAATAAGGAAGATGTTTTGAGAAGAACGGAGAGAACATCAACATAAATGGAAATGGGATTACGATGAGGAGCAAGACCAACAGGGCAGGGACAGCGAAGGGGATATGACAAGGACCAAAGTAGGAAACTGTTCCCTGATAAAACACCACAACTTTATTGCCAACTTTTAAATTTTGGAGTATGTTCATAGACACTTGTGCAAGATTTGAATAACAAAGCACAAACAGTGTGCTACACGCTGGATATGTCGAGTTTCGTGAAAAGTAGGTGTTAGGCCATTTTCCAGAAAACAACGTGAGTGCAAGCAAGATAATGAATACATACACGGGTAACACATATTGGAATGCTAGTTTTTGTAGGTTGTCCATTCCCTTCCATAAACAAGCGCCAAACCCTCTAATTGTTATCTTTGCCAAACCTATAACGAAGGAAATGAAAGGATCCAGTGGGATATGACTGTGCACATCTATAACAAGATCAATCATTTGATAGAAAAACAACCAAACATTCAGGTAACACGTAAACACATCTACGTTTAACATGAAAATAAGGCCAACAAGGATTGTAAAACCTATCAGCAATGGTGCCAATCGCCACAAGTCAGAATCATTACAATTGGGAGAGCATGTCTGCACACCGACTTTAACACTTGATCCATTATCACAGGAACCACACAATACATCTTTTCTATGAGCAGAACAAATTTTTTTTTCCTCATAAATGCACTCATCTTCACCTAGTGTGAAGTTGTCTGGTCTGTAGCACTCACAAAAACCTGTCGGACATCGAGCAGTTGCAAATACAGTCTCATTATTCTCATCAGGAACCTCTCCAGCCCAGTAACCTTTTTTAAGATAAACTACAGTTTTGTCCTCACTACATCTGGATATTCCACTCGCCATCTTCTCTGTATCACAAACACATTGCTTTTCTCGCAGCACAAAACCAGGCTTACACTTGTTCAACATAATATTTTCCAATTTCTTATGAGCAAACAGTCCACCTACTGTTCTAAAATCAACTGAAAACCTACTCCCTGGTTTTCCTTTGAGATGCAAAATAGGAATTTGTTCTCTAACCAAGAACAATGCTGAAGGTGTTCCTAAAGTAACTGATTCCTCAAAACTTTCAATTCCAATGTTAATCATACCGTATACAGAGTTATTTTTTTCATCAACCAATATAACTTTTGGCGAGAATGGCTCAGCTGGTGAAACGTACCAATCAGATTTGTCTAAAGAAATATTTATTGCATCAGTAACAATCTCAAATTCACGACTATTCTCATAAAAAAAGCTTTTCCACTCCAGTGTGTTTGAAATGTTTTTAGGATCATTACAATCACGTAATGAGTTGGAATATATTGAATAGCCAGTAGCAAATGGAGCGGTATTGTCCTTAAAAACAACCTTCGCTTGCCATTCATTTGCTGGTACTTGTTTATCCTCATATTTAAAGAAGCACTCGTGTGTTTGCAAATAGTTGTTTCCGAAAAATGGCAGACTTTGAGGTCCAGGAGTTTCAACAAAAATTGCTCCACCTCTTTCTGATGCATTATTTTGATCAAAAGTGAGATTTGAACCTTTGGTTAATAAAAATGATGCTTCACCATACATAGCCACAGCACCTCCTTTGTAACCAGTGTTTCTTGAAAACACCACACTTTCAACAATAGTTGCTAAAGATGTGTCTAGCAATAAGGATGTGTTAGTGTTGTTTGCAAAATGAACATTCTTCAGAAATAGAGGAACTAGGAAAACATACATTGTTCCGACACCCCAGCCATAGTCAACAACACTACGCAAATAGTTACCAAGCAAATAGCTATTTGAAAAATTTACTCGGAAGGGACAATTTGATCCAAAGAGGCCTTTATCAAAGTTTGAGAGCTTCAGTGTCATGGCAAATCCAATGGTAGCTTCATTTCTTAACCAATGACAATCATTAAAACAGAAACTATTTTTAACATTTGCAACACTTGTCTTGCCTGTAATAATCCCACCTCCGCCAGAAGCTGCAGTATTTTTTTCAAACAAAGATGATACAGTCTGAATAAAGTTGGGCATTAATTTCTTTTCAGACTGGTTGAAAATGGACAATATGCTAAATTGAAATGCCCCACCACCAAGGCATGCTACATTTTCAGTGATGTTCACTTTTGAAATATTGATACTATTTCCAATGGCATTATCCAGAAACTGAATATGATAACCACCACCCCATACTGCTTGATTTTTCACAAAGTTACATTCTCTGATATTAAAAATGTTTTGTTTCGCAGATCCTCTAAAGTATATTGACAATCCACCACCACGACTAAAACCAACATGTTGCTTTCCACTTGGATGTTTAAATGAGTCTTTTCGAAGTCCTGAATAAGGAGCAATATTGGCCTTGAAGGTTGATTCAACAATGCTATAACTGCTATCAACCAAGTCCAAGCTACTGTCATTCTTTTCTTGGAAGGTAAATTCAATGTACAATCCCCCACCAGCCACTGCTATTTCCTGAGAATTGTCCTCTTCCTTCCTGGAAACAGTTCTCTCAAGGTTGCAGTTGAGAGACGTCGGACCATTATATTCAAATGTCACGTTAGAGACATTAACTATCCCTGTTGTGTCATATATTGTCACACCGACTCCCAAGCTTTTTTGAATGACCACATAGTGAAGCGAAAAGTGGATGCATTTATTCACAAACAAGGTTGAAAAAAACACAGGATTACCAAATGAAGAACTGTTTTGAAGTGTGCCACATGCAACAAAGGATATGTTGAAGATTTTTACATCACGGCATTCTATAAACGCCAAACCAGAATTGTTCCCTGAGCATTGTAACTTTACATCGGCCGACAATCCCCTAATTGTCAAATTGTTATTCATGCGAAACGAATAACTATTATTCAGAATGTAATTTCCAGGCTTTATCTCAATGACGGTATTTTTCTTAAATTTTTCTTGCGAGACTGCGGCGTCCAAAGCAGCGTCGAGGGTGCATCCCTTACTCGTTTGATAACAACCCTTAGGATCGTTTAAACCATTCGTGTTTACGTTTATCAAATGCACAATTTGGGCGTTTTTACCATTTGACATGTGCATCTTCGACAAAAACATAATCAAAAAAAATAATTTTCGGTTTGTTGAATTCATTTCTTCCCTCATCGCCGTTTGTTTCTCCTTACCTAATCTATCTAGTACGTCGGTAGCATTTGTCGATTTATGAATTGTTAAGGGCGTTATATAGGACATGACGACATTACTTCCTGTAGATACATGTTCCTGTTTTTTTATTCCAACTAAGCCACAACCCAAGGATACTAGGAATAAACCAATGCTATAAAATAAGCCCAATAAACAGTATGAACCCTTCCCTTTGCATCTCGGTGCAATTGTTTTATAAGAAAGGAGTGTTCGTGGCTTTGTACAACGAAATCTAACGAAAGTAAACTTCTTGTTCTTGTTTTAGACGATGGCATATCCGCTTATGCGTTACAAAAAAAAATACTGAGATGTGGTGTACTCCTAAACCTACTCTTATTGTTGTCCGTTCTATATCTTTAATATTCAGCCATTTGGTTTTAACATATGAGTTTCACCTGGTTTTAGCTTCCTCGGCAGTAAATTGGCAATGTTGCATAACTGAAATACCAAATTGAACAGCGTTCAGGCATTGTCGCATTTGAGGTTACTGTAATTCATAAAAGTCAAGAATATACATAGCCAAATGTTTTAATAACAGGTAGTTAAGTACTTATGCACAAAATAGTTTTAATTCCTTGAATTTTATGTTCCAAGTATTTACGTGCTGCTATGTCTAAATATGGTATTACACCACACTTGCGACTTTCTCGGAAGCCGTATTAAATTTCTTGAACTTTATTTTCCAAGTACATTACATCTTATCACTATGCGCGTAACTATGGTATGTACAGCCAACAATTTAAAAAAGTAAAATAGAAAATAAATTTCGAAAATGACTGACATCGTGAGAGAAGTATGAATCAACAAAAGTGCAAATAAAAACCGTGTATGAATTACAAAGCCGTCTGAACGTCACTTCCTGTTTTTTATACATCATGGTAAAACAAGCAATGGTTGAGATAAACCTGATATATTTCCTTATGTGTTATGCATTTTTCCATGTAAATGCAAACCTGCTGGAAGAATGCGGAGACACAGCAACAACGAAAAATCTAATTAACGTATCACCATATGGTCAAAATATCCCAAACTGTCTGAGCAATGGAAATGTTTCGTGTAAAAGTTTGGATTACGTTTTTGAAATGAAAACAGACCTAACCTCAACGAAAGTATTCATCGCTGATGGTCACTATAAGCTAGCGAAAAATTATACTTTTTCGGACGTCAAATACTTAGCCCTAATTGGCTGGGCGCCTGGTCAAGTTGTGATAGAATGTGCTCCAAATGCTGGTCTATCCTTCGTGCACTCTTCCAAAATAGTTATCGGTAATCTTATTTTCAGATCTTGTGGATCTACCCAAAACAGCACGTCAACTGCTGATCATAACACTCATCTAAAATTTTCGACGGCGTTGTTCTTCGTAAATTGCATAGATTTATGCATGCTTAAGGTTGTAATTGAATTATCCCCAGGGATTGCCGTACAACTTTATGACGTTTCCGGTGCAGTGATTGTTTCAGAGTGTTACTTTTACAAAAATGGCAATAATGTAAGTGTTGTGGAAAACAATCCAGGAGGTGGTTTCTACATTGAATTCACTGTCAAGGGTGGATTATATCCTTTCAAAAAGCCTCCTGATGAACTATATCAGAGTAATGGTACTTTTCACTTTAACAATGTAACTTTTGAACGTAACAATGCAACATTGGTTAATGTTCCTGTGACACCTGGCGGAACTAGACATATAGCTTTTGGACGAGGTGGCGGGGCTTCAATTTTTATAAAAGGCCAAGCAAAAAATAATTCTTTTTTATTTGAAAACTGTTCTTTCATTGGAAATGGTGCAAATTGGGGAGCTGGGCTGTTTGTTGAATATCAAGATGAAACACAAATGAATCTTATCATTTTCCAATCATGTCATTTTCATTCGAATATTGCTAATCTTGCTGGAGGTGGCTTGAGAGTTGGACTAGTAGCTATGAAGACAAACAGAACATTTGTTCCAAACAGCATACAGTTTCGTCATTGCTCTTTCAAGATGAACAAAGCCATTTTAGGTGGAGGAATATCTTTATATGCAACTACCAAGCAATCTTATTTGGTGTTTAGAGCTAAAAGTTATGTTTGCTTAACTCACTGTGTTTTTCAAAGAAACCAGGCTACAGTTGGAGCATCCATTTTTGTGTCCATTTGGAATACTGGTTTTCATGGAAAAATTAAACTGTCAATGGAAAATTCACTTGTTGAAAGTAATGAAATAATCTACACTGAAGATAAGAAAGTAACAGGTTTGGGGAGTGTTTATTTATTGGGAATTCCACTCATACTTAATGACACCCATTTCAAAATGAACAAAAAAACAGCTTTAGTAATAGCTGATGCTTCTGTGGAAGTTCATGGAAATGTGTCTTTCATTGGCAACATTGGAGAAAGGGGTGGTGCTATTTCTATGTATGGTATAAGCACAATTGTTATGAAATGTGGTGCAGATTTATCATTCATAAACAACAGTTGTACTTTGCAAGGAGGTGCAATTTATGTAAAGACTCCAGGACCACAAATGGTGGCTTTTAATACAACAGAGCTTGCTCTATACGGATGCTTTTTCAAACGACCACCATGCAAAAACTATAGTGTGACATTTTATGGCAATAAAGGTGAGTTTGAATCCTCTGGACATTCTGTGTACGCTACAACATTACAGTTTTGCCGTGGAGACAATGAGCCAAGAATAAATAATCAGGCACTTGAATGGGAACTATTTAATTATTATGATGCAAATGGCACAAAGTCTAACATGATGTATGAGATAGTTACTGATGCAGTATCTATGAAACTGATCAAAAACGACTGGAAAATTTTGGCAGATAAGTATTTTTCCCCTCAAGTAAATCTTGCAGATGAGAAATCAAATAGCGTCTTTGGTGTGGTCAAAGTCATGGCTACGCCAAAAGATAAGGTAAATGTGACACCGTCTTCAACATATTTTCTTGCCAAGAAAGAAATCAAGTCCCTGAAAGTGGAAGCCTCGCCTAAGACGAATTACGATGTTGAGGTGAAAACTGTCGATAGTCAATTAATTTCTGATAAAGTTTCTGGCGCAGTTGTCAACGGTTGCGAATCAGGTTTCATTTGGAATGGTCATGTTTGCAAATGCAACGATATTATTTCCGGAATATCACGATGTGACAACGAAAATAAGAGGATATTTTTATTCAAAGGTTTTTGGGCTCGTTATATAAAGTCAAGTGGAGCCTTCTATGTTGTGCGTTGCCCTGAAAAGTACTGTTTGTGTAATAAGAATTCTAGTAATGAGCAGACTGGTGAGTGTTTGTTGATCGAAACACAACAATGCAATGGTAACAGAGAAGGACGGGTCTGTGGCAGGTGCAAAAAGGGATATGGGCTAAAGTTTGGTGCCGACTCTTGTTGTAAGAAATGTCATTCAAACTCGAGGAAATGGACTGCCTATCTTTTTATTGTTTTACTCCTTCTCTTATTACTCGTCTTCCTTGTATTGTTGATCAATTTTGATCCCTTCAATGCTTATCTTAATGCGTGTTTATTTTTCTATCAAATCTTAGATCCTGTTGTTCTCACGCGAGCCTTGGACAACTTTGACAAATTTTTACAATTTGTCATACATTTAGCCGATTTTCAAATCGTCGGCATTGGCGTCTGTTTATGGTCAAGTTTAGATGATTTGCAAAAGCTATCGTTGCAATATGTAATTCCCTTTTACTTCGTGATCTGTCTATTCGTTTTAAATAAGATCGTCGTGAAATGGCCAAGCAACTCGTTTTCACGTCGCTTCACGAGAGTGTCGATGGCACGTGCGTTCTGCACCCTGTTAGTCCTCAGCTATTCAGCAATTGTTAATGCAAGTTTGAAAATTCTTTTACCTGTTAAGATTGGCGACAAGTTTTTCGTTTTCTATCAAGGAGAGGAGAAATACTTTGGTAAATATCACATTTACTTTGCAATTATCGCTTTGCTTTTCCTTATCTTTGTCGGCTTACTGTTTCCATTGTGCTTAATACATCGGCATTGGTTTTCGTGCATCGACCGAGGATTGTGCAGGTTGCTACTTGATAACTTTCAGCGGTGCTATCGACCAGGTCATAAATGGTTTGCCGGGTTTTATTTCGTTTGCCGTTTGATTCTGAACATCATTGCCATAGCCGTGCAAAATCGTGCTCTTCAGATAGCTTTGTTTAACGTCTCTTGCAGCGTCATGTTGGCTGTTGTTGTATATTGTCGACCGTATGCCAATGGTGACACAAACATCGTACCATACAGAATCTTGAACTTGTCGGATGCTTTGGTCCTCTGCAACTTATGCGTCGTCACCTCTTTTTCCGGAGCGTCTTTGAGCATGGATGCTCGTTCATATTATGAAGGATTTGGTGTACTTATTTATATCTTGAGTTATCTACCTCTATGTTTTGCATTTGGTCTTCTTGTTTTTGCTCTCGTACGTAAGTGCAGGATATACAACGGTGTTTTAAGAAATGTAAATGAATAACTTAAGACTATTTTGATACAAACATAGCAATGGTAAAGTACTTTTTTAAATGGACGTAATTTTTCACTTAGACTCATCAGGACCGTTTAGAGGCGTGGCAATGGGGCAATTTGTCCTGGGCCCCGGGCTTATGTAGACCCCAAATGGAAAATGGAGGCTAACAAAAGCTTTAATGTATGTCCACAGGTCAAAGAGAAAGGGCCCCAAAATTTAATTGAGTCCCTAGCCCCTTAATTTCTCTGACCGGGCCTGTGGGTCATGTAATACACACTGATCAACTTAATGCCGTAAGCATTTTTCTAACATTTGGGGGCTTCAAATTAAATGACATCTAAAGAAAACTTTTCAACTAATAAAGGGAAATTATTTATTTAAATAAAATTCTTCAACAATATATGTTTTCATTGTTTTGGGATTTCGCGACACTTGTTGCATGAGATCTTGAGAAGGAGATTCAATAAAATCATGGATGCCAGCATCATCACACACAAAGTTAAGAGTTTTTAAAAACAACCTTCGACTGAAAAGATGGAGTCCCTCGACCATTATGAATAAAGACACGCTATTTTTTTATATAATTCAACATTCCAACTCTTTGTGGGCAAATTCTTTATTTTTGTATTGAAATGTAAAATAATAAAAATACTCATGATACAGTGATCCTTTACAAGGTTATTTTTTCAAGAACTAATTGCATGTGAAATTTGTTCTCTCTTAGCAGTAAAGTAGTTTTTACAGCGAAACGACTTACTTGACTTCAATTTTGCACTCAAATTCAGATATTGTAATCAGTTTAAACCATCCGTATCTTATGAATGATTTTTAAGGCATTCTGAGTTGCATATTATTGTTCGTATTTGAATATCGGCTGTCTATGTAGTCCTTAGAGTTCGACTCGTACGGAGAAGACATTGCAATGTCGTCAAGATTTACTCCTTGCGTGAATGGAGTACCGGTGAAAAATCTTGAAATTTTGTTACCTCCCAAAGCGCCAATATCTGGCATGCCACTTATTTTTTGGAAAGTCTTGTCATTTTGATAATTTGGTATAAAACCATCTTCCATCTGAGCACTGGGTAGAATTCCGACATTTGGCATGGAGGCCGGTCCGTTTTCCATTTGCCCAAAAGGACTTAAGTTGTTTGATAATCCCATAGCTCCATCTTGATATTGTTGTTCAAACAGTGCACCATCTCCAGCTCCAGCAGTTATTGAATTGCTATAATCATCCCAATCCATATTCTGTCCAGGGTTGTTCATCATGTCATGAATTGATAGGCCCATAGCTGGAATTTGAGGATTTTGTCCGGGAGGGTTTGTAGCTAGCAATGGTCTAGATAATACTCCGGTCCCGGGTTTTTCTCCCACGTGCGTCATTTGGTCGTACTGGTAATTCTTAAAGTTTATGTTAGACTTCTTTAGGACAAAGTTTACTTTGGTGGCAGGTGCGTCTTCAACATTCGCTTTCTTCGTAGAGGCAATATAACCTGGGGCTGATGCTGTTACCTCGTATTTACCTGGCAATAATAGCCGCCAATAATCGCCATCGACAGCTGTTTTCACGTTTTTACGTCTGTTTTTTATGGCAATTGTTGCATCTTTGATTGGTAATCCATTCTCGTCCTTGACAACACCTTTCACTCCTTTGTGTACCTGTGGAACAATCACATAATTGATTTAAGACTGCGATTTTTATGTAATTCGACGATTTAGAAAATGATATGAAAGTCAGCTGGGCTGCACAAAAATGACTTGCACAAGCAAAAATTTGCTCTTGTTTTGCATTGCTCTCATTTGGATCCTGGTTTGATTGAATTTTCTAACTACAAATTGACTTGTTTAAGCAAAATGCAAGTAACCTGATCGAGATACGCCAGCAAGGAGTTTCTATTTTCCCGCCAGTATTTCGGAAGCTCTGCTGCCGGCGGGAATTTCTTGCATCCTTGCTCGATAGTTATTTCAAAACAATTGCTCGTTACGTAGTTGTAATCTTGCATGCCACCAGTAACACTGTACCACTTAGCGCCGTTCGTGATGCCGTCTTGAAAATGCTCCATGGGTACTCCGGGACACGGCCAAGGGGGGTTGTCCAAATGCATGGTTTCGTGGTTCTCTGAAAATGTTTTTGCCAGTGCTTGGAACACGTCGTCATCTGGTGACCTGCTGTATGTTGCTTCACCGTCTATGCCGTCATCAAAGGGATAGTTTGCTACCAAAGAGCCGCCATGAAGATTTGCACTGAGAACAAATGGGTATGATTTGATCCATGTCATTACGGCTCTTGTTTCCGGCTGAGGTTTACCACTTATCAATCCGAAGAATTGATCGGGAAAGTTTCGATTCAAGTCTATATTGTTTGCGTTAGATCGACCAATAAGCCAATCACGTTTGGAGTCTTCACCTGAATTGTACGCTAATTCAAAGCCATCTGGATTCATGCTCGGCATTATGTGTATACGTGTCGTGTAGATGAATCTCTTTAGCTCTGGGTCAGTTTTGTATTTTTCACAAAACTCTTTAATTAATCGTAAAAGTACCTCTCTTCCTACGGCTTCATTTCCGTGCATGTTTGCAATATATTTAAATTCAGGTATTCCAACCTGATGCTTTCCAGGTTTGCTTGACAATTCCATCACCCAAAGTTTGCGTCCTTGCACGGAATTTCCTATGTCATAAAGGCGTGTTATCTCCGTAAAGTTTTTTGAAAATTCTTGTAGTAATTTTGTCATATCCTCGTAGTTATGATATTTCCAGTTTGTTTGTGAGGAATCTGTTCGGAACGATGCCGCATTTATCGACTTGAATGTCAAAATACTACAGAAAAATGCGAAGTATAAGGACATATCGTAGTCTTTTATTTCTAACTTTTTTTCTATCTTTTATTGCGAAAACCTGCTCTAACTAAGCATGTATTGAATAGAAACATGTAGAAAATAATTATTAAATAAATGGAAACTATCGCGCATTTGATGTCATATTACTATTAAAGAAGCATTTTGACACACCCAAAAGTGAAAAAGCAAATTACGCGACTTAGTTGTCAACCTGTTGTTAGCAGGTATTGTATATGCAACATAAAAAGAAAAAACGAGAGAAGGAAATTACGTTTGTTTCGTTAAGTTAAGGCGTCGTTTTTGCTCTGAATTTTATTTTCTTTAAACACTTAAATTCGTTAAATGATTTTCGATTTGTTATTACAGAACTGATCACATTACTCTCCCATTTAATTTTGTCCTTATATCGTGTTTTATCGTATTGTTTCATTATTAATGGAATTATTGGGCAACAAGCCAATAGGCGTGGAATAAGGTCAGGAGTAGAGATTATCATCAACGATATGTTTGTTTGGGTATAATATGGCGTGAGCTGTAGACTAATGATTTGAGATGCTTGCTGATTAATTGGAATAAATATGGCAGCCACTGATTGACTGGAATAAATAGGGCAGTTACTGATTGATGGGGTGAATACGGTAATTACTGATTGACTGTTATAGAACTTAGTGTTTGCTGAAGGCATAACCTGGTTCTTTACGGAAAACGTTTGCTATGTCATACTATCGCTTAATTAATGCACACCCCTACCCTCTCAGAGAGAAATCTGTCCGCAAAATTAGGTGTAAAAAACAATGATTGAATGTAGTGATAAGAATAGGGTTTTTCCACCTTACAAAAATTAAATTTAAGTTTTCAAGTAAACATAACGCAAATTTCAACTTTGTGATTATTTCTTAATGACTGCGACCGATTTAACGTTTGACCACGCTCATTTTAAAAACCACGCCCATTCGTATTTAAAATTGGACTTTAAAATTTACTTCTCCCCCCCCCCCTACATATGACGTGCTTGCAACTGCGCTGATTTTATCTCCATTTTTTATCTCGTAATCGCTCTTGCGATTTTAAATGCATCATGGCATGCATTATACATTTAAATAAGTTGTATAATTTAAAGGACATGAATACTTAACAAGTTGTGTATGAATAGTTTATGGCGGTCCTTGAAATTTTCAGCTGAAACCGTTAATACCACGCGTCTAGTTTTGTTGCGAAGAAGTAATTTCGGGATAGAAAAGAAAATAATTATTCAATTGCTTTTCAGTAATCACATGTAGACCGTTGTACATTTCACAGTAATACGTGAATTTCAAAGTGGAAAATATTCTATACATTTCACACAGGTGTTGCTTCACATTATACCTTTATTGATTTTCGCCCACACGTCACTTAAAGATATTTTACCTTCGGCGCCCTACCGCATTTTAATGATTAATGTCTTTGAGTACGATAAAAAAATTCTACAAGCTATGTGGATTCTTAAAAATAGCAATTGAGCCGTAAAACCGCACGAACGATACAGAGCAGTGGGACGAAAAATCAAATCAAATAATCCATATCAATTTATTGCCAAGACGTGACGTTTACATTGCAACAGAAGCGAAGCAAGAAACGCGAGAACGCACAAATTAAAACTGAAACAATGCCTGTGTACGATAAGATTCATAAGAACAACACTCTGCACTTTGTTAAACGACAATGTGATGGGTACTTCGGCTGCGATTACGAAGACAGTTTTCAAAGCGATGATAAAGGTGCTTTTGATAGCAAATAGGCAAGATTTATGTGTGTAACGTTGTTTTGCGCATGTTTAGTAATCGAAAATAAAATTGCATCAGATGAACAGGGTGAAACGTTTTCTATTTACCAAATTTGAATTTTCTCGTTTTGTTCGCCAGTCATTCTTACTAAATATCTTTTTTTCCAGCTTTGCTGGAGGATAACGCAAGCTGTGGTAAACCAAGCAACATTTTGCCATGGGTAAAAAGAAAATCACCACCAGTAATGTCGTTCCTCAAGAAAATCGCAAGTTTAAAAAAGAAGAATCGGTCAGCAACTAAAGAAAGAAACACGAGAGGGAATGGACAAGGTTATCATACTTTACCAAACCGGAAGACAAAGGATTTGGACGACATTGCAGCTGGCTACAGGTCTCTTCTATATGGTTCAAGTTTCAAAACTTTAAAACGCGATCATTACTGTGATGGCTATTTCGGATGTCCTCCTGTTCTGAAAAACTAGCGTTAGCACAAAACTAGGTGGAGATTCCAATGGAAAACACATGTAGAAGGGAGTTTTAAGTTTGCCCGTATACAAGCAAATTCTCTGGAATTTTACCGTGTTATTAATTTGAAAATAAAAGAGAAGGTGAACGCATGTATTGCTTGTGTAACAATTACAGCATAATATATAATTATGTATTCATTAATTGTATGTAATTAAACGTAATGTAATACGATATACAAACTATGTTCGTTGTATCAATTAATGGATCATTTCACATATGTTCATAATTAGATTTTTTCTTTACGTGATTGTAGAAACATATCGCACCAGCAATCGCAAATATCTAAAATGATTTAGAATAAATAAAAAAATGAAACTGGGAAGCAAAAGTTAACATGTATGGTAACATCTTGATTTTGAAAAAGTTTAATCATGATATGAATAAGTCAGGTAAAATGGGTGGGTTGGATGGCGAAATTAACAGGTTGGATCGTGAGATGGTAAGGTTAGACCCTGAGATGGATTGATTAAATCGTGCATTGGATCAATTTTGAATTAAGGTCAAGAACAAGCTGTTAAAGAAACATTTTAACGGATGTTTAAATCAAGCGTTGCCTTCTGCCATGTATGACGTATATAAACGTACCTGAGTTAAAGCAATCACTAATGCAGAACAAGCGACGGCAAGAAACTTTTGGCGGAAAAAGTCAGTGATTACGCCATGACAACCCTAAGAGCATTCAGGTTAACAGAAAATTAGTAAATGTTTAACAAAGATATTTTACCTGTTTATTTGGATAATAGCGGTATCGATACCTATTGATTTGGATAATAACTCTTTAAGCTCTTAAACGTTTGAAAATTTTGTAATACCATTCATGACTCGTGATAGAAAATATTGCAGCTCAAATCGCGACTGTTTTATTGTGCTGCCTTGGAGCAATACGATTAAAAGGATAGTTTTCTACGTTCTATACTCAGCTCAAATTGATTTCAATATAAAACTCTTGGATAGAACTTCACTTACCACGGTATAAATGTATCTATTCACCAATGTATCGTTCTTTATATTCGCTACATTGTTGCAACCGTTTGTTATATCCTTGCAACAACTTATTGGTACGGTTCGATTTTTTGGTGTAACCACTTCATTCCACTCAACTTTGAACCAATCAGAATAATTTCTATTGCCACAGCAGTGAAGCTAGCAGTAGTAAGTAGAGAAAATCAAACTTAACTTTTGTTGACACGGCTGTGAAGCGGGGTGTGTAAAAAGTTACTCTTAAACTTTTTGTTGCTCCAGCAACAGGAATGTTAGCCATAGGATGTCGAGAAAAAAGGTAAAATATATACGCTAAAAGATTAACGACAACCCAAGAAATATGGAAATTCAAAAATCACCATACATATTTATTGCTAATGCGTCGATGTGAAAAAAATGCTAACAATGAAGCAACTCTCACTTTTTCTTGCATTTCATTCCATGCTCCTCTAAATATGATTTCATTCTTGTATGCTTTCATTGTTTTGTTAAGGCCACTGGATAGTGCTCTTTTTATCTATTAAAAATGTAAGGGCATTTGTACATTGTGTTATCAGTTTGGTGGAGCTGGTCTAGGCTTCGTCCATTTAAATTTCAATGCTTTCTGTCATGTTCTGTTAAAGGCATGTTGTTGCTAGAGATTTTTTCAACGTTTGCAACATTTGACGTTGCTATTACACTTTTTTTCACCATCGCAACGTTACCACGTCACAACATCGATGTTGTAGCTAGTGTTTTTCTTCACAGTCTATAACATCGTCTTTACTTCAGAATAGCTTTACAATTCGTGACTGAGCGTTTCATAACTCATAATACAAACATAAAAACACTGTTTTGAAAAACGAGTGGTTGATGCCGTTGTCTGTTCTCGTTATTTCGCACAAATACAATAATATACAATGATAAATTTAAGCTATGACTGACCTTGGAACGGTATGCATACCCTGCACTGGCCACATTGATTTCACAGATTATTACCACTCCAAGAAAACATGAGTACTGAAAGTTGCAAAGTAAAAACAATCTCACCTAAAAGTATTTTTTTAATAACTGCATGAAGTGCCATTAATACTCTCATTAAAAAACCAAACTTGTTCACCCACTATTTTAAGTAAAAAAACATTCTTTTTCAAAGCTCCCCAGCAACCACATAATCCAATGATTGCCATTAAAAGACCAATAATGATAAGGACAATAGCTACGCCATCGTAATGATTTGGTCGAGGTATTTCTTCATATTTATTAAGTTGTGCTGTTGCCCAAATGCCAATGACAAACAAGCAAAAACCGCTTATCTAAGAATGGATTGGAATATGGTCGGAATTGAAATATAATTTCAGCAACTGTAGATAGGAGAGAAGAGGGGATGATTTCCACGACCGTGTAGGCTAATAGATACACAAGACAACATACAGTAGTCGATATTCTTAATAAACTACACGGTAACTAGTGTTTTACGGAATTTGCAAGAAGCTAGTGGATCGAGCGTCAAGAAACGATTCGAATAAATGCACAACTAAATCGACATTTTCACGATGAATTCTTCACACTAAACACACAACACATAGTCATAGAAATGACACGTATGCAACAAGTAGAACAAATTAACATAATACGCGTTTTCATAAATTTGGATTTACATTTTCTTCCTTCAAATTTGTTAATATAACTTTTAATTTAAAGAAATCATGTACGAAATCATATGTGAAATTTCAAAATATATAAAAGGGTTTGCTCGACGCTTCGTAATGGAAATACTAAAATGCGTTATTAAAGAAATATCAAATAACGTATAAATAATGCTTTATATTCATGCTGTGTAGATCAAGGTATAAAATTGCACCTTACCCAGAACAAAATGTTAAATATGATTAAGAAAGTTCGAACAACTTGCATCAGAGGAGAAACAACAATTCGTCGTAAGCTTGCCATTTTGACTCCAGCTGATAATTTTTATCAAGTTGAAAGTCTTTTTATGCCGGAAATTGAAATTTAACGCCAACAAGAAATGAAAAATGGATAGACATTCGTTAGGGTCATTGATATTACAATTCTAAATTCGAATTGTAAGTTTTAGCAATATTTTTAAACCTAACTTTAAATGAGTTTAATTCATTTAGAAGATTAAAGCTCCTTATAAATCTTAAAATTTGTGTGAAAATATATACATGGGAAATTTCATATGCCCATTTAGCAGCGTGCGCATTTTTTTTTCGATGTACACCTGTTGAATGTGACAAGCATGACAAACACCGTGTTGGTATATGCACTGGCAAGCAAAGAAGAGTTTGCCACGTGTGTAAAAAGTCGTTTTTCATGTGCACTTTTTAAATAAATTTGCTCGTCATTGCATAGTAAGAACAAAGAACATACGTAGTGTGAGGGGGTGAGGTGAGAGGAAGTAGGGGGAGAGGGTGTATAATGATTTTCTCTGATCAACTGATTTGTTTAGGAAGCATCATGTTACTTACATATGTGAAGATGAATCCCAATAATTATCGTTACACGCCTCTCGTGACTGGCACTTGTTACTGTTACTTGTTATCATATGCCTTTCATGATTGACCACACAGTAACTGCACTAGTACAACAACTTAATTGTACACACGAACATCAGCTTTACCAACATGTTATATAGATTCATAAAGTTACTATAGAGAGATATTTCGAACACTTTCCATCTATAAATCATTTGAATCATCAAACAAACAACACAGAGTTATTTCAGTTTCTTTGACAATTACAAAATAAGTCACATTTGTCTTAAAAAAATTACTTTTATCAATATTTACGAGTTTTTTAGACAGTACAACAAGCTGGGAATTCAAGTGGTCTTGTCATCACTTTCAATTTTTTGCTTTTCTTGAATTCTTTGTTTCTTACTTGGCACAAAATACAACAAAATGTGTGGCCCTAGCAGGCCGGTAGCAATCCAACTCAAGCCAAGAAAAATCTTTTGCTTTTTGGTAAGTCTTTTAAAGCTGGACCAGAAACCCATTCTTCTCCATTCAGGCACTTATGGAATTCATCACAAGAAATAAATGCTTGAGCAAGCAAGTCGTATTATGCATCTGATAGAGAAACATACACACTATCACTGAAAAAACATATCATTATTTATATTGCAACTTCATGGTCAATACAAATTGCAAGCAGTGCTACAGCAAAAAAGTGCATAAGTAGTACAAATTTACTCATAATTTCACATAATATTTTCATTGTTGACTCCACTATCTACAGTAATACACCATCACAATAATACAGTATTGATAACTTTAATTGTAATAATCTAGTGTTATAACTTATACTAACCATAGTTTATAAATCCCACCTACATAACTTATAAAATGTATAGTTACCAGTTTCCGGTTCCGGTTTAAGGCTACTGCTCATGCGCGTAGTTCGTCCTCATCCAAATTTCTGGGCAGTCAAGTCGTCAAGTAAATTGTCTGTGTTCTTTTAAAATTCACCAAAAAAATGTCAACAAAAGGCATTGAATCAAGATTGCGAAGCTACAAATACAATGACAGAGACCAAGCAGTAAGTAATTTTCGTTGCACTTGAACGAGTGTAGAGTTTGGATAATTATCTCATTTAACAAAATATTAAGATATACTTGAAGGTTAAATTCTCTCGAACCAACCTTTAGTCTTGGTACCGAATCATTTTATTTTAAAATCAAGGAGTTACTTGAGGTTTTAAGGATATCTGCTTCTGTCTTTATCAGAATTTAAGAAAGGAAATGCTTCAATTCAAAGTGTCCTTTCAGGAATATTATTTCAAGAAACAAAACGAAGCATTTTCTATTCCACTAATTCCAGCAGAAAAAAGTATTTCATTCTCGTGAATTTTGTGTTTGATGTTGCCTCTATTGTGTAGAAGTTGGTATTTCTTATACCAATAGTTACATCCTTAAATTTTTCTGCAAGACATGTTTTAGATTAAGCATTGCTATTCAGTGTTGGAAGGCTTGAACATAACTTCATTAATTTGTCGAGCTGTCTTGCATGTCAATGTGAGCTGATTGCTTATGAGCATGATTTAGAAATGTTGAACTCTTTCAGCTTTACCTCATTGATCAAGTTTAATTTATTGGTATAATTTACGATTGTTAGCAATCAAGTTCCAAGGCTTTATAACATGTTTTGAATTGATGGAATTTATGATATGGAATAAATTAGTTGGAATAAAGCTTGTGTCTAATGTTGATTATGTTGACAATGGCAAAATATTAATTTTTGTTATTCACCTGGTAATGTTTTGAATATGAAGTGATTTGCATCATCCACTTTTTATTTGTTTGTTTGGCATACAATTCTATCAATTATTATATTAAATGATTTATATACCTGCTGCAATGGTTTTCCTTATAGTACATTCATAATTAGTCCATCAATTATGAGACCAACATTGTTCAAGTGCATTTTTAAAATGCTTTTCGGCTGTTCATATATAGGTAGATATCAAGCCTAAAGATTTCCTTCAAAATAAAATATTTTATTATTTACATTGTTATTCATGCTGCTCTTATAGTCATCACGACAAAGGCGAAATGAAGTAACAGTCGAGTTAAGAAAGGTTGTAAATTTAAATTTTTGTATAAATCTGTTAGTTGGAGAATTATGAAAGTACGTTTTTATCATATAAAGTAAACACATGTTTAAAACAAATTATTTTTATACAAAATGATCAGGTAGCTTGAGAATTGTACTTGTATTTTGTCGTTTCTTTTGCTCTTTTGGTTCATTCATATTTCTACAGAGAGTTTGACTCAAGGATTATGTATTTTAGGCTAAAAAAGATGATCATATGCTGAAAAGAAGAAATGTTCCTGTTGGAGCTTCAGATGAAAAAGAAGAAAAATCACAGGTGTGTTGCATTTCCACTTTATTCCCATTATTTCGAAATTCATCTTATCAAGTTTCACAAAGATGTATTTACAACTAAATGCTACAAAATTTGCTTGTATTTGTCAATAAATAATCAAAAAATGTTAATTGTAAAACTTTATAGAAAAATGGTATGAGGATAAATTATTCAGAAGAAAAAAATGCAATGCATTTTTCTGATAATTAGTTCTACTATGATTATGGAGCATTGCATATTGGGTTTTGTAAATTAAATTAGGACAATTCAATTGGCATTACTAATTACAAATAGAAAATTTGATAATTCCTTATAGAGCCTACTCACCTTTCAGAATTTACACAAAAAATTTTTGTCTTAACATGTTCAAAGTAGTTTATTTTTCACTTGTAAAGCATGACATAGTCATATTTGATTGTTAGATTCTATAGCATCGTATGTTTTGTATATTTTCAGCCATCAGACCTTCAGGCAATAGTTGATGTAAGTGATTTGATAAAAATGGAGATTTTATTGTTAGTTTTTTCTACTTTTGATTTTGTTGTTGTACTTACTCATGTAGAATGCTGCCAGTGCTGACCCCAAGTTACAGCTACAAGCTGTCCAGTCTGCAAGGTGATGGTGGTTGTTTTTAGCTTGTTTTAGTAAAGTTGAACAGATCTTAAATATCAATTAGGGCCAAGCCAGCATGAAAAATTGCAGAAAAATGCTGATATGTCAAACCAGATGATTTACTGAAAAATTGTGAGATAATGAAAAATGTCCAAAATTCACTTTAATTGTTTACTTTGCACAACATGTATATAATTGATACCAGCTTTTTCCATGAAAATTCTAGCGTTTTCCATGAATTTGCATGAAATTCAAAGTTTAATTTTACATATATTTCTTTGAAAATTTGATACAATGCATTGTCAAGTATGTGTGGCTTTAATTCTTGGTCAATAACTGAAAATATAGGACAAGTCACACAGCTTATTAAGATAGAAGAATTAGCTATGTAATAATTTTTTCTTGTTGCTTAATGACATATTAATGCATTTTTCAACAAACATTTTTTCTAACATCCAACAGAAAGCTGTTATCAAGAGATCGAAATCCACCAATTGATGAGCTTATAGAGTGAGTTAAATATGTCCACATTCTTGTTAATTATGAATCATCGCAAATCATCAAATAAAGCTTTCCTTTTTATTTCAGTTGTATTTTTTATAAAGATGATTTGAGTTTAATTTTGTTTGAGCAAGCTATGGCGATTTGAATAATTTTAATCCATATTTTGTTTAGGTCGGGAATTTTACCTATTTTGGTTGGATGTCTGAGCAATGAAGAACAGTACGTTTTTTCGTCGTCATTTTGCAACACGCTCAACGGGTTTTAAATAGTTTTGACATTCGTGTGATAGTTATAATTTTGATACATCAATTTTTAGTTCATCGTTGCAGTTTGAAGCCGCTTGGGCCTTAACAAATATTGCGTCCGGCACATCACGGCAAACTCAAGCTGTTGTGCATGCAGGTATTGCTGGGTTGCAACCATCCCCCTGGGAGTAAGAGAACAATGGAATGCTCGCCATGTTGGATGAAATTTGCATTGTAAATAAGGAAAATCTTTATTGACGTAGCTTGACGTAGCTTGAAAACCAAGAATCGTCCCCTTTGACGATGTTATTATCTCTCATTGTCCCCTTATTGTATTTACGGCGTTATTATCTTCATTGTCCCCTTACTGTATTTACAATGTTATCATCCCTCATATTCAACGTTTTTATTTGATTTTATTTTCATTTTGTCGACCTTAGATGGAGTTGCTGTTTTTGATTTCTGAATGTTTGTTTTTGCCAGGTGCTGTCCCATATTTCATGAAACTTTTATACTCCCCTCATCAAAATGTATGTGAACAGGCCGTTTGGGCTCTAGGAAACATTATTGGTAGGTTTGTTGTTAGCATGGTGATTTGATGAAAAATATTTTGTCTCTGAATAATTGAGCATCGCCGTCTACGGCGTGAAAAGTAACTGTTGTCTTTTGTTTCATTGTACTAAAGTTGATTTCCAACAGCATATGTACGTTTTAATGACTTTGGAACTTTTCTATACACGTTTTTGTTCATTTAATTTTATGGTTATAAATATTTGTTACAAAGACACAATGAAAGTTCCTTTAAAGCATCCAGTTTTTATTTCCAATTGGCGACGCGCATACTTTAGGAAACATTATATCGTCAAGCAGAAAGAAACATTTTATTAAATTAGGTGGGATAAAGAGGATCCCTCGTTCAGTTTGTTTTCAAGACACGTATGATTATTTGGGATAAAGAGGATCCCTCGTTCAGTTTGTTTTCAAGACACGTATGATTATGTGGGATAAAGAGGATCCCTCGTTCAGTTTGTTTTCAAGACACGTATGATTAAGTGGGATAAAGAGCATCCCTCGTTCAGTTTGTTTTCAAGACACGTATGATTAGGTGGGATAAAGAGGATCTCGCTCAGTTTGTTTTCAAGACACGTATGATTATGTGGGATAAAGAGGATCCCTCGTTCAGTTTGTTTTCAAGACACGTATGATTATGTGGGATAAAGAGGATCCCTCGTTCAGTTTGTTTTCAAGACACATATGATTAGTGGGATGAAGAGGTTCCCTGTTCAGTTTGTTTTCAAGACACGTATGATTAGGTGGGATAAAGAGGATCCCTCGTTCAGTTTGTTTTCAAGACACGTATGATTATGTGGGATAAAGAGCATCCCTCGTTCAGTTTGTTTTCAAAACACGTATGATTAGGTGGGATAAAGAGGATCCCTCGTTCAGTTTGTTTTCAAGACACGTATGATTATGTGGGATAAAGAGGATCCCTCGTTCAGTTTGTTTTCAAGACACGTATGATTAGGTGGGATAAAGAGGATCCCTCGTTCAGTTTGTTTTCAAGACACGTATGATTAGGTGGGATAAAGAGGTTCCCTCGTTCAGTTTGTTTTCAAGACACGTATGATTAGTGGGATGAAGAGGTTCCCTCGTTCAGTTTGTTTTCAAGACACGTATGATTAGGTGGGATAAAGAGGATCCCTCGTTCAGTTTGTTTTCAAGACACGTATGATTAGTGGGATGAAGAGGTTCCCTCGTTCAGTTTGTTTTCAAGACACGTATGATTATGCGTGTTGATATGATTTTCTTTTCGTTTTATAAGGTGACGGACCTCAACTGCGAGATTTTGTTATTCAACATGGTGTGGTAGCCCCTCTTTTACAATTTGTTAATCCTTCAGTACCAGTAAGTATTAATTTGGCAGAGAATTTTTCTTTTCTACGGTATAACGTCAACGGTTTGAGCATTGAAACTGGAATCCCTCCCTCCCTCCCTCCCTGCGCTAGATTTTTAGTTGAGCACAAACCGGGTGTTTCGGGAACTTTTGAGGATGAAAATTTGATTTAATTTTGTTTCATGCTATGGTGACTTAATTAAATCATATCAGCATTAAAAGTCCTTGGCGTTCATCGTCAAACGTCGTAATCTTCATTTCAGGACAATTTCACTTTATTGATTTTGTTTTTACGTTTCTTTTTGAAGCTAACATTTCTTAGAAATGTAACTTGGGTCATTGTTAATCTTTGTCGAAATAAGAACCCTGCTCCGCCTATGAAAACAATCCAAGAGGTAAGGTGTTGAGTTAAAAGAATTTGTTGCAATGGTAAATAAGAGATAGACGCACATTGATATGGTGTTTTAGACTTGCATGTTTCCCATGATTTCATTTGGAGATTAATTATTGATTGTATTCCGTAATAAAGTAAATGGTTTGAACCCGGGAGTATCGTTACATGTTTGTAGATGTTGATCGTCCAGGTTAGTAGAGTCCTGAGAAGGACTGTTGTTGTTGATGTTGACTGACGTTTCGACAACCTTAGCGGTAGTCATCTTCAAAGTCAACCGCTAAGGTTGTCGAAACGTCAGTCAGCAAAAACAAAAAATAGTCCTTCTCAGGACCATACTAACCTGAACGATCAGCATCTACAAACATGATTGTATTCCGTGATGTCTGCATAGTGTAAGCATTGCTGTTGTCGTTAAAGACTCAGGCATGGACAACACTCCATACTCTATGTCTAGTGAGGTTTATTTAACAAATTCACTTACCTCGTCACACCTAATCATTTAAAAGCGTTATGTTCATGTTGGATTAATTGTTTAGGTTTTACCGGCTTTAGCTTTGCTTATCAGACATTCGGATTTAGATGTAAGTAAATGACTTATCAACTGCAGCTAATGTGAAGTCTTTATAACGAAAAGTAGTGTAAATATACACTCATTTATTATTCAATTACATGCGGTAATTTTTGTTAAGATTTTGGTCGACACAGTATGGGCGTTGTCTTATTTAACGGACGGTGGAAATGAACAGATTCAAGTATGATTTTAAATATTTGCACTGTGGATACTGCTTGACTTTAAATAAATAGACACACTTGGTTTTCAGAAAGTCGTCTTTCAATAGATATGTGTTTGTTGGCCTTTTTATTAACGTTGTGTGTTATGCGTTGTTGGCCTTTCAATAGACGTGCGTTGTTAGTTTTTCTATAGGCGTTGCACATTTGTTGGTCTTTCTATAATCGTTGTATATTTGTTGGTCTTTCTATAGACGTTAACGGCTTTGCGCTTGTTGGTCTTTCTATGACGTTGTTCGTTTGTTGGTTTTCCTAGAGATGTTATGCGTTGTTTGTTTTCCTAGAGATGTTATGCGTTGTTGGTCTTTCTATGACGTTGTGCGTTTGTTGGTCTTTCTATGACGTTGTGCGTTTGTTGGTCTTTCTATGACGTTGTGCGTTTGTTAGTTTTCCTAGAGATGTTATGCGTTGTTGGTTTTCCTAGAGATGTTATGCGTTGTTGGTTTTCCTAGAGATGTTATGCGTTGTTGGTTTTTCTAGAGATGTTATGCGTTGTTGGTTTTTCTATGACGTTGTGCGATTGTTGCCTATTGGCCTTTCTGTATACGTTGTCTTTCAGTTTATCATGTAATATATTATAAAAGTCGAGGCTTTTAATACGTATTAAAACAGCGTGTATTGAGTTTGAACTGAAGAATTTTCTTGGAAACGTCTTTTATTTTGCTTCTGTTTCATTTTAAGGACTACGTACAAGGTACTACGTATACGAGCTTTGTATTTCATATTTACAGGTGGTCATTGAATCTGGTGTCGTTCCTGCTTTGGTACCACTACTTAGTCATAATGAAATAAAGCTACAGACAGCTGCATTAAGAGCAGTTGGAAATATCGTTACTGGAACGGATGAACAAACACAGGTTTGAACTTTGTTTTGCGATTAAGAAGTAATTTTTTAAATAAACCATTATAAACAATTAAGTTCATATACTAAAACATATTATATAGAGTTGTTAAAGCTGCCTGAGTTTGCTAACAAAATGGACGTTAAGATATTTTGTACATATTTTATGTGCGTTTGCTAATCATTTATTGTTTTAGATTGTTTTATCTTGTGGAGCCCTTAATCATTTTAGTGCTCTGCTTACACATAGTAAAGAAAAAATAAAAAAGGTAAATTTGACTTTGGTTATGTGTTTCTACCGTCAACTCATTATAACTCAGTAACTGCCTGATATTACTTAATGGTAGCCACCACGACATCCCCACGTGGCCACCATGGCATCCCCACGTGGCCATCATGAAATCCCCACGTATTTACAATTTTATTTCATTGGACATTTTTTGGGCCATTAACTGTCGAAAATCAGTTATTTCATAGCCGTTTTTATCTAAGTTTTTGTTTGCTTATTCTGATAATTACACGGAGGCAATTTTGTGATAGATTATGCAATCTATCTGTTTTTTCTATTATGGGATGGAGAGGGATGCATGGGAGTAAATAGGTAAAGATAAACATTTTGTGTGGGCGGAGCTGTCGTTGTTTATCCAATGATTTTAGTTTGAAGAAATGTTATGGTTACGTGACGAAAACATTATTTTCATTAGGAAGCAGTATGGTTTTTATCAAACATCACTGCTGGTAATCGTGTTCAAGTACAGGTACGATATATTTTGTAAAACCTATTTTATCGCGAGATGTGTATGTCTCTACGTATGTCATCAAATGTTGCATTGAATCAAATGTTGCTGCTTGGTAACTAGTAACTATTCACAATGTCAATTTGGGATGAAATTTTCGTGTTGAAATTACCTATTCTTACTTTCCTGGTAATGCATGTGAAGCTGATCTTACAATGCAGTCCTGATCATATACCATTAATTTTGACCCTACCATGTCATACTGACTATACTATGTATTGCTGACCATACCATGTCTTACTGACCATACCATGTAGTACTGACCATACCATGTAGTACTGACCATACCATGTAGTACTGACCATACCATGTCTTACTGACCATACCATGTAGTACTGACCATACCATGTCATACTGACCATACCATGTATTGACCATACCATGTAGTACTGACCATACCATGTAGTACTGACCATACCATGTCATACTGACCATACCATGTCTTACTGACCATACTATGTAGTACTGACCCTACCATGTCTTACTGACCATACCATGTCTTTCTGATCATACCATGTCATACTGACCATACCATGTCTTACTGATCATACCATGTAGTACTGACCATACCATGTCATACTGACCATACCATGTAGTACTGACCATACCATGTCTTACTGACCATACCATGTCTTACTGACCATACCATGTAGTACTGACCACACCATGTCATACTGACCATACCGTGTCATACTGACCATACCATGTAGTACTGACCACCATGTCATACTGAACATACCATGTCATACTGACCATACTATGTAGTACTGACCCTTCCATGTAGTACTGACCATACCATGTCTTACTGACCATACTATGTAGTACTGACCATACCATGTCTTACTGACCATACCATGTCTTACTGATCATACCATGTAGTACTGACCATACCATGTCATACTGACCATACCATGTAGTACTGACCATACCATGTCTTACTGACCATACCATGTAGTACTGACCATACTATGTAGTACTGACCCTACCATGTCATACTGACCATACCATGTCTTTCTGACCATACTATGTTGTACTGACCCTACCATGTCTTACTGACCATACCATGTCTTACTGATCATACCATGTCTTACTGATCATACCATGTAGTACTGACCATACCATGTCATACTGACCATACCATGTAGTACTGACCATACCATGTCTTACTGATCATACCATGTAGTACTGACCATACCATGTAGTATTGATCATACCATGTCTTACTGACCATACCATGTAGTACTGACCATACCATGTCATACTGAACATACCATGTCATACTGACCATACTATGTAGTACTGACCCTACCATATAGTACTGTCCATACCATGTCTTACTGACCATACCATGTAGTACTGACCATACCATGTCATACTGACCATACCGTGTCATACTGACCATACCATGTAGTACTGACCATACCATGTCATACTGAACATACCATGTCCTACTGACCATACTATGTAGTACTGACCCTACCATGTAGTACTGACCATACCATGTCTTACTGACCATACCATGTCTTACTGACCATACCATGTCATACTGACCATACCGTGTCATACTGACCATACCATGTCTTACTGACCATACCATGTCTTACTGATCATACCATGTAGTACTGACCATACCATGTCATACTGACCATACCATGTCATACTGACCATACTATGTAGTACTGACCCTACCATGTAGTACTGACCATACCATGTCTTACTGACCATACCATGTCTTACTGACCATACCATGTCATACTGACCATACCGTGTCATACTGACCATACCATGTCTTACTGACCATACCGTGTCATACTGACCATACCATGTCTTACTGACCATACCATGTCTTACTGATCATACCATGTAGTACTGACCATACCATGTAGTACTGACCATACCATGTCTTACTGACCATACTATGTAGTACTGACCCTACCATGTCTTACTGACCATACCATTTAGTACTGACCATACCATGTCTTACTGACCATACAATGTCTTACTGATCATACCACGAAGCACTGACCATATCAAGCCATGGCTACCATACCCTATCATTCCTAATGCACCATACGAGTCAACAAGCTAATGTAGCTTTTTGCATCGTTGTTTGTTCGCAATTCTCATCTATGAAGGTATATTTAATAATCTGTTTTTTAATCGCAGGAAGTTATCGATGCTAACCTTATACCTCTCATAATCGAAGCTTTAGAAACGGTATTTATGCTCAAATTTCGATATCTTCTCAAAGTCTCTCAATAAATTATTTTACGTTATATTAAGGGCGAATTCCAAACACAAAAAGAAGCGGCGTGGGCCGTGAGCAATCTTACAATTAGTGGTAGCCCCGAGCAGGTACATTGTCTCGTTGATTTTTTGTGTTTATTCTTGAATTATTAATGCCATTTGCTCCTTAAGTACATACGTGTCGTCAGATTTATTATTTCAATTTTTTTTCAATAATATGATTAATGTTTGACCTTTTTTTTTTCTCTTTGCTAACATTTGAACTATTTTATCCTCTTCGATTTCGATTTCAATTAATGATTGCTAACCATAAGATGATCAAATAATCACAGTAAATCGTAAAACAAGTATTATAGCTATTTTTTCGATTATGCCACCCGTGCTAAAGGGAAGGAAGTGTAGGACAAAAATAAATTACTTTACAGATCAAAAACGTTAATGCATTTTTAAAAATGCAGGTATCGGTATTAATACAAGCCAACGCGATTCCGTCATTCTGTAAATTACTGGATGTCAAGGATCCACAGGTATACATATAGTACGCATGTTCATTATGTAACGGATGCACAGGTATACATATAGTACACATGCTCATTACGTCTTTAACATACATTTACTACAACACGACTTTAAGAATTGTAACCTAGAAGACTGTTGGGGTAACAGAATTCCTTTCTGTTGAAACTAAAATGCTTCGTGTCCTTAGATGTGAAAGCTAGGACACTCAGAAACATAGGAAACACTGAGAAAGCTAGGACACACTGAGAAACATAGGAAACACTGTGAAAGCTAGGACACACTGAGAAACATAGCAAATACTGTGAAAGCTAGGACACACTAAGAAACATAGCAAATACTGTGAAAGCTAGGACACACTGAGAAACATAGGAAACACTGTGAAAGCTAGGACACACTGAGAAACATAGGAAACACTGTGAAAGCTATGACACACTGAGAAACAGCAAATACTGTGAAAGCTAGGACACAATGTGAAACATTAGCAAATACTGTGAAAGCTAGAAATGTCGTCATTTCCTATATTTGTTATTATATGTAAGTCATTTCCTAAATTTCAGGTTGTTCAAGTTGTTTTAGATGGTCTACATAATATGTTGAAGGTGAGAAAATTCGATGAACCAAAAATTGCGATGTATATACGTCGTTTGTCTGTTATCATATTTAGAATCCAGTTACGTATGAAAGCAGTGCGCTTTAGTTATAAGATAAATTTTTTTAATGCATGAAGATTTGCAAGATCAATCAAGACCTCTCAATGTCAATCCACAAATAATATGTATCAATCACAATTTTCAGTGTTCTCTTACCTGAAATAAATATCAATAAAATGTATCATTCCTCACACGTATTCAAACACAAACATCATTGGCTGTTGTCAGGTTGGCGATTTTCCGTGGAAGTAATTTTAACACCATACCTACCTACGCCATCTATGGCGCTATGCGTGCATTTTGCAATTTCATATAAAATCTTTTGACTCGGAGGAATAGTTTCCATTCTCAACATGTTGTTGTCTAAAACTTAGATGGCAGGTGACGACAGCGATGAAATTGCAAGAATTATAGAAGAAGCTGGAGGTGAGATGATAATCTCCTATTGTTCTTTAAAAATAAAATAATTCAATAAAACAGTTGAAAAATATATGCTCGCCGCCACGTACGTTTCATCACCTTCCTCTCCATTCATTTTCAAAGGTTTGGATAGAATAGAAAAGTTACAGCAACACGAAAACGAAGAAATCTATAAACTCACGTATAAAATTATTGATCGATATTTCTCAAACGAGGTACGTTTCTTCTATTGCATCATGTGCATTTTCAACATCGATTACAATCACCGCATTAGTATTTATCACATCTCAACCACTGATATGTATATTACATGGATCGCGCATCACTAATTAAATTTGAAGCCAGAAGGCCGCCATATTGAACAGTCACGTCACGAGGTTGACATGCAAATTATATCAATTTCTGCTATCAAAAATTGCGAGAAGCGTCTCTTATGGTGCATTGACAAAACTGCCACGTATTGGCTTTAACAAGATTAAATGTAGGAAACAGTTGTGCTATTAAGAAAGGATTTATTCCAAAATTTTCGTGACACCATTTGAGAGATGCTATCGCAAGAGAATGCTTCTAGCTCACGTTGAAAGATTTTTTAGGGTGTATAAGTACAATGCGCTCCAAAATTCATTGCTATCGTGGTTCTTTACTATAGATTATTATTGTGAGTGGCACTTTTCAATATGGCGGAGCATCTAATTACAGCTGTCTACTTCCGGATTCAAATTTTTGCACTAACGATATTAGGAATTCACGACCTTGTAATATACATATCCAATGATCTTAACCGAGCATGTTGATGTTGAAAGTCGGCTTGCCGGCCATTGCTATATTTAGGGCGATAACGACGAGCAGGAATTTGCACCACAAGAGGTCGACGGTGGACTTCAATTTAGCGCGCGCGATAACGTTCCCGAAGAGGGTTTCAAATTTTAGTAAGTGTTCCATAAAATCTACTGTCGAAAAATTGGGAACTTCATATTGGATCCTTAATCATCTGCTCTGGTGTCCTCCATCTTAAAGTTACCTCCTTCGTCTCCTAAAATCGTTTTGAATGAAATGAAATGAAGAGCAAATCGCATGCAAGCTATAGTGATGTTGGGTTGGTATCAAATGATGGAGAGCAAATCTCAAGAAAGTTTTCAATTGTAAAAAATATCATCGCCAACATTTCGCCACGCCGCATTCTGTCAACATGAACTAAAAAAGCCTCGTTATGTTGAATGGTTCGATTTGCACATTGATGGTGAATTTACGAGATGTCCCGGGGGGGATTTCCCGCGAATAATCGCAAGAAATCATGGATGTTTTGTATAGTAAAAAGAAATGTTTATTGCTACGTCTTTGTGCTGAAAACTCAAACGATTTTTGAAACTAGACATTGGAGCATTCAAGAAGCGACCGTATTTTAATTATACTTGGTATTGTATATATGTTTTTCACTAAATTTGTATATTTTAAAACTGTTGGAATGGATGCTTTGCAAAATTCAATATGGGGTTTTTCGCATTTTTACCGTCTGTCTTTGTTCGTTCACTTTGTGTTATTTTTATAGCGAGAGCGTTCTCAACTCGTGCATCTGAAGGCATTTAGTCTTTGTTCGTTCACTTTGTGTTATTTTAATAACGACAGCGTTCTCAACTCGTGCATTTGAAGGCATTTAAAAGAGCGCTTGTGGTTTATAAGAACTTCCTCACTACACATTCTCTAGACATTACATTGGTGAATTTTCAAACCGATTAAGTCACTTTGCAAATTGGATCGCAATTCCCCCAACGAATAACGTGTCGATAGTTACAATAAAATACTGTTAAAAATCGCATTTAAAAAGAAATCTTGGCAGCACTGTGTTTTTTTGACGTGCTTTGAATGAAAATGTTTTAATATATGTATTTTCAAACTCTGGCACAAACCAATGTTATAGGTGGTGTGCAACCATTCCCCTGGGTGTAAGAGAACACAATGGTACGTGCGCCATGTTGAATGACATTTGCATTGTAAGGAATTCCTTTGTTAAAATCATCTAACATGGCGGCCATGACGTAGCTTGCACACCAAGAAAACTCTAATGCCCGTTTCAAACGTTGAACTTTACGTGCACCGAACGCATTATTTATAACCGAATTAATAATCTTTGAGCTTTCTGGACTTGATGTAGCATAATGACATAGACAATGAACCGTAATTTTCATAATAACAAAAGATCTTTCATCAGCGCGTACAGTTCTCTCCAACTGGTTCGACATTTACCATTTCAAGCCTTTCAAGCGTAATGAAGCATAATTTCTTGTTCTTTAGATTTTTTTTTTTTGCAGTGTATTGTTTTCATTGCACATCGAGCCAATTATATTCTCTGATCGTGTGGGTGGGTAGGGATCGAATATTTTTGAACAACTTACTGCAAGATATTTTCTGAGTGATATTTGTCGAGTAAGGATGTTCATCTGTTGAAGTGAAGATTTTTGCTGTGTTGATGAAAAGTTTGGGAAAGTTAATGGTAGTGATGTTTGGGAAAATATACAGACTAAGTTTACGTTTGAAGAAATCGGGCCACAGATGAAATCATTGCATGGTTTTTAATTTCGTCGAAAAGAAGAGAAGTTCAGCGTCAATCCCAAAAAGAAGGCGGATAATGATAAATGGTGGATCGTTGGGAAGATCTTGGTGTCGGAGCATGGATTCCTGGCGGTAGGTAGTCCGTAAATTATGATTATGACGATGCCTTTGTAAGGTTTACTTTGGAAGAATTTAAATCGCTGTAATAAAAGTAGGTATGTGTTAAGTATAAGTCCACCCTAGGTATAAACTGGGGCTATCAAAGCGTGGTTTCAACTAATAAAATAAGCATGAGCGAGAAACCTTTAGTTCTTTTATTCTCGTAGGATTTAAATAGACAAAAAAACGGAATTTTCTTTCGTTCATCATTATGCTTGTGCTTATGTTAAAGCTAATCTTACATGCTTCGCTTACTGTCGTTGGTGCCTTATTTCGTCTGGTGAACTTAGGTATTTTAATCAGACATAATTTTAGTGTGCAGTGATAAAATATAAAATGTACAGTGATAAAATTATATTCATAATTATTCATTTAGCAAAGGAATGAAACGCTAAGCTGAGAAAGCTGAGATCAGCGATTCACACAAACAAAAAAACCTATTGTAAACTGTGAAACTAGTAATGATAAACTACTAAAATTTTTAATGTGATATTTATTATTTTGAGTGTTTACAAGATGGGTGACAATGGACAGCACCTAGTATAAAACATTGGCAAAAAAACCTGCTCTATAAACATCAAAATCATACTTTGGGTATCCATGTTTTCAAATAGAACCATCAGTTAAGAAATTCAATTTAACTGAAATAAATAGTTTAGAAAGTGAATACCATAATGAACGATTGAGAATCGCAGAAGATAAAGAGAAAAGATGGTAGTGAAGTGAGTGATATACAAGAAATTCGAACATAAGAACGGATAAATATGCAAAACAAAAAACTATGGCGTTTAATCTACACATCAAAGTGCCATATTAAAGTACAAAGAAATATCTTAAGGAAGTATGAACAGTCTGTTAATGCTTTGATAACGGAGAGATTTGGTCGTAAATACCATAATATATCCTACACTTAAAAAGTCGATTTCATTGCTCCCTCATAATATTCTATATTTTTAGATTATAACGCCTTCGTCAAGATGATGAAAATGGAAGAAATAGATTACTTTTCAACATAAAACATTCTTCTTTCTCCTCGATTTCATTCTTCTTACAGACCATATTCCATAACTCTATGAAATAATGCTTTCATCTTATAATTCGAAATTGTATTTGCGTATCCTGATGTGGATGTTTATAGTTATATATTTGCATGTTAACAGACTGGCATTCCTATTCCATCGAGTAATGTTATAGAAGCTAGCAGGAATCAGTTAACATGCTGGTTAACATGACAAAAGAGGTTCTTCAGACGGGCGTTGATGAACTTCAAATGTTTGGACCTTGCTTGCAAACATTAAAATGAAACTTAATTTACAATTTATTTATTAAAGTACAAAAAAGAAATTGCAATACGCTGGCAGAGTATTGCACAATCTTTAAATTATGTATAGTCTATTTGAACTAGAAGAGATGGCCGTTTCAGTCGATAGACTTTAAATATTTAGTCGCTTATTGTTACATATAATTGGCCCTGTTATGACATTGAGGGATGTTATAACAGTGTCTACGTAGCAGTTAAAACAAAATGAACGCAAACATTTTCTGATAATGTTGTTTGAAACAGTAATTTCATGTTTGCATCTAAGAATAAGCCTTCCCTGCAAATGTTTGCAGTTTACAGCTGTTTACAGCCGACAGAAACTTTAACAGATCTTCTGCAAACACTGGTTTTACGAAATACACGAACGTCAAGTTTGTCATGATTGCATTTTACGTTTACTTTTACAGTCATACGTGGCAACAGCAGCAGATAAAGACTGCGGTATGTGTTTGTTTGTTTGACCATTGTTAATTTTGCATTCCACTAAACTCATTGTTTAGTATTTTTCAGATTCAGCGGACGAGAAGATGTATAAAGAAGAATTCGGGGCTGTAAGTGTTTCTATCATTCATGCAATCTAACAATCTTGTTGCTTATGTCTCCTTTAGAACGACGTAGTCTGTCATGGGTAATTAACGTTCCTTACGGTAAGTTGAACCAAGTATCGTTCAATTTTCCATACCACTAACTTATTTTTTAGTATTTTTCAGATTCAGAGGATGAGAAGATGTATGAAGAAGAATTCGGGGCTGTAAGTGTTTCTATCCTTCATGTAACCTAACAATCTTGTTGCTTATGTCTTTGGTAGAACGACGTGGTCTATCATGGTTAATTAACGTTTCTTACGGTAAGTTAAACCAAGTATTATATTTTAAAGAAAGTATTTTCAGAAAACAAAATCTTTGACTTTTATTCTTCTATGATCGGTGTTTGCAGATGATCAATTGAAGATTTTGATTATGCCAAAAGTATAAATGTCTCGAGCAAAATCCTATCTAAACACACTAACACAAAAACATTGAAATTTGCAATATTCTAACTAAGTTAGAGAGTTCCCTCGCTCTCTAATTTAGAAAAGAATTTCTGTAAAAATCGATGTATTCCAAAATAGACTTCTGCCACCTATTTTGGAATAGTTTTGCACAAAACTTCATGCAGCGTACACTTGGTAATCTAAACAATTTTCTGTAATTAAAATAAAATCTTGCATATGTAATATAAAGTGTGCTTGAGTTGAATTAGGACTGCATTGAAACGAGAACACCAAGTATTTGAAACATTTATTTAAGTATCTCAAATGAATATACAAATTTTATTACTATTGGTTCATTCTTGAAGGTTAAATTGGTAATTGTAGAGGGTAGAAAATTTTATGGAAACGTTTGTAGAAGTACCAAATTTCGTTCGTTATGGTCAGTGATTTTTGTTATGGATAACGTTATCGCTCAGTGTGCATATTATCAAGAAGCATCACCTGTAAAGTTTGTAGTTTTGTATGGCAAAACATATTATAATAAGTAAAATCTATATTTGCCAGGCTACCCACTAGTACGCACTGCGTTCCTATTTTTGCTCTGTTTCGTTCTCTTACTCTGTTTACAACAAAACACGTGTGCTATAAAAACGGTTTCTTTCGATACTTTTTTTCAATAAAATATTATTCAATGAGTGACTCACAATAAGTTAGAAACTGTGGTCCCGAACAAAGGTTTGGTAAATCATGTAAATATATGTATAAACACCCGGTTGAAATATGGGGCGTTGCTTTTGTCATTAAAGTCTAGAAAAATTAATAAGAATTTGATTCTATTTGTCATTTATAATTGTAAATAACAGAATCTTGCGTTGTGTAAATGCTAACAAGGAATTAAATAAAGTAACCTTACACTGAGAGTTAAACTAAACGTGGAGGGAAATTTGAAAAAAAATTAATGTTTTATCTTTAACCATGGTTTAATTAATTACTGGTTGTTTTGAATGGATATTGGTGTTTTTAGCAGCGTTTTTGAGTAGAATGTAAATTACTTTCTCTTTGGAGACAAGAATCGAAATTTCCAGAATTTAATGTTTTTCATGGTGACTGAATAATTATGCTATTCGTGTAGTAAATGTCCAAGAAACGTCTCCTGTCATAAAAACACCTCCAATCCAATGACGCCATCCTTTAGGTCTGTATTAGACGCCTCTCTATCTAATAAACAAAAATACACAAAAATATTTATTACTTACCAGCAGACAAAATTACTATAAATAGACAAAAACTCTATACAAAATTTATTATTGGAAGTTAATAGCAGCCAGACCACTAGATAATTTATGGATTACAAATCACTCCGGGACTCGCGTTTTATCGTCATATTATTCGTCAGCTTTGCCAAAAATCGCATTAAAATTAAAATGAAACTCTCCGTAAATCTTTGATGAAATCCCAAAAACGCTCAGACCAGTGAACTATAATAACAACTATTATAGTTCACTGGCTCAGACTCGAAGATGATATATGCACTGCGGGCTCATGGTTGCTGTTTGTTTTCAATGGTTGTAATTCTGTAAATCCTTGCCTCTCTGGTTCACGGAGCCAGTGCTCAGTGTCTTAATGGTTTCCATTCGCAGAGGAAGGTATGCCAGGTAACAGTCGCACGTACGTAACCGCAGCGGTAAAGAAAGACTCTACTTGGTTACTGTGAAATTCTGTACGAATAGAGTTAAGCTAATAATTAAAATGATTGATATGATTCTGGCATCAGCCAACTGGTATTGCGGTACCATTTGTGATGTAAGTCGTGATGGGATTTTTGCATATGGTGGCAAAAACACAATATTTCTTCTGGACATTACAAAACCGCAGGACTGTCAATATTTTGGTCATCTTTGTGGTCATAAGGATCGAGTAACGTCAGTTCAATTTTGTAAAACATCATTGCATTCAAGATGGTGTTTCAGTGCTTCCGAAGATCTCTCTGTTGCTGTTTGGGACATAGATACTAAGGAACTTATTTCACAATTGACTGGAAGGCATCAGGTACTATAAGATCTCCCAAACACATATATGTAGCAAAATGGTAAAATGATACATTAAACATATGTGAGTTCAAACTGAAAATCTTTATTGATACCTTTGAATGCATGGTAGATCATCTTCACCCTTGAACAGAATTTGGGAAATTTCACTATACTCTTTTGTTCCCTCAATCGGTTGTAGAAACAGAAGTAGAATTTATTGGATTTGTTCAGAGAAGCATTCAATACAAACCTAATGCTACAGATATGCACAATTCATTATATAGTTTATTAAATTTGGTAAAAGCTACAAGGAATGCAACTGCAGAACTTAATGCATGCTTTATGTTATTTGTCCCATAAAGAACCTATTGCTAAATTTTGTGCTATTCTGCATTTTCATTCTCCACATTTTTCATTCTCCAAAGATCATGACTAAATTCCTGCACTGTCCAGTCCACTGTTATAAGGTTGCGGTTATATAGGTTTGAAGTTCTAAGACTAGATAAGAGAGTAAAATTCAGCATCCCATATAGGGTATATGTTTTTGCAATTCATCCTCTCCCCCCCATCTGTATTTACTGAAGTTTTGTCTTAGTTTGAGGTTTATTTTATATTGTACAATGACATGGTAACATTACAACTCTTTAAAGAATATTCCTTGCTCAATATTTGTGTCTTTCAGCAGTGAAGCTATACCGTTTTTTACTCCTATAATGCAAATATTTTATTATTAAATCACTGAAAAATATGATTATTTAGGTGTAAAAGTTCAGGCTGGCTTTGCCACTGGTGTCTTTATATATCAGTAATGTTGAAAAACATGTGAATTTATAATAATGCTTTTCTTGCTACAGAAATGTATATTCCATTTTCTTTATACCAAGAAACTTATTGTAGATTTTTATTTGTTTATACATTTTAAATTTGAAGGCACGGATCTCCGCTGTTGCTTCGTCATTGCTGTCTGATGTGTGGGTCTATTCAGGTATAAATTGTCAGCCATTGTTTTATTTTGTTAATGAAAGCTACTGCATGTGTGTTGATTACATTTTGATATCCAAATAATGAAAGATTGTTAAATAGGTGATGAAAAAGGACGTCTTATCTCATGGAAACACTTGCAAAACGAAGTTTATGAACATTTTCCACTGAATGGATGCATAAATTGCATTTCTTGTTCACCTGATGAAGAAGGCATTGTGGTGATAGGGTATGTTCAGGGTATGTTCAGGGTTTGACTGTGGCCTGGTTGAAGGATGGTGGGCAATGTGACAATATATGACATTTTTTACCAAATTCGGTCAGATGAGCTTAAACACTTTCCCTGTTTCAAACTGTTCAACTATATAAAGCAGGTGGGAGATTTTATGCCCATCAAACCATATGTAGTTAAAATATTTGAATGTATGGCTACATTGGTGTAGGTGGAAAACATTTTTAGGAATATAGGTGTAGCTATTGTGTGTAGTATTTCAAAATCAAAAACCGTCTTCTTTGATTAATAAACATGTTAAAGTTGCATGATTTGAGACATCTCATTGTAAGCGTATTTGTCATTTACAAGGGGGGAAACAGAAAAAAGGAGCTTCCTTTGCCCCCTTTACAAATTACCTGTTTACTTAAAGACATCAATGGATGTGCGTTACATGATTAAAAAACTACTGCACTCTAGTCTCCTCGTTATATTAGAAATGAAAGCTTATACCAAGTCTTTTATTGCTAAAATAATAGAAAAATCGATCTTTGTGGTGGTCAGAGTTCTTTAAAAAAACCAGGTGAATTATACCTTACGTCTTACATTAAAAAAACACTCATGTCACTCTGGTAACTCGCACGCATAGCGAAAAACAGAGTCATGTTTAAAATTTTAAATGTACACAACACGTTATCAATTTGCCTAACACAAAGTATTTCCTCAGTGTGCGAATTAGTTCAGAAAAAACGATGTGCAATTTTTTTGACAAAAGTGTTTCTTTATATGCATAATCAAATCGATATCACGTTAATTATTATACAGCGCTAATTGCTAAATTAATATTTTCAAACGTGAACAAATTCATATGATTTACGACAGTGTTTTTGGTTGAAACCGCTGATTTTTGCACATCGTTTCAAAAAGTGATGTGCAATTGTTTTCATTTTAGCTAAAACGATGTGCAAATTGCACATTGCACACCGTTAATTCGCACACTTGTATTTCCTCATGCAAGACACCGTTGCAGACACGCTTGCATATTACGAAGCTGCTATAAAATCTAAGGTACTGCCAACTAAGAACTGAACTTTTCATAAACTGTATTTTGACTTACTGCAAAAGGATACCGGATGCGTGCATTTAAACTAATGTATTTTATCGTAGAATATTTGCTATCTCAGTGAAGTTGTGTTTGATAGCCTTGCGGAACAACAATACGTAGCTTGATGTCAACAACATGCCTGCTGTTTCTTAAATTGTATTTTACTTTTAATTGGGTAATTAAAGTATATTTGATGATGGTCTGCGTTACCTCAGCAACAAATCTTCATTTCTTAACGTTTCTATAAGAATTATGAGCTACGAACGTATAACGATAATTTTATTCGGAGGATGAGTTTTTTGTCCACTCCTGTTAATGTTTGTATAAAAACCAATTTTTCACATTGTCCATTGATATATTTTCCAAGACGGTTATATTTTTCTGATAAATATTTCTTGGGAGTGTTGCACCTCATCCGCCATCTCTTTGCAAATTTCGATGAATTTGTATTTTTATGCATAAAAAATTTGCCCTGTATTTGAAAATTGTAGTTTCATGGTTTATTTTATACTAGCATTTTGTGTATCTTTTTTGTAGTTATAAGACTGGTCAAATCATAGTCATATCAACCCATGCACAGAAAATGGAAGTTGTTAATGTTTTGAAAGGTCATGATGATGAAATTCATTGTTTGATTTGGTCACCGTGTTCTTTGAAAGAATTACCTTCAGGTAATTATTAAACTTGATTCCTGTAAGGACTGCTCTGTTTATACAACAGCTCTGAAAAACAATATTACCAACAGTTGATTCCCGTACAGAGTGTTTGTTTGCCTGTTGTTATTTGGATTAGTGCATTTAATAAACAGAACGAGTTTCTAAGAACTAGACATCTTTTTACGTACATGTATTGATGGCATCTTCGTACAAATATTATAAGTTAATTATAACAAAATCATACTTTCGGTGCTCATGCATATTTGGTGGGATTATTGAAGTACTTCTAATTGTATATACTATCATTGTATCATATCATACGTAATGTCATTGCTTATAAAGTTTCGAGTTGAGGTGTTGAAACTTGTCTAACGTTTAGAATCCTATTATACTTTTTTTAATAAGCATTAATACTTTTACGTAGTTATTTCATATTTTCGTCAAGAACTGCTATAGACTGTCAATGTACACTTCACATTTTAATAAACATGAAAAGCACAATTCGCTGGTTTTCTTTTGAACAACATCACACAGACATTTCCTGGAACAATTTGCAGAAATATTTGCTGAAGAAACGACTCCCGAAGATGGTTTTATCCTAGCATCAAGTTCTCGCGATAAGACCATTCGTTTATGGAATTTATCATTTGATCAGTACATCACAGTTTTTAATGTTCCTACAAAATCGTCGAAAGGTAAACATTCTCGTGATGATTACAATATGAAATCACGGTTATGGATAACCCTTTGCTGGCCAAGAAATGATCCCAGCACGTTGCTGTCCAGTGGATTCAAGTAATGGCTTTATGTTTTTTTTCCACTTTTTTGCACTGTTGATATGAAAGTGCAATTTAAAGTTTCGAGTCATGTTTTTGGTTCAAAATATTCAACGAAATATTTCATTTCTTTTGATATTTTAATATAGCAATGTACAGAGCTGTGTCGTAAATTTTACATAGTTAATAGAAATTGTTTCCTTTGTTTGACGTTCATTTCTCGGAAGATTTGGCTGCAGTGCCGTCCCTAGACTGAAACGTTTGAGGGAGGGGGGTGCTTATTCATAAGTATGTTGAGTTGTGCCCGACCGGTTTCTTTTGAACCTAAAATGCTTTCAAAAGCAATCAGTCGGGCAGAACTTAATATTTGACTAATTTGAATATAACCCCCCCCCCCTCTCCCATTAACGTTCTTCGCTGCATGAACAAGTTGAAAAATAAATGTTTAGAGTTGTTTTAATATACTATTTAGATAATTGACGTCGATACATTCTTATGTTAAAATCAGCAAATACAGCAATTTTTCATTTCCTTTGTTTAGCGGTGACATTCTGAGCTGGAATCTCTCGAAGAAATCTAAACCAAAATGGCGATTGTTTGGCGAACACAGTCGCATCGTGTTCAACATGTGTCATCGTCCTGCTAATGACGTAATGATCAGTGTGTCAATGGATAGGCAGGTACTGAAAATAATTGTGCTAATTCATTTTCGTAAGATTGTGAGTACTCTTATCCTAGTTTCTTGCGATATTTTCATCTGTCTTGGCGTTAGCATTTTTTTAAAATTATTGATTTGATTTCAAAACAAACGATGAGCGAATTTCGTATAAATTTCTCGTACATAATTTGATGGTGTTTATATTTCAAGTGGAAGTATTATATTCCTTGTCTGTGGCTGTCTGCCATCTGTCACTGAATACGTTTAGTCAACCGTCAACCCTTATGTGAAAATAACCATATTTAATATATGGAAGAAACTTTTGCTTTCATACCTTTCCTCTTGTTGCTTTTCAATGCAGATTATTTATTGAATATAATTCTAACGAATACCATAATACATTTGCCGAATTCGTTATGAGTTTACTCTTTTAGCATTTTGTGTGATTACATTTTAGAAATGTCCATTCTGTTATTGTGATGCGTTGTTTTTGTCTGCAAAGAAACGCACAAATATTCAGTAGTCAAACAAGAAAAGTTTCTACTTGATGAACATAAATTTCTGATTTATAGATAAATATTTGGAGTTTGGAAGATGCAACACTCCTTACCAGTCTACCATGTTGTGGTGGATTTGTGTATAGCTTGGATGTAACTGTGTTAGATCCATTGCGTCTCGCTGTTGCTGTTGGTGATAACATGATACGTATTTGGAACAATTCAAGAAGTTCATCTCCTAAAGTTACTAATCTTTGGCGTGGGATTGGTACCAAGGTTATGATAGTGAGTTTCTTATAACATTATATTTATAGGATCTTTGAGGCTTTAACCCAATTTACACCTGAGTATCTTTATTTTTTATTTGTAAGTTTTTCTCAATGATGTTTCGCCGATTGTCTTTACCCGAGGGTCTTGACTCCAGGGTTATTACCCGAGGGTCTTGACTCCAGGGTTATTACCCGAGGGTCTTGACTCCAGGGTTATTACCCGAGGGTCTTGACTCCAGGTTTACTACCCGAGGGTCTTGACTCCAGGGTTATTACCCGAGGGTCTTGACTCAAGGGTTATTACCCGAGGGTCTTTACTCAAGGGTTATTACCCGAGGGTCTTTACTCAAGGGTTATTACCCGAGGGTCTTTACTCAAGGGTCAACTCCCGAGGGTATATTCCCAGGGATTTATTCCCCGATAGTATTTACTCAGTGCAACGACCCTTCATCAATAGTGACACACAGTATTCACATAAAGGAAATTCACACATACACAGAAATAGTTTCATGCACATTTTTACTAACTTACTGTTACGATTAAAAGGTTTAGTCACGAGTAAATTCACTGTTGTGATCTGATTGAATAATTTAAGTCCATGATTGGAGATTTGTTTTCAGGTTAAAAGATATGTGTTCCTATAAGCCGTTTCTATTACAACTTTGTCATACTTGTTCTCCGTACTTTCGTCAACAGGTTCTTTGGCATTCATTGAACGAAGGTTTACTTGCTTTTGGTACAGAGGAAGGAAAAGTTGGCATTTATAATGTTCTTTCACAAACGTAAGAATACTATCAATTGAACTGAATACCTTTTGATTAAAAACTATAACATGCATTATATTTCTCAGCATTCGTGATGCTTGATTTGCATTTATCTTGTATTGTGAAATTATGCCGTATTTAGATGCAATGTTTCAAGAATATATCACAAGAAATCGGTTTATTCATTGTCTTGGGGTCCTCCATCTGAGCACTTGGGTATAACAAAGATTTCTTGTTGTCGCTATAGATAATCTATTTTCCGACCCTTTTAAAGTACTACTTACCTCGTTTATCTCTTCAGATGATGAAGGGGACAAGAATTTGCGTTTATACAGTTGTGGGGGAGAAGGAACCATTTTAGAACACAAGCCCGATCGTTTAAGCGACGTAGCAAAAAATATTGACGTTGTCATCAAAAGGACAAATGAAATAACGGTGAGATAATGTTTTGTCACATCAAGTCATCACTTACCATTCATTGTCGTTGTACTTTTACTATTGTGTAGCACAATATTTCTGGACATACTGAAGTTTCTTGTAAACCTGACGGAACATTGATGGCAATTGGCAATGAAGATGGGTCAGTTTGATTTTCTCAGTTATTTACTGTACTACTTTATAGTATTTTACGATGTTATTTGACACGCTTTCAATTCCAGGAGTTTTTGTGTGATCTGACATACTATACATCCAAAAAAATCATTTGTATAGGTCTATTCTCTTCTGTGGTTTTCCCGATTTGAAGATTTTGTCAACTATAGATGTTCATAAGAAAATATAACATGTCTGGCATGGTATCTAAGTTATGATACAGATGGTAAACATTAAAGTACATTTTATGATACTCTAACTCCTGATATTTAAGTATGTATCTTCACAGATTCTCTTTGCATTAACTTAAAACTTATTTCAGATCCTTGTCTGTCATATCTTGCATCGGGATCGAATGGCTCCGACGTCCATGTTCATGATTCAAAAGAAATCTTAAGAAGTATGCATTTGAATGAAATAGATCAATTGTGCTTTGCACATCTTGAAACTGAACAGTAGATACTGACCATATTATTAAGAAAGTATTTACATATATGAACGTGATGCTTCAATTTTAAGAAAACCCTACCCCAACTTCTTTTTTGCTCTTTCCGAGAAGCAGATGTAAAGGTGGTTGAACACATCCCTTACATTGCCACTTTAATTCACAATTACTGCTTTAATATTAAGCGTTGGAAAATGGTTCCATGAATACCGTCACAAGCAGCTACCGCTGGCTAGCTGGTCACAGTGCTCGTGTTACAGATGTCGCTTGGAGTCCACATTCAGATTTGAAACTTGCTTCTTCTTCTTATGATGGGACTGTACAGGTTAGCTTCTCATAATTTTGATGTTTAGTTTGATTAATATGAGCACAAGACACTACAAGCTATGTTAAAAATGAATAAAATGTGTGAATAAAAATATGTTTGTTCAGGTATGGGATGTCGTGACAGGTTCAGCATTGGTCAACTACCGTGGTCATTGTGGTCGCGTAATGGCTGTGGTGTGGAGTATTATTGATGTTGATGTCTTGTTTAGTGGTGGAGATGATTTTACTGTTCGTTCATGGAGAATATCTCAACAAGTCTTCAAAGAACCTCCATTAGAATGTATTTTACCAATTATCATACACTAACTTTCGATAAACCGAGAATTCTATATCCTGTTACCCCTAATCATACGCTAGAATGCGACAAACCAATACTATACCCAAATACCACTAATTATCACACGTTCAATTGCGATAAAATAATAATTCTATACCCAGTTACCCTTCATTATCATACACTTAATTTCTATAAACCAATAATTCTACATCCAGTCACCACTAATTATCTATACTCAGTTTCCCTTAGTTATCATACACTCGATTACCATGCATCCTATAGCTGTGTAAATAATAACCATACATCTAGTTACCATCTAGTATGCACAACTGCCCAATGGTTAAATAGCTACCGAAATTTTCTTTTAAAAATTTTATCACTGTTTGACACATGCAATATCTGTTCACATCATTCTAGCAAGGTTCTACTAGTTCACCCATTAAATCCTAGTGATAATTTTTATTGCTTTTGCCTCTAACCTTTACTTTACGTGTCCTAGCAAAGAAGCCAAAATCCAGAAGCAAGAAGAAGAAAAAGAAAGCGCTATCCAACGACACTCAAAATAGGAAAGACGAAATCGTAATGAATAAAGATGTTATGCAAGTACCTTTGATTGCTGACTCTAGTTGTAGCGGAAAGGATTTTGTTGAAACTAGTAAAGATTTTAAAGATGTGTCACTTGAAGAAAACTATACACTGCAACATAACAGTCAAACGCTAAACTCGTCCTTTGCCGATGAAAGACAAGAATGTGTAGACTTCCGTCAACCTCATGACGCTACAACTTCTAATAAAGGTAAATAATTTTTTATTCGTCTTTGGCTGTATGAGTTAAGTTTTAATGCTTGTACTAGTAAAAAGTAGTGGCTACAAGCATTGTTCATATTCAGCAAAGTAGGATTCTTGTCTCATAGTTTAATTATTTCTTCTGGAGACTCCAGACTGCTTTCTGAACAAGTGGAGTCTCGATAATGTACAGTTATCAGCTTGCCGAGTAGCCATCAATATTACGCTCCTATGAGGAATTTCTAAGACATATCAATTTTATGAAAAACAAATATACTATCAGAAAGACTAGATCAAATTTTACTTTAAGATAACTCAAGAGGCTGTTTTTGGTAATGTTTAATTTGCTCTTTAAAGCAAATACTGTTGAAAACAAAAAGAAAAAAAAGCGAGGAAAATCCATGCTTCCACTTTCTGCCTTGGCTGACAACCGACCTAGGGATATAACGAGTAAAGGATGTATTGAAGTTGCAAAATTCGTTACTGGTAGCACAGGTAAATTTTGAAGTGTGCCTCGCTAGTTTTGTTTTCATAAATATGTATTTATTGTTTTTATCGATTTTTTCTAATTCAACGGTTTTGCTGTTTTATTTTTGTTCCTAGACACTGTTCACACTGATAGCGATAAATTCAGTCTTGGTCTATTTGCTGATAGAAAATCAACTTTTAGTATGTTAACTGAACAAGGTCAGTGCGAAAGACTTTTGCAAGCTGCATAATAAACTGATCACGTGTTGTGCAAAATATTGTAATTGCAATGTGTGTCATTGCTTGAGTTTTATGTTTTAGATACTTCTGTAATGTGACCCAAACCAGAATTCATTTTTAAATCAAACGATGGTCTAGTCAATGCTTATTGGGCACTTATCAAGGACAAATGCCCGGGCCCAATGTGTACTACTCCAAGAACCCTCCCCCCACCAATTTATTTTATTTCGGCTTGCACTAAATACTCAATCTCCCAAATTTGCTCCTGAAACATGTGGCAGTTATTGACGTGATGAGAAATGGACTTGTTTATTCATACTTTTCACGAAGCTGGGCTCATAAGTCATGTTGTTTTATGGAGTTTAGATGAAAACAGTGACGCTATTTTCCATCTCAATGACATCTACTACTTTCCAAAATGATATAAATGTAGTGTGAAACGAGGTTATTAACGAACAGAAATGTACGTTCTATCTCTCTTTTGTCTTGTTTGTATGTTATCATACTGTTTAACAAAGATTTGATGAAAATGTATCAAAGCAGCTTGAACCTCGTCCTGTTTTCAATTTTCACCAAAATCTGTTTTTACATTCACTGAAGGGGTTTACCATGCAGAAAATGGAAATATTGACTATCAGATACACTTGGAATTATGGAAAGGAAACATAGGAAAAGCACTGGAAGTTGCTGTTGAGAAAAAACAGTTGAATGACTGTTTAGTTGCTTTCAGTCATTTAGGTGAATTTGTCAAACATAAATGATATTTTTCTTATTTGAAGCTTATTGCTGGCGAAATAAGTTAGTCGATTCCAAATTGCTCCTTATCCGTTTCAAAATAACTTATTTTTAGCTGGAGAAAGTGTGCGACTGGTCATTACTGAAGCTTTTGCAGAACAACTTGTTGGTCAAGGAAGTTTTTATCGAGCTGCTCTGTATTATCTCGCATGTGATAAAGTGTACGAAGCAATCAATGTGTTGAAAGTTGCTGGAATGCACAGGTATTTAGATTGAGCTACATGAAGTAGCACGTGTAGATTGTGCAATATGCAACAAGATTTTTTGTGTCTTGTCTAATTTATTCTGAAGTCGTTTTGTCTTTTATGAAACCAAAGCGACAACGAAAAAGGATAAAATATTATACTTATAAATCGATGACTGTGTAGACGAGGGACTTACATCGTAGTGTTTAAAGTGTTTAACATAAACCCTCTCCGTATATTATGTCAGTTAAAGTGCCCCTTTCGGCAATTTTTAATAGCGATATTTACTTTAGGTGTAATTTTCAACGTATCAGTGAAAAAAGTTTTTCAGTTTGTCAAATCGTTCCATTTTTATTGCTAATTAAAGTTAGCAAAAATGTTCCCTTTAATAGATCTTGTCCGTCGTTCGAAAAGCCTGGAACGACTTACCATTGTGACTTCATGCAAGGGATTCCTCAATACAAGATATATGTACGAACTCCTTGGATGACGTCAGATTTGGTTAGACCCAGTCTTCCTGCCACGACGGACAAGGTCCATTGAAAAGCAACTTTAAGCCTCCATAACAAGAAGACAGTTTGACCAAATTGAAAAAAATTTTTACCGATACGTTAGATATTACACCAAGTTTTTGCTGATAGGGGCACTTTAACCATTTTATAGTTGTTTTCTTCTTTCTGGTATTGCTGCACGAATTTTATTTGCTGTCTCCACAAGTTTATGTGTTTATTACAGAGATGCTATTGCTTTAGCTAAAGTTCGTTTGTTACCCTCTGATCCTGTGTTGCTTGACTTGTATTCTTCGTGGGGTCGACGGCTGGAAATTGAAAACTCTTATGAACAGGCATCAAAGTGGTGAGGATTAAAAAACAAACTTTCTTTTGAAAATAAACTGAAAATTAACTTTCAAAAAAAAAATACCCCTGAATGTATATGTCACTTTGTGGGGGGAGGGGGGCTGGCAGTTTAGCAATAAGACTTTGTGGGTTTTGCTTGGTATCTTTTGGATTCTAAAAGTGTAGTTGAATTCAAACATCGCAATTCTTTATTTTTTTATGTTGAATCGTTCATCGATCAACTGTAACTTTTCGTACTTGAAATTTTTCTATCCCCCCTGGCTGGAGAACCAGTATAATATTCCAAAAACGAAGCTGTGATCTATATAAAGCTGTGAAGCTATATTGCAGGGACCATGGTAGATCAATAATTGGGGAGGCTCATATTCATATATATCATAATCCGTTATCACAATTCATTTCAACAGAAACTAATAAAGTAGAATATGCATTTATGAACATTAGCCCCCACCGCCCAATTATGGATTTTCAATATTGGTATGTTTAGGAAAACTGTCTGGGCAACACTTGATAATGTGAATTTTGTCTTTTTGCCTTTAAATTTTTTTTTCATGGCTTCTGTCGAGATATTAGGCATGGTTTTTTAGGGTTTTTATATTTTTTAGTTACTTAGCTTGTGGGTTAAAGGATGACGCAATTCGTGTTTTGACTCGAAGAGGAGATGAAGTTGCTTTCCATACTGCAGCACAGGTTATTTTATTATTTATACAACTTTCAAGATCTTTTATTTAGGATGTCTTTTTGTGTGGTGGGGAATTAAACGTTCTGGGGAAGAGTAATTTGGAAATTGTTCAATTGCCAAAGGCGTTACCATGCAGTTGAGACTTTAATTTCCATGGTTTCTATAACAACAGTCATTTCTATTCCTTTACCAATTTCAATACTTAGAAGACATAAAGCTGTCAATAATGTTTCCATTTCGATAGATGTGAAGTTCATTAACCGAAATGATCATTGCGAAGCACTTTATTGAACAATTATCGGATTTTGTCGAATTATTGATCACGAATACGTAACTTCGTAGTGTTTTAACTTAGCACAGTTATTTAACTACAATGTTTCACTTGGTCTCATAGGTAGCAATGTTTTGCCAAAAACTAGATCTTGCTCAGTCCCTGATTCAGCAGTCTGCTTTGAAAGCAACCAAAAAAGCGAGGTGGAATGATGCGTTGGACATGATTCACGACTACACGGAAATGGAGGTTTGTCCGTTCTTCATACAAGTCTCAGACTTCATTTTCGTTGTTGCATGCGTCTTCTATATACGTCTGAATTAACCTGTGGTATTTCTGTTGAAATTGAAACTAGTTTATGGACGTATTTGTTGTTTGTATTCTTTTATCGTGTTGTAGTGATTGAGCTGTATTTCAGCTGGAAAAATTTATTCACACTTTGATAAAATTTCTGGGATTTTCTCGTTATGTTCCATATACGCATCATCATGAAAAAGCTCGAAAAACATTTGATAAAATATTTCATAAGCTGTCTTCGTTATGAGTAATATAAAAAGTCATTTTTTCGGCGCTTGTCTTGTCAAAAATTACTTTTTTCACCTTGACAAGTGTAAAATGGAAAGAGAAGATTTTCTCTAAGGCCCGAGCGCTGTTCTTTTTAAAATTTATTAGCAATCTGGAAATGTAGATATTTGTCAACAGAAAGCAACTCCTTAGTTCAGCAGGCAGACAATGAGCACTCATACACTCTTCATCTGATAAATGCCATTTTGTTGTAATTTTATTATTTAATGTAGTTAGAGTATAATAGTCATGATTCAGGCTTATAAAGCATAAGAATAAATAGGTAACAGTTTTTCCAATTTGCCGTTTTATTTTTTACAATTTCTTATTTATTTTAACTATAGCCACTACTATTATTGATATGTACTCATAAGACCATGCTCAAAAGTTTGTTGAAATCAGGTGCCTTTGGAGAAGAAGATTTCCCAGAACGTCAGTTATCTGAATCTAATGAGATAGGCGATGCTTGCTGTCACACTGAGTTACCCAGCTTTATAACAAAGCTTCAAGGTAAATATAGATACAAATCCAGGCAGTTAAGGGAAGAAAGCGCTGAAGCATCAAGAAGACATAAGGGGAACATCGAATGTTTTCAACACAAGCTGAGCATTTTCTGTAAACACCTTAATCTAATCCACATGTTTCAGAATGCGCTAAATCCTGGTGAAATGACAAATTACGTAATCTTGATATCGTTTTTCCTAAATCATGAAGTGATTATAGTATCCAAGCGAGAGTTAAAAACATGAGCACTCTATTTATGAATGAAAGCTTTCTACAACTTTCTGTTTTTAGCTAAACACGAAGGTTTTTTGATCGAGGGAGCATCGTTATTTTGGAGATCGGTTTCTAACGATGATTCAGACTTTTTTATTTACAAAATTTTGAGGCAATGGTGGCGTGAATGTGATTTAGAACGCAGTAAATCTCGTTTACCTGCGTCCTACGTACAACTTTCAGCGTTAACTTGTGGAAGGCAAAGTTTATTGAATAAAGGAATTGCTGAAAATGTGAGTACTTTCTCAGCTCCTTGTTTTTCTTTGAAATGTTGCATTTAAGAAAAGTATAATACTAATATTGCATCTTCTCCATAAAAATATACGCACCATACTTCCACATAAATCAAAACATTTTACATCATTTTTATACGCATTGATTTGGTTGTTACCAAAAACTGTATACAAAATAGAACTTGCTCTGTCAATAGATATGCAAAGTGTTATAAAATTGACACTGAATACAATCTGCTGTATCAATAGTTATGCAAAGTAAATAATAACTAAAATTTGTCTAAAATTGTTTTTTAGATAATGATGATGATATCGAAAAACGTTTGTCTTGGTTTGATTGCTGCCTTACTGGGCAAAAGTGAATTATGTTTGGAGCATTTTCTTAAAGCTCTCGCGGCTTGTAACGATTATAAATTCCAAGTTATTATTTGTCATCTCGTTGAACTTCTGTTTCCTTTTGGTCTCGATCGTGTCGTTGTCTTGAGTTACTGTCTCAAAACAATAGGACGACGTCAGTGGGTACCATCGATCAATATTTCAACAATATTATGGCGTTTTACTATCAAGCACTCCTTCGTGATTGTTTGAGATGTTTAAAATTGAAGAATTTCCTTGGAAAAGAAGCTCATCTCAATGAAGCACAAGATTCGATGACGTTACCCGTTGATAATTGTGTTGACGCCTCTGGTAACAAAATCTCACAGGCTCCAGACCCAACCAAGTCCACAATAAATAGTTCTTCAGCAGTTGAAAAAGAGGATATCATATTGCGTTCAGATGCATGTGAAAGTCGTCGTTTCGAGTCAAATCATGGAAAGCTTCTAACTACTCCCATAGAATTTTATCGCCTTTGTTTATTTTGTTCAACAGTTCTGCTTTCAGATATCTACGCTCATGTTGTTGAGGGTGGATCTCATTCCTGCACAGACATTATGGAGGATGGTGCTTATGGCAACACTGATATTGTGGATGTTGTTGCTCATGGCAACACTGACATTGTGGAGGATGGTGCCTATGGCAACATTGACATTATGGAGGATGTTGCTCATGGCAACACTGACATGAAAGAACATGGTACTTATGACAACACTGGCATTACGAAGGATGGTGCCTATAACAAAACTGACACCGTGGAGAATAGTAGTTGTGGCAACACTGACGTAATTCAGGATAAATTACGAGACGATAGAAATGAAGTGGAGAAAATGTTGCAGGTATTGTTTACCGTTATAAATTGATTTTTATATCCACGAAAAAATGAAAAACATACATGCAGGTGAAGTGCATTTACGCAGTTGAAATACAATCTTGTGCATAAAGATGAATGCCTATGACTGCTTTGCAGACTTTTACACTGTTACATTGATATTCACATAATTGTTTTGCTGTTGTCGTACTGTTTCACTGTAGTTACTTTTACATTAATTGTACTGCTTCACTTTACTTCACTCCTACAGTAGTTTTACTTTTGCACTGAATATTCTTTCATTATGTTTGCACTGCATCCCTTATACACAGACGTAAACAAGAACGGTTGTGTGAAATAGTTGTGGATAAGAAATTCAACTTACTTTTACATACTTCATGTTATCCCTTGCTATAAACTGTATCTTATTGTAGTTTTATATTCTTTCAGAAGATACCATTTCCCAACGTGAAAGAAAGTGTGTCTTTGTTGTTAGATTTATTGAACATTATAATTTCATCGCCTCATGCCGACAAAGACTTGAAAACTGGGTCGTCCGAACTGTTCAGAGAAATAACTTCTTGGGCAACACGCAGGAAATATGATCTGAAAAAGTGACTTCAGTCAACGAGGAATTACAAAACATCTCTGGAATATGTCAGTAATTTGAGTTTTTTATTATGCTGTAAATTGTTGTGCTGTAGTTTTGATGTTTATGTGTTGGTCTGTTGTGAACTTGACAATGGAAGGTAAGTTACGTAATTTGTTCCAATAGTGATTTAAAAAATGGCTTTTATCTACATTTATGCATGTAGTCAATAACTGAATTGAAAGTGTGTATTGCTGCTAAGTCCTGGCTGTATGAGTAAGTGCCGAAATTGTGAGGATAGGTTTTGTCAAAAAAAAACTTAATTTAAAGCCATAAATGCCATACTCAAAAAACTAATTTTCTAAAGATACGAACCATCACAGTTTAGTGAGTATGTCTATATTTGTGTCTATCTTTGTGCGTGCCTTTTTTACGTTTGTGTCGATTGTTGAAATAGTTGAATCTACCTTTTTGTCTCCCTTTTTGTCAATGTTTATGTCTATTTTTGTGTCTTTCTTTGGGTCAACCTTTGTGTCTACCTTTTCTTCTATCTTTTGTCTACCTCTGTGTCTACCTTTTCTTCTATCTTTTGTCTACCTCTGTGTCTACCTTTTCTTCTATCTTTTGTCTACCTCTGTGTCTACCTTTTCTTCTATCTTTTGTCTACCTCTGTGTCTACCTTTTCTTCTACCTTTTTTGTCTACCTCTGTGTCTACCTTTTTTTATCTTTTGTCTACCTCTGTGTCTACCTTTTCTTCTATCTTTTGTCTACCTTTTTGTCAATGTTTATGTCTATTTTTGTGTCTATTTTTGTGTCTTTCTTTGGGTCTACCTCTGTGTCTACCTTTTCTTCTATCTTTTGTTTACCTCCGTGTCTACCTTTTCTTCTATCTTTTGTCTACCTCTGTGTCTACCTTTTCTTCTATCCTTGTGTCAAACACATTCCTTGATTTCTATACAACATTGGCACTGTTTTGCGTCATAGATGTCGCTTCTTAATATGAAATTGGATTCTTTACGTATGGACTTACGCGGTTACGCCTGCATTCTACGTTCGTATTGTGACGTAGCAGTTACCAATTCCAACTGTAACGGAATGTAGAAACCCTTGCCGTTAAAACCTAAAATTTTTGAATTGCATTGCCGTTTTAATCCTTTAAAATTAGTTCAAATTCAAATTTGATTATTGTCTTCGTAATCTATACGTTTTCACATTGGCACTTTAAAACTGTCGAATCTTTGTTGTTTCTGTCAAATTTGGAGAAAACCTACCCTCTTTTTCCCTTGCCTCCTACGCAAATGTTTTCGCGATACATTATATTTACGTGGATAATGTCTAAAAAATGACGACTAGACGAGGATAGTCCGATAGTGTTTGATAAATGATAAGTTATTTGATACATTCGTAGAAATATAAGTTTCTAAGAAATTGTTTGAAAAATCAAATGTCATAACATGCAGGCTGTGAAAGCATCGTTCACTTGTATTAAAATCAACGTTAATAACCTCAGAAACTTTGTTTTTGTAAATGTTATATAATTCTCGTGCTGATGAAATGCTACGATTAAGTTACGCTAAATATGTCAATTGTCATTGTCGTACATCGTCTGGGACTTGCATAGCAACCAAATGACGACAACAACAAGTGAATCGAAGGATTGTTGATATTTATTTTAAAGAGTGGTAACATCATTGTAAATGACCTGTACTAGATTATTTGGAGATTAAATTCATGTAGTGTAGTATTATGAGGTGTGAATTTTAAATATTTTTTATTACCTGAAAAAATATGTCTTCCGTGGAAACAACAACAACATTCAACAGCCGAGAAGGTAAATGTTTTAATGTCCTGCGATAAGCGAATGCAGAAATATCATATTTACATCATTATGTTAAATTTTTCTTCAAGGTATTCTGATTGTCTGTGTATGTGTTAAGAGTCTGCTTTCAATGTCAGGGATTTAGATTGACAAAGTTTCACATTACCGGCTCTTGTTGGAGTGGGTGTTTGCGCGTACGATGAATCAATTTTATTATGAAACATTATTATATATAGTCATTGTCTTGAAGCGCTGTCAGTGACAGTTCAATATTTTTCAAGTTTTACTGTTGAAAACCAACAATATATTATATGTATAATTGAAATGTATGTGGCGATTTAGCAAATTAAACCCTACTATCGTTCTATCAGGCTGCGAGCACTGCAGCCAGCTGGCTAGCAATTCCTCAAGTATTATAAAAAATGCATTCAACTAAAGGTTTACTGGCTTAGGTAAAGGATTCAGTAGCATCAGTGGTAACAGGAACAACAAAGGACCGCATACCGTGTACACAATGGCATTTCAAGGATTTCCATGTTCAAGATCAAAGCCCTATAGGTAAACATTTTTATTGCCTCTAATAGCAGATTTCTACTGCACACAACGCAGCCCTTAATTGCATAACGACTGAAATATTTTGAGGGCTGAAACGAGCGATCACCTTCCGACCGGTTGGCCATTTGAAAACAGTAATTATAATGAGACATATACTCCAAAGTATTGTACAAAATACAACCTTCATCCGGTATCGGTACATCGCAAGAATAATCCTCATCCAGTTGTGTTTGACCCTTGGAAACATCCTTGTATGGTGAGTCATTCTATATGTTTGTTAGCTAAAAATACGTTCCTGATTCGTTCTTATATTAATAAATATGTGAGCAAGTAAAGTCCTGCAGCTACCCAGTTTGTGGTATTTCTCTACTTTATAACCTTGACCTTGTATCCAACGGTAACAACCCATATTACAATGTGACCGGCCCAAGACCGGCCTAGTTTCTGTCGAGAAGTTATTCGTCACAATTTTCATTACAAAGCATGTCAAAAAGCTATATACATACCCTGTTATAGAAGTTCTCCATGTTTTCTATGACACTGAAATTCCTTTTTGTGCTTTTAGACATACACAGCGTAAGGGGAAGAAACCTCAAAATTGCCTACTTTTACCCAAATCAACCCACTTTTTGCTACATTTTCTTACAACTGCCCGAATCTTTGACTTTTTTTTGTCTAAAACATCCCCTCGTTTAGCAATTTCCGTCAAATTTGGGGAGCAACTCCACTATCTGCCCCTTGTTTCTTCATCTGCGCCTGTTTGTTCAATTTTTGCAATACATTTTATTTACGAACGATAGCAACTCATATTATGTAAGACCTTGTTTTTGTCGGTACGTTGTCCGTTACACTACAAAGCATAACAAAAAGATAAATACAATAACTTACACGGCTGGTAAGTAGCAAAGCAGGCCTAGACAAAAGTTGATTCGTGTCTGAAATTATGGTTCGATGAATGACTACGTCAGCCTACATGCCATAGCCAGAATCTTGTTCTCTATACACGGTTCTATGGTGCGTTCTGTTTATTATCAGAGATTTCAAGTATGGAAACCTGGGACGAGATTAACGGAAACAGCTCCAGCTAGTTATGCACGAACGAAATTAGGAAGACGCTTTTGGGAAACCAGCTACAACACATCATTTTCTGGAAAAAGATTTGGTAAAACAGAAGCCCAAAAGCCATAACCTTGAAATTTAGAAGTCTGCTTAAGTTAACATTATTCACTACATTAATGCAGATTGTTTGCCGAAAATTTCACAAGTTCAGGAAAACGAGAAATCTGGTTAGTAGTAGTCCGTTAGTACTATTCATTGACAACATAATTTGTATCAATTATCGTTATGCTTGTTCTTGGCTGGTAATTTTATAGCACAATGTTACTTGCATGCTAAATTGTTTAATTTATTTCACGCAAATGACAGAAACTTGAAGGTAGTAAACAAGTTTTACTTTTGCCTTGTGTGCGGCTACATTTTGCTTTGATTTTTTGTGTATACAGGAAAAGCAAACCTTTCATTACATATGATGAGTATGTATAAACACGACTACATTGCAGACAAGGGACGACCCAGTACATTGTTAAGGTAAGATTCTTTTGGCAACTTCGTACAGCACTTATGCCTGATGACGTCAATACTTCGTCGCGTAAGTGGCATATTTTCTTCGGCATTCTTTGTAGCATTATAAGTTAATATCACTGTGGTTCTTATATAACAACGCAGATGTTTTAAATACATAAGTTGTTGTCTTCTACAGACCTAGGGATCGATCGTTTATGAACTTAAGCATGTGAAATCAACTGAAAATGGATCAAATGTAGCAAGAGGTCAAAGATTTCATCCTCTGGACTTAGTCCAAAATGGTTCATAAAACATAGCTGGAATGACTATGTACAAATGGCTGACAAGATATAATGCCCATTTAAATGAAAGCAAAATCAATTAATGGATGACATGTTGATTAAGAAAATTTCATTCATCTATGTCATAGTTTAGTTTAGAAAAACTTTTATGTGTATTACACTAACTTCAAAATTAATACTGGTAAATTTTTTAAGTTATTAAATTAAATTCATTGTGATTTTTTATTATTATATGACCTGACCTAACGATAAGTTTGAGCCCTGGGTATAATTTTTGATAAAGTTCTATATCAAAGCTGGTGTTACAATGAGGAACTATAGTGATTACTCCGATAATTATTCCAATTCTAGTCTTCTAAAATACATCCATACTTTTTCTTTGTCAAACAAACAACATGCACAAATGTGTGTGCTATGAGTGTTTTTTGTTACTGTGTTATGCTTAATAATGTGGATAGGTATACATAAAGTTCAAAATCATTAATGTGCATGTTTGTGTAAGTTTAACAAATTATCTTATGACAGTTAATGTCTGATTTATGAATTTTCATACTTTGTTCTCATGGATGATCATTTTAGCACAACTAAAATTGAAACAAACTAGACAAGCCAATATCACACACTCTTACCAAAACCTTAAATGAAGTTTTGTATGTGAGAGGCCTGTACCAAGAATTATTCAACAACAAAAAAATAGCAAGCAAAGGTTAGATTAGGTCAAAGTATATATGCATTGTACTGATGTGTATAGAATCTATTAATAATTGTTTATAGAATTACGCAACATGAACCGCTAGAGGATGAACTATTTTGTGCCATTTTCATACGTCGAACAACTTCTGCAAATATTTCGTCGACGTTTTGTTTAGTTTTGGCTGATGACTCATAGAACGGGCAACCCCATTCAGCAGCTAATTCCTTCCCTTCTATCGCATTTACCTCCCGTTCATCAAATATATCGCATTTATTGCCCACTAGAATCATTGGAACAGTATTTGTGTTCTTCACACGCAATATTTGTTCTCGCATAGCTCTTAGATCCTGGAATGTTTGTTGGTTTATGATTGAAAACACGAGCAAGAATCCTTGGCCATTCTTGATGTAAAGATCCCTCATAGACGCAAATTGTTCAGTGCCAGCCGTATCGAGTATTTCAAGCACTGAAGGATAATTGTCAACCTCAATTTCTTTCCTGTAGAAATCTTCAATCGTTGGGTCATACTTTTCAACAAACTTTCCCGTAACAAATTGAACTGTTAAGGCACTTTTTCCCACACCGCCTGAGCCGAGTACGACAACTTTGTACTCCTTCATTCGACCACCAGACATCATGAGAATAGTTTTTTATACGGCTGATGAATTCAACAAATAGTTAACAGAATCAATAGTTGTATTTTTACTGAAACATTTACATTACGTCCTTGCGAACAACTTATATTCCTCATGACAAAGTCGTTGCAAGGTGCGGCATCCGGGTTTTCAGTCAGGTTTGTCGATTCGACCCAGGCGATGTTCTGTATAGAGCTGGACTGATGTTATTCTCTCATATGATAATGATATGATACAGGGTATGATATGGCTGATTATACCATGATATTATAGGATAACTGATAGGGAACTAATAGAGTGAAATTTGCATCGCTCGTGCTCAGTAAACAATCGTTTTGAAGTTTCATTTTGCAATTACCACAATTTTCTAACAAGTGTGATTGTCATTCAACATGGTGTGTTAGTCGCGTTTGAACACAAGAATAGTAATTTAATGGTATCGAAGTTGAAAAATAAGCAATATAAGATAATTGTTGAATGATGTAATCATTTGACCACACTCGATAAGTCGGTTAGAAAGGTTTCCATTCAGACCAAAATATCACGAAAGTGACGCAACATAATCTCAGTAATTTGCGATGTGCATTCTTTGTATCACGCACCAAAAATTAAAGTTGTGGTGTGACCCAATGAATGTAAAAAAGCTCAGTAGTGAAGAGTCCGTCAACTAGTCATCTGGTTGATGTCAGTTGAACTTGAATGAAGTACCTCAAAAATGTATGTTGTTTCTAAGCTGTTGCTATGGTGAAAAATAAAACAAAACTACAATTGGTTAAGAGATTAAATGCAATCGCTTCCAACACTCTGATTGGCTGAAAGTGTAAACACCATCGTGGTCTTTTAAAAATACGCGTACGTTGCTAATTATTTTGAATACTTTCACACTGTTCTAACAAAAATCGTCAACATTTTTCTGCAAGAAAACCGAGAATTGACATGTATTTTATTGCAATCGTCTTTGTCATTTTAAATGTGTATATTCATGCAGTTTTCTGCGATCCATGCGCATCGAGGCCTTGTTTAAACGCCGGAATTTGTACCAGTACAAATGGTATCACATTCGAATGTAAATGTCCCAGACTATTTTTTGGTGAGCGATGCGAGAAAATGAACGACGCTTGCGAAACCACTCTTGTCAAAACGGAGGTTTGTGTAGAGCACACGTTCATGGTGACTATCATTGTGAATGTAAAACAGGATATCGTGGTATCTTCTGTGAAATTGACCATGATGATTGTTTACCGTCGCCATGCTACAACTCAGCTTTATGTAAAGACAAAGTGAACGATTATGAGTGTGTTTGCGTTGAACCGGGTACTTTCGGAAAGAAATGCGAACTTCGTGAAAGTGATATCAGAATGTTCGTGAGTGAATGTTCTGTGGATAGTGTGTGTTGGAGGAACTACACCAAAACTTTAACCGTTCCTTGGGGGTATGGTGAAAATATTTGCAACACTCAGCAATCCTGTTTTGGTAAGAAAAACAGCAGTGATAAACGAGAGCACCTTGATTACTTCATTGATGTTCAGTTACATCCAGTGCAAATGCAGTTGGGTGATGCATTAAACTTCACTTCAGACAACAGCATTCAAACAACAGTTAGTGGTGTAACGCCTCAACTAATTCCAGTCGATGTTTACAATGATTCCTTATCTTTTGTCAATTGCAACACTACAAATGGGACCCAACTGGTGACTTCACCACAACATCATATAATCATCAATGATACAAACTTACTTCATGTTGGAGTTCATTACTTCATTATGAACATTGATGTCACATATCGCTGTGATTTTGGTCTACGACTAAACATAAGTGTTAAAGAGCATGATTGCTTGCATCCAGAAAGTGGCATGATGTGTAGCAATCGAGGGCAATGCCATACAAATTTTGGTCTGCCACATTATCAATGTCTATGCTATAATGGATTCCGTGGGAAGTATTGCGAAAAGAGAGATCATTGTTTTGATAATCCTTGCCAAAATCAAAGTGTATGCATCAATGTTGAAAAAAAAATGGGTGGTGAAGATTATGAATGTCGATGCAAACCTGGATATGAGGGAAAACATTGTAACTTGTTAAAAAACATGTGCATCAATCATCCATGCCAAAATGATGCATTATGTCACTCACTCATTAATACCTATTATTGTCAGTGTAAGTCAGGTTACACAGGTCATGATTGCAGCATAAATGTCAATGAGTGTTCTACATTAGAGCCTTGTGAAAATAATGCCACCTGTGTTGATGGTGATGGAGATTATTTTTGTGTTTGCCCCAGTGGATTCACAGGTATGTATACATACATATATGTATAAAAGATAAAAGTTTCTCCGGATTTTAAGTGATTTTTATTGAGCTTTCGACTCGTTGCTTCAAGCCTTCATCAGAATGAGGAGATTATTAAATGAGTGGGTGACATAATAAATGCCTGGATTACAAATTTTCAAACTTATACATATATGTATATGAACTTTCTCGAAAAGGGATTAGGTGTTATGTATCAGTGAACATTAAAAAGTTCTCTGTCCTAGAATAAAACCAAAATTTCATTATCAATGAGCATATATCGCTTATATCTTTCTCCATTAATTAATGTTATTGATTTTCAATATTACTTAAGGAGTGACAAAGCCATCCCAATTTTTACTAATACAGTGCAAAATTATCATTCATATCTTTTGCTGAAATTAATTCTATTCGTTTTTTCCAGTGAATGAATGCAAAATTATTTGTATAGTACTATAGTAAAAACAGGCTAGCTGGCTTTTCTATTGTTGCTTAGTATGCATTTAATGACCAAATTTGTGTATTTTGCTTTTTGAATATGTGTTCATGCATTTATTTACTTAGGAACTAATTGTGAGGTGAACATCAATGAATGTGCATCGAGTCCATGCAAGAGAGGAATGTGCATTGATGGAACTAATTCTTACCATTGCTTATGTCCTGCACAGTTCACTGGCTTTCATTGTGATATTCCTCTTCGTGAATGTGCTTCACAACCATGCTTTAATGGTGGTGTATGTACTACCAAAGGAACTAGTTACCATTGCCAATGTGGTTTAGGTTATGAAGGAGATAACTGTGAAAAAGATGTGGATCTCTGTAGTAAACATGAAGCATGCAGTAATTTTCATTCATGCATCGATAAAGGGAGTCGTGTTCTCTGTGTATGCAAGCCAGGCTTTACAGGTACAGGGTATTCATTCAATAAATGGTTCAATTGTTTTATAAGTATGTGTGTCAGTTCACATGCTTTTTTCTGTCAACTTATTTATTATTATGCCTACAATGACCATGAAGGTGAATCACCTAAATTTACTCATGGCTGAGCACTTGGAAAACTTAAATGTTCTGCAAACCAATTTCAGTTGTAGTGTAATAATCAATACTCTTCTATACCTTATCATTCCATCTTGCTATTTTACAATTAAAACTTACCTGAAACTATTTGTATTATCGTGACATTACTCTTTTTGTATTTAAAGGTAGTAATTGTGGTGTGAATATTAATGAATGTGCATCACAGCCATGCAAATTTGGTGGGAAATGTCAAGATAAGGAAGATGGTTATGAATGCATGTGTTTGCCAGGATATAATGGAGGAATTTGTGATCAAGGTAATTTACACACCTGACAACTTGACTCTAACCAACAGTCTGGGACTCGGTCGGGGGGTGGGGTGGTGGCTGCTGCGGCTGTGTGGCCAACCTGCCCCTTTGCTCATTTGCTCATGTTTGCAGAACATCCCTCCTATAAGCTTTATGCAAAACAGTCCGCAAAGCTTTCAGTAGTAAGGCTGTAATCAAGGGAAAACTATAAGGTTTTCATACCACTGACAATACTCTATTATAAACCTTGATTACTAGTTGCATCGTTACTCCGGGTTGTTTTCATCAGCTGACGCTTTTTTTAATGGCTTTTAAGCGAAGTTTTTCAGTGGTATGAAAACCTTATAGATTTACGAAAAATAATTTAAGAAACATTGAGGAGAACTGGGACCAAGCAATAGCAGTGGCGGCGGAACATTGATAATTGGGGGGGAGCGGCGGCTATATTCGTATATATCCGTAAACACAATTGATTTCAATAGAAACTAATAAAGTATAACATGCATATATGAATAATAGCCCCCCAATTATCAATGTTCCGCCACCCTTGGGCGACAGGCGACCCTACTGAAAGTGCGAGGGGGGGAGCTCTGGGGTACAGTGAACTATAATATCAACTGGAATGATAACCAGTGAACTATTATTACAGTTCACTGCAGGGGTTGGCTCAAAACCAAATATGTATTCAGTAGCGTGTGCAAAGGGTTATCAAAAATAGGAAATAAATCTATCAGAAGTTTTTTCATGGGAATTTTTCCATAGTACTAGTTACAAACATTGACCATCGTAGTGTACATTCTAAACACAGATACACAAAAAATAAAAAACACTGTCATCAAAAAAACATTAGCTTTTCATGGACTGCATGAGCAGCTCCGGATTATGTTAATTATGGATATATATTTGTTAACACTGCATCACTATATTTACGGTACAACTATTTTCACAAATTTTTACCCATAGTTAATATAATCCCTTGGCTACTAGCGACCTGATTGCCCTTGTTGCCTAAGGTCTGTTGCTCGAAGTTTGGGATAACGTTATCGACTGTATGGTGTTTTTCCCCTATCCGGACCTCTCACAATCTTCTTGTTTCTTTTTTGAAATATTTAGTTAACGATACGTTTCACGATCCGTCAAGATTGCATTTGAGATTCTCAACGAAAGATTGTTTCAGTATAGAGGTAAAGGAGTTGAATTGAAAACTGACGATCTGTCCTTTCGCGACTTTTGTGGTAGCTGACTAACTTTGAATTATTGCTTTTCACACAGAACAATCCCAACATCCTGAACGACTTCAAGAAAAATGTTGCAGCTAACATACGCAACTCGTGTGAATGCCAATTTTCAGATAATCACATTCACAATCACAGCACAAGTATAAAATGCCACAATAGATTAACTGGTTCATTTTATTCACGCATTGAAGGCATTGAAGATTACACTGCCGAAAAGTTAATCTGCAATTATCAACAATATTTGATGACGCGCGGCAAGGCCGTCAGTTTGGGTATGTTTTACGGTAAATAGTGCAAGCATATTTTACTTTATAGAAACCCAGCAAATACAGAACAAAATGTAAGGTTTGGTTCTCGCATGCCATATGGCAGCTCATTGACATGATGTGCTTATGATGGTACTTATGATAGTGCTTACGATAAAAGTTGTAACACTATAAAGTGACCCTGTAGAAATTACGGAGCATTACCGAATCCGTTCATCATATTTTTGTGTAGATATGAAAACCAACTTGAAAAAATCACTTCACTGTATATACAATAGTAACTATTCACCTACTTGATAACATATATGTCATGCAACATCACAATCATATGGCAAAATATAATGTAGCTAATATGTCTTCTCCGTGACGTACTACAGTAATTTTGCTTCAAACTCATTTCAAACTATGTATCTCCAGGGAACGACACAGTTGAAACTGATGTGGTGTATAACAGTAAAAGATGTGCTCAAATAAATGGAATACACAATCAAATACCAGATGCTGTAAATGGTGGTACAATTGCTCTGACTGTTGGTCTTGTTGTATCCCTGCTGGGATTGTTCATTGCGTCAGTTGTCGTATTTCTCAAATGGAGAAAGAAAGCTGGACTGGCCAAAAATAAAAAGAGGTATAAATACTCACAACATTATCAAAAAGTTCTAAGTTACGTGCATTAAATTCCCAGAATTAAAGTCCCAGAATTAAGCTACCATATAAAACTGATAAAAGGGATAAAAGTAGCTATAATATCATATATTGTCAAGACAGCATAAGTAACTCCTCAAAGAATGAAGTACAAATACTTATTATCTATGGAGAACTTCATCAGTTAATATTTTTATTTTCGCTTCTTTCGCTTCTTTTTAGCGATGACAAGAATTTAGTGGATGCCATCAGTCTCAATTCGTTTTCATCCACCACACCAACACCGAAATCCATGTACCGAAATTGTCGCGGCGCGCAAAGAAACTATGCTTACACAAACCATTATTTAGATCCTGTTCAAATTAGATCCAAACGTGTTTAGGACTTCATTTTTGATTTGTTTGTATTGAACGTCAAATCCTAAGTACAACAAGTAAAAAATTGCTAATTAGTGTAAAAAAGATTACTTAGAAAGAACTGTTTATCAAGGAAAAAAATGTTTTATCTAACTATGAAAGAAAAAAGCCGATATGTTGAACGATAAATTTTACTTTTTACTTTTGTGTATACATATTGTTATTGATATCATACTATTTTTTAATGTTAAAATAGCTTCAATGGCTTCTTCGATGTTGTATATAACAGAACTGAATGCACGCAATCATCCAGGCTTATTCATCTGGTTTTGTGTAACCTTATCTTGTCTATTCAGAACAACGGGATAAAAGACTAACTGGATAAAATCCGTTTGATCGTTTGTTTTGAAAGACTAACAACCTACGATTTATCGGCATACGGGGTTAAAATTTTTGAGTCGGGTCGGCCCTCCTAAAAAAATTTAGGATAAATGGTCAAAAGGTGTGGAAAACTTTTTTTATCTTTAAAAAGTTTAATTCATTTACACGTGGCAATCGGAGCAGTTTATTTTGTAAACTGCACCTTGTACCTAGTACTTGTCGTAACGTTGTGATTGGTTTATGTGCGACATGTATGTTGTATGGTCGTAAGATACGCGAGATAGTCTCAGACGTACCTTTGATGTAAGGTATCGTTGCTGTTGTCACTGAGTTGTTCGTTTCGTTGGGTTCGTTGGGTTTGTAAGTATTGCGTTTGATAAAGTCAGAGTTATAGTTGCTTTTGTCAAAAACACGTTTGAGATAGTTGTTTTCATTGTGTAGAGCGTCCGGTGAATCACATATGATTTGTGCACGTCTTGTTAATGTTCTGATTGTGGTGGCTTTGTGTGATGTATGGTTGTAAGATGATTGGTCTAGTAGTCGGTCAGTATGTGTTGGCTTGCGATAAACTGTTGTTCGTAGTTTTTGATTGTCATGTTTTACCAAACAGTCGAGAAAAGGAAGAGTTCCGTTTTCTTCGGCATCTTTAGTAAATTGTATGTGGCTGTTCTGTTTGTTGATGTGAGTGTGAAAGTCATCAATCTCGTCTGCATGTAGTGCTGTGATTGTGTCATCTACGTAGCGGAACCAAAAAGGTAGTGGATGTTTGTATGTCGTGAGCGCCCGTTCCTCTATAGATTGCATTACAATTTCAGCAACTACAACAGAAACGGGTGAGCCCATTGCTGTTCCATGTAATTGTTTGTAGTGTGTACCTTTGTACTGGAAGTTAGTCGAGGCAGAGCTCCAGTACCTCCATAATGTCTTCTGTCGGTAATGGCAGTATGTCCGTGGTGTTTGTAATGAGGGGTTTTGTACAAGTAAGAGCCCGATTAAATGGAATACTGGTGAACAGTGATTTCACATCAGAAGACACTAGTATATAGTTGTCCGGTATTTGTATAGTGCTCAGTTTCTTAATGAAAGTTTCAGCGGATTGTAGCTTGTGTTTTGATTTGTTTGTAAGTGGTTGCAGTATGACAGGTTGTCGAACAAGAACAAAAACAGTCTTTCTCAGGACTATACCAACCTGAACGATCTACATTTACGAACATTAGGGATACCGAAAAGGAAAGGATAATTAACTCTAAAATAATCATTTCGTATTCCAGCCAGGTCTGCAGGGTCTGAATTTTTAAAATTTCTAATGATTTTTTTGCTGCAGGAGACACAGACAATTATCAATGGTAATTTGTTGATATCAGTGACATTTTGATTTTTGAATGCTAATCAACTTCCGGTTCTTAGTCTCTTTCGTTGTCGCTCTGCTATCAACTTTATCAAACGGCACTGCGGCAGCGTCCTTTATACCAAATATTGACCGAGAATTTAGCGATGTTGTTGACGGATCTGGGAGAAGAACGCTAAGTCCATTTTTCTATATAAGATAAAAATTACCGTCTACATCAAATAACTACGAAAATCTTTGGAAAATGGAGATCGGTCTTCCCGTGCGATATGAACTGCACGAACAGATTGGAAAGTAAGTGTGAAACTATTTTAAGGTCAAATTATATCGACTGCATTCTTGGTGTTTTGACGATATGCATTTGCCGTTTGGTTTTGCTTATCTTTTACGTTATGCTGTGCACTGACTATTGAATCTTATGACTAGGGGCACGTTTAGTGTTGTACGAAAGTGCAGAGATACACAAATGAATGGGCTGTGTGCAGTAAAAATCATTGATATATTTCGCATGAAAAGTACAACTGGGCTCACACGTGAAGGTATAAAATCATCAATTTACAAAAATGATCGTAATCATATGCTGAGTTCACTAAGCTCATTTTTTCACTGATATTTGTAGATATACGCATCGTGTTTATTATTTTCACATTTGACATTCCTGTAACCTTGCAAATTTTGTTCAACAATTTTATATGGTTGTAACCGAAGTTGTTGGCAAATGTTTGTTCCTTGAATCTCGTCGACTCTCAATTTGTTGATTTAAATAAAACATTGTGTATCTTTATGTCGAGCCGTTATAGTGAGAAGTGGGATTTGTAAATTCTTGATGCGGTCGAGAACAATTGATTTTAACATGAAATATTAACGAAATATTAGCGTTGTTTTGATAGTTTAAAAGAGACGGCATGATTTCTGTGTTTTTGTTTTTCTCACGATCTAAATTTCTGCGATTCTGCATGCATGTACAAAGTCGCGTAATCACTGGTTATGATTAAATCCTCTCGAAAATGCTTTAAACCGACGATTTAAGAAACCTCTTAAGATCGATACGCTCTATCACCTAATGTTTCTTCGGATTTATGTATATTGGCCATCTGACTACCTTCATGAATTTTTGAAGCTTTTCATTTCGTTTTCGCAAACCAAGGTACTAATTATTTCGTTATTATAATTTAGATCTTGAAAATGAATGCAGAATATGTCGGAAACTAGAGCATCCTCATATAGGTAAAAAAAATTCGTACAACATCGTTTTTGTGCTTTTGCATCCTGTTTATTGTGCACTACGAGGAACAAAAATTTAGCCCGCGTTCATTGCTGCAATAACGTGGATTAATTTTGGCTTTCTTCACCATTACTACATGGTAATAATTCTAGAAAAATTGCTCTTGGAATTTTTGGAATTCGTAGTTTTTGACATACTTTTTACCTTGATTGGAGTTATCGTAATTTCTAGAGCAATAGCCAATAGCATGAATGTCTCGCTTTTTGCTATGTTTACTTATTATGTCATTCATATTAGAATTGGCGGCGCTGTGTTGTGGATACGTTCTTTAATACACTAGTTTTCAGAATATAAATTGGCAATTATTCAATTTCATGAACTTGCAGGAAACAGCGTGTATTCATTATTGCTTCATTGAGTTAAAGCTGCTTTCCCTTGTTGATAAGAGTTATGTTGCTTTTTACACATGCATGCGACATTTCTACGTTTGAAAAGCCATTTTTCTCCAAAAATCTGTCTTTCTAATAAATTGTCTTTCTAATAAATAAATACAAGATGTTTGATTGTTTGTATCATGTTTTAAACTATCTTTGCAATAATTTTCCATTTTCTTTCTTTTAATGACATCCAATTCAGGATATTCATGTATATTTTAACAATTGTAAAATATTTGTTGCATTTGGGAAACTGATCTGCTAAATGTAAAATGTTTTTTTCTTAGTTAAAATGCTTGGTGCATATGATGTTGACAACACAGTCTACATGGTGTTCGAATAGTAAGTCTGGATAATTTCTGTGTATTAAAGATAACACACAATTTTTTAACTTTCTTTTTGCATTATTGCCTTCACAAAATCTATACATACATATTTTTCAAGTATAGAGAACTTATAGCTGATATTGAGTAAAAACGTAGGCATTCTCTGCATGAAAATATCATATCATAGTCCTTAATTTGAATTTGGAATGTTAATCCTTTGAGCTTAATTTTTAGCATGGATGGTGCTGATCTCTGCTTTGAAATTGTAAACAGAGTAAATGCAGGTTTTGTGTACAGTGAAGCTGTTGCAAGGTTAGATTTTCTATCTTTCATAACTGTTTTATTTCATCATTAAGGAAAACTATTACAGTTTTGTTTGAAATTAGATGCGAAAAAGTAAATTATTCTGTTAAATTGTTCTGTTGTATCACTGAGCATGTCACTACAAATGATGTCTTCAAAAAGTCATTTTTTATTACTACATTTTTTTTTGTTTTTAGTCATTATTTGCGACAAATTTTAAATGCATTAGCCTACATGCATAGTATGAATGTCATACACAGAGATATTAAGGTGAGTGCTTTCTCTGACATTGTACATTAGTTTATCCAAACTAGATTTAGAGCTATGCAAATTCTAGTGGGTTCACCTTCTGCTCCAGTGCACAGCAGTTGCTAGATATTTTTTGGTGAAACCTGTTTGAGATGACTTGTTAAGCACGATAAAAAATTAAAGGCTGTGCATTGATTTTTTAGCCTCACAACATTCTACTTGCAAGCAAAGAAAACTCTGCTCCAGTGAAGATAGCTGATTTTGGTGTTGCACGGATGTTGGAATCAGGAGAATCAATCACAACAGGTATGTATAGGAATCAAAAATTGTTAATTCATCATAGTGAAATATCTATGCTTGTAAAAGTTATATCCTATGTATATTGTCTGAAATTATTATTAAATAGGCTTGTAAAAACACAAGTGCTGATTGTTGAATCCTCAAGAAACTAGTAAAGACACATACTATAGTCCTTCATTTTTATGTCTTTGGAAGTGTATTTGCTTGAATTTAATTTTAACAACAATGTACACTGCTTATTAAATAGTCCAAAGTAATGTTGATCATCAAATGTCATGTATATTTTGTTTGAGAAATTTTTGATGTGTTTGTTTTCAGGAAGAATAGGTACACCACATTTTATGTCGCCTGAAGTTGTCAAAAGAATACCTTATGGGAAACCAAATGATGTCTGGGGCTGTGGTAGGTACACCTATTGATACCAATTGTTTACTAATGTTCTGTGTAACATAGCATTAACTTTGAAAACATACTCTGTTATACTCACTTTAGTGGCAACCAACACAATCCATATTTTACGCTTGATTCCGGCAATTTTTAAGTATTTGTTCGAAGCTCGTTGAACACTTAAGAATTTTCTTCTTTTAGGTGTTATTATGTTTATTCTTTTAAGTGGATCCTTCCTTTTAATGGAGCAGGGGAAAAAATATATGAAGTTATTTCTACTGGAAAATATTCTGTATGTGTGAATGATATATGCTCATTTATTTTGAAATTCTCACTTTATTCCTTCAAAAACATGATTGAAATATGTTTCCTCACCTTTATGATTTGATACACTTCTATTGCACTGCACTGTACTGCTATGTGTTGTTATATTGTTAGATGCGACCAAAACAGTGGGACCTGATCTCAGATGATGCAAAAAATTTGGTCCAAAGTTTTTTGACATATGATCAAAATGATAGGATTACTGCTGATCAGGCACTTGTTCATCCTTGGCTTAAGGTAATTCAAAATATTTGTTTATGTTTCATTTTGAAAAACAGGAAGTGTGTGCTGTTAAAAAAAATGCCCACTCTATAATTGAATAATATTTTTTGTAATTTGACATTGCAAAATTTCAATGTCGACATTGCAATGTATGTCTTTTGAAAGCAGGATTTTGTATGAAACATTGAAGATGCGAACCAATTATTTTGCTCATTTATGACAGGACAGAGATATTGCTCCAAGAAATCATTTGCAGGAATGTGTAGACGAGATGAAGAAATTCAATGCAAGGAGAAAGCTTAAAGTAATTTGGAAAATCTCATTTTCAAAAATGTGCTATCCATTTTGCTTTAACTGTTAACTTTGTAAGCTATCATTATGTAATTGTATTGTTATGAATGTAGGGAGCAGTATTAGCTGCGGTTGCAAGTCGCAAGTTTGTTGGTAAGTCATTGTTGTGTTATTGAGGTACATTTGTGTACTGCAGTGTTTGCTGGAAAATCTTTAATTCTAAAGTATTAAGCATTACTGTGTAAAATTCTCTCGTTGATAGATGGTATTGTTCCAAATGGAGATGTCCACAAAAATGGCATCAGTCCGGTAAGCATATGAAGCAATGAAGCTCATTTATAGATTTCCCAGTAAAATTTACATATTTTAGTTTTCATGTAAAGTTCCAAGGCTTGTATGTTGTTGTCTGTGATTCCAACAATGCTGAAATATTGACTATTTTGTCACCTCGACCATGTACATACATCTTAATCAATCAGCATGGAAAATTAAATGATTGATGTTTCTGTGCATGTTCTGATGTTACTTATTTTGCTCAAAGTAAATCAGACATAGACGTGGCTGACATTGGTGACGTGACCACAGTACAACAAGCATCACAAATAATGTTACATTCGTAGAAAATACGACAGAAGTGGTGCCTTTAATATGAATTAATAAAAGTTTAAAAAGTAGATAATCTAATTATGTATACAATTGGATCAACATTGAAGATAGCTTTTTATGCAAATATAAACATTATTATGTATATAATAGAATCATTGTGTGGAGGAATTTTACCCTGATGACGACCTTAATGCTGCTGGTAAGTTAAATTTTGCAGTTCAATTTAAGGAAATGCAGTAATTAAGAGGAACAATTCTGGCTTATTTTAGGTTCGGTTGCTCAATTGCTGGATTCTATGGAAGAAGTTCAAATTTTGACTCAAGCGAATCAAAACGATATCGACTTTCTTCGTGACTTCTTTGATAACAATAAATTTCAGTCGTTGCTTGAGGTATATATTCATCCTAAACCGTAATAATCTATCCACACACACACCTTAATGTATTTGATGATTTATTGTATTGCGCTTTCACTTTATTCATTATTATCGTCTCAAGTGCGTCTGTTACAACGAATAATCCAATCTGTACAGACGTATGACCAGACAATCAATTCATTTACTGGTTCACTACAGTTGCATAATATAGAAGAACGGCTGCTACTAAGCGACCAACAGACGTCCAAGGCGACTAATTGCCACTTTTTTACACATTATTAATTTAACATTATTTTAGGCTTAGGTGTACCACTAAAACTTAAGTGCTATCCTTTTCTGTTTGCCTTTTTTATTGCTTTATTTTGTTTCATTTTTTTCTTTCAGATATATGATCGTGTTCAAGAGTGGTCGTTGATCAGTGAAAGATCGCGTTCTTTGATTCAACCTGATGCTTCACAAACTGCAAAAGAGGTGAAAGAAGTCATGCAATCAATATGCATTCTGTTTTTCTTTTATTATGTTGACAACATCATAGTTCTTTGTCTGTAAAGAACGTATGGATTTCATTTATATCTACGTACGTTTTTGAAACGAAATGAAATTTGAACTATGATATTGCTGCTACGTATATATTTTCCTCTAATTCACCAATCACCCGGAGTATGAAAGCACAAGTTTTTAGTGTACTTTATATTTGGGTGTTTGGATTAGGCAATGGATTCTATTGACGTTCCCGCAGAAGAAGACGATGACTGTTTTGAGCTTCAAAATATTATGAAAGAACCTAATATGTTGGTAAGACAATTGTCTATTGTATGATTCTATAATATCTTGGAAATGCGATTGAGTAAGGTTTGTGCCTTGCGATTGTTGAACTTATGATGAACTTATTTCAGAACTTTTCAATTGTTCTTATTCCAATTTCAGTTTAAGAAACAAAATTTATTCATTGGTAATTCTGTTTGCTTTCATGTGAATGATACTGTGGTAGCTTCATTTGATAGTTTTAGTGGTATCTTTCGAGCAACAAACACAAAACAACATCTTTTACTCTAGGTCGCGGTGCCCTCGGGCAAGCTGCCATTATTTTGTTGTATATTTAGATAAAAGCGTTCACTTTCTTTTACTCTCAGTAAATGTGTAGGCAGTATGGTCTGAAACTCTATCTGCTATTTTTCTGGATTTTATGCATTTTTCACAAGTTCGAATTTGATAAGACTTTTTTTCTTCAGGCACTTTTAGAAGCTCATGACAGTATCTTAAATGTTCGTAAAGATGAAGAAAGACAATCAATGTCTGATGTTGATGATGGATCAGACACCTTACCTAAAGAGGCTGTGACCAGAGTTAGATTGGTGCAATTTGAAAAAGCACCGAATGAACCAATGGTAATTATCTGTACACCATAATATATGTATGTGAATGAACCATTGGTAATTATCTGTACACCATAATATATGTATGTGAATGAACCAATGGTAATTATATGTATACAATATATGTATATGAATGAACCAATGGTAATTATGAAAAAGCATCGAATGAACCAATGATAATTAGCCAGTGTAGTTATTGTTATCCTTTTTTATTATTATTTTTGAAAACGTGCGTTAGCATCCTTAGTTACCAAATATCATTCCCCATGTGAATCGCATTCATTGCAAAGAAACGAATGCTTTATTGTGGCTTTATTGTTAGCTTTATTATTATTAAACTAATCGTGGCTTTATTGTTAGCTATGTTGGCGTCTTTATGTAATTATCACCTCGGTAAATAGACAAAGTTGTTAATTTGTTTGAAGGGTATTACGCTAAAGCGAAAGGATGGACGTGTTTATGTTGCAAGAATTATGCACGGAGGGATGATCCATAGACAAGGTTAGTTCTCTTTTTGTGCTTTGAAATGACATTCCTTTCTCCGACTTCAAAATATGTTGATTCCCTCTGTGTATTAGGAACTTTACATCCTGGTGATGAAATTCGCGAGCTGGATGGCGAATGTGTTGATAATAAATCAATTGAAAATTTACAGGCGACTTTGGTAAGTGTGAATACTGATCAAATTGGCTTCTGAACTATTTTCACCTGTATGAATAAAGATGTTAAATGGAGTTGCAACTTTAGGCATACAGATATCTTTCATGTGTTACGTGTACCTTTAGTACCCAGTTGTTTGAAACTATCTGAACACGTGGTACTGTTAACTACTTTAATACAACAAGTTGTAATATTCGTTTACATTGCTTAACTTGTTTTTTGAAACAAATCAGACGTATTGTTTCAAGGATGTACCAAGTTGTATCGTTAATATGTCCTGTGTAACTTGTTCTTAGAAACAAGCCAGTGGTACCGTTACTTTCAAGATTGTTCCAAGTTTCAGACACGAGTCCAATGAACGTGGGGTAAGAATTTAAATCCAGTTATAAATTGGTGTGTAGTATTTAGTTTAGCTTTTTATACTCAATTCCTGAAACTTAGATTAACTCGAAATTTAATTGGACCAAAAACGTTCACCAAATTGAAGTGCACAAATATGCAACGCAATTTACGCTAATATATCAACAACATGGCTTCAAAAATAACGTGTCATTTAAGCAGTTGCACAAATTTACTATCTAAATTATGCTACAATCAGTACAATGGCTTTTTTATGGCGAAAAGGAATCCTTGTCCAATAACAGGCCTTAAATCTCAATCGTCAATTTGCCGCGTCTTATTGATCGCATCTCTATAGAGGGCACCACACACTTTAGCTTACAGCAATTATACTAAAAGCGGCTCGTTGTAATTACGTATATGGCAAAACATATACTTTATTATATATTTTTGTTTGTTAATTTTGATGCAGAGTTTCGTGAAAGCCTTGTTTTCTTACGATCCAAAAGGAGATGAACTTATTCCATGCCAACAAGCTGGTTTAGCGTTTGTTGTTGGAGACATACTCGAAATTGTTTCTAAGACTGATTTTAATTGGTGGCAGGTACAATTTATATGAAATTTATAACGATAAATTTGAACTATAATCCTCTGATTTATCGTTCAAACATTGTACTTCCCATACGGGGAATTCTGTTTCAGCGTAGTCATTTTAAATTCGAGATTTTTTTACCATTCGAGATTTTTTACCATTCTGTAGGCTGTCAAAGTCGCCGACAAAAATTTAGCAGGTCTTGTTCCTTCTTCAGAACTTCAAGAATGGTATGTTGATTGCCTTTTTCTGAAATGGAAATAAAATAAATTTGTTTTTGCCTGTGTGTGAAAGACTTTCTTCCTTGTGCTTGAGAGATTTTTTACCCATACCATAAAGTTTATGTCTGCAAACATAAACTTTGTTATAAGTGGGTACGACCGGTGGGTACACTTGTTATAAGTGGGTACGACCGGCAATGTGTACATTGTGCATGAGCTATAGCAACGAGAATAGGTTTATTTCAACAAAGTTCTGCACTTTTGTGCTATGACTTAAATGTAAAAGCGACAAAACATGGGGCTTAATCTGTGTGGTTTGTGTGTTTATTCTTAGGCGAGTTGGTTACGCCGCTGCAGAAAAAGCAAGAAAAAGTAGAGGTTGGAGAGTTTTCTTTGCTTTTTATCTTACGTTTCAGATTTCTTGACGTCATAAATTACCATTTATAACATTTGTAGCATTTTATTTGTGGAACTACTGTTCATTTTAACGTTTTCTCTTTTCATACAGTTTCATGTTTAGGATTTCGACGGAAGAAACGCTATAAAGAGAAATATGTTTTGAAACATAACGCCGGTATGTGGATTTGTTTTTAAACTATGTAAAGCCTCGTTGTAGTAATATTTATTGGTAAAGAGAAAAGAATGTTTACTTGTAATCATCTTTTCTTGAATTTTTTGACATGCTCTTACGTTGTCAAATGTACTTCACTGCTGCTAGCCTTTAAAAGCATGTTGCTCTTTTTTTTCTACAAATATTTAGCATTCAATCAATTGGATTTGGTGACTTACGAAGAAGTTGTGCAGCAGGATAATTTTCATAGGAAAACTCTCGTACTTTTGGGTAAACTGCGCATTATATGAACTCGTAAATTATCGTTGAAAACAACTTTTGTTAAAGTTCTGACGTGAAAAATTGCCTGCTGTATATCATGTAGGAGCACATGGTGTTGGACGACGTCATATTAAAAATACTTTGATTAGCAGAAATCCATCCAAGTACGCATATCCAATACCTCGTAAGTTTGATTGACTTTGTATTATTCTGTACTCGTATTACACCTGTATGTACAATTCCCCTCCCCCCCTTTTTTTTCTCAGTGATGATTTAATATAATATCTTGTGCCCTTATATAGTATTTGGTTTCTATACTCTTGAAAAAATGACACTCGTGATAGCTTCATAGTTGTCTATAAAATATTTATTTTATGCATCTTGTTCATATCACTGTTCGCTATTGCTTGCACTATCGTCGCTCCAAATATTTTTTTTTCACTCATTTCTCAATGTTGTTTTTAATATATATGTTTAAAACGCGTGCGGGTAACGGTCAAAAGCCGTGTTTTCATTAGCCTGTGCAAACCGATTTAACCTCGACCAATCAAATTCAATCAATCAAAGAGAATTTGCACATCCATCATGAATACATTTAAGAGGAAAAATTAAAACGTTTGTTTTACATTTGTTTGTTTTGCATTATTGCTAGTTTATAAAATAAGAAAAAGATGTTTTTCGTGTTGTGAGAACTCTCGAGCAGGTGCAACCCTCGACCTTCGGTCTCGGGCCTGCACTGACCTGCTTTCGAGTTCTCCCAAAGCTCCTCGGTTTGCATAAACCTGTGCAAACACAGTAAACATCTTTTATTTCTTAAATCTCGTACGACCAACTCCTATGTATTATTTAGACACTACGCGACAACCAAAGCAAGACGAAGAAGACGGCAAGAACTATTTTTTTATTTCCACGGACAAAATGCTTGTTGATGTTGAAAAAAATAGATATCTCGAATTCGGTAGTCACGAAGGAGCCATGTACGGAACTAAACTTGACACTGTACGCAATATCATTAGCCAAGGGAAAATACCATTACTTGATGTCGAGCCTCAGGTATATAATTTATATTTATTTTGCGTGAATCATAGTATCGTAGATTTTTTAGTACAAGTTCCCATGGAAAAAACGAATAGAAATTACACAATAATAAGCTTTCTTAAGTTAACAGGGCCTGTTTTAATCCAAAGTTTTTGTGATGCTTGGAAACAAAGCATGTCGGGCATAAAGTCGAAACACAAATAGCGAATAAAAATTTTGCTTGTGTGAACTGTGTGAACATGAAGTGGAAACACCAATAGAAAATTGTAATGTCAATCATATTTTTTCATTATTTCTTTGTACAGTGCTTAAAAAGTTTACGTTGTTCTGAATTTGCTCCCTACATTGTGTTTATCGATGTCCCTCCAGTGGTTACCAGCAATACCGACGGATCGGTGAGTACTCGTTTACTGGTATAGCTGTACTAGTCAGTCATGCAATATTACAGTTTTACAGTCATATGTATTATAGGTGTTCAGTCTTTTAGTATTATAGTTGTGCATTATTATTATTAAATGGTCGCATGCAATTGCAGTTGTTTTAGTTGAATGCTTTTATGTTTTTAATCTTTTCTGTCTAGGACGAAACGTTAGTTAAACTTGCCAAGGACTCTGAATCTCTTCGCGATAAATATAATTACCTATTCGATAAGACGATAGTGAATTATAATATAGAAGACACGATAACAAATCTTGAAAGTTCTCTTGCCACATTACACAACTTTCCGCAATGGGTGCCTGCATCATGGATGTATTGAAAAGAAAAGAAATCGCTAGTAAGTTCAATTTTATTGCTATGAATATGTGGATCTTAGTTGAACATGTTGCTCTATACACCCACTGTCAATGAGCTTCCTTCAATTTTACATAACTAGCTAGACGATTTATTGATGCCAATTCCAGTATAAGTTTGAAACCATAATGTAGACAATTTTTCACTTTTAGAATGGAAGTTGTGCATGTGTGTTTTGGGAAACGGACTTTTCTGAGATTTATATGGATGAAAATGGAATAATCATGCTTATGAAAATTCGCAGTAAGAATGATCTTGCTGCACAGGTCCAGATCATCTGATCTTTAGATCTGTGGTATTTTTGTACTAAGGCTTACGTGCAGTTGAAAATGGCCGCTATATTTTTAATACTATATAACATAGTGAAGGATGTATATATGTATACAGAATTTCAACATTACTAATATATACTCTTCTTATCCACGAAGTGGAAAGGTGTTTCTATTATGTAATGCAGTTTTATAGAGTTTTTAATCCTTGTTTTTTAATAATAAACATCCTATTTTTTCTTATTATGACCTTGGTGTTTTTTCACCATCTCGTTACCCGTCTTGTTTTGCGATATCTTCATCTAGAAACTTGGTATTTGCATCTTTTTATAAAACTTCATATTGGGAGTTTCTTAGGTCGTCTCTGTACGGCAAACTAACTTCTGGTTTTCATAATACTTTTTACTTCTTACACGAGAGGATTTTCTGCCGAACAAGATAACTTTTCACGGACCGCTGGCATTTGACCACTTACGATGCTCCAGTTCACTTTTCCATGACTTACAATTATTCATGCATTCGTTTTAGATTTGGCTTTCCGACTTTCCAAATTTAGGTTTGTTCGATTGTCGAATGCTTTGGCACAATCCATGTCGTTGTCTTAGGTTTATGAATTCTAACACACATCATGTTCAGTACGGTGTCGTTCTTTTAGGCTGTGTATAAAGGTGTTTCTATGAGCGATATGGACCCACTAAATCTTTTTCAGCCTTTTTCCGCGGCAGTTGAACGCGGTGATAAGTTCTTTTTGATCCTCGAACGGGAATTGGTGTAATCTGAAAAAAATATTTCAGTAGTGTCATTGGGTTTATATTCAACCATTGGTCCACGAATAAAATCTTTCTTGTGGTTCTTCGCTATGGTTCAGTTTATCATCGTAGCCCTCGGTTTCCCCTACCTTCAAAAAGTCCAGTATAAGTCCACGTTTAACCAAAAAAAAGTTTGGCAAGCAGTACAGAAATATCAAGCAAGGTCCAAGCTCGTTAGGTCAAATGTGGCTGACGTACAAGACTTTCCCTGATGTGATGTGATTTTACAAGAATTTGTTGTAGCTAAAGAGCGTTATAACTTATGTTGCAGCATGTATATTGTTTTATATGGTTTCTTACCTCGAGGAGAAAAGTGTGAAACTTTCATATAAGAAAGGTACATATTTTAGATACTTTATATTAGCTTACCCTAGACCATCTTATCTCCTCCTGCAGTTGCAGCTCTTCTTTTTTCTCTCGCAAACTTCTTGGTACTACTGGATCACCCAGGCGAATATGTTCATGACCCTTATATAAGCATACAAAGGACACTAGTCACTCATTCTGATGTGTGTATGATTTAGATTACGTATTATGCAGGTTTAAATTAAGGAATAAGACTGGTCACTCTGCTAGCAACTGTGCAAAAACGAAGTGTTACTTCCTCTAATTTGATTGTATAACGTATTAACGTTATGGAAAGACTGACGAGTGATTACTTGAAACAAAGAAAAACACACTCATATATGAGTAAAACGAGCTCATACCTGTTCGGTGGTTTTGATCTGACATCGAGATGGAGAAGCACTGTGAATACGTGGAGTCACTGATCTTTTAGTTACTTCCACTTTCTAAAAAAATTGTTTTCATTTGCGAATCGACTTTATTCGATTGTCGAAGAAGTAAAGAAACACGCGTATACCTTTGTCAATCTTTGGCCATAAATCGTTTCTTTATTCATCAAAACATTTGACACCTGGTCTTTTCTCTTATGAAGCTTCTTTAGTTCAAACTTTTCTTTGAATAATCTTTCAGCTGTATTCACAATTGTAAGAAACACAGACAAAATGTAAGAAATTATCAGTACATATGCATTATAGTTGTTTATAATGCTTAACTGTAATGTGATGAACAGCAATTTACTTGTTGAACAGCAAAGTTGATCTAAATTATTTTCTTATTCACAAGACAGACAATACCGGAGACAAAATGATTATGGTTAAAATGTGTTAGCACCAAATCTTTCACTTGGCGTTGATAGACAGCATATTATTTCTTAGAAGACAACACGTATATTTGGTATTTTCTATTAGTTGATTTTAATTAAATTTTATATCTTGACCTTCTAGCACTTGTTGCTCTAATTTAACCATACGCTCTTCCTGTGTCACCCGAAGGTCGTTAATCGAATGCTGCAACTCATCCGTGTTGTTTTGTTCGAGTTCCAAAGTCTGTTTTAATAATTCAATATCAACTGCACACTGGTTGTCCTTCACACGTGCGTATTCGCTTGTTTTACTTTCGCAATAGTTTTTTACCTGACCAACGTTTGATAAATTGCTTGTTGTGTGATATTGCGCAAATTGTTCACTAACATCTGCTAATACAGATTCCCGTATTTTTTTAACTAGTCTTAGAAGCGCAAGTCCAAAATGCTCAATTTCGTTGCACACATTTTCAGAAATCGACGAAAGCGCACTCTTGTCCAAAGGTTTCTGTTTATGTTGTAATATTTTCGTTATTAGTTCCGTCGTTGCGTCGGATAAGTCATTTATGATACGGCAATGCTCAATGTTACTTTGCATGAAATGCGTTTCAGTTGCCATTTTGATCAAACACTAATCACTTGCTTACGTAGCTGAGCGTAATCTTATTGAAAAGTGACTATCATATATCTCCGTGGGGTGTGGTAAAGTAACCACAAAATGTTGGAAATTAAATGTTCCAAAAAAATAAACATTGTTTATAGTAAAACCGACCGGCGTGCGGAATGAACAAAATTTTCTCATCACGACTCCGCCCACTTTAGTTGACAATTTGATAACAATTCTTTGGAGATTTTATTGGCGGTAAAGAAAAATGCTCAAAGGTATGAGGCTCTTTGAAAAATGAATTGCACAAACATTCATTTAAAATCCAATGAGTGCCATCCACTGAGCAGATTGCCATAATACAGAAATTTTAGTTGGTGCAAATATTGAAGAAACTGAAAATTATCAACTCTCCATTTCGACTTAATTGCTTGCGTTTTTGTAGCAAACGTTTGTTGTTTGAAATTGGTAATTTTGTGACGCATGCATGTTAGAAAGTGGACATAAAAATCTTAAAAGCGTGCTTTAGAGTCGTATATTTATTTTTTTTTATGCGTGCTGTTTAATAAAAACAAACACGACGTTTCTAACGTAAACAAACGCGCTTCCAGTTTCAGCTGTTTCCGTTATAATTTTGTCAGGAATGTGAGGTCAAGAGTCAAACGTCTGTAGGAGTGGCAAAAGAAAGAGCCTGGGTATGAGGTTTTTTCAAAACGACTTGTCAGAATTCATCTTAAACGAAGTATTAGAGTTTTAACTTACAAGACCAGTTCAAAATGGAGTTGTTCAAAATCGAACGTTACGAAGGAGAAGTGAATCTGAAAGAAAATGTGGAGAGAGAATCAAGAAATCTTGCGAAATTACTCGAAGAAGCACGTGAAAGAAAGCGATTTCGAAAAATCATGAAACTAAAGCATGGGGAAGAAGTTGAGAGTGGTGAAAATGGTGAATTAGCGGCTGAAGTCACAGCCACTGGCACTTCTGCAATAACTCTTTTGGAAACGGAAGAAAGGCTGAATGAATTTAGTCATGATGGAAACAAAAAGAAAAGGTTTAAGGGTGACATCAGTCATAAAAAAGTACGCATAAGTACTGATAAAAATAAAATGAACAAACTTAAACATGCAGGTATGAGGTATTGACTTCTGTTGTTCAGCATTCTATTCTGTACTGTGGTACAGTTACAGAAGACTAATCAGAGTTTCAAAACATTTTGAGAAAAGGTATTTACAGCAATTGACAGTCAAGCATTTTTTTAAGTTCTGAGTTTGTTTTCAATATTCTCAATAATATTTGGAATCACAAAACCTGAGTGAAATTTTGTTAAGTGTCCATTTGTAAGTTTGTTTCAATTTTTATTGATTTATTTGAAAGAAAATGTGCACACAACATTTGAAATTGCACGCGTAAGTGCCTACTTTTCTCAAAGTTGCACACCTGAGATTTCAGTTTGGACAAACATTCCAATCTGGGCATCGTGCATGATAGAAGAAATTTGAAAGAGAGATAAGTATTCATGTCAATACTGCAAAAATTGCCATGATCAGCAAAAGGAAAATTCTACTTGAATGTTGAAATTTGCAGGATTACCAGTATGTTTTTTTATTTGTCAACTTAAAGTCATCAATTTATTTCATATCACATTCGGCATTAGTCAAAATAAATTAGAGCATCTCAATTTTAAATTAAAAATACTTTTGTAAAAAATATTTATGAAGCTATTTATGAAAATTGGCTAAGAGGCTAAGAGTTTCCAAAGAGTAAAAATTATGCTAATAAATGTCAGTTTGAATTGGCTGGTTCACCTGGATCAAAATAAAACAACGGAACAGTAAATTATGTGATATATGAAGATCAACCAATTATGTTAAATATTTACCAATGGAACTTTTAAGAAATTATTTTTTTTAACATATTTGAAATTAAAGTTAACATTCCCCCAATTTATGTTCATTATTCTAATTGGTTGGTGTGAACATTGCTTGTAACAATGCAAGCAGAAAAATGCAATGGCTTTTTTCTTTGAATTCAGTGAAATACCATTTGATTGGAACTACAGGAAGCCTTTTTAGAATATTAGCTATTGAATTTGCAAATGATATGAAACGTAAGAATTGTGACTCTTGTTGGAATGAATTGTTTGTCAACATCTTAATGTTTTTAATAACAACAGATACCCAGTTGATTGTTGAAGAGGATGACAGTGTGCATAACAAAAGTTTGATACAAGAAAGTGACTCCACTGTCAATGATGACAAATGGTCAGATAGCAAGATTTTGAAAGATTCCAGTGAAATTACTTCAAAGCAAACAACCTCAAATAATGAAGTTATATCTAAAACAGAGATGACTGTAATTGGCAAAAACAAAACGAAAGAAAAACAGTATGCTGTTCAGAGAAACTTGCCAAGATGGCTAGCCAGTCCATTTTTCTTCTCAAGTGAGGTGAACAAAAATCTTGTTCCTGTCTCAAAGATTGCAGGTCTAAGCTCATATTTATTGAGCAAACTTGAAGAAAATGGTATAAGGAATTTATTTCCAGTTCAAAGTTCAGTCATTCCTGCAGTACTTGAGTCTTGGGAGCGGGTTAGTCTCGTGGGAAAGGGTGGATTTGTACCACAAGATATCTGCGTTTGTGCACCAACAGGAAGCGGCAAAACTCTTGCATATGTACTTCCTCTAATTGAGCTACTAAGCAGCAGCAACATGCGAAGACTCGAAGCGTTGGTGGTTGTTCCCACCAAAGATCTTGCAACTCAAGTTTGGAATGTGTTTGATCTTTATGTTCGGGGAACTGGACTTCATATTTGCCTTGCTAATGGATTAAAGACTTTGCAAAAGGAACAGCAACAAATACTTGGTTCGAATAGGTAAATGTGTTTTATCTGCCTTCATCCATTTATTGACTGTCTTCTGGTTGAAGGTTTTGTTGTTTTCTTTGTAGTAATGTGAACGTACTCGTTGCAACCCCTGGAAGATTGGTTGAACATTTATCGAATACAAATGGATTCACTTTGCAGTATCTACGATTTTTAATTATCGACGAAGCTGATCGTCTTTTAGCTGAGCCCTATTTTAGTTGGCTTGAAAGAGTCTATGAATCTGTATTTTGTTCAAAACGCGGTCAGATTTCAAGGTTAGTACACAGTTAAACAAAGCTGAAAATCTTAATACATCTCTGTCGTTGTAGTTATTAAAGTTTTCCGGATAAAAGCACGCCATTACTTTATTCATTTTTATAACATAATACGTTTTTCATTTACTTCATAGGTCCCACCCAAGGTGTTTGACGCCATTAGGAATGGAAAAAATACAAAAGCCACTGCAGAAGCTTTTGTTCTCAGCAACTTTAACGCAAAATCCAGAGAAACTGGCTCCACTTCGATTATACAGACCTAAGTATTTTACCGTGTCAAAGCCTACGACTGACAATGACGGTAATAATACGTTTGAAGTTATTTTGATTATGATACGGCTACACGAATCACTTGCGTTTCGTAAAGGTGTGAAGAGTTCGAAAAGTAAAAAAATCGTCCTTCCTTAAACTTCACTAACTAAAACTCGATGTCAAGCGTTTTGAAACTCATAGCTTTTCGTAGTTTTGGATACAAGAGCGTTTCTTGTCAAATTTTCAGCATCTCTTACATCACCCTGTTATCATTCTGCTTTTCATTTTTTGATGTACGATTATGAGACGAGCATTTACATAATGTTTTGATTTGATGCTAACCTGAACTTTAGGGTCGAATGAAGAAAACGAAGGAAGTTGCGAAACATTTTTGAACATTCCATCGACGTTGAAAGAATCGATATACATTTGTAACAACGGTGAAAAACCTCTAGTTTTGTTATATCTTCTTGTTGAACAAAGTCTTGATGGAGTTCTTTGTTTTACGTCATCAGTAGAATCAACTCATAGGTGAGTCGTAATTACGTGAAAAAAGGCTCTTCTCGTTCAATGTGCAAGCTCTTTTATTTTTTACTTAAAAATATATTAGTTGCAACCAGTGGCGGATCTAGGCAGGTCAAAAGGTAGTATGGAATTGTACTAATAGAAAAAATATCTAGGTAGTATGGAATTGTACTAATAGAAAAAATATCTAGGTAGTATGGATTGTACTAATAGAAAAAATATCTAGGTAGTATGGATTGTACTAATAGAAAAAATATCTAGGAAGTATGGATTGTACTAATAGAAAAAATATCTAGGTAGTATGAATTGTACTAATAGAAAAAATATCTAGGTAGTATGAATTGTACTAATAGAAAAAATATCTAGGTAGTATGGATAGTACTAATAGAAAAAATATCTAGGTAGTATAGATAGTACTAATAGAAAAAATATCTAGGTAGTATGGATTGTACTAATAGAAAAAATATCTAAGTAGTATGGATTGTACTAATAGAAAAAATATCTAGGTAGTATGGATTGTACTAATAGAAAAAATATCTAGGTAGTATGGATTGTACTAATAGAAAAAATATCTAGGTAGTATGGATTGTACTAATAGAAAAAATATCTAGGTAGTATGGATAGTACTAATAGAAAAAATATCTAGGTAGTATGAATTGTACTAATAGAAAAAATATCTAGGTAGTATGGATAGTACTAATAGAAAAAATATTTAGGTAGTATGGATTGTACTAATTGAAAAAATATCTAGATAGTATGGATAGTACTAATAGAAAAAATATCTAGATAGTATGGAATTGTACTAATAGAAAAAATCATTGTTGATGAAGTTGAGATTTTGCCAAAAACGTTGCCAGTTCCGTTCTACTCTTGCTATACTAAAATATCGTTGTTTACTGACTAGTCACCGAGGATGTTTCTAAAGAAGTGAATAATTGCGTAGAGGGACTAAATGTTCAAGCTTTTTACGCTACTGTAAACGGCAAGATATCTTGTTTGGGTTTTGCAGCTGTGATTGACTGAAAGGGCATTTCAGTGGAGGAATTTCAATTGCGATGACCCAATTGTATTTAAAAATATTCTTTAGGTTGTTCCTATTGGTGAGAAATTTTGGTGCAATAACAGCTCAGGAGTTCTCCTCTAACTTAAGCGCTGCAAATCGACAAACAATTTTAAATGAGTTCAAGTGTGGTCATACACAAATTATCATATGCTCGGATGCAATGTCACGTGGTTTGGATGTTCCATCAGTAAAATATGTAATCAGTTATGATCCCCCTGTTTCCTCAAAGACTTACGTTCACCGAATTGGAAGAACAGCTAGAGCAGGCAACAAAGGTTGGTTTTCATTTTATAAATATAACAACATTCTTATGCCAATGTATATACGCGCTCTGTATTGTTTGTTTTCTTTAATTAGGAGGAATTAAAAAATTTTCGGACAGAAGAGCTGTATGTTCCCAAAAGTCTTAGATTACCAGTTGGCCACACAGCACCGTGTGGAGTGCTTAATAGTCTAACATGATTGTTTGGTCGTGAGCTTTTTCTTATGGCATCACGATTTTATTTTAACAATACCTTCCACATATGCCGGGGGGGGGGACTGCGGACCCCTCTATTCCCGTGGTTTCACCCCAGACGTAGCGTTCCGTTTAAGGATGATATTTACATTTATTTAATATACGCACATTGATGTTTTTTTAGGAACTGCGATTACCTTGCTTCACGACAATGAAGTCTTTCATTTCAAGAAAATGAGAAAATCTCTTAAAACAAATAAGATTGATAAAGTGTCAGTTAAAAGTGATCATCTTCAAGGTTTGATGGAACGGTACGAATCTGCTCTCAAACTGCTTAAATCTGACATCACGAAAGCAAAAAAACAGCATAAGCGGAAGCATTTGTAATATTATTGTTTTTGTTTACCTGTCTGTCTCATTAATTTTGGAGTGCAAACTATACCACTATACTTTGAAATGACACTGAGAAATTTGGGTGTTCGGAGCAAAGTCCCCTTCAGGCGAGGAGGCCCTTATTATCGCTCATATTACTGTTCCTCCCTGTATTTTTGGGTCCCTCTCTTTACCTCGGTCAAATTGCCCTTATCCCTCTCCTCTGTCTGTGGTTGCACGAACAGCAACGATACACTTTTTTCCTAATGTATGCTTAGATGAGGGATCTGTGTAACGTTTATACCGCGGGCTTTTATTCTTAATCGTTATTTTAAAGAACTGCGGAACATTTTTTATCGGGTAGGGGGGCTTTCAACCACCTTGTGGGTGCAAGTTAGGGGTCGAAGGAAAAATTTGAAATAGCCGTCTTGCATCGCGGTCCCCGAATTCCAATCTTCACCAATGGGAACATGATGTTGATGATAGGTAGCTTTTGTCGTACACGTAGCATTCAAATTATTGCTTGAACTATTGTTGAGAGAATTCTTGCACAATTCTTAACGTAATACTCAATCGTTGACAGTGGAGTGGTGGCAGGGGGTAGGGAGGCCCACCCCCACCCCCCAGCTGTTGATTTTTTGGGGGGGGGGGGCGCAAAAAGGAATATGAGTCACAAAGTTTTAAATTTGGGCTAGAATAATGAATTTGAAGCAGAACAGTTATTTCCACAGTTATAATATACAGTTAATGAAGTTAACTTTTGGGGAAAAGGAAGACTGATGGAAATGAAACCTTTTAAGGACAGTCGTTTTACAGTCAATTAAGGAATAAAGTAATTGAGGAGCATTCTTGATGTTTCTTATGTGGCACAACACCTGACTTGTCAATTGTCACAATGACTGTAGACAAAATACAGGGCCAAATTTAATGTCCTTATAGGGGGCGCAACAAGGCCTAAAAATGTATAGTTTTTTGCCTATTTCAATCAATTTTCTTAGCTTTCTCCCACAGACTGGAATCTTTACTTGCATTGCATCTTATTATTAATCCAAGCTTGATAATATTTTTTTGTGGGTAGCCTGCTCACAGGCTGATCACAATGTTATACTAAAAAATGTCCAGGTGTTAAGACGGCAATTGACACGACTACATGACGATGATGCGTTACGAAAAATATTCGAAAGTATAAAATTAAGGAAATTTGTAAAATTTACTGGCGATAGTTAAAATAAACATCTCAAAATATCATACAGGTATACTAAGTTTAGTATTAATACTGAAAATCAATTATATCTCGCTTGAGCGAATAATACAGGAAACTTAGTACACACTGCACTGTCCTTGTATTTAGTCCAGTTCGGTACTTATATGCATTGTTTATCTCACACTCTGGTCATTGTGCTACAGTGACAAAATGTAAAGCAAAAAGTAGGTGGGTTTTTTCAAGTTTTTATACTCACGAAAGAAAAAAAGATACGATGATGATACAAGTGTAACTATGGGCAATGAAAACAATGAAGGACTTGGTATTTGCAAAATGAAGTCCTTGGTATTTACAAAGCTTCTGTGTTCACAGATTAAACATAATTTTAATCACAACAAAAGAATTATCAGCAATATAGTTGTATTGAAATGTTATGAAAATGGTGTTGAATATGTCGATAGATCGAGAATAGTTTTGAACGATTTATTTTGCTTAACAAAGAAACACGAGTTTTACAAGATAGCTCTACACATTAGCTCTACTAGATATATACGTACATATACGTTGTACGTATATAAGTTTGAAAATTGGTAATCCAGGCATTTAATACATAAAAGATGAAATATATATACGTACAACGAACGTTTTTGTTTATATTACCATTATGGTCAGCGGTGACTAATATATTTAACAAGAATGTTATTTTAAATAAACACCGACAAATGGCATTTACAATTCAAGACCTCCCGTAGGATTAAAAATAGAAATATAATTGTATAAAATTCTGTTGTGAAGATTTTTTATTGAAGCGGGAAAAAAATCAATTTTTTGTTAAAATTTTTTAAGCTTTCTTGAGGACGTCGCTACCCTTGTTATAGTGGCTATCCTACTTAGCAAGTCTATTGAGTCATTGATTGAAGCCTGTCCCGCAAACAGACGTCCAACTTGTTTCAGTCGTTTCAGTCAGTCGTCCATAGAGCTCTAGTTAATAAACTAATAAGACAGACTTTTACTTTGTGGTATTTGGAGACAAAATTATCATTTTTGTTCGTAAATGATCTATAATATTTTGGTTATCATTACGAAAAACTGACCGTCGGACTTCTCTAAAGGAATACCTATTAAGTATATTTTTATAAACGACTGGTAATTTCTCATGTAGTTAATTAAATATTACTCATTTACGCTCTTCGCGCACCTATTTTTAATTTTCTAGTGGAGCGCAGTCATCGGTAGAGTGTAATGAAAATGCAAAGACTAACACAAAGGATCGAAACCATTTACTTTACAAAGTATCGAGATTCACTAGTACTGCTGCATGTACTGCAAATTTCGTTAGTTCAAAGGCGAAGGGGGCGGAAATTTGCTTTCCCCCGCAGTCAAAATTGCGCCACCACGCCACTGATCGTTGAATACTAATAATTGCAGATTACATATTTGTGAAGTAATTTTTGAATTGTTTCAAGCATTTTTGTTAAAACCCATTAAAAATCAGAAGACTATGTCTTATGGGAATATCAACAATCATTCAAACTATGCCGATTGTTGATATTCCCTTAAAAATATTACGACGACAACTTCCTTGTGCATATTGAAAATAAAAAACAAACATAGATTACTGTATGTTGGTGTTCATGTGCTCATCACAATGCACAAATTAAAATTTAAGCTAGGTCAAGGGTCGCTTCGTTTTGATTGGTCTGGAAAAAATAACGTGATGTCTGCAGATTTACAGAAGACTTTCTATTGGATTTTCATCGGATATAAATTTGTGGTTGTGGGCTTAATGTTCTTAATTTACTGTTTTAACAATTGTATCAAGTGTCAACTCGAGTATTCAAGTCTAACTCTGGCACAGTCCACTGTCACGTGAAAAAATCAGCCGATACACGGTCTAACGGTAAGTTGTTTTGAGTTCAGATTTCAGGATATTTTAAAACCTTATCCTAAACATTGCTTCAATTAAAGAAGGAACTGTTGTTATTTATACGCGAAAGAGCTCATTACAGCATAAAGTTTCAAGTAATCTACTAAAATCCACTTTACTTGTGGGTTGTGTTAAAATGTCAAGCGGCTGATACATGGAAATACTGATACTTTAATCGAGCTTGTGGATAGTTGTTTGAACCCATCTAAAATTTCACCATATTTTGATGTTATAATATGTTTGGCTCGTTTATTAAACTGCTTGTATTAATAATCATAAAAGTGGCCTGATGTCTTACGTCAGACACGAAGTAGATTGACAATCGAATTATCATGCGATGCGTATTACGTAATGTAAGCTACAATGTAAGCGTTCTTTGTTGTCTGTTCGATGAAAAGATTTTGACTATTCCTGGCAACTGAATCGAGTACAAACAACCACGATTGAAATTTGACCATAATTTTGCCTTCAGTTAAATATGAGAAGAGTTTCAAATTTAATTCATACTTTCACTTTTAGATATTCAACGTATTTTTTTACCTAGAACCACGTAATACATAGAATTATTAAATTAATTCCAGCTAAATTACGTGAAGGTTCTTGTAGCCTAGATTTTCGTCGTTTCTTCCCTCCCTCTGTGTACTTAACACTTGCGACGAGGTCGCTCAATCAAAAAAATGTTTTATTTGATTTGGGTTACAACTTACAAACCCTTAAAAAATATAATGTAGTAGATAAAATTTTTACGCATAAAAAATTACAATTAAAGACACGTCGACTTTTCAAATCATTGCTCACACTAAATCATACGGCCGCTGAGCCAGTTGAGACTGTTGAACCGCTATAGCATATTCTCAATAACAATGTACCTGAGCATAATGGGTCATCATCACCTACTCTGGGAGTGGGAAGTATGGAAGTGGCAAACGAAAACCAGTACAAGCATTATTCAAATCACTTGTCCGTCCAGACAGACCACATCACTGAATAAAAGTCAATCAAATAGAACTGGATGCGAGTGTGTGAACTAGAAGCCGTGGCTCGACGAGCTACAAGCGCCCAGGCCTTTTTTAGCGTGCCAGGTGTTTCACCAGCGCGGTAGGAAAGGTCTGGATGGTAATTGTAGTACAAAAAAGTACAATAACTACTCATTTGTGTGTTTGAAGAAAGTGACTGTCGACGGCACTGTTCAAATTCAAGTCTTTGTTATATTCTTCTAATCACATGAAATGTATCTGTGGTCTTTTATGTCATATTTGTGTGTTCGTCTATTATATTGTATCATACAACTAAAAGTACAACAGTAAATACATTTACATATTTCTGAAAGAGATTGCTTGTCCAGATTAAGTAAAGGAAACTCGTTTCCATGGTCTTGCCTTCAACATCGGAACAAACTTATGACTTTCAATATAGCTTTATTGGATGTTTACGCACCAGACAACGTGGGTGAGTATGATGAATTATTTGTCTCTGGAAAAGACAAACTCTACATTAATGCAAGTTGATTTATCAGTCATTAGCCTTGAAGAAGCGTTTGTTAGGGAGTTCACAGTTAAGCACAACTCAACCTTTAAAATCACTCGTACAAATGAGAAAGAAAAGGACTGTTGTTGTTCATCATTCATTTATAATCTTGCTGAATTCCAGTTCATAAATGGCCACATTTTTCTGCGTTTCTTTACGTTAGGCTACGCTTCTTATGCTATTTTTCGTATGAATTCGTTCATAAATCGTTTGTCAGATTTGATTAATAGTTTACTACCTAACCAACTGTGTATGATGTATGAAACATTGAAACATATACACTTCATAACTGCAGAAATGCACAAAAAGAAAATTAGCCATATTTTTTAAGTAAATGAAATATTTTGTTTATCCATTGACGATATTTATCTTAAGTTATGAAAAGTAGAAATTATGAAGTTTTATTTGTTGAAGAATGTCGATTAAAATGAGATTTTTATTGAATTCAATTCGTACATATAAAAAGTTGAAGCGTGAATTATCTTGAAATAAAAAAAACAATTGATTAGATGTATTGCTGCAATTTTAAGTTCAATCAATGCTTTCTCTACTTCATATAATATGACCAAAGAAGTATGTTGTGTGATCGATTATGGATGAAGATTATCTCATCACTTATGCTTTTTATGATGATTTATTGTTCAAATTTAGATTAAGGAAGTGAATGGATACAAACAGCTGAAACTTTATTCATATCAATCATACCTGAGTCATTTAGTTCATAGATTAAAATATTTAACTAATATACATAATAAAAAATAACATACATTAATTATTATGAGAATTAACTTTTTTATATGATCTCCTTGTAGCTTATCTTGTGTGTCAGTGATGTCCACACTCCACAGTGCTTAATTCCACTAATATTAAAGACTTGATTAAAGAAAGGGAATAGTCGAACTGAGAAATCTTCAAATCAACTTCAATTTCTTAAATATGCGTTGGCGAACGTTAGTTCTACTGAAGTAAAGGCTTTGTTTGGTAACAGTAAAATTAATGCGAAAATTTTACATATACAAAGACTATAAAGACTTAATAGTATCTGAAGAGTTAGAACAAAAAGTTGCTTACCGCTAACATTTGTGAGAATATTTAGTGGATAATCGATTTCATCTTAAAACTTCGAGTTAATGCTTAGCACTATACTAGTTTAAGGTAAGTTTGCCATTTTTGTCTTTCTACTGCCTGTCCTGACACGCTACATCAAGCGTTTTTACAATAATTATTGTTCGATTATTTTGAAGTTTACATTCCTGCAGACGATAAAGTCGTGTCACAAGACCTCAATTCGAATTCACTAGTTTACTTGACGTCTCAAATTTTCCATTGACCACCGCGAGAACGTTAGAACTGGCAAAGATGGGAAAACGGCTGCAAATCTTGAGAAAGAAAAGCCACAGTTTTCAAGATATGATACTGTATCGCAGGTGAGCCGAGTTATGCTTTATATGACATGGACATTCGTGTAAAACAATTTCTTTTATGATGACTTATGTTCAAAATCAATCAATTTTTTTATGAGCCATTTAAGTCGCTCTGCAAAACATTTTTCAACAATTTTAACCTCATCGTCAATCCTTAAGCGTTGGCAATCCTTTAGAGTTTTATTTGTCGGATTGTCTGTGTAAACAAAACAAATTATAATCCAAAATCTTTTGATAAAAGACAGGATTATCACGCTCAAACTATTAAGTAAAATAGCTTTCTCATGAAAAATATCCCTAACTACAACGCTATGCAAATGTAAAACTGTTGACGTGCACGCATGGAGCAGTGAATAAATTGTTCAAGATAATTTCAAAATGACGTAGTGTCAACGTAGGAATAGTCATAAAAAGATATTGACAATTCTTCTATAGTTTGTATTGTAGTGTGATATGATTGAAGACGTACTTTAATCAAGCATAGACGTAACCTTTTTTAAATTTGTAATGATGAATGCGTGAATGCACTTTGGAATGTTGTTCCGGGTGTAGAATACCAACAACGTTCGACTTGTGGTGATATCAGGCCATATCAGACCACGTTTCAATGTAGCCTTTTCGGGCTAGATCACTGTGCCACTGATATGCATATTGGCTATATGTTTAGAAAGATGTGCGTATGACATCATTGAGTCTGACATGGTGGTTGAATTGACGCAGGTAACCATTTGCGTTGAGGTTTAGGAAATCAGTAAAACTCCCTAAAGGTTAAAATACACAAAGGGAATGTGGGAGTGTTCGAGAGTGAACATTCAAAATGTTAAATCTTGCTCACCAGAAAAAAGGTGTCTTTATTCATCAGTTTCATCTGTTGCATTTTTAATAAGAATTCTGTAGTTAATTGTTTCCTCTTTGTGTTGATGTTCGTGTATAAGGGAGTCGATGTATATGTGATGTGAGTAAAAGGTTATTTGGTAACTTTAAAAGCCCGAGGCGAAAGCTTATTTTGAATGCTGAAAAATCTTCACGATTATATGACTTTGCCACATCAAGAAAAAAGAATTAATCCCCGAGAAGGACAATGATCGGCGAATGGCTTGGTTATAGCTCGCTTTAATTATCCTACATTGTTGATCGACCAAACGAAATGGTATCTTGTAAAACAAAGTCAACTAAAGAAAACACACCAATGCATAAGCAGAAAAAATCAAAATCCATGTCATCGGTTGTTTATCGCACGGATTCAAACGGCTCAACATGTTTAAACCTCGAAGCTGAGGAAAGTAATAATCGACAAGGTTTGACAAACACGAGCGATTCCGAGCCTGAAAATGGAAAAGCAAAACATGCCAAGTCCAAGAGTGTTGATTTATCGAATGGAAATGCTCATTTGAAGTTAAGGCGGTAAGTTGGAACTTATAAGGCCAGCTATCCTATATTTATGGATGATTCTTCTCATCCTGACTTGATTACATTTCTATGTAATACTTTATTTTCAAATACGTTCTTAATTGACGAATGCCTAAATGAGAGCTGAACATCCTGGTAATTTTCGCTGTTATAAACCTTAGGCAGAGAGTACACTAAACTCGCACCAGGAACGAATTTTGAAATTGAACTTGCCTTGTGTTCTCGCATATGACCTATCGTTCACAACTTGCAATGTTTGATCTGTTATTAGTCAAGGGAATACCAAAGTTTTCTTTCTCGAGAGGCTCGTCTTCAAAGGCTAAAGTCTTATACAGCTCGTAGCTTTGCTCTGCTATTATTTATGATGGTTCTGCAGTTCATGTACATCAAAATGGGACTGAAAACGTGATAACATGAAGCGCTGATGGTTTAGTAAAAATCTTACCACGTAGTAAGTCTAGTAAAGTAAATGGTTTGAACTTGTGAGTATCCGTTACATGTTTGTCGATGTAGATCGTCCAGGTTATTAGAGTCCCGAGAAGGACAGTTGTATTTGATGTTGACTGACGTTTTGACAACCTTAGCGGTGGCAGTCATCTTCAGAGTCAAAAAATGACTAGTTATAGAAAAATTTTGGTTGAAGCCTATATTGCTGGTTGTTTTCAATCAGTATTTCTTTGACTTCGTTTTAGTTACTGAAATTATGAAATAGGACAAGTCAGCTCGGCAGTATCTGTGATATGTTTTTGTAGTCTTTCAGAACTTGTAAGGAATAAAAGCTTTATTCTTGGCAAATGAAGACAGTTCAGTTGATCATGCATCCTGAAAGAAGTATTTAGATAAATACTCGCTTGAATGAAAACTGAGAGAATAGTATAAGTCCCAAAAGAGCACTGACTAGTTGTTAATTGAACTTGATTATGAGGAACACTTCAAATTAGCAATTTTCTCCAAATTAAGACATGGAAGGTTATTTCATCGCCCGGCGAACTATTCGTCAACCAAGAAATTCTCAAGTATTTTCAAAGTTTCCGACGAAATGGAGAAGTTTTTGTGAGTATTGACGTACTTCCTTTCCCAAAATAACCTGCCAACGTCATCCTAATTACATCGGTCAGTGGGTCAGAGCGATTGGTCAGAGCCACTGGTCAGGTCAGAGCTATTTCCTTTAATTAAATGGTCTTTATTTTAGTCTTCCTGTTGAAATTCGTTTCTTTGCATTAATGTACACCGGTGAAAATCGAAACGATATGCCCTCGGAAAGTAATATTTTTGTAAACGATTTAACTCAAGATTACGAAACTTTGAATGCTGATGACTCCGAAAATCTTCGACCGAAGCGCCCAACAAATCTTCCCATTGCGCCAAACAACGATAGTTTTGAAATCGATAAAGATGAAAGTCTAGACAATGGAAGGTACCTTTGTGATGCTAAAGATTTGATTGTGTTCCTTTCCCTCTTTTAATACTAATTGGCAAAGTCTTTCAGATAGTATTACTTGTTGAATCTACAATTGCTGTAATGGCAAGATTGATCATTGTATTAACACCTGCAGCTGCTCCGTTTGAATGTTTGATCGGATGCGATATGTTTTCTTTGTTTCATCTTTTCCTCATCTATTTGCACAGATATTATTTTGGAAACTGAGTTTAGCAATGTCAGGCAATGCGTTGTGTCGTGTATTAAACTTGTTTTGCAATATAGAGCAACATTGAACTTTCTTGCCGCTGTAACTGCCATTTTGAAATGTTTAGTTGTTTGAAGAACAAGTTTGTTACCTTGTGCCATTCTATAATGTTACTTAGACTTACATGCAAAGTTCACAAGTACTCACTGCTAAAATATGCAATGCAATCAAAAAGTTGCTTATCAAACTTAGAAACTTAATAAGCACTTTTATGTTCATCTGTAAATAGCAGTAATTATGTAGTTAAAGTGTAATGATACAAAAAAGGATGCTCTTTGTAAATGCTGGTATCATCAATTGTAATCCGACTTCTACATAACATGTTTCTCCCATGACACTTTCATTTTTGGCCTAGAAAGTTCATTTGACTTTAGAAATTCCAATTCCTGACAGGAATAGTGCTCATGCATTTATACGTATGGGGTATATTTATTGTTTGCTCTAACATAATGTAATGCAGTATTATTTGTCATAAGTATAAATTTGCACATGGTATTAAAACAATAATATTTTCGCATTGTGATATTTAAATACACTTTGTTTTTTAGTGTCAATGCAGAGGAAACAGCAATAAAAAGATCAGCAAGGTTACATATGACATTGTTACCTAAAATTTTTTTAGTGGTTTAGTGTGCTAAGGAATTAGAGTATCTGAATGTCATTTCCAGTTGTGCTTTTGCATAATTATGCTTTTGAAAGCATAATTTGCAAAGGGAGAGAGGGTGGGAAACTAGGTTTGCATTTGAAGATTTCATTTAATTTAGGTTTGCATTTAAAGCAATTATGCTTTTGAAAGCATATGTTGTTGGAGGAAAAGTTAGGTTTTTGCACTTAAAGATTTCACCAAAGAAAACAAAATCAAACTCAACATATGAAGATAATTAATTTTGTATGAAGAACAGACAATTTAAAATCCTGATTACTACAATTATATTTAAGCAATGAGGTGTATTTTATGCATTTAGTTTACAAGATATTAAGCATTGAATGTATTGGCATTTTAACCCTTGGGTAATCTACAGACTAGAACTGCCCATTGTAGAAATTGCGAGGGTTTAGGATGGCCCCTGACTTATATTACTTTGTCATTTGTCGAGAAAGGAGGCCATGTTGTAAATTTAAGTTAGAGTTTATTTGAGAAATATTTTTATTATTTTTATCCTTAGTAATATCATATTTAGTCCAAACTTTAGTATCGTCCTGTTCATTCTTGTTACGTAAAATGCAAACTTATTTTTTGAGGGTTTTATAAATTTATCTTATTAGTGTGGATTTACATAAAGTTATACGTAATAAAAATTGATATAAGAAAACTCAATGCATGAAAAGCAATGTCACTATTATAAAATATTTGCTACTTGCAAAATTTTCCATTTCATTTGTCATAAAAATGTAGATACTTACGGCTTATCAAAATTTTTTTAGTATATATTGACAACAAAACAGTTCAGAAACACTATACTGTTCTTCAATTTACTTAACCTTTTGGTTATTTTCCGTTCACATAAACATAAACATGTTTATCTATTTATAAGTTGATGTACGTCGACAATGTCGAATTTATGACTTACTGGAATTCTGTTCAGATTTTAATGCTTAGCACAGCACATAAATGTACATGTCTCTGTGTATCCACTTTTAAGACATTCTACACTTAATTGTTTATAACATTATATGATTTAACATAGACATTTTTATGTTGTAAAGAAAGTTATATGAGCATGTTCACCTTTAAGGATGTTGTTTTTCTCACATTTTTCACAGTTTTTGAGAACTTATATGAAGAGAAGAAGTCTCTGAGACATTTTTTTCTCCATTTGTCTAGCAATGTTGAAAGTAGCAGCAAATTTCGATTGCGAGACCTCAGCCCATCCAGACTTCGGAAAAATCGACAAAGAAAAAGCTCTGACAAAGGCTCTAAGCTTTCATATTCACCTCGGAAAAATGTGGTAAGGACATAGAGTAATGGTGTGATTGATGAAAAATACCGAGGTTTTGTGAAGTTTCATTGATATATTTATATATATATATATATATAGGAAGTTTTGTTTATTTGAATCTCCGTAAGTACAGTGCTCGATGCTTAAGAGCAGAGTAAATATTGATGAGAAATACACAGATTTCTCACTCTTCAGGATATATTATCCAGGGATCCCCTGAAGAGTGAGAAATCAAAACAGGCTTGTCGGGATGAAATTGTAGTTTTGTGTATTTTCTTCTTCTCATCAATATATATATATATATATATAAAACTCATTAACTAGGATGGATTTTCTGGGAGGTACAGGGAGTGTGCACCCCTCCAAAATTTTTTTGCACCCCCTAAGGAAAAATTATGGAATGGTATTACGTACTAGACCATAAATATAACACAGTTAGAGACTATGCAATCACATTTCATACTGCCGCCCCGCCATTTGCAAATGTTCGTCAATGAAAACATGCTTTATATGAAAACATCAAAATAGAAATAACTTTCTAAACACCAAATAGCATGTTAATTGTTGATGTAAACTAAATTTGCCCTCTATTTATTTGTCCGTTGTTTGCCATATGTGAACGCAAATGTTGTATTCGTGTTTCTCTTTTTCTCGGCAACATGCACAACGATCAGTTGTCTGTAAGTCTAAATCAGTGTGCGAATTAGTTCAGAAAAAACGATGGGCAATTTTTTTTTGACAAAAGTGTTTCTTTAGAGGCATAATCAAATCGATATTACGTAAATTATTATACAGCGCTAATTGCTAAATTAATATTTTTAAACGTGAACAAATTCATATGATTTACGACAGTGTTTTTCGTTAAAACCCCTGATCCAGTTACAAATGTACGAGAGAAATTTTTTTCGCATGTTATTCTCTCCTTTATTTTTTTGCAAACTTTACAGCGCAATAAATTCACCACTTGGCTATCATCCTAGTGATCAAACGAGTCAGCATTTGATGTTTCCATCCATTTTTTTACTGTATTAACCTTGCTGGTAGCTACAACCTTTCGACGAAAATGGCAAGAAAGACAAAAGTGAAAAGAGAATAACCGAATATACTTTTGCTTTCTGATTATTAACAGTAACATCCTTGATGTTTACTTACGATAAAAAGCATCATATTTATGTCATATTGCAAGCAATATGTAAAAACAAAAAGTATGGTTGATCATCGTTGCCAGTTTTTCTTAATATTTTGAGTCAAACTTGGCTTCTTTTTCTCACGTTAGGCTTATTTAAAATCAAAATTCTTCAAATTTGGCTTATTTAAGTTTTTTTGTCTTGTTTTAAGAATCAAAATCAAAATGTTTCCCGTTTTACTGAAAATACTCAATAGCTATGATGCCAAAAACAGTACGTAACGGTTTACAAAACAACGCAAATGAAAAATTTACATTAATAATGTATTACACCCCCAATGTCATAAGCATATAAGCACCATGTACATAGACTATTGACAGACTTCCCAGTCTCAAAGTGACAACGTCTTTGAATTTGATGACATTGTGCCAACATGGATTTTAATGTCGTGCAGCGCACTCGTTTATAAAGTAAAGATCAGTAAAGATTAAGCTTGAAAGCTTTCTTCAATTTATGTGGTAGTAATCAATAAAAAGTTTTTGCATATCGTTAGAAAAAGTGATGTGCAATTGTTTTCATTTTAGCTAAACCGATGTGCAAATTGCACATTGCACACCGTTAATTCGCACACTGGTCTAATGATATACAATAGCTCAAGACCCCAAGCAAATTTATGTATGGGGTACTGATGATGCACACCCCCTTGGAAAATCTGCACCCCTTCTATCAAATGAGCATTTATCTGCCCTGTCATTTACACATTGCACATCACTTGCCCTGATGAATCTGATTATTTTAAGCGCACTATAAAGCTACATAATTGTCACAGAACGTTGTCATGTGTACATGACATTGGTATTGCAAGTTCTCAGTCAAGTCTTAAAAATTCATTTGTGCAAGAGCTAACTGAAATGAATTGTTTCAATTCTTAATTGGTGAATCATTTCATTTTCAGCGATCATCTACATCATGGCTCCCTGCATCATTTCAGCAAGTATGTAGATCCTTTATAAATATGCAGAATTTATATTTTTGTTTTGGTCGTTAACTTTTAAATGGAATTTTTTCTTATTGTTTGAACTTAAGATGCTCCCGTCATATAAATCTAAAGTAGCGGACTTTAGACGATTGTTCAAGAACATTCCAGAAAGTGAGAAGCTTGTGACTGGTTAGTGATCTTGATCTTCTGGATTGTTTTTTATATTTATGCAAAGTTCCATGTTTTTGGCAAGGATTTATCCAGTTGTACTTCCACCTATGTACGTGAAATTTCCATTGATGATTACCCAAATCGGTTAGAATACATCAGCAGGAATTCTCTTTTAAAACCTTGATGTGGACTGTCATTCCCTAATTGCAGATGTCATTGAGTTCCATAGTTCAGCATCATTATCCATGTGTTTTCATAAGTATAGAACTGGTGCAGAATTGAGACAGGCTGCAGGCAATAATTGAATTGCTTATAGATCGTTCTTGCTTTTTCCTCACCATAATATTTTCATTGCATGTAACTGCGGTTCTTTATTCATATCTACATACCTAGACTCTGTTCAAATAATCAAATTAAAAACATAAGGATTGGTTTATTTTATGTTTCCAGATTATTCCTGTGCTCTGCAAAGAGACATTCTTGTTCATGGCAGACTTTATGTGTCACAAAACTGGCTTTGTTTTCATGCGAATATATTTGGCTGGGAGACTTTAGTAAGCATTTATTTGTCTTAAGAAATTCAACTGTTTATTGGCGTTTGAAAATTAACGACTTGATCATTGTCTTACTGCTTAGAAATTAATTACTGCATGTGAATGGAAGTATTGATGATCTGAATCTTATGTTACTATCTAATTTATTTGAATAGCATTTGTTGCGAAATACACTTTGTTCAGTTGCTTGTCAGGTTCTGTTGAATTATAGCATTAGTCAAGTTTTTGATATCGAAATTATGTATCTCATATATTAGACAATTTTATTGTTTTTTGTGGAACTTTGAATAAATATTGCGTTTGGAAAATTTCTTCAAAGGTTACCATCGATTTACAAAACGTCACGTCACTTACTAAAGAAAAAACAGCTTTGGTGATTCCGAATGCAATTCAAGTCTGGACTGAGGCAGAAAAGGTAATTTCCCCAAAATGACGGTTATTACTTGAAGTAAGATTATTTTTAAAACTTACTTACCGCAGCAGTTGACTTGCATGGATGGAATGTTTTCAACCTGCGATACGTTTTCCTTTTCAGTATTTTTTCACATCGTTTGTTTCACGAGATTCGACTTATCGTAACGTACATCGAATATGGAAGAACGTGTTGTCTAAACAACCTGATCACGTGACATTATTGATAAAAGAAGTCGGAAAGTACGTTGATGTGGATTCTGAGGATATTGATAACAGTAGTTTTGGAAGTAACGATGAGATACCTTTCGATGTTAATGACGACGACATCATTGTTGATGATGACGATGATGATGACGATATCATTTCAATCATTGATCCCGACGAACTAAATTCACCAGATAAATCAAATCTGAAGAATGACGTAGACGAGAAGGTAAGTTAAACACAGCCCAAAAAGAAAGTTTCCCTGAGACGTACGTCTTATTATACATTGTAAATGAATAAATACGAGCGTTATTTAGACTTTTAGTAACTTTCTAAATGCTTTGTAAAGAATAGGGTCACTCGTTCCTTTAAAAAAGAGCTTATCGTCTTTTGAATTCAAAAAATACTTAATTTCACAAAATTTGCATAAAAAGTAGTGAAATTCTACTAAATTCGTTTTTGTTAATTGTGTATGTGGTTACTGTTTATTCAATATTGCTTAACTCATTTTTTAATACACAAGTGAGCTTGTTCTTCACATGGCGTTTAAAAATTAGCCCAACTTAAGTTACGAAGTGCTTTGTTTAATTAAAGCTTTCATTACATATCCCTAATTTTGTGCTCAGTCCGTTGTAAGACGGCAAGTTTCACTGTGATCATTAACTGTTGTGTCAAGCCCCTGATCACAAGTGAAATTATTCACTACTGCTTATGATGTTTCGACCATTTTGATTTTTGTTATTTTGCAGAGCTTTATTTGAATAGTAAAATATTGAATTTTTTTACGTATAATATAAATTATGTAATGTAATTCTCTGACATATTTTAACAGTTGTTAGATGATAAAGAATCTCCACCTCATGATTCTTCCATACCTGATATTGCTGTATCGCCAGCTTCACCAAAGGAAACCAAAGTTCAAACTGCCGACAATGGCGACCAAACTAGTGCTAAGGTGTCCAACGGCCGCCAAAGTACGCCGTCTGAAACAAGACGAAGGTTTCCATTTCCCTTTAAGAAAGAGTTTAGTCCACTTATGAAAAGAAGAAATCGCAAGTTAAACAAGAAAGAAAGCAGTAACGACTTAGATAATGATAGTTTGAATCGAGACAGTCTTATTGAAGATGGAAGTGTTAGCGACTCCAATGATGACGATCCAGGTATGTTTGTTCGTACTCGGTTTCAAGAAAACTTTCTTTAAACAATAAAACAGCCAACGTTATTAAAACTTTTGTGTAAAGCCAAAATTTTCTTTGTAATCTTGCTGACGACATTATTTCATCAAAAACAATATGGCTGCTTGTTTTCGGCTTGGATTTCAAGCCTTCAAATTTTGCGTTGGAATGATAATGCTTGGTCTTTTTGTTTACAGTAGTTCCTACTCTCTGTCCATGTGAAAGTCACCTTGATATTGAGTGCCTTAATGAGGTATGTCATGCACTTTATGTAAGATATATAAGTTCATTGGACGTTTTCTTTATCGACTTCATTGTCGTGATACCTTCATGTATTATAAGCACACTTGCATATATAATGTAATTGATGCTGTGGAATCTTGTTTTTGATTGGTAATTTATGTTTCAGTAACGAAGCCAATGATAACAGAAACTGATGTTTATTGTTAATCGATGTACATATTTTTTTCAGGAATTTGCTGTTGATTTGGACACATTGTATGAGTATCTTTTTACCGACTGTGATTTCTTTCGTAATTTTCGCGCGGCGAGAGATCATTATGGTGAGCCTTATTTGGTAACTTTATTAAAAGTTGTTCTTTTATACTAAATGAACTCAAGATCCTGAAATAAAATTGGTTCAGTAGGTAGGATTATTGACAGGCGTATTTATTTCTTTATGCTACTTTGTACTTTTGACGTAATGATTACATACTTTGTTTGATATGATTACATACTTTGTTTGACACAGTGATTACATACTTTGTTTCATATAATGATTACATACTTTGTTTCATATAATGATTACGTACTTTGTTTTATATAATGATTACATACTTTGTTTCATATAATGATTACATACTTTGTTTCATATAATGATTACATACTTTGTTTCATATAATGATTACGTACTTTGTTTCATATAATGATTACGTACTTTGTTTCATATAATGATTACGTACTGTGTTTCATATTATGATTACGTACTTTGTTTCATATAATGATTACGTACTTTGATATAATGATTACGTACTTTGTTTCATATAATGATTACGTACTTTGTTTCATATAATGATTACATACTTTGTTTCATATAATGATTACGTACTTTGTTTCATATAATGATTACGTACTTTGTTTCATATAATGATTACATACTTTGTTTCATATAATGATTACATACTTTGTTTCATATAATGATTACGTACTTTGTTTCATATAATGATTACATACTTTGTTTCATATAATGATTACATACTTTGTTTCATATAATGATTACATACTTTGTTTCATATAATGATTACATACTTTGTTTCATATAATGATTACGTACTTTGTTTCATATAATGATTACATACTTTGTTTCATATAATGATTACATACTTTGTTTCATATAATGATTACGTACTTTGTTTCATATAATGATTACATACTTTGTTTGATATAATGATTACATACTTTGTTTCATATAATGATTACATACTTTGTTTGATATGATGATTACATACTTTGTTTCATGTAATGATTACATACTTTGTTTGACACAGTGATTACGTACTTTGTTTCATGTAATGATTACATACTTTGTTTGACACAGTGATTACGTACTTTGTTTGATATATTGATTACGTACTTTGTTTCATATTATGAAAGAACTTACCATTGAACCATGGAATGACGACGATGACACGAAGAAGCGGATCTTAAAATATAAACTTGATCTCAACTTGGCTATTGGTCCAAAGACTTCTAAGATTCAAGAAAATCAAGTTAGCAGTTAATAGTGGTATCACATTCAATTGAAAACATGTTCTAAATATGGAGATTTTTTGTAATATTTAGGAACTGAAAGCAAGTGAACCTGGGCAGTTCTATGTCGTTGAAACTAATGTGAGTATCGTACCTAAGTAGTGCATGGAGTACCTTTGCTGTTAATAATTTCTTGTAGTTTTTATCGCGTCGTTGACTGCTTGTGTTTCGAGATGTAACGATCACGTGGAAATATGAGAATGTTTATGTATGTTCACAGCTTGTATAATGTGTTTGGTCTAACTTATTTAGTGCAATAAAGAATACAGCAGAAAATATTCTTTATAACAAAGTATATATATTTTCAATGTTCTTTTCCAACTTTTTCATTGTTTTCATTTATTATAGGTTGTAAACGAAGGTGTACCATACGCAGATAATTTCGTTGTGATTCATAGATATTGTTTGTCGAGAGTCAACAATTACGTGTCTAGACTTAGGTAAGTTCAGCGTTTGACGGATGTTCTTAACATCACTTTTGCTTTTTCTGAAACACAAAAAAAGTGTGACCTATTGAACATGTCGTTATCTAGAGTTACGGCCACCGTGAAATTTGTAAAACATGTTTGGAGTTTTATTAGAAGTAGGTATACTTTGTAAAATGGATTTGGGTAACACTCAAAGCAATTTAGCCTTTATATGATTGTGTTTAGTTTCTTAACAATACATGTTTTTTATCCATGAAACGAACTTAAACTTTATTGTTAAACCTAGCTATAATAACTGAATGAAACATTGTTGTCCTTTTCAATTTTTAGCTATGATAGTAAAAAATACCAAGGAAGCTTTGAACTCGTTTTTCGAGTATCTGAGTAAGTTCTCGTTATTGTCATATGCATGCATTGTGGTTGATTTGTCTCGTAATGCCACCATTGAAAAAAGGAATTTTGGGCAAAATTGTTGATTTACGTTTTGCAGAAGAGTATGTCAAAGGTTTCGAAGATAAAACGTTACTTAACCCAAGACGAAGAGTAAACTCATCTAGTAATCGGTTGCCTTCAAAAGAAGTAGAAACAAAAAATAGCAGCGAAGCTGAGGAAGAAATAGGTAAGACTATATTATGTTTTAGGATGCAAGATATCAAAATACTCTTCATTTGCCCCAGTCGGTTACCTAACACAAACATCAAGTAATTTTGTAAGATTTACAACAAAGCTTTTTATTGCTTTTGCATCTCTGCTTTCATTTAACAACAAGAGCCATAGCCTCCTCCAGTAAATGGTTCCATGCTTGGTGCAATTTAGTTGTGCTTGTTGTTCTGGAGGTAAAAATGGACGCATTTTATTTTTATTTAGACAAGGATGTTTCCGTATCTAGTATGGGATTTACTTCACCCTTTATGAATAATATCTGGAGGTACGAAATGAAAAATTTACGATGATAACAGTTAGCATGGATTTTATTTTTTTCTTCTTTCCATGTTTTTATAGTTTATACATGCAATTGCGGGCTGAATATTATTTACGAATTAATGAAGCCACGCTTCGCGGAATCTGGTCAGCCCAAGCTTAAATCACTCAATGTACGACCCACCCTCCCCTCCCCTTAATATGAACAAAGAAGGAATTGTTATCATTTGATGTCATATTCAAAATTTTCGAACATTCTTTAAAAAACATTTTGAAGAGATATTTTGGGAAGTTGTGGGATATCTTAGGATCTTAAACGTGGCAAACCCTCGCGTACGAGATTTAAACGTTGCTTGCTCCCAGGAGGTAGTGTATTGTTGTGTGAAATTCTGTCAATTTTGCCAAAATGTGCGATGAAATTTGACTTTTTTGACTATATTTACCATATTATTTACTATACGACCGTATTTTATTCCTTCGTGATTTGCCATTGTGTACGATTGTATTTGTACAAGAACAAGTCCCTCGTGGAAATCAACTTTTTTTGACGAGGCCAGCATGTCAAAATAAAGAGTTATCTTCGCTCTGTTTCTAATCTCTAATTTATTTTTCACAGTGTTTTTAGAAATAACAGTTGGCTTCTTGGAGCATTTGTTTCATTGTAAGTAAAAAAAAAACCCAACTATTTGTCTCGTTGTTGAACAAGCACGGTGTGTTTAGTATTGATTGAATAAAATTTTGTGTATTTAAATTTTCAGGCTAGTTATTTTGATCCTTTCAAACATGTACCTTAACTACAAAGTAATGTCTCTTGAGCGTTCGTCAAAATCATGGTCTGTTGGATTTTTACCATCATTAGAGTAAGTTGTATTTCACCATCGTCATGCTTTGAAGGAAAAATGTATGCAACATTTTTGTTTTTGTTTAAGCATGGCTTAAAACCCTCTATGATTTGTTTGGGCTCGTTGGCATGTAGCTTGTTATCATTAGCTTACTTATTTCGTTTTCAGGGATTCGCCTGCAAACGCAGAGGAATTTCGAACGTTATTACAGCAGCAAAAGTATATTCAAAATATCCAGTTGAGAAGGTGGATTATCGTTTGTGTGTTTGAAGAAGTTTGGTTAGGTAGGCTTGGTATTGTGCCATTGATATATCATCTTCATGTCTGTTTCTTAAGGTGGCAACATGTACTCTCGACGTCGATAAAGTTTCTGGAGCAGGTCAGTGATTTTGAGCGACTGTCTTAATTTAAACAATGATAAAAATTTGAGTTATTATAATGTCCTTACATACGTACGTTAACAAATTGAAACGTTAATGTAGGTTCAAGATTCTTTGAGGAAATTGCAAGATGAAATAGAAAAACCAGTAAATCTATAATATTGCAATCGGGCCTTGTTCGCGGAATGGTGCGTTCGTCTGTTATTGATGTACTGAAGGTGAAATTATCGAGTTTTTGTTGAATCCAACGTACCATTCAGGTTCTAATCTGGAAAAAGTTGTGTTTAAGTGGTTAAAGGTTCTTCCTTTGCTCACCATTAGTTGTCCTTCAATGAAAGAAATCTTACGGTTTGAAAAAAAATATAGCTACTCCGCTATAATTCAGTCAATTATCACGCTTGACCTTATTAATTTATACCACATTCATACTTGCGAAATATGTTTTTCGTGTACAGCTGACAACAGCATAAATATTGTGGTCGTTTCTCCCAATTCAGCATTGTGTTTGCATTTAAGTAAATGCCATCAAACTATCGGAATTTGGCCTTAAATTGAATTATCCTGGAGGATTTCGGGAAGGGCATTTATAGTTGCTAAGACGTAATCTGTAAATTCATGCGATGAATTGTCCGTGTAAATATATTTATGAGTTTTATCATATATTCATATTGCTATATTGTAATTGATATTTTTTGACCACTGTATGCGTAATACATAGATAGTGACAGGGATGGATTTAGAGGAAGAGCTGGAAAAGGCGCGCACCCCTTCTTTCCTTGCTTATTGGGAGTGCCGGAGAGGGAACAATTTCACTACAAAATAATGTACTGATTAATTCAGTAAAATGAATTGTAAAAACACTCAAATATATCGCTCACAATAGACTGTTGACGGTGATATATTGCATTGATATAAATAGTTGCGGAGCCAGCCATGCAATGCAAATGTTTTTGTGGTTAATCACTGGAAAGACAATAAATGGAATTAATTTTCTAAAGAAATGAATAGTAATTTTGCTGAAAAATTTGCATTTTAGAAGTCAAAGTATTGCGAAAGAAATTTGAAGGAAATTTTGCTATATGTAGCTTGTTTGATTGGTCATACAACCAAAGCATCAAAGTTATTGCGTGGCTATAGGTTATTCTTTTGGTAAAGCTATTATTTACCATAACAATGAAACGGATGTGGATTGCCGAACACAACTCAAACACGTGCTCGGCAGTCGGAGATCCTATTTCGGATAAACACAGTAAAATTACACCTCGTCTACAGAGATGATTTTTTGGGACAGAATTTATTTGTGGTAATGGTGATCACCTTCACTGCAATCGAAGAATATTAAAAAATATGGCTGAGGTTCAAAGTCCTCTATTGCCGAAAGATGCAAAACCTGAAGAGGTCAAAGAATTATACGACAATTGGGCTGAAAAATATGACGGGGTTTGTGTTTCTATCTGCTTTACAAGCATAGTTTGAGCGGCAATGATTGTTTTATATGTTTGTAGGTTTAGATCATCTAGGTTAGTATAGTCCCGAAAAGGACTGTTGGTGTTGATGTTTACTGACGTTTCGACAACCTTACCGGTAGTCATCTTCAGAGTCAATGAGTAATGATTCGATAATTCAACAATTGTTTTTATTGAATCGACTATCCTCGTGCATGTACTTTTACTTTAGCAAATAATTATTTGATCATTTACACCAAAGTTCTGATTGAAAGATTGTGATGGGTATTTTTGCAGATCGCATTATTAAAACATTAGTTCAAAGGTTAAAACATGTTTATTGTAGTGCAGTCAGCTATGTGTGTTCGTTCAAGTGTGTATTTTTAAGCAAGACATAAGTCTTGCTTAACAATAAGATAACTTAAGACATAAGTCGATAACTCTTTAAACAAGTAAAATATTGTTACAAAATTTTCGGCGTGCACTTTTCCATCGGTAAAGGAAGGAGTGATCAAAATTTGATTGAAATTGGATAAAAATTGAACGAGAAAGAAATTTTTTTATTTTTTTTGTTTCCCTTGGCCACAGCTACGGCAGTGACTACTGGTTTCAGATTTCAGACGTATACATATGCATATGACGTCAGAAGGCTGAAGTATTACAATATGTGGCTACTATTGACAAATAGACAAGTTTGTCGTAGATTTTTGTCGTGTTTTAAATGCATTTAATTTAGCAAACACTTTACCTCTTTTATATAAACTCTTGCACAGGACTGGTCTTCAGTAACTTGACTGTTTGAAAAGACCCGGCAAGGACCAGTTTCTGTGCAGTTTTCGGCCAAGCGAAGTGTAAAGTACGGTGGTAAATGGTTGTCTTGTTTCGTTCATACAACATCAAAATGCATCCTGACCTTTCCTTTTATTCTCTTTGGAAAGTTTAACATATAAAATACGCAGATTTATGGAAGGAAGGGGCTAGACTGCAGTTTACGCTTGTAAACGTTTGTATGGGGAGGCGGGCTCCTTTTTGCTTAGGGCACAGAATAATAATGATTATACAGAAGGGTCACTCAGGTGTACAACGCGTTCTCGTATCGGCCATTATTCCAGCCAGATGATTAGGATTTCTCACTTGTTTCCAACCATTAAAATTACATGACGTCAATACTTAATAATGAATTCAAGTTTATTTTGACTTAGGAAATGACTTCGGATCATTTTAATGGTTGGGAAAAAGTTAAAAACCCTAATCATCTGGCTGGAATAATGGCGGCCACCTATACTTTGTGAAGAGCTCACATGAAAGTGAGCTATTCATAGATTATATTCACAGAGCTATATTCAGACTTAATCAATTATTGTTAATTAATGCAAAGATGAAAGTTGAAAATGAGCACTATAAACTGGAATTAAACTTCCACTGAACTGTTGCAAAAGCTGTTACTAAGATCACAATGCACTGCGCGCTTCAGGCTGACGTCGTGTTTATGCCTATTAAAATCATTCGCAAAGCAAAAATCGCTTTTGTATTTGTATTCTATTAACTTGCCAATTTCACGATGGTTAAAACTCCCTGTGAGTTACAACAATTTTATGGATGTCAATAAACATTCAAAATTTATCTCTGACCCTGCTTTGGAGATGGTGTTCAAATTTCAAAAACAAATATTAAAAATTAAGCTTGTACATTAATTTGTGTCAACCTGTCTGGGTTTTATGCAATCTGATTGGCTGAAGAGCAAAAGTTTAAGCGCATTGCTGATTGGTTAAAAAGATATTTTGTCTTTTAACCTGGCTTGTAATCAATAGTTTGGCAAATCATATTTCATCATATCATTTCAATAGGATATTTCTCCAGTTTCAACCTACCCGGCCTTAAACAGTATCATTACTACACTGTTGGAAGTAATTGATACAAGCAATAAAGATGTTAGGATTATCGATCTGGGTGCTGGTACAGGCCATGCTGCCATTGAACTAAAGAAATATGGCTTTACAAATATTGATGGCTTAGATCTCTCTCCTGCGATGTTAAAGAAAGCAAAAGAAAAAAACGCTTATAAGAATTACATTTGTGAAGCTGTAACAGAGAAGCAACTGGATATTCCATCAGGTTCCTATGATATCGTTTTAAGTGTTGGTGCAATAACCTCTGGTTACATCAAAGCAAATGCATTTGATGAAATTTTACGTTTGGTGAAGCCAGGTAAAATTTATTTGGTTGTTTATTTTACTGGCAAATTGACATCATTAATGTAAAGTTGCACATTTTTAGGTCGAGACCATTGCCTTTTCAACTTTATGCCATAAAGGCTATTTGTTTTTAGCATCATATTGTACATATTATTATGATTCCTATCGGCTGAAACAATCTGTTAATTAAATACATTGTGTCACGATTCAGGTGGTTATGTTTTTTTCACCATTCGCAAGGACACTGTGGAAATTGATGAATATGAATTTAAGAAAAAATTTGAGCAGTTTATCAGTGAAGGCAAATGGAAAGAGGTGAAGAAGTATGAAACTGACTACCTTGTTGGCTTTCATAAGAACGTCAACAAAGATCTCACTAAATGTTATGTCATGGTGTTTAAAGTACTAAAGAATGAATAAATAGCTGACTTATTTGAACATTATACTTGATATGCAAACCAACAAAAATTTGAATTAGGAATAATAATAATTTGGTATAATTTATAGAAGATAAAAATGTTCATTTACATTAGTAATATGTTTTATATAATAGCCATAAGAATTTATGCAATTGGTCTCCGTTGCTTGTGGCCATTTTTTTAGTCTTGTCACAGATGACGTCATACCCGTGTATCTATAACTAAACTGACTACGGATAAAAGAAATCTATTTGTTAATTTTACAATTAAATGTTTTATATTGATTGTTGTTGATGCATTAAACATGGTATGTATGATGTATTTCGTGGTGTTTTTTTAAAGTCTGGACTTTTTTGTTTTAACGTTTTCAAACGAATTATATGAATAGTTCATCTATTTAGACAAATTTGCATGGGTTTTTCGTATTGATGCATCATCCGTCTGTTAGTGTAAATACGAAATATGGACGAACTAAGGAATAAAACGATACTTTGCACCTCGCTCAAAATCGTCCAGACGGATGATCCGTCTCTTGTATAAAAATGGAGAATATATTGTTAATTTTCATTTTGTTTCAGAAGCGATTTTCAATTTTTCACTTGTGAGGGACTTATAGCAACCACTTGAAGTTTACTCTTTTTATATTAACAAATATAAAGGTTTATTTTCATAAAAAAACCCTCAAAGATACTGAAGTGTGCAACCGGTATTATGCTGAGCAGATATTTTGGTTGAGTATGCAGTATAGCTCGATTTCTAATTACAAAAAAACATTTACACATGTCTACCATATAGTCTTCACTTGGTGCACTGTTATTTTATATTCGTCTTGATGGCTTCACGGAAAGATACAATTTAATTTAGTGTTGTTTATGTGTACATTTTTAGCAAGTTAGAAACAAATATTGATTTCTTCAATAGCATCCAGGTTTCATTCAGAATATCTGCAATTCTTTAAAACTCCAGTTGACTGTTTCGTTCATCTCACATTTTTATCGTTTTTTAAATACCGCAAGGTTCGTCAGCTTAGATCCAGGGCCCACACATGCTGCGGCCAGCCTGTTCGATTGTTTTTACACTTTCGCTCTTTTCTTTTTTCTTTTTCCTGTGTAAGAAGTTGAATAAAAATGCTGACGAAACTTTCTTGCTTACATGTTTGTCAACTGTACACTATCATGATACTTAATGTTATTTATAGTGAGGTGTTATTAAAAGCTAGTTTCAGTTAGCTTTCGATGCATAGGTCGTAATTTATCAAACAATGGGAAGGGATTTTAACAGCATGAATTGTGATAGAGTGTTAACATTAGATATTTGATAAGACGATTAAACATAAAAATACACGTTCTCATTTCGACAGTCGAAAGTCTTAAATACTTATTTTTATCTTTGAACACATGAAAGTGGCGCCATGTTAAATTGATAATCCTGTAAAACGGAAATGCCTTTATTGTTATTTAGGATAGCCATTAACATGATGATTTTATAATCGTTAGTGGATTGCAATACAACATCAAGATCTTCCAATTACTGTTTCAGCTTTCATGATTTACACACGCACATTCATTGCTTATCAGTGTGATTTATGATGGGAGTAGTTAAAACCAATACATAACGTTCGTATCCACTTCTAAAGAAACTACTTTTATAGCTATGTAGTCAAAGTGTCAAACTTTGTCTGTCCAGCTCATTGGTCCTGCCATTATGTTTGACGATATCAATTTTTGCGCTACTCATTTAGCGGTTGTTGTTGACTGGTTTACTTCAATTTTTCATTATTTCTTACTTTCACACATTTTTTTAAACTCTTAGGAATTGAAAGACTTGTCTTTAAACTTAACATGCTTAACTTATTAAACTACACTGTACACAACTACCATCATTTGACAATCCAGTTTCTGAAATCAAAGTCCCCTTATATATTGAGACTCAATTGTCTCTAATTTCATTGCTTAATGTATGTAAACTCTTTCTTTTAAATCAACTTTACTTTGATAACAACACACAATATTCATTGAGATCGTAATTCTACATGTCGTTGAAAAATTTTTGTCTGTAGTAATTTCCCAGCTTGTGAAAAAAGCTTCATCAAGTAATGGGCCTTTGTTTCAAGAAGGTGTTACACGTTGTTGTGAAGCTGCCATTTTATAAAACAATACATTTAGTATGTATAGCTATACAATACTGTCGTGGTAGACATATTCTGACCTAGATTGATGGAAGCTAATTTTATGAGGGCAAGTTATTTGAAGATCTGATAAATTTGTATTCTTAGTCTTATTTTCTTCCAAAGTTCATTTTACGACAGAAACAAGTTTGTTCAGTTCAGTACCTGTTGCGAGATCATAACCCATAATGTCAAGTAGTGAGATCATGTCGTTAGACACTTAAAACCTCCAACATGAAGTCAAAATATTTTAGGTGAAATAAATGATGTTCAATAAATTAAATATGATAGACCATTCGTGAAGTTTGTAAAAAAATATCATTATTTAATCCTATAGGTGTTGAACGAACTAGTTGAACGAGATACATGTGAAACACTCACATTTTTCACTGTCTTTCCTCTGCTGGAATTCTCGTCGCTTTTGCTTGCTATTTCGTATGCGATAACTCGCGCACCGTATCTATTGTTTTCAAGATCCGCATCTAGCATTTCTGTGAGATACTGTATATAACTTATAGCCAAACGTAAAGTTTTTATTTTTGAAAGTTTTGTATCCGTCGGTACGTTTGGAATGCATTTTCTTAACTCACCAAATGCCGTATTAATGCAGTGAGTTCGCCTTCTCTCTTTTCCATGCGTCTCTTCTAGTTTTGCGTCGTTATTTATATTGTTGGGACTTAATGTATACTGCTCCAGGGTGTTGTTTGAAGGACTCGTCTCCATTCTCAATTGAACTTTGATTCTCAAAACTTGTCGTTACATTAACGGTAATGCGATCGGTGAAAAAAGAGAATGATAACTTTTCTTTTTATTGACTGTTTTCCAGTTTAACTGATATCCGTTGCAGTGAATGTGAAAGCTTTGTTAACTTCGTTTATGGTTACATTGTTTTCATCATCAACCTGACTATATATCTTTCCCATAAATGTCTCTAAATATAAACACATACAACGGCGTCCAGCACTATTGTGGCTGAAGGGTATTGATTGGTAATATCACCTTCTATCACAATCTCTTTATCAAATACCGGATGCTGCCAGTTTTGCGTGGGGCTGGCTTAACACATTGTTTTTCAAATTGGATGTTTCCCAAATATCTTGAATGCAGCTGCATGTCCTGCGAGGTACATGCAAAACAACATAATCTCCCAATGTATAGTTGTATATTATATCTTTACATGGTCAACACTTGGAAATCTTTCTATTTACCCCGTTTATCTGCATGGTGATAAAATTTGATGGTCATTTTAGTCAGTAATGTGTCGTCAATGGTGGATAAATTTTCTGCAAATAGTGTACCATTATAAGTGTATGCGCTGCATGTCTTGGGCCCATATCAAACGTCGCATTTTACATAAACCGAATGCATTTAAAACAAATAATAATGATCAATTTTGTGTCAATCTTTTTTGTCTTTATGGCATTCGGCTTATGTAAAATGCGACATGTGGAACAAGCCTTACAAGACAATTTCAACCCGATCTTGAAAGTGGTAATTTCACAGAAATCGAGTTTGGCCAAAACGGAGGAAAAAACCTTTGCTGTCAGAAATATTCGTATATGTGTGAACCTATGTCCCCTTCATGATTACAAAGCATATATCGTTGTCATACAATTCTACACGTCGTAAATAAAGCTAAAGGCGCTAAAATATAAAAAAAACAAATTCATGTACTTCCGTCACAACAAGATATTACACTATCACTGGTTGAAACGTAAATAAAAAAATAATGATTGTCACGGATGAAAATTTTAAGTACTTGTTTTGTCATCAAGTACGGCGATAAACCATTTTTTGGCGTTAAACTGATTTTTTAGTAAACAAAAATGAAATCAATGATGATGTCTCAGTATCTTTATTTCGATTGATGTTTGTTCTTCAAACAGCAATTGTTCAGTCAAAAGATAAGATTGTGCCAGAATGGTTTAGTATCTAACTAAAATGTCCGTGTGTGTTCTTGTGTGTGAAGTTTCACGTGACCAGAAATTTTGTTCGAAATATAATCACCAAAAAACCTCACGACGTGCAAATTTACCAACTCAGGACTTAGACATAGGTTTCCATTCCAATATTATCCGATGATTGTTGGGTGACAAAGATGTTGCTTGTATTTGATAAGAAGCACCAAGCAAACTCAATTATGAATGGTAGTGGACATGTAGAAGCGATAAAATCTAAGCTCTCGGTATTAAATGCGCTGTTGAACGCCTACGTTAGCTTCCTGTGCTCATATTGCTTTGTTGTCCTTGACCTACTTAACAATCTTGTTGCGAAAAATCACTGCCATCTGTTTCGTCTCTATAGCTTGGTGCTGTTCCTCCCGGCGTAAACTTGAAAACTGAGAATTTGAAATCGTTCACTACTTGATAGCGTGGCACTACTGTGGCAAATGCATGTGCCCACACCACTGGAACGATTGGAAATTTTTGAGTCATTTATTTTAAAATTAAACAAGTGAACTATTTCGCATTTTTAGTTTTTCTTTTCAATATAACATTTCACCATTTGGCCCCTCAAGTTCTTCATGTGATGGGGAGATAAGTATTATGAATACCAAAACAAAGCCAGTAGATTAGGCTTACAAGAAATTTGAGCTTGTGTGACAATCAGAAAGTGCACAACAGCAGTAAAATTTGCTTTAAATTTTGCGTTCATCGTAGTTGTAATTTCGAAGTTATCAAAATTCAAAAGTTCCTGTGATTTTGTTTTGTGTGGGATGAAAATGAAAGGGTCGTTAGTTAGCCATGAGTTAAGTCATTTTAACATTTTTGTAAAAATGTAATAACTTCTGCTAATCTATGATTATATCAAGTCCACAAATACTGATGAAGTATTCTCGAAAACTCCATTCAATTTAAAATTGTTTCGCGTACACAGCCTTACTAACAATCCAAAACCATTTGATACACTGCTATTATCGTTTTTTAATGACAGAAATGCGGACTTTTTACTTTTCAGTGGAGGTCAGTGTGCAAATGCACTGCTAACAAGATGATGGTAATTGGATTGAAATTCATCGTGCTCAAAGCGAACTGAAAAGAAATGATTAAACCAAGACAATCAATGAAGCATTTTACATAAACGCAGTCGTAAGGAAAAGAGTTAAGTATAAGCTCAAAGAAGAAGAAAATGAAATAAAAATTCCGATGTGTTAGTCTTTGTAAACCACTAGAGTAAGGCTTGACACTAAAGTCTTGTCCTTCATCTTTATTTACCAGCCGACAATTTTAAGTTTCGTCTGATGATGAATTTGTTACAAATTCGAAATATAACTTTACAAATAAAATTTTTTGTTTCTTTCTCGAATATTGAATTAAACATGGCTTTTATTCGGAGTATGCTTCATATTATATCATCTTTATGTTATACTTGTGAACCAGAGCCTGGCATGAAGGTAGCTATACATACATATTAAAACTCATGATTGGCTAGCGAACAGTTATAGCCTTATTAAAAATGCTTAAGTGGTAAATGCGTCAATTAAAAACTAAAAAAACTCGTCATAAATCCCCTAATGAATAGACGCATTTGTATTTGAATTTTTCCTATTTATTCATAGTCGGTAAAAGACCCGAACTTTTAATGATAATACGTAAAAAGGATTAAACGCTATTAAAAACTTATAAATAATTTATATAGCCTTTAAATTACCAAACATCGATCTTATTTCAACGCAAAATCTGTGAAGTGGAAATCCGATGACATTGAAATAATCACCATCTATGCTCTTCACAAATGATCCACCAAGTCCTGTTGATTGTATACCATACATAAAAATAGTCAAGGATCATATATCAACCTTCTTTGGGCCTTTGAAAGCAAAGGTGTTTAGACAAAATTTTAACAAGGAGGGCTGTCCAATACATATATTACCACATCTTATACTGCTTCATAAGCCCTCCCCTTAATATATCTATGGAATTTTAACAAAGGGAGCTCATTCCCTAGACGCCATTCCAAACAACCAGGCTGTTCCATTCTTCTAATGCTCTGTTGCTTGTCTAACTCGTTGATTTTGAAATCCATACTCGTTGATTCCATGGGTTGATTCCAGATTGCAACTCATGGATCCTGATTCAATTTGCAAATTCCGTCTACAACTCGTGGGTTCTAATTCTAACTTGTGAATTTCGGATTTTAGCTTATATTCCTTGCAAAGCTAAAACTCAGTAGAAGAAAACGCAGAAATAAGCGAGAAGTATGCAATGTATAAAGAACTTTAATATATATTGTAAAAGGATATCCACCAGACTTGTCCCTGTGAAAATGAATGAAGATGAAAACGTATCACAAATTTGAGACTTTTTGGTGATTATGTGACCATTATATATTTTTCCGCTGGTAGGAAATGTGAAACTCACATGGGCTCTTTCGTTGCAACGTAAGTTCGAATTATTTGATCCGTGAGTTTTCCAAATGTAACTTTGGTAACTTCTTCAAACTGTCGAATTTCACATGGTTCTAAAAATCGTACAAAAATGACTGATATCTGCAATGTGGAAGTAAAAAAATGGTAGCTTAGTTAATGATAGGTTTTCACAAATCAATAATTTTGACATCAGTATTGCAATTTGTATTGTGTTGTGACAAGTGTCCGCTATGTAATTGTATTCATCCACCAGTCGCAGTGACCATTGGCAATGTTTTATTAGAAAAGCCAGTTGTTTTTTTTCACATTCTCTGAGCTCAAATATATTTGTGCTATGTTTTATCTTGTGGTTGCACGGTCCTTTGAGATAGATGTTACAGATATCACTATTTCTAAGCTTTTTGCACCACATGATCATTAAATTTGGAAGGTGTTCTACGACCAACTTTTGTAGTATTTAGTAGAAAAGCCTGCAATTATAACCACACCGACTTTTTTCAATGTCTAAAATTTCTGGACTGACTTTTAATAAATATTTAAAAAAAGTTCTCATACTTTAAACCCTCCTAATGTGTGCCCCTGGTGGTAAGTAATTTGAAAACTGCTAAGAATGGTAAAGCTGCTAAAGATTGATTCGTTTTTTGATATCAATTTTCATTAAAATTGTTTTTGTACTGGATGCTTCATAAAGTAGTTTTACAAAAATCTTAAAACTACCTTCATTTATTTTGTTATTTATTGGTTTCAAAAGAGTCACGCCACTGTGAACAGAATGTGTCCTTCCACTCAAACTATAAGAAATAAGAATACAATTAAGTGAAGATGGTGTGAAATTTGCCATTGATGGTTTATAAAACCATGACTTTCAATTTAATATTAATGATTTTGAATATATAAACACCTCTTAATCATTTGAAAGGCATCTTCTTCATCTTTTGGTTTTTCAATAATTTTGTCATCTAAAAACTTTTGTATTAGTACAAAATAAGACTAAAATCACTTGAAATAATAATTCATTCACTTTGACAAAATGTTTACTGTTTGTAGAATTGGAGTTATATTATTGGTGATGATCACTACTTACAACAACTGTGTCCATGGCTACAATAAGATTTGGCAAAGCTGTCTGTCAAAATCAACAAGACACATTCATATCTTGGTAATTATAGCTAGAAAAGGAAAGAGTAAGTGCCTACCTTTGACAAACGGTTATACACCTCCACAGCTTTCTGCCGGGATGTTTCTTTTGCATACTCGCTAGGTCCACTAAATGCATCTTTTGCCAAATTTTCATCAAATTTTGATGGAACTATGGTGAATCTCAAGCCCTCAAAAAACGAATTGCTCAATTAGGAATAATTTCAAATAGATAATGTGGGCATATTTCTTTTAATAATTGCCCAATTGTAAAACTGCTATGTGCCAACAAATAGAACATTTGCTAAATTAATAACTGCAATTTAATTTTTTTTGAGGGGGAGCAGGTGGGTGTTTGACACACATTTCTCAACTACCTCCAGAGGGGGAGCAGGTGGGTGTTAAACACACATTTCTTGACTAACTCTGAGCCTGCAATAAAAGTTTTTTACAGGCCAGTGAGGCCACAGCTACGACTGTATGACAAAGCAGGCTTTAAGTCATATCCGCTTGTCAAAATCAATCCGAAATCTGTATTTTTTAGCGCAGTCATGGTAAACTTGGCAAACCGTAGTAAATCTACAACCTGTTCTAAAGCGTTACAAACTGTTGAATTCGACATTTTAAGGAAAAATAGTACAGTATTAACACCAGCAGTGTGAAAGAAAAACAGTTTCGGAGTGTGTCTCGTTCAAAAAGCTTACCAAAGCAGACATGATTTCTTTCCTGCGAGGAGAACCACTAGCCAATATTATATTCTGTTTGTTCAAAACTTCTAGAAATGGTTGTAACATTTTATAATCTGTAAGAATTAAGAAGATAGTTCGAACGTCTTAAATATAAGCGGGTGTTGACTCTATAAGCTGGCAACTGGGGATCTGGGGATGGTCAGATGGCCCATGGATGGCCAATGGGATGGCCAATATGGCTCAGTCGAACTGTCGTTTTTCGGGCAGATTTGGAAGATTGAGCTCGAAGAACATTTGACACACATTTTTGAGTTTATGATACGATGATATCAAGTAAAATTAATGACGCATTGGAGACAGTGGGTAACATCGACATGTTTTTTTGGAATAATACATAGTCACAGATAGTATTACTATTTTATACGAAGGGTGGCTACGTATTATGTGTAGTTGTGAACGTATGCTTTAACCGCTGACATTATCTCAAACGACATCGACAATGTTATTTATTTGTTATCTGAGCCCGCACAAAATTTTGGTACCGCTCAGTGATCTTGACCCCCCTGCCATAATGAGATAGAAGACAATATCGAGTAAGACACATAATTATATATTTTAGTATGATGCGATAGGATTATGTGAAAATACACGTAGATTGCCGTTGCGTATCGTATTATTTCACTGATAGTTAAGGTATCCTTTGCATCATTGGATTTCTACTGCGTAATGTGACTTGTCATAACATGATAGGGAGGGTGCGTATTTTATTATGAGAAAATTTTAAGCATAGTTTTAACAGTGTTAAGTCTCTGAAATGTGCTGTTCAGCTATTTATAGCACATTCCTTCTATTTTTGTCAAAAAAGCTTAAAAACCGAAAGTCCTTGATTTGCCGCAAAGTCATTTCGGATGGAGCTTGCTTTATCTTTGCTCATAAATAATTGAGTTCCATGAGTATGACCACAAATGGAGGTTGTTAAGACTACCGATACTCTGTTGAAAGTAGGGATGATAAAGGGAAAAGATACACCAAATCTTGAATGATTTAATTTTTTGTACTACTGATAGTAATTATCTTTATTTTCTCAAAAACGGCTCTATTTAAATGGCTTTAAGCTGTCACCGCCAGAAATGAAATGAGATTGGCGAGTATGTGATAAATTGAGAAATCGGGTTTGGGCCTTATGTGATAGTTTTCAAAGTCATTTTGCAAATTAGCAGTTATCAGTATAGTACGTTCTTTATTTATTACGCCAACGTCACTGTCAGCGGGATACAGTGTCTGAAGTATGCGCGCATTTACGTATTTTATTGAAGCCATTACTTATTTATATAATATTCTTAAGAGTATTTAAGCTATTAATGATTTGCTGGTACTATACTCGGCCGAACCATTGGGCCGAAAAGGAAAAAGTTATTAAGTACTGATATGCCTTATATGTGTTATGTGTCGAAATGGGTATGAATGCCACCCACTGCCGATCCCTGATCTCACCCTGCTCATTCCCTTTATTGTTTCAATTGCGCTTCATTGTCATTCCCCGTTGTTAGTCTAAAAAACAGTCAGTTTTAAGGAACTTTCAGAAAATTGTCGATTTGTAGAAAGTAAAATAATACTTCGGTTCCTCTCTAACATTTCTGCTGGTAATAATCGTGGGGTGAATGCTCCAATTTTAGACAAAGTGAAAAGTTTCGCTACGCTTTGTTTTCATTTATTCGTTCGTTCTGTTTTACTTGCCCATGGTCTCGGCCTTGAAGTTCTTCCTGTCTTATTACAGTCATGAAATACTACGATTTTTTTAAACTCGGTTGGACCTATCCGGCAAAAATTTTGAAGACTTCGTCACACACGTGTGCTCGCCGCGTGACTTGAACTGTGGAAGAAGGCATGTGCAATTGCCTTGCAACTTTGATATTCGTTGTCCTCTCATCTTAACTAAAGTTTCCTTAAATTAAGGAATTTTTAACACTTCACAGAAACTGCGACACAGAAATTTTTGTCAACTGTTCGACACAACAAATTTTCTTCAATTTTGCCGATTTAATGAGTTTTGAAAGAGGCAAAGTGGCGTTAATATAAATTTCTATAAATGTTTAGAAATGTGAACGATTAATTAGGCAAAGAAATTACATTTCAATGTCAAATATTTGTGTTGTGTCGAACGAACGGAATTTCAGGAAATTATTGAGGTTCAAGGAAAACGTGCACTTGTTTTGAGGAAGTTTTTCACTTGCTTAGTTGAAGTTTTGAAATAGAACTTTTCTTGTAATCTCGTTATTTTTGTCTTCACATATAGGTTAGTCGAGTAGGACAAAAAATGTCCTTATCTTCTGGGCCGGTCTACCAGCACAATTGATGTATCCTCGAATTCAGTGATGAGTTCTGCGTACATACAGAAATTTAATGGCAATTTTACAGTTATGGTAAGTATCTATTATTGTTCTGGTTAAGTTAGCAGCCAGTGCCCAGTGCATTTGTTAAATGGAAACTTCATCTTCACTTTATTTTCGTACGCAAATGAATATATTACAATGATATCATAACCTACTAACACCTATTATTATAAAAACCTTTATTAACAATGAACTTTGCGATCATCCGTACTAAATTAATGCAGAATAATCGCAAGACTGTTTTATACTTTATATACGACTTTATACGAATGGCTTTCGCTACATATTCACGTGCTTTGAGATCAACTTTCACGCAAATCCATTTTATTCATCACGCACTGTGCCAAATAATATGGCTACCGCGGGCGAAACTGAACACACAGTAGAACAATTTTCTCTGAAACAAAATGTGAGCCCACTTGCTTTCAGTCTCTGATTCATGGCTTACTAAAATGTTAAATTTATTTTCCAATGCTACTTAGTGCGGACAAGTAGCTGTTTTTATCTCAGCTTTTTATTGATTCATGTTACTTTTTTTACCAAAGATTGTACTTAGTAAACACACCTAGGTATCAAACCACTCGAGAGATGGTACTTTTCCGTCTATTTTTTTTGCGAGTCCACAAAACTGAGGCATTCATCGCCATTTCTTTAAAATCGCATACCACATAAAGTAACCCCTGTGTGCGAAGTTTTGACCTGTTGCATGCGAATTTTTTATCCTTTTCCTATCAGTGCGAACATCACGCCGAGAATATAATGTAATTAAACCGATAGTGATATTATGTTAACGTATTTTCCATTATACCCTGTCACTTGCGAGCTAATGGGGATTGAACATTGGTTAATTCCAGAAGTATTATAAATTGCGCTTATTGCGAACGTTTGATGTTACAATTGATATCCGAATTTACTAAATCCGATGCAACGTTTATGAATGCAAAAAGGCTTCATGAAATGTGATCGAAACAAGTTCGATAACTTTTAGGACGTAAAATTGAAGGAGGCGTTTTAAGACATCGTCAGAATATTGTATAGTGTATTAAAATCGAATAAAAATACGTGTATGATTTTGCAATTATAATTTCAATCTCTATTTCCCTTTGGCAAAGGGAAAAACATCTAAATGAATGATAAACATCTTTATGAATGTAGTTCTATACGTAGCCCTGTTAATGGAGAAAGATTACTTCCGACAAATATGTTCAATATTATATCTGACAAAGCTCTCCACATCACACTGGTTAGTTCCCCAAGGCAAGAAATAGGTATGACCTCAATATGGGACCATTTGGGGTTATCAACTTATCATGTCAAGCGTATTTCGAAATCTTCACAAGGATAACAGTTAGTTGAAATGGACGTTGTCTAGATAATATTACAACCTCGAGATTTAAACTCAATTCTAATTTTCTAACAAAGCGGTGTTTACATGTTTGCGAAAGTGTATAACTGTATTAAATATAAATCTTTCCCATGCATAGCTCTTTTATGTATATTAGCACGGCCACCTGTGTTGCTTAGCTCATGACAATATACTTGAATTTGTCTTGGAGTGCGTATGAAAACAGCAATTTATTTATATCTCATAACTTTTACTGCAATAAAAATAATACCATTACTTTATTATGGTATATAACTTTTAAAACGATCCGTTTTTCTTGCAACATTTCTCGTTTAGAACCCTAATGGAAGAAGTATTGAAATGGGGGAGTGCGGTAGACATACTGCAAATTTCTTTAAAGCGTTCATTGGAACAAACGTTGCCTACAACAACTGCGAAGAGCGTTTAGGTACTCGAGATGACTTTGTTCCAAAACAAATCTGTTACTTGAATAACTTCATTCAGCAAAATAGAAAAGAAGAGAAAACTGTGGATGTCAACATTAACAACATTAAAGAAGAGAAAATCGAGTTGAATCCGTGTGCAGTTTCTAGTCAATTGCTTAAAAAGTCGAAAGAGAAAAAATTTAACCTTCTTCTCATTGCAACATCGCTTGATGAGCGTGAGATTGCGCAAAAACTGCAAGACAATCTGCGACCAGATTCTTACAGCATGTTACCGATTGCACTGGACATAACTGATGAAGATGAATTTAATTCCCTCAAACGGAAGTTGAGTAATATGGACAAGGAAAGCCTTATCGCTGCTATTCAAAACTGTACGGGAGATTTTTTGGACTCAACAAGAAACGACTTGCAGGAAAGAAATGAAAAATACTGGAAGCGCAGAAATAGTAATAATGAAGCTGCGAGGCGATCACGTGAAGCCAAACGAGCACGATTCAGTTGGATTCAAAAAAGAAGTAAAGAACTCGAAGTCGAGAATGAAAATTTGAGGAAGGAACTGAAATTCTTGGAGGAAAAAGTGTCTGCTTTAAATAATGTATAGTTCTGGAAATTTTTTTGTTGTTGTTTTGTTTCTGGGTTTTTTCCTTCACTTCATACTTTAGTTACGATTTGCAATTGGATTAATTATATTTAGCATAAGAATAACATTTAAAATGTAAAAATAAATTGTAAATTTTGTAAATTAGTTTTGTATATTTGTACTTAACAGGCAATACTGTATAACAGGTTAACGGTACTGGGCAATGTTAGCTTTATACTCAATTGATTTCGGAACTGCAATTAGAAAATAAAACTGCGTTTATGATATAATATTACAGCCTTGATTAAATCAGGGTCAGCCAGTAAAAATTTTTTCCCATGGAGTTTTTTGAATGTTTTGGGGCTCATTAAGTGGTCTGTTGCGTAGTAGATATCAATGGTAAAAACTAGAAAATACATGTGCACGTCTGAGGGTATACTATCAACGCTGCTATCAAACTGCCTAAATCATAAGATATAGTTCACGACTTGTTGTCTAAGGGCGTACTTGAAAAAATAATTGTACTCCTATGCGATAATTATTTAGAACGACCATGAATAATTTCTTAAAAACTTTTATCAAAAGGTTCATTGCGTTGTTTCTCTCAGAAATCCTCGCCGAGAGCATTGTATAGATATTGTATAGAACATTGATGTAGAATGACATTTGTATAGATATTCGTGCATTAGAAAAGTGTGTGAAATGAGTCATGTTAAATTAAGCACAAAATCAGCTAAAAATAGCTACCTTTGATCGGAGATGCATAACAGTGTAGTACCAACAACGGAAAAAGCCACAAGGTTATCAAAAACAAACGCAGACATCACTAACAACAAATGCTGTCACGTTATCAATTACAGAGGTAAAATTTTGTCTTTATATTTAGCCGCACTGTAATTTTCAAGGCCTGTTAGTACCAGTTGTTCATACTTTGTACCTGTTCCGGTTGTTAACTGCTAGAGGGAAATCTCTTTCAATGCTACTTTAGTTTGAAATAAGTGCGGACGAATGCTCTTTAGTAGCACAACGGCATGACATATGTGGCTGCTGGAGTGCATGCTACATTTGAAACATTACGATTTACGAATGGTAAGATACTGGGTTATCTAAATGAACAATTACCTCATTTTTGACAAATGTTTTAAGAGGGAATAATGGAATTGTTATTTTTAGGCTATTGTTATTTAGTGTCACTCATTATTGATTCCGAGTGGAAAATTAGAGGGATGTTATGATGTGGTGAAATTTATCGCCGCAGAATGAAGAAAGTTCTATTTCTTTCAAAGCTTTCCATTTTATTTTCACCGGAGAGTGGTAATGCTCGACGTTTCTTGATCACGCCTCCAAGAAATGACTACAATACTTTGTGTTTTGTTATGCATGTTTCGAGTGATACTCGCATACACTAAAGAATAGTTTATCTCCATAGTGATTTCAAATTTTGATGTTTATGGAGTTAAATATTTAATATTTTTCTAGCTGTGTTCAACAATCTATTTCATTTTGTTGTCATGAGCTCATTTGCCAAAGGCTAGCCAATGTGAATGACTTGGGACAATGTTACATAAAGTAACAAAAAATCTTAGAACTCACTCCAGTGACTCATCAGTCAGAATGTCAGAGCAGTCCACTGGAGAGCAGTCCAGCATCTTGAACTTGCGAAATGCAAATTTATTTATAACATTGATAATAAAAATAATTTAAAGTGTACGAACAAACGCATGTTTTTCACGATTTAACTTTACAGCAAAGTTATGTCTTATCCAGGTCATGTTCTTTATGAAAAGACTGGACAAGCACCTCCCCCAAGTAAAGATTTTCACCAACTTCTGGTCGGTGAAACTGAAGTAACTTTGCGATGTTGGAAGGTTTCAGTACGCAAAGACCAACGCTTGATTCCTCCAAGTCAAAAAAAAGTACATTGGGATGAGTTCGACGAAGACACACGATTGCAATCTGAGATTATGCGCATCTTTGGTGAAGAAACATTAAGTCAAGTTCATGCTTTGATCTGTGGAGACTGGCTCATCCGTCTACCCGTTGATATCGTACTACGAATTTGTGATTCGTTAGAATTACAAGATATTGCACACTTAGCTCAAGTTTGCAGAAAATTGAGGGATATTTGTTGCAGTGACAAGCTTTGGGAACAAGTATATCGAACTCACTGCGATACAGTAACTGAAAATATGATTTCCTTGGCTCAGGAAGTTGGCTGGAAGAAACTATTTTTTACCAACAAACTACAGCTGCAGAAAGAAATGCAAAGGCGTGGAAGGGAGAAGATCAACCAGAATCCTTAAGTTATTTTTGAAACATGCAATTTTGTCGGGAAATTGGTTCAGATTTACTTAAGATTTGTTGCCTTGGAAACTACTGTTGTCTACCTGTTGACTTTGAATCTTTTAGATAACTTTTTACCAAATAGTTTGTTATTTTGTTAAGCAGTTCTATATAATAATCATTTTATAAATTTTAATCATTGAATAATAAGGTGAACAATTTTTTGCCAATTGGTTTCATTCATACACAATGGTTTTATATGATAAATTCATTTATTTCATCATACAAGTGCAACGTTGGTGGAGTTGTAGCAATCCAAAATAAAAACAATTTAAATTAATAAAACCAGAATGAACTGTCACCAAGCCTCGTTAGCGCAGTAGGCAGCGCGTCAGTCTCATAATCTGAATCGATCGAGCAATCTGAAGGTCGTGAGTTCGATCCTCACACGGGGCATTGGTTTTTTAATGTTTTTGCACAAGGTTTAACACCATGTTTAGCATTTTTTTTTGTTGTTAAATTTAACTTTAATTTAACTGAAAAATAATTCCTATGCAATAGTTCATTTCTACATATATTCCTGCAATTTGCAAGGATGATGGACCGATGGCTTATTGCCCAAGTCCCCAACGTTCCAACTTCTAAGCTAGAGTGTTTGGAGACAAGCAAACCATAAACTCAAACTTCACTTGATTCGTCTGGCAAATTCAAAATTTTAAATTAGAAAACTAAACAATAATCCTGCTTATTTTAATTTCTCCAATAGCGGTCGAAAAATTATGCAGTCTAAATAACCGGAAAACCTCAGTAGCGTTGTTTTCACTGGCTTTGACTAAAATGACAACTGGTCTTTCCCGGTCACATGTGCAAAACACTTAAACGTGATTGGATCAAAAACATATAAACGGCAACTTCTGCCGAATAATGGTGAAAAGAAGAACGAGTGCAAGGAATCACAGCGTTAAATACTGACGAAATAGTCGTCATCTTTAGTCAAAGCTGTCTTAGTTAGTTTGAATCATTCCTATAAGAAAATCTCTATATTATAGAGAGAAGTAAGTATGCAATTGAACCCTGTAAAAGCGCCTATTTGCATTGGTTAGTAGCAGTTGTCGTAGGCGACATGTTTGAATAACTTCAATTTGGTATTATTTCTTGGGTTTTTCCAGAAAGATTGACCTATAATAAGCTGAGGGTCGTGAGATGCCTTTGCGTTTATGGACAATAGCCTTGAGAGGGAGCAATTAGGGGGGAATGTGAAGTTGAAAAGGTAATTTAAAGATTGTCGTTTGTAATATGTGTATATGCAATATATCAATGTGTAAAATATAGCCTAGTATTTTCGTATATATTTTGTCCCATTTTGCTCTCTCTGTTTTTATGTAAACGATTTAGTATTCAGTTTTCAATACTTGATATTCAATCATAAGTTTTGATAGTATACTACCAAAAAACATGTCAATTTAACTAAGGTGTTCGTTCTTGTGTCAATTGACGTATCTTGCCTTTTTGGTATCCAAACAGTCAGCTACATACCATGTTAACCATCTTGGGTAAAGGGCTTATCTCTACTTTGTTTAAAGCTCCTAAGTATAGAATTTCTAAAGTGTAACATTTACGGCAAATTGTATCAACTTAGTCTTTTGTCAATGCAAAATTGCACAATAAACTAAACTGTAATTGAAAGGATTGGTACCAAGATCAAATAGATTTTGCAATGAAAGTATCTAGGATAATGAACTGAGAAGTTATTGAATAGCCATACATCCTCATTGTAGAGGCAAAGAGTCAGCAAAACGCAAATCACCACAAAGCAGTGAACAGTCTAAGACAAAAAGGTTTGCTAGTTAAGCTCTATTTTAATGCTATGTGTTTCATGCTATAGTATTGTGAGAAAGGTGATTATTGGGAAATAGCTTTACATTGTTGCTGTACCCTTATTTAAAATTAAATTATAGAAAAAGTGATGTTTACATGTATGTCAAACAAAGTTTTCCCAAAAGCCACAGTGCACCCTATCGACAGCTCTGTATTACTGCAGTGGATTCATCACTTTTATCATGGCTCAGATGTGATTGTTTTGTTGATAGTAATAAACATGAGAAATTTCTCAATTCAGATTGGTTTAGAGAGGTGCAATTTTTCATAAATACCAGTTTCAAAAATAGAAAACATCAGTGTTGATTTCTTTTTGAAAGTGAGTGATTGGTTAAAAAGAATCATACAAGCAAATTAAATAAAACAGGTGGTAAAGATAAATTATGAAAAACAAAAGCAGTAACAATGGTTGGCGTAAGTATTAAATAGATTTCACAGCCAAGTCAACAGTTGACCATTTGCAAGACATTTTTTGAAATACAAACACTGCCAAAAGTATGTACCTTGTTTTGGCTTCTTGTCGAAGCTATGGTGTTGTTGAAGAAAATACCCAACAAAATTGAAGAATACAATGCGATTTAAATAATTTGTGTGCTGAAAAGTTCATATTCTGAAGTTAAAAAATAACAGAATTGAGAATGTTTTATGTATATTGTTAGTAACTACTTACGTAATAGCATAGTGTCTTGTGTAATTTGGTAAATGTGGACTTGTGAGTTTTTCAATCTCATGTCTCATTTTACAAACATGCTTTTGTATTGGTTAGTTGTTTCATTGCAAGTTTTCTGCAAAAATATAAATCATGTATCTGTATTTTGAATGTTATGAATAAACGTATAACATGAATAAACATATTTTGCAGTTACAGCAACATCTGCACCAGAACTTCATTTATTTTTGCAATGAATCTTTAACTCATCTGTGTGTAGTTTTTTTCCAATAAATTGCCTGCAAGTTTGACAAATTTGCATTAACCCAAAAGGCATCTATTTACATATTGCATTTTTGTATTTGCTTATGAAGACAATGTTTTTTGATTTTTCATTTACAGAGCAAAAACATCAGGATTATCAACCCGGTAAACTATTCTAACTTTTACTTTATCAATTGACATTCAGTGTAAATGTATTTAAAAAGAAATTTGTAGCAATGAAGTATGTCACTAGTTCAATGTGATGATGTGACTTTTGAGGGATGCAGTATTTAACATATGCTTGTTTTGTTAATTCTATTACATAGACTTTTATGGTTTAGAAATACTTGTTTTAGAGCCACCTCTTTGATAATAAAGCATATTGCTCGGAGTCTATGCTCATCAGAGAAAGTTAATTTGATGTTGTATAAGTTATAGTTAGTTGTTCAGCTTGGGTATATGCCGGGAGAAGTCATCCATCTGAATTAGCTGTATTTTCCTGATGTTTGGACTTTTCTTCAAGCATCAGCATACGTATATGTATGAAAAAAAGTAACCCTATATTATCATTTCTTTACTGAGACATACAGAAACCTTCTGGTAAATAAATGACAAATTCTCGAAGTTCCGAAACTAAATTAATGAAAAAATGTTTTTTGAAAGACAATTATGAAAAGATTATTGCAAAATATTAAATCAAATAAAACAACTCGAAAAACACTCTGTTTTTCTTATTAAGTTTATCAATATATTTTTAAATTGCAAAATGTTTGAATTACCTTATATCTAACATATTTGCATGCATGCATACCCTATTTGTTGTTGATAGTTGAATAATTATTTCACTGCGGTTGAGTTTTTTCATAAGTAGCAAGAATCATGTAATATGGTGTGAGTGTCGGCCCCATAAATTGTTGTGTGTCAACTTACCTTAACTGTTTCATTATAAATTAAAGCATTCTATTTTTATTGATTGTGATATTATGGCAATTTTTCATTTTTGCTTGTGTCTTTATGAATTCAATTTTACTGGCTATTTGTGTATTCAGACTTACATTTCAGTAATGGTACAACAATTTTCTCTGTGCCATTGATATATCACAAAAATTGTTTCAAAAAGATTATGTAAAATTGTTCTACCAGATAAAGTTACTTAATTCAACATAAGACAATGTGATAAAGTGAATGGTTTGAACTGAGAGCATTGTTACATGCATATAGATGTTTGTTTTTGTCCTGAGAAGGATTGTTGCTATTCAGTGACCTAGCTAGCCCACAAGTTTTGGTCCTGCTATGTTAATATTAAATCATTAACATTATTCATTTCTTTAGAAATCTGTTGTTTTTACAGTGAGTAAACATAGAAAATTAACGTAGCAGGACCAAATTTGCTGGCTGGCTACGCCACTGTTGGTATTGGTGTTTACAGTGCTTCAACACAATGAATATTTATAGTAATTGATACATGCATAATTTATAAAAGCGAAGGTTGCCTTCTTTTGTGTACAAATGTCAGCAAGATGTGCTGTTGTCATTTGGTATTTCTTTTTTATCATTTTAGGTTGTCACATAGCATTTCCACTCCACTCTTACCAACTTCACCAATAAGGTTTGTCTGTCCTACGTAAATTTATGAAGTTTGGGGGTAACTGCCGTAAACGTTGTCCTTCACTTTTTATATTATCTCTAGCCTTTTATGTCTACATTTTAACATCTCTTGGTTTCATATATACAAGGCAACTTTTGTCATCTCATTTTGGTGGTTGGTTATTGTGTTGTCTGAAAACACTCTATTTGATTCAAACCAATTAACTCCTAATCATTTTACGTGTTTCGTGTTGTTCTCTGTGTGTAACCGTTCACATGAAAGCATGTTTGTGTACATTCCAACGTACGTGTTTGGTGTAGTTCTCTGTGTGTAACCGTTCACATGAAAGCATGTTTGTGTACATTCCACGTGTTTGGTGTAGTTCTCTGTGTGTAACCGTTCACATGAAAGCATGTTTGTGTACATTCCAACGTACGTGTTTGGTGTAGTTCTCTGTGTGTAACCGTTCACCTGAAAGCATGTTTGTGTACATTCCAACGTACGTGTTTGGTGTAGTTCTCTGTGTGTAACCATTCACCTGAAAGCATCCACGTGTTTGGTGTAGTTCTCTGTGTGTAACCATTCACATGAAAGCATGTTTGTGTACGTTCCAACGTACGTGTTTGGTGTAGTTCTCTGTGTGTAACCGTTCACATGAAAGCATGTTTGTGTACGTTCCATATAAATATATAAATTCCAAGATTCACCATTAGCTACTCATTAGCAACATAGTTTCTACCCCCCCCTAAATTTAGGGGGGTCTTGGAATTTTCAAAAATGCCTTCTAGGGGTGGGTCGAAAAAATTTTGACTTTCTAGGGGTGGGTTATAAACTAGGGGTGGGTATGTCTATGTAGGGTGGGTTCGAGATTTTCCCTATTAGAAAAATTAAAAAATAGATGAAATGCATCTATGATAAAAAAAGTTAATAACTTCAAAGTTCAACATCACTCAATTTTTGCCCCCATGTTATTGCATCATCTATCTTCATATTACCCTATAAGGGACCAAAAATATCTCCCTAATTTGACACCATGTTATTGCATCAGCCATTGATTGCATCAGCCATTGGCGAGTTTGGTGAACTTGCTTGATTGACAATATTAGTGAATACATAGACTTTATCAGTGTTGTATATAGTATGCATAGAGAGACCATAAATAAGTCTAAAATCAGCTTTCCCATAGAAAAAAACAAATTTTTTTTCGGCTCGTATGTAGGGGTGGGTAAGGATATTTTGGAGCCAAATGTAGGGGTGGGTATGTCTATGTAGGGGTGGGTTCCAACCCCTCTAGAAACTATGAGCAATGGGTGCATTTTTGAAGCACACGATTTATATATAGCAATCGTATGAATAGCAAATGTTGACAACTGCCTATTTATGTAAGCAAGTAGAAGGTGAAATGTTTGGCAAATAGGAATATGTTTTCTTAATTTTTTAATTTCAGTCATCGAACTCGAAGTTGTACATCATCTTTAATCCTGGGGGCGTCATCATCTTCAAGATCCACATCACCTTCCACTGATCTAAATAGAAGATCTGCATCGTCAAGTCGACGATTGGAGAGCACATCCAGCGACAGGATTTCTAGAAGGTAATAAACTTAGTAAATTTGCAATTTGTTAGCGAATGAATGTTATAAAATTCCAATTTTTTATAGTTAATGAATGTTATATATACATTCGCAATAAATTTGTTAATTATTCACTCCGTTGGTTTCTCTATGGAGACTTAATGAACGAAAGTACTCACCTCTGCTTGGGAATTAAAAAATGATTAAATTATCAAGTTTCCACCATGTCATTCTACAACAATTTCTAAAGATTGTCGTGGAAATATTCTGAAAATTTCATTGCTGTGTAACGGAATATACTCAAATTTGTGTAATTACAGTTTTGACACAAACATATTTCTGAGGGAAACAATGCCTCCCTTTTTTTCTAAATTGGAGATATTTCGTAAGAAATTCCAGTGTTGGAAACTTCAACGTTTTCAATGTGAAGTGCGACTTTTGATTTATGTATGAAAAATCTTCCATAATTACGTACCTTGATACACGACCAATTCTTTATTAAATTTAAAAAAACTTTTTGCTCTTCTAATTTAGGAGTAAACCTTCGTTTGACGGAGGACGTAGTGATCTGTGTGATATTGATATTGCGCCTTCAGTGAGTGTACCTTCACTCCCAACACGCAGTAATCGTTCATCTTTGGCTGCTCTTCACAAACCTTCATCGTCTGCAAGTCTTCCTGATACAAGCAGTAAGAGCGAAGCTTCAGGGACCAAGAGACTCGTATCGAAGGCAAGCAGCAGTGCAAGCTCATTAGATACCTCGAGTGAGCTGTTGTCCAATCAGGATCAATCTACCAACAGCCATAGACGTCTCAGATTGCGTAGGCAAGCCCCTTTAGAACACGACCCTTCAAAGCGATCCCAGCAGAGCACGTCATCTGGGCATGCTCGTGTGAAGAAACGTTTGTCTGGGTTTCAACGGAAACCAACTGACGATATTTCGTCATTTGCTATTGGTAACCATAACAGTGAACTGTCTGAGCCTGTTGGCTTAAGACAGTCGCTACGAAAGAAGAAAGCAACGGGATCCTGCGCAAGCAATAAGTATGTTCAATTTTAAACATGTACATTATCGTAAGAGGGACGAGGCTTTTTTGCTTCAGTGCATTACCATAAATTTTAATAAGTTGGACAAACGAGGACATTTTGATACTGTTACGTTAACTTTAAAATGAACATTTCCTCATTCGAAACACAACATCCTGTATGTAACTTTATCGGGTCAAAATATGGAAAATGAATTAGGATAAATCTGCAGCCAGTCATCTTTGTTTTGACGAGGCGAGAAATTTACTATACATATCAAAAACGATGTCATGGTCAGAAAGTGAGAAAAGTTTTGCTCCAATAAGGCTTTTCCTTTCATATGGCTTGCCACCAATGGGATTTGTCTTTCATATGGCTTGTTACCAATGGGGCTTGCCTTTCATATAGCTTGACTATAATGATCAACGCACGAAGCTTTTCTACTCCTGGGAAGTTTCCTGAAGAACATAACTTCTTTCTAACAAAAAAATCTGCTCAATAATGCACTTACGGGCTTAGCATGATGATCAGTCATTGAAATTCAAACAACTGACCAGTTTCAAAAGCTCTGCTTTTTTGATACATTCTGTATATTATAACACATTTGCACGACGTTAGTACTCTCTGCACCCTTTCCATTCCTCAGCTCATCATTTTATTACTGTTAATGGCAAATAAAGAATCAACCAATGATTATGGCTGCTTCTACTTTTTAGTAGTCGGCGAGCTGGTCGGGGGAAAGGCGGCTTAGTTCAACGCCGACACGGGGAAAATATGTCATCGGACGAGTACGTCTTTATTTGTTCATTCTTGTGATTTGTTATGCTGAAATATAAATGACTTGCAACTGTTGAGTCCCAATCACGTTAATGAGTATTTTAAATGATCTTGTATAGGAATCTACCATGTTTGCTTTCGTTGTTTTCTCTAATGAATCCCACTGTGACATTCTTTAGTGGTCACCATTGAAAACATTTATTTCTTAGAAATAATTGACGTGACCAACTCATATATTTTATATGTGCTTTTATAGTGTCGCTCCCGAGCAACCATCAACTTCAGGTAATTGAATTGCTGTGTAATGGTATGTTATTCAGGTAGTGACATGTACCACATGTAATGATATATCATGTAATTGTGTTGATGTAATGGTGTGTTATTGTTGTCATGCTATGCATGTAATAGTATGTTGTTTACGTAATGGTATGCTCTTCATGTAATTTTATGTTCTTTGCGTTACCGGATGTTTTTTATGTAATGGTGTGTTGTTCTAATCATACCATTGTCTATTAGTAAGGTTTGATAATACAAATCTGTGTATGCTACGGGTATGAAATTTCCAATAAAGAAAATATGCTATTTAGAGGATTAGATTATCTCACTTTGCATTCTGATCTATTCGGACGAAAGAACTGATCGTATTAATTTAATGGCTGCATGTAATCTTATCTGCGCATATGCAGTGAAAAGTTTACCAACGTCCCTTGAGACTTATCAAGTTTTTCTTTCACTTATTGCTCTTTTAAGATGCTCAAGGAAGCGACGATGGAAGACTGGATGACGATCTTTCTCGATTACAAGGTACAATGCATTAAATGCTGAGCAAATTCTCTGGTTTTGTGTTATGACTTTGGAGTGTCCGTGCTAATGAAAACATTAGAGAAATGGAATCTTTACATTGTAAAGCGTTCATTTTTTGTCCGTGTAATTATGTTGTTTGTCATTGATGATAATTTTGTAGCACTGCTTGAAGCTCGAGGGCTTCCTCCCCACTTGTTTGGCTCATTGGGACCGAGGATGCATCAGTTGCTACATAGATCAATGAGTGGTGGAGTTAGTAAGTATACGGCTTCATATTTGAAAAAATATCAACATGTATGTTATGCGTTTGACTGGATGTCGAAACTATAGAAGTTTTTATGTATACTTTAGAATGATTTTATAAAATGATCGATTTAACACCGCATTTATTGAACTTTATTCGTGAAACGTGCGGCTCTTAATTGCGATGCATCTTCGACTGCTGTATTGTCCAGCCGCAGCATTTATTCGATGATTTACGGTTGGCATAATCCTTCACGATATGTATTAAAGGGAATTTTAAATATCTTCTTAGATGGGAAAGTTCAGCAACTTCTTACCGGTATTCAATCATCAGATGAATGTCAACAGTTACAGGCAGTAATGGAACTTTGTCAGGTGTGAATATTCTTGTATTAATTTCACAGTTCTCAGCTATTTAAGAGTCATTGGTCCATTCAAAATATTTCGTCCATGTGCAGTTTAAGAGATTTGACTCGTCTCCAATCCCTGTGGGCTAAGTAGCTCAACAGGTAGAGCGTCGGACTTGTATCATGTACGTAGTCCAAGTCACATGTTTTTCATGTGCGTGTGAAAACCGTGTCAGGATTCTTAAATCATTAAAACCAAACATTAAAATTTTGAAAATCTGAGGATTCGTTTAGCCTGCCAGTATGACAGTCATACTAGACAGTAATTAATGGACAGAGAACTTGAAATTCTTATTGCTTTTCACTTCAGTCACATAAAGCAGTTTTTTCATGAGGTCCTTGTCTTTTGTGCTTGTGTTCTAATAAGCTTTTTTGCCGTTGTTAGTGCCACATGTTTTGCTCGGTTAAATAGAAGCATGAGCTTTATCACGTTTTAGATTCTTGTTATGGGAAATGAAGATACTTTAGGAGGTTTTCCTATTAAACAAGCTGTTCCTGCATTGGTAAGAATTTTGTCGTTGATTTCTGATCACAGCATTGGCTTTCGTAAAGTTTTAAGACAGTTCATATTAATGGGCAATACATTTTACACTCTCTATGGCTACTTTTCTGATAATCAAATGAAAATTTCATTTTCTATGTAGTGTTTCTATTATGGCTTTGTAAAGATCTTTCAAAGTGTTCATAATTGTGTAAAACTCGTTGTTATCGCCGGTTATCAAATGCTTTTATTTGCAAACAGCGTTGAAAAGAAAACTTACTGCGATGTTTCTGCTTATTTTAGATTAACCTGCTGGCAATGGACCATAATTTTGAAATGGTACGACTTTTTATGTCTTATTTATTCAATGGATAGCTTGTGCGTATGGAGATCAACATATGCACCTTGTGTAATTTCCATGCTAATTTTCACTTAACGTATTGTTTACAAAGTTATTGACTAGTGTCTATTGCTTTGCCTTTTGATTGTTAGCGATGTTAAACCTTTGGTTAATGTAGCTCATTATTTTGTGCACTTTAGATGAATCATGCATGTCGTGCGCTGACATATCTTATGGAGGCTCTACCGAGGTCTTCTGTTGTTGTTGTCGATGCAGTTCCAACGTTTTTACAAAAAGTAAGATTGCCTGTCTAATAATACGCAATTGAATTGCAGAACAAGGCTCAGCTATCTATTATCTAAACTTGGAGGGTTTCGCACTTCCCACCATATTCTTGAACAGAAATAGATCCTAGATGATTTTGTTGTTGGTCTGGATGCTCTAGTTTGAATTAAAATTTCTTAGCTAGTTGGCTACTTTGCAGGATTTGCAGCGTCTTTTTGTTAAATTCTGTTGTGAAACGATTACCGTGTCCACCATGACTGAGTGATACGTATTTTTACGGAAGTGTGCTTCTTTAAATACAAATCACAATTGCCTTTGCTTAATTGCTTGTTTGATTAAATGATCGATTTATGGCGATGCTCATAAAGTTTCACAGGTTTATTTTACTTTTCACCGTAACTTGGTCCGTATGTATTGTATTCGTTGTAGATAATGTGTGTTTTGTTTCAATATAGTTGCTGTCTATTCAGTGCATGGATGTTGCTGAACAGGCATTGACAGCTTTAGAAATGCTTTCAAGACGACATGGAAAAGCTATTCTTCAATGTGTACGTAGTTTGTAGATAACCATATTTAAATACACACCACAGAATACATATATACACACAGAAAGCCATCTCTGGTAACATCTCCATGTTTAAGCACTATATTCGTTATTGATTCCTCAGTTAGCCAGTGCAGAAAACCGAAGCAATTACCCCCTAGATGGATTTTTGTAACGCCATCTGTTTTGAATATTATTTTCTGTACTCCCCTCATTGATTAATCGACAGCAATTTTTCTGTCCAAAAAGTGAGTAATTACTTGACATGACGTTTTGTGGTTTGTTTTTACTTTCAGGATGGAATGTCTGCTTGTCTAACGTATTTGGACTTTTTCTCTATCACTGCTCAGGTAAGAAGTATTTTTTATTTTATTATAGCTGCATACAAATATATTATTTTGTTTTTCATTTTTCAACGCGACGTTTTCATACGAATACAATTTTATTGTTTGAACAAAGTTTTACACTTTTCCAGGAACGAAACTAGAAAACTAATTGGGGGAGAGAGGGTGCTGATGAATATTCATTTATTCAGCTCTGCCCTACCCGGTATCTTTCGAAATTTACAGTCACTTGCTATAATCACCCCATTAGCGTTCTAGTTTTGTTTCTGTGCAGTGCACGACAGTATGAATAACGAGGAATTTAGGCTCATTTTACCCAAACATAGTTTTGGAAGCATGTTGAGGGAGATGGAATGGAGAATTAGCATGGTGTTGAAAGCATGTTGTGAGAAATAGGATGCAGGGGAGGAGAAGCAAGGCGTTGGAAGCATGTTGTGATAAGTGGGATGCAGGGGGGAGGAGAAGCAAGGCGTTGGAAGCTTGTTGTGAGAAATGGGATGGAGGGGGGAGGAGTTGTTAGAATTGAAGTCATTGTAAAGTTCTATTAAAAATTACTAAGCTTTCTTAGTGTCGTGTCTATAGATGTGTGAAACATACTCTCATTGTATTCATGATTATGCTTTATTTTAGAGATCGGCCTTGGCTATTGCAGCCAACTGTTGCCATTTTGTGAGTGGTGATGACTTTCATTTAATCACAGCAGCGATTCCAATTTTGAGCGCAAAACTCCAGATTCAGGTAAACCAAAATTTTTGTGTGCTTTGTAACTTAGTTGCTAACTGCATGCAGAACTTCTCAATGCTGTCGGACATACTCGAATCAACATTATTACAACTTCTGTAGGACAAGAAATCCATCGAAAGTTGCTGTCTAGCATTTACAAGATTAGTTGACAATCTTCATAATGACGAGGTTTGCTTCGACAATGCCTTTTCATGAGTTCAACTTGATATTTTTATATTAAATGCCGGATAATTTCTTTCCTTACTGTGCATTTCTGAACGCATTACCTGACTTGGAGAATTTTTTCGTGGGATTCAACTCTATTTTTAAAAGTGCGTTATGTCGGATAAAACCGAAAACTCGAAAACAATTTTTCTCCGTTTTTCTCTTAAATTTTTCAAATCGATGAAGTCGGCGTTTCAGTTTATGATTCGTCACCAAGTTTTATTTTTCTTACAGAAACTGCTTCGAGACCTGGCACATGACAGCTTACTAACAAATGTGCAGCAATTGGTAAGCACGAATATCTATTTTGAAGCGATTTTCTCGTTTTGGTTCACTTTTGTACTTGAAATGGCAATTACAAATCGCGCGTTCTTGATGATGTACACAATATTTACATTTTTTTCTATTCATGTCATTCAACAAGCCAATTATTATGCGATATGTTATTTGCACTGGCCTTTGAAATTTTTCCAGCGTTTCTTCAATCAACGCACAAGATTTGACAATATACCACTGGCAATTTATACATTTTGTTTTAAAAGCATTTTTCACATCAGTGTGTGTGCATCCGTTTATTTTCAGTTGGTTGTCACTCCGTCAGTTGTAACCACGGGTACATTTGTCGCTGTACTTCGTATGCTTGCGTTGATGTGTGCCAACTGTCCATACATTGCCGTGGAATTATTGAAAAACAGTGAGTGAATATTCATTAACATTTTTGGATATTCTCCTCTTGTTTTACATTGACGATTACTCATAGCGATTTCCAAAATCTGTTCACTTTTCTTCGTCTTTATGGTTCTTATATCACGTATCGAGAACATTTACACTGGGGGGGGGATGAATGATTTACTGACAAAGCCTGTATGGTTTTTGGACATGATAATACAACATTTACACTTGGGGGATGAGTGATTTACTGACAAAGGCTGTATGGTTTTTGGACATGATAATACAACATTTGCACTGGGGGGAGGATTAATGATTTACTGACAAAGCCTGTATGGTTTTTGGACATGATAATACATCATTTACACTTGGGGTTAATGATTCACTGACAAAGCCTGTATGGTTTTTGGACATGATAAGACGTAAATTTTTTATACTGAAGGTGAATAACCACTAACACGGCCCACAAGTGAGTGGATCAAATGCCTTTTTTTTAATAGCATAAATTCAAAACTTATTGACTGTTTTGTTTAAAAAATCGGCGACAGCTATCTTGTATAAATTCCTAACAATTTTCAAAATATGGTAATCATACCCTCATTACAACCTCATAGGAATTCGTGTGATAACTACCCATTTAAAATGCATTCTGTTTTCTCTAGATATTGCTGAAACGTTACGTTTTCTTTTAATGGGAGCGAATGAGTTAAAAGAAAGTGAAACACCTGAGGTATTGCATACGTATAATGTATATGTTATTTACCGGCTGTGAGGTCCGTACTGTAAAAATATTTTCACGAGGTCTCTAATGGGAGGCCGAGTGGAAGTATTTTTTCAGTATTGACCGACATAAACAATGCATAACGTTTTATTTTTTTAATTTTACGATGAAGAAATTTGCTTTGTGAAATGGCTGTTGTGATTTGTTTAGACTAAAATTAGATTGTTTTCTACAAATTTCACTTCGTTTGGATGGTAAAATTCACTCTTGCTGTGATAACTACACCATCTGAATACACTTTGCTTTCTCCTTGAATAATTTACGTGGCTCATAAATCAATTTTAAAATATTAAATTTCACTTTTTGCCACCAACTCGTTGCAAAAAAATAACGTTTTTATACCACAGTCAAGATATCATAAAAAGCCGCTCGTTGCTGCAAATCCATCTTCTGCTATCACATGTATTTTGATCTTAACATATCTAACTCGTCTTTTAGGATGTAATTATTTGCTTGCCTTTTGTTTAGCTTTCTCCAAGAACACCTCAAGAATTTTATGAAATTACCTGTCTTATCAGGTTAGTTCAGATAAAGTCTTTTTACTCAGTAGTTTTGTTGAGTGTAAATTAATTGAATGGAGAAAATAAGATTCTGAAATTTTGTCGATATTTCTTTATGAAGATGTTGTCGTTATTTATCGTTAAAGACTGTGTTCTCTGCACACTCTATTTAAATCCCCATCTATATAATGTATGAATTTCGTGATAGGACATGCGTAAAAACTATCATTATGCCATTGTAACAATGATTTAGATCCCAATCGTCTAGATGTATAACTACCGTGTCAGGGTGAGGCAAGGGCGCCATCTTGAAAGATGGCAAAAAGCACAACACAAAATGAAAAATAAGCTAAAAGAAGGTTTAAAAACCCAGTCCTATCAGACTTTTTAAAATTAACTTAGACTATCAACTTTGCAACTTTATATAAACTCAGGAAAAGCTGACATTAGTCGTAAATATCGTCAGTTTTGCCACCTTTCAAGATGGCGGAGTCAGATATCTAGTAGATTGGGTACTAGGTCATTGAATTGTAACTATTGCTTCATTATGTAGTGAACTGCTTCCCAATCTTCCTTCGGATGGCATATTTTCCTGCGATAATCTTTTGACTAAAGGCAATAGACCAGAGCAAGCATTTTGGCAGTGGAAGGACGATCAAAATGTATGGCATTCTTACTCGTGGATCGATAGCAGAATTATCGAAGCTGCTCATCAGGGAGGGGAGGATGAGATCAGTTTAAATACCATGGGAAGAAGTTACATTGTTGACTTCAATTCAATGCAACAGGTGCAGTGAAGTTGGGGTTTTCGTACTTATAGTTTGAAGTTGAATGGGACTGCATAAATATTATAAAAACGTTAGCTAAAGCGGGATGTTGAATTATTCACATTTTTCTTAAGATCAACGAAGATACTGGCACATCACGTGCTATACAGCGTCGTTCACGTGCTGAATCTAGTCCTCTGCTCTCTGTTGATACAAATGCTAAGAAAGAAGACGAAAGGGCTGTGTTTCTTCAAGAAGGCTCCGAAATATCTTCGAACTTTACTCTTACTTTATTTGGCGAGCTTAACGAAGTGCATAACTCTTCAGTTGGACCTGCTGTTCGGCACAAATGCTTGAATGGCATCTTACGAATGCTATATTATTCTCCTTCGGAACTTCTTGATAAACTTATTGAGAAATTTCCCGTGTCCTCTCAAATGGCGGGCATGCTTGCATCCAATGATCTTCGAACTGTTGTCAATGCAATGCAAATGGCAGACATTCTCATGCAAAAACAACCTGATTATTTTCATATTCATTTTCGGCGCGAAGGTGTCATGCATAAAATACACGAGCTTGCCACAGCTTCTCTCGAGCCTCGTAGCGAAGATGTCAAGAACGTTTGTAGTCGTGAAGATACAAGCATATGTGTTGTAAATGAAGAGTTTAACGAAGTTGAACCGACCGACGCACGGTATGTACCTATGATTTATTATTTTTGTAACAACATCTGTACTTGGTATGCTAGACATGGTCATGGTGGACATGACAACAGGGGAAATCGTATGCTAGGCATGGGATTGGTAGACATGAGAAAGGGGGAAATGGTATACTAGACATGATAATGTTAGAAACAGTATGAAGACATGGTCAAAATGGACACGGTATGGTGGGCATGGTATGCTAGACATGATAATGGCAGAGACAGTATAAAGACATGGTATGGTGGGCATTGTATGCTAGACATGATAATGGTAGAAACAGTATAAAGACATGGTCAAAATGAACATGTTTTTGGTAGGGATGGTATTCTAAACATGATATGGTTATGGTAGCTTTGTTTGTATGTAGACCTTTGTTTGTATGTAGACCTTTAGGCTTGATGTTTCTTTACATAGTTTCTTTTTGATATCATTTATACTGAGTTTGCGCTTAGTTTGAAGCATGAATCAAATCCTCGATGATTGTTAACTTTGTGTACTTGTTATATTCAATGCAACATTACTTAAATCTATGTCGTTTCATACTTGTTTTGTGCATTCGCCAACAGCAGGAGGTTCAGCGATGTATTGAAAAAGAAGCGAAGGTCGAAACGAATTAGTTTCAAGAAATCAGTATCATTAGATGGACATCAGCTGGGATCGTCTGAAACACCACAACCTAGATCTTCATCCATGTTATCTCTGCGAACTGGTTTTCACAAAGCCACTGGTAGTACTACACCAAGTACTAGCAAATCACCAAAGGTGACTGAATTATCTGGGGGTGGGTTTAGATGGTAACGCTTAAGTACAAACTGATCAAAAATTAAGAAAGGCGTATATAAATAGCTTTCCTCGAGTTTAAGTCGTTTCACTTTATGACAGGAGAATTATTTACTATAAAAGTAAAGTTCAGAATCAGTGAAATCAGGTCTTCCTAGTAGTAAGAATGGTCCTTTTCAATACCTAATGAAACCGTACAGTTTACTCAAGTTAAAACTTGTGTCTTTTAATAAACAGAAGGCGAAAAGTTTGTTTGTTTTGCAGACTCCGACCAGTAGTTCGACTATAGCGAACAAAAACAAGATCAAGCTATGGATAAAAGACCAAGGTATTTTATTTGCAAAATTGTTGATATGAAAAGTATAAATCAACTTCGATTATGTTTTTGTGGCTCGCGTAAAACCTTAGCTGTGTCGACCTAATGTACTTTTTCAACATGCGTAAAAACTTATTAATAAAATGATTTTGCTTCTTTAGCCATCAAATTTAGTTCAACGTATTTCCAAAGCGAGGAGAGCGAGTCCCATCCTGCATTGAGTGTACTCAATAGACTCATTGAAGCATCCAGTGACCTTGGTTCGGGTGTAAGTTGATGTATTTATTGTGTAACATTCATACATTCAATTGTTTAAAATCAAAAGTTGGACGTGACAAGTGATGTTTTTTTTCACAGTGTAAACAAGATCATGATGCTCTGAAGGTTTGTAGTTGAGAAACTATTTGTTACCAACACCATTTCTTTTATGGGAGGGGGGAGTAAGCGGTCACTGTCGTCCTCCATCTTTTTCTATCCTCTACATCCTGTTCCCTTAAAAACCCAGCTTTCTCAATTATCCCATTATTCCACCCTTTTATTTCTTGTGCTCCTCAGTGGTTCCTGTTTATTTAAAATCACAGTTAGTTTTGTTTTACTATTGTCACTTTTTTCACCGTCTCGTTTATCAACTTATTAAGCAGAGCGAAGCTCTCAACATCTTTCGTACATAGCATGCTTTATTCTGTTGGTCAAATTCCAGCTGTTTTGAAACACGTTTTGAAACATCGTATTTACACGCTTCACCTGTTTTAATTTCTCTCCATGACTGTCTCTGATTATATATGCTTCTCAACTTTCTTACTGCCTGTTGGCACCTTAATCTTTTACCATTTGCTTTCAATTCTTTTCTTTCCAGGCCCTCTTGTCGTCATTCAAGTTTCTCTTTTATTTGATCTTCACTAATCGTCTGATCATCAGTAAAAAGCATCTGCCATAACTCATATTCTCATAGCATGTTTAATTGGGTTGGATCAGTTTTTGAGGTATAGAATGGGCATTGGGTTTTTTGTAGTCGTGGTTTGTTTTGTCAGAAGTTTGCCCTGTCACAGTCGCCCAAATCAGGAAGTGCAAAACTGATGATGACTTTCCATTATAATTACACTTCTTTTTTGAAAAGTTTGACTGGCTTCTCTGATCGCGTGACAGTAAAATATATGTTTTCTTTTACTGACTGCTTCAGACCGTTGGTGTAGTTCTGTCGGAGAATGAGAAAAGTGCATCAGCATTCGAAATTATACATAGCGGACTTGTTCCCAAGATGCTGAGGTAATTGTTACTTTGGAGTCATGTTGCAGACAATGTATGGCTGCTAGGGCCCATACGCAAATCAAGACCACATCAAAGCCAGCGTGATATCCATGCAATCAATAGTAGTACCGTGATATCCCTGAAATCAATAGTAGTACACGGGCAGCCCCATCGAGAAGAGGAGGGCATTTTGCCTCGCCTTCCAATCTATAAAGAATTGAGTGCCTGATTTCAGAAGACCTAGAATGAAGACTGTCACGATGATTTTGACTTTTAAACACACTGGATATATTCCATTCTGTTGCAAATGTTTAAAATCACGGCTGTATAGAGGGCACTGGGACGAAATTTTGCATTTTCTTTAGGTGGCTCCGTTGGCCAGTGATTGTATTCATACATCGTCCGGATAGTTGATCCATATTGATCATTATTTTACTTTTTGTCATCACTTGGGAATAATGCTAAAATTTATAGCATCAAGCCACGTGATCATAATTGTACGAAATTCTCAATTATTGAGTTACAAATCAAAAGACTTTATGCGATCCAATTGAACAAAAATATCCAATATTTTGTAGGTTATCTTATATCGTGCATGTTTGCCGGATTTTACATAATTTTCTTTCAAATTTAAAGTCCTCTTACATAACTAACTGAGTTGTGTTTCCCGAGTTTGGAATGCGCGAATTATAGTTTCATTCTTTTTATGTTTTAGGTATTTAGAGCGTCCATCTGGCAAAGCACGATCATTCTACGATAAACATATTCAAACATTTTTAACTGCATTCCTCGGCTGTCCAGTACGTACTATAACTAAAATGATAGAGTTTTTGATGGCAAGATCCTGCACATAACATGGTGTAAATCATAAGTTACATGTTGTCCCAAACTATCATTCGACCTGCACGTGTCATTAATTAATCAAGTTACGCATGATGTAAGAACAATAGTTCCCTGTTGAAATCTATAACTTTGTATTCAATTATGTGATATGATACGTCATTGTTATTTTTTTAAGGATGGTAAGAATGCCATTTTTTTCTTGCAAGTATCAGTACTTTTTTTCATTTCTTAGCCTTTGGAAGATGTTAACGACAGCTACTACGGACCAGTACGTGCAGATAATATTTTCATATACATATGTTGTTCTTTTATTGCGTTAAATTGTATACTTTGTTCTGAATTATACCCAATTGACCTCAACTGCTGTTTGTTTTTCACATTTATTTCCCCTGTTCTTCGTTCATAATCGTTAATCGATGCCGTTTTCAGCTACACCAAGCGACATGAACACAGCATCGTAATACTCTTTTATCGCTCTCTATACCAACGTTTTGTGTTATGAAAAACGCCATTTCCTGTTAGTTATTTATCGTATTTCATTTTTATTGTCTTTATATTTCCAGGATGACAGCAAGAGGGAGCTGTTTGCTCTTTTGATTCAAAAACTTCATGCGTGTGTTAACCAACAAGAACAGGTATGTTTTTGTTGCAATTATCATCGTTGTGAATGACATCGAAAAGTTTCCAAATGTATAACTCTTTTGAACATCGGATGTTGCGGCCATTCTCTGTCCTTCTTATATATTTTTTAGTACAAAAATGTCCGGCAACTCCGCAACCAGAAAATTTTCCGCAAAATTACTTTCATTGCCGGAAATATTTTTATTGTTTTACACCTTGTATTATAATCTTCAAAATTCTTTAGTAGATTTAGAACACAGCTGTGTCAAAGCGTTAGTCAGATTTACACTGAAATCTGTATTCTGTAAAGTAAATTGAGAAAAGTAGTGTAGTCAGTCAACATTAAGAATTTAGAAACAACTGTGTGCTAACTCCAATGTGCGAACATTGGTTTTTATTAGTTGTCTGAGGGAAACCTTCGAATGAAATTTCTATTTTTTCAAATCTGTTACCAGGAAGTGAAATACTTTACCTGGGCCTGATCATATCGTTCTTGTCTCTTTATTTCTGAAACGTGGAATCATCTCATTTAATTGTTGTACTTTTTATTAGTTCCCTGTCAAGATTCATGATGCACCAGGTGGTTGTGGAAGTGGATCACGGTGAGAAAGAAGATGCATGATTACTATACAATCATTTTAGTCAAGTGTGAAATTTAATATGGTCAGATCTGCCAAGAATGAAGGAGGATGGCCCATGCCTCCAACCTAAAGCTGCCCTTAAACTGAAGAAAATTTTGGTTATTTTAATTTCCAAGACATACATTGCACACATTTTATACAATCGCAAATGTTTAAAATCATGACAAAACCGGACCCTGGGAGAAAATATTACATCCCCCCCCCCAGTTTCTCTCAGTGGATTTGAATAGAAGTGATAGGAAAGAGGTGATTGGATCTTTCAAAATATGTTTAAATCATTGTTTTAATCGAAAAACTTGAAAAATTTTGGGAGATTTTGATCATTAGCAAAATCTTTTATTCATTAGTGGGCTCCAAACACTGAGATTTTTCAACTCGCATCAAATTAAGGTAAGATTTTGATTGTTTGAACTTAATAGCAGCAGGAATGAATCAACTGTAAAATAAATCCATCACTGAGTAGCACAACAATGTAAAATTGTTGGACATGATGTGTATCAAATTGTTGCCTTTTATAGTGTTTTCTACAAAGACATCCTGATTGCAGCAATGTTAAAAACTGGAGAGGTGGTCCTGTAAAAATTGATCCACTTGCTCTGGTCCAGGTTAGAGCCTGTCATTGAAATACATTAAATTTTTTTTATCAGAGAGCATCATGCATAAACAGCAAGTAAACCTGTTGCATTGTCTGAGAGAAAATTATGGTTCTTGAGTTGTGTGCAACATTGTAAAAAATTGAAGTTAAACACGCGGAGTTTTTAAAGAAAGCTAAAGATCAAGGCTTGAGAATATCCCCCAGCATGTTGCCTGGAAATTGTTTGACTTTATTGGAAATTTTTTTAGAAATGAAAAAAACATCGCGAATGTATGTGTGCAAACATGTACAAATGAATTAATTTATTTCATTTGCCGAGCGAAAAAATGAACAGTGTGAATTCAGAAAAGTATGAAATAGTTAATAGACTGCGATCCTTGTTGCTGAGTTTAGTGTAATGTTTCGAGTTAACACATAATTTTGAAGGAAATTGTCTGCATATGAACATCTTTGCTGCCAGGAAAAGTATTTTATGGTGGTTTGGTGAAGATAAACTTTACTTGGAAAAATTTGTTTAAATGTGTTGTTGATTTGTGTGGCTGGCAAGGATGTAATCAATACAAGAAATGGCGATTTTTCATACCTTCCTGTATTTATCATATGTAGGCTATTGAGAGGTATCTGGTGTTACGAGGATATGGACGTATTCGAGAGGTAAAACACACGTCGAGTAATTTATACACTTTCTTGGAGACATGCTTAACTACTATAATATTATGACCATTTTTGCTTTTACTGTTTATTGACTTTGTCGGATTAATCTGACTCGAAATCTGTTTTACGCTCTAGCATATATTGTATGTTCACGATATATCTTCATGATTGATTTTGTAGGATGCTGACGAAGAGGGAAGCGATGACGATTTGTATGTGATGTATCTACACAATTTTATATATATAAAATGTATCTAGGGAGAATAAAATCAGCGTTCTCTGATAAGTTTATGAAAGCGAGACGTGATGTATTTATTACCATTTGATAACCCTACACCGCCTTTAGTTTAGAATGCTGTTTCTGAATTTGTCTTCTAAAGAAAATTCAATTGTTGTAAATCAATTTAAAATAAAAGGACTGCATGATTTTTTCTTTAAATTTTTAGCTCTGAAGAAGACATTGACGAAGCATTGGTAAGAAGCATTGTTCAAATTTCTTTAACATTTTCGTACAGTAAACAATGCATGATGTCTTTTTGAGATGTTTGAATCTCTTTTCTCTGTGTATATAAATTATCAATAGTCATACTATTCTTTTGTAGGCATTTCATAGTCCCATATCACAAAGGTAAATAACATTCACTTTTGCTCAGTCTTATAATATGTGGACTTTGAGAAACACTTAACTCGTGAAAGATATGAAACAATCAAAATGTATAAAACATGTGTACGGCTGGCTTAAATTGTAAGTCAAAAGAGGTTGAAGTTGTTTGAAACATTGCAGTATCCTTAAATATTATAGTTTAATTTACGAAAGGTGAACTCTGGTGAACAAAAGAAAAATTTTGAAACCAAAAAGTCCTATTTATGGTTTATGCCTCTCCATACCTTGGGAATGGAAGGGGGCGCTAGAGCCTCGCATGTTAACATTTTGGCTACTGCCACGCTATCCTACTTGGGAATAGCAAGACTATAGCTTGTGATAGGTTTCATTATAAATGTTTTTATTTACCATAAAGTCGATGAATGTTCGCCTCATGGTACATGAATCAAAATTAAGTGGGAGTCAATGTTGAAATGAAATAAATGAATGAAACAGTTTATCGTTGATTCAATATACGAGACAAAAGCCAGTGTTTTTTGAAACTTTGCACTGTCCTTGTACTTCTTGTTAAATTTTCTTGCGCATCTTGAATTACATTGAGTTTCTGAACATCAACATATTTTGTTCTTTAGCCGGCATTGTCTTGAACTCATGATTGGTGACAAAGTGTTACCCTTCAACATGACTGTATATCAGGCTGTCAAGCAATATGGACAGGTAAGAAACAATTACTAAACGGTTTCCGTGTAAGGACATGGCTGTGTATCCAGGACATAGCTGTGTACCAGGACATGGCTGTGTACCAGGGACATGACTGTGTACCAGGGACATGACTGTGTACCAGGGACATGGCTGTGTACCAGGGACATGGCTGTGTACCAGGGACATGGCTGTGTACCAGGGACATGGCTGTATATCTTGGACAATGCTGTTGTCCTCACTGTAGTGCAAATTGTCGTTTTCTGTATTAGATCTCTTTTATTTACTAAAGGAAATTGTCAAAATTTTCAATCATCAATCTTACCAGCTTCTTGTTGCTTTTATCTACTCCATGTGCTATTTTAGGCAGACGAAGATAGAGACCAAGATGATGAAGGAGCATTGGGAAGGCCAAGTATCTGGGTTGGTACTCATACAATATATTACCGAGCTTACTCTGATGGATTAGGAGAAGGAAGCGCGTCAACATCAAGCAAAGCAACATCTTCTAAGACAACGAGAAAATCGCACGGCAAGCGAAGTAGAGATTCATTCGGTGGTAAGAATATGACAAAAACATCACGTGATGTGAAATGCATGTATCATGTTTTACCACGACAAAATTTTTGAATCATGCCTATCTTCCTGAGTTTTTTTTCCATTCTTCTTTTCATTTTATCTGGTTTACTTTTTTTAGATAACAATGATGCTACTTCTTTAATATCGAACTTAATAATATCTCATTATGGTGAGAATCTTTTGTGTTAACGAAATAAATTGTATATTTTACTGAATAATTAACTTTGAATGTTTAAATCGTGTGTTTTTACTCTTTTTGTCTTCTTGAACGTGACCTTTAGAACTGAAAGATCCTTCTGTGGAAAGCATTCACCTTCTTCAAACATTGTTCAATTTAAACACAAAATGGGGTACAGTTTACGAGGTATGTGAGATCGTCAGAGATTGATTATACGAAGCAATTTGAAATAGTCAAAAACTGCATTTGAATTGTCATGTAGAATAGGCAAGTACTATATTTTAAAATACTTAACGGCATGCATGTCCAACTTCATTGCTTCACTTTATTTGATTGTCCTGTTGTAATGTCGAGTTGATTATGAAGTTGGAATCGTCAATTTACAAATCGTTTCCTTGAAATGTTGCTTAGCGAAGCTATTGTTAGTTTTGTATTTCGTTGCCTGGACTCCTGGGAAAATGCTTGCGTGTTCGGTGAAGATCGCTGTATAGCGTCGTGGATTTAATGAACGTTTATATTCTGTGCATACGTCAATTTTTAGTTGGAGGACAGAAGTGCATTGATTTCACCGACGGAATTTATCAGCGCAAAACTTACTGCTAAAGCATCGAGGCAGTTACAAGGTATTGTATTGTTTTCTCCATGAAATAGGAACACCATGATTTTGAAAAATATCTTCGTTACTCTTCTGTTAGTTTCAGAGATAAAGTCGGTAATATTTTGGTTTTAGATCCCATAGCAATAATGACAGGAAACCTTCCTCATTGGCTTGGAATACTTGCACATGATTGGTAAGATATGGATGAAATATTGAGCTGTAGATGGATGTAAAAAAAAATTGTTTTTTGTCCTTACAATATGTACATCATGGATTACTTCGATGGGTGTTGGTTCTGTAACTTTATTTGGTCTTCCACATTTTATTACACATGTTATAGCACGTGATTTATTTTTACGTTTGTTGTTTTTGCAATACTGCTTTTGTTTTTAGTCCTTTTTTGTTTCCGTTTGAATGTCGTCAGCAGCTCTTTTACTGCTCTACGTTTGATCGAGACAGAGCGATGAGCAAATTGCAGGTTTGCATTTTAAGCCATTTCTACGTCATGCAAGTTAAGCATCAAAGTCATCACTGAAGTCATCATTTCAGAAATATGCATAAATGACAATACCAGAACGCGATAGTCCTTTTTCAATACAATTGACATCCTAGAAAAGAAAATTTTTTCTTACAGGAAACAATTCCCGATTTGTTGAGCTCCGAAAGCACTGATCGTGTTGCTCCGCGTTTGGAAAGAAAAAAGGTAAACTACGTTTAATTAAGACTGTCTCAAATTACAAATGAAATAAAAAGATGCATTGTTTGTTTGTGAATCGTTCCACTAATTTTTGATCCTTCGAGAAAAGTCTTAGTTAATGTGTGTAAATATGCTATCATTGTGTTTTGTGTTTGTAGCGTACAGTGTCTCGGAATGATATATTTAAGCAAGCTGAAGAAATAGTAAATGAAGTTGGTGGAACAAGGGCTATTTTGGAAATACAGTACCAAGATGAGGTCAGTATTAGGAACATCTCTTTTTTGACCTGTAAGTTATGGGAAGTATGATTTTGTTCTATCATCAAATGTAATTTTGTCACATCGTGTTTTTATATTTAGGTTGGAACTGGACTGGGTCCAACATTAGAGTTCTATGCTTTAGTGTCGAGAGAATTTCAACGTGGTGACCTCTCCATATGGAGAGGGGACACTGTCCCAACTGCTGATGATGAAGGTACATGCATTTTGTATTGCCCGAGTGCAGTTTTGCTCCAAAGACCTTCACTTTATTTTGTGATATAAATGATGAGCATGCAATGTCTTACACATAGATATTGGAAAAGAAGTGTCGTATGTTTTTTCCCCAGTTGGTCTCTATCCAGGTAAGTTACTACGTTGTTCATTATCATAGATCATGTATTTCTCAAGCATCATTATGAATTCATGATGTTTTGTGGCACCTGTTCGCCATACACCTTATATAGCTTTTCACCCTGTTATGTATGAAATTATTTCCCCGTATCTTGCCACACCATAATCATGCTAAGAATACGTACATTTTCAACCAGCTTACACGAAGCCTCAGATGTGCTACTATTTACATTCCCTCTACTTCAGCTCCTATTGCGAAAAACACAAAAGCTGTCCAATTGACAAAACTGAAAGGGAAGTTCCGTTTCTTGGGAAAGTTTATTGCGAAGGCAATTATGGACTTCCGTATGTTAGACATTCCTTTAAGTCAGGTATTCTTCAAATGGATGCTTGGAAAGGAGGCAACACTCGATTATCGTGATATACACCACATTGATCCAGTCTTGGCTAAATCTATTGCTCAACTGCGAGATATCGTACACAGGCGTAAACGACTCGAAGCAGATACGTCACATACGCCCGACAGCCTGAAGTTAGCTGTAGAATCCTTGACAATGGATGGTTTGCCTATTGAAGATCTCGAATTGGATTTCCGATTACCTGGAACAACTATTGACCTAAAGGTATTGTCTGACTATAACTATAATGTAATCGAATTTTATTTATCTTACATGATAAAATGTTGTGTTTTTTCCACCACCGTTTCCAAATTGGTTACAAAAAATTGTCAGCAGTTTGTTATGATGTTTTTTATCTTGTGGAATTTCAGCCAATCTTCCTGTGAATTATATATGTGGAGATATTTGTATAGGGCATCCTTGTGATCTTGGTTTATTAATGTGATCACGCGGTAAATTTTATATAGAAAGGTGGTAAAGACATCCCAGTCACAATACATAATTTAGAGGAATATATAAAGGTGAGAAACATTTTCACGTATCTGTTTCACTATAATCGTCAACTTATTAATTTATGCATGCACCTTACTATGTCCATCAAAGAGAAATTGAGAAGGTCCGTGGGGCGAATTCATGTTTCAAATTTGTATCATCTCAATTTTGTTTCATATTTGCAGCTCGTTGTTCAATGGACATTAGTTGACGGTGTAACAAAGCAAATGCAAGCGTTTAAGGAAGGTTTTGAAACCGTGTTTTCATTGTCTAGTTTGACGTGTTTTACACCAGAAGAGGTATTATAGTTTAACGATCGTTTGAAAGTACTTTGCACAATCTCGCGAATATATATCTTTTGCTGAATGAGATGGTATCAAATATTTGCCTGTGAACATGAAAAATGGTCGAAATATTTCTTGTTTCTATTTGCCTAAACCACCAGACCTACCGTTCCAGTTATATTAGAATTCATATAATGCATCTGGCTTTACCGGTGGTGTTTCCACATAACTGTTTCATTTTTATTCATACCCATGACTTATTAAGGTGTTTAAATTGACCTTTTGTTGTTATTTCAAGATGGATTTACTTTTATGTGGAAGTACGGCTGAGACTTGGGACATAAAAAGTGAGTCATGGCTTGAGAATTTTCTCCGACTTTTTCTTAGGACTTCATTAACTTTATTATTTTTTCCGTCAGGTTTGATGGAAAATTGTCGACCAGATCATGGATACAACCATGATAGGTTTGTCCAATGTTTTTATCTTGTACGTTGCTGCTAACGCTCTTAAACAATGCTCAAATGAAAGATTGTATAAGACAAAGTTAATGTTGCAACTTGCAAAGTACAAAAGCATAACAGAAACATCTGTGCGCTTATGGTGTTCGCTTTTGTTTCTTTGCTTTTTTTAGTTTTGTGTTTGCAATCAATGTTTCATCTTGAACAGAATACTATATTGTTTAATCTTGGGTTAATGCTTAACTTGTATAGAACATTAGTCGTTCCTCTAACTTTTTTACCAAAAATGTTAGCAAAAAATAGGACGGTGGCAACATTGCGTCTGTGAGAATCAAAAATATTTTGTATTGAAAAACTTGTCTTAAAAATTCCTATCTCATCATAGCCTCAAAAGCTCTTGTCAAAGTGTTAACCAAGCTGAAAGAACAACGAAGAATTGTATTTTTGTTAAATATTTTATTGTAGTCGTGCTGTCAAGTTCCTATTCGAAATTCTCAGTTCGTACGATACAAACGAAAGGAGACGATTTTTACAGTTTGTTACTGGAAGTCCCAAGCTTCCTGTTGGAGGTATACGAATTTTTCACGCTTTTCTTCAAAATAGAACTTACGCATTTAATCTATCCAGATTCTCAAGTCAAGCTATAGTCACAATGCTAGCGTCTGAAGATCTAATCTGTTGCTTTCTTCAAAATAGAACTTACGCATTTAATCTATCCAGATTCTCAAGTCAAGCTATAGTCACAATGCTAGCGTCTGAAGATCTAATCTGTTGCAATTTGAATTTATAGGTTTCAAGAGACTAACGCCACCTTTAAAAATAGTTCGCAAAACACTCGAATCATCAGCATGTGCGGACAGTTATTTACCATCGGTGATGACTTGCATGAACTACCTAAAGCTGCCAGATTACTCCACAAAAGATATCATGAAGGAGAAGTTAAGACAAGCTGCTTTGGAAGGACAACATTCCTTTCATTTGTCGTAAGATAAAATTATTTGAAGCAAATTCAACCGTTGAATTGAGGGAACTTTGGTAAATATCTTGTTGACTTTTTAGCAGTTTTCTGCAATGTTTGGAGAAACCAATCATCTTTTGTTAGAATGCGGACATAGGGTCTGCATAAGTAAATACACGCTCATTCTGTTCGCACACATGCACCTCATGCTTCTAACAGTCTTCTCATTTTTGTAAGGTAACCAACCCTGTTGAATACGATAGATAAAGAATGACGAGTGACAAATTAACGCTATTTTTATAGTGTAAATATTTGTCTTCTAAGTTGTGGGTTTGTTTCATCGAACAACTATTGCGTGTAGTCGCTTCCCACCTCTTTTATGTGGTTGCGACCAGCTCATCAAATTCAAAGTTATTTTATGTTTTGTTATATTATAATGGGTTTTATTTTGAAAGGTACAGAATATTGTTTCCTGTGTTTAGTCATCCACATTTTCATATTTTTATAAATTCTGCCTAATTGGAATTTTTGGTATTTTTACCAGAACCAAAACTGTGATTTTCACCAAGTTTTACGATTTGATTATATTCTGTTGTTCGCTACGTTTTTGAGTGCAATTTCATTGAATTAAGTTGTGCAAGGTTTTGACTTAGCAGAATTGTCATTGGCAAAGTTTTTGTATTACCGAATGCTTAAAGTCAAATTGTTGAGTTTCACTTTCTTCTATCGTAATTATGGCAAAAGTTGCCAGACCCAGTAATAGATTGATGGTGTATGTGATGGCCCAGGACATGTCAAACTGGTTTTAAATTAGTTCTTTTTAATTGATTTAAATTCAGATTTTTAAAAAATAAATTGATATGAAATTTAATTTAAATGATACTCACGATTTCCGGAACTGCTAACTGCCAAATTTTTATACAAATTTATGAAACGTACATTATTGAGTCGGCGTTATTTTCAGTTTCAATTGAAATCTTTCATTATGTTATGTCATCGCATAATTTTGCATTCAAAGCATGGTGGGGGAGATTATTGATAAAGAGCTGGAACTTGTTTCGCTACCAGGAATTGAACAGTTGTTTTCTTACTTTCTGTTTTGCTAGAGCGAAGTGTGTTTTTTTCTCGTAACACTCAAGTTGCTTGGTATAATTGTCCTTTTAAACTTTATGCCTTACGCCATGTCTCAGACATAATGGTCATGTTTGAAATCTATCAAATTTAATTTCATATCATTTTATTTTATAATTATCTGATTATATATAGTTGAAATCAATTTAAAAAATCGTTTAAAACCGCTTTGGCATTTCTGGGCACCACGTACCTCGGTGGAACATACACATGTTGCAATGATAAGGATAATTTAAAACAGTTGTTACAGCAGCCACTAAAAATGTTTTACAACTCATAACTATTGCCTAAAACATCATGTTTCATGGAGGTAAAAAAAAAACTAAATTGTGTCTATGCTGTGACATTTTCATTATTTTTCACATTTTCCCATGTACATTATTAAACGCAGCTGTAATTTATCGTCATAATCACGAAGCCTTTACTCCATTGTAACTTCAAGAAATTACCTTTATGTACTTTTTATGCTGGTACATTGGCTCGACACAATGAATAATAATTATAATTAAATGGTTGTTTGTTATAGGTAAACTAATTGCATAGTTCTGAGTGCAAACAAGTTTGTTTTGCTTTCACTGTTTTTCAGCTAATCTGGTTACAGTATTTACCGTTCAATTACAATTTCTACAGTACCATTACAGCACTACAATCAACCAATCCCCGTCGACAAATATCTCAAGGTATATTAAGGCTGTAACATGTAATTGTTGCATGTATTTAATGAAATTATGAGCTAAGTTATTCAGTACAACATTTAATCCGATTAGGATAGAGATAAGAATCATAATTGTCAAGCAGATGATGCATGAATGCACTGTTTATAATACATGTATGCAAAGTAAAAGGGAAAGTTGTGATAAAGCAAGCGTTGTTTGTCATTGCAGCTAAAAAAATTCTTAAACTAAAGGAAACTCATTTTATCGCAAGGCATTTTATAAGGTCAAAAATTTAAACGACGCAAACTTAAGAAACAACATTGGTGAAAGACTTCTATGAATTGAGTAAAAATTCTTTCAATAGTGACTAAAGTACAATGCAAATGTTATATTATATCCTACATTGATCGTGATGAAAAGATTCATTTAATTACATTTCATAGATAAATTATACAACCTATACGGATGACACACAACCCGGATTATACGGCTCAAAAACATCTATTTTCCACGATATTTTCTTATATGAAAAATTGTAATCGACGAATTACGCAAGTTCGACAGATGCTGTGTAGTTTTGAGTAGTCTCAGTAGTAGTGGTGGTAGATGTAGTGAGTAAAGGTGTTCTCTCATTAACGTCAACACCAAGGCCCGTTGAAGGACCCTCTTTGCATTCGTCTTTCTCTACCGGTTGTTTGCAAGTTGGACATGTTTTTTTACCATTAGTTAGCCAAGGATCGACGCACTTGCAATGGTACGCTACAAATATAAGACATCGTTTTAGTAAGAACACGTATTAATTTTAAATTTATTTTTACTTTAAATATGTAACTTGTTCGAAAGAGAGAGCTTACCATGATTGCAAGGAAGCACACGCAATTTGTCTCCCACCTTGAAATCTTCTAAACATATCGCACAGAGATCATATTCGTCTCCTAAAAGATCAACCAATTTATTCATACATCTTTAGACAAGGCCATTAACATCGCAATTGTAGGATGGAGCAATAAGCAGTAATGATTCTCCCCTACCCTAAATCTGTCACTGTCTATTTGATCTTATGATTTTGGCAAATGAACGAAATCGAGGGAAACTAATATATCCCTTAATTACCTTCTCTAAATTTTTTCGTCGGTATTTTCTTCAAATTTGCAGGGGATAAACGATTTCTGCGCTCGTGTACTCTCGTACGCCAATACTTAACTCCCTTTATCGTAAACGAAACATACACTTTGAAGTTGAAACACGTCGTGAACACAGCGACTCGCAAACTAGTGACTCCGGAGCCGTCAAAAGAAAATTAAGATGGGAGGGGAGGGCTAATGAAAATAATGTAACTACGTTTCAGAGGGATTTTTTGGGACAAAGCGAGGCAATGAGTAGTTTCGTGTATTATCATGCAATTGACATGCATGCAAGTCTAACATACATTCTAGGTCTCAGGAAAAAATCTACCCAAATTAAGGGTTTGCTATTTGCATTGAGGTGGATTTTTTGCATGTGAAAAATAAACTTTTAATCAAAAAATGAATTTTTGAAATCAAGGAGAACCCTTGCAATGCTGATAAAATTGGGATGTGAAAAACACAAAAGATTTTCACTGAAATGTGGCTACACATTAGAAAATAAATGCAAATATCAAACATTTTCATCACAGTTATTTTGACGATGGTTTTTAAAATCCCAATATGAGCTTTAGAAATCATCAAAAGCCAAAGTCATTGCTACATTGTTAATTGGGGGGGGAGGGGGTATTCATTGATTCATTTGTGCCCAACTGATTTTTTTTTGAAAGCCAATTCATTTTCAAAAAAAAGATTTTGGGCACAACTGAATATATGAATAAACATCCCCTATTAAACTTGGATTATGTCTCTGTCTATAGAATATTTTGTTTATGTAGCGAGAGACATTGACTTACCATGAACATAATCATGATTGTGAAACAGATTCCAACGATAATCAACAGTGGTATAAGATATATTTCTAAATTAAACTTCATTTCCAGATGAATGTTAGCCACAGCACTGAAGAATAAATATTCACGATAAAACTTTCCAAAAAAAATATATTTAAAATTTTAATTCAATGATATTCACCCAGTTGAAACATTAAACTTTGCCAGAATGTCACCAGTATGCTGAAGAAAGAATGCAATTAATTAATGCAAAAGTTATTTTGTTGCCAACTACTGCGATGACATGCATAATTTAGTTTATGTATGATAATGACAACCACTGCAAGGCTATACATTATTATAGACATGTACTATTTATGGTTACTGACTTAAATGACCAATTAACATCTGGGTACTATGTATAAATTGTTAAAATTTACTAAAACAAACTGCACAAATGCACATGTTTGTACACGTACCTGGCCCACATATATGCCAAGTATAGCAATGCGATCGCCTAAATCAACAAATTTACAAGTGAAGGTTGGTTGACTTTGGACCATAATTTTAATAATTCAATTTATTGGCAATTTCCTAACATGCTAAGTACCTTTCATGGTTTTCAAGTTATTTGAATACTTATTTCTCACAATTATAGCATTGTAGCCAGCATACTTTGCATTCAATAGCTACAAATAAGAAAATGGTGTCATGTTTTACAACAACAAAAAAAAAGATTAAAGCTGGCTCAACAGCAGATATTTGTTCAAATACTTTGCTAAAATGATCACATCCTCCATCATCAGCAAGGAGGAATTTATTTGGTCCCACTGAACGTGGACTAGGAGGAACTACATTACGACAAGCATCTAGAGGTTTTGAGAGATATACCACTCCCTAAATTATAAAATAAATTAAACATTAAAAGTAAAGGGCTGTGACTTTGTGCTTTTTTTACATGTTTGACAGAGTATAAACGATGATATGTCACATGCAAACCGGCATTTGCCAGCAATCATGATAATGATTAGCAAAACCAAGTAACTTGTGCAAAGGTTTTCTCATCACAAAATTTCATTTGAAACAGTTATAGGCAATGCCCACATCACTCAGACAGCCTTCTAATTTCATAGAAAAACATGTTAAGATTTTCATCGTTTGAAATATCATTTTTCATTTGGCAAATGAATACAAAAATAGTAAGGGCAATTTGTTGTGATAAAAAAAACACACACACAAAAAAATCACAATTCATTTAAATTTTTCTAAGACCAAGCTAACAAATGTACAAGCTTCACAAATAATATATTTTTATTGACATTGGAGAAAGAATTTGCTAATCATTTCCAAAAATACTCTTTTAAGTCTTTTTTCTGTAATTTTTAATTCATGGAATCTCTTACCGTAAATGTTCCAATATAGTCATACCCAAATTCACCCTCTTTATCTTTGAAATGTCCAATTGTGTGATTTTGTAGTTGCTAGAATAAAATAATACATGCAAGCTTCATATATTATATAATGTAGACAGAGGGCACTTGCTAAAATACTCTTACCACAGTTACTTTTGCATGAGAGACTGCTATTTGTAAAAAAATGAAGAAGCCACACACGATAATATGCAAATCCATTGTTTGAGATTAGCTGAAAAAAATAGAACTTTGAGTAGTCTATGGCAGCATAATTAATAATTGCATGATAAGCAGTTTAATGCCTTGCTAAATGGTTCAATGATACCTTACAAACATACATTTACATATCACCCCCAATGCATGAAAATTTTTTAGCATGTACGATATCTCAAGCCTTCGTATATGAAATTTCAGAATACAGAGACGTGTAACTCCGAATAGCAAAAAAACCATGTTTTAAACAATCGGCGAAAAACAAAAAAAAAACTTGTCAAATTGTGATCCATATTAAATTAGATGGTGTTGAACTTGGTGTTCAGTTGTGAAATGTGATGAATGGATAACGACGACAATATTTCTCAATTTTTTCGAAAAAAAGTTGTTGTTGAACCCATAAAGGTTTCGAAGATCAATTTAACAACACGAACACATAAATGCGTGATTCAACGTTCTTAAAATGATCTTAAGCATTTTTGATTCCTATTTACGCTACAAATAAGTGAAGGTTTTGACTTTATTTTGTGAAACACTAGTATTTCAAAATATTAATTTTGGCTAAAAATATTGAACATAATATCGACAGTCCACAGATTTAGTTCCGCCGTAAAGTAAAGCAAACAGCATCATATCATACATTTACACACGCCATAACACAACAAGAGACCTATATTTTTTAAGATACCTAAAACAATTTGAAATACTCACTCGATTACAAAGAAATAAAACAACATCATTTCAAAACAAAATTCACTTCGTCGCTGTTGTCAACATCGTTTTCCTAAGACTTAGACGTAAAGGTCGACCTTCGTTTCATGATCGGATCTGGATCGGATATTACGATTGATTACGAATTGACCGAACTGTCTCCGATAGTTCAGATTGCTATTTGTTCTGTGTGTTATTGTTCATTTATTCATCGTTGTTCAGTGATATAAAACAAAAGTCAGATTTTCGATATAATTTTTTCGGTCGGGAGAAATTTACTCTCTTTAAGTACTTTACTGAATTTTCACATGGCTGTTTCACAGACCGGTTACCGTGTGATAAGCCGAACTAATGCACTTTCACTTCATGGTTATCGTCACGCTGCACATGTCATGTTGCACAGTTCTTTAAAAGATACAGAAAAAAAACTATTTAATTACTATCTACCACAACATGCTGTAATGGTAAGTGTTGAAAGTAAAAACATAGAGGCGTAAAAATTTGACCATATTCTAAGAAACGTCTTGAAGGAAATGTTATGAAGGAAATGTCATGAGCAGTCACTAAATCACGTGATAACTTACGTAATACTTGGACGGGAAAATTGATATATCGTCGTTCATCGTTCATGATGGTCCTATGACTCCAGTGCAGGTCTCTTTACACCAGCATGACTCCAGATCATGAATAAATTAAAAGTGGTGAAGTAGTTCTATTAATGCTTTTAATCACACAATTAGTCAAAAATGAAAGACTCCACACCTCTATATAAAATTGTATCTTTGCTGGAAAAAATGCTGCTAGCTGTGCTCTGTCAGTTGCCATAGTGTGGACTAGTTTTACTAATTTTTTGTTCTTATTCATTTTAACCCAAATAATCAAAAATTACTGCGTAAATGTGGCAAAATGCTATGGGAGGAATTAAAAGTTATTAAAAGGAATTAAAAGATAAAAACATCAAAATAAAAAGTAATTCCTCAGCTTTTTATTCCTGATAGAAAAACCAAAGTAGGATAATCATATTCTTCACGGTAACCATTAATTATAGACACAATCCTCTGCAATTTGTGCACATGAATTAGAAATTTCAAAGCAAAATCTAAGTTAAAATGTAAAACAAAAAATGAGATTTGAACTCTTATTATATTTATACTAATAGAAATAACTTGTAAAACATGTATAATTATTCGAGGATGGACCCTCTTGATGATATTTTTATGTGGGTCAGTGCCTCTGAGCTCTTTTCGTTCTTCAGCTCCTTTGAAAAATAAGCATGTTTGTAATGTTCTTGATTAGGCTATTGCTGTACTCTTAGTGAGTGCTCAATATTGATAAAACCAGGTGAAATAACTATAAAATGGCATATTAAAAAAATGTTTCATAAGTGTATTTACACTTATACATATAATATGTATAGACAATGTGCTGTGCAATTATTACCATTTGGTTACTGGTATATATGCTATTTCTGCCCCCAATGACCAGCTTACGCCTTTCTCACAGTTTTTTGGTCTGGTGGAACTACACATTTAGTATTTTTATGATATAAAGTGTTAGAGTAATGAAAATTTATTGTTTCACGTGCTTTAAAAAGCAAGATGTTGTTGGCATACTCTGGTTAAAACTTCCCAGGGTCTATTCATTTCATTATATAGTGGATCTATGTTGAGGAGTTGACTCAATATTTGAATATTTCTAATGAGAACTCTATCTTTATCCAAATTTCACTTTGTTTAACTTTTCCATTTTTAGCTTCAAATGCGTTTTGACGGAACTTTGGGTTTTCCTGGTGGATTCGTTGAAGATGAAGAAAATTTAGAAAGTGGTCTGGCTCGAGAAGTATCTGAAGAACTGGGTGCAACTGCTGGTAGCCTAAACTACATGGAAAGTGATCTTGTAGTTTCACATGAATGTTTTGATAAGAAATTATGCTTGCATTTTTACTGTAAGAAAATTGAACTGGAAGTGCTTAGGATTATTGAGAAAGAATTAATTGATTGTCCACAGTACGGATTAGAGGTGAGTTTTTTATTTCCCATCAAAACCTACTGTCCTATAATAACATCTATGTATGGTGTGGTTACCTATACATTCTTATTAATTTTGATGGAAATCCTGCAGATAAGTTTCAATTTTATGTTGGCAGTAATATACTTACCAACCTCATTTGATCTTGAAATTACATGTTTTCACATTGGGTTGTTGAAAATTTACCTAAAGCCTAATGAAATTACATGTTTTCACATTGGGTTGTTGAAAATTTACCTAAAGCCTTATGAAATTACATGTTTTCACATTGGGTTGTTGAAAATTTACCTAAAGCCTTATGAAATTACATGTTTTCACATTGGGTTGTTGAAAGTTTACCTAAAGCCTAATGACCTGTTCCAAAAACAAGGACAGAAAACCCATTTCACCTAACAGAAATATGATAGATAGTTATAACATATTTCCCGTTTTTGCAAATAAATTGAAGTTCTAATCAACAATTACGGATTCGTACGAGGTAAAACGACATCCTCGTTATGAATCATGCACTTAAGCAACATCCGGCTTTAGAAACATGAAATTTTCAACAGCCTAACATGCTATACAAACCCACGGATTTTCCCAGGTGTTTGTAGATTATGTCATAACAATTTGCCAAATTAGAGGTAGCACATTTTTCTAATCTCGGAGATTTGTCCGTCAAAATCTTGTCGATCACGTTGTGTGTCATCGGTTTAAGTTCGCGTTCGTCTTCATTTTTTCAGATATATTTCGTCAGACTGATAGCAAAAAGTACTTATGAATATATACTTTTACGTTTTAAGACTCTCGGGTTCATTCGCTGTCCGCTGTACACAATGAAAGATAATCTTGGAGGTCTTCCGTCGTTTTTAAAAAATCATTTTATTGGTAATGCCAAAGATCAATTACTTATTGGACTTGATAACGAAAAACTTTTAACTAAAGAAGAAATAGATCTTGCTGTACAGCGTTCAGAATCAATTCATGTAACATAGAGATATGATTTTAAAAAATAGTTTATATCTTTTCTGGTTTAACAATCAGTTCACAAATCATGAACGTGATCTCGTGGGTTAAGTTAAAGACGTTTGCGGTCCGGGGGTAAGATATTTGACTCATAAATACCATTTTGTTTTATATGGTATAAGTCTGAGTCTAGCAGGTATGCTGTGAAATACTATTATAATATTCGTCTTTGTTCCAAAAAAATGATTTTACAATTGTATCACTGTAGTTTTATCGATTATTATCATTTGACTATACCAGTCTTATCCATTATAATCCTATGGTCATACCAGTCTTATCCATTATAAACATATGGCAACACTAGCCTTATCCATTATAATCCTATGGTCATACCAGTCTTATCCATTATAAACATATGGCAACACTAGCCTTATCCATTATAATCCTATGGTCATACCAGTCTTATCCATTAAAATCTTATAGCACTGGTATGGATTTTACAGTTTTGTATTTTTATCGTGTCACTTTTCATCGGGACACTTAGCATAGTTTTTTAGTTTTGAATCTTTTAATTATGATGTCATAACGTATCTCCTGTTTCAATGAAGAAATAAAAGATGTTTACTGTGTTTGCACATATTCATTGCAAGTCGAGAACACCTTTGGGATAACTCGAGAGCAGATCAATGCAAACCCGAGTCCAAATGTTGAGAGTTTCAGAAACGTCTCCGAGGTTTGCATAAGCCAGTGCAAACACGAAAAACATTTCTTTTTTATTTTTAAAATAACAACAATGCAAACAGATAAATTTAAAACAAAAGTTTTGATTTTTTCTTTAAAATGTATTGATGATTGATTTTCAAATTCTCTTTATTTGTAATGTGTATCCGTCATTGAGTGACATGGCTATTATATCATGTCTATCTCCGCAGGTTTGACATGACATGTTAACCGATCCAGTTGCTTGTTGTTTTAACTTTGAAATTGTACAATTGCTCAAGTAGAATGCGCATGCGTACTCAGATGATTCGTCTTATAATTTGTGATTAAGCTATCTACTTACTCCGAAATCGATGCATATAGATCCATTAGGTCGTTGTGCAGACTATGAACTCAAATTGTTTGTCGAGTGCACTGTGTATGCTCGAATAAATTGCGCATGTGCAGTTATTTTCTTTTATAATTTGTAACTAAGCAAGCCACTTACTCCAAAATCGGCGCTAGTATATCCCGTGGTCGTTGCTATAACCATAGACTTGGACAGTTGGTCGACTAGACTGCGCAGGCTCAGATTATTTCTCTTATATGTGAGCAAAGAAGTTAGTTACTCCATAAGCAGTGAAAGTTCGTACAGTTGGTCATTGCTATGATTATGAACTCGAACAATTGGTGTAGCACTCTTCGTATGCTCAAAAGCTCATTACTCCGAAATCGGTGCCAGTAGAGCCATTTGGTTGTTGGCACAATGATCTAGTAGACTGATGCTCGTATGATTTTTATAATAGTTTGTGACCGAGCATGATAGTTACACCCAAAGCAACACAATGAAATCCAGTTGATTGGCATGACTTCTATTAGTTGGTTGAGTTTCCAATCATACATTAATAGAATGCTGTCTGTCTTCTTCGGCTTTTTTCAACAAATGCATTTTCAAACTCTTAACCTCAATGACCGTTATCGGTTAGGCGTGCCCTCACCATGTGTAAAGCAAATTAGTCAATACACAACCATAGACATAACACCATGGACATAAAGACATCGCTTACGTGAAAACCTGCGATACTAATCTTTGCAACATCAATTCTCCATCACTATCACCCGATGTTATCTATTTCTAACAACGCTAATTATCCATTTCTATCCCAGGAAGATATCTTTTTCTAACAACAATAATTATCCATTTCTATCCCAGGAAGATATCTTTTTCTAACAACAATAATGATCCATTTCTATCCCAGGATGATATCCATTTTTATACCTTTGCAACTAGAAAAGCTGTCCTAAACAATCTATCTTTGTTCCAGGAACAAGTAATATCTGTTCTTCTTTGGTCTGACGACGTGTATCAGAAGGAGACTATTGAGTGATTCACTGGTTTCTTGTCCGATTCCACAGGTTTGACACAACTTATTTATATGCAAAGATTATGCGTTAATACTATAATTTTCATTTTTTTGTCATTTTTTTAGCTTCGTGTTGAGAAATATCCAGCCATCTACGACAGTGACGTTGTTAAAATTGTTTATGATAAAGTTATGCGTAGACGGGTTAAATGGGCCTCAGGTAAGTTGAAGATGTTAATTAATCATGCGTTTCTCTTCTCGTAGTACAAGCTTATTGTTCTTTAGACCAGAGTGAAATGTATTTAGAAAACAATTGTATGAGTGTGCCCTGGTAGTTCACCACGTTTGTTTAAAAATGCAATAAAAATGCGATCTGTCAATAACGCGTACATCACTTCAAGCTGTGTATGGATGATAACGTCTCGATAAATTAACATAAAATGCGTTTGTTTCCAAAAAAAAACACTGCGTTTTTTTAAGATTAATGAAACTAAAGTCAGTTATTAAAAACCATTAAATATGAAGTGTTATGGCAGTTTTCGACAGAGATGAATTCACGATGTTTTTTTCGGAGGGGTGGGGGTGCTCAGCTTAATTAGATTTCGGTTGTTCCTTGTTGCTCTACGATATCAAACTTATTTGTTAAATTCTGTTACTTTTTTATAATGATTGAGATATTTTTGAAAGTTTACTCCGTTTGACGCGAATCACGATTGCTTTTGCTTAATTGTTTGGTGTAGGGATATTTAGTATTGTGTAGGGATATCACCATTTTGCACCTCATCTAGCCAAAGTTAAGAGGGGTGCGTCCCCCTCTCCACATCCCTTTCTGTGTATATAGATTGATGATGAACAGTAAAGACTTGAACGCTGCTCTAGTTTACAAGCCTACTTTCCAAACTCGGACAAAGCGATGAGTAACGCGGCGCAAAACAGTTTTTAGCAGTTGGAAACTAGTTTTGGTTTATTTTTTCCGATTCAGACTTTGCCCTTTTCTCGTATTGTTAATACGTATATATGTTGTTTAATATATATTTCAAAATCACTTTTTTTACTAGGCACGCTTCTTTCGTATTTGAAGTCTTTTATTCCCTCAAACTATAAATTGGCCATAGCTTATTTTTGGTGTTTTGACGTCTTTATTAGGCTGCACCTTAAGCGATGATTGAGCAGCGATTTTGCTATTTTGCTATATAGTTATTTTGGTAGCTGTAGACTTACCAGAAATGAGATTATATTGATAAAGTTTCACCTCTGTTGATATTTAAGAAGAAACAATAAGATTCATCCCTAGATATTATCTTCACGAGAAATTATCCTAGATTTGTATTTTTTTAAAGTTCCTTTTACGTATGTCCGGATCATAATCGCTAAACGCCTAATGGCAAGCACTGGCTTTTTCATTATGAAAGAATCACGTGCTATTTATATTCTATTGTACTTTAATATTTTGCTCACAGAAGGGTCACTACTTGGGGTGTGTGTTGAAATGTCGCTGTTGCAATCGTTCTGAGAAAAATTTGTCTAAATCTGAATTTTCCTCAGTGCGTAATTTATTGGCATTTAATGCCAGTATCTGTCATCATTTAATGTTTATATAAACGTCTCAAAGGAATACATGAATGTGGCTACAAATTAAGAGTGTATTAGTCTTGCAACTGCCACATTTCTATTATTTAAGTGAACGTAATCTGAAATTCTTGGAAAAGTGGCTCCATACATAAAAACAGGCAGAATCCATACAAATTGAGGTGGGCATCGCCAGTGCTGACACCCAATTTACGGGAAGCTTCAACACCAAAGCACAACATGCTATAAGGACCCAGGGACTCTAAATTCTGATACTCTGATTCATGCGGCGTTGAAAAATTTACATAATCTAGTCAGGTGACACCGTATATCCACACTCTCCTTTTCTAGCAACTGTGGGTAGATTAAGGCGATCAACTACAGCGTGACTGAAATAGTTTTGATGTAAAAAAGCGCGCATATTTTGCGTTTTTTACTGCTGATCTTTGTTTTGTAAAACTAACAAATTCGTGGGATTAACATGAATAGCTTTGTTACATTGAATTTTCTCTATTGTGTAAAAAAGAAATTTTTAATATCTCTTTACGAATTTTCGTTGCGTGGCTTAGACCAGTGCGAGTTCATAGGAAAGTGTTTGACATTTAGGCATGCAGTGGAATAAGATCTCTTAAAAATGTTACCTCGCTAATCAACCAATCAGCGCCAAATTGCGATCGGCGTTTAAAGGGTTCGTTTGAACACTAGAAGTCATCTTATATGGCAACACGTATCAACACCTCAAGACACTAATTGTGTGGTATTATATACACTTTCGGCAACATAGCGTGACATTATTCGCAACCATGGAATGGCAAATAAAACATGTCACTTTGATTTTATTGTTTCTCCTCTTGCAATGCTGTCCTACTGATGGAAGTCTAATGTATGTACTATTTTACGAAGATGATGTGTATATTGACAGAAGTGACCACAAATGTCGCTTATTGTTGCATGTTTATCCGATTGCTAAAACGGCTTGCACGCATCACAAATGAAGCATGGTGTTTTTCAGGTTTCATGTTCATTTTAACTTTTATAAAAATCATGTATTGTCTAAAGATTTCAACAGATGAAACACAAAGGTTGTCTACGTGTTCATTAAGTGGAAGTGTGTGATTTGTATTTGTCAAAACCCTTCAGATATTATCAAAACCACTTGAGTTAAGTGTTTGTTGTTCATCGTCGTTGTAATGTATGAAAATTTCAAGATCGTGTTTCAAATTGATAGTTATACATCAGCGAAAGATCATTAAAAAGTTCTTTTAAAATTTTTCTGACTCGAAATTACATACAATAAGAAATGATGATTGTATCGAAGATCTTAGCCTCGGTGTTCTTTTTTTTTGAATCACAGATCGTAAAAGTGCCTTTCTGAACCGAAATGTGCTGGCTTTTTCCAGTTGTTTTTCCAGCTGGAAAATTTCATTTAATTGTCTGCGTTTATATGTGCAAGGGCTAATTTTGGCTTTTGACTTTACCAGTTCTAGTATATTTTTTGTTTACATGCAACAGTGTAACAAATTTTATATACTGTGTACTCCTTCATTCGTGTTTCCCTAATTATTTCTTTTGTATTGTACCTGCTATGTTAAACTGTAAAACACGTTTAAATGTTTGTCGATCTTTTAATAGCAATTACAGATGTTTGTCGCGATAAGGCGTTTCACTCCTACATCTTGATTTTCCTCTTTAGTAATCCTTGGTATGTTTCAATGAATAGCCATTTGTAGACGTAGTAAATGTTTTATTCATGGTGTAGTGGTAAGAAGGTTGTAATACTCGTGGTCATGTTCAAGATTATTGTGGAAGGATTCTTTATTAACGTGGCCTAAATACCCCAGCTAGATTATTTCCATTAACCTTAATCATTATAATGCGATAATTGCAATGATGAAATTTTTCAATAAAATTGACTGTAGATCAATAAAAGATACGGCTTGTTATTTTTTATGACTCCGATGGTTTAGTTTACAGGAAGAATTTGACAAAATTGAATTTCAAACATTCTTTGCCAAATTAATCGCTAACACAAGCCAGATATCTAACGTCTATGTATGAAATATGACGAAAATAGAAGCTCAAATGAGAAAAAAAATTTTGATTGCTTATATCACGCGTGAAAATATTTTTTTATTCCTATACGTATGTTGAACAATGATATTTTTAATAGGAAATTCCATTCCGGCTCGTTATTTCCAACAAGTATGTTCATTTATCTACGGGCTTGGGTTTGAAATTGAATAAATCGTACTTCAATAGACAAAGTTCAAAAATTCGAGCGTTTTGCAGAGACTTAGCTTCCTTCGCAGGTTTACGTTTTGTTACTTTGATACTTCATCGTCTGTAGCTATTCTAAAAGTTCACTCGCTTTCAAATCATCCGATAACTATTCGGACACAGTATTTTCACTCCACTGATTGCTTGATTTGAAATATTTTTGCAAAAATCTTGCTTTTGATTGCGAAATGAATTTCTCAGTAACTAGTGGAAGCGTAACTTCTGCGTGCGCTTTCCAGAATGCACGGGTAAATCACACGAGCTTGAACATAGATTTATTTTCAAATGTATCACGCAAAACCTTGTGCACTACTTTGTATGTCAGGATGTATTTTCTAAGATGGCTTAGTCAGAAACTTCCAAAGAAAGCGGTATCGAATGATTTAAAGTTTTTATATATTATCTTTTATAGGTGGACCAAATTTGCATCAGTCGCGTTGGACCATGTTGAATTGAAGCGAAATACTACAGACTGCGCGACTTTAACTGGGTTTGTACCAGCTCAGCTGCGTCTTTGTCAATCAAAACCTTTGCTTATGAACAGCATTAGAAAAGGTGTATTGCTTGCCATGGAACAATGTAAGAAGCAGTTGAGTCAACAACGTTGGGATTGTTCGACCATCACGGATATTCGAGCATTGAGGGGATTACTTGCGATACGTATGTTTTTGGCTCTTTTTGATGATAGCTTAATCAAGTACATGCATTTCTTAGTTAGAATCTATCTCCTATATATATATACCTATATACCACAGCTGATGAATTACTTTTTGTCTGCATGATTAAAAACTTGCCAATTAATAATCCCCACGTTATGCATTAGCTGACTGTTCTTTATGTTTGTCCGATGGCCTTGAACTATGTTCTGTATAATATTGAAACTGTTAACCTCTATTGAAACGCTACAATCTCTTCGTGTAAGTCAGTTAAGATGACTGATTATGAACATGTCTAGACGATGTCCTAAGGAATGCTTGTGGGAGTCCATACGTGTCGCCAATCTTTATTTACTGTCAACATCAATGTCATAAGTTAGCAAATTTGCCACGGATCATCAGATTAGATCAGATTTATACAATTAGTAAATGACGCATCCATATAATTGAGGACGAAATACTGTAGTATTTTTGCTTAGTGTATTTTGTCCTACTGCGAAATTTCATTATCCTGCACGATATAATGAAAAAAAATGTAATCAACGCCCATGCCTGGCATTTTTTTCTACGTTATATTTGGGAAAATCTTATTAACTTTTTATGAACCCGCATGATGAACGGTTTATATCCAGCGTTGACGCTCGCTGTGAATCAGCAAGACAAAGACATATTTTTAAACAAATCTTTTTGCAGATTAGTCACACAAAAAACAAGGCTGCAAAAAATCGTTTCTTTATCATTGGATGAAAAACTTATTTTTATGAATTATATACATGGTGATGAATAGCCAATTTTTTCCATGTGGGATTTGTGCTTTTAGTAATTATAGTTCATTGTGTTTACGTGTGAAATGTAAAGATGTAGCTACCGTCGGTTGTTCAAAGACATGCATGCTAGTTTACCTCACGTGGAGATAAAGTTTGTATCAGTGGAATTTGCAATATTATGTTTCAAATCGTCTTGTTGAAAACACATCTATTATTTTGGATGTCATAAACTCTTGTCAAAACATAGATTGAAGTTTGCCATATATAGCCAGCTGTTTTCGTAGCTACATAGAAATTATGAATTTTATCGAGGTGTTAACTTCGTGCTTCTGGCCTTTTTCAGAATAAGAAGGCTCTGAAGACGAGTTGAAAGCTCGACAAAATTAATAATTTAGTCCCTAGAAATCTCTATTCTAATAAATCTGCCCGGGTTACTGATGTTCAAACATATAACGTGAGTGAGCGATATATTGAGAGATCTTTTCGAATAACGAGAAAATTTGGAAATATTCTCACGCAGAGTCGCTGAAATTGGAGAAACTAAACTTCCTTCATAAATGCAAACAATCCGGCCATCAGACGCTCTAAACGTCGATCTACAAAATAAAAATCACTTTTGAAAAATCTTAGCTGTTTTACATTAAAGAGCTCTATAACATTAAAAAGCTCCATAAAATTAATAATTTAAAACCAGAGAAATCTCGACTCCACAAAACAGGCTTGTCGGGATGAAATTGTAGTTTTTGTGTATTTTCTTATTATTATCAATATATATATAAAGAGATATTTTTGTTTTGTTTTGTCCCCTTTATGGAGCTGCTATTCCACCATATTCATAAATATTTTAAAAATATCCTTCAGCAAGCAAAGAAACAGCGTTTGTGCACGCTTTGACGTCGGCGGCTGTTGCGTACTCCATCACAAAGTCTTGTTCACGTGGGAAATTTCCAGATTGCACGTGTTCGAAAAAACCAAGGCCTCAGTTTAGCAACATGCGGCGACATTGCGACGATAAAGTTGAATACGGAATTTATTTTTCTGAACTGTTCGTTGATGCACCAGATAACGATAGAAGCTAGGAGAAAATTTCGACGAAGTGGTCAAAATTTTGTCAACCTACATAACAGCAAGGCTGGAAGACAGGTATATAATTTTTGTTATTGTTTTTTTAGGGGGGGGGTTATGTGGAACTGTGGTTAGAAAAGTGTTTCTGGGAGGATTGAATTGTTAAGTGTAATTTTAAAATATGCACGCGAGGCATTAACCTAGGGTTTAAACTTTGAATAATTTTAATCATGTGATTCAAATTTAAATTTAAATAACATGTTTTTATTGGTAACTGTCAAGTAAAAACCCAATGCACACTAGATAATTCATTCAGTTGAGTAGCTACGTATCACCCACAATCAACCATTTAGGGCTTTATTACATGGATATTCTGGTTGTAGCTAATTGTACAAGTTGGTTGTATAGCGCGCTTTTAAAGTATTTCTTTCTCATTGAGAGATGTTTTGAGAAAGATTTTAAATTGAAAAGAAAATGATGATGGAACTTTCTGCATCCATGCCTAATTCGGCTGTGAAGCAATATCAAGCAGTATCACTCTTTTCCACCTGATGTCCATCATAAACCTTCGAGAATGCGTCCTAGGTCTATTATATACATTTATATTTAACAAATTATTCTGAAGAAAGAAAATTTTTTTGATTTTTGTAGCTTCTAATTCTAATTATCAAGGATTCTTTCACTGAAACTCACGCATTCCAAATTTAATTGGGTTTTTTTGTTATAACTGGGTTAAATGATAAACCATCTGCATGATTTAGGCAAGTGTGTTATTTTTTGTCTACTTATATCAATAATAATGGAGGAATTTACTTGATTGAGCACGATTAACCAGTGGGATGCAGGAAATTATGATGGAAAATGGTCATCAGTTATTGGAAGCGAGGAGATTTGTGGTTGTTATCCATGGTAACCTTGCCACCTTCAAAATTGATCTTAGCTATGCTCAGCGCTTCAATACATATAACAGCGAGAATTGTCTTTGCAACGTGGACAATTTGTAGGGTAAAGCTCAGTACAAATATTGTAGATTTCTCACAAGTTTGGAGCATGTTGTATGTGTACGTCATGTGTCTTTCATAATAAGCACTCGTTGTTTTTTTTTCACATCAATCATGATAAGATTTGATCACGCATTAAATATACTTTATTTGGTTTTGTCCAAGACAATAAGACAACTAAAAGTCTTCCTGTCTCATTATGCGGTAGTCGCGAAACTTGAATACAAAGTTTGAATATCGTGTTGTTAATTACAATGCAATTGATATATCGCTGTCCAGGTTTCCTCCGTCGTCCCTAGTCATCAATTGTTTTGCTCGTATATCAATTGTTTTGCTCCTCAAATCACCATAGTTTATTGATTGTTGTTTTTTTTGCCAAAACATGAATGCGTAAAGCAAAAGATCTTAGATAAATGGCTTGACAACTTTTTCATGAAAAAAATTTAGCTTTCAATATTATCAGACGAAGTTTATTTGATCAAAGAATCCCTCTGGTTTTTTGCAACTTTTCTAAACCCTCTGTATGTAAATAAATGATTACAGAGATCAGTTGATTTGTTGATTTTGCCTACAGTTAGCTGGGCATTGTACCACTTCGTAAGAGGTAATGTAAACAAACAGTGAAGGAGAAAATTATATATTTATTACATCTTTACATAAATAACTGCTAACAGACCTTTTATAAGCACAGCTTTCGTGTAATGATGTTGTCATATTGTGGGTGTTTCTGTTGGATAATTGAAAAGATAATATAGGATTGATTGTCGAATTTTATATAGAGTTCTAGAGATGAAAATATCATTTTACCTGATTGATAGTGTTGTTTTTCTCTTCCTGTCTACATTTTAATAGTTTATCAAATGAAATTATTTGGTATAAAAAAACGAGAAAATTTTTGTAATTTTTTATCATTATATCCATATATGTATGTATGATATTTTTTCACTTGTGTACTCTCTTGGTTATCATCATATAATAATAACTCCCTCAGAATGTACGGTTCGCATGTTGACGATCATCCTGCTGAATCAACTTCCGCTAATCACATTGGACTTTTCCATGTGTAATGCCTGAACACAGCAGATCAAGCTGAGATATATTTAAAAGCAATGTGGAAAAGGTTGACATTATTTCTTTTCTGCATTGTCATCCATGCATCATATGGTACCTATATTTTCTTCCTTTTCTACATTGTCCTCCATGTATCTTATGGTACCTATATTTTCTTCCTTTTCTACATTGTCCTCCATGTATCTTATGGTACCTATATTTTCTTCCTTTTCTACATTGTCATCCATGTATCTTGGTACCTATATTTATTCCTTCTAAACATTATTATCCGTGCATCTTCTGGTCCTTTTTGACATTATTATCCATTCATGTTGTGGTACCTATTTATTTATTTCTCAACATTATTATCCAAGCATGTTTTGTTACTTTACAAACCAAGCTTTTTTGGACATTACCATCTCGTGGGCAATGGCTTTTTATTTGACAGTTATATAAGTACAAATGTTATTTTGTTTTATGTTAATTTAAAACACCGCGGTTATTGCTTAAAATAATCGGTATGTTTAACATTTGTACACTTATCATAGTTTTATTTTTTTTTTGCCTCCTGCCAACTTCACTATGTTAAATTTCATATGAAACATATGACATTTAACGACTACTCTAAAATCTTGTTTTGATGGGGGTGTCGTTTGGCAAAAAAATGTAGTTTATGTGTTTTTGTTATCTACGATGTTGGTATTTGGCCATATTTGGAAATTTATATGTGGGAAACTTCGATTGTTTTTTGAAATATTTGTCACCTCATTAAATTGTTCTCGCATTTTCGAAAAATAATAATCAGTTTTATATTAATTATCGATTGTGTTGTATTCGTACCAGCATGCTATATACTAATGACTATTTTGTGAATCTTATCATGTATTAAAGCTTAATTAAGACTTGAAGGGCAACCTTTCTTATGCATGAAGAGTTAGGGACTGGGGTGGTCAAAGTCAATGCACAACTTTGATTTTTGTTATGATCTTTGTCGTCACCAGGCTCTTATGGCGTCGTTAATAACACGATGTCGTTGCTACGGTGTGTCACAAGGATGCGCCATGCGGTCGTGCTGGAAGGTTCTACCGAAAATTGAAGACGTTGGCAAGATATTAAAGATGAAATATGAGAAATCCGTGGAGGTCATCTATGCCAGAAAGAAGAAAAAACTAAAAAGAAAGGCCAACCGAAAAATTCCCCTGAAAGTCTCTGATCTTGTTTATATGAAACGATCCCCTAACTACTGCCAATCAAATCCCGGTATTGGTATTTCGGGTACGTCTGGTAGAGTATGTGATAGAAATGACACAAACTCTATGAATAGCTGTTCTATCTTGTGTTGTGGACATGGCTATAACACACAAATTGTCCGCGAGAAGAAATTTTGCAACTGCAGCTTTCACTGGTGTTGTCGTGTGAAATGTGAAACGTGTGAAGTTGTGTTCGATAGATACATTTGTAAATAGTACCACAGGATACAATAGGGTACATGGAACTACAAGTAAATGATTATTTTCGTCAATTCTTGTAAAACACAAAAGCATTGAAAGTAGTATTTGTAATATTCGATCCATGGCTTCGAGGTTTTTATTGAAATTTTTTTATTCATATGTATAAAGTAAAGTTTGAATATTTCAAAATAAAATAGTATGAAAAAATTTAGTATGTATTATTGTGAAATAGTTCTTGATGCCTACAATGCAGTTATGCAAATTTAATGCTTCACAAAATGTAGATTGCAAGTTTTTTTTACATACTCACAAGAGTTTTCGTCACTGTCATCTTCAAATATTGCCTTCCGCGTTCTTCGGTCAAAACTTCATATTGGATCTGCGATCTCATTGGCCGATTGTCTAAACAATACGTGATGCCATCTTGCAGTCGTGTCTGTACTAGAATAAAATTGCTTAAAAAAATTGCTATGCAATTTATAGGGCACGCAACTTGAAAAGTCTGTTAAATGCATCGTAACGTTTAATTTTTTACATTTTGCGAACACAGCATGCATAATAAACAACGTATAACATAAAATATTTATACTTTTCAATTTACTAGTGAGTAATGACATAAATTGAATGCTATAACAATTTAATTTGAAATCATACGAATGATGTACAACTGTTCTTTTCCGTTTTTATTTGAGGGGGTCTTGTTTAGCTAAGTTAGAAGTTGAGTATTTTGTTCTTCAATATCCTATTTTGTTTGAAATTTTTCATGAACAGATGTTCTTAAGTTACCATGCAAATATATATTTGTCCTTTAGATGTTAATAATTTTTTGCTGTAATAATATATAATGGAGTTCTTTTCATAGCAAGTCTCTTTCTACGAATCACCAACATGAAAGTCCATGTGAATTAAAATGGTAGCTCAAAAATTAATTTGGGAAGCGAAATTTTATGAAATTATTGTCTTCAAAGTGTGGTTATCATTGTTGTTTGTGGTGGCTGAAATTAAGGAATTTCATTTTATGAACCAAGAAACTGAATTTTCAAGCAATTTAAAACCAAAATTTTTACAAATAATGCTTGTCTATTTCAATATTATCATTCAATAATGTTTGATAGCAGTTGTATGAGCCATGCATATACAATATTTCGTTGAACAGTCTGACAATAGCTGTCTGATATTATCATAATTTGATAAAATGTTTAATATGAATAATTCTGGCTATACAGTCTATAATCAACAATTATTGGACGATGTTCAGCATGATAGAATCATTCAGACTGAGGTCAATGTTATTTTCGAAAGCTAAGCTTGGACAGAAACGTCTACCGCGGTCTTATTTATTTTTGTCGGTGTCCTCACCATATGTCTTAAAACATCTGTGCATATATATAATGCTATTTCCCCGCTTTGTCCTTCAATATATGTCAATATATTTTGTCAACCATTTTTTTCAAGTGGCAGATGGAAGTGCCTTTTCTCATTTATATGCTTTTACTTGCTATACTTTGCTGTCAGTCTTAACAGCTCGTTCTATCCCTTTAAAAAGTCGTTTTCAAAGAAAAACGAAGTGTACAAGTCAATCATTGGTGAGAACTTCCTACAAAAAACAAACTCCACTGACATCACTGGTAAATGTGTTTTTCATTTCTTTTATGTGTTTAAGTTTATATTATAAATAAGACTATAGGTTTTGTCCATTACATATAAAGCTTTACATGAAAGATTAGATGTGTTGCCAAATAGTATATGATTTTTTAGTTGGACCAGTTGTAAGTATACAGTTTCCTAATTTGAGCCTTTTTTACGATGTATGTTGTTAGATATAATTAAAATAACGCCTTACTTTGCAGTATCTCTTGAGACATATTTTGACATACAAGAAATACTCAATTTGCAACCTATTTTTCGTCATTTTTTGATTCTATCTTAGCTATAAAAACAGAGAAATGAATGTATACTCTACACAAAAGTTTTGTTTGAATACACACAACACAACATAAAACGTCTTTTTTCAGGCATTCGATAATCGTTTTAGAAACTTATTTTGTCTTTTCCTTTTGTTTTTGTTTTATATAAGAACCAGTTGCTAGCCAAGTAGCTGTAGATGAACGTTTTCAATATTTAGTTTTGTTTACTTGCAGTGCAAATTATTTACTCATATTTTATTGCTGATTTGAAGATATCAAAGAAGGCAGAACACTTGCAAAATGAGACTGCTGACTCTTGCCATATGTTTCGTGATAATATTTTGTATTATTAGCGTCGTGGAAAATGATGGTAAGTTAGTGACAGAGAGAAAATGAAAGTTTGTGTGACATTATTGATGTTTTCGTTAAATGTATGAATTGCAAGGAAAAACTGAACTGCATGACTATCTACTATGAAGCGGACATGTTTATCCAGAGGCATAATTCAGGGAGGGGGCTCGAAAGTTTACTCAATCTTAAGTCTTTATAGTTACGCTCTTATGTTCATCCGATGCAACATGACACGTGATCGATGATCTCAATTGATTTTAACAAAAGATGTTTGTGAACTTAACTTGACGAAGAACGTTTGCTAAAAAACGTCAAATTTACGACGATCCAACATTTAGACTACAGATTTACCCCAAACTAAACTTACAGATCGCCTGTTTACCATAGTTCCTTCAATTTTCACATGCAACACAATTATATTCCACTCACTCTTAACACAACGCTGTACTTCACTTACGGCTAACAAACACTGCCATATTCCTCACTAGTCACACAAATTACAAATTTCTATCCTTTAATTGTTACACAATGTCCGACGAACACTTTTCATTTGTCATTGCACGGTTTTTGTCTATATGTAGCTGCACATCTTGCATACAGCTTGTATTTGTTTATCCAGGCTGTATTGATTGCTGCGAGGCCAAAACTTTGTTCTGTCGAAGTAAAAACATAAATTCTTTGCGTGATATTTTGAACATGACAAAGGGCTCGTTTTGTCAGAATGGAACAATAGAACGGTTAGTATTATTACAAGAAATATGTAATGACGTGTTTATTGATATATACGGACAGATAGATACCTATGCAAGCATAAATATCACATTGTTTAATGGGCAATTTCTCAATCATTGAACTTAAATTGATGTTGTGCTGCATGAAAAAATCATGTATGACTATGTAATATTATTGACTTCCATAAGTTTTTTTGAGGAACTTGGAATTGAAATGCTTTTTGTTTTTCCAAAATAGCACTATTTCATTGTTGTATATTATGTACGTTAAAAATTTTCAAGGTATAGCTACATATAAGCGCGTTAAGAGTGTTAGTTGGTCGTTAAAAAAAGATGAAAAATAATTCTTAAAGAAACATGAGTTATGCTTGTGGGTGCTTCCTTTTAATAATGCAATGGTTATGTTTAGTTCACCGCTACTAATTCCCATGCACGTACGAACGACATCATTTTCGAACCTAAATAATACAGAGCAGCAACCATGCGTATGGACGTCACTTTCGTTATTTCGTGGATTTTTAGATTGGTAGCTGACGGAAATAACATAACCCTCTCCGATGAGGATGTTGAAATTCTAAAGAAAAACTTCAGCAAATTAAAGTATTTGTAAGTGAAACTTCTATACAATCTTCTGTGCGTACGAGCCTCGATTCTATGATTGACTTTTCTCTTGGAAGTTTGATAAGTTGGTTTAAATAAATGTTACTTATGTTTTATTTCTTCTGTTTGTTTCTTGGCAGAACTTCTTGTAAATGCATGGTTGCATGTGAACATGTTATAGAAGATCAAACTTGAGTTCTATGATTGCTCTGAATAAAAGTATAGGGTTAAGAATTTCTATGAAATGAACATTTCTGCCAATTTCATGACTTTCCTGTGGTTTCAGTAAACGCATTTTTGCGTAGTAAAATTCATTAAAGAAACAGTGAGAATAATTGTCGCACGTGACAGTCAACAAAAGTATTACATTTTTGACTATTTTTTGGAATTAACCTTTTACAAAATCGACATGTTTCTCAATAAATAATTTTGTAGCATGGCGATTATTCTTGTTAAGTTTCTACAAAAGATTTTCTACATGTTTTATGTAGGGATCTACGAAGTAATAAGATCAAGATACTGCCAGAGTTGGAAAGTGATCATCTTATAGAGATGTATGAATATCTAAACATGCGTTCATCTCACCCCACCCTAACCACCCAACCTCACCCCACCCCATCTTACACCACACTCACCCCACACCACCCCGAAATTACCAGCTAAGTATGTCTGCGCCTAAATGCTTATCGTTCGCTTTGTGTAATCAGCTACAAGCACGAAAAACTACAAGCTTTTTATCGGATTTTTTAAAAACACTATGACATCGCTTAAAAATTCAGGCCTAACGATTGTATTTAATTTGTTGGACGTTATGCCTGTGATGTCAAACTATTCAAATTTCAGTGATGAGAAGAGACAATTTTTTTTGTTGATCACAGGCAACTGGGGAAAAACGAAATAAGTGACATTTACTTGAATTTGGATAAGTTACCAAATTTGACAATTCTGTAAGTGTGAAGTCAATCTGCATGTCTACTTTGAACGTGTTCAAATACTGAAAATACCTACTTTTATACGGACGTTTAAATTTTTTATGCGAATATAGAAATTTGAAGGAAAACAAATTGAAAAATTTTACAAAGAATCTCGGTAAATTAAAAGCTCTGTAAGTATTACATGACGTACGCATTGACAGTTTATCTAATGGTTGATGGCTCTACGTTGCCAGTGTAAAAAAAATCACTCATAATAAAGAACATGCCTTCATTCTGTTTAATAGCATATTTATAGTCACAGTATCTTCATTTACAAATGCAATCTATCTTTTTGTTTATTTTCGTGTAGTATCCTGGCTGGTAACAAAAAATTATCCTTTATAAATTTTTCATCAAACAACTCACTGGAAATATTGTAAGTTCTTTCAAAACAAACCGCGATTTATGATCTATTTTATCATGTGACGGGATGGTACAGTCAGTAATGATTATGCAGTAGATAGTTTTCACTTAATTCCCTGGGATTGAACATAACAATGACGGAAGCTGCCATATTGATGTACCAAGCAAAAGGACTTCATCAAAATTCTTTTCAATTGGTACACCAACATTGCGGAAATGACGTCAGGTGTAAACGCTCTGCAGTATTGAAGTTGAAAGTGCAAAGAACTAACTGAGTTTAAGTTTTATCAATATGAAAAGCGATAAAACAAACCAAGGTCAAAAGAATTGGAGCGATTGTTTCGGTAAAAAAAAAAAATACTGACACGCAATGTATTAACTTGTTTAAAATTGGCATTGCATATTACAAAACTTCTGAGATCATAAAAACTGTAACCCTTGATTTGCTATTGCATTCCTTAGAGAGATATAAGCAGTATTGACTTTTTAAGAGTCTTTTAAAACTATATTTAAACTATAATATGACTAAATTAAGTCGAAACGTTGAATTAAAATGTTTAAACTATATGAAAGTATGATCACAAGTGTATAAATACTTGTATAGGTGAAATATCTTTTGTAAGAAGTTTTGAAACCCGCATTACGTTTAGGCATGAATCATAGTAAAGCTTTAATTGAGTGCATGGTCTTTGAAAGAATACATGCTATGCATTTTCCTGCGCAATTAAAATAGAGCCTGATCTTTGGTACATTTTATCTCGTCTCTTCGTAGTCGCATTTTCCTTTAGTTTATTTTTATCTTATGATCAGGTTGGTTGGGGATACCGATCTAAAGGACGTCAAATGGGAAAAGCTGGTTCAGTTGCCAAAGCTTCAAGGACTGTAAGTTTTCATCCTTATGTATTTATGTAGTTATTAAATCCAATGTATAAAATGTAAATTAACATGCATGCACGAGGAATTTTGAGAAAGTTTAAAAGCAACTGAAATAAACTTAATTCATTGTATGTACATCATTCTGTTCGATCGACAATCTTGTGTAAAGTTGTTTTCAATCTAGAATTTTAGATAGGGCCGTAGTTGTCATATCAAGCGATGTTATATGCTTGTTCATGAATATACGTCGAGAATGGTTATAGTTTTATAGTATATATAGAATGTTTGTGTTTTTACAGTAATGTTCGAGATTTGCAAATGGACAGTCCGATTAAATATTTGGATCCCAAAATCTTCCACGAACACGAAAGTTTACAATTCTTGTGAGTTCATTTTTCTCATTCCTGTTTGAAATTAAGTTTATTCTTAAATCGAACTGTTGAATGAATTTATTTAACTTATTATAGCAGTTTTCCTTTTTTTCTCTTATTCAAGAGAAGTAATTTACGACTGTCGTTTCAATTAGATTTACCAGTGCCCGCGCAGATTGCTGTAACGTGAAACGTATGGAAGAGGCCAAAGGCAAAAATAAACGAGAGTGGTATTGTTCTTTTAAAAACAAAACAGACGATGATATTAAGGAAAGTTGTGGTAAGCTTTGTTCATGCAGATTGCAGTTCATGTAATTATGACTTCAGTCATGCAAAGTATAAAACAGTTTTTAAATCAGTGAGCTCAATTTATGTAATTGGATGTTGTCAGCGTCAATGTTAATCTGTTTTTCTAAGAATAATTTCTTTCTTTCCATCATATTTCTTTCTTCGTATAAATTACTGAGAAATTCCACCGCGACATCTTGCTTTGAGGCAGAAAATAATTTTAATGTGAAAAAGATGGGTAGTTAAGTAGCTAAGGAAGTACTATGTCAGAAAAACTTTCCATACACAAAGTTGCAGAAGTAAAACTTGAACTTTCTGTGATTTAAAGAACTTAGAGATTTTCTGATCTTACTCAGGACCGTAGCTAGAACGTTAATTAGGGGGGTGCTTATTTATATATTCAGTTGACGCGAGTAATTTATTTAGAAAGCCAACTCACTTCAAAAGAAATCAGCACAAATGTAGCTATACATGAATAACCCCTCCCTCCCCAAATTAATTTTATAGTTGGAGTCAAGGTCTAACTTGACCCTATTTATTTTTGTCTTATAATCTATTTTTTTTGTTGACTATCTCGATAAAAGTTTGTTTCAATCACCAGCGGTTTTATTTTATATTATTTTTCAAAGAAAACAAATGACGTTTCGTCATATATGACTCAAGACATCTTCAGACTAATTACATGGAGATTATTATGCTAATATAGCATGTATTTAGTTCTATTTTTTCTTTGCTATATGATAACATACCAATTCATGTAAAGAGTAAAATACAAAAGCAAGACTTCAAGTTAGGGTTTGAGCTTTCGACATTGTTATCATTATGCCTTTGTCATCATTGAGTAATGTAAAATCTCATAGTTTTCTGTAACAACACTATCTTTTATATAACAACTGAGTTCCCCTTCTCAATCTGTTTCCTCGTGCTATTTATGAAGTATACTGCAAAATCACTAAATAGGTATCAGACTTCGTTCTACAACTTCAGAAGACACAAGCATTGGACGGGTTGAAGTAAACTTTCATGTGGACATTGGATGGCAGAAATTAAATTCCTCTAGATGGACAATGCAGGATGCTCATGTCGTTTGCCGGGAGATGGGTTTCAAAAGAGCATTGGAATATATAGATAAAAATGACTATAAAAGAAGAAGAGACTTACGTAAAGACTACAATCATGAACTTGTATTTCCCGACGATACGAAGAATAATAATGCGTTCATGTGGGATAAAAATTGTAATGGTACCGAATACTCAATACACCGATGTCCAAGTAGATCAGTAAATAATAATGATGATAAATATGGTGCATATGGTGTTGGTGTAAGATGTCAAGATTCAAGTAAGTTACATAATATCTTAAGTAAGGTATGATATACTATTCCGGCCTATTTGTTTATAAATTCTATACGTAACGGAATAAAGTAGCTTGCATTCGTGTGAGGAATAAATATTATACGGACAGTCATAAATATAAACCTTTTTTACTTTTACTTGGTCGAAAGAAATCGATATTTTTTCTTTCTGCATGCATCCTGTTACATTTGTCTTATTTTGAAAATATTTTTGATGTGCTATAGGTAAGACAATGAAACAGATGTGTGGTGCTAGTTCACCATCGAAAATCATTGACTGTGATGGAGATAGTAAAAAAAAACTGTACCACAAGATGAAAATGACACTACAACTGAAACGTACGAATCCATATTCACTCATATATTTATAGATTTAATGTATATTTAGTTTGGATGTATTTTGACTTAAATCGCTAATTTCTGTTTGTAGTATCACTCTGAGTAACAATAGAATTATTTGGATCCAAGACACCTCGCTCAAGCTCTTTCAAAATCTGAAAATATTGTTTGTATTTTTCATTTTTTTCTTTTTTTTTGCGCTCATCGTAGAATACTTATGCAAAAATAATCAAAGTTATATGTTTTCTAACGTATTTGTATCAATGGCTGAGGTTTTTAACTTTTAATGAATTGATGAAGCATTTTCTGAATTTTCCAGAGATTTATCCAATAACGGCTTGTCATGGCTATCCGATGGAGTTTTTCAGATAGATAGTTTGAAAGTTCTGTGAGTTGTTCATCTTTATCATCATTGCATGAATAATATAGAGCTAAGCACAGAATCTTTATATGGTATGAAAGGATTTAGATTAATGAATTTCTGCTTATTTTATATAGACACCAGTCTACGACATTTATATTATATTTAACAATACATGCTCTTTTTAGAAATTTGAAAGGCAACAAACTGCAAAAAGCAGTTGCCATTATAACGTAAGTGGTTAAAAAAGACAATTAAATTCAGGGACAAACTTTCAAGATAACTATTACTTGCAGGGAAAGAAAATTGAAAAACGTTCGATGGTTTTTTGGTTTGAATAACTTGGAAAGCTTGTACGTAGAAATGATTTTTTTATAACTTTTGCTCGATCGAAAATAATTAGATTGAAATCCTGACTATGAACTTGACTGACTGATGTTAAATTTTTAGGGATATTTCCTCAAATTCTTTGTCGGAATTACCTGAGTTTGTTTTTCAACCTCTCGGAAATTTGCTCAATTTGTAAGTTATACTCATAACCTGAAGTATCAGACAGTTAAAGCAAAAAAAGGTCCATTTTATAGCTCAATTCATATATCTATTCATAGGAGCATGCAACTCAATGCCTTCAGCGAATTTAAACATGACAATATTTTCGATCCTCTTGTAAATCTAAATTATCTGTAAGTATGCTGCAAAGTATTGACTTATTAGTTACTGTACATAAAATATATTATTTGCATAGCAATACATGCTTTAAGATGACTGTAGAAGCAAGACTGTATGAGTTACTAGATCATTTTTAGTACACAGTACAAAGACCTGAAAATATTGTATCAAAATAATACGTAACTATATCTCCATATTTTTTTTTATATGTGACTTTCTTTTATAGAGACATCTCAGGAATGGAAAGTCTCAATCAAATCAATAGGTTATGGTTCAGACTAATGCGAAATCTCGTAAATCTCAAACACTTGTAAGTACTATGAAGCCTTTGCATGAAGTCCTTATCCAATATGGCGAGTCGGATATTTTGAATTGGTTTTCTAAAAACAAATGAAGGCAATATTATTCATTAAGTATTTCGAATATTCACTGTATGAAATGAAACCAAAGTCCAAGAACATAACTATTTATATGTATGAACCAAAGGGCTAAAGAAAAATCATTTTGTTAAAACTTGTTAGATTCTTTACTTATGTTGAAGAATTAAAAAGTCGAAACATGTCGGTGCTTAATAAGCATTAATTAAAAGTAATAAAATCTTTTTTCATGAAGAAAATATTTTTTCATACGGTCCGAATGGAAAAAAATATTTTTACGAAGTTTCAAAAGCAGTCCTAGGCAGAATTTGAATTTCACTTTGTAAACAAATACATTGGGAAAAAATATCACTTTTGGAACAAGGTCAAGTTATCGTAAAAAGCTGCCCGCTGCTGCAGCCAATCAGATTCCAGGAAATTAAAAAATATCATCAGGCACGCATAAATATAAATATGAATATATATGTTCAGTTATCATTGCTTTTAGTTTATCTTTGAACGTCGGTTAACTTATTTTACTATCAACATATTTTTTATTTAGAAAAACAAATGTATTTACTGATTGCTGTTTCGTCAATGCTTATAAACCTGACGTCGATTGCATAGCACCGTCGGACACCATTGCCAGCTGTGAACGAATGATTAAATATGCTGCACTGCGTTATCTCATGTGGTTCTTGGTTGTTCTAACCATTGGTGGGAATGTCTTCGCTCTGTTGCTAAGACTGGTAAAAGATGATTGCAGTCGAGTACAGAACTTGTTTATATGCAGTCTCAGTTTTAGTGACATGCTCATGGGTGTCTATTTAATTGGAATCATAAACCAAGAAATCGCGACTGAAGGAGAATATTACAAGCATGATTATCCCTGGCGAACTGGAACTCCGTGTAAAGTGTTTGGCATAATATCTGTCATATCCAGCGAGGTATGAATAAAAAAATACAAATTGTTGCAATTTATTATTGCGTATATTATGTACATAATCTTGTCTACGATGGAACTTTTTCTGATAAATGAAAGCACCACATGATACGTCAACATTTGCACATCGAAAATTAACAATTGTGTACATGCAGAAAACTGCACGAAACGTGACGTTTTCATAGCATCTCAACCAGTAATTTCAAAAACGACCAGCAATTGTGTTGCACGACACGAGACTTTAACTACCCAGCAATCGAATTGCATCTGACAAAAATTAAAATTTTCTGGAAAAAAAAACGTAAATAAATTTAATCAGCTGCGCACAATCATTACATTGACTCTGTGTTTCGGTAAGTGCAAAGGTATTTAAATTTTTTATAATATTTAAAGAAAAAAGTATCTTAAATAACAGTGAAATAAAGGATGGGAGGTAAAATTTGTTCATAAAATTTGTTTGATCAAGTGTATCATGAAAATACTCGATCTTTTACAGGTATCTGTGTTTACTCTGGTATACATTGCATACGACCGTTTCTTGCACATAGCTCATGCGATGGAGTTTCGAAAGATCGGCTATCGTTCGGCGCTGTTCTTACTTTTGGCAACATGGCTTGTCTGCTCTGCTATCGCCATTGTCCCAGCCACCGTGAAAACGTATTTCGTTGATGACGTCCGAAGAGTTGGATTCTACGGGACTAACAGCATCTGTATGCCCCTTCAGTTACCTGGAGACGACACAATCGCATGGGAATACTGCCTAACTATATTCGGAATACTGAATTTTATTGGTGCTGCCTATCTTATTATCGCCTATATTCAAATGTTTTACTCGTCATACAGTAGTGCAAAAGACGCCAACAATAGCAGCCGTCTCGGAGCTCATACTACCATGGCAAAGCGTTTTGCTGCAGTTGTTTTTACGGATGTGTGTTGCTGGGTCCCCATTGCTATGTTGTTGTTCTTGTCTCTTGCTAGGGCTATTAACGACACGGGCAACACTTTGTATTTGTGGTTTTCAATCTGCGTGATTCCGATCAACTCAGCCATCAACCCGATCTTATACACACTCAGCACACCAATGTTTTGGCAGAAAGTTAAGGATGTCATCAAGAAATTCATATTCAGCGTTTCAAAAAGTAAGAAACTATTTTGTTCAAATATCTTAGAAACCTCAGTCTCTAAAAATATATATTGTGCCTCGATGTTATTAAAGAGAAAACTAATTATCGATATGCTTTCACTTTTCTCTCACACCTGCTGGGAAAATCATGGAAAAAAAACGTTCTTTCCCTATGGAAACACGCCTTTCATTCGGGCAACGATTGCTCACAGCTTATTGTAATGAACATTGAGCTCTTATATATTCATACTGCATTAAACAACAAACGCGCTCACCTTTTAAAAATAACTTTATCTTTACGTAGGTCGTATGAGTGGCATTGACGATGAACACGTGTATGATCGTGCAAAGAAGTCTTAAATTTCCAGTTTGATAATTAACTTTGTGGCTGTTAGAAACTTGTAGAACTACTGAGTATGACGTAATTATTGATCAAGTTCCTTTGCACTTAATAATGTTAAAGTGTGTAGTATTTATCAAAATGCAGCATGTAAATTCTTTTGGATGTTCATAAGGATAAATTTTAGTTTGTCATGGTATGAAAAAACCTAATTTCAATGCACATTGTAGAAAAACATAATTTGGTGCACATTGTATAATGCATAAGTAAAAATACGCAATTAATTGTTTGTTTGTTTGTACTTAACATTAAAAATTATCATTAGAAAAGTAGAGTATAATTCAATTAAAGTTCTCGTGGTTACACTGGTATCTTTGTTTTAGCCTTTGAAACCGTCAATTGACAAGAATAAAGCATTTTAGCAATGAGATAAGACGAAATTTGCCGAACGAAAGATTTCACAGGAGTCATTCTCAATGAATCGCTGCTATATACTCCCTGATTTTGTATATTAGATTTCGCCTCATATTTTTCTCACAGATGCGAGGGCATCAGTCACCATTATCTATGTAAACTAGAAAATAACTAGAGTAAGATATTCATTCATAATTACATTCATAATTACTATTCATTTATTCATAAGACAAAAATTACTTTCGTGAAGAAAATATACATGCCTTTTTTATTGCATTTTTTGCATCATTTGACAAAATTTCAGGACACTTTTTTGGCCAGTGCTCCTGGCCCAGTCCTTGCCACCAGCCCGATAGATTTTGTTGCCCACTCTGAAGCGCATGCGCTCTTGATTGTAGTCAGTGGTGTCAATTGGTAAAGTGTCTACCATTGGTGAAAGTAACGTATTTTAAACGTTTGATGGATGGAGAGCAATAATTTTTTTGTCTTTGGGTATGCCTAGTAAGAATGGAGGTACAAACTGATGCAAACGTGGAAGATGTTGATAGGAAAAGTCTTGTTAAAGAAATCGAGCAGATTCAACTGGCTCTAGGGTCTCAAACGAACGGAGCAGAATCAGAAACCATCAGAACGTACAGAGCCATAAACGTCGACATAGATGGGGATGACTCTGACGATGAGCTGGGTGAGTAGCTGGTGATAGTCTAATACTTATTGTTGTAGAATGCATGATACGTCAGGAAGTTTAATACTAAACTAGTTTAATACTAAATCTTGCAGCCAGAAATTTTGTTTTAACTACGCAGCTCAGCTCCGGCTGCAGCAAAACAAACAAAATACAACAAAACTCTGGCTTCACTGTACAGCACGATAATTTTCATTTGCTGCCATGGTTGAATGCTAAATCATGTGAAACATATCTGACAAGGCATTTGGCAAAATAAGTTGCACAAATTATTGTTAGATTTATTTAAGAAAATGATGCAATCCATGTAATGAATTTTCCTTTTATTTTTAAGTTATTATAAAATCGCCAGAGTACCACTCAACAAGCGATAATGAAAGATTTGTTATGAAGGTAATGAACATTCATATTGCAATATTGCACCTGACAAATTTACAAGAATTGCTTGTAAATTATGAAACTCTGTTTGAAGAAGTTTGTGAATTTTTACCATTAGAAATCATTTGTTTTAGTCAATTTTTTCTTTATATGTTTAGCATGTTCCTTTTGAAGTCATATCATCTGAGAGTGATGATGAAAGTCAGAGAATTGCTGATGTTCAACATTCTTACTGCAGCAATCCTCTCAATATTGAACCTGAATCATCTCTTGAATTGAATGCAGATGATGCTTATAATTCAGTGAATCAACATCAAATTTAGAGCAACGATGTAGATTTAGAAATTATGGTAGACAATCCACTGAACACCAGTCAAACTGAGCTTACTGACCATGGCTCATTGCAATTGGAAAATAACACCGATGGCAAAACTGAGAACTATTGTTTAACTGAACTTCAACCAGCTACTAATGAATCTTTACAAAATATCATTCCAACAAGTGTGGATGAAAACTTGAAATCTTACTCTACCATGTGTACAGATCCTGAGGCATTGTCTAATGATAACGAAGAGGTCTTGCTCAGTGATGAAGATGAACAATCTATTGATCAGAAACAATGCCTGAAGCTGAACAGGCAGTATCAAGTACATAGAAAAATTGCATAAAATTTGCAACGTTGCATCATAGTTCTTATTACATTTTTTCTTTACATTAAAGAGCATGTATTGATAATTTTTAGTTTAGCCATTTTTTTCTCAAATAATATCTAACACATTGTTATAGGCTGAAAAATTGCATACAATTTATTTCAGGCAGTAATTAAAGCTCAACTGAGAAAGATTGAAAGACTGATTACTGAGAACAAAGAAAAACAAGTAAGTATTTTTTTAAACTTTTCAACCAGCAACCAGTACCAGGACAAAGGGCAGTCAAGGGCCTAGCCAGGAGAGCAAGTAACCCCACCATATTTTATCTTATGGCAATTTCAAATTGACAGCTATAAGTTGCTTTTTCAGCACACTCTTTGTGACTTATATGGTGTGATAAGTTCAAAATTTTGAAATCAAATTTTTGCACAGTTACTTGTGGTTTAATGTTCTTTTTCATGCATCAATAGCAAAAGATTGTTTTGCTCAACTTTTCAATTTTTGTTTATAAATGAAGAAAATGTCAAAATTTTGAGTGGTGTTGATGGCCTATAGGATCATTGAGCTGCCAGTCTGTTTACATTAGCAATTTCTCTAGCAAGGATTAAGTTAAACAATTTTGATGCATTGAAAAAAGTCTCTACTTCAACCATTACTATGATGTACACGTGATCTTTCTCAATCATGTCAAACCTTGTGGTGATAATGTAAAAAGCTTTTTGCTAGTGGCAATATATAGTGCATACACACTAGTAAATATAGACATGTAGACGTGGGTAAATATGTTGGAAAAAATTTATTTTTTGTCTTGCAGCATGTGAAGCAATTGATTGCAGAGCGGCATAAAATTTTTCTATTGATTTAATTGAATTTTTTTTCTTCAGCTTGGATTAACTCAAACATCCCCTGCTATGGCTAAAAATGCAGAGAATTTGGATTTCAAAGGCTTGCAGTCTTTCTTGCCATATTTTAAATCACACGGGAATAAGGTGGAAACTGTTTGTTGTGACATATTTCATGATTTGTGATAAGAAATTGTATAAGTAAAGCATTTCAATATACCTTGCCACTCTGTGACAAAACTTTCAGATTAAAGAAAATATCTAGGAATAATCATTATGACTGTTGAGAATTTCACCTATTCTAAAATTTTTATATGCATCGACTTGTTTTAGCTGCTGAAAAAAATGCTTTCCTCGCAGCACTGTGATAATAGATGACCTGCCTTGTTTACGTTTTGCTGGCAGGCAAATTAATCCCAAGAGAGGATAATCATTGTTGCTAGTGTTCTCGAAAAGCACTTGATCAAATCTGCCTGTCAGCAAAATGTAAACAAGGGAAGTCATGTATTGAAGAGATAATTTCAGAAGCAATAGTAGTCAGAAGAAGCAACGATACCCAAAACAACAAACAAGAAGTCTGTATTGTAAAAATAACACGCTAAAAGTCTGTGTTGTAAAATGTGGTTACTTATTTCAAACTATTTAATAAATTTGGTTAGGGTCCTGAAGACAATGAAGATACAGTATTGCGAAAAAGTATTGACCAACCGAGTCCTTTTGAGCTTCCACCACGACCATGTAAGCGTGCATGATTTTTGTTAGTTTAGACAAAGGTTTGCTTATTTGATTTTTTGATTTAAGAAGAAGCTTCAACCTTTGATAGCTCATTAGAAGCAGTTATACATGTGTAGTGTAGAAACCAAATCTGAACTATACGAGTAGCTGCTGTGGAACTCTTCCATTGTAGCGAATACTTATTCAGGATAAATACTTCAACTGAAAGCTCTTATCAACGTTTTCTGATATAACTAAATATACAAGTAAAATATATATTTGAAATTAATTTCAGTAAAAATTACTGCAATAAATAGAAAATAAAAAATTTTGAATAAAAATTATTACAATAAAAAAACGTCTATAAAGTCTTTAACTAATTAAATTGAGAGAAAATACTGAGTGATCTTATTTTCAAAGATCTGATAGCTCTCAATCTTTCGTAGTTCTAGTTGTAAATCCTTTTATATCTTAGCTCCCATAAAATAAAAAGCTTCAAGAGCATATTCTAGTTTAATAACAGGAATCTTAAATATATTTTTACTGTTTCTCGTTTCTTTTTTGTGTGTTGCTAAAGTGTAAAATAGGATTTGAAGTGATTACATTTTAATGCATTACGTACCTCTTTACTTGTTAGCATATACAGCAGATAAGAGTTGTTTTTATCATCCTGTTCTCCTTTGAAAAAAATTGACAAACATCTTTTTTCTGAGCTCTGTTGAGATGTAATTGTTATTTGCTAAAATATGTAAAATAAGTATGGTTAAGTCAAGATGGTCTCTTATCTTGAACAAGAGCTTCAACCGTCCAAATGCATTCTTGAAACACTTTTAAAATAGAGAACTCAAACTAAGAGATCCATTCACGTTTTATTCCATTAATGCTATTTTACTGAGCTGACAGGAGACAGCTAAAAATATGTTTTTTCTAAAGTTTTACGTATTTGTTATATTTTACATTTTGCACCTCCCCGCTAAGCTCATTAACATATATTTTTCTTCTGTTCTAGGGTCAATAGAAGAAGAGAAGACTCTTTCAGATGCAGTGAAATCAGACGTACTGCAGTCTAAGATAAAGCCATTGTTACAAAAGTAAGTTGGCATTGTGGAGACGTAAAATAATGATGATTTCGTTCGTAACATGTTACATCTTTTCTGATTCAAACATATCTAGTGTTGTAATAATTTGCCTGCTCTTCAATTTCAAACACAAATAGTTGTAATTCTTAAGGGTTTGATTGTTGTTTGAAACTTTGTAGACGTTAATAATTGTTGTATGTTTGCATTTATGTAGTTTTTGATGTAATAAATTGTCCTGTATTGATTATCTCAGTTCAAAGTATAGTGGGTGATGATTTTGAAATAGTATATGATATGTATATGATTTGTTTTCGAACTGTGTCGGGTACTAATTTTATGGTAAATATTGTCGTTTTACTACTAAAACATCTCAGAGTCTTATAAATACCGAACAAAAACTCGTGGCTAGCTTGCAGATTATGTTAAGCTTGACAATGTTGCCTTTCCAGAGTTGAAGCTCTTACTCCAAAACCAAGAAAAATGCCTGAGGAAGAAAAAGAACTCGAAGAATTAAATATGGCAATAGATCGTCTTAAGTATGTTTGACTTGGTTCGTGTTAAATGTTTTGTGATTATTTATATACCATTATTTGACCTGTCTAAATGTTACATACATACTGATTATTAAAATACCATCATTTCACCTGTCTGAATATTAAATGCATGGTGATTATTAAAATACCATTATTTCATCTGTGAACATGTTAAATACATGGTGATTGTTAAAATACCATTATTTCTAATAAATATGTCTGGACTGTGGATATTGGAGTCACCATTGCACTTTGGTGATAGCCGGGAGGGCGCATTGTTTATACACTTTATATATATATATATATATATATATAAAGATTTTTATTATCCCTGAAGAGTGAGAAATCACAAAACAGGCTTGTCGGGATGAAATTGTAGTTGTGTATTTTCTGATTATTATCAATATATATATAAAGAGATATTTTTGTTTTGTTTTGTCCCCTTTATGGAGCTGCTATTCCACCATATTTATAAATATTTTAAAAATATCCTTCAGCAAGCAAAGAAACAGCGTTTGTGCACGCTTTGACGTCGGCGGCTGTTGCGTACTCTATCACGAAGTCTTGTTCACGTGGAAAATTTCCAGATTGCACGTGTTCGAAAAAACCAAGGCCTCAGTTTAGCAACATGCGGCGACATTGCGACGATAAAGTTGAATACGGAATTTATTTTTCTGAACTGTTCGTTGATGCACCAGATAACGATAGAGAAGCTAGGAGAAAATTTCGACGAAGTGGTCAAAATTTTGTCAATCTACATAACAGCAAGGCTGGAAGACAGGTATATAATTTTTGTTATTGTTTTTTGGGGGGTATGTGGAACTGTGGTTAGAAAAGTGTTTCTGGAAGGATTGATTTGTTAAGTGTAATTTTAAAATATGCACGCGAGGCATTAACTTAGGGTTTAAACTTTGAATAATTTTAATCATGTGATTCAAATTTAAATTTAAACAACATATTTTTATTGATAACTGTCAAGTAAAAACCCAATGCACACTAGATAATTCATTCAGTTGAGTAGCTACGTATCACCCACAATCAACCATTTTGGGCTTTATTACATTGATATTCTGGTTGTAGCTAATTGTACAAGTTGGTTGTATAGCGCGCTTTTAAAGTATTTCTTTCTCATTGAGAGATGTTTTGAGAAAGATTTTAAATTGAAAAGAAAATGATGATGGAACTTTCTGCATCCATGCCTAATTCGGCTGTGAAGCAATATCAAGCAGTATCACTCTTTTCCACCTGATGTCCATCATAAACCATCAACCTTCGAGAATGCATCCTAGGTCTATTATATACATTTATATTTAACAAATTATTCTGAAGAAAGAAAATTTTTTCGATTTTTGTAGCTCCTAATTCTAATAATCAAGGATTCTTTCACTGAAACTCACGCATTCCAAATTTAATTGGGTTTTTTTGTTATAACTGGGTTAAATGATAAACCATCTGCATGATTTAGGCAAGTGTGTTATTTTTGTCTACTTATATCAATAATAATGGAGGAATTTACTTGATTGAGCACGATTAACCAGTGGGATGCAGGAAATTATGATGGAAAATGGTCATCAGTTATTGGAAGCGAGGAGATTTGTGGTTGTTATTCATGATAACCTTGCCACCTTCAAAATTGATCTTAGCTATGTTCAGCGCTTCAATACATATAACAGCGAGAATTGTCTTTGCAACGTGGACAATTTGTAGGGTAAAGCTCAGTACAAATATTGTAGATTTCTCACAAGTTTGGAGCATGTTGTATGTGCACGTCACGTGTCTTTCATAATAAGCACTCGTTCTTTTTTCACATCAATCATGATAAGATTTGATCACGCATTAAATATACTTTATTTGGTTTTGTCCAAGACAATAAGACAACTAAAAGTCTTCCTGTCTCATTATGCGGTAGTCGCGAAACTTGAATACAAAGTTTGAATATCGTGTTGTTAATTACAATGCAATTGATATATCGCTGTCCAGGTTTCCTCCGTCGTCCCTAGTCATCAATTGTTTTGCTCGTATATCAATTGTTTTGCTAGTATATCAATTGTTTTGCTCCTCAAATCACCATAGTTTATTGATTGTTGTTTTTTTTGCCAAAACATGAATGCGTAAAGCAAAAGATTGTAGATAAATGGCTTGACAACTTTTTCATGAAAAAAATTTAGCTTTCAATATTATCAGACGAAGTTTATTTGATCAAAGAATCCCTCTCGTTTTTTGCACCTTTTCTAAACCCTCTGTATGTAAATAAATGATTATAGAGATCAGTTGATTTGTTGATTTTGCCTACAGTTAGCTGGGCATTGTACCACTTCGTAAGAGGTAATGTAAACAAACAGTGAAGGAGAAAATTATATATTTATTACATCTTTACATAAATAACTGCTAACAGACCTTTTATAAGCACAGCTTTCGTGTAATGATGTTGTCATATTGTGGGTGTTTCTGTTGGATAATTGAAAAGATAATATAGGGTTGGTTGTCGAATTTTATACAGAGTTCTAGAGATGAAAATATCATTTTACCTGATTGATAGTGTTGTTTTTCTCCTCCTGTCTACATTTTAATAGTTTATCAAATGAAATTATTTGGTATAGAAAACGAGAAAATTTTTGTAATTTTTTATCATTATATCCATATATGTATATATATTTTTTCACTTGTGTACTCTCTTGGTTATCATCATATAATAATAACTCCCTCAGAATGTACGGTTCACATGTTGACGATCATCCTGCTGAATCAACTTCCGCTAATCACATTGGACTTTTCCATGTGTAATGCCTGAACACAGCAGATCAAGCTGAGATATATTTAAAAGCAATGTGCATAAGGTTGACATTATTTTTTTCTGCATTGTCATCCATGTATCATATGGTACCTATATTTTCTTCCTTTTCTACATTGTCCTCCATGTATCTTATGGTACCTATTTTTCTTGCTTTTCTACATTGTCCTCCATGTATCTTATGGTACCTATATTTTCTTCCTTTTCTACATTGTCATCCATGTATCTTTTTCTTGCTTTTCATTGTCCTTCATGTATCTTTTTACCTTATTTTCTTCCTTCATTGTCATCCATGTATTTTATGGTACCTATATTTTCTTCCTTTCTACATTGTCATCCATGTATCTTATGGTACCTATTTTTTCTTCCATGTATCTTATGGTACCTATATTCTTCTTTCCTATGTATCTTGGTACCTATATTTATTCCTTCTAAACATTATTATCCGTGCATCTTATGGTCCTTATTTATTCCTTTTTGACATTATTATCCATTCATGTTGTGGTACCTATTTATTTATTTCTCAACATTATTATCCAAGCATGTTTTGTTACCTTTACAAACCAAGCTTTTTTGGACATTACCATCTCGTGGGCAATGGCTTTTATTTGACAGTTATATAAGTACAAATGTTATTTTGTTTTATGTTAATTTAAAACACCGCGGTTATTGCTTAATATAATCGGTATGTTTAACATTTGTACACTTATCATAGCTTTATTTTTTTTTGCCTCCTGCCAACTTCACTATGTTAAATTTCATATGAAACATATGACATTTAACGGCTACTCTAAAATCTTGTTTTGATGGGGGTGCCGTTTAGCAAAAAAATGTAGTTTATGTGTGTTTGTTATCTACGATGTTGGTATTTGGCCATATTTGGAAATTTATATGTGGGAAACTTCGATTGTTTTTTTGAAATATCTGTCACCTCATTAAATTGTTCTCGCATTTTCGAAGAATAATAATCAGTTTTATATTAATTATCGATTTTTTTGTATTCACCGTACCAGCATACTATATACTAATGACTATTTTGTGAATCTTATTATGTATTAAAGCTTAATTGAGACTTGAAGGGTTGGGGACTGGGGTGGTCAAAGTCAATGCACAACTTTCATTTTTCTTATGATCTTTGTCGTCACCAGGCTCTTATGGCGTCGTTAATAACACGATGTCGTTGCTACGGTTTGTCACAAGGATGTGCCATGCGGTCGTGCTGGAAGGTTCTACCGAAAATTGAAGACGTTGGCAAGATATTAAAGATGAAATATGAGAAATCCGTGGAGGTTATCTATGCCAGAAAGAAGAAAAAACTAAAAAGAAAGGCCAACCGAAAAATTCTTCTGAAAGTCTCTGATCTTGTTTATATGAAACGATCCCCTAACTACTGCCAATCAAATCCCGGTATTGGTATTTCGGGTACGTCTGGTAGAGTATGTGATAGAAATGACACAAACTCTATGAATAGCTGTTCTATCTTGTGTTGTGGACATGGCTATAACACACAAATTGTCCGCGAGAAGAAATTTTGCAACTGCAGCTTTCACTGGTGTTGTCGTGTGAAATGTGAAACGTGTGAAGTTGTGTTCGATAGATACATTTGTAAATAGTACCACAGGATACAATAGGGTACATGGAACTACAAGTAAATGATTATTTTCGTCAATTCTTGTAAAACACAAAAGCATTGAAAGTAGTATTTGTAATATTCGATCCATGGCTTCGAGATTTTTATTGAAATTTTTTTATTCATATGTATAAAGTAAAGTTTGAATATTTCAAAATAAAATAGTATGAAAAAATTTAGTATGTATTATTGTGAAATAGTTCTTGATGCCTACAATGCAGTTATGCAAATTTAATGCTTCACAAAATGTAGATTGCAAGTTTTTTTTACATACTCACAAGAGTTTTCGTCACTGTCATCTTCAAATATTGCCTTCCGCGATCTTCGGTCAATTCTTCATATTGGATCTGCGATCTCATTGGCCGATTGTCTAAACATTACGTGATGCCATATTGCAGTCGTGTCTGTACGAGAATAAAATTGCTTAAAAAATTGCTATGCAATTTATAGGGCACGCAATTTGAAAAGTCTGTTAAATGCATCGTAACGTTTAATTTTTTACATTTTGCGAACATCTTCCTTCAGTGAAGTACTTAAGCCCCTGCACGACGGCAAATAAACCAAAGGGTGCTGATCTAATTAAAGATCCCACAAATGTCCCTCTTCCTGGTTTCAAGAAGCTAACTCGTAAACAATGGAGCACTTGTAACCGAATAAGATCAAAACAGGGCAGAACAGCTAACAACCTATACCGATGGGGCTACAAAGACTCGCCAACTTGCCCATCATGTAACGCCACCAACCAGAATATGGACCATATCATCCTGCAATGTCCGTTCACACGCATTGAAGGCGGCTACGCAACAGTGCATAAAGCGGATGATGACTTCACAAGCTGGCTTGATGAGACACACATGGAGCTGTGACCATAGGAAACTACTACTACTACTACTTGCTATACTTTGCTGTCAGTCTTAACAGCTCGTTCTATCCCTTTAAAAGTCGTTTTCAAAGAAAAACGAAGTGGACAAGTCAATCATTGGTGAGAACTTCCTACAAAAAAACAAACTCCACTGACATCACTGGTAAATGTGTTTTTCACTTCTTTCATGTGTTTAAGTTTTTATTATAATTAAGAGTATAGGTTTCGTCCATTACATATAAAGCTTTACATGAACGATTAGATGTGTTGCCAAATAGTATATGATTTTTTAGTTGGACCAGTTGTAAGTATACAGTTATATAATTTGAGCCTTTTTTACGATGTATGTTGTTAGATATAATTAAAATAACGCCTTACTTTGCAGTATCTCTTGAGACATATTTTGACATACAAGAAATACTCAATTTGCAACCTATTTTTCGTCATTTTTTGATTCTATCTTAGCTATAAAAACAGAGAGATGAATGTATACTCTACACAAAAGTTTTGTTTGAATACACACACACACAACATAAAACGTCTTTTTTCAGGCATTCGATAATCATTTTAGAAACTTTGTCTTTTCCTTTTGTTTTTGTTTTATATAAGAACCAGTTGCTAGCCAAGTAGCAGTAGATGAACGTTTTCAATATTTCGTTTTGTTTACTTGCAGTGCAAATTATTTACTCATATTTTATTGCTGATTTGAAGATATCAAAGAAGGCAGAACACTTGCAAAATGAGACTGCTGACTCTTGCCATATGTTTCGTGATAATATTTTGTATAATAAGCGTCGTGAAAAATGATGGTAAGTTAGTGACACAGAGGAAAATGAAAGTTTGTGTGACATTATTGATGTTTTCGTTAAATGTATGAATTGCAGGGAAAAACTGAACTGCATGACTATCTACTATGAAGCGGACATGTTTATCCAGAGGCATAATTCAGGGAGGGGGCTCGAAAGTTTACTCAATCTTAGGTCTTTATAGTTACGTTCTTATGTTCATCCAATGCAACATGACACGTGATCGATGATCTCAATTGATTTTAACAAAAGATGTTTGTGAACTTAACTTGACGAAGAACGTTCGCAAAAAAACGTCAAGTTTACGAGGATCCAACATTTAGGCTACAGATTTACCCCAAACTAAACTTACAGATCGCCTGTTTACCATAGTTCCTTCAATTTTCACATGCAACACAATTATATTCCACTCACTCTTAACACAACGCTGTACTTCACTTACGGCTAACAAACACTGCCATATTCCTCACTAGTCACACAAATTACAAATTTCTATCCTTTAATTGTTACACAATGTCCGACGAACACTTTTCATTTGTCATTGCACGGTTTTTGTCTATATGTAGCTGCACATCTTGCATAATGCTTGTATTTGTTTATCCAGGCTGTAATGATTGCTGCGAGGACAAAACTTTGTTCTTTCGAAGTAAAAAAATAAGTTCTTTGCGTGATATTTTGAACATGACAAATGGTTCGTTTTGTCAGAATGGAACAATAGAACGGTTAGTATTATTACAAGAAATATGTAATGACGTGTTTATTGATAGATACGGACAGATAGATACCTATGCAAGCATAAATATCACGTTGTTTATTTCGTGGATTTTTAGATTGGTAGCTGACGGAAATAACATAACCCTCTCCGACGAGGATGTTGAAATTCTAAAGAAAAACTTCAGCAAATTAAAGTATTTGTAAGTGAAACTTCTATACAATCTTCTGTGCGTACGATGCCTCGATTCTACGATTGACTTTTCTCTTGGAAGTTTGATAAGTTGGTTTAAATAAACTACTTATGTTTTATTTCTTCTGTTTGTTTCTTGGCAGAACTTCTTGTAAATACATGGTTGCATGTGAACTTGTTATAGAAGATCAAGCTTGAGTTCTATGATTGCTCTGAATAAAAGTATAGGGTTAAAATTTCTATGAAATGAACATTTCTGCCAATTTCATGACTTTCCTGTGGTTTCAGTAAACGCATTTTCGCTTAGTAAAATTCATAGAAGAAACAGTGAAAGTAATTGTTGCACGTGACAGTCAAAAAAAGTATTACATTTTTCACTATTTTTTGGAATTAACCTTTTACAAAATCGACATGTTTCTCATTAATAAATAATTTTGTAACATGGCAATTATTCTTGTTAAGTTTCTACAAAAGATTTTCCACATGTTTTATATAGGGATCTACGAAGTAATAAAATCAAGATACTGCCAGAGTTGGAAAGTTATCATCTTATAGAGATGTATGAATATCTAAACATGCTTTCATCTCACCCCACCTTAACCACCCGACCTTACCCCACCCCGAAATTACCCCACCATCTTACACCACGCCCACCACACACCACCCCGAAATTAACAGCTAAGTATGTCTGCGCCTAAATGCTTATCGTTCGCTTTGTGTAATCAGCTACAAGTACGAAAAACTACAAGCTTACACTATGACATTGCTTAAAAATTCAGGCCTAACGATTTTATTAAATTTGTTGGACGTTATGCCTGTGATGTCAAACTATTCATATTTCAGTGATAAGAGACAATTTTTTCGTTGATCACAGGCAACTGGAGAAAAACGAAATAAGTGACATTTACTTGAATTTGGATAAGTTACCAAATTTGGCAATTCTGTAAGTGTGAAGTCAATCTGCATGTCTACTTTGAACGTGTTCAAATACTGAAAATACCTACATTTACATGAACGTTTAAAATTTTTTATGCGATTATAGAAATTTGAAGGAAAACAAATTGAAAAATTTTACAAAGAATCTCGGTAAATTAAAAGCTCTGTAAGTATTACATGACGTACGCATTGACAGTTTATCTAATGGTTGATGGCTCTACGTTGCCAGTGTAAAAAAAATCACTCATAATAAAGAACATGCCTTCATTCTGTTTAATAGCATATTTATAGTCACAGTATCTTCATTTACAAATGCAATCTATCTTTTTGTTTATTTTCGTGTAGTATCCTGGCTGGTAACAAAAAATTATCCTTTATAAATTTTTCATCAAACAACTCACTGGAAATATTGTAAGTTCTTTCAAAACAAACCGCGATTTATGATCTATTTTATCATGTGACGGGATGGTACAGTCAGTAATGATTATGCAGTAGATAGTTTTCACTTAATTCCCTGGGATGAACATAACAATGACGGAAGCGGCCATATTGATGTACCAAGCTAAAGGACTTCATCAAAATTCTTTTCAATTGGTACACCAACATGGCGGAAATGACGTCAGGTGTAAACGCTCTGCAGTATTGAAGTTGAAAGTGCAAAGAACTAACTCAGTTTCAGTTTTATCAATATCAAAAGCGATAAAACAAACCAAGGTCAAAAGAATTGGAGCGATTGTTTCGGTAAAAAAAATACTGACACGCAATGTATTAACTTGTTTAAAATTAGCATTGCATATTATAAAACTTCTGAGATCATAAAAACGGTAACCGTTGATTTGCTATTGCATTCCTTAGAGAGATATAACCAGTATTGACTTTTTAAGAGTAGCCATGGCTTTTAAATATAGAGCTAAGCACAGAATCTTTATATGGTATGAAAGGATTTAGATTAATGAATTTCTGCTTATCTTATATAGACACCAGTCTACGACATTTATATTATATTTAACAATACATGCTCTTTTTAGAGATTTGAAAGGCATCAAACTGCAAGAAGCAGTTGACATAACGTAAGTGGTTAAAAAAGCAATTAAATTCAGGGACAAACTTTCAAGATAACTATTACTTGCAGGAATGGAAACATCACATGGTTTTTTGGTTTGAAGAACTTGGAAAGCTTGTACGTAGAAATGATTTTTTTCATAACTTTGCTCGATCGAAAATAATTAGATTGAAATCCTGACTATGAACTTGACTGACTGATGTTAAATTTTTAGGGATATTTCCTCAAATTCTTTGTCGGAATTACCTGAGTTTGTTTTTCAACCTCTCGGAAATTTGCTCAATTTGTAAGTTATACTCATCACCTGAAGTATCAGACAGTTAAAGCAAAAAAAGGTCCCTTTTATAGCTCAATTCATATATCTATTCGTAGGAGCATGCAACTCAATCTCTTCAGCAAATTTAAACATGACAATATTTTCGATCCTCTTGTAAATCTAAATTATCTGTAAGTATGCTGCAAAGTATTGACTTATTAGCTACTGTACATAAAATATATTATTTGCATAGCAATACATGCTTTGAGATGACTGTAGAAGCAAGACTGTATGAGTTACTAGATCATTTTCAGTACACAGTACAAAGACCTGAAAATATTGTATCAAAATAATATGTAACTATATCTCCATATTTTTTTTATATGACTTTCTTTTATAGAGACATCTCAGAAATACCAACTCTCATTTATATCAATAGGTTATGGAACAGACTAATGCGAAATCTCGTAAATCTCAAACACTTGTAAGTATTATGAAGCCTTTGCATGAAGTCCTTATCAAATATGGCGAGTCGGATATTTTGAATTGGTTTTCTAAAAACAAATGAAGGCAATATTATTCATTAAGTATTTCGAATATTCACTGTATGAAATGAAACCAAAGTCCAAGAACATAACTATTTATATGTATGAACCAAAGGGCTAAAGAAAAATCATTTTGTTAAAACTTGTTCGATTCTTTATTTATGTTGAAGAATTAAAAAGTCGAAACATGTCGGTGCTTAATAAGCATTAACAAAAAGTAATAAAATCTTTTTTCATGCAGAAAATATTTTTTCATACAGTCCGAATGGAAAAAAATATTTTTACGAAGTTTCAAAAGCAGTCCTAGGCAGAATTTGAATTTCACTTTGTAAACAAATACATTGGGAAAAAATATCACTTTTGGAACAAGGTCAAGTTATCGTAAAAAGCTGCCCGCTGCTGCAGCCAATCAGATTCCAGGAAATTAAAAAATATCATTAGGCACGCATAAATATAAATATGAATATATATGTTCAGTTATCATTGCTTTTAGTTTATCTTTGAACGTCGGTTAACTTATTTTACTATCAACTCATTTTTTATTTAGAAAAACAAATTACTTTACTGATTGCTGTTTCGTCATTGCTTATAAACCTGACGTCCATTGCATAGCACCGTCGGACACCATTGCCAGCTGTGAACGAATGATTAAATATGCTGCAATGCGTTATCTCATGTGCTTCATGGTTGTTCTAACCATTGGTGGGAATGTCTTCGCTCTGTTGCTAAGACTGGTAAAAGATGATTGCAGTCGAGTACAGAACTTGTTTATATGCAGTCTCAGTTTTAGTGACATGCTCATGGGTGTCTATTTAATTGGAATCATAAACCAAGAAATCGCGACTGAAGGAGAATATTACAAGCATGATTATCCCTGGCGAACTGGAACTCCGTGTAAAGTGTTTGGCATAATATTTGTCATATCCAGCGAGGTATGAATAAAAAAATACAAATTGTTGCAATTTATTATTGCGTATATTATGTACATAATCTTGTCTACGATGGAACTTTTTCTGATAAATGAAAGCACCACATGATACGTCAACATTTGCACATCGAAAATTAACAATTGTGTACATGCAGAAAACTGCACGAAACGTGACGTTTTTCATAGCATCTCAACCAGTAATTTCAAAAAACGACCAGCAATTGTGTTGCACGACACGAGACTTTAACTACCCAGCAATCGAATTGCATCTGACAAAAATTAAAATTTTCTGGAAAAAAAAACGTAAATAAATTTAATCAGCTGCGCACAATCATTACATTGACTCTGTGTTTCGGTAAGTGCAAAGGTATTTAAATTTTTTAAAATATTTAAAGAAAAAAGTATCTTAAATAACAGCGAAATAAAGGATGGGAGGTAAAATTTGTTCATAAAATTTGTTTGATCAAGTGTATCATGAAAATACTCGATCTTTTACAGGTATCTGTGTTTACTCTGGTATACATTGCATACGATCGTTTCTTGCACATAGCTCATGCGATGGAGTTTCGAAAGATCGACTATCGTTCGGCGGTGTTCTTACTTTTGGTAACATGGCTTGTCTGCTCTGCTATCGCCATTGTCCCAGCCATCGTGAAAACGTATTTCGTTGATGACGTCAAAAGAGTTGGATTCTACGGGGCTAACAGCATCTGTATGCCCATTCAGTTACCTGGACAGAACACAATCGCATGGGAATACTGCCTATCTATATTCGGAATACTGAATTTTATTGGTGCTGCCTATCTTATTATCGCCTATATTCAAATGTTTTACTCGTCATACAGTAGTGCAAAAGACTCCAACAACAGTAGCCGTCTCGGAGCTCATACTACCATGGCAAAGCGTTTTGCTGCTTTTGTATTTACGGATGTGTGTTGCTGGGTCCCCATTGCTATGTTGTTGTTCTTGTCTCTTGCTAGGGTTATTAACGAGACAGGCAACACTTTGTATTTGTGGTTTTCAATCTGCGTGATTCCGATCAACTCAGCCATCAATCCGATCTTATACACACTCAGCACACCGATGTTTTGGCAGAAAGTAAAGGACGTCATCAAGAAATTCACATTCCGCGTTTAAAAAAGCAAGAAACTATTTTTTTCAAATATCTTAGAAACCTCAGTCTCTAAAAATATATATTGTGCCTCAGTGTTATTAAAGAGAAAACTAATTTATCGATATGCTTTCACTTTTCTCTCACACCTGCTGGGAAATACATGGAAAAAACCGTTCTTTCCCTATGGAAACACGCCTTTCATTCGGGCAACGATTGGTCACAGCTTGTAGTATTTATCAAAATGCAGCATGTAAATTCTTTTGGATGTTTATAAGGATAAATTTTAGTTTGTCATGGTATGAAAAAACCTAATTTCAATGCACATTGTTAGAAAAACATGTTTTGGTGCACATTGTATAATGTATAAGTAAAAATACGCAATTAATTGCTTGTTTGTTTGTACTTGACATTAAAAATTATCATTAGAAAAGTAGAGTATAATTTAATTAAAGTTCTCGTGGTTACACTGGTATCTTTGTTTTAGCCTTTGACAAGAATAATTGCATCAATTATTGACCGATCAATTGACAAGAATAAAGCATTTTAGCAATGAGATAAGACGAAATTTGCCGAACGTAAGATTTCACGGGAGTCATTCTCAATGAATCGCTGCTATATACTCCCTGGCTTTGTATATTAGATTTCGCCTCATATTTTTCTCACAGATGCGAGGGCATCAGTCACCATTATCTATGTAAACTAGAAAATAACTAGAGTAAGATATTCATTCATAAAAGACAAAAATTTACTTTCGTGAAGAAAATATACATGCCTTTTTTATTGCATTTTTTACATCATTTGACAAAATTTCGGGACACTTTTTTGGCCAGTGCTCCTGGCCCAGTCCTTGCCACTGGCCCGATAGATTTTGTTGCCCACTCTGAAGCGCATGCGCTCTTGATTGTAGTCAGTGGTGTCAAGTGCTAAAGTGTCAACCATTGGTGAAAGTAACATATTTTAAACGTTTGATGGATGGAGAGCAATAATTTTTTTCTCTTTTGGTATGCCTAGTAAGAATGGAGGTACAAACTGATGCAAATGTGGAAGATGTTGATAGGGAAAGTCTTGTTAAAGAAATCGAGCAGATTCAACTGGCTCTAGGGTCTCAAACGAACGGAGCAGAATCAGAAACCATCAGAACGTCTAGATCGATCAACGTCGACATAGATGGGGATGACTCTGACGATGAGCTGGGTGAGTAGCTGGTGATAGTCTAATACTTATTGTTGTAGAATGCATGATAAGTCAGGAAGTTTAATACTAAACTAGTGAGTATTACCAATTAGAGTCTTTGACACAAGGACCACATAAATTAGGCTTGTTATATTTTTTGTAGGAGTTTGGACTTTTATTTTGTTAGACGATTACAAAAATCTTGCAGCCAGAAATTTGTTCTAACCACGTAGCTCAGCTCAGGCTGCAGCAAAACAAACAAAATACAACAAAACTCTTGCTTCATTGCACAGCACAACAATTTTCATTTGCTGCCATGGTCGAATGCTAAATCATTCGAAACATATTTGGCAAAATATGTTACACAAATTATTGTTAGATTTACTTAAGAAAATTATGCAATCCATGTAATGAATTTTCCTTTTATTTTTAAGCTATTATAAAATCGCCAGAGTACCACTCAACAAGCGATAATGAAAGATTTGTTATGAAGGTAATGAACATTCATATTGCAATATTGCACCTGACAAATTTACAAGAATTGCTTGTAAATTATGAAACTCTGTTTGAAGAAGTTTGTGAATGTTTACGGTTAGAAATCATTCGTTTTAGTCAAATTTTTTCTTTATATGTTTAGCATGTTCCTTTTGAAGTCATATCATCTGAGAGTGATGATGAAAGTCAGAGAATTGCTGATGTTCAACATTCTTACTGCAGCAATCCTCTCAATATTGAACCTGAATCATCTCTTGAATTGAATGCAGATGATGCTTATAATGCAGTGGATCAACATCAAATTTTGAGCAATGATGTAGATTTAGAAATTATGGTAGACAATCCACTGAACACCAGTCAAACTGAGCTTACTGACCATGGCTCATTGCAATTGGAAAATAACACCGATGGCAAAACTGAGAACTATTGTTTAACTGAACTTCAACCAGCTACTAATGAATCTTTACAAAATATCATTCCAACAAGTGTGGATGAAAACTTGAAATCTTACTCTACCATGTGTACAGATCCTGAGGCATTGTCTAATGATAACGAAGAGGTCTTGCTCAGTGATGAAGATGAACAATCTATTGATCAGAAACAATGCCTGAAGCTGAACAGGCAGTATCAGGTACTTTGAAAAAATTCATAAAGTTTGCAACGTTGCATCATAGTTCTTGTTACATTCTTTCTTTACATAAAAAAGCATGTATTGATAATTTTTAGTTTAGCCATTTTTTTCTTAAATAATATCTAACACATTGTTATAGACTGAAAAATTGCATACAATTTATTTCAGGCAGTAATTGAAGCTCAACTGAGAAAGATTGAAAGACTGATTACTGAGAACAAAGAAAAACAAGTAAGTATTTTTTTAAACTTTTCAACCAGCAACCAGTACCAGGACAAAGGGCAGTCAAGGGCCTAGCCAGGAGAGCAAGTAACCCCACCATATTTTATCTTATGGCAATTTCAAATTGACAGCTATAAGTTGCTTTTTCAGCACACTCTTTGTGACTTATATGGTGTGATAAGTTCAAAATTTTGAAATCAAGTTATTTGTGGTTTAATGTTCTTTTTCATGCACATCAATAGCAAAAGATTGTTTTGCTCAACTTTTCAATTTTTGTTTATAAATGAAGAAAATGTCAAAATTTTGAGTGGTGTTGATGGCCTATAGGATCATTGAGCTGCCAGTCTGTTTACATTAGCAATTTCTCTAGCAAGGATTAAGTTAAACAATTTTGATGCATTGAAAAAGTCTCTACTTCAACCATTACTATGATGTACACGTGATCTTTTTCAATCATGTCAAACCTTGCGGTGATAATGTAAAAAGCTTTTTGCTAGTGGCAATATATAGTGCATACACACTAGTAAATATAGACATGTAGACGTGGGTAAATATGTTGGAAAAAATTTATTTTTTGTCTTGCAGCATGTGAAGCAATTGATTGCAGAGCGGCATAAAATTTTTCTCTTGATTTAATTCAATTTTTTTCTTCAGCTTGGATTAACTCAAACATCCCCTGCTATGGCTAACGATGCAGAGAATTTGGATTTCAAAGGCTTGCAGTCTTTCTTGCCATATTTTAAATCACACAGGAATAAGGTGGAAACTGTTTGTTGTGACATATTTCACTATTTGTGATAAGAAATTGTATAATAAGTAAAGTATTTCTGATGCATTTCAAAAAATGAGAATGACTTTGGAAAACTATGACTCGTATGTCGTGGCCATATACGTATATTTTTCAAAATTGAAAATTGCAGTACGTAGAAAATATGTTTGCATTGTTTTTTAAAATATACGTTGCCACTCTGTGACAATACTTTCAGATTAAAGAAAATATCTAGGAATAATCATTATGACTGTTGAGAAATTCACCTATTCTAAAATTTTGATATGCATCGACTTATTTTAGCTGCTGAAAAAAATGCTTTCCTCGCAGCACTGTGATAATAGATGACCTGCCTTGTTTACGTTTTGCTGGCAGGCAGATTAATCCCAAGAGAGGATAATCATTGTTGCTAGTGTTGTCGAAAAGCACTTGATCAAATCTGCCTGTCAGCAAAACGTAAACAAGGCAAGTCATGTATTGAAGAGATAATTTCAGAAGCAATAGTAGTCAAAAGAAGCAACGATACCCAAAACAACAAACAAGAAGTCTGTATTGTAAAAATAACACGCTAAAAGTCTGTGTTGTAAAATATGTTTACTTATTTCAAACTATTTAATAAATTTGGTTTAGGGTCCTGAAGACAATGAAGATACAGTATTGCGAAAAAGTATTGACCAACCGAGTCCTTTTGAGCTTCCACCACGACCATGTAAGCGTGCATGATTTTTGTTAGTTTAGACAAAGGTTTGCTTATTTGATTTTTTGATTTAAGAAGAAGCTTCAACCTTTGATAGCTCATTAGAAGCAGTTATACATGTGTAGTGTAGAAACCAAATCTGAACTATACGAGTAGCTGCTGTGGAACTCTTCCATTGTAGCGAATACTTATTCAGGATAAATACTTCAACTGAAAGCTCTTATCAACGTTTTCTGATATAACTAAATATACAAGTATAATATATATTTGAAATTAATTTCAGTAAAAATTACTGCAATAAATAGAAAATAAAAAATTTTGAATAAAAATTATTACGATTGAAAAACGTCTATAAAGTCTTTAACTAATTAAATTGAGAGAAAATACTGAGTGATCTTATTTTCAAAGATCTGATAGCTCTCAATCTTTCGTAGTTCTAGTTGTAAATCCTGTTATATCTTAGCTCCCATAAAATAAAAAGTTTCACGAGCATATTCTAGTTTAATAACAGGAATCTTAAATATATTTTTACTGTTTCTCGTTTCTTTTTTGTGTGTTGCTAAAGTGTAAAATAGGATTTGAAGTGATTACATTTTAATGCATTACGTACCTCTTTACTTGTTAGCATATACAGCAGATAAGAGTTGTTTTTATCATCCTGTTCTCCTTTGAAAAAAATTGACAAACATCTTTTTTCTGAGCTCTGTTGAGATGTAATTGTTATTTGCTAAAATATGTAAAATAAGTATGGTTAAGTCAAGATGGTCTCTTATCTTGAACAAGAGCTTCAACCGTCCAAATGCATTCTTGAAACACTTTTAAAATAGAGAACTCAAACTAAGAGATCTATTCACGTTTTATTCCATTAATGCTATTTTACTGAGCTGACAGGAGACAGCTAAAAATATATTTTTTCTAATGTTTTACGTATTTGTTATATTTTACATTTTGTACCTCCCCGCTAAGCTCATTAACATATATTTTTCTTCTGTTCTAGGGTCAATAGAAGAAGAGAAGACTCTTTCAGATGCAGTGAAATCAGACGTACTGCAGTCTAAGATAAAGCCATTGTTACAAAAGTAAGTTGACATTGTGGAGATGTAAAATAATGATGATTTCGTTCGTAACATGTTACATCTTTTCTGATTCAAACATATCTAGTGTTGTAATAGTTTGCCTGCTCTTCAATTTCAAACACAAATAGTTGTAATTCTTAAGGGTTTGATTGTTGTTTGAAACTTTGTAGACGTTAATAATTGTTGTATGTTTGCATTTATGTAGTTTTTGATGTAATAAATTGTCCTGTATTGATTATCTCAGTTCAAAGTATAGTGGGTGATGATTTTGAAATAGTATATGATATGTATATGATTTGTTTTCGAACTGTGTCGGGTACTAATTTTATGGTCAATATTGTCGTTTTACTACTAAAACATTTCAGAGTCTTATAAATACCAAACAAAAACTCGTGGCTAGCTTGCAGATTATGTTAAGCTTGACAATGTTGCCTTTCCAGAGTTGAAGCTCTTACTCCAAAACCAAGAAAAACGCCCGAGGAAGAAAAAGAACTCGAAGAATTAAATATGGCAATAGATCGTCTTAAGTATGTTTCACTTGGTTCGTGTTAAATGTATGGTGATTATTTATATACCATTATTTGACCTGTCTAAATGTTACATACATAGTGATTATTTACATGTCATCATTTTACCTGTCAACATGCTATAAATGCATAGTAATTATTTACATGTCATCATTTCACCTGTCTGCATGTGAACTGCATGGTGATTGTTACATACCATTATTTCACCTGTCTAAATGTTACATACATAATGATTATTTACATGTCATCATTTTACCTGTCTAAATGTTACATACATAGTGATTATTTACATGTCATCATTTCACCTGTCTGCATGTGAACTGCATGGTGATTGTTACATACCATTATTTCACCTGTCTAAATGTTACATACATAGTGATTATTTACATGTCATCATTTTACCTGTCTAAATGTTACATACATAGTGATTATTAAAATACCATTATTTGACCTGTCTAAATGTTACATACATAGTGATTATTAAAATACCATCATTTCACCTGTCTAAATGTTACATACATAGTGATTATTAAAATACCATCATTTCACCTGTCTGAATGTTAAATGCATGGTGATTATTAAAATACCATTATTTCACCTGTTTAAATGTTACATACATAGTGATTATTAAAATACCATCATTTCACCTGTCTGAATATTAAATGCGTGGTGATTATTAAAATACCATCATTTCACCTGTCTGAATGTTAAATGTGTGGTGATTATTAAAATACCATCATTTCACCTGTCTGAATATTAAATGCGTGGTGATTATTAAAATACCATCATTTCACCTGTCTGAATATTAAATGCGTGGTGATTATTAAAATACCATCATTTCACCTGTCTGAATATTAAATGCGTGGTGATTATTAAAATACCATCATTTCACCTGTCTGAATGTTAAATGCATGGTGATTATTAAAATACCATTATTTCACCTGTTTAAATGTTACATACATAGTGATTATTAAAATACCATCATTTCACCTGTCTGAATATTAAATACATGGTGATTGTTAAAATACCATTATTTCATCTGTCAACATGTTAAATACATGGTGATTATTAAAATACCATTATTTCATCTGTCAACATGTTAAATACATGGTAATTGTAAAATACCATTATTTCATCTGTCAACATGTTAAATACATGGTAATTGTTAAAATACCATCATTTCGCCTGTCTGAATGTTAAATACATGGTAATTATTAAAATGTCATCATTTCACATGTTTGTATCTGTAACCATGTCTTTTAATGTAAGTACGAATATAGACCATGTCATTTAAAACATTAAACTGTACCTTTTCAAACAGCTCATTGTAAAGTATAATTATCTTACAGTTGCTTTAAAAAATACTCTCAATAATTAAAATGTTTTACTTTTTTTCTTCCTTACAGAAACCTTTCCCTGACTGATTTGATACACGATTTTACTGATAATATCGATTTTGAAGATATCTCAAATAAAGTGGTAAGCCTTGATGGCGTCTATTTTAACAAACATTTCATGTATTGGTTTCATGGTATGCACTGTTAAAAATCAGAGCGCTTTATCACTGGCAACAAATGTGTTGCTTTTGGTTTAGTTAAAGTCTTACCTATTTGGTAGAAAAGTATTTAACTAGCTATGTACGTTTTAGTTGCCAATGCGCTCACCGCAGCAGTGTCAGGTATACTGGTACAATAAACTTCATCCATTTTTAAACCACACAAAGTGGACTAAAGAAGAGGATAAACTATTGTTGTCATTGGCTGAGAAAAGCACAGGCGGAAACTGGGAAACAATTGCATTGGAGCTTAAGGTATTGTTTAAAACGGAACTCAATGCAATTGAACGTTTCATGTTGAACTTGTCATATATATTAAACGCATTTTCAATATGGGAAGTGGTGAAAAGAAATATAAATACTTAAAGTAAATGGGAAGATGTGTAAGTGAGGTTTTGAATTTGTATAAAGCCGACGTGCTTTGCGAATCAAAGTAAGCGAAAACTTTGTCATTCATATGTGTATGTATCTTGTAAAGATGGCTGTATTTCTGTTGGCCTTTCTCAATGTATTTTGTCTTGATGAGTTTTGATGCGCCTGGAATTTTTTTCTTATGATGTTTTTGTTTAATGTTTGAAGTTTGTGGAATACAATATTTGCAATTTGTTCATTGTTCATATGTTTAATCGCCATTGTAAGGCTACCCATATGTACGCTCTATGTACCTATTTTTACGTACATTATTTTATATCTTGTTTCATTACCATCTCTTTCAAACTTTAGACAAATCGTTCACCTTCTCAGTGTTTACACAGATATCAAAAGAGCCTAAACAAGAACTTTTTGAAAAGGTAGATAGGTATTACTTATACGTTTTTGTCGTCTTATTTCTATGATCGTACGATTTGATGAAACACTCTCTAACAAAAATATGTAAACCTTGACGTTGCAGCTTTTGGATAGGTAAACACATAACTAATCCTAATTTGAGTATGGCTGCAGTAGCGTATTTTGAATATATTTCCAATAAAGTATACAGTCTGGCTAATCGATAATATATTGACTATAGTGGTAGTGTTCGCTGCTGCTATGTATTCTGACCTATCTTAGATCCAGTGTGACCATATATGTATAGTATTTTATCAAAAAGGCGTTGATTTGCGCAGAATGCTTCCCCCTGTTTCAAATGTTTCAATCAATTATTGCAGGGGGGGCTGTTTAAGCTCACCGGAGCGGATCTGATAATAAAATTACCAAGTCTGGGAACACGACTTAGATCTGTGACTGACTGGGTAGTTACTGAGTTCTATATACTTAGTTTAGCTTGCAGACCATTGTCATGATTAGTTTTAATTTCGTAATACATTACACAACACGCTTTTCCCTTTTCCACTGTCCATAGTTATACGATATTTTTGTTTCAGTAAATGGGATGCAGAAGAAGACCGACGGCTTCTTGAAGCAGTGAAAATTTGTGGCTATGGAGCTTGGGCGAAAGGTGACAAAATATTTGTTTTCATTTGACGTCAAAACGGCCATGTTGGTAGGTTGTAGCAAAGTGCCGATGCTCAACAGATCATGTAATCAACTTAAATTCTTGTCACTATACAACAATTACTATGCATATAATATATTAAATAATGAAATATATTATTAATTCGTATAATTATTTTTCTCACTTCATAATCGTTCTAAATGTAAAATATGGGTTTTCCGCCAACATGGCGAGCGGTCTGAACACTCTATATAATATAGTGCTTGCAAAATTTCTATTTCGTTGACATTGTGGACATTGTCATGTTTTATTCACGTGTCATGTTTTATTCACGTGTCACGTATTATTCACGTGTCACTTATATATGTGTAAAAAATAGGAATCTTCAGGAGGCGGATTTTGGGGAGAGAAGATAGGATCTTTGGGAGAATTAGCATTCAGCCGTGATATTGTATTCCAAATTCAAGACAATTTTTCTTCATTTAGTTTCTACTTTTTTGGATGGCCGTACAGGAGCACAATGTATGCATCGCTATGTAAAGTCAGTGAACCCTTTGATTAAAAAAGGGAAATGGAACAGGGAAGAGGATAAAGTGAGTCTTCAATATTTACGTTTTACTCAAGTTTTATCTGTTGTATGTTCAACAAAGGGGACAATTTAGTAACTAATTACGCATTTTGTTCAGATATTTGTCCCGCGAAATTTTGTGCTAGCTGTTCGTTCAATGTGAAAACCAATGCAAGCTCGTTTTTTTGCACATGTTGCACAAAACCCCCAACTTCTGTGCAACACGTGTATTCTTTGTGCTAGCTGTTCGCTCAATGTGAAAACCACTGCAAGCTCGTTTTTTTGCACATGTTGCACAAAACCCCCAACTTCTGTGCAACACGTGTATTCTTTGTGCTAGCTGTTCGCTCAATGTGAAAACCACTGCAAGCTCGTTTTTGCACATGTTGCACAAAACCCCAACTGCAACTGTGCAATTCGTGTATTCTTTGTGCGAGCTGTTCGTCAATGCGAAAACCTGTGCAAGCGTGTATTTTTTGCAGCTGTTCGCACAAAACCCCAACTTCATGTTGCACAACAACTTGTATTATTTTGTGCTAGCTGTTCGTTCAATGAAAACCAATGCAAGCTCGTTTTTGCACATGTTGCACAAAGCCCCCAACTTCTGTGCAACACGTGTATTCTTTGTGCGAGCTGTTCGCTCAATGTGAAAACCACTGCAAGCTCTTTTTTGCACATGTTGCACAAAACCCCCAACTTCTGTGCAACACGTGTATTCTTTGTGCGAGCTGTTCGCTCAATGTGAAAACCACTGCAAGCTCTTTTTGCACATGTTGCACAAAGCCCCCAACTTCTGTGCAACACGTGTATTCTTTGTGCGAGCTGTTCGCTCAATGTGAAAACCACTGCAAAACTTTGTGAGCTGTTCGCTCAATGAAAACCACTGCAATGTTGCACAAAACCCCAACTGTGCAACACGTGTATTCTTTGTGCGAGCTGTTCGCTCAATGTGAAAACCACTGCAAGCTCGTTTTTTTGCACATGTTGCACAAAGCCCCCAACTTCTGTGCAACACGTGTATTCTTTTCCCAATTTTCTGGATCAACTTTCACCGACGACATCATCTACAACGTTATCACGACTATTACGCTCAGACTAATCAATGTTGTTTGTCGTAGTTGCTCCGTAAAGGCGTTCAAACATTTGGCTTCAACTGGTTTAAAATTAGGAATCTTTTACCCAGAAGAACAGACGCGCAAATTAGAGAAAGGTTAGTGTTGTACTATGTACGTAACGTTTCGCCAAACTCATCGTTTATGTGTATTGTAAACTTATATTATTGTTATACATATGGCAAAACATTTTCCATCGCAGGATTTTAACGTGTTTATCTTGAGCAATATGCCAATCGCCCTTTGCATGGTTTTAAAGAAACTATTTATAACTATATTTTACTATCTTTGTTGCTCGGTGTGATAATAAACTTCGGTAAAATATCAGACCTTAAGCTGCTGTTGTGATATTTTGTAATTATCTCAATGAAAATGTCAGTAATGTTGAAATATTTAACTTTTGTATGTGAAATCAAAGTCTGCATTTGAAATTAACGTACTCAACATATTAGCATGATGGTATATATGAAACATTAGCAATCAAAACATTGGTCTTTTTATAACTGTTGATTTTTTTGCTTTCAGATGGCAAGACGTTCTCGATCCGAATCTCTGTAAGTATGCCTTTTCAAAAGAGGAAGATGAAATGTTGCTAAAACTTGTAGAGGAACAAAATTCAGGTATAAGTACCGAGATTATAAGTTTCAAAAGTCAAAACTTCATTTTGTACTGATTATTGAAAACTCAGAACTTGCTTGAAAAATGTAACTACATCGTACATTGATTACCATATTTCTGGCAATTGAAATGTTTTCCATTTCTCAATATTTTCATACTCTCTTCTCTGCTCCCCCCTGAATCTATTTAAAAAAATTTTCTTTGTGAAACAGGCTTGAAAAATTGGTCAGGTATCGCCAAAAGAATGCCTGGCAGAACTGATAACGCGTGTCGAAGAAGATGGTTTGTATTGACAAAAAATGATCCTAAGGTGGGTGAAATTAGAGTAGGTTGAATCTGTTAAACTAAAACATACTTTAAAGGAATGTGGAAATGTAGTTTTCAGTTGTTTTGCTCGTGAACAATATGGAAATTGTATCTTACGTTTTTAACGGAATTGATGTTCGTGCTCGGATAGAATACGATTATGGCAGGGGCGGATGCTCATTTGACAGGAGGGGGTAAAGATATTTCAAGGGATGTGCATCGTTATCCCAGCTAAAGTTGCAAGGGTGAAGGGCCTCGGGTTATGGTAGATTTTTAGGCGTACAGATGAGTGAGCCGTGCGCAAAGAAAGTGCTATTAGCCTTTTAAAAAAATTCATATGTTTTTTGTTAACGAATGCATACTAATTTATTTCGATTTTACTGTTTCAATGAAAACGCGCATGGTAGTAACTCAATTGCAAATAGTGGTGGTATAAAATACGTACTTGCCTTTGAAATGATAAGTTCCACTTTATACTCAGTCTTACTGTACTATTTCCTCACCTCTAATACTGTTGTAATAATAGTTTACAGTACATAATACCATTTTAGAATTTTTCCCTGGGTAGGGGGTGTTAGAGAATTTTGAGAGGTGCACAACCCCTTGGATTATGGTTCATGTTCAGCGGTCATCACGCATGAAAAAAATTTATGTGTGTATGAACTACAACTATAGCATTAATTATGATGAATAATTCTTTTCACATTTCTAGACAAAGAAACATCTCAAGTTGCAGAAAATTGTAAAAGATAAATTAGTGAATAATTTCTCTCGTCGCTCAGCTGATAGAACCGAGATTGGGCCGGAAGTAAGTGTTTGCGACATTGTATTTTTCGCCAAGTTTTAAATCTTTAATAGAAATTTACAATAAACAAATTCATATTCACATTCTTAAAAGATGTCAAACCTCCCGCAGCAGCTTTCTCATGTTCAACATTAAAGCACAGGTTTTTGTTTTTGCATATTACGTAGATATAAAATACTCGTTTTTTTTAAGAATACAATTTTTGCTTAATCATTCCGTCCGGAAGATAATTTTTTTAATCGAGATGATTTCCTCATTGTATTTTAGGATTTTCATGAGCCAGAGTTGTCTGAACAAGTAAGTGTGAGTTTGTGTTGCTCTATGTCTTGAGTGCCATCAGGATTTGGGGTGTATAAAATTTGTATGTATATCGCTTGCGCATTACTATTACTTACTAGCATTAGAATTTGAAATTTAACATTATTCTGAGCTCAATATGGTCTAAATAAGAAATATTATACTAGTCGTGTTCATTTGATGTTTTTGAACTTAAATATATATACTATAAAGTTCTATGAAACAAAGTCATACTTTTGCTTTGAACAAATAATTTCAAGCAAATTTAGAAGTTTCCATTCGTAGTTAAAGGTTAAGTGTCTATAGTTCGTCATCACGTTGGATGTTAGATAATGAGATTCTCAGATGAAAATAAAAGTTCCTTGCGTAATTATTATCATTGCATGTTAATTTTCGTGCATCGTTTCCTCCATATTATCATTCTAAATATATTTTAGGAGCAAGAATCTTTAAATTATAATCAAGTTCAACCCCAACGATCGTCAAGGAAAAATCCCTCTAAGAAAGTTGTTGGTTTAGAGGCTCCAAAAAGAAAAGAAACAAAATCATTGCAGACAGAGCAGACTTCTAAATTAGCACAAAAAACTGTCGGCGAGCAAAAGCAGGTACGTATATAGCTGGATTGATCACTTCCCTCTGACGTAAACGTGCTCAGATTTAACTCGGAAAAGATTTTTGTGCGAGTAAATTTTGCCTTAAACTTGGCTCAACTCGAGTCTTGAAACAACGTATTTTAAAAAAAAATTATTTAGGAAATAAAGATTTTCTGTGCGAGAAAGTTTGGGAGAAACGAGACTGTTGGTTGACAGCTCTGTTGGCTGGAGATTTTGAAAGAGTATTTAAGACTAAAATTTCCCAGTAGGATTTGCTTTAAAGTTTTTTAAAATGGAAATATATTTTAAGTTATGTATTCTGACCTGCCCTGGTTATGCTATGTATATGAGAGTTTCGTATTTTATTCATAATACCAACGAAATAGCACATCAGTCGTACAGCAATCGTTGAAATCGAGATGCTCCGTGACTTGACACAGTCTTGAACTTGTTAATACTTACTGCTTTCGACTTTGCACTACGTACGTAGGTATGAGACTGTTTGAATAGTTGCTATGTAACGTAACTTAAAGTATTTTTCTATAGAAGCGACGTCAGTGTCATGCAAGCCCAAATGGAGAGCAAAGTATGGGGGGAAAGTTGCTTGTGATGAAGAGAAAGAAAAATTCAAAGTCAAAGTGCCAGCCTAAAAAAACAAAAAAACCTCCACAAAAAGTTAAAATTCTTGCACCATGTCCATCTGTGGTGACACAAGCGTCTTCGCTACCGAATGGAATGCCTACATCCTTGTTGACACAGTTCTCAGTTCTTTTGCAGGTATTCTCCTGCATGTCATATGGAGCATTTGTCGAGAAGCTGCTATCTATGGCGATTTTTGTGTAATGAGTATTAGCAACATTACAGTTGATGAGAGTTTGACATTTCGTTATTGATATCATAGTCACCTCAATATGCCGAAAGAAACTTTTTAAATCATTCCATGTCATATGATTGGCTCGCATGCTCCAATTGCATCTTACGCGTATGGAAGACATTATTTTAATGGCAATGTAGTCGTTGTGAGGCGGTTCACGTACTGGTCAATGGAACATAGCCAACTTTAAGTTATCAGTTCAAAATGAATTTATATAATATGATAAAATTCGATCCTGTTAACAAGCCCTCTATAAGTGTCTGGGAGGCAAGACATTCTCCCAAAGAGCATATTTATGCAATTCATTTGAGAGAATTACCATGTACTGTGTATTGTTGGGGTGGATAATTCTACATTCTATTCTATTAGAAGTTTTTGTGTATATGAATATATACATAAATTTATATGAGTTTTTCATGCCTGTTTTTTTTCTTTAGGCATTTCATGTTGACGTGAGTGGGGTGTTACAAAAAACATCCAGTGAAACCGCTCAACAATCAAACTTGGGTCTTTCTGCCAATCTAGGCACGGGTGAAACTTCTTCCACACAGGCAACATCAACGTTAACTAAAACCGACTCTCAAGATATGGCAAAGACATCTTCTGTTCCACCAGTTAGGGATAGACAAGAATTGCAATCTCATTCTTCTCATTCAAGCACAAATATCAACGAGACTGAACTCTCACAAGAATGCTCCAGCTCAATCCCAATAAATCAATCCCTTGAAAGTAATAATGAGAATGAGCAAATTTCTATTGAAAATTGCAAACATGCGTCTGAAAATACGAACAAGTTACATGAAAATCCAGGCAGGAAAACTGTTGAAAGAAGGCCATCCAATAAACTTGACAAGGCTGATACCCTACCAGCCAACATATCTCATGCAAACAATATATGTCAAATGAAATCAGGAAAGAAACGATCGTATGACGGAAATTCCACATCTTCTGGTGATGTCACAGTAAATGTTTCACCAAAACGTTATCCTAAGAGACGTAGACTTAATCAACATGAAATCAATTACAATGAAAATTTGAGTGATAAAGAGAACAGTGATTCAGCAATGACTGAATTTGATCCAAGTACACAAAAAGGAAGTGTTAGGAAATCCACGGTTATTGGTAGATCATGTGACCCGATATCTGGTATCGCTAACAATATCGTTGGTGCTACCATGAGTGGTGTTGCTACGACCTCTAGTGGTGTTGCTACCAGAATGAGTGGTGTTGCTACGACCTCGAGTGGTGTTGCTACGACCTCGAGTGGTGTTGCTACGACCTCTAGTGGTGTTGCTACCAGAATGAGTGGTGTTGCTACGACCTCTAGTGGTGTTGCTACCAGAATGAGTGGTGTTGCTACGACCTCTAGTGGTGTTGCTACGACCTCGAGTGGTGTTGCTACGACCTCTAGTGGTGTTGCTACCAGAATGAGTGGTGTTGCTACCAGAATGAGTGGTGTTGCTACCAGAATGAGTGGTGTTGCTACGACCTCTAGTGGTGTTGCTACCAGAATGAGTGGTGTTGCTACGACCACGAGTGGTGTTTCTACCACCATGAGTGGTGTTGCTACGACTTCGAGTGGTGTTGCTACCAGTAGCATCGCTGCGAATATCAATGTTAACAAAACTAGTGGTGTTTGTACAAATACTGGTGCTGTTGCAAACACAGAACTTGGTTGCAGCCCTTATTTTCACGTAAAAAGAGTAGCGGTCAATGGTCAGAATACAATTCCTAAAGTACCAGCCGTTCCTCCTTTGCCGCCTTCCGCCACTACTTTAAACGCTTTCAAAACATTGTTGACTTTAAGAAAGGATCTACAAATGCGAGCCAACCGCGTGGAAACTTCTCTATTTACCAATAACGAAAGTGAAACGGCTGTCCAGCAACATTCAGGTGAGAACGTACATTTTAGAAACTCTCAAAAACCAGGTGATGATTCTTTGTTACTTTTGGCCAACTCTAAACAAACGTCGTTCGTCGATTATCGAAATATGATCGCATACCAGCAACTTCTGAACCGGTTTAAAGGTCTTTTTATGTGGCCTGGTTTTTGTCCCTTGTGAATCCGTCAATTTCGAAGGCCAGTGGGGAAAAACCAAAAAAGAACAAGAAAAGACGTACAAACAAATGTTTAAATAGTAGAATTTCCTAACCCCCCTCCCCCCACACATTTGTGATTGGTCACACGTGGCAATAACTGCTACAAATAAATTATATCTTAATATAATATCCTCAGATGTTTAATCATCAAATGAAAACCACCTGTAAGTAAGTACAGTAAATACTTTATATACCTATAATCGTCGATTCACAATTTTTACTTTTTCTATTTACGAGATTGTTGTGGTTTTAACTCTACGTGTTTATTTCTTCCCATCTCTGTTGATACGTGTTTTTGTTGTTGTTGATTTTTAGTTGTTGTTGCTGTTATTGTTGTTTATCCTTAACCGCTAATACTTGAAATAAATGTTGTAAGCGTAGAGTGTTATTTATGCTACTTAACATGACGTCACTCACTAGTTGTCAAACAGCTGGTAAAGTTTAATGCGCGCTAGTAATGTGCCTCGAAAGATTTATTAGAATCTAAATGACAGCTTTACTATGTTTGTGGAAATATTATTGTGCCTTGCACTGTTCCTTTAGACGTTTGACCTGAAATACCTTGCCCAGACAATTTCTTTAGTGGAGTGGACGAATTGTACCTATTTTGTGCAAAGATGGATTTTTGATTATTTTGCAGAGGTGCCCTAATTTGGATTAACTTTGTGAAGATCTCTCTGCCATAACTCTCTTTTTTTAATTCGTGACTTTTTGTTATATTCTGTTTCACTAATGCTGATTGGGCGATAGTTTTTTTGGAAGTGTGCTCCATTTAAGTTAAATCTAAGTTTTACTTAATTGCTGGGTATAATATTAATTGGCACCGCTTCTACTCGAGGCTGGTAGAAATCAGGCGTAGGTTTGTTCAATGAAAAAAGAAGACAAACGAAGTGTATCATGGGTCACAGAGAAAGAGACCCAAAATTTGATTGTGCCTCGGGCTCCTTATTTCACTGAACGGCCGGTTTGTGCCCACTCATTCACACCCTCCCCTTAGTAAACCCATCCCTAATTTTGTGTGGGTGGTGTGGTAAGGTAGGTAACTAAGGTAAAAGTATATGACAAACACATCCCTTTGGACGTTAGATATTTCTATAAACATTACGTAGTAAGTACTGTAGTTGATGGTTTACAGTTGCCACGTTTATTCATAACAATATTTTCATTCCGTCAATGCAATTAATCAATAACTATGATATGGGTACTTTAATCAGTCGTAATCGTGACAGTATACACGAGACAGCAACAACACCATAGTATGTTGTCCGCCTACAGAAAGCGCAATTATTTAGATTGGCTTGCGACTTTTTCCAGTTCAATACACCAGTTTCCTTTGTCATAATAACAACGAACTACTGTAATATCATCTAGTTTTTTGCACTCAGCAGCAAGCTCGCCGTCTTTAAAAACATGATAATATCTTTGATGAATTATAGGGAGTTGTTCGTCTTTTGTGAAAGAGGAAAGAGAAACACCATCAACAGGCGTTTTTTTGCCATGCTTTTTATGGATCTGGTGACGCCAAGGTATTAACAAATCTTGTTGCTCAAAATTTTCTTTTGATTTGTTCACTTTCAAGGATAATTGTGACTTGCTAGATGTATCACATGAACGTAAGGGGATTTTATGAGTCGACAAAGGATCAGGGCAGTCAAGAGGAAGGCTTGTTTTGGCAACGTCATCCGTTTTTAAAATCGTGTTTGGAGTTGCAGCAGTTTCATAACTGCATTCATGTTGTTTACCATTTTCAATGTTAAGGGATGTGTCTGATTTCACATTTTGTTTATAATAAACCGTGTTTTTTGAAGGGGGTATCGATTTGTAACGCGCTACGAGTGGAGCTTCGTTTTCTTTCAACTGTAAACTACAGTCAGCTGAGGGTATGTTATCTTCAAATGTTTTTTGCTTCAAATCTCTATCTACAGTTGGTTTTTTATTGTTAAACTTGTCAAAATTTTGCTCTAGAGCCCAAACCGAAATCAAAATACGACCACCGGGTCTAACAATTCGAATAAGTTCTTGAATAGCGGCTCTTCGACGAACAGATGTGGACAAATGATGAACTACAGCAATGCACACACAGACGTCAAAACTGTTGCACCTGAAACGATCAACAAAAAATGAATGGCAGAAATTCGAAACCCTTAGCAAACAAATACTCCTTTTAGTTTTGTTTTAACTTCTAAAGTTACTTTTGTTTTAACTTTTAAGTATTCTTCATGCAATACACGATAATATTATACACTAACAAGACTACCTGTATGGTAAAGACAAAATGTCCGCAATTATCACGTGAAATCCACGTTCTCTACAAATGGTGGCGAGCTTTTCACTGCGGTCGGAGCCAAACATGAGCAAGTCCTTGTTTACACTGAGATATTTTCCATTACCACATCCAACATCAGCCACTAGTGAACCAACAGGTTGATTTTTGAGAAACTCAGCAATTTTAGGCCAAGGACTATGACGTGTATTACTAAAATGCTCCGCAATATTGTCGTAAACTTTATGGACGTGCTCCTTTTCTAAATTTACTGCATCGTCATGTGACCTGGGTAGAGGTTTTTCCATTGCTTGAATGTCATCCATTCTTGAAATTTCTGGAATCTCCAGTTTGACACGTCCGTAATTTTGGGAATCACAGTGTTTGGCAAAACGACAATGACAAGGAGAGTGTCGGACTTTTCGAAATGTTAACGATAATCTCGTCTTTCGAGGTAGAAGAGTCAATGCTGTAGAGGAGGGTGTTGAAAAGTTTGCATGATGTAATTCTCCATTTTCATGTAATATACTGGGTTTATTATCTTGGACTACGTCGTATTTGCGTGGAGTTATTCTAAGAAAAATAATAATTGGACGGTGCTTGTTTTGGACAATTTCAAAATAAAAAATCTATACAAATTAAATTGCGTAATTTAAAGGTTCAACTTTCAGTTTTCCGGCTTTGTTGCGCATATCATTTTTGCAAAATTACTTTCTTGGAATGTTTTTCATGACATGAGTTTTAATGTAAAACTAAGAATAACTGAAATTGCAATCTGTTCATCTTTGGTTGCCTTAATGGTTCGAAATGTCAGATGAATGTCAATGAATTATTAACTCTCAGTGGCCACTGTTTTTCACAAACAACAAAACAATCGCAAAGCGAGACGAAACGACAGAAAACACGTTTTTGTTTTCTTGTTATTTCAACTTGTTAAAGGTCTTCAGTAAGGATACAAAATATAAAGTAAATGGTTTGAATCATTTACGTGTAAAATACATGTACAATACATGAACTGGTGAGTTCTTTTACCCATGTGTCCAAGCATATCTACATTCTTCATTCATGATGAGAGCACTTCGTTGAGGAAGTAAAATCGAGACATGGCGACTGTCTTCATGTCGAAAATCCATGGCAACCTGAACAAATCTTTTATCTTAAATCAATATGCTCCTACATAAGAAAACACTATACCAAAAGGTTATGATGTAAATAATAATAATAATACAAATAACCTTTGCACCCAGGCTAACTGATATTATACCATTTTCAAATGCTGAATGAGTGTCTATGTGAGGAGGTATGCCTGTTAAAGGGAAAACATGTGAAAACATCACATATTCTAAAATAGTCATGATTACAACTTCAACTTACCTTGACCAGGAAGGTATTCATTTACAGTTAGCTGATCAGGTTTATGTTCAATGCAGTCAAGAGAGAGAAGCTTTTCTATTATTGGCAAGCACACATTTGGTATCCCATATGGTAATGGTGTATCTTTGTTGACATTGTTCGAGCCATATATGAATTCGTAACCAAAATGTTTCACATATCTATGCTTCAGTTGCCCTTAAGAAATTTGAGAATTCATTTAAATGTCATTTTTTTAGCTTTTCTCCACCTGCCCCACCGTCCCACCATCCTGCATACGTCAGCAACTTTCCTCAATCAATAGGCAAATACCTGTCACAGTAATGGCATTCAAATCATTACAGTTTGCAGCACTGCTACGTGAAAAATGCTGAATCAATTCGTTCTCCAGTTCTTCGCTGATAAATTCATCAAGAAGAATCATTCCGGGAGGGAATAACGCGTCAGATTGGTAAAGTTGTAAACAAGGTCTCTTCAACAAATAAGCAAGGTAAAATTTCCTTTCATCCTTCTCACTTAATGATACTTTCCGGCCATTAACGTAACTCATGGCCTTGCTGGCACTTTCAGAGTCATTGTAAAGTACGTAGCTAAATGACTTCCCGGAAAGCATGATTATATCATCCAATTTCCCATATCTTTGAAAGAGATTGACAAGGTCTTGCCTTTTAATTCCACAGATCAATCCACCGTTTTTCACCAATAAATACGGCGAAGGAGAGTCTGAGATCGCGCCAACCTCTCTTTCCTTATTTCTAATTGTATGAAGGGCTTTATTTTGTTTCTTTATGATTTTTCGTTCAGCTTTCGTTAATTTTAATCCGTTTTTCAGTGGAAATGTTCCATTCAATTTAGCAGCCATTATGCTTACACTGATATGCGTAATTAAACTGGAGCGCTTTCTGTTTTTGTCAGAAGAACAGAAAAAGTTGCCGAAGAAATAGTTGGCTGTTTTTTTTCTCTATGCAGCCTTAAGAAACTTAAGTTGTATATTTATGTCACTTCTTTTGCTTTATAGTTTGAGTTAATATAAAGTTACTTCAGAAAAGAAAACGATCACCTGCTGAGTACTGGGATTAAATGATGAATTGAGCATGAAACATTGCTTATTTGAATACCTAGATGTTTTTTGGTGAACACGTTTATTAGAAATGCTTTATAGGAACGAATTTAACCTTTCCACCAATGGACAACGTGCTTATTTGCAATTTTTTAAATTCACAATGGAATTTGAACATGAAAATGGCAAAGCAATGGTTTTACCTATGGATGTAAGGGACTTCAATTCGGGACGTTGTCGTCTTAGCGTGTGTGCTATGAAAAAAAATGGCTTGAAAATAAACGAAGCTGTTTGTATCGGTTTTAAACGCTGCAAATTTTATTGTAAAGTTTGGCCAAATGTGCATTCAAGCTTTCCTCATAAACAATGCATGCAATTTGACCCAAGTGTTGCTTTGCATTTTGACAAGAACTGTCCCGAAGTTATGGAAGTTTCTGGCTCTATAATAGATATTTCTAACAATATTACTCCTCTTAAATCACTCATCGCTGTAGTTGTTGAGGTAGTCGTCTTTACCACTGATGAAAATGTGACGACTTTTTCTCCACGAGTTATGTACAACAAAGCAAGACGACAGTCACAGGTCGATTGTATCCTACGAAATAAAGTATTTACTAAACATTGTTGGATTTCTGTAACAAAGCCACTCAATGGTGGGCAACAATTCACAGATGAAATCCACAAAATATTTGTTTGCGACGTTAATGGTGAAAAGGTATATGCGGTTGCTTGTGTATGGTTAATACTATGTATGAAGAAATAGGTGAATTCATGGTACTTTTATGGTGACTGTGAACTAGGGAAATTTAAGTTTTAATGCATATTATATACTGTTGATGGCTGAGGGGTAAAATGGGTGGAATACTGTTTTCAATATATGTGCATAATATGCTTTAGGACAATCATCAATCAGATGTTGCTTTCATCACTTCCAAAGCCACAAACATTGCAGTAAAGAGTATAAAAAGGACACTTCCAGGCTTCTCTATCAAAAGCAACATTTGTTTGGCTGCCTATGGAGACATTGTGAGACAAATACTTGATGCTGTCACCTACAGTTCAGGCATTGACCAACACAATCAAAGTTTTTTGTTGTTAGGTCCTCCAGGTGTCGGCAAGACTTCATTAGTCACCTACCTTGCTAACTACTGGAATGCTGAATTATTTGTGATAAATGGTGGGGAGACATTTGGTGCCCACATTGGTGAGAGTGAAGCTAATCTTAGAGCAATCTTTGAATGTGCAAGGTAATTCCAGTCATAATCATATTTTCTAGTGCCATCTTTATAATAATATCTTAATGGTATAGTATTTATCAATCCTTGTTTTTTTTGGCTTTAGGGAAGCATCCAAAAATGTGCCTTGTGTAATATTTATGGATGAACTTGATGTAATTTGTGCAAAACGTTCTCAAGGAAATGACTTTGAAAATCGAGTTTTGTCATTATTATTGAGCATGATTGACAACTTACCAGCAAACATGATTTTGATTGGATCAACAAATCGACCCAATGCTCTGGATTCTGCCATCAGAAGACCTGGAAGATTTGATAAAGAGGTACGTAGAACTATAAGTACATGCATGGAATCATTCAATGATCAGAACTTTGCAGTTCAATGAAAATGAAAATCAATTTTGTTTACAGTTTGTAATTGGTGTGCCTAATTGTGACCAAAGGAAGGAGATGCTGGTTTTTCAAACAAAGAAACTTGCCTTATCATCTGATGTTGACTTAGATTACCTTGCAAAACAGTCACTTGGCTATGTTTCTGCAGACCTGACAGCATTGGTACGGCAAGCCACTATAAATGCATTGACGACAAGAAAAGGTGAATTACCTGAAAATAGATTTCATTTTGAAACCCCCAAATCACAATCTGCTTGTTGATCAAATCTCTCAGGGAAAAAGCAAACAGTGAACAAGAATATTATCATCCTTATTTTCAACATTGTTTTTTATAGATAATGGCATTATAACTAAGTCAGATTTTGAATCAGCTCTGAAGGCTATTGTTCCATCCACCTATCGCGGAATAGATGGTTTACAAGAGAGTGTTACAATAAAATGGGAAGATATTGCAGGATATGATCATATAAAGCAAGTTCTAAAACAAGTATAGCCTAGTTACTCCTCATATTGTGTGTCATGTTATTCTGGATGTGATAACAAGCATCGATCAATTCCTGTTTTGATACCTAGGCTGTTGAGTGGCCGTTTCTTTATCCCGATTCATTCTCAAGACTTGGATTATCTTATCCTCGTGGTTTATTGCTCTATGGTCCCCCTGGCTGTTCCAAAACAACATTAATACGTGCAGCGGCAGCATCATGCAAGTGTACCTTTCTATCCCTTAGCTGTGCTCAACTATACTCTCCTTATGTTGGTGATGCTGAGCGAATTATAAGAGAAGTTAGTTATAAATTATTTGTGTAGAATACCTTCTCATTACTTTAACTGCGATGAAAGCGTTTTTAATCGTGATCCAAACCTGAATGGAATGTGTATTTAGAAGCATTTTGTGCAGTCACACTAAAAAATATTTTTTCATGCTCATTGCAAGAATATTTTTTTCATGTTCAATATTTTTTTCGAACTCAAGCATGTTCAAACTTTTCATCATTTGACGAATGCCTGGTTTTCTACTATACAAGCTTCTCTGCTATTTATGCTTCTCACTCCATATCGTTGCAACTTTCAAGCTTTCATCGTTCATTGAGGTTCCTTTACCGGTTGTTTTGTAGGTGTTTACAAAAGCTCGAGCTGCTTCGCCTGCTATTTTGTTTTTTGATGAAGTCGATGCCGTGGTTAAAAAACGAAGTATGAACAACAGTGGCGGTGTTGAAGGAAGAATATTGTCTACATTATTGAATGAAATTGATGGAGTTGGGATATCTAGTGATGTGTATCATAGCAAAAGTAGGTCAGTGTCATGTCGGTTATGTTTTTCTCATACCTACCGAGATTTTTATGAAATTGACATCCTCTGCATCTATACGTGTTGTAATCAATCTATTCATTTCAGTGACGACAAATCTTATATGAAAAACATGAACGTGTTGTTCGTGGCTGCTACTAATCGTCCTGATGTTTTAGATGAAGCGATCTTACGACCTGGTCGTATAGATCGTATTGTATATGTACCGCCTCCCGACATAACAACACGTACAAAAATACTACAGCTTTATTGTATGAAGATGCCTCTATCTAATGATGTCAACATTCACGACATTGCTGCGAACACTAAATTTTTTTCTGGCGCTGATTTGAAAAACTTTTGTCGTGAAGTAAGTTGATATGATTGTGCTCAAGACTTTACAAATCATGATCATTCATTTGTTTATTCCCCCGCTTTGTATTTTTAGGCAGTATTTAATGCAATGCAGGAGTTTGGCATTGAAAGCTGTCACCATGTCCAACACAAACATTTCCTTCAAGCTCTATCGATGACTGCTCCTTCACTTTCGCAAGAGCAGATCAAGAGATATGAAGAAATGTCTTTGTGTTGCTGACCTAATCAAAGCATCCTATGAATGGTTCAGCACTGTGAATGTCTTTGCAAGTCAAAATTGAGGATGTGTCTAAAGTTGTTTAATAAATTATTTCAAAGTTGGAGGACTATCATTGTTATATGGATGATGACATGGACGAGGTCTGGTAAGATGTTCAGTATCATCATTTCATGGAGGACAAGATGCACGAGGTCTGTTAAAGTGTGCAGTGTTATCATTTTAAGGAGGAGTCCAATTATGTGTAGACTATCATATTTGTACGATCAGATGTAAAGGCGGACAAGCTGCAAATCAAATCAAATATCGCGTCAAAATCAAGTCTGTGTGCTAAGTGGGTTTTTCGAAATCATGCCTTACCGGAATTCACCGTGGTGGATTCTTGGAAGTTTACTTACTAAAGAGAAATAACAAAACCAGTGCTGCCACTCTGTGTATGCACATTTCACCTACCAAAACTTTATTTTCCCACTAATTCCCCCTACTATGATCTTTCTTGTTTTCCCCTACTTTTCCCCTACACAACAACATATCCCCCTATTATATACCTACGTCGGGTCGGACCATTGAATTTTTTTAGTCTGTTTTTAAAAAATGCATACAAAAAAGGTTTATCGAAAACTAAGAACATCTAGACTACAAAGTTAGAATTTGACATAGGAAGTAATGACATGCAGGTGGCGCAAATGACACACTGAGTTTATGCTAAGTTGCTGATCTTCTATTGCCATTAATGGTCACAAATTGTGCCAAAAGAAAGATTCTGTTACAATCACTTGCTAAATGGTGAGAACACAGGATGAAAGAGTATTTTGGGCAAAAATGAGGCTCATTTTTAACGATTTTCTTTTCTCCCTACAATCCTCCTACATTTTGCAGTTTTCACTCTAGGTTCCCCTACCACCTACAAACCACTAAATCCCCCTACTGTAGGGGATTTCCTCTGCGAGTGGCAGCACTGACAACAACTGTATTTATTTTTTCATTTGCTATCTGACGTATTGCCTTTTCAGCTATCTGATTGGATAAACGAGCAGTCATTGCATTTTACTAATTTTAAGACGTAAACATGTAACATATTTTCCAATACAGACTTCTGGAAAAACATTCCATAAGTTGTTGGAATAATTAAGTGTTTATTTTTCGATCTATAAATACAGATGAAAAAAGGAGATGGCGATCCCGTGTATTTCGTTCGATGAAATTTGTGTTTCGAGTGTAAAGAAATGCGTTTTAAATTTTTTTATGTCACATTTCTGTTGTAAATAGTTATAAGATATATCACACTGTTTCTCACTCGCACAGTTCCCCGTTGCTCAATCAAATATTCATTTGATTTCCTACTATGCACCTACTGTGTGCCCGACCTCTTTGTTTACTATTGCCCACATATTTTAGTAATTTTACATCTTGACGTCATACTTAGAGAGGGATTTTCCATGAAGCAATGTTGTCGATAGCAGGCTTATTTTTTTATGCGAAGAACGATCAAAATAAACTTTATTAAGTTTTACGTTAACATTAATATGTTAAAACGTACATTTCAAATGATCAATTTAAAGTGCAATGATCAACGATACATTACATAATTCACACTCGGAATAAAAATTGTTTGCATTTCCATGGGGAAAAATTTGACTCCAGTCACGCGTTTCCTGTACGTAACTACGACTGCATGATACCAAATATGCCATGCATTTGTTATCTAGTTTGTTGTTCAAAGGTTTAATGGTTTAATAGAAAATTAGGACGTTATCAGTGTTAAATATCGGTATTCGAGGACTCTGTGACTAAGTAGCACTGTTAAGTAGTCGAATCCTCATTTACATTTTACATAATTTCTTGTCGGCGATATATATGTCAGTAGTGACCGCCTTGTGAACGCCTTAATTATTATGCGTGTTTTTGACCACACCTCCTCTACACCTTTAACAGTGATGTTATGAAATTTTATAACACAGTTGTCAAACTTTCTTGAACTAAAAGAGAACGTAAATGAATGCAAAGAGAAAATTTTCTCGTAAAACTTAAAGCCATTGCTTGAAACGATGGATAAAAGCTTGAAATCATCGGATCTTATTGCAGGAGGTTTATCAGGTGCTGTTGCGACGACTGTAACTTACCCGCTTGAAGTTCTGAAGACAAGGTTACAATCTTCATCTTTCGCCATCCGAAGTGTTCCCAATAAATCATCGCAACAACTTCTGCGACCAAGCACAAAGTTTGGCTTACTTAATGGACAAATTTCTCCGATAAGACATGCCTCTTTGTATTCATGTACCAGGCAAATGGTTCAAAACGAAGGTTATGTGTTATTTTTTCGTGGGTTTCTTGCTAATGTCACAGCTGTTTCACTATCAAAGGCGTTTTATTTTCCTGTATACACAAAGTGTAAACGTTTCCTGGGAAATGGAAATGACAAATCAAGGAATGCAATCGTTCACAGTTTTTCTGCTGCGTCAGCGGGCTTCGTTAGTGCCACACTTACCAATCCCGTATGGTTTTGGAAAACTAGATTGCAACTTGACATTTCTGTTGGTAATCAGAAATTGGCAAAAAAAATCCCTATAGCCGTTCAAATATATAAAAAGGAAGGAATTCAAGTTTTCTTTAGTGGCTTGACGGCTTCCTATCTTGGGATTGGCGAAACAGTAATTCAATTTGTCCTGTACGAATTCATATGTAGTGTACAAAGAGATCGAAGAAAGAGCGGGTCTGAAGAACAAACGGTGAACGTTTCCAGCTGTATGATAGCAGCCTCTATATCTAAAACTATAGCTACTGTTGCTGCTTATCCTCACGAGGTCTTCAGGACTCGTTCAAGAGAACATCAAAACGTTGGAAAACCGATCTTACAATTATTTAAAGAAATATTAAGTAATGAAGGTTGGCAAGCATTGTACAGAGGTTTAGGTCCCCATCTTATTCGACAAGTGCCAAACAGTGCTGTTTTATTTTTGACCTACGAAAGTATTACGCAATGTGCTAATCGTTAGATTGTTTAATTGTATGTTAAACAGTTATTGATAGATCAATCATCAACGTATGTAGAATTACATGTACATGTAAATAATGAAGACTGTAAATTGTAATGATGAAATATAAGTGCAAATAATGTTGGTCGTTCCTTTTCAATAACATCGTTTTCCTTCAATAACATTAACTTTCAAATTTTCTGAAAAACCAATCAATTGATGAACATCCATACAAGCCAGTTCAATAAAATTGTGAATAATATCTTCTAAGCTAGAATTTCCGACCCATTTTTTTGTTTTTCTAGTTGAAGTCACAGGTCAAAGCACTATTTGAAAATGTCTTATATGTTAATAAACAACACACCACATGAGTTATTGCCGGGGGTTCAAATCATTAAAGGTAGAACCATACCATCTTAACCGTGACTTTAACACATTTCAAATTGATTTAACATAGTTGCAAATAAAATTAAGAAATTGAAAGGCATTTTACAACTGAATACTGAGTTAGAATTTTATCTAACTCAGTAAATATATTTTTGTGTTTTGAAATTTATCCCTATACGTGAGTAGACAGGGCCTACTTGCTAAGAGAGTATTCTTTAACTCATTATTCCCACCACATACTTTATCAATGAATTTTAACATCGATCATTCACACTTTTCCGAATACAAATGCTTACTTCTTTCTTCGCATCTCCTTACCTTGCAAGACCATGTTTGTCACATAATGTGGTATAGAAAAATGGCAACTATGGTTATGGTCGTTCGTCTAAATTCGGACAAATACGAAATGAAGCATTGAGATTTCATAAATTATGTATTTTTCTACTAGTTTATATAAGTCATCACATTTATCGCAGTCTTTTTGATAGCATATAGCTTTTATATATAAATGTAAATTTCAATTTCAGCTACTTTTTGGACTATATTTACAGAAGCAAAAACCACAATAAACAGGAGAAAATGATTGCGCATATGCATGCAACAAAAATTTACATCAAACATCAAATTCATTATCTTCCCCATCAAATTCAGGCGATGCATCAACAGGGGCATCAACATTTTCTTTTTCCTTCTCTATCTTGGAAACATATCGATGTATGATTAATCTAACTTGATACTCCAAATTCTTCCTTCGTTGACGCGATTGTGGAGAGAGACATCCTTGGAACAAAACCAACGGAAGTGCAAACAACGCACACAAAAAAGCAGCTTGGACATAAGGCGATGTATCATTTGCTTCATTTAGAGACATGATTCCCACAAAGGCTATAGAAATATAAACTAACATTATCATAAAGTTTATCATAATGGTCAAAAATGTTTTTGCTCGGGGTCTGAGACGACGATAAACACCAACATACAAGGCCAGTGGAATCGATGGTGTATTGTTATCATCCAAAAGCAGCAATCCATAACATTTAGGAGGCGTCGTGCTATCAACACTGTCAGTCGAGTTATTTGGCTTCTGCTGATGAAGATTCATAAGTTCCAGTTGCTCGTACTTTTCGCATTCTTCGAAAACAACGATACGCAAATTCTCATAGACAAAAAAGTAGTGAGAGAGCGCTCTCCAAAAGTAGAATATGACAAAGAGGGCTAAAACAACGTACGGTATGTAATATTCCACATTGAAAGCAAGACCAATTGACGTGAATAGAAATATTTTGCCACAAATGTAAAAGGATATTCCGAACATGACGGACAAAAACACGTACGACGCCAAAACTGAGGTGCAGAACAAGAAAAATAGAAAAGACAAAAACGTAATCAACGTATAACGAACACAATACGGAAGCCTTTCACAACAGTTGCATCCCATTGGTAGATCTTGTTTGTAGAGAAACCTGAAAATTCTGAAAGCTACATATCCAACGGGTGTTATGTAGACGACGAGACAAAAAAGAACAAAAGGTATCCACAAAACCAAAATGATTGGAAGGAAGAAAAAACCAAGAACAAGAAAAGTCTTATGGGGTTCAACATCGTCATGATCCTCTGAAGATTGACTGGTTGCATTTTCTTTGGTTGAACAACAACACCACATTAGCAACCAAGCACATGGAGAAACAATTATTTTGAGAATGAATAACCAGAAGCTAAGATCAAAGCAACATTTCAAATGAAACACCATATTTGAATGCATAAACTGAAAACCACTTTTTCCGGAGTAGTTATTAATCAAGGCATCTGGCTTTGGAAAACCAAGAAATGTTTTCTCGTCCTTACGCCCAGACAAATACCTTCCTAATGCTGACAAGCGACCTGGAATCACCACCAACATACCAAGCAAAAGAAGGCAAAACAATGCAATGGCAAAGGCATAATACGCTGTTGGTGGATTAAGCTCAGTAACAAAGCCAGTATAATAACTCACGTTAGTCCTTACTTGTGCCTTATTATTTGTTATGAAAAAAGTTACAACAACTACACAAAATATCAGTGGAAATACTAAAAGAATAACACCTCGTCCAATCCTAGAGAAACAAGGTTGTGCCTCATCACCTCCACAGGTTGCAAAGGATAAAGGTTCAGTTAGTGTTAAAAGGACTTGGGTGGATGAAGATAAATTTACAGGAGTGGTCAAGTAGTTGGAGTAGCCAAGTTGTTTAGGTCTGTTTACCCTTGAACGGCGAACAATTCGTGTGTCTCTTGTTGGTAAATACTTTAGCAAAAGTGGGTATAAAATGACGTTGATAATACTCATGGCTAGTATGGCAATGATGCCAAATCTTACCCACTCAATGGGGTAAATCATATCAGTGCAATTCACCATTCCATCATTCAAATTTTCTCGCCATGAGCAACATCGAAATTCAATGTTTTCAACCATAGATTTTTTCTCATTCTTCCCTGGCACAAAGCATACAGACTGACCTTGCTTTACATGAATCTCTGGTGTGTTGTAAAGTGTAGCAGTAATTACCATGTCTTGGCACAAAGATGTGAGACGTTGAAAGCACTTCTTGTTGTTTTGGGGATACATCTTGATATTTGACGTTTTCACTCCATGATTCAGAATTTTTATTGATAAGATTATGCTGTCATCTGGTAATGCTAGTAAAAACTTTGCTCGTTCATTACGAATCAAGTATGAGTGACTAGTATGTGCGGTTTCATTGCAGTCGTTTACAGTCACTGTGAACAACACAGCAATCTCGTGTAGGTTAAAATCATTACTAGTCTCCCTGACCGATAAGTTAAAATTGCAAACTGTCTTGGCCATCGCAGTTGGCATAACTTTTTTTGCAGGCAAGCCAAACAATAGTTTTGTGTCGTCTTTTGAAATTCGCCAGTTAGAACGATGTTGATCTCCAGCAGCGGAAAGAGAGTTACTGTTTGTAAGACACCCAAAAATTATTAGTAAGACATACAACTCATTCATCGTTGATGAGCAATTTACGAGATATTTCACATAACACAGTTTTTAGACTGAGAAAAATTATTCAAACCAAAGAGACAATTTAAATTTCGTGCACTAAGTTGACTGTTTGACACTTGTGATATGCATGTGGTAGACACTTGAAGAATCATTCAAGGAATGCAGTGCTTCCACTATGTATTCGTAATTTCTTATAAGTATGTGTTTGCTCCATTGGTTTGTTTTTAAGCTAATTTATCAGATTTCAGACGCTAAGCACCAAAAACGCCATACAAATTGTGATACTAATTTAAATAAGTAAAATAATTCACAGTATATAAAATAAAGTTTGACAAAATAGTGCCCTCCGGTGGCACTCAGTCTGAGTCTGTCAATCCTCAGTCCTCATACATACTCTTACGACATTAGTTTTCATTTTCAAAATTGAAAAAAGAAACGGAAGCACTTACATGGTTCACAAAGTTGACATGGCAAGAAATTAAATAAAATTTCTTCAATTTTCTACTTAAATTTTTAATGATTCATTGAAAATATATTTCTAGTGAACTTCAAGTATGTTTCACATATCTGCTGGATTAAGGGTTAACAAAATACTTACATACATTTTATTATGTAATATTACCTTCCGTTCGCTGTACAGCCTTGTACTTAGCCTTAGCACGTCTTGGGGTCAGTTAATTTTGTATTTGATGCCCTTACGTACCCCCGTTTATCATGTAATACTTCGTTTTTAATGACTTCAAAGAAATGTATGAGCCAAGACTCTACAACTGTACAAATATTTCATCTATGTATTTCTACAGTAACTTTATCTCTATCCCCTCCCCGCTCTAAGCGTGTAACTCCCACCTCTAACGAAGAGCAAAACGATTTTTTAAATCTCATGAAAACGTGGAAGAGTACCGCATGAACGATATTGAAACTGATATTCACAGTCAATCACTTTCTTTGTATCATCGTTTTCCATTTTTTCAATTTTGTCTCAATTCCAAGAAATTAGCATTCATATTAGCATATTTGAACCCTTGACTGATGCGTATTTTACCGTTTAAAAAATTCGGTTCTATTATGTTATGTTCAGCTTTGGAGTTCTCGCGTATGTATTTTACTGCGTAAAATTTGCTGGCGATTTTTAAAATAACTAAAGTCATTTGTGATTTTCGTGTTTTTGTTGGACCCACGGGGATTTCTAGTTTGCTTACACCGAGCGCGTATAAGACGGATTGGAGTCCAGTCAATTTATTTTTTGAGAATCCATACAAAGGCTCGTTACAACTTACAAGAGCTTTAGAATTTCGAGTAGATTTCTGAATACGAACGGAGAATATGAGTAAGATTATATTCAAACTGAAATAAATAACAACTTCATAATATAATATTCTGTTTGATGTTTAGGTGTACGAAACATCAGCACTACAGGAGCATCAGCTGCAACTGCTAGACAAGATCGCTTACCCGCTGGTATGTGTGGTATTGCCTAGTCTTAGTAGTTGCATTTTACTATTCGCCATGCCTTTTGAGGTTTTTCATCATTTATCTTTGCTTTGTTCATTCAAATTTATTCTTTAATGATTTTAACGACCGTCGAAATATACGTTAATTATCGTGGAAGAGGAAAGAGCTTCCGTGTTGAATCTTGAACAGTTAAGTCAAGCAAGAAATCTACAGTATTTACCAGCAGAAATAAACGCCAAGCTCAAAAACGTTCATCCATGACGTTTTTATACTGTTTATAAGTTTTGAGTGGGGATATCTGTGAGCGCGAAATTAATTTGCAGCTGTATTGTATGCGAATAAAATATTGCTGTTCACGATAAAAATGTGCATTGATTGATAGTTAGATATACAAACATAAAGCGCGGAGAATTGGCATTAAACACAGGGCAAATTGGCGTTTATGGAACAGTATTGGTTTGTCACACAATATTTTTCCAAGTAAAAACGTAGCCACGTGAACTTTTGAAAGAATACGAAAGCATATCTTTACATTTTCATCAAGGTGTTGCTAGTTCTGAGGCCATGGCTGAACGTGACGGCAGGTATATTCAAGCATACAAAGAAATTATTCACGAAGTTGGTAGAGAGTTAAATATTGGACCTTCACTCATCGCTGCTATTATATCACGTGAGAGTCGTGGTGGAACAGCACTAAAGGAGGGCTGGGGTGACAATGGTAATGCATTTGGTCTTATGCAGGTTAGAATTACGTATGACGAGGTTATGCAATAACCAAGATAAAAAGCCATGGTATGTTGCGACTTGCGAAATTCTGGTTACGAGATCACCCACCGTTAATGCTCAGGGTCTTTTTCTAACGGTAAACAGTAACGATTCTGCCTTTGGTGAAGTAAGTTTGTGAAAGAAAACAACCGCAATTTTTTTACTTCACCAAATAATTCTAGTGAACATGTGCAGACTTGTATTGGTCATGCTCCTCAAGAGCCGGTGATGAACCTGAAATCCATGGGACAGCCTGCAACTAACCATTCATTTACGCATGGGTGTGTAACAATGTTACTAAATTATTTTAGATTGACAAACGTTGGCATACGCCACGTGGTGCTTGGAACAGCAAAGAGCATGTGGGTCAAGCCACAAATATTCTTTGTGATTTCATTCGTTCGTCAGACAATCCTTTCCGTCATCACCCTGATCAGGGTTTAAAAGGTATATCATATCTTACATGTACTGACCTTTAAGTCACGCTGATGCATGATCGATAGAAGTCGAAAATACGAATGATTATGTTGTAATATGTACATCAAAATTCAAACGTTCACCTCTCCTTGGAGATTAGACAGTCCTGAATCATGCAAATTCTAAATGTCGGTTGATTTCACACGAGCAGTTTTTTGAGACACCTTGTAGTTTAATCACTTGGTTTCTGACAAAGGTTTAATTTAATGATGCATTGTAACATTGTAACAGTTTTGTTACACTGATTTGTGCGCAGGACAAATTTCAGTGTGGGAAAATTACGTTTGGTCCACGTTGACGACATTGCGCTTTTCTAAATAAAAAGTAATCTAGAAGTTTACATAAAATGATCTTTACGGTTCTTAAACCAAAAACTGAACAGTGAACAAAACTTTTAAAAAAATTGGAATTCAGTTGTGGATTATTATACTCCTTAGTCATCCAAGCCTTCTTAATTTTATCATTTGTAACCTTCTTCATATTCAATGTGTTTTAGAGGAGATTAATATATTGATGGAGTAACCATGACTAGAACGGCAAATTTTATTTTGTTTTTCAACATTTTTCGCAATTCTCTTTCAGCTGCTATCGCTGCGTACAACGCTGGTTTCAAGAGAATGTCGAAAAATTACAACGAAATTGATAATCATACAACTGGGCAGGATTACTCCAACGATGTAGTGGCCAGGGCCCAATATTTTGAACGAAATGGTTTATAATGATAACAGGTCTTGCTGATTTTGTAACAGAGAATTTGAGTGATTGAATAATGTACAATGATTATGCCTAATCCATTGTAGTTATTGACTTTTAACTATAATGCTTTTCCTGTGTCTTTGCAATCATGCGATGGATTATAAAGCCATTATCTTTTCGTGGCATTTAGCACCCTTTACAGTTTGTCCCCAGAAGTACCCTCTTGTACCCTTAGTACTTTTAATACTTTTAATACTTTTAGTTCATTACTGTAAAGCTGCCTGATTGACGAAATACTTATGACTTCTCTATCGGCCAAATAACATAACGTGGGAAAAATAAACGAAAGCACTTCATAATAAAGATATCTGGGTGAAAGTGTGTAACTGTGTACCTATATTTTCGCTGTTATATGTTATTTGGCCAATAGGAAAGGTATAAGTACACTGCAATTCGCTCGATTAACCAAATCTACTTTAGCTTTACTACAAAAGGTCTGATAGGATACTTAAAGGGTACTTTTATTTGTGACACCCTGTATCATAATGATACTATGATCTCATGTCACCTAAAAGCATCTACCTTTAATCGATTACCACTCATCTACCATCTTTATCATTCATCTACTCTCATCAACTGTCATTCACTGTCTTCATCACTCATCTACCTTCTTTACCATTTATCTGCCTTCTTGAACTGACTGTCGTGTCGTCATCCATCGTTGTCATCACTCATCGACCATGTTTACCATTGGTCGTCCCCATCATTGGTCCCCATCATTTAACTAAAATACATGGAACGCTACCTCAAGCAAATAATTGAAGCCATATCTTACGCCAGACACGCTAGATTTTACCCCAGACACGCGTGTTTAGTGTTCCGAAATTCTCTCGCGAGTAATAATTGATTGACTATACACACCCGTGTCTGGGGTAAAATCACGGCTTCAAAAAATTATCACGGTTTTGTAATTTGTATTGCAGGTGGCGTTCCATGTGTTTTAAGGCTGATTTCCATTCAGTGCAAATTGTCGCGCGATCGACTTTTTGCGATCACTTTCTTTTGAATTGTGTGCAGCAGTGTAAAACTGTTCCGTTCGAGAGCTTACAATTGAAAAGTAAGTGATCGCAAAAAGTCGATCGCGCGACAATTTACACTGAATGGAAATCAGCCTTTAGTTCAATGGTCCCCATGCCGTCCCAAGGCAACGGTCGACGAAGACTATGCGAAACAACCCGAAACTAAAACGACGATCATTTCGATATAAAATAGTAAATTCAACTTGGAATTTCTGTATTTCTCGGAAACAAGCGAAATGCGTCTCTAGACTTTTGAATTCAATCATTGAGAAATGTATAAGTGGATTTATGCTGCGTACATTCTTCTAGAATGTACAAACTTTTGCACTACGGAATATGATCTGTATATAAATTCGACAGAAAGTAAGAAAATATTTGGTAAGTATCTGTCCGATAATAAAATATATTATGATGCTTGTCTATTCTTTCAAAGTATCTTGGTTTCATTCACTTTGAATTTTGAGTCTATGCACCCCAAAATATTGAGAGGCCATTTGAAATGCCTTCGCACAATGAGTAGATAGAATTTGATACATGATAGCATATGTATTTATTGTGACTGGAGTGTACTGACGCCAGAGAGTATTAAATATTTGACTGCTAAAAATTTTTGTTTGAGTGTCAATCTTGTTTTTCATTTTATAACAAATACCCGTGTATATTTGTTGTACAGTTTACATGAAATGCTGCCTGGTCCAGAAAAGGAAAGTGTCGATGTTAAAGATATACACAAAATTGCTCTGATTCCTCAGTAAATTTATTTATTAACTTATGGCCTTTTCATGTTATTTTTTCAGACATATAGATGACTTGCCTTGTTTACATTATGCGGGCAGGGAGTCTAAGAGGGGTTAATCAGTGTTGTCTTAAGCACTTGACTGAATCTGCCTGCCAGCAAAACGTAGACAAGGCAAGTCATGTATCCGGTAATAAACAAATGACATGCAACTTGCTATGTAAATTTTTCTATTTGTTTTGATTGTTTGTAAACAGCATAGCTTCTATTTTTTAAATCTTGTCACCATGTAAAAATGACCACCCCTTACTAATCTTAGAAAAGAAGTTCTAATAGCAAGAAGTAAGGTGTACTGTATTGGCATCCTTAAAATTCTGGCTCTCGATTTGAATATCATTGGATTTCCGCTTGTTCATGTATTGTACAAGTTTGTTGCAAATGATGAAAAATTTGTGGTCAACCATTATCATATAAGTTGGCCTTGATGGCATTAATTTGATTGAACGGCATCCTCTTTTTCATGTCATATTTATTTCAGCTATTGGTTAGATTTGTTGTGTCAGGTAGTCACAACTGGGGTGATGTGAGTCTATGAGGCAGGTGACTTCTCATGGATGACTTATTGTTTACTGTTACACTTTCATTTATCGCATCTTATATATAGGGACCATGTTATAAAAAGGCATTGTCCATAAAAAAGTGCGATAAGGGACCAGACTGGAAAGTTTGCAAATTGCGCAAGCTAGAGGAAAAGTTTCAGCAATTTTGTGCTGTAATTTCCAAACTTTTTGCTCATGCTTTATATTATGCTTAGACAACTTTATACATTGCATGTTATAACGCTAGGTTGCACTTGACATACTTTTTAGTTTGGGTAAGGGCTACGGGACCTTTATCACCAGTATCACATTCCCTGTAATATTGATGTGGTTTGGGTTGAAGTGGGTTTCCACATATTATTAAGTTCTTTCTTTTTAGGTTATGAAGCAAATTTTTACTTTGTGAGAAATGGGGAAATCAAACAAAATGCTGTTGATCATCATATAAACATACCAACAAAAGAGAATTGTGTTCCTTTTTCATGGAAGGCGACAAATTATAAGGTTGCTGGATATTTTTATTATTTGTTGTTTATTATTTGTTGTTTATTATTTGTTGTTCTTTAAACTGTGCAATAAAGCCTTCTATAACTGTGAATGGCTTTCTAATAATATGTGACTAAGTGAGCTATTTGACCAAGTGACTAAGTACATTCAGTTGGTTTTTGCCACAAGTATGAACTTGAGCAGTTCGTCAAGTTGATTGTACATGCTCACTAATTTTTCTTATGGTTTGTGACAGAGTGAGCTAGTTACTTTTAGAGCATTGCTTTGAGATCCAGTTGATTGGTATGAATTTATTGGTTGGTGGAGTAGAATATGGAAATTTTCAGTCATACATTATGGGCATGTTGTCTTCTTTGAGTTCCAACTTAATTCATTTTCAAACTTCTTAACTCAATGATCCCCTACTATGCATAAAAGCCAAGGCCTATACAAAACCATAGACATTATTCATATTACACTGTTAACAAAAAGAAATTGCTTTCATATGTAATCTGTGGACAACAAAAAGACAACTGGTTAATTAGACACGAGTCTGTGATAAATTTCATTAAATTTTTTTGTGATTAATAGCATCCATTAAATTCATTAAAATTTTTTTCGAATGGTTCATTCAAATTATGAGTAAAAGGCAGTGTTTTTTAAACTTTGCACTGTCCTTGAATCCCTAGTCTCTCTCTATTTTAAAGAAACCAGATTATGTATTGTAAACACATGTTGATAAAGTCAAGAAAGTATAGCCAAGCTATCATCAGAGAATCAGAATATGCATTTTGACCTCAATGCAAACATGAAAAACATTTGGCCTAGAGGCTCAGATTTGAACTCACGCCTTGGGATACTAGTAAGCCGAGATACCTTTAAAGCTATTAAGCCAATAGAGATTGGATCCAAGTCAAATCTCTCATAAAGTACTGAAGGACAAAATATCTTTGGCACCATAGCAATCTTGATGGAACTGTGTTTTGACTTCATTCAAAAGCCATGAATTTGACAGTTTTGACTTCATTCACAGTGTATATTTTGGAGAGATCATTTCTGTATTCATAACAAGAAGAAATTTTATTCTTTATTCAGAAATTTTGTTGTGTTTTGTTTTTATAGGATAAACTTCAAGTTGACTTTCATATACTGATCAATGCCTCTGGCATCATGCATTTTGATATGCCAAGGTTAACAGCTATCAAAACAGAAAAAAGAGGTATATTTAAAGTTTTCCAAGTTATGCATGCACCTAAATGATAGGTATGTATGTACTAATGTACAACAATATAATTAAATATAGCTATAAATTGCTACATTGTGTTTCATATACCTATATAATCATCAAACAAATGAATTATTGCCAGTCAAATTGGATCTTTTGCATATGTATGTGATGACATCAAATGTCTCCCTGGTTTGCATACACCTGTGCAAACATGAAAAGGTCTTTTATATCTTTTATAAAATAACTGTAATGTGAAACAGATAAATTTAAAATGAATGTTTAATATGCGAATTATTTTTGATTGATTTGATTGATTGAGTTCAGGTCGGTTTGCACAGAGGAATGCAAACTGAGTTATAGACCAATCAGCATGCAAGTTGTATTGTTGTTATTTTATAAATACAAATGATGATGAACTAAGATGGAGTTGATTGGCCTGATGATCATTCATTTATAAACACAGAGTACTTGATCTGTTGCAATACATCACTACATGAATGTGTGTGTAGCTATGTTGGACAGAGCTCAAATTATGCATTTTTTTTTAGATTTCTGTATAACAGCTACTTGCACTGGTCAGGTGGAAGGTACTCTTGCCTTTACCATCATTATCAATGTCACTGGGTTTGTTGATTATGGTAACAAAACTGTTTTACGATTTCCAAGGACAAAATATTGCAACAAAGGTAATTATGTGGAATTTACTGTGGAATTTAATTATGTCTTTGTTAATGATGACAAAATTATTTATTAGATATAGGATTGGTAGTTGATACTGTGGCAGACGAAGAAACATCAATAACGTCATATATTGCTGTTGCAATTGCTTGTACTGTAATTCTGAGTCTAGCTGCCACCAATGCTGTGATACATGTACTATCAATGCCAAAATCAGAAAAAGTAAAAGAGGTATAGAAATGGTGTTGACCTTTTATAGCTAAGGTGGTTTAAGCATAACTAAGGTAGTGTAAGTATACCTAAGGTGGTCTATGCATAGCTAAGGTAGTGTAAGTATAGCTAAGGTGGTCTATGCATAGCTAAGGTAGTGTAAGTATAGCTAAGGTGGTCTAAGCATAGCTAAGGTAGTGTAAGTATAACTAAGGTGGTCTAAGCATAGCTAAGGTAGTGTAAGTATAGTTAAGGTGGTCTAAGCATAGCTAAGGTAGTGTAAGTATAGCTAAGGTGGTCTAAGCATAGCTAAGGGAGTGTAAGTATAGCTAAGGTGTTCTAAGCATAGCTAAGGTAGTGTAAGTATAACTAAGGTGGTCTAAGCATAGCTAAGGTAGTGTAAGTATAGCTAAGGTGGTCTAAGCATAGCTAAGGTAGTGTAAGTATAGCTAAGGTGGTCTAAGCATAGTTAAGGTAGTGTAAATATAGCTAAGGTGGTCTAAGCATAGCTAAGGTAGTGTAAGTGTAGCTAAGGTGGTCTAAGCATAGCTAAGGGAGTGTAAGTATACCTAAGGTGGTCTAAGCATAGCTAAGGTAGTGTAAGTATAGCTAAGATGGTCTAAGCATAGCTAAGGTAGTGTAAGTATAGCTAAGGTGGTCTAAGCATAGCTAAGGTAGTGTAGGTATAGCTAAGATGGTCTAAGCATACCTAAGGTAGTGTAAGTATAGCTAAGATGGTCTAAGCATAGCTAAGGTTGTGTATAGCTAAGGTGGTCTAGCATAGCTAAGGTAGTGTAAGTATAGCTAAGGTGGTCTAAGCATAGCTAAGGTAGTGTAAGTATAGCTAAGGTGGTCTAAGCATAGCTAAAGTGTAAGTATAGCTAAGGTGGTCTAAGCATAGCTAAGGGAGTGTAAGTATAGCTAAGTGGTCTAAGCATAGCTAAGGTAGTGTAAGTATAGCTAAGATGGTCTAAGCATAGCTAAGGTAGTGTAAGTATAGCTAAGGTGGTCTAAGCATAGCTAAGGTAGTGTAAGTATAGCTAAGGTGGTCTAAGCATAGCTAAGGTAGTGTAAGTATAGCTAAGGTGGTCTAAGCATAGCTAAGGTAGTGTAAGTATAACTAAGGTGGTCTAAGCATAGCTAAGGTAGTGTAAGTATAGTTAAGGTGGTCTAAGCATAGCTAAGGTAGTGTAAGTATAGCTAAGGTGGTCTAAGCATAGCTAAGGTAGTGTAAGTATAGCTAAGGTGTTCTAAGCAGTGTAAGTATAACTAAGGTGGTCTAAGCATAGCTAAGGTAGTGTAAGTATAGCTAAGGTGGTCTAAGCATAGCTAAGGTAGTGTAAGTATAGCTAAGGTGGTCTAAGCATAGTTAAGGTAGTGTAAATATAGCTAAGGTGGTCTAAGCATAGCTAAGGTAGTGTAAGTGTAGCTAAGGTGGTCTAAGCATAGCTAAGGGTGTAAGTATACCTAAGGTGGTCTAAGCATAGCTAAGGTAGTGTAAGTATAGCTAAGATGGTCTAAGCATAGCTAAGGTAGTGTAAGTATAGCTAAGGTGGTCTAAGCATAGCTAAGGTAGTGTAGGTATAGCTAAGATGGTCTAAGCATACCTAAGGTAGTGTAAGTATAGCTAAGATGGTCTAAGCATAGCTAAGGTTGTGTAGGTATAGCTAAGGTGGTCTAAGCATAGCTAAGGTAGTGTAAGTATAGCTAAGGTGGTCTAAGCATAGCTAAGGTAGTGTAAGTATAGCTAAGACGGTCTAAGCATAGCTAAGGTTGTGTAAGTATAGCTAAGGTGGTCTAAGCATAGCTAAGGTTGTGTAAGTGTAACTAAAATTGTCTATAGAGGACTAAAGTTTGTCTACCGTGGTCTAAGTATATCTAAGTACGGATAAGGTGGCCTGCGTATGGCTAAGTGTGGTTAATTGCGTAGGAAAGTATTACTGTTTTCCTTTATAACAACATTTTGATACACTTCAGGAAGGGTCAGATCAAGTAACTAGCGAAAATAAGTATTTCGACATCAGCACTCTTTGTTTCACTGTGTAGTGTAGCTAAATGTAAAAGGTAGAATACTACCGCGCCTCAATTCAAAACTTCATAGAAACTTTTAATATGGATTCTCAATGTGCGTATTTTTTCAGGGAACAACTCAGGCCTCCCCCTCCAAGACCTGTAGCACAACAACCCATTGTACAAAACGTGCGACAAATACATCTTACTGTCCCTGTGTTACGTCATACTTACTTGCCGCCAGATCGCCTGGCACCTGGTGGACGCCCGACAACAGTACCTCCAAGAATTGAAGGTACTTGTCAATTACAGCTTGGTCATACATAGTTTTTGGCCTTCTTTAACTTTTTGTTATAACGCAATTTAGCTTCGCATAAGGATGAATATAGTGTACGTGTGCAGAGTGGTGTTCACCTTTTCTAGCCTTGTCTAGAAGGTGTACAGGAAGGTGCCACTATGCGAAATATTAATATCAAGCAATAGAGTGTTTTAATCAGTCGCCATATTGGTGGAAAATCCCATGGAGTGAAAAGAATTTTTCTGTTGAGCGTTGGCACTTTGATCCACTCCCCCCAACATGGCCGTTTTGACGTCACATGCAAACACTCTATAGCAGTGATGATTAGTATTTAATGGAGAAAAATTAAAGAATCTCACTAAAGGGAAACAGACTAACATGTGTAATATAAACTACTGTTAAGCTTCCACTCCAACCCCTTCTCCTATCTCCTACAAACTATCGCAGATATTTGCATTCCCTGACATTTCCTATTGCGAAAGCTTTACATGTTCAATAAGTTTGAAACTCGAAGATTTACTTCCTAAAAAAGTCTTTAGAATGTTTTTTGCATCAAGTACTGGCCTACATGTATTATTGTAATACTTTTTGCACTGGCGTTTCCAGCCCGCAAAATTGGCCCTGTTATGTAAATTTATGTGTGTTCACTCATTGTAAGAACTATAAATTTCGGAAGAAATGAAGAATGCTATATGTTTTTCTTTTGTGCATACAACAGTTCCTCCTCCCAACCGCCCGGCGACGTCGACAATTGGTAATCAGATTCCACAAGACCCTCTACATCCTGAAGACATTGTTCCACTTCGAGAAAAAAGAAACAAAGAAATTCGGGAAAAACTACAAGATATCGTGTTAGATAGGTCACGTGTGTCTCTACATGAGTTGCTGCAAGAGGGAACTTTCGGAAAGATTTTTGAAGCTGTCGTAACTGGTCCGGAGGACGGCGAAGGACAAAATGTTCTTGTCAAAACTGTTTCAGGTTTTGATTTTTGTCATTTCCTCGCTTCCCTCATGAAAGTTTTCTTTCAAATGATATTTTTTTTTCAAAACATATTTACACGGAGACAAAATGCGCCTTAATGAAATTCCGTTTTTTTGATATGTTGCCCTAAAGCTTAATGGCAACATGGCAAAAATAACGATAACGCAGATATCATGAAAATAGTGATACTGTAATCGAGAACTGTAATTTTTCACTAAACTAGCCAATACAGGCAAACACTTACCTTTATTTCATCTACATTTCATATTATAGTCGTGGGAGCTGTATGAGTTCACCACATTATCATAACTCGCGTGTTGTTTATTTCAAAATAGGTCTTACAATATCGATTAATTGTATATTTAATGTCGATAGCCGTCGCTTTGTTCTAATTATTGAAGTATTATCGTTGAAAATAGTGTTGCACATTTTACATTATATAGAGAAGGCGTCAGATGAACAAGCAAGCCTTCTATTAGCTGAAGGAAGCATGTTAAAAGGTTTGAATCACCAGAATATTTGCTCCATAGCATATGTTTGTCTCGCCGAGGAGAATTGTGAACGACCCTTCGTCATAACACCCCAGATGAATCAAGGTAATCTAAAAAACTTCCTTAAAAAATCAAGAACTCCTGAAGGAACAGGTTTGGAAAAGGTGAGAGATTGCTTTGATTTTACTGCAGTAGCGTTTCACTCTACACAGCCGCTTTGCAAGAAATGATGTTGTAAAATACATTGTGATTTTCTTTATAGAGTGTGACAACACGTGATCTTATTGACATGGCGTTGCAAATAGCTAACGGGATGTTATACTTAGAAATGCGTAATATCGTCCATAAAGACTTAGCGACCAGAAATTGTGTGTGGGTATCTAACTTTTGAGCGTTTACCGCTTGCTTTCTGTTGTTATTCCTCACGATCATCGGATTGTTTTTACTCGTGTTAGGATTGATGACGAATTTCACATCAAGATAACCGATTGTGCGCTATCTCGAGATTTATTTCCAATGGATTATCATTGTCTTGGTGATAACGAAAATAAACCAGTGAAGTGGATGGCCGTAGAAAGTCTTGAGCAACATCGATTTACAACAGCCAGTGATGTTGTATGTATTCATTTTATAGTATGTACGTTCAGGATGAATGAAAAATAGACACTAAGTGTAGTTGTGTGCAGGACATTTACGATTTTATAGATTTAGATTATGGAGATTTACGTCTTCGGAGATTTGGTTTGGAGTAGTTTTGACTTTAGATAGATTATGGAATATATTACAGTTACTATTTGGATGAACTAAGTTTCATCCACGCCTACTTTGGTCCTCGATTACGTTCAGTTTTATTCGTAAGTCTTCGCGAGTTTTTTTGAGACAACCAAAATGAGTTAAAGACGATCCTGCTCTCTCTTTTTTCAACTAAGATCAATATATTTTCATATTAACTATGAAACTATATGCATTGTAGCATAAATGTTCACATTTTAAATTTTCCTATGTTTTATTTTCCTTGCAGTGGTCGTTTGGAGTTGTTTTGTGGGAGCTGATCACACTCGGTCAACAGCCGTACAACAGTATTGATGCATTCGAAATGGTATTCTATTTGAAGAACGGACATCGCTTGGGTCAACCAACAGGCTGTCCTGATGATCTTTTTACAATCATGGGCTATTGTTGGGCGCTCTCTGCCGAAGAACGTCCGGGTTTTGCGCAACTAATGATTTTACTTACTAAATTTTACAATGCGTTAATCCAGTTTATATGATGTGAAGACAACAATTCTGATTCTGAAACACCTGACTGTTTACATTGACACGCGTCAGGCTGTAGTGAAATCAGGAGATTTTATTATGATCTTTATTCTGTGATTTAAGGGGTGGTTTACTTTGTTGGTTTAGTTATTTATTGTAATGAAGGCATCAAACAAACATTTTATTAGGTGCCTTATTTTTTGAACTTGTGGCGACATTACAAGCTTCATTTAAGGTTTTCAATGCTATATCGGTCACGTGTTCCCTATTTTATTGTCACTTCCAACAATCTAGTGTGTCCTAAAAGATGAATAGTGTGTCGTACTAGTTATAGGTGTGAGTTGAGGTGAAGTTTGGATATTTTTGAATAAGGCTCGACATAGTTATTATGAGTTAAAAGAATACGTTGTAATTATTGAGGTCATGTCGTGTTTTTATTTAGCTGATATAAACCTGATCTTATACTGTTTTACCCTTCACGACCGACATAAAATGTGAAAATGGATCTGTTATTACTTTTTGTGTGTTTGTTATGATCAGACTGAACACGAATCATCCTTTCGAACCCGCGTCCCATTACCCACGGTGAACCGCATGGTGCTACACGAATTTCCCCGTCTATTTGAACGACTTGCCTTTTGCATCACGTGACTCCAGTATTAACACGGTAGCTCAAAATCTAGAACTCGATCAACTATCGGGAGAAGCAAGTTTAATAGGTCTATGTACTCTCTAGATATTTTTACTCCATAGATTTTTTATTTTAAATATAGATAGCGCCTAACTTTGTAAATAGTTTTTTAAAAATCCTTTTAGGGAGTTTTAATATGTATTTTATATCATTAAATATCTATCTATTGAGGCATCGGATACATCTGTATGAACTTTAGGACATTCAAAGTCATTTTTCAAAAGTAGAAATATTCGTCATTATTTGATGTAACTGTTACGTAGGCGATTTACAACAATTTTTCTTTTTCTTCGTGCTCTTTTAATCTTTTCTCTTCCGGCTTATATATTGCAATGGTGTGTACATCTCTGAAGTGGCGTTTAGTTATTTCGTGCAAGTCATCAGACACTGGAACCATAAATTTTGCGTTTAGATGTTGACTTTTAATTAAAGCCTAGCTGTAATTGCAACCTCTCAGGCAATTGTCTACCAAAGTCTACACTTTACATGCTAACAATGCTCTACATACTCTTTCGTTGAAAGAATCATCGCAATCTGTTACAATCTCTTGTAGAAAATTTGCCATCCCTCCTGTAGCTATAACGCGTTCAGCCATAGGCAAGCTTGCAAAATATTCATGATTGACAGCAAAACGGTTGAGAGGGGACGGTTACATAAACATGTGAACAACTTCTGAACTTATCTCCCAGGGTTTTTTTCCTGTAAAAGCGTGAGGCAAAATTGCCAATACAAAAATGCAAGTTAGCGAAAGTAATAGAGGTCATGGAGGGTCGTGGAAATTTCCTTTTTCGAATTCTTTTTTTCTTTTAAAGAAACACAAAAATCGAAATGTATTCCGTTAAGCATAGTTTTCACTAGTGTAAATGGCTAAAGCAACTTTACCACAATCAAACCATGATTTACCTAATTCTTTCTCCTTTTCGGTCGATCGAAGCTTAAGGGGATTGTCTTTCTGCTGTTCAATTTTTTGTCGCTTTTGCGCTGAAGTTTACAATCCGTTTATGGTTATATCTCATCTAAAATGTCAATATAAATGTTTAAATATTTGTTTTATCGGCAATTGCATGTCTCCTAAAAATACTTTCACTTAAACAATACTTTCAGTTACACACCTCTCAGTTATAAGCAGTGCTATGCTGTGTCATATAAAGTCAAATTACGATGTTTTTGATTGTATGTAAAAGATAATGCCAACTTTAGCAAATTTCTTATCGCTACAATATACTTCAATGAAAGCTCTCACCCACACGTATAGATGGTTGTATCTTGCATAAAATGAAATAAGAAACACAGACTTGCTAACCTAAACAGAAATTATTCAGTGTAAAATATAATGCTACCCCACCCCTGCCACCAGGAAACGAGACTACACTAGCCGGTGTGTACTTGTAAAGGTCTTTTTGCAGGAGATTTTCAAGGGACTGTCATTTCAATTTCTTTCTTTTTCTATTAAGATTGACTAAAGCCATTTGTACCTCGGGGCTATGAAGGCCCAATGTCAGCCCCCCCCCCCCTTCCTTTCTTATTCAGTTTTGCATTTTGACGATATTTTGGCTATTTTGGTCGCGTCATTTTTGTCTTAAAATATGGCGGCTGATTTAAATTAACGATTTTATTTATCTATTTTCAAAAACCACCAAAAACAGTTGCTACTATCAGAGTCAATAGCTCAGTTATTACTTAACTAAAAAATGGTCATCAAGTGGTTTTAAACGTCTTTTTATTAACTGTGTACGATGTATTTTTCAAAATATAAAAAATGCAATCAAATGCGGCAATAAACTGTCCTGTTACTGTTTTAACTGTTTATGTTGTCTTCTAATAAATGGTACAAGTAAACGATGAATGAAGAAAGAGCTGTTGATACATTTTCACAGTTATTTCACAGCTTGCAAGGAAATAAAAGGTTAGTATAATGTGAAAATCATTTCTATAACCACTAACCATTAGATAATGTTTTGGTATGAACCTTGTTACCTTACTAAACTAAATATTACATGAATTTTTGACATGATTTGTTTTACAGTTAGCTTTTTCACTGACATTGCTTGTGACTGAGCTCGTAATTATGCTGACTAAGACTCTAAGTACATAAAAGGTTGTGAATTATCTGTCTTTACCATCAATATCAAATTGTTTACTCATAGTAACTAGTGCAATATCAAAATGCAGCAGAGTTAAACAACATAACATCAATACAACTTCATTGATGTAAGTAGCAGAATTCATATTCTGATTCTCTGATGATGGCTTAGGAATAAACTTATTACGATGAGTGAAACGTGTGTGTAGGTTAAAATATGGTATAAAAAATATCTCTGGGCAACAGCCAAATACGGGTGATGTTTTATGTTCAGGAAACAGGTTGATTGAATTAAGTCAAGTTTATAAGGATATAGAAGTATATGGTTGTATAAGAAGTGTAAGAAGTTGTAGTATTTGAAAAAGTATTGAAAAACTTTAATAAAACCTTTTTACCAAGCTTTAAAAGTGGCACACTTAGACTATACGACTAAAGAAATGGTAAAGCAAAATGTGACTTATTTGCAGCTCAGTAGCTATATGTTCAAAATATTCAATGTCGATTTACAGAACTAAGTTCTGTAAATTGTTTTTAAATAATTATTTAAAAACAATTTTGAATGATTTACTTGGTGTATTTTTGAACATGGAAAGTTCATAAACTAATGTTGCGTTATTTACTCATCGCAATGGGAGGATGGAAACTGTAATTGCAGAAACTGCACTAGGTTGTAAAGTTCTTGTTTTCTTTGCTATTAAAGTATTTTATGTGCATCTAACAATTTGCATTTAGCAAGTTAAGAAATTGTTTTTCATTTAATATTGTTGTAGTTTAAGTATTAAGGTATTTTTTAGTGAGAATTTATCATATCATTTCATTCCATACAATACCTGCTCACTAAATTGGGGTTTGTTTTGCTTTGTAATATTAAGACCTGGAACTGAGAGAAAATGCTTTCTTTTCGACAGCGATGGTGAGTTTTGTCTTGATGGATAGTCGGTAATGCATGTCAGCGATCTGTTGTGTGCCATTTTGTTTTTATACTTGTTGTAGTTGGCAGAATTTGAAGTTGTGAGTCTTAAAGCTCTGACAACATTCAACCTTAAATTATTATTTTACTGCGATAAATATTTTATGCGTTTATTACCATATTCAAGTTGAGCGCAAAAATGAGAAAATTGAGAAATAGGACAAATGAGCGTTTCTATATAGTGGATTAAAAATGAATGTTGTTTATTCGATGCGTGTTCAGAGCGAGTTCTTCATCATATCGTGTTTTGCAGTTGTTTTGTCACAGGATATACGTGTAGTTTTGGTTTTGCTGTTATGCAAGTTGAGAACACTGTAAAAACTGATTGGTTAAAATAATCATAAAAATTGGATGCATTCGACCACTTTAACCAATATTTTTGTGGTTACTTTAACCAATCATATGGTTATTTAAACCAATCATTTTTTGCATTGAAAGAATGATCAACCACTTGAAAAATTTTCTTTCTGTTTATGGTGAAATCGTGAACCAAAGCTAATATTCTCTCATTTTATCTTTGAATAAAAGTGTCGTTTTTTCATTCGTTTCCTGTCTTATCCTGTCTTGTCTAATTATTTAGAGATAAAGCATCTGATGGCGTTTTAAGTGGATGTGAAGCTGAGTTGCAAGAAGTAAGTTAAAACAATTGAAATAAGGAGTTCAATAGAAAGTTATTTTGCACTTATACTCTCGGCTTGGATGCACCAACTAAAACTATTGCGATATTAGATCAAAGCTTTATTCCAAAAAAAATTCAGGCAAATAAAAAAGACGCTTTATTTCCAAAACTCGACTAGCTCTTTTAGATATAGACTTGCATGTGGACTGTCGCGGTGTAAATTATGAACCCAGCAAACCAGCATCCATCCACGTAACCTTTGTGAATGTTTTCAAATTATTATAGTCAGCGAGTTTTCTACTTCTTGCAACTTTCCATGTCTTATTTAACTCAGATATTTAGCCTTTCTATATTCATGAACCAGTTGTTTCAACAGAAAGCCATTTTTCATTCCCCTAAATGATAAAGTCGTGTTGCCAGTACGTAGCAGTTCATTGAACAAACCTTTAGCATTAAACAGCTATATTTTAAGCAAATTTGTGTTATGTCGTGGCTATTTTACATCAAATCAATGTTCTTAATTATGTCATAGTTGATGCGTCAGATTGACATTATGGTAAATGCTAAGAAAGTTGAATGGGACAGTCAGCTTCATGTATTACAACTGCAGTTAGACAAGAAAAAGAAAGAAAATGGTATTATGAAAATTGAAATTGGTGCAAAAATACAAGAGGTATGCTAATTTGTGAAATATTTGCGTAATGTCTGTGTTTTCAAAGTCTTGTCGAAACAAAAATCAATTTTAGACGGAAAATTTACGACATCAACTTTCTGCGAGGGATCAGGGCCAACGTGATCTTGTAAACGAGTATGAAAACAAACTTTCCCAACTTCGAGATGAGGTAAGTATATATTTGTCAAACGTACTATAAAATAATCGCATCTCTAACTGAAATGAAATAGCTACATGAATACAGTACTGTTGGGCAAGTCCGTGAAAATCAAAGTGAAATGTGAAAACATGCAAATGAAATTTTAATTCGAACAACTTATTTAAAAAGTAGAAAGAGCTTATTCCATTTAACGCCTACCAACTTAATTATTTTCATCACATTGTATATAATTTACTCTTAGCACACTGAATTATTTATTACTACACTGAATTATTTATTATTGTTTTTGTTGATAAAATCTTTTAGGTAAATAGACTGAAACGAGATCACGAAAAATTACAAAAGAAAAGTCAAAAGCACAATAGCCAAATTCAGGGTGAAAATGATCGAGTAAGTATAAAGTTATGTACATTCCGCTTGTATCGTACAGTAATACTGACAGCATGTAGGTACACAGCTATATTGTCGTTTACTGGAGCACGTTTCTCCTTTTTTCCCCTGTTAACGAGCTGTTTCTTAGCTAGTGTTTGTTGAGTTAGTAAAACATGCAGTAACTTTCACAAGAAACATGTATTCCTTAAATGTAAATAGATGTCTCTGCATGGTATATATAATTTAGATGATCGTTCATTATTAAACTCGCGATGTCAACTTTAAGAATGAATAATTTAGATCTACGTTAATGATTAAACCCGTGAGACGTAATGCTCACATCCAAAGGAATTTCAACCAATAATTCCTTATTTGATTTGATTTTAGTTGAAAAATGATCTAAATGAAAAGCAATTGAACTGTGAAAAACTAAAGGATCAAATTGAGGTAAACATACAGATGATCCATAGTTGATCCTATGGGTCCAAAATCCAGGTAATAAAGGGACTGAGACTAGCGACTGAATCCATGTATTGAATTGATGTAACGAATAACGAGAAATTGTCAATGACTGTCCGTCATTTTAGATATACTTAAAGCAGTTATATTTTGTTCATTTGCCTGATGTTGCAGTGGCAACTGAGTACTTAATTTGTTTTCGGTTTCTGAAAGACATAATTTCTTTGTTTTTGCATTGGTCTCATAAAATTCGAATACTGGTGTTGCTATTTGGAAATTTTGTTGTATATGCTAAACAATTCAGATATTTGCTGAATGAATAAAGTCAAATTGTGATAGAGTCCACGTAAGCATTTTTTACTGGCCTGAATGTTTGCTATTATTTGTGCATAAGAAGGAAAAAGAAATTGTAGGTCAATTTTCTGTAAATAACATTTGTGTAACGTACGTATGTTGTTTCAGTCATATTTATTCACTGCAATTATTAATGCAGTTGCAGCAACTATATTTTGGTTACATGTGGTCTTCACCATTGTTAATGAGTTTACTTATACCTTGCTCAACGACAAATATGTATGGACATAAAAAAGAAAAGCCTTCAAGCATGCATTTTTTTACCAAAAATTCAGATTTGATCAATTTAAGACGTTTTCAGGATATGAAATTTAAGTTACAAGATTGGGACGGCATTGGTAAAACATATCACGAAAGAATCAAAGGACTTGAAAACGAGAACTTGATTCTCAAGGACAAGAATGACATCTTGAAGGTAAAGTAATATGTTTGGGACAGCGTATATACAATGTACAAACATGAAATTGAAGATGGTGCAGGTTTTACATTGATAGATTGTCCAGCTTTGTGAGCATCATTGATGAATAACAAAGATCTTTGCTTTGCTAACATTTCTAATTTGGTTCTAAATTTTCGAGGCTTTATATTTTCTATTTTGAAAACAAAGACTCAGCTTTGAGAAAGATGTAACTGTTTATGTATTTAAATGTCCTGTTCATTGATCTACGGACAGCGAAAAATTTTGTTTCCAGGATAGTAGATGTTCCCTTCCTTTGATGCCTTTATGAAAAGATGATGTATTTGATTCTGTAACTGCGTAAAAGCACTATTGATAATGCGCATTTAATAAAATGACAAGTACCGTACATCGGACATCATTCACGACACACACAACGCAGACTTACAAACATCATCAAACGCTTCTACACTGACATTAACATCCAACTAATTTTCACTTCCTTCAAAATCAAAACTACTTTTTATTCAAAGATCAGATTCTATTAAATCTATGGTGGTATACCAACTCGATTGTGCGGGATGTAATTCCCAATACATTGGCGAAACTTCCCAGCATTTATCCACCAGAACAAAAACTCACATATCTTTCGACATCTCTTACAATCACCTTCATGCAAAACTAACTATTCACCCTCTTGCTTTAAAATCATCGACATTGCGGATACTACATTCGCACTCAAAATCAAAGAAGCACTTCACATTAACAAAACTAATTCTAATCTCAACGTTCAAGTTTTTCGTTTTAACACTATATTCAGCCTGTAAATACTTTCATCATTAATTCTAACCACTATTTCATTGTAGCATTTATATATAACAATCTATTCATAAGTGTATAAATTGTATCACAGTATCATGTTATTCCTATATATATTCATCACATACATAATACTCCATGTTATAATGAATGATGGCATCATAAGATGTTGAAACATGTTTATTTTAAAAATAACTTGTCGTTTTTATTAAATGCGCCTATTTAATTCTATTGTAACTGAATGCAATAAAGTTATATGTTTTACAATAATAGCAACAGAATAGCGATGTGCAAGAACTGCTTAGTCAAAAGAAAAATATACTTGAAAACGTGGAAAGGTCGCATCAGATTGAATTGGTTGAACTTCAACGTCAGGTATGCACGAACGTTTTGCAGAGAGAGAAACTGTTCGATGTAAAAACTACATTGAGCTGTTTGAGCGAGCTTTTTGAATGTCATACAACCGTATTCTCTATCAGTAAAAACGTCCATTTTTCATTTTTTTTTCATTCGATAAAAAAACTAAAATAAATACTTCATTAAATGTTTTTATTACATCTTATCTCATCAGCACAATGATGGTTTTTCGATTGGTGATGCTGAAAAGTATTTCATACTTCTTCCCTAGTTATCGGAACTGCGCGCAGGACTTTCAATATAAAGAAGAAATTCAAAGGTAATATTTTAAATTATTGCTTAACAATGTTATTCTCTGTTTACGAATGAAACTAACAGTTACAATTCAATAGTTGATCACTGCAACTTTCATACTCTGTTACTTTGTATGTTTTGAAACTCTAAGATTATTTTAGCCATCCATCATCGCAATTGCTATCTTTAAAACAATTTCACCATCCTAATGTAGCCAATCTCCAAGAGTTGAGCTTGCGTCTCTTAGCAAAAAATGCCATATTTTTTACAGTTAATAAAAGGAGTTGCTTTTCGACTTAAAGGGTAGATAATGCCTCCTTGCTTCGTGCTCAGAGCTTTTTTGCAGTCGTAGGCTTACTGCCACAATTTGTTGGTTCCGAAGACATATTGATTGCTATACTTTATCATTTTTAATGGTCATGCTAACAAAAATGTTCCAACACAAATGTGTCATATATTGTGACTAGCTTCGTTTAGGAAATCGTCAAGTAACGACACATTTGATTCGTAGCTAATAAAAGGAACGTTTGTTGAAGTGCTACCCTAAATATTTTAAAAATGCGTACAAAAATCTTGTTTTCATTTTTATAATTTGTAAAGGTTGAAAGATGCGTTAAATAGACACGATTCAGAAGAACAAGAAAAGTCCTCTGAAATGTCGTACAAAGATGGAAAATTAAGGCATGCAACAGTAGTTATAGAGGTATTTTATCTCATGAGAGAACTTTTTTATGATTGAGGAAAGAACGCCTTTCGATTGTTTAGAGAACTTTAGGAGCTTTCGTAATTTGTTTGTTAAAAATGAAGTGTTAACTTTATTGGGGTTTCGAGCATCAAGCACAGTAATTGTCGTTATGACGTCAGTTAAGTTTTTCCGACAACTTTCTGGGTGAGATAACATGAAGTATGCATTTGTACGTATCTCATTTTTTCGTTCATAGACTTTAAAAAACGAGAAGGATGAGCTGCAACAAGAATTAAACTCGAAATGTGACAGGTTGAAGGTTTGTTTCATTTTGGTGTGATACATTCGTACAGAGGGAAAACATTCACATTGTTGACATTATATGTTTATATTTTGACAAGTATGCTTACCGACTCGTAAATCACGAAGAAAGGATATTCTTTTTTATCTTTATGTCGCTAATACTTCGACCATTTCCACTTTTTTTGAATCGCCAAGGTCATAAATTCACTTTGAAATGACGTGCTGGGCAGTAATATAAAATTTTAGGAGGGGTGGTTAAAGATGAGATGCAAACATTCCCGTCTGAAATACTACATTTCGCCGACTATTCTTTATTTTGCCTTGCTTGCCAAAGGCCGACTTTCTAAACATTTTCAGGACTGTTTATACTGTTGAAGTGTTGCACCACCCTCGCTGCCGTTAGCGTGTTCACGTATACACTGTGACGAGTGCTTGTATAACATTTCCTACTTTTCTGTAACACTCATTCGAGGAAATCGTCGCAAACCACTCTAGTTTCAAATTCATATAAAAATATTTAGTTTTTAGAAGAAAAACAAAGACATCAACGAGCTGACTTCACGAAGCTGGAAGAAAATCTTCATCAAAAAGAAAGCATGATCAGGTAGCGAATGGTCTGGTCCAATTCATTTTGATTTTATATGCATCACGACTTTGTGCCTGCAGGATGCTGTGCTTGTGTTTTAGGTCCTAAAATTTTAAGGTTGATGCCAAGTTGTGCAATCGTGTTGGAAAGCTTAAATTCTTTTTAATAGTTGTTTAAACAATTTTGCATCTCATGTATGAACAAAATTTTAAAGAGTCTCATGCAGTATCTTAATACAAATATTGGCACTTGACGTCCATGGCTTCACCAGGGCTCGTGTCCTTCCATCTTTATAGATATTAGTGAACTGATAGCAGCTTTTGAAGACATTGTATTCTTGAGATGTAGCGCATGCCTGTACGTTTGTTTTCTTTTGCAGGCAGCCAAAAATAAGTTGCATATACCCGAGCACCGTCTAAAGCGCAAATTGTCTGCGCTAATTCTTTATTTTTTGTTCATTCAAACCCAAATGAACATTGCATTGTGTTATGGGAGAACTTTAAATTTTTATGTAGTTTTTTAAGTGTACGTAAGTTCTTTTGACCTCAGTTTGCAGTGAGTTTCAAGCCATTGCAGGTAGCGTGGCTGACTAAGATCGCGTCATCTTACATTCGTTCTATAACGCGTATGATGGAAAATTTCTCCTCTGTCTTCCAGGCCCTTGTTAAAGACACACTACACATTAAATTTCATTCTAACTCTTCTATCAGAGGGTTTTGTGTTGACATCTGGGGATTTTATATTGTGTATTCCATTTTCCCAATCACATTACACAATCATGTTTGATAAATTTTATTTAATTTTCCTTTTGAGAAATCTCCAAGATGCAAATGCTTACGAAGAATCTCGTACCATTCAAAAATTGCGTGAAGACTTATGTGAATGTGAAAGAGAATTAAGGTGCTCATTCTAATTATAGATTTGTCCAGTTCATTGAAAGACTGTGATAAACGACTCAAGTCCTTGCATGTAGCTCAGTTATACAGAGGCATCTGATGTAAACATGTTGAAATGAATATTTATATTTTTATTCAGTATTAAAAAAGAAAACGAAAAGTTCTATTTATCTGAAATGGAAATGTTAAAAACCAAGTAAGTGCACTTACTTCTTCTCTTCCTAAGTCAAATGACCGAAGTTTAAAACTAAGTGAAAAGAACTGTTAAAAAATTTTAAAAGAAAATGTTAAAACCAAGTTTGTGCACTTACTTCATCTTTTCAGAAGTCAAATGAGCAATAATACAAAAAGGACGATCTACATTTACAAACATGTAACGATACTCCCGGTTCAAACCATTTACTTTAATACAAAAGGATGGGTAGCCTCCTTCATCTTTCGTAAGCTGAGTTGATTCATATAACTCCTACCGTTGTACTCCATTCCTTCATGTAAATCTCACTGTAGTATTTTTGTAAACAGCATTGTCTCATCTAAATTCATCTTTGTAAAGTATATTACCTCATCTAACTCTCTACTATTTCATCTTTGCAAACAGTATTGCCTCGTTTAGGTCTCTAAAATTTTCATCTTTGTAAATAGTATTACCTCATCTAACTTTCTACAATTTCATCCTTGTAGACAGTATTACCTCATTTAGCTTTCTACAGTGTCATATTTGTAAACTATGTTACATCATGTAGCTCTCTACAGTTTCATCTTTGTAAATTGTATTACTTCATTTAGTATTCTACCGTTTCATCTTTGTATACTGTATCGAACTTTCTACCCCCAATCTTTCTTAACTGTATTACTTCTTTAAACTCTCTACTTTTTTTTCTCTTTAAATTGTATTTGCTTGCATGTAACTTTTACGAAACGCTCAAGTTTACCATGTAAAGAGATAGGAATTTATAAATGCAACAATTTGAGAACATTTTTTGATAGAAGTCAGCTGAATGAATTGTCGTAAACGTTTAGGCTTGCTGAGTGCGAAGCAGCTTTCAAAAAATCAAGTGACGAATTTAAAGAGCAGGTAATTTCTTATTTGGACATTGTTTTGTGTTGTACAGGAATGTTGTACAAAACTAGGGAAACTGGTATTGGCTACGCAGAACACTACAAGGCAAAGCATTGTAATATTGCATGGTAGACCAGATAATGTGGGGTATATATCAAAACAGATTAGTCAAACATCTTCAACAAATGTCTTTTTTAAGAACGATAAAATACTTGACGAAAGTGAAACAGAAATGGAGAGGCTGTTGTCAGAAAATATCAAGGTTAGTTTAGCGAGAAGTGGTTAAATTTTTCACATATGATTGATTTAGCTCCACTAAAATGTGAACGACGTGCTTTTTAATTGTTTGCATAGTCAATCTTTGACTTCGAGCTCTGCCCGCATATTTTGAGAGTGCAAAATTTTGTGTTCCCTTGTTGTATCAACCTAAAACGAGAATCTGGTGTTTTCGCATCGTAAACTGTATACTTTATACTTTCACATGCGTATTTTATCTTTTTAGCTAAATACATAAAGAACTTTTTGTATTTGTGTAAACAAAACAAACATTGTATTTGTATGCTTTTTTGATAGTTAAAAGATCGCGTGGAAAGGGTAGAAAATTTCAAAGTTTCTGAACTTGAAGGAATGAAATGTGAAATAAGCAATCTTACCTCTGACTTGCATCAAAGGTAAAGTGAGAAGTTTCATTTGATTTGATCCATACACATATGCCTGCCTGCCTCATCAAATACAATGAACTACGTCTTTCATATTTACTTCAACGGTTTTGAACATGGACCACAATGTAATTTTTGTAAATTTCATTTATTGTTTGCGTTATAGAGATCTTGCTGTTGCCACTATGACCGAGAAGATACAAAAAATGGAAAGAGAGTTGAGGAATAGCCACACGGAATATGATAAAGCAATTGCAGATCTTCATGTACGTTAATGCAATCTACGTTTTATTCCATGCAATCAATTTTACTAATTTTGCTGAACGAAAGTTAATAATTTCTTTCAATTTTTTTGAATCAGTTCAAAATTCTAAATTCAAACTATTGGGATGTACAAAAATTTTGATTTAGTTTTTTTGAGATTTCACCATCCGCAGGTAGTTTCTATATGTCGGTGAAATATTTTCTCATTTGAACGACGTTCAAAGCTTCGTATCCAATTAATAATAAAGATATTTCACAATATCTTCAGACAAAACAATGATTATTTTATAATAGCGTCCGTAAAAAGGTATTAGAATGAAATATTCGGCACAGTTTCTGCCTTAGCTCTACTGTACTGTATTTATATTAAGGTTATGAAAGCTCAACTTGATGCTGTCCGACTTGAAAATCGACATCTGAAAGAGGCATCGCTTCATGGCGAGCACAAGGTATACTTCATCTTTTAATTGCACACATAAATATCCAAGCAAATGGCCGTACATAATTTATACATGAAGCATTTTTTCTAGGAACTTGATCTCTATCATAGCAATAAACAGTTTATCTCAGATTTTCAAGTGAGTTACTTTCCGGTTGTTGCATAACATTTACAATCTCATTTTGACAAGATGACCTTTTTTACTTTCTTTAGGAAGATATGAAAACAAATCCTCGTCGTCACGCGTCTTCCAATCTTCCCGTGAGTCAAGGGTCGCCTGATAACAAAATGAATGAAAATCCCTCGACATCTAGGCCTTCTCCATTCAGGTTCGTCCGTAACTCTTGAAATAATATGATCCTTCAATAGGAATTTTGTTATTCATATTACGTTGGTGTATTCTTAAAAATATACTCTTCAATGTTCAATCGTATTGAAATTTGAAGAGTACGGTACGAAAGCATTTTTTCTTGTAGCAAAAACAGAGCTAAGTAGAATTTACTTTCCTGATTCAAACGTGATAAAAAATACAACACAATTATACCAAAAAAGGTTTCATAGCTTTCATGCTGTTACTAAGATTAGAAACATTCATCATTCCATAATGTTCAGGGCAAATACAAGTTCACGTGGATCGTTACAATTTTCCAGCGATTTAGATTACGAAGACCCACCACCTAACCAACGGTTAACAAGTACTTTTACTCCTTCTGGCTTTGCTGATGACAGAGATCCACTAAAGTTGTCATTTGGTGATATAAGAGGTTTAGGATCCGATTTTGAGGTAATTTCTTAGTTTTTACATTGCAAACATTCAATTAGAGTTCCCTTCATATATCAAGATCATTTTTCATTCGACTTTTTGTTTCTGTTTTTATTCGTCATTTAAAAATTGTATCATTTTGTATCAAACACATGATAAACGTAACTTTCTAAGTTATCTACTTTACTGCCTAAGCTACATAAACATTGCGTCTTTACCTAACCTTGATTGCTCAAAACGATGAACGTTTCTTTCATTCTTAGAGATCAATGCCGTCGTCACGTCGTTCATCCATCACCACAAACTTTGTGATGGAAGAAAAAAGGCGTGAAAAGGAATTGGAGCGATTATTAGAAGCTCGTCTCAACGACCTGAAGCTAAGTACACATAAGGCTCTTCCTAAGCAATGAAATCAACCTGAAATGCATGTTCTTTTTCATATTCAGTCTAAAATCAGAGAAACTTAAAAAGGCATCGAAAAGTCATGAAATTTTATTTATAATAAAGAAAGGTTTCTTTTCCATTTCTCTGTATAGGTTCCACTGTAAATATTTTTTAAGTGTGTCACATTAAAATGTTTTATGACAGCTAATTATGCAAGTCTTTTAAGAAAATTTACTGGGGTTTTGTCGTTTTGTACATACACACACACACAAGTGGACCTTCTGTTAAGATATCTTTTCTGTGACTTAAGTTTTGCTGGAAACATATTTCAGTCCTTAATAAAGGGTCAATAATTTCCTAGAACTGAAGGCATATTATGTAGTTGTCTCATAGATTCATGTATTTTAGTGCAAGTTTCCAGGAATTACAGTTGTCAGTTGCACAAGCCTCAAATAGCAATTTTTAAACATTTAAAAGATGATTTTAATATCATGTTATTTTCATGCATATTCAGTGAAGTCACCGTCGAAATATTTTTCATACGAATAAAAATACATACACCACTATCCAGTCTTTTTGTTAATTTGCTATTTTTCATCGTAAAAATTATATACGGAATTCTTTAACCTCAAGAAGGGCCGTCAATAGAGCGTCAATTTTGTTTATATTGATGTCACGTGGTTTACTTGTGTATCTTTCTTCACATGAAGATGAAAATGTCGACTTCAATTATCTTGACTAAATTAACAACAATCTTTTATAATTACCGTATTGTATTCGCTACGCCTGAGTATTTTGAGTCATTGAGATAATCCATCTTTTTGTCAAACATAATTTGCATTTTATATCCTGTTCAATTTAGCGACTGTTTTTGTGACAATATTTTGGTCGAAGTTCTGTTATCTACGAAATAGGTTACTAGGTTTAGCTGAAGTTTTTATGAAACATGGATTGTCGTTTGAATGCGCTCTAAAGTTGGACAGACATGTTGACAGAAGATACAGCTAGCGTCTATTACCAATACAAAGTAATTTCATGTACATTATATGTTACTATAGTTGCTCAGATGTCAATTTTTTATGCAAGGATATAGATTTATCTTATATATAAATTGTATTGGTGCGGATTTCATAATTCCTACTCGTTTGTCTCTTTTCTTAAGGAAGAAAATGTTGGAAGAAAGGAAAAACATGACACCAAAGAAACGGTCGAATCTAAAATTGATGCTTTAAGAAAGAACTTTGAAATGGTTTGTCGATTTGTGAGTTTGTAATCTTCAAAATAGACTGTATAAAGTATAATGAGTTGTCATGCTGTTTAAAATTTTTCCTGCACGTATCATCAAACTCTCAATGCGTGCAACTTTGAAGGCAATTTAATGATTTAATGTCTGTTGTTCACACCTCGGTTCTCTCCTTTTTCGCTGTTAATCTTTTTACGATGCTCAAGAGATGAAATGAAATCCTGTTAAGTCGATTAACGTTGATGAATATGTCGAAAAATTACGCATACAATGTTAAAATTGCACATGTCGTTGCTTGCATCATTAACTTGAAATGAAGCGAGTGTTGTGGGGGTTAATGAAATTTTCAATACGAGAGGAGACAAATTAATCACCAGTATTAAAGCATATTTAATTTTTTAGGCTTGTGTCGCGTTTGATACCATAGTCAACCAGGATTTGGAAGAAGGCTCTGCCAAACGCAAACTTGATGTGGTAAGTTTCTGCTAAGATGACATTATAGAATAAATTCTAAGAAATTCAAAGTAGCTACTACTCGTTGTCGATGAAACAAACGAAATAATTTCATATCATTTTCGTATTTGATTTGAGATGAATCTGTGTCTATATTTTTATCGCTAAAAAACTATTAGCTGCAATGTATCAAGTCAATATGCATTTGTCAAATTTTACTAAGTCAACTTGTGATTCATATGCGCTTATACCCTCTTTATAGGTAATGGAAAGACTTTTCAACATCAAGAGTGTTTTAAATGTATGTTTTTCGTTAATATATCAAAAAGTAAACACCATATTGGACAACAGCCTATAATTTCAGGAAAGAAGTGATACTATTGATCTTTGCAACAGGCCATACATAGATGGTACGTCATGTCATAATTATATATTGCTAATCTGAAAGTCTTGCTAGTCAGATTTCCAGGCGGTTTTTTACGTTTTTTGTTCAATAAAAGCTTAAAGGCATTGTATTCCTAGGACATAGCTCTCTTTCGAATATGAAAGGGGGGAGGGGCTACGGTCTTATACCTTCAGTCAGTTTCTGTTTGTTTACGAAACTTTTTTATGTTTTATTTTTTTATTTTGAGAAACGGTATTTGCAAATTTAATGAATACGATGGCTCATCAAATTGACGATATGAAAAATACAATATTGAATCGAATAGAGGTAAATGATGTACTTTTGTTTATATTAGTTAACTTATTTAACGTTTTGCTACATTTGAAATTTTTATCCTTCTAAAATGGTATCAACGACATGTTGACAGGATGGCCTTCAAAATGCCATGGATGTTGCCCGCGAGAACCAGGAATTGAAAGGTGAAGTCCATTTCCATATTTCCATAAATTCTTAATTGACGTACACAAGTTTGAGATATACTGTCATTGCTTTGCTTGTAATTTTCAATTTTATTCACATATAGTTTTATTAAAACGCGAAAAGGAAGAAGTGATACATCAACAGCAAAGGTGAAAATTTCTTCATCATGTTTGTGGATGTAAATCGTCCAGGTTCGTAGAGTCCTGGGAAGGACTGTTGTTGTTAGTGTTGACTGACGTTTCGACAACCTTAGCGGTAGTCATTTTTTGACTCTGAAGATGACTTTTATCTATCATATAACAAATACGGCTAACCTGACGTTTACTCCTCATTTGACTCTGAAGATGACTACCGCTAAGGTTGTCGAAACGTCAGTCAACAACAACAAAAACAGTCCTTCTCAGGACTATACCAACCTGGACGATCGACATTTACAAACATGTAACGATACTCCCGGGCTCAAACCATTTACTTGGTTACTTAAACGTTGTTAAAATCCCCGTCATTGTTACACATTTATAACTTCGATCCAGGTTTTGCTGATTTTAAGAAGAGATGATTTTTTTCATAATCACATACAAACGAAACATTTAATCAAATAATCACACTAATTATAACTTATAAAACTGCTTGTATTTTTGATGTCATTTGTGGTGTTGTTTTTTTGTCATAACATGATTCAATGTTGGCTCATAGTTGAATTACGTAGTTCTTTAGTCATCTATTGATTTGCCTACACCAAAGTTCAGTCCAATGAAAATTATATGATAATTATATTTTCAGAAAAACGTCATTTACAGACCTTGTATGTATGTATGTATGTATGTATGTATGTATGTAGGAAGTTTATAATTTATGATTTTCCGTATAAAACAGTCCTCGATGCCCGAGAGCAGAGCGTAAATATTGATAAGAAGAAGAAAATACACAAAAACTACAATTTCATCCCGACAAGCCTGTTTCGTGATTGCTCACTCTTCAGGGGATTTAATTCTTCTTATCAATATGTATGTATGTATGTATGTATGTATGTATGTATGTATGTATGTATGTATGTATGTATGTATGTATGTATGTATGTATGTATGTATGTATGTATGTATGTATGTATGTATGTATGTATGTATGTATGTATGTATGTATGTATGTATGTATGTATGTATGTATGTATGTATGTCAGTGCTGTAAAACTAAATTTATCAGATGGGGGGCTCTCTTGACGTTTTTGTCATTAGTGCCCTTTTAAAATTACCCATTTCAAGGTAGAAAAGGGGCTCCTCTCCCAAGCGCCCCCCCCCACTTTTACAGCACTGTGTAACGTTGACATCGTATGATTTTGTAGCCATAACTTTGCGGTAACAGAAAAAAACACAATTTTAGCTACGTGCAGAAAGTTGGAAGAACAGCTTGAAGATAAAAATAAGCAAATACTTCAGTAAGTCTTTTCCTTCATAATCGTTTGTCATGCAATTTTATTAATTGAACTTTGTAATCAGGTCTAGAGAGTATGAACAAGCAGCTAGATCTTCATATATAATTCCAGTTGTAAGTTAATCATCAGCAAATATGATTTAACATCTTTTCAAATATTTTCTTGATTTCTGATCAAGATTGATTTCTGAAATGCAGATTGGGTTGAATATTACACACATGGAGTGTAAAGACATGCATATTTTTATTGTCTAACTTATCGTATGAAATGGTCTGGTTTACCATTATTGCTATCTTGCTCTGGCAATATTTAAGTTTAATATTGTCTGTCATAATGATCATAGGCTTCTACATTTATAATCTAAAATGATCACGATTTTACAAGAAAATCATAAAGAAAAAACATAGTAAGAATTTGTGGAAGTTTTTGCATAGGACGTAGCTTTTGGTTTATGCAATTCTTTTTCAATGGAAATCAAAGCTCTAAAAAGGTCTTAATGTTATGCTAAAACTCGAAACATATGGGAAATGTTTGAATGGATTTCGTATTTTATCATCATTTTGCTAATAAAATGCGTAATTATATACGTAATTTCTATGGCACCTAACACCAAAGATATTTTTGCATTTAGGCTACAAAAGGAAAGTACTGTCTCGCTTTGGGAAAAAGAAAAGACCCGACTTCTTAATGGTATAAAGACGAAGTACGAGTACTTTCCATGCATATAATGACAGTTAAGTTATTTCAGTTTCTTAGTAGTGGCTGTATAATTTATATATGGCATAAATCAATGCTTAAGACATCACGATATTTTTATTTAATATAATACGCTAGAACAGTTTAGAACACAAAGTTCTTGTAATGAAACTGGAAGGCGATACTTTTGATAAGTTACATGTGATTATGAGCCTAATATATTTTCATTTGCTCAACTGCTTGCTATCAATGACATACGATCAAATTATTTTCTTACTATACATTTTTCTTAAAGTGAAGTTGATCTATCACAACAATTAAAAAAAGTTCAAGCGGAAGCTACAGAAACAAAAGAGAGATTCCAACGTCGAGTTATGGTAGGTGCACAAATGGAAAATAGTGCAAAGTTTAATTACGTAGTATTGTTTAATTCTATGTTACTAAATTTACTCTTTAATTGTGTTTTCGAACATGAGAATCTTTTCGCTGATGAAAAAATAATTTAGAGTATCCTGAACATTTAATTTTTCAGTATTTGTTTTTAATTCAAATTTTCATACAAAATTTTCATGCTCATTGTGTAAAAAGTACAGTTTTTCTTTGCAGGATCTTACGGATCAAATAAAGATGCTTAAGCTTGAAAAGGAAGTAGGAGGGAGACTGAGATCAAGTTTAACTCCTCAAAGTGTTTGTATGTACGCTCAAAAATTGATTTGAAAAGATTTTAAACAAAAATAATGTCAACTCTACTTAAAATTTTACCTCAATTTAGACTCCATTCCGAATTTGAACGATAAAGAAAGTTCACTGAAACAGCAGTTGTATAGAAAAGAACGTGTACGAATATCCTTGATGCAACAGTTTTTTTTTTCGAAACAGTTCATTGATATTAACTATTCGTTTCAGTCGCTCGTAATCGCTGAAGCCGAACTTCAGAAGCAGCAAAAATACTTCATTGGCTTCATTCATGGTTTGAAACGAGATTTTATGTAAGTTAGCTATAACGAAAATAAAAAAAATGTACAATGGTTTGTCGTATGATCTTAACTATGGTTTGCAAAAGGTATGTTTTTACTTAAAAAAAGATGGACTTTAAGATGAAAGAATTTTCCTGACTTGAAAATTGAAAATTACTATTATTTATATAAGAAATATTACTACTTACTTATTATTTAGTGCCATTTAAAGTTACCTCTTCATGCAGCTATTTCATTTTTTGAGATTTTTTTGTGTAGTATTTGTAATAGAATTTTTTTATAAAATAAAAAATATGGATAATCGACAGATATTACAGTAGTGTTAGAATTGCATGCATTGAAATTTTATGATCACACGTGTATCTCGTGTGACTTAAATACTTTGTCTGTTATCAAACACAAAAAGTTTGTCCTTAACCGATACATTTAAAAGTGATTTTTTTGTTGTTTTAAATAAAAAGACTTCCTAAAACTGAAATGAAATTTCATTTAAAATCATGTTTGAATGCTTAATTTTGGGAATGTTTAGTTTGTGAAGTTTGAGAATTTATGATCAGCTGTTTCTCAAAATACATGCATGAAAACAATGTTTTATATTTGTCGTTAACTCTGCTTGTGTTTGATCTAAAATTTATTTATTGTTGCCAGCTCATCACCTACATGATAATACAATTTTTTTTCAAACATTTGTGAGAATACATGCAAGCAACGAACATATTTATTTCACCAATTGCGATCTGTTGTATACATGGTACATGTCAATATCATCAGTGCTGTTTCATATTTTCCATGTATAGAATAATGCTGGAAAAAGAAGGGAAAAAAATGGACGATTTTTCTACAGACAACAGAGCGTTTTTAAGCATGTTAAGCAGAATATACACAGCATCTACTGAAGGTAATTTATGTGGATCATGATAACTTCCTCGGCCAACTACCTCTGCGTCGTATAAACTTATAATTTAATGCTGTCTTACGTGTTTGCTTTTTAATGCATTACAGGGATTTTATCTGAACTAAAAGCGAAATTACCAGTTCATTATCAAGGAGTAAATGAGGTGTGTATTTGTAGTCATGTTTTTGTTATTGAAACTGAAAAACTAAGTTTTACTGTTCCAAATTTTGCTGCCAAGCACGGAGTTTTTTAAGTATAGATTTTTCTGTATCACCTTTATGTCGATATAAATATTTGAGGCTCTCGTTTTTAGCGATTGAAATTTTGAAGCTTGTGATCCGATAGTTAGTGAAAATTTTCATTCAAGTATTAGCTTCCAGTATCTTATTCGAACAGGAATCATTGAAACATCCGCTGGGCAAAAAGTTAACCAGATCTATTTCTCAGTTGAATAAAGAATACAATGAATTACAAAGAAGTGGGGAGTAGGTTCATTTTATGTAATTTTATGCCATGCATTGTATTTGTATGCACATTATAATTAGTTTTTGTCAACATTTCAGTTGTGTCAGGTTTTAAAAATCTTTGCTATGTTTAGTGCAAACGATCCTTTGCTGATGAAGCCATTGTTTACAAAATGGAGAGATGCCAATATAAACATCCAAACATTGACATCACAAAGTAACGAAATTACTATTTGCTTACTGATATAAATTACTATAGATTACATGAAATCAATCTGTGCATATTTGGAGGCAAAGAAATAAAGTAATTCATACTTTGCAGCCCATGGTGTGCATCCTACAATGGTTGATATCAAAACGGGAACTCTTATAGCTGGGGAAGCGATGAAATTTTTCCCTGAATGGACCGAACATGATGTTAGGAAACTTTTTATAGCAATAACAAAAAATAATCTATATTCTGATGCTGCCATTAATCGTACAATAATTATATTAGAAACTGTGTGCACTGTACTGTTTTGGGGTTTTGTATTTTTGTCAACATGAGATCCACTATATTGTAATAGCAAGTTTTCCTAAACAAGATTGTGCAATTATGTGAAGTAATTTCCTGGAAACTATATATAACTCAATACTTAAATGTACCATTTTAGGTGAAGGACATGTTTGAGCATTTTAAAAAGTTTGATGTAAATAAGGACTTTCATTTGGACTGCGATGAAGTAAGATATGAGATCTAGTCGGTTTGCTATTTCTGTGAAGAAAATATTCGCCCAAATGCGAAAGAAAGTGTATAGCATCCTAAAATTTTAATTATCTTGACCTTGATCGGTCTTGGCCACAATTTGTTGTATGACTGTATATAACTTTTTAACTCGAGTATTCTTGTCATAGTTACTTAATGCAATACCTGATATCCTTGGTAAAATGACGACAACAGAGGAAATAAAGGTTTGTTTGATGTATTGTTACACTATTGAATTCTAACTACTATGTCTATGTCGTCATTATACGCCATCATCGTTTGTGGACGGATTTTGGCCGATGCATTTTTCAATGGACTGATTTTTCATCCATGCATGTTAAATCCCTGTCCACCTCGAATTTTGCGTTATTTTAAACGGCTTATATGGACGCTCCTTTTTATATGATTTTTTATTGTGCTTAAATTGCAGGAAGCCATGAATGAAATAGACTTGGATAATTCAGGCACCGTAGATTTCTTTGAGTTTCTCGTTGTTGCAAAACTTGTTACCCAGCAGGAAGGTTAGATGCGAAATCTGCTTTAAAATTAAGAAAAGTTCTGCATGATCGATCGAAGGTACTAACTGTCTTTTGTTGTTATCTTTCCAAAATTAGGTAAATCGTCAATTTTCAAAAAGAAACGGCTCACTGCTCTTCAAAAATCACCTCCAGTAAATTCAAGGGTCTGTATTATACAATAAAATGCAATCTTGAAAAAGATCATGACTTTCCTCGAAGTGCTAGGAACTCTTAAAAGACAGTGAAAAAAGAAATAGACAATGAAATGGAAGCACAATTCAAACGTAATCAACATGGGCAACAATTCAACTAAAATCATGACTATAATCTATAGTGCTGACTCCAATAGCTTCAGAAATAAACTCGCCTATAGAAAACACATTTGAATGTTGTGTTTCGAGATCGGTAGTTTCTAGTAAGCAGTACAAAAATTTGCAATGACAATGTCAACAAAGTTCCTGTTGAAACCCACTGATTGAAAAAATACGTGGAAACCAATAGATAGCGAAAGTTGGATTTTATTGCGACACGTCATTCAATTAACGTAGCACACCAGGTAATCTGATGGTTTTGACGCGTACTTCCATGCTGCAAGTAAAAATTTTTCCAATTTTTTGTCCATTACTGTTGTTTTATGTGCACATTTGTCTATTATTGTGGTCTTACATGCACATTTGCCGGTTTCAGCATTGCGTGACATCGAAGGTATTATTCCTGAACCATCAAAAAAATTGTTATCCATTATGAACCAAACATAAAGAAAATAAAGCTGCTAAAGTTATAGTAGATTTCTTTGTGGCGAGAAAATCAGTTGTCTAACTAAGGAATGAGTGGGAAAAATCCAAACAAGTGATGAATATCTTACCACCAATTCATAGTGCTATGGTGCTATAGCCTTATATTTTCCAGCATTTCTAATGTGTTGAATGTGAAATTGATATCTACGCAAATGGATGAATGTCGTTTTTGCCTTTGTCAATTTTGATAACTTCATATTAACAGTTATATGCAGATAGTGGCAAAGTGGCGTAGGGCGTAGCCAGTGTGCATCATTTGCATCAGAGTATTAATTACTCAGCAAACTATATGTCGTACAAGTCCATAAGAACGTTATCAACATTGAAAGGCGGAGGAGGTTAAAACCACGAGAAAATGTTGAAAACTCATCCTCTACCTTCATCTCTTATACGTGTTATAAAATTTGTAAAGCAACATGGTTTTAGAGTGCTATGAAAGATTTAGTTGTTCTTGTGACTTGAGTGCCCCTCCTAACTTGTGTGATTCTTTTGAATAGTCAAAATAAACCAATAGTAAACATTCTCTTTCATAGTCATTTTGCTATTTTAATGCAAAGTGAGTGGGAGGCTTAGTTCCTACTTCTGCCTCTTTATTTTATTTGTAGTAGATCATTTGTATGGGGTGAACTTGGATTCAGTTTTACCGATCTTACCTACAATATATAAGCCTACCTTATACGTTATCAAAGCGTTTGTTTAGTTGTCACTGCAATTTTTTTAGTTTTCAACCAGCAATTCAGCTGGCTGAAAACAGTGTATGTTAGTTTTGTAAATTTTATTTTGCCTTTGGGTATTACGTAATCCCATATGGTCTAGTGGTCAGGATCCGGCGCTCTCACCGCCGTGGCCCGGGTTCGATTCCCGGTGTGGGAATGTCTTTTACAAAATTTTACAAAAAACCTACTTTGTTCTTCATTTCCATTTTATATTTATTGTATTTTGACAAACGGTTTACTCCTTAGCTTAGTTATATTGAATTTTTTTGATTACTATTTCCGTTCGCCAAAAAACAATATAGAGAATGAGGTAGAGCTTATGTGAGTGGCCTGGGTCTAACATTATGTTAAAGCAAAAGTTTATTTATGGAAATCATCATTGCTGCTGCCAAAAATAAATGGCTACATAGTGCGTAATATTCTTGGAGCTTAATTCATGGCCAAAAAATAAAACTCCATTTTCAACTAGATAACAATTCGATCTGGTAAGAAAAATGTGCGTTCCCACACCGGGAATCGAACCCGGGCCACGGCGGTGAGAGCGCCGGATCCTAACCACTAGACCATATGGGAATTGCTGTCGGGTATCATACGTTTGTAAATATTACTAAAAGATTTTAACAAAAAATACAAAAGCACTTCCTTTATAAATGTCAACCAGAGACTTCCCAAAACACGAACATAAAACATTTTCCGTCTTGCTACAAAGTTAGACAAATGTCTTTGTTGGTGGAAATTGAGAAAACGAGAAATTATTATCGTTTGATGTTGAATGATTGGGCTAAATTCTATTAGAATTTTCTAGAACGTTGAGCAAAAAGGAAACTGAAAGTCCAGTGTACGTGGCATTTCGTGTCGTGCTGCCTTTATGTAATCCACAACAATGTGGCTCAAAAAGTAGAAAATCATACAAATTCAAATGAAGCGACTTCAAATAATTACGAATAGCGAAAAAGATACAGCACTTAAAACTAAAAGCTAAGAAGTACTAAAGTGTTCGTTTATGTGAAAACTGGGATAGAGTTAAACTTATTACTTATAAAACTTCAATACTCAAATTTTAAATTATTTTCGATTCCATGTTCAGGAAGGCTCGTTATCATCACATAAGTAAATTACATTTTTCTGGTCTATTAATTTTTTCTTATTATCAATAAGTTATGTGATGCATATCACCGTTGATCACGGACAAGAAGCAAAAACCTATATAAGCGAGTTTTTGGTGTAACACGAATAGCATGTAGTGGTGATGTGATATCAACGCTGCTGTGAGCCAATAAAAAAATTAATAGACTAAAAAAATATTGCATACACTTTGCAAGTTTGACACATTGCTTGACGCTATTTGTCGAGCCATTTGCAAATTTTTCATTCTCATTTAAAGCGCGCGACGTGCCCTGGAGAGAGCCAAACAGCACGGCGTTGTTCATCACAAGAATGATGTTAGCATGAATATCTTACACACTATAGCTTTTACTTTTTGTATTTTCTCTTTTTTTCTTTTGAATTATACGAAAGGAGGATGTCAATGCAATCAAATGCTTCATCCAGGTAATTTTTTTTCGTAAATAGTATCGCTTCACGGATATTTGGCCGCCCTGACTAATGCAATAGTATTTTGTGAATGAACATAACACTAAACAGCTTCGTCAATATCTGTTCAACATACCTTTGAACTTGTGATGTGGTTTGCTAAAATACTCTTTCTTTTGCTCATGTTTAGGTGTGTTTTCTGGCGAAAGAATTTCATTTGTTGCCGAGGTAATAGTTTGTGTTGTATCGGAGAAATGAATATCGTTATAACATTTGTTGTTTATCACGAGTATCGCATTAATTTTTCCAAACAACGAGGAGTGTGTATATATCAAAGACAAAAAGAGAAATCAACTCTACCCCAAAGAATTTGTGGCCATGAATTGTTGTATATTTAAACTTCATAAACAATGTACTCAGTCAGTCATCACCTAAAAGCATGCTTGTTTATAAAACCTTTTATAATATCATTTCCGAAACGAACATTCACATGCGTTACTGTGTAAAATTGTCGTGTATCAACATGATTTTTTCGTATTGACATGTCTGCTGGATTCTAACATGTTTTAATTTCACTTTACAGGAGAATCACGATCGTGACACCAGGAGGTATATAAATACTTTCTTCATTGGTTTTGAAATACATATGTGTATGATGTAGCTTGTAGACGTCTTACTTTGGATATTCAATTAAAATACAATATTAGGCTACTGCTTTTATAAATATTTGCTGAACATGCAACTCATTGGAAGTGGTAAAACCAAGAAAATGGTTTCGTGACGATTTTATATTGTTAAACAATAAACTCAACATTAGTTGTTTCATTGAAGCAGAATGTCGACGTTAAGTGTATTGCGTTTGTCTATTGAATATTTTTAATTATCTTGATCTTCATAATTTTATACGTAACGATTTTGGACTTCGAACTTCCTAAAATATTTATTTAAATTACTTGATTTAGGCCTGATAATAATCATCAACAATCCTATAAGGAAGCAATTGGCTTCAAACCTCCATATCTTGATTTTGGTGAACAGTAAGTGAACAGTCCTTTATCAATTATCATTATGATAGTTTTTGCTATAACTTGGTGTCTGTAGTTGGAATGATTATTAAAATACCTGCTCTGTTTATCAGCTTATCTTAGTTTTGGATACTGCAATTGCATTGGGAATGTTTCTTTTTCTTTATGATAATTATTTTTATATGTTAAACAAGGTTTACTGTGTAGGTTTAATGCCAGATATTACTGCACAAGCAAGTATGCAAGATGCTTTTATGCTATCTGTTGTTGTAATATAATTATTAGTAAAATATTGTGTTGACTGATTACATCCACCTGACAGATAGATATCTTTCATGCACATGAAAATTTTCTTTTATGTTCTAATCCTAAAAAAGCAGTTTTCAAGCTGCAATTGTACTATGATGCACATTAAAACCAAAAAGCTTAAATTTGAGGAATGTCAAACGTTTTTGTTAAAATGTCAGTATTTATTAAAACCTTAATTTTCAATGACATGTTTTAATTTTTACTTTTAAATTAAAATTCCATTTTTAATTATGGATTTTTTTTCTGTCTCTGAACTTTAAAACTGTTCTTCATGTATTTTCCATTGCTTCTGATGATTGTAAAGCCAACATGATCACCGAAATGATAAAATGTCAAGCTTTAGAAATAAAATGTTGCTAATCTAAGCCAGATACAAATTTAACTTGAACAAATGAGACCCAGAAGATGATAGTTCAAAGGGTCATGATAAGAGTGAAAACTGTCTCATGTTTCCAATTGTCTGTACATAGCTCTGTTATAGCTCAAGTGATAAAATTTGTACCAGTCATTTCAATTCAGTAAACATTGAAAAATTTAACTTTTGCATTGCAAATTAGTATTATCAACAAATATTTTAAAATTGAACTTTGAACTTTGCCTCCATTCAGTTGTGTCGTTGTATTTACAAATCATGCCAAAGTTTGTTTGGACAAAAATTGATGTATCATAACATCAAAAAACTTTAAAACTTGCATTAACCATTCAGAAGTCACAGGTATGTATTTAAATTAGTAGTAATAATCATAATCTGATAGCAATAAGTAAGAAACTAACAAAGATAACAAAGTATTCTGTTTCAAATGTATGTCTCATGAAGCCAGCTTGTGTCTCATCAAGCCAGTATAATTCTGTTTCATTTAATGATAACATGTATATGGTATGCATACAGATTATATATCTTGATCTAATGAATGCTTAGCTATTCCTTTATTATTTTTAGACCTATAGGAATGCCATATGTTTTTGATGTGACTGTGATCAATCCCAGTAAAGAAAACAATATTCAATTGCATTCATTCTCTGGAGAAAACCCACTTTTTCATGTTTCATTCTCTAAATCTCAGGTATATGTCAGTCATAAAATAGAACTTATGGGCACTAGCAAGCAACAACTTTATGAAATACAACCAGTGTGCGAATTAGTTCAGAAAAAACGATGTGTAATTTTTTTGACAAAAGTGTTTCTTTAGAGACATAATCAAATCGATATCACGTTAATTATTCCTAATTGCTAAATTAATATTTTCAAACGTGAACAAATTCATATGATTTACGACAGTGTTTTCGTTAAAACCGCTGATTTGCACATCGTTTGAAAAATGTCATTACACATTGCATTGTTCGCACACACAACCGTGTAAAATACATTTTGCAAATTTCTGTAGTTTACAAATTGTTTTCATTTGTGTATTACCTAATTATGGTTTGAAGTTATTTTCATTCACCTTATAGAACTATTGTATTACTATATGTTTTTGGACTTTGAATTGTTCTTTCATCCCTCTTAAAAATACTTTTGTAATATTTTCAGGAAATTTCTCCGCTATCCAACACATCATTTGAAGTTATTTTTCTTGCCAGAACTTTTGGTAGTGTTGAAAATACTTTATTTATTCATACGTCTAGTGGAGCATATCCGTACCAAGTAAGTTTTACCGAATGAGCGTTGATGATCTACACGTAGAAACATGTAACCTTACGTAATTAAAGTGACTATCGTTAACGTTGATGATCTACACGTAGAAACATGTAACCTTACGTAATTAAAGTGACTATCGTTAACGTTAATGATCTACACGTAGAACATGTAACCTTACGTAATTAAAGTGACTATCGTTAACGTTAATGATCTACACGTAGAAACATGTAACCTTACGTAATTAAAGTGACTATCGTTAACGTTGATGATCTACACGTAGAAACATGTAACCTTACGTAATTAAAGTGACTATCGTTAACGTTGATGATCTACACGTAGAAACATGTAACCTTATGTAATTAAAGTGACTATCGTTAACGTTGATGATCTACACGTAGAAACATGTAACCTTATGTAATTAAAGTGACTATCGTTAGCTTGGATGATCTACACGTAGAAACACGTAACCTTACGTAATTATTACGTAGCTACTATTTTATGATGACATTTACGACGTTTTAGATGTTATGTTTAATGCCTGTTATGTTACACTCCTTATGTATAAGCAACAAAAATGCAAAAATTTATTCACAACTTTTTATTATCTTGACGGCAACTGATTAACAAACTGAATCATTTTGAACAACATCTCATTGGGTATGTTTAGAAATGCTATTGCCTTTTGCAAAATAGAAGAACTTGCTTTCGCAAGATCGCTTTTCTGTTTTCAAGTTGCGAATATCGAGCCGTTATTTCGAACCCTGTCTGTTGAGTTTGCTTAGATTAGGTTATAGCTAAGACTGACTAAAGGTTTAACTTTGTAAAAAGGTGTACTAACACAAATGTATAGTTATGTACCATATCATTTTCATTGTCTAAGGTCCGTGGTTATGGTGTTGGGAATCCATACAGATTGCGTCCTTACTTGGGAGCAAGAGTCTTTGTTGATCACATATTTACATCATTGTTGTTCATGTATAATCCGCATGATTCACCACTTCAGGTATTATAGACTACAGAAAAGTGGACAAATTCTCACTGGCACTTGATACGTCATGACTTCGTCTAAGATTTTTACATCCTAGATCTTTTACTTAGTAAAAAGGCTTATTGTGGCAAAGGGGAGTGTTAAGCATATCACAAGACCTTGTAAATATGTTTAATTTCTTACACTTTAACATGAAAACCATCTGAAAGTAAGGAACTCAATCTTCATACAATATGAACAATTACAAGAGGATTTTTTGTTCAGTTGAAAATTATGCTCATGTACATGTTGTGTCCCTTAGTGATCATGACTAATAATGTTGTACCTGATGGTGAGAATTTTTCGACAATATACGATGATACTGTATCATATATACATATATATGTTATTTACCGCGATAACTATCATTTAAAATTTATAATTCTCTGAAAATTGACGCATCAAATTCACTCTCGCTATGAACTGCCATCTGAATATATTTTGCTTTCTCTTTGAACAATTTGCTCAATTTCACTTTAATATTCCATAATTACATTGCTCAATTACATTGCTGTCCCACAATACGTTGCACATGATAATAGGATGAACAAATGATTCTTTTGTTTCAATCAGGTTACTGAAATCTACTCTAGTGGTGGAGATTTACATTTAGAGCTTCCATCAGGTTCGGATGATGCATCATATGAACACTGGGTGAGTCATAAAGCCGATATAAAGTAAAGTAAATACAACATGCAACCCAGATAGTGTTATTTAATGTATGGCATATGTTCAACCTTTTATAAATCTACCTGTCCACTCTGTATTTACGGCAATGAACGTTTTTATTCATCCCGTCCTGTATTCGTTCTGCATCACGTTCATTTGTCGTATAAACAATAAGTTTGAAATTTTGTTTACTCATTTTATTCAATGTGCTGCTTGCATCTGTTGCCAGTGAATACACAAAAATATTGCAAATCTTAATTTGTTTATAGAAAATCTCTCCCTTTGAAACAAAGGCAATTATTCGTATGAATTTCCTCGGAAGAGTTGTCAGTAACCACACGGCATTCATAAGAATACGCACCAATAAGTTATCTGCAACCAATCAGTACCTAATTTTACCTGTGGAGATAGAAGTTACATCTGGTAGATAATGTTCATACGAATTACATTTGGATTAGCAAACTTTGTTTGTGTATTTTGCGTAAACTATTACCCCTTTCGTTTTTAGCACCCGGATTGTTTCCTTCAGTCGATATGCTAGATTTTGGAACTTTGAGGAAAATGGGTTAGTACTTAGTAGGTTTTCAAGAATGTCTGAAATTTTCCTATTACCTGGACCTCACTTGCGACATAAGCTTAAGCGTGAGAAGAATAGATAGCTTTGAAAATGTTTGCTTATGCTTATATGTTGCAGGTATGGATCAGGCTCAAGTCTACAATGAAATAAGTTATTTTAATTGCAAGCTACTGATTTATTGTGCACTAAACTAAAGTTTCTTTTGGTCTTTTCCTATTATACATTTTTTGGGTCGTGCAGTTAATGTTTTATGTTCACCTTTAATGATAAGAGATGTTTTTATTAATCTTTCACACGTCTCTTGTTATCCGCAAATTTCGGATATTTTTTCCACTTAAAAGCGTATTTGCTCTAGAAATTCTCCCAATTTCTGTAGACGAACCAAAAACTATTACAGTGTCACTGGTCAACACGCAAAACAAACCTGTCTCATTGACGGTAAGCAAAATGTTCCCTGTCGCCACAAAATCGTGCAATACGATTGGTTGGTAAAACTGTGCAGATATGTATCAAGGTCCAATCACATTGGTTTTTTGTTTCTCCAAAAGATCACCTGTTGTAAACGGGTTTTTCTGTTCACTCCATCTAACAAAGCCACGTAGTAATTCATATATATAATTATATTCACATTTATAAATGATTTGTAGGAAATAATTGTTGAACCACCAAACAGAGCAATACAAGTTAATATAAAAGTGAGTGCTCACTCTTCTTTATTTTCTTTTTGTATCGAATGTCACATTTAAGTTCTTTTCTACTTTGCATGTAGAACACGCACATCAAGCCAATTAACAAATACATCACTTCTTTTAGTGTGACCTTTACAGGTAATTTAGATACGATGCGAGATCCATGCTTATTTAGGAGAGTTGTGCAAATGATGAATGTTTTCACAAGCACTCGTTTTCATTTGCTTTGTTTCTATTTCTTGTAGCGTCGCATATACAAAACGCAAAGCAAAGTCATGGCAAAGTCATTGTTCTGTCTTCAAGTAAAGGAAATCCAAGAATGGTGCTTAATTATCAAGCAAATATTTTGTTAGGGTAAGTTATTTTTATTTCTTTATGATGATATGTGCTTTTTAAATCACTGTCATGCATCACTATTTGCACCTTGAAATCCCGGTAAGTCTTTTACGATCAAACAGAAACTGTTGTCATTTTTCAATGTTTCATTTAGTACCTTGGCATATTCTGTGAGTAAAACAAGGTTTTTCATTGGTCGACAACCGTATATTCCTGTAGTTCGAGACCTAGTCATCACAAACACGTTTGACTTTCCTTTGCTTATATACCGCGTACTTGTTGCTGCTGACATTCAGGATTCTATTACGGTAAGGTATCTGGCGAACAGGAAAAATCTACATAATTATGTTGGACTATATAGCTACTTATTAATGTTCATCTGCATTCGTTTCACGATTTCAACGTTTATGAAAGGGTTAACTAATGGAGATGTTTATGTGTTTATCTTGATGATTTATCCTGTTTGCCAAACGTCCATGTTTAGTTTTTTCCTTCCATTTTTTTCGTTTGTTCGTTTTTCGTTCTCTTCCATTTTTCTTTCCGCTGGAACAAATGGTTCCCGCGATTCATTCTATTTTTCACCCCTGATGCATATAGTAATTAGCCTAGTTCACACATTCCAGTTTTGTTGTATATAGCTACTCAACTCACGATTTTTTTGTTGCAATGTGCAGAATAACCATCAGCAAGAAATACAAGAACATTTTTCACCATTTCTTAATTATAGATTGTTAACTTTTCATCTCCTGTGATCGTTGGTGAAAAAAAGATGTCCACACCGTTCTCTGTCCGTTTTGTTGCCAATGAAAACTCATCAACTTATACTTCCAATATACGTCTCTATACGAACGCATCTGTTTTCACCATTCCTATGCATATATTTGATGGAAAGTTACACGTGAGTGTTTAAATTCTGTTTTGCTAAATGTTCTCGTCACAGAATAAGTAAATGGATTTGAGAATACAATGATATTTATAATGAAGCTAAGTAACTGAAAACTTTTATAGTAAACACATTGTTAATGAAGTTGATACCATTTTATAAATTAGCGTCATCGAAATGAAACAATTGTCACAGTTTAAAATAGCTGCTGGCGAGAGCCGTCATTTTTGCAGCGCTAGCCAGCGACTTTTCAACGGGAAGGGACATTTTTTGTATAAACTCTATGCCCAAAATCCTCGAAAATAATCCTTAATTTGATGAATCCTTAAGGGTTAGCAGTTGAATTAGGGTTAGGGACTGTTATATGTTTGTAAATGATGATCGTCCAGGTTAATAAAGTCCTGAGAAGGACTGTTTTTGTTGTTGGACTTTCGACAACTTAGCGGTAGCTCTTAAGATAACAAATGGTCACAAACTTAAACTGGCTTTAAATTTATAGGTTAAACTGCAATATCATTTAAAACATATTTTGATACTTGGTTTAAATCTTTACTTTGTCACGGTTGTGTTAATTAATGAATTTAAATTACTTCCAAAAATGTCCTTGTCTTCAAAGAGTTTTCGTCTATTTGCTCTCCTCGATCGCAGAAAACGTGCAATAAATTAAGATAACAAATGGTCACAAAATTAAACTGCGCTGTAAAATTTATATAGGTTAAACTGCAATATTGTTGTGAAGATGTCTTTTTTGAGTATTTGCTTGTTTTAGCATCTTGTGCCACTTCTGTCCTTTTTGTTGTGCTGATGCATGAATTTAAATTAAAAAAGGGAAAATGTCCTTGTCTTCAAAGAGTTTTCGTCTATTTACTCTCCTCGATCGCCAAAAACGGTTAAACAACAACGACATTTTTATGCACGCACTTTTCTTGTTTCTATTTCAAGTATGATTTTCCTCCCTCTCTGTTCGACGCTGGTACATTGGCAGTAAAACAACGGGATCGTAGGATGTTTCATATTGCAAATATAAATCCTGTTGCGGTAAGTCTAGTAAATTTATTTGTGTCTTATCTCACAACACCTAGAACGTGAAATTATGGCTGGGTGCAGCGTTACCAACTTTGCTTATAATTATTCACGGGAATAAATACTTTGAGTTACTTCTATCCAATTTTCACTTTTCATTGATCCTGCCGAGTGCCAAGCATTAAATGTCGGTTGATTTTCTAGGATACGGAGGCGTCATAAAATTCTGTCTATCGAATTTTTATTCATCATCATTACTGGTTTGCAAGGAGTAGCTTAGTGTCGTGTTTCACTCTCAAATTTTCTAGATAAAAGTAAAATTAAGATCATCGAACGAAACATTGGTGGTTCTCGAATATTTGGATGAAAAACGTGATGGAAAGACTCAATACGTGCCATTTCCTTCTGATGGGGTGAGTTATATATTGTTTTGCTATATGGCTGAGATAAATGCCACCCCCCCTGACAAGTTGATTTCTCGGCAAGTGCTTTTTTATGGCTTTTTGTATTTGAGCAACCTTTATTACAATACAACACAGTTGTATGAATTATTACAACGTCACAAACAATGTATTTAGTGAATTCGGCATATCATCTTTTGAAAACTAGAGTTGTTTTGCCTCTCCTTTTAAGATTTCAACCAGTTGAAATAAACTCACAAGTTTCAGTTCAGACTCTTTAAAACTATGTATTGCTGCTTGCGTTTCTGTTTGTTATGGAGTTTTTGGTCTTTATAGATAAATTTAAAGTCCAAGCATTCTCTTCTATTCTGTCTGGAAATCAGAGTTCCATCATATGATGGCAGTTATAGTGGAAAAATTTATTATAATACGCCATACGAGGTTTGGTTGAGTATATCTACTGTTGAAAATAAATACATTGTAAAAGCACAATTTAATTAGCGAGCGAGATTCAATGATGCTTAATAACTAGGAATTTTACATGTAATCTAATGATCGTATTAAAGAAATGTCAATGATGACCAACAGTTTCGTTAACTTTATGCGGTATTACGTGGATGTTATGATTATTTACAAGATTTAAGGAACCGATTACAAAAATTCAACTATGAAATTTCTCTTCTTTAGGCGAAGGTCATAACATTCTCGTTCAAAGCTGCAAGTGGTCACATGAAAGTAAATCCTGCAAAGATTATTTTTGATCATTCGTTCCCGGTAAATGTTATTTCACGCTATTGTTCAGGGATTTCTCTAAGATATTATGAACTACAATCTGACATTATCGCAGTGTTAATTTTTTTAATAAGGAATTTAACTAAAAAATATTTAACCTGAGTACTTTCATGAAGCCAAATTTTCCCTCGAAACTCGCATGTTAGCTTACTGTCGTAATAATTTTTTTTGGGCCGTGCGTGGAAGCATTGGGACTAGTTTAGTTGCTGACTTTAAATTCAATGGTTTAACTGTTAATGTCATAAAAATAATTTGATTTGCAGATTTGACACTTGCATAATTTTTACATTTATTCATATGTATGCGAACTATGTATTGGCATTTTTCTTATTTGTAGGGGAAAACTCAAAGAGTTCCCTTGTATATGACAAGCACATTTCTTAATCCTGTCACCGTATTTTCAACAACAACGAAGGCTCGCCGACCGTTCGAATTTATTTCAGTTAATAGTTCGGATCCTGTACTTTATCCTAAACGTAAACTGAAGGTATGTACAGTACCGCTCGCGTATATCTTAACATACGCTACGCGTATGATACACGTAGAATACAAATATAATGTGCGTATGATACGCGTATGATACATGTAGAATACAAATATAATGTGCGTATGATACACGTAGAATACAAATATAATGTGCGTATGATACACGTAGGATACACGTAGAATACAAATATAATGTGCGTATGATACGCGTAGCAAATACACTGATTATGTACGTATGGACATGCATCATTCAAGCTATTTATACGTGAAGTAGTTACCACAGTTCTCACTGGATAAATATGTCAGGAAGAAGGCTTTCATCTTTTATGAAGTAACGAATTATTGTTCTTTGGAAGGAAGGGAGAATTTTTTACTGTGCGACATGCATATAATGAGCAATAAAGGCGATTTCAATTGCTTTTAAATGATTCAATAAACGTTTCCTATCAAATAAACGCACTTAGTTTTTTTTTTTCACTTGTTTAAACTAATGCAATAAACGCCCCTCTCTATTAAACGTTTTTTTATCTATTTAACGCTCCGATGGAACCGCTAAGATTTATGATAATCGTCCGGCCGTTAAATCATTTACGGCAATAAAACGTTCACATTTTTTACGTTACATCTTTTACGAATAATAATTGTATCCTTAGCATAAGGTGAAAGCCTTTTTCCTGACATCATTGATCCAGTGTTCCACAGTTATGAGGGGAGAACTCTGGTAAATGCTTCACGTATAAATGCTTCAAACAGCTTGAATGATGCATGCGCATGCGTACATAATCAGTGTATATGCTACGCTTACCATACGCGTATCATACGCAAAAAAGTGTTAAGATATACGTGAGCAGTGCTTTCGTGTATTTATCACCGATAAATTTCATTTTTCATTTCGCTATTTGGCTTTATACTACATTTTAAAGTGCTCTACGATAGACATTTTAATCTTATTTGAATTTCCCCCCTTAGATTGGAGATGTGGTTTTCAACCCTCAGCTTTTATGTTCATCTGGCTGTTACTTGGGGATACAGAATACAACAAACCTTGGTAAATTGTTTGACATGCAGACTTATTGATGTGCTGCGTGTCGTATCTTGAGATTGTTGAATCCAATCATATAGATTTAATAAAATGATCTTTATTTAGGTTCGGAATGGTTCTCTAGTCTATCATTAAGTCATGATATGTCTCGTATTGATGCCATGATACTGGAAAGTTTTCACAAGAAGTGGAACTCCCTGCTTGAAGCAAAGGAAAACAGGTTAAATATTCTTTGTTTGTGAACTCTACTCGTTTTTGTTTTCAAAATATCTGCAGAGTTGATATTTTTCAATATTGCAACAGCTTATTGAAATGTGGCATTTCCGACGTGTTTCGATATCTTTCATTTATGTAATGTTGAAAAATTTTATTTACGATTCTTGGTGGTTCAACTTTCATTCACAGTATTTGTCAACCCGACTTCTAACATTTTGCATAAAGCTTGTAATTAATTACTAAATTGTCTTTTTCTTTATAGCTTTACACGTAACTTCTATATCAGCACGGAAACAGTTAAAGGTCTCGAAGTTACAACTCAAGGTGGATTGATATGGCCATCGTTGACTCCGGATCGTCCAATCAGATTTCCCCTTACGCATGTTGGCAGTACATCACATAAAATTTGACTTTGGAGAACCCAGCAGATATGCCTGTTGTAGTTCAAGTTGTTCCATTATCTGTGTATCCCAATGCTCAGTCAGCCATCGACGTTCTTTCTGATAGGTACTTGTCTCGCATTTCAGCTCTACCGAAGATTTAAGTATTCTTTTGTATTAAAACTCATGATGGTTCACCATTAAGTGGTGCGATGCTTTTAATGTTTAAAAAGCCCAAGAAATTTTTCAACTTTTCTTTCGGTCTGAAGGTGGATAACGTGGTTATTTACAAATTCAACAACTTTCTACTTTTCGTGACGTTTTCTTTCACACACAGACTTTGTAGCTTTTTTAGCTTTTTTTCATCGTTGATTTTTGTACGTTGCATGTTGAGCTCCAATGAATTTATCTCAAAACTGATCAGAAGGTTTTTTCCAGGCTTGACGTTGATTTACTGACAGCAAGACCTTCCTATCACTCTTGTTTCTCACTGCCAACAGGCAAAGTAAACAAGGTGTGTTATTATTGAGATTTTATATTTATATTTGTTTTATGACTATTAACTTATTTGTGTGTGGCTGCTTCTGAATTTACGAACCTGTTTTGATATCGATTTATGTATTGCATGTGATATTTCACCCTTTAGGTTTTTGGGTGAATTAGGTGTAAAAAGCTTTTATATCGTCATATAAGTTCAACACAATACTAAACTTTTAAAATTTTTGTTTTGATAGAATGTGTTTGAGAAGTCTTCATCTAAAGTAACGTCGCCAGTTGAGAATGTTGTAGGTGAAAATCCTACATCAAATGTTGTTACGATAAAGATGAAACCACGGTCAAAAACCAACGTAACGTTACAATTCAAACCGGAAAATGAAGACCAGAGGACATCTCTTTTCTTTATCAGGTGACATCAGCGCGCTTTCTTAATAATCTTGTACTTTCTTTAAAAACTTATTGTTATAATGATTTTTTGTTGGAGCAGTCGCTGTCTGATTGTTGTTGATAGTCTCAAGGATGCTAGATATATCTATCGCTCACATTTACAGCTAAAGAATGTTTACAAGACTCTTAGGATTTTAACGACGCGTTTTGACTTTGAATTTTAACTTGTTAAACTTTTGCATTCTTTGTTTTACGTAGTGCGACCTGATATGTTTTTTTATACTTATGCCGTTTTACTTCTTTTTTTTAGAAACAACTTAACAGTATTAGATATGGTTTTGGTACAAGGTCAAGGTGCCAGCGGTGAATTAATGATTGATGGTAGGAGACCGGGTGTTGATAGCGAAATTTTGTTCGAATTGAAACAAAAACATCTTGAGGAGTGTACAAGTAAGACATCTTCAGTATTTTTCAAATTTATTAATATTGAATTTAACGTTTTTCATGCCATGACTATACATATTAATAACCACAAGCCACAGTTACGTAACTTCTTCGAAGCTAAACTTTATGCTTTTGCTTTATATGCAATAGCATCACTAGCTTGTCTGCAATTGTTTCACCATGCGATCCTCATATTCTAGCTTATATAGTGATAATGTTTTGACGTATGTCGAATTTCAACCTGTTCTACAAGTCTTTGACAAATCAATAGGGTGGGAACTTTAATCCAATCCTATATAGCAACTCTATGTATTCCAAACTGTAATATTGTCTAACTGTATGGTTATGACTGCTTAAAAACTGTTGCTGGAAGAGTCATTTTTCGGTAAAAATTTTTACACGATGAAGAAAATACGATTAGAATACACAAAAACTCAAACATTTGAACTGGTTACCTGTTGCCTGCGGCTAAAATTTTATTTCTGTGGTCTAACTGACATTGAACTCACTCCATGATATCGAGTTAAACTATATAAAAGTAGGTTATCTGTGGATGAGCGAAATTCCAGAAATTTGCAAACTTAAATATTCCTGAACAAATACTAATGCAAATACAAATAAAAAACTTATTATCAATAAGTCCAAAAAGCAATATAAATTTGGCAACAACATCTCTTATCTTTCTAGGTAATAGAAGTGTTTTTAAAGATTCGCTTCTCTTGCTTTTTGTTGTATAGCAATAACCTGAATTTTCTTGTATTTATAACTGTTTGTAATCAACAGGATTGAGATCCGGTTCAGGTGGCAAAACAGCTCGAACTTTAACAGTGAAGAAAACTGTGCTTGCTAGCAATCCTGGTCAATTAGCAACACATTTGACATCTTTCAGTATTGATGGATACGACTGTGAAGGATATGGATTTAGTATTCTAAACTGTAAATCTCACTATCTCAAACCTTCTGCTACAACTAAGATTCACATTGCGTAAGTGAACTAAATCAAATTTCAAGCAGAAAGTACAAATTCTGTCATGCAGTATAATAGTTACAGAGTTATAAAGGCAATTATTTATATCGATTCGGACATGCGTTTCGTTGTCTCTTGTTGCAATGAATCTTTGTAGAAACCCCACTTTTAACTCATGAATTATCTACTTGTTGAAATATGGCTTTTCTAAAGGCACAGCCTTAGGCTTTGACTTATAAGGATTAGATATATTCGCTTCTGCGTGGTACGTCAATTAGCTAGATAATTCTGTTGAAAAATCATATCTTTTTATTCTTGGAATTCTTTAGCATGACTTCTGAGCAACCCTGGCTGAAACCTTTCTCGCTTTTTTAGATTCACTCCCGACTTCACTGTTTCACGCACATCGCGTCGACTTAAAATAAAAACTTCTCTTGGACATGTTTTTGAATTCAGTCTAATTGCGACTATACCATCGGAGCTAATACCGCTGTGCGCTGCGACAGTGGAACGCCCTTCATGGGAACATCAGGTTTATATTTCAATCGCTGTGACTATGATTTTGCTGCTCTTTTTCACACTCATTTTGGCTCACTTTGAAGCAAAGAAACTCATTTCATCAGAAACGGCCACACTACGAAACGAGCACGACGTGTTAAACGGGGCTGCAGTAATGAACGGTGATATTTTTGATTTACGAAAAATAACAGCGTCTTTACAAGCTCCAAGTGCTGTACACAACCATTACGACGCACACAAAGACGATTCAAATAGTTGTCTTATGAAGGAAAACAATCTTGATGAACCGAAAAGTACCTGTTATTCTCGATCAAGAAGAACTTTGATAGAAAACAGTGTACGATTGAATTCCAATAATAACTCAATAACCACAGAGACAACTTTAGCTAACGAGCATTGTAAAAAACAGAAAAAGATCGTCATGAATTCTCAAGCATTAAAAACTAGTGATCCCGTTACTGTCAAAACTACTAAACCTTTTGGTGTTGTATTACCTAACGCAAGTTCCTCAGCAATAGCTCTGAAAAGCCAAATGAACACGCATAGTCACAAAGCAACAACTGACGCGAGTAAGATCGTTTCAACTTTGCCAGTGAAAAAAGAAAAGAGCAAGATACGCAAGAAGACTGCCAAGGTTGCACCTGTTTGTGTTTCAGTTCATGATAAGAGAACAAATACAATTGAACTAGTGAAAATAAAAGAAAATGATGTGATAAACGAATTGTTAGCGAAACCAAAAGATGGCAAATCGAGACAAACTAGAGAAACAGTTGAGGAAATCAAAGAACCAAGAAAGCAAGATGTTGCTTCATACACAGTTAAATCATCAAACAGTAAATGCACAAGTAAAACATCACGAAAGACTAGTTTATCAGAACTTGAGAAATCGCAAACGAAACCTAAAATCGAAAAATCTAAATCTCATCCTTTAAATACCACCAGCAATTTGTATTCGACTAAGATGGAGCAAAGCACTTTCAACAAAAAGAAGTCTGGCAAACAAGCGAAACAAGAAACCCCTTTAACTATCACAGAAGCCATCAACTCAGCCTTAGAGATCACCCTAAAGTCTTCGCCTTTGACCGAATTAGATACATCACGCAATGAATTTCGTAGTTCGTCCACTTGCCCTTCGCCATCATTGTCAGATTCATCGCAAAATCTTAGCCAAAGCAGTCGTAGTAGTAGTTACAGTAGTGTTGTTGGTAGCGAGGAGCCTACGCACATCGAACATATCAGAGAGCGTAAGAAAACATCTAAAAGCCGCAAGCAAAGTCGACTTGTCATACAAAAACCAGCTGAGATTACCAGTAAGTATATTTACGTATGGTTATGAAGAAAAAAGTTTTCTGTAAAATGATAGTTGAATGTAAACGTATTCTACAGTTTGACTTTTCGAAAGCACAAACACAAGTAAGTTCTGTAAATGACAAGTTTAATAATATTTGTAACATTTTTGCCTGATATTACATATGTCATCGATTTATGTAATTTATTCGTAAAGTATTTCATTTTGTTTTAGATCCTTTCACAGTAACAACTTTGGGAGATATTTCTAGCTCAGCTTGGAATGGAATGTGGGATAAAAGTGCGCGTGACCTCAGAGGATCACCTTCCTTTGAATCTTTTCCGACTATGTCATCTTCGAGTTCTTTATTCAGCAGCACACCGTTTGATAAAGATAGCAAGTTAGATCGACATGACATATTCACAGATTCCTCAGTAGTGGAAACACCGTCCGGAGAAGATAAGCCTTGGTTTACCTTTCACGATGTTAAAGCCCCTGGTCTCTCAACTCCTTTTGTTGAAGTTGGATCGTCCGTGCCGAAATTCTGGCCCGAAGAACCAATGGCGTCTCTTGAAAATTTGATTCCAATGACACAAACTTGCCACACGACCAACTGGGTGAATTTTCTTGACGAAAGCTCAGCTAATGCTTCAAGACTTCCTTCACCCGGAATGCCGCAGAGTTCAAAAACTGTGAGTGAGATTTGGAACTCTGGCCATCGGTCAGATGAAAACGATGGTTGGTCCAATGTTTTCTCGCCAGCACTTACGGAATCTGATCTAACATACCCACGTGTTCCTGATGCCTATGAATCAAGTTGGTCTACTGGTGAAGCATGTCCTGCTTATTTTCATTTACCAAAGAATCATGGAAACTGCGTGGACGTAAACCAAACTTCCGGTGAATCTGATTTCATCTTTGGCACCCAAAGTGAGAATGTATCCTACAGGAAGAGCAAATCACAGAAATTAAATCCTTACTGTGAACCTTGGGAAAGTCGAACACAAACATCACAGAACATCTGGTCATCCACAACACGTTATTAAAAGCGTCACTAAAAACCGTTTGCGTGTAATTTCTGTATTTGTTTATTTGATGATTGTCAAACTCATAGAATTTTAGTGTGATGTAAATGTTCTCTTTCTCCTCACGTCATTATTTTAATGTTTTGCTAATCCCAAATGCTTTCATTTTTTTTGTTTTCAAAGCAAGGGGGTTTTGGCAAATATTTTATTTGTATGATTTCTCTCCATGTTAAATTTTGTCACGAATTGTTTATGTAAAAGAAAGATAAAATTGGAAGCATTAAGTGCGCAATGATTTTATTTATAAAATGATTATTTATTATCTGCTATTAGTAGTGGATGTTAGGAGAGAACTTAGCCTGAACACAATGCAAGAGATATTTCATCATTCTTTATTGTTTTGAACGTTGTTTTTGACGAACTTTTGTAGTCTAAGCTTTTTTAAGAAAATTAAATTCAAACAAACTTTAGCGTCGTCGTCTTGTGCACCAGAAACCGTTGCTATCATATAAAAATTTTAATAAATTTTATGTATTTTTAATTAAATTTGGCGAGATGTTGTTCCCATTTCAACATCAAACATCTACATCGGTTATTCTGGTGTTAAGTCATTCAAATCCTTTTCCGAAGTCTAATTTTTTTGTGAATTTTACGTCAATAAAAGAAACCAGAAATTAAAAAAATTCAAACGAGTCAATGAGGTACATCGAAAAAGCGATCTTCGTTCACCTATTAAAATGAGGATAGAAGTTTAGTTATATGAGCAAGCGTCGATCGTTTTGCCTACGTACATAAAAATATCGTTATTTATTAACGATCTTCCTGACCAAGTTTAGTTTGCCCACCAACAGAAATGATGTTGCATGCTGATGATCATAAGCGTAGGAACAGATTAATTTATTTTTTGGGGGTGGTGGCTGAAGTTGACGAGTTGTCAAGTGCAAACCGAGCACTTGAAGCAAGTTATAAGACCTTTGTCATTTAGTTGCACTTCTCGATAATTTACACGATATGCAAGTATATAGTACTTTTATATAAAAAGTTTCCATAACGAACTATAGGCAATATACCGACAGAAACTTGAGTTCGTCTCTTTTAATTGTGACATCCAGTAACTGTCTTGAGATACAGGGAAAGATTACAGCGAATAAAGGTGTAGACAGAATAAAGATATAGATTTTGACAATATTTACCTTCAAAATTACTCAGATCAATATTAGATCTTATGAATTTAATGATTTTAAGAGTAGAATTGAATATTTCAAAAACTTTCCTCGTGTTGTAAGAAAGTGGAACTTAATTATTGGACAGTGATGTCAATTTTTAATTTTTATTTAAATTATTGTTTGTTTCGCGCTATAAAAACTCGAAACTATGGGATCACAATGAGGAATACACAGTCGCAATAACTTATATGTTAATTATAGTAATTAACAGAGGTAAATCGCATGAAAAATGTCTGCTGATTTAAAACAGTTTCGTGTTTCATTGTATATCACATTTCACATGAATACAACACCATCAATACGAACGGAGCAAATACAAATAATTTACTGGGAAAAAGAAACACAGGCAACGATGAAACAAAATACGCTTGTTTTGTCATTTGTGTTTTCGCAATTTGAATATTCACTAAGCTTTCCACGCTAATGGTCTTAAATTAAATTCCTTTCACATCCGATGGCGTTAATAATCCATCGTTTTCGTTGACCATTCGACTGTTAAATGTAAACAACAGTTAAGTCAAGATATTTGGGGAACACAAACGCTTCATTTGTAGTTGGCGTTTGCAGCGTGTCCATCAAGTCAAAACGTCAAAAGATGCTCGATAACGCACGTTATGATTTTTGGTTCTTCAACGTCTTCCTCTTAATTACTTGCTTAACAACATTTTCAGCTGGCAGTGAAAATATACAGCGTAATATTGTACATCGCAACGTAAGGTCATTGAATGGCACATCCAGTGATTTTTACAATGGTACAGCGAGACACATGAAAGTACTAAACATTACTTTGAAAGAGGTAGTTAAAACAGTAAAAATGCCCACAACAATGTCGTCTTTAAAACAAGACACCACCATGAAATCAACATCTCCACCATTGATAGTAAAATTAGATTGTAGGAAAGCGTATTCGTGCAACAAAAAATGTACAGACGGTGTAAAATTTACTGTGTACTCAAGTTCCAATAGCCCTCGTCAAGAAGACTGCAATTGTGATCATGCTTGTAATGAAGTCTTTGGAGATTGTTGTGGCGATTTTGAGCGTTCATGCCCTATTGCTAAGAAGAATTTGACAAATCTATTTGATTATTTCCCTCAACATAACGCCTGGCGTTGTGTATATTTTCCAATACATGGTGATGGTTGTTCAACAGAACCTCGTGGCTCATGGATGATTGCAGGATGCCCTAACACTTGGCCTGACGACCATGTAAAGTTCCAATGCCATCATCCCGTTGACAAGTTGCATGGACAAACTTATCGTTCATACCTCCCAGTTGTCAGTATTTCAAATTTACTGTCGTACAGAAACCAATACTGCGCTCAATGCAATAATGTTTCCAAATATGAACATTGGACGATGATATTTAATGAGCACACTATTCCTCCTCCTAATTATTCTCCAAGTGATTTCACAAAATTTATTTCAAAATACAGTAATGAGCTTGTTGGTCTGCAACCTAAAGAAGGACAACGCATGCGTCGGTGTACATACTTTGACGTAATCACATCTTGCCCCAACTCGACTACTATGAAAAATAAGCTGGAGTGTGCGCAAGGGACTGTCGGTCTCGTTCAAGAAATGCATTCGAGAGAAAAGATATTCAAGAATCGAGCTTGTGCATCCTGTAACGGATACAATTTAGTCTGTGGGGTGTCTAAAACCAGATTTGATGGATGCTTAGTTCTACCGAGTATAAATCGTGCTCTTAGTTTGCGAGATTACGGCTTGTCGACAAGAATAGAATCTTGTCGAAAAAATGAAGCTTTTGATAAATACATTGGGAGGTGTCGAAAGATTTATAACATCAATGAGTTAAACAGAGGAAATGATGATGTATACCAACTTACTTTGTTTATGTTGAGAAACCCAAATATTGGCTATCAATTTTCTCTTTTTGAACTGAAGGTTTCTCTTTCTGATCACTACTCCTTGAACAAGTCTCAAATTTCTGAACTCAACATACTTCCGACAACTTCATCTGAAGGTCCAGCATATCAGCTATCTTTCAACATTCGTTTAACTCCATTGTTAAGTTTTGTTTTAGCAACAAAACGAGAACTAAGTAATAGCTCAAATGAAACGATAACACTTCGACGTCTCTTTAGATTCAGGCAAGCGTTTCAGTTACACTTAGGCACCTCCTCGACATCTTTCACGGTTTATCGTCAGGAAATTCGTCAGGTCAATTGCACTCGTCCACACTCCTATAACCCTCATGAATACGTCATCCAAGAAGATTTAAGTATCCGTATTTTGAGCACCAATGTGACCTATGAACAGTACGAATATTTTGTGAAAAATTTGACGAGTAACGCAACAGTTACAGTTTGTCTTAAAACTACACCCTATTGTTCGGCTGTTTTCATCCAACTTAACTCGACAGAATTTTATTTAACAGACAATTTAACATTGGTTTACAATTCTCTGTCATTTAAGCTTGGTGATTACGTGTACCGGGGTGAAAAGTTTTATGTGTGTGTCAATTTTACCAGAAACTATGAAATATCAACCAGAAAATGGCCAAAAGATCACATAGCTTTGGTAGTTATTACTTGGATTGGATTTATATCATCCATTGTTTGTTTGATCGTTTTGATGATTACCTATTGTGCATTTGAAGATCTGCGTAATTTGCCAGGAAAGAATCTTTTAAATTTATCTTTTACGTTGTGCATGGCTGAGATACTCTGGTTAGTAGGTTCTTTTCCAGATGAATATTCAACAGCTTGTGCAATTATAGCTAGGGCAAATCATTATTTCTTTTTGGCATTTTTCTCTTCGTGCTTTGTTATCGCTTTTCATTCTTGCATGGTATTTGGTCGAAAATTGTCGATTCGTCGTACTCCAACTGAAGAAAAGAAGATTTTCTTCAAGTATTGTCTAGTTGTGTGGCTACTTCCGGCTATATTTCTTATCATCTTTGGTATTCTAGATCACATTGATGTACTGGTTATAGATTACGGTCGTGTAGATGCATGTTGGCTGGGCACTAAAAAATCCAAAATACTTCTTTTTATCGTTCCATTTGGCATAATTTTGCTGCTTAATCTTGCTCTGTTCATTGCGGTTTCTTTGCGTCTTCGTGAAAATCAAAAGACAAACTTAAAACAACTTGGTGTTGATGGAAGAAAACGTGGAGTGCAAAACGTTAAAGTTTGCATAAGGTTATCAACGTTGATGGGATTTTCTTGGCTATTTGGATTACTACAGATTGTAACAGAAGATAAAACTGATGTATTTGCCTATGTCTTTGTAATATTTGTCAGCTTTCAAGGATTGTTTATTTGTGTGGCCTTCTTATTTCGAAAGAAATCTTACGAACTTTATCGTAGTTTTGTATCGAAAAATTTGACATCTTCGAAAGAGAAAAGTACACGAACAACTGGATTCCAGGAAACTCATCTGTGATATGTATTCTCTACTTCTGAAATCTTCATTTATGTTGCTCATATTGACATTAAGGGATGGGAATGGTAATGTTGTTTTTATCATAACTGCACAGATGATTGGAAATTGGTTCATCGCTTGTGTCCTTTGCCAATTACATGACAAATCCAAAGCCGCGTTTACAGAACAATCCTCAGCGAAGTTGTATAATTTAACACTTTGAAATGAGTTGTTGTGTAGCTGAAATACAAACTCGCTTCAACTTTTGAGAGAACAGCATAAAAAAAATAGTTGTTGATATGGATAAACGTATATTATACTTAGCTATATTAAGTTTTTTTTTGTCAAATCAAACTGATTTCCGTAAAGATAGTGACAAAGAAAACTTGACCAAAAGTAGAATAAATATATGTAATTAACAGCAACTAGAAATCGTACAAAGAATTCACGTGGTAATAAAGTCTAATTTTTTGACTGTTAAGGAGAGCGATCACTTAGTTACGAAATATTTTACATATCGCACATAACAATTGCGTTATAAGTGTTCTTTAATAAACTATAAAGAATATGATTAAGAAATGTACAACGAAAAACAAGTTTATATTATTGTCCATATATATCCAAGTTCATATGCTTTTACAGCCTCAGCCATGTGTCATCATATCTGAAGACAATTCTCTGTCAATTTCGTCTCTCAATGCTTTCAAACAATCAGTTGTATAACACGTGCCTCCAATGTCAGGGGTAAGATACTAAAAAACAAAACATTTAATAAAAAACTTGAAAGCAAGATATTTTATGTGTGCTATTTATAGTAAATAACAGAGGTAAATAAAAATGCCCGATTGATTTTTACATGAAAACTACAAGTTAAAACGTGCAGTTTTTCACCATACCTGTCCTTGAGAAATAACTCTGTAAATGGCGTTGTTGATAAGAGCTGCGTGGGACTCAAAACTATACAAGAGGAAAGTAAAATGTCCTTTTAAGTACTTATAAATGGAATAAATTGAAAATAAAATTAGAAACAGAATATTGAGGTTTTATATAGAACAAAATCATACCCAATGTGCTTCAACATTAGAGTACTTGCAAACAAAAAACCAAATGGGTTTGAGATATTTTTTCCAACCAAATCTGCGCCTGTGTTTCGAGTTCCCTGATAAAGCAAAATCCTGAACTGATACGGAGTTTTGATTAACATATTCCAAAACAATAAACTTCAAAATTTTTGAATATAATATTTGATAAAAGAAAAAATTGACCGTAATTCAAAATCAGTAGTAGCTATAGACGTACAGATTCAAATAAAGAATAGTTTTCTCCAATATTCTCGCCAGGTACCATACCCGGTCCACCAACCAAAGATGTCGCTATATTACTGATGATATTACCATATAAATTGGGCATCACCATTACATCAAATTGTTCTGGATGTGCTACAAGCTATATAAAAGAGCGCGAAAAATTTTATCAATGAAAGTTGATCAATTTGGTTGACGATTGGCAATTGCGCCTAAGGGCAGGATTATGAAACAGGACTTCTTCATTTGTCTTTAATGGGTATAAACTTTGCTTTTGTAGAGTTCAATATGCATTGCTTACTTGCATACAGCAATTATCAATAATCATGGAATTGTATTCAATGTCAGGATAATTATTTGCTACTTCCTCGCAACAACCAAGAAAAAGACCATCACCAAGTTTCCTGAAAATGAAAATATTACTATAACAGGATTTTACAAACATGCGAGGTGAGATAAGTTGTAAAAAAATTATCATACATAATGTTGGCTTTGTGAATTGCGGTAACCTTCTTCCGGTTGTTTTTCCTCGCGTATTCGAACGCAAACTTGGCGATTTTTGTGCATTTATCTTCGGTCATTATTTTGAGGCATTCAACCACCCCCGACACATTCTATAATGGAAATGCGCCATAAAATAGTGTATTTTTCATCCAGCTTCTGTGTACTGTTTTTATGGCGATGATGTAATAATTGAATGTAAACGTAAGTAGATGATTAGTCAATATGTGAACGGAGAAATACATTACAGTCGAACCTCGAATTACTGGACATCTTACGTAAACGGACAATAGGTCATGGTCCCAAGTGTGTTCGCTTACGGGATGTTTGACTGTGACAATATGCGCAACAAAATTTTAAAAGAACAATGAAACATAGAAAAAAGGTTATAATCATGGTTGAATATCAATAGGCAATCACAAATTATGAATTGAAATTAGCCAATTTAATAATATAGAAATAAAAAAAGATAAAAGTAGTTGTGTAGTATTCAACATTGAACATAGTCACATAATTGAAACGGAGAAAATTTTGTGAAAAGTTAGAATCAACAATGCGTCAACTTTTCATCAAAGTACCTCATGCTCCAAATGACTATATTCACCTTCTGTGTTTTCACGAATCATTATCAGGTCAACATTTTCATGTCTGAATATAGAAGAGAGTGAGTTGAAGAAATAGAATATTTTAGTTTTCTAGCAGTATATATGAATAATTTATATCTCACCGTGTCCTGATATTTTCAAATGACTTGCATTTAACAACATTGGCGTACAAGTCTAGTTTTACTCTATAAATTAATGACGTAACATATGAAGGTAAAACATTACATCATGAATGCACGACACGTGAACGTCTTACCGCAGTTCTACGTTCAGAGATTTAAAGCTAGGATCTTCAATAGGAGTGTGGAGATTTCCTACGCAATAAAAAATACACTTTCAGTAAAATCTGGCAGTGTGTATTTTATGCGCGCGCATCGTCATTGTGACACCTTTAAGGGCAACGCCATTTCGTTGAATGGAAATTAGAACATCTTCCAATTTATCTGTCATCTGCTGACCATCAACTAAGCCACTAAAGAAGAATGAAAGAGAATCACTGGGAAATGATGCGCATGGCTATTTTTCCAACTTGCAGTTGCAATACATATTTTTATTGTGATTATTTGCACATGTAATTGTTTGCAAATGGTTCAATCAATTGACAATTAAAGAACATGAATTATGAAAGCTAGAATTCATCCTGAAGTCAAGGGAAATATTTTGTTAAAAGGAAATTTCTAGTTACAAAATCAAGGCATTTATGTTATCTACACACTAAAATATGTTCCAAATCATTTGCACAAAAAGTTGATATTTTAACAGATTGATATTTTATGTTATTCAAAGCTTTCCCATCAAAAATATTTTCTACATGGAAAGTTTCAAAACTAGATGGAAGTGTCTAAGATAAGAAACATGGTCTGGAAACAGTGTTGAAATGAATGCCATGGCAACCAGTCAGTAGGTATTATATCTCATAATGTTGTCAATATCAGAAAGATAATTATTTAAGTGTACTCAAAATATCCTACTTCAAAGTTGTCAAGTTGTCATTATTGCACAGAAACCAACCTTAATTCCAGGACTTCAAAATTAACTGGAACACCAACATGTCTATACAACAATAAGGGAAGAAATTAGAGGGACCTAGCTCTCCAATACATTGAACACATTTTCATGATTTTTATCATTGCAAAAACCCTTAGATAAGGGTAAATGGATATAAAAAATCACCAGGGCAAAGAAAAAACAGAAAAAAGAAAGATCACAAGAGTAGATGTAATTGTTTGGTGTTTCAAGAAGTATTTCATTAACTAACATTGAGAATCATACAAAATAAGCCTATAGGGTTACTTTGTGACTTCAATAAATCATCTGTCAATCAAACTCCAGGTTACAGCAGCCCTCCTAACCAAACATATTTTTCACCATCTGCAAAGTTTTATGGTGTTCAAAAAGTCTTGGGTGATACATTTGGCCATGTACAATTAAATCTCGCTATGGTCCCATGACAAAGATTGAAGTCAACAAAGTATGTTTTCATATTTATGTCATTGCAATGTGCCCTAAAGGTAACACTTACTTGAATAAATCTTGGACTGTGTTTGCAAGCTCAGGTCCTATTCCATCACCTGGGATAAGTGTAACAGTTTGCCAACCACCATATTTTGCTGGAGGTGGTGACCTAAAAAATCCCTACAACACAAGCAATTTTACAAACAATTACAATGGTAACTAGACTTCAGTGGAATCATCTATAAAAATTCCATGAAAAAATTTGAAAATATACTAGAAAGCATCTTAGCAAGCACTAAGAAATAAAATGATAAAATCTATGACCTTGGCGTACAGGAGTTACAGTGCATGATTGATAGCATAGTACCCACATGATTAGAGGCCAGCGAGCGATGATTTAAGAATATTCCACGGCGATGCAACGTTGTGAGCAAATGCCGAACCAGTATCCCAGATTTGTTGAGCATCTTAATCAGATTTAATGATACGTAACTATGATTATTATCAAGACAGAGAAAGCCTAAACGTTTTTTCGTCAGTCAATATACACACAAACTCGTTATCATATCACGTTATGATATAAATACCACTTATAAATACTGTGATGGTTATAAGTTATATCCACTGATCTGGTTACGCTGGTTACGCAGGTAACGGTTCGTTTTACAAACAACCTGACAAACAACAGCACTAACAACAGCAAGACACATTTGGATACTGCGCATGCGCTGATCCTAACTCCTAAAATATTGTTACGGCGATGAAGTTTCTATATAGCTCATTCGAAAGAGCTCGACAGGGCAAAATAAAAAACTAAAGGTAAGCCTTGAAGTTCTTTCACACAAGTACAATTAAAGTCACAAAGTCACAAATTAAAGATCTTGAGAATAAACGTGCAGGTCTATTGGCTAGTGCCGCAGCTTCAAATATGTTTAGATACATTTAAAACACAAAATTCTGAATGGTTTTACATTATACAATGGTTTTACTGTATATAATGGTATGCTCACAATATCCAAAATTCAGCTATTCAGGATTTAGCAACAATATGGTGTATTAATAATCAGGGTTTTTTCAAGTTGGACAAAATAAGTAGACCTTTCACCTTTTAAACTGGCTATAACGGTCACAAGCCCGGAATGCCGTGATTCGCTTCGACGTTTGCAGCTCATGTTAGTTATGAGGACAGTGAGTGGAAGGTTTACAGATACTGTTTTGTATGATATGCTTATTAAGTTGAGAAATGAAAAACATGATTAAGGTGTTTCACTAAAAACATTACTCGCAATAAGCTTATTGCTATTATGTTTTAAATAGCGAGTGCGGCATTTAATTGTTTAAGTTCTTGTAAAGAGCTCGATGAGAGCCTTCAGAATTCAGATTCAGATGGCGTAAAGATCATCGCCGTAACTCCAATCTCCAATCTGACTACAATACTGTATAAGATAGGATCTGCGCATGCGCAAATCTTACTGCGATTACCATGAGTCACTGACATGGATTTGTAATCCCAGTCCTTCTGCTTCCAGTCCTTTTGCTGGTAGCCATCAAACCTTGGCTGTATTTTCAAGAAGAAGGAATACGAATCCATAGCCATCAACAAACATGATCATCTATAAAGATCGCATTTCTGGTATGATTGATTTAAAAAATTCTTATGAATAAGCAGATTGTTTCAAAACGTCCTATTTTGTGTTTGTTTTCATTTTTTCAATGTCAATGATTGGGACTATTTAGTATTATGTCCAGTAAACATCGATGATGACACGAATAATTTGTTAGTGAGAATATTCTGTTACTGCCCATGGTAACGTTACTAACGCTTTGATTTGATACTTAACTTTATTTTATATAGAAATCTTATTTTAAAGATTTCTTATGTTCAAATGCTTGTGTTTTTAGGTGACGAGTTATTCTCGGATAGTTTTCCTATGAAACTTATTGATGACTTGTATTATGAAGTTGAAGGAAAGGTAAGCTTGATTAATTTTTCATGTAACCGGGTTCCATTATTACTGAGCTGAGTCGTTGCTCAATATATATATGAACTTGTACATAGAAATAATAATATTAACATGTCTTATATTTTTCCGTATTTATGTCTTTCCAAAACAAAGCTTAATTTATGACGTACAATTGCATACAATATTGACATACGTTGTGTGTGATATTCAATATTAAGACTGAGGATTGCCTTACCTTACAAAATGCAAAGCAAAGCCAGTACATTTATTATTCAATAATTCAAAACGAAGCATGTATTTGACTTGATTTGTCAATTTAATCATTTGACCTTATGCAATATGTGTGTTTTTTTTATTTGATTTGAATTGTTTTATACAGACAGTTGCAGAATCATCTGGTGGCATTGATGACTCATTGATTGGTGGAAACAAATCTGCAGAGGAACCCAGTGCTGAAGAATATAATGCTGAGACAACATATGGTTGTAACATAGTTTTTAATCATCGATTATCAGCAGCTCCAGTTATTTCAAAAAAAGATTATTCTGCTGTAATCAAACCATATGTGAAAAAAATTTACGATAGTTTGATTGCGGAGGGGAAGACCGAGGATGCAGCTGTATTCAAATCTGGCATGGGTGAAGTTGTAAAGAAAATAAAAGGAATGTGGGATGATCTTGTACCATATACAGGTGAAAGTTTAAACCAAGATGCTATGATGTGTTTCATGAATTATCGAGAAAATGGTGACCCATACATGATCTTTTTCAAGCATGGACTTGTTGAAGAGAAGTGTGTAAGTATTTCCAGTCTTTCTACCTGCACATTTCAGGAGAGATAAATTACTTTCATCATACTCTCAATTGCCAATCATTAAATTATACAATAAAAGTGATATAAAGCTAGTGCTGATTGGTCTATAGGTGAATTTACATTAGTCTGTGCTAATTGATCTTGGCTTAATCAATTAAATCAATCAGTCAATCAATCAAAGAGAATTTGGGAATCAATCATGAATACATCTAAAAGGAAATATTAAAATGGTTGTGTCAAATTTATCTGTTTTGCAGTATAAAGGGAATAAGAGACATTTTTGTAGCTGCACTGGTTTGTGTAAACCTCAGTTAGTGACAACTCTTGAACAGGATCAGTCTTTGATCGTGGGATTGCAGTTATCTGTTCTTGAGTTCTCCAGAAGGTGCCTGTGCAGGCAAAGTAATCATCCTTTATTTCGTGATTGCAAAATTTTATTTCCATTTAAATATCACCGATCCAAGGCGGCTAGATGTTTTTCTTGCTAGAGGCTCAAGTTTGTCAATGTTCTTCACCTAACTTTCTGTAACATTGAACAAAAAATATAGACTTCAACTGCTAATCTTTATTAGAGATAGCAGACATGATCAATTTTAAAAATTGTTTTATTGTTGAGTTCATTTTATTATATTTTCAGAATTTTCCTTTGTTTTTTTTTTAGTGAACTGAATGAATGGCAAATAGAAATACAAACAGATAAGATAATTTTATTTTTTTGGTTTTAATTAATTGTACGCCATTAAAAGCAACAAATAATAAAATTGTATAGTCTAGACTGGTGGATGCAAATTTTCTATGGGTTGCTATCACATGAAGAATTTGTTCCCATCAGCTAAAATATTCATGAAGTAACATTGAACTATTATTAGTTCGTGTATATCGATTTCTTGTTTGTGATTTTTCTTGCCATATTTTGATGGAATACATTCACTGCTTGACATTCAAATTTTATTTGCCATAAATTAAGGAATTAAAATATATTTTCTACATGGCTGCATATTCTACCCCTATCTTTTTTTAATCCTTATGCTGAATGTGTTTAATCCTAAAAGCCAAATGTTTTTAATTCTTATGTTGAATGTGTTTAATCCTGAAAGCCAAATGTTTTTAATCCTTATGCTGAATGTGTTTAATCCTGAAAGCCAAATGTTTTTAATCCTTATGCTGAATGTGTTTAATCCTGAAAGCCAAATGTTTTTAATCCTTATGTTGAATGTGTTTAATCCTGAAAGCCAAATGTTTTTAATCCTTATGCTGAAGGGCAATTCCACAACATAGACAAAACATAAGAGAAAAATCTTATTATAGTTCTTTGTGAAAAACATATCAATAGTTATAGATAATGACCTTAAGTGCATAGAAATTGAAGCTTGGGCTTAAAACATCAATTCTGAGAATTTTGTAGGCATGATAATTGGTGGCCTCAACTCAATAATTATGCGGTCACAATATGGACGACATTTAGGGATAAAAATTTTAAGTATTAAATGTTACTGAGAAGGTTGATTTCAACAACAATCAATTGAATAAGTCTTAAGATGTGATAGGATATGTTTAAATCTAGGTTACCACGTATACGTAACATAATTACACTCATCCATTGAGGTGCCTGTAATATGTAACGTCAGTCACAAAATAAATATAATTTTTATCTTCTTTAGAAAATTACTTAATAGAATTTCTAAAAGACACTTTGCATTATAAATTTATACTCTTACAAGCAATAAAAGCTAACAAGATAAAAAAATATATAGTTCTGTCTCCAATATGACAAGTGGTTAAAACTTGTAACGTCAGTCACATGTAACGTCAGTCACACCATAGAAAAGCTTTAAATCACGCAAATCACGATAAAATTTAGTACATATGAATTAGATAAAGTCCTTGCACATTCAGTTCATTACTGCTGACTAAAACGCTAAGTAAAATTGTATTTGTGTCTGTTTTTGCGTTATGTTTAATTCACGATGCCACTAACAGCAGCTCAAAGACAAGCTAAACGGAGACAAAAATTGAAAGATACTGATAAATATGAAGAGTATAAAAAAAGAATGCAGAACAACAACGAATAGCGAGGGCTAAAAAGAAAATAAAAGAAAATCGGCTACCAGCGGGTGAGAAAACCAAGTTGCAAGCAGAAAGAAGAAAGCATGTCAGAGCACGTGTTGCTGCATGTCGAGCACGAAAGAAGCAACTGGAATCAAACTATGTCTCACCCCCTACTTCACCAGCTTTTAAAAGTGCACAGGCTTTAGGAAGAGCTGTTTCCAGAGCAAACCGAGCAATAACTCCAGCTTTGCCTCATACACCAAAGCGCAAAAGAGCTGTTGTCCAAAAATTATCACAAAAATTCCAAATAGAATGTGGTATCTCCCGTGATGAAGTCACTCCACAAACAATTGCAAGAAAAATAAGTGATGAAACCATCAATTTGGTAAAAGCGTTTTACGAACGTGATGATATCAGTCGCCAAGCTCCTGGCAGAAAAGAGTTTGTTATAATTCGTGAGGCAGATGGTTCAAAAAAGAAACTTCAAGCTCGGCACCTCAATATGTGTATCATTGAAGTGCATGCACTTTTCAAGGACGCTAACCCAAGTACTAAGATCGGAAAAAGTAAATTTGCTGAGCTGAGACCTAGGCACGTTCTTCTGAGCAGTCAACTACCTCGAAATGTCTGTCTTTGCAAGTATCACGAAAACTTCATTATGGCTATAAAGTAATTCGTATTTTCCCGCCATATGATCACGACCTTCCTGAAAAATTCCTCTGTCAGTCTGTCACGGAAAAATGCTGGTTCAACGAATGTCCCACCTGTAAAGACGCAAAGATGCTCAGAAGTATGTTTTCCTTTGAAGAGGTAGAGCCAGTTACCTGGCATTTTTGGAAGAAAGATGGTGATGATAAATTGTGCAAGATGGTCATGGAAGGCACTACAGATGATCTGTTTAATCATATCTGCTCTGAGCTACCAGCATTCTTAAAGCATTGTTATATAAAGCGGTGTCAAGCGAAGAGCTATCAAATGGAACGAGAAGCTGTTGGAAGTGAAAATTTTGACAAGGCACATGCTATGATGCAAGTGGACTTCTCCGAGAATTATTCCTGCATGTTTCAAGGCGAGATTCAAAGTGCTCATTGGAAGCAAGACCAAGTCAGCCTTTTCACAGCAGCTCTTTGGTTTAATGGAGAGCTACATTCCAAAGTCATTGCATCAGATAATTTGGATCATGGAAAGGATACAGTGGTTGCATATATTGACTATTTGCTTGATAGCCTTCCAACAACAGTGAATACTGTCTCAATATGGTCTGATGGTCCTTCATCACAATTTAAGAATAAATACATCGCTGCAATCATAGATAAACTGCAAGACAAACACCAAATTACAATCACATGGAACTATTTTGCTACATCCCATGGAAAAGGACCAGTCGATGGAATTGGTGGTTCAGTAAAACGACAAGTGTGGACTGATGTCAGCAGGAGAGCCTCTCTTGTAACTGATGCTACTTCTTTCACAGCAGCCGCAAATAAAGTGTGCAATGTGGATGTGGTGGAGATGACATCTGATGATATTGACAGCAGAAATGCCATTCTTAATGTTGCAGAGGTGTTTGAGGAAGCTCCTACCATCAAAGGTATAAAATCTGTCCATTGCATTCATGTTATCAACTCAGTGGTACATGTGCATGCTACGACACAAGCGGCAAAGGAAGCAAATGTACATCAAGCTCCATCTGACTGTGAAAACTTTGAGGTGTCAAGTTGGTGTGTTGTCCAATATGAGGGTGAGCTATTTCCTGGGGAGATAAAGGCAATTGTTGGTGATAGCTATGAAGTATCAGTCATGGTTAAAGCTGGTAGATATTGGAAGTGGCCAAGATATGAGGACAAAATTCTTTATTCTCGTGACAATGTACTGAGAGCATTACGTCCACCACAGTTGGTAAACTCACGAGACCACTATGATTTCTCAGATTTCAACTACCTCAATATTGAATGATGAAACAGTGTTTATCATGTAAAAAAATGTTTAAAGTGTGAGTGAGGTAGACTGATCATGCTTTTGGTGACCATTGTAATTTATGATTTGACAATGACAGTTTTGTAACGTCAGTGACGTAACATCAGTCACATTGTTTTTCATTGCTGCACCCCCCTTGTCTTAGAAAGTGAGTTTCTGTATATAAATTTATTATATTAATAGATGTTATGAATTTGATAAACTATGTTAATCTTTTTACGTTTCCAGACAAAATTTGATTAAATTTGGGTGCTAAAAGGTCTTGTCCATTTTATGTAACATCAGTCACAGCCACTTTAATGCCGAAGACAGTAGCAAAACTTAAATTTAGTTTAGTTTGATGTAGACAACAGATACAGGGTATAGTAAGTAAAATTTCATATAAAAATGGAAGGGTGAAATATTATAGCAAAGAATTAATAAAGGTTTTTCGCATCAACAAATCCTTCAAATGTAACGTCAGTCACGTGGAATTGCCTTGAATGTGTTTAATCCTGAAAGCCAAATGTTTTCAATGCTTATGCCGAATGTTTTTACTCATGAAAGCTAAAAAACCTTCAAATAAATAGTTAATTAATCATTCTAAGGTAGTTGCTTGTAATGCATGCGCATGCGTGTTTCAGCGATTTTTGATTGTAAAATTTCAATCAAATCATAATGACAAGTTGACTATACGTGGTGTCAATAAATTATATATGGAAATAATTATTCATAGGATTATGGTATTTGAAGTTAGGATTGCTTAGTAAAGTAATAGTAAATACATTATTTGATTTATGTGCAATGTTTGTCACGCACGCGATGTCGCGTGACTTCTACGTTTGTATGGTTTTAAAGGTCTTATATTTTAACTATAAATGTCCATACTTGCATGCAATTGCATTAACCTAGTGTTTTTACTCTGGCCCATGCCACTGATTATATGAATGTGAATACCAATATGAATCTCAATACCAATAACAATATAAATGTCCATACCAATAAATATATTATGTCAATGCCAATCCCCAAAAATTATATAAATGTTACCAATGACTGTGTGAATGCCAATATCAATCACCATGAATAACCAGTTTTTGCAATTTACATGAATGTCAAGTTGCATCATATTCAACCCAATACCTTGAGACACTGTAAGGTAAATTGATACACCATAATGACGGGGGCAAGACAAAGTTGCAGCTAGTTTTAATAATTTTTGTGAGGAGAGTGTTAGCTTTTGCATGATATTATCTATGGAAAACAGTTTATTTCAAAGGAAGTTAATACTGTAGAACATGTGTATATCCCCCCCTCCCAGACGTCCGCTGGGCTACCCCACTGTAACACGACATAGTGGAATACTGTATTTCATAACAAAACTACACTTATCTTGTCAAAGCTTACACTGCAGATGTGCCTTTTGTATTTTCTTTTGTCTTGTTAATTTCTAATACAGTGTTTTTTTTCAGCAAAGCGGATTTAAAAATTTCGAGGATGAGCCTTGCTATTACATAGGCATATTGCTAGTGTTGTATAACGATTTATTGCTCTTGTCTTAAGCGTCAATTTTCTTTTCCGGTAATTGTTTATGTGCACGCGTTTTAATATTTTAGTTGTGCACATGATTTTAAGAGTTCAATGTTCACTTTAAAGAGCGTTTTCAAAGCATGGTATTCACAACTCGTAGCTGTATATCAGTTTTGAACGCGATAGTCGATATCGCCTGTAATGCTCATAAATCTCACTGAATTTAACTTTCTTATGGCTTTCCTGCAGAGACTCTAATTTTTCCGTCTTTCGTCTCTTCCACAACAAATCCTGATTCCGCCAATCGAATGTTAGGAGCGAGTCCCAGTTTTGTCAAAGATCTTACAACCTCCTGATTTTCAAGATTATTTTCGAGAACATTACGTAAGCAAAAGATTGCCCATTGGCAGATGTCTACCGTAGGTTCAAATGAAGGAAACATAAGGCAGTGCGAAGTTAATTGCAAATATTATACAAAAAAATAGTATATTAAAAAGATACATGGGTTGTTTGCGTCAATATTACAATGATTCAGCAATAAAGGAATGCAATCCAACTGGCGGATCTAAAAACGAAAAAGATAACGTTTAACAATCATTTCAGCACCAAATCATCCTTGATATGATGTTATATTATCAACAACATCTTTATAATAACGACATACATCATTCTGGTTTGATGTGTTTTTGTAGCTCATATTAGCAATAAGTTGAATCAAGCCTTTTTTGAAGGCAAATGCAGGATGGTTTGAGATCTCAGCATGGTCACTTGGGTTAACGAACTGAGTTAAGTCACTAAAAAATTTTTTGTTTTCTTCGTTTGTCGTTTCACGAAGAGCAACTGCAACAGAAAAAAAAATTTCACAACTTTAAAGAAAATTATTAAAATAAATCTTGTTTAAAAAAGTGATGTTCTTACCCAGAATGGTCTCCAATAAACTTTTTCTACAGCGAAGGTTTTTGTAATGTTCGGGAAAGGACGACAACAGACACAGCAAATGTAATAATGAGCTGATCATTTTGAGCTAGAAAACATTGGAAATTATTTTTATGTGGTATTTTCCAAAATATCAAATGCTAGGTAAATTAAATGTAACAGTGGTCAACCTCGTTCGATGACTCTTTTATGTCAAACCCAACATCTGCAGGCAAGATTTTCTTGATTTTATACTCAAATTCTTTGCACAAGAAAATCGCATTTTCCGTTGTCAATGACATGGAACTTGAGGCGACCTCGCTTCCTTGCGTAATACAAATAAACAACGAACATGAACATGTACAAGAATTATAAGACAGCGCTATCTAAGATGTGTGTGAGAGTGGCGTAGCCAGACAGCAATGTTAGTTCCGCAAATTTTTTGTGAACAGACTGGAAATGAAAGTGAGGCAAAATATGTGTAGTGTACACATGTAATCTAATGTGAAGAGTCGAAGGTGGAACCCATTCAAAAAAATGGGTGCACCACAATCGTTCATGCATGATTTTGAGGAGTGATTGTCACATTACTTTCCAATAATTCAAACAACTTACTCCTTGACAATTGTTCCACAAATTGCAACAAAAACACCCTAAGCGTATGAAATGAACAATTTGATTTAATCATGAAACGTTTGAATTATGGCACACTAAATAGTTAACCTATACGACGTTTTCTGGAGGCCATCATACATCATTTGAAATAACTCATTCTCCAGCAATGACTCGACGATAAACATACTACATCGTGAAGAGAAAATTTATTGAATGCCATTGATATGTTAGCTTTTAATGTCTCTATAGGTAGGTTAGGAAACTTGCTACGGCAAATGGTAAATAAATTATACCCCCATTCAATGTCTTCTGTTTCAGTTGTACACATTTCAAAAATAGTGTTGACAAGCAAAATTCCCTCTGGCTTTATGAACATGTCCCTTCTTCTGAAACATAAATGTTATCAATTATTCGATAGTATTCTCTCTTGTTTGAAAACCAATACACAGCGCAGAAAAAGAAGACACTTATAGTTATTAAATAGCTACCTCTTACTTTCTTTAATGCAGTTATATATAATCATACACGCGTAGTTCTTTGCAACGTTAAATTGGCTTTGCATTATCGACCTAAATATTAAAATGATCAGGTGAGCGAGGCCGATTATAAACCTTTCCACCCTAATGCTACATCGATACATTGCAAAACTGCTCAAAACTGCACATTTGAATCATCAAATTTGCAACGAAACTGACGATCTGGTTTCAACGTTTTGGAAGTGGCGTTTAGCCCTCAGTTACATGTAAAGTACCGCTCGCGTATTTGTTAACATAATTTTGCGTATGATACGCGTATCGTTCTCGCATCATAAGCGTATCGCTCTCGTATCATACTAGTATTGTTCTCGTATCATACGCGTATGTTTTTCGTATCATACGCGTTTCATACGCGTACCGTATGTTAAATTCGCGAGCGGTACTGTAAGTATGCAGCAAAAAAAAATAAAGGACAATGAGATGATACAGATAAAAAATAAGATAGACGTTTTTTTGTCCAGACTACTGGAAATTACTCTCAAACGTTGTCAGAAAACGAAAGCTTTTTCAAAGTTGTAAAAATAATGTTACGAAAAAAATCCAAAAGGTATTGAAAAATACTATTTATGTAGCGTGGATTAAAAGTAATTATGCTCAACGTCACAATTCAAAAGTAATCACCCTCCAAAACTAGGCTCTCGCCTGAAAGTAGCTGCACCTTGACGCCACTAATTTGAAAAGTAGCTGGTGTGGTATCTCTTGTTTCAAACGCAATTCAGCACATGAAAAGTTGGATGTTTGAAAAGAGGCTAACTTACATGAAAAACCTAGGATAACATTTCCGCCAAATTATTCGTTGATTGTTCAAATTTTCAACCACAAGATTGCCAAGCATCTGAATTCCAGTGGAAACTAGAGTTTTGGCATACTTTACATCTGTATGGATTCAAACAAATGTGGATTTCTTGAAAGCTTCAAATGAAACATTACAAAAATCACAGGTAAGATTTATACTGACCTAATTCCTGCTTAGTACTTAAACATTGTTGAATTATTTTCATTACTGTAGATGGTATTCCAGAAGACCTAATGGTAACAAACATCAAGTGTACTTGATTGTTAATGAAAAATACACATATTAGCCGGACTGTTTAGAGAAATTAAGGGGCCTGAGGCACAATCAAATTCTGGGCCCCTTGTACATGGACACACATTAAAATTTTCCTTTTCTTGTAGTTTTTTATTAGGTACTCCCCTCTCCCTCTAACCACCCAGGATATGTGCACTAGAAATTGAAAATCAGTTACACATTAAGACATACATCACAGAATCCTGGTTTTTACTCAAACCAGCACAACAGTTTCTTAGAAACCGAAAGGCATCACACAGAATATTACATCTGTCTTGAAAATCCAGTTGAGAAGATCTTTCAATCAACCATTGAATTTGCTCTATGATTGCCTGGTTAGTGAAAGATCTGTAAACAAAATATCATGAAAAGTAATCTTCAAGAATGAAGTATGCAATACAGTGGGATGGCAATTCATATTGTTGCAATAAGCTAGGCTCTAATGTTCATTATAATATTTCTTGAGGGGATTGTAAAAGTTCTAAAAAAATTAGTATGGGAGTAAGTCATTATTATCTCATCTGCAGTTGTTACAAATAAAGTCAATTCAATTTGAAAGCAACAAAAAAAGCTAGGTTGTTTCAACTAATTATATTAAGGAGATGGTTTAGGTTAAGCAAAATCAAGGTGGTAAAGGACCTTGACACATGAAACTGCTCACTGACCTACACACATAGTCTGACAGTGACAGACCCATGGACAGATCATGTTCACCAGTAATTGTAATCTGGTTAAGATATAACTGACCAATACGAGACAAACTCAGTTTGAAAGTTTCTGCAGTGAACACCATGATATAATTTTCAAAATTTAATTCATATGAGTGAAATAGCATGTGCTGTTGTACCTATATAAGGCTTCTTTAGCGTAAACTTTTAAGCAACTGAGAGAATTTGCTATCTCATCCCAGCACGCAATATAAGAAGGCGAGTTAATCGAAGCTGAATGCAAAACATTACAACAACAGTTCCATTTTTCCAATTTCGAACCCTCCACAGAAACCGGAGATTCAGGCGAAGCCGCCATTGATAACATGTGATTTTTTTTAGATCCATCAAAAGTCAAATCATGCGAAGTCCACTGCTGGAACAAGCAAGAGTGGTCTAGGTGTTTTTATCCCCACTTTCACGTGCGATCCACTGTGAACACTGAAAAGTATCAAGTATGAATTTAGTAAGTATGACATACGTTTTGTCAAAATTTGTTTGCAGCTGAAACAGGTCAAACTTTTAGTAGAAGTGAGCCAAGTCACGACAAAATATTGAGGATAACATGTAATGACATGTAACAATAATTAGCAGAATGCTTTTTTCTTCTTGTGTGAATTATAAATGCAAAGGTGACTGGATAAATTATCTATGAAGAAATCAATTTAAAAAACGTGCAGAGAACGTGCTTAAACTTTACATTGCAAGAATGACACAGGTAGTGAATACAGTTTTGGACTCAAATTGATCAATGAGTCAAATGAGCAATTTTTTAGAACAAATTTAGTATGTACAATATATATTATGCTTGGAAAATCTCTAACTATTCTAGTTGGCCCTTTACTACAAATACCTGTTTGGCTGTTGCTTTGAAAAATCTTTGTTCCTTTTTAGGTTGATTTTACCTCAAATACTCCAGATCATAGGTTTGTAAGCAGCGTTTACTCAACATTGTGTTTACTTTTAATCTTTAATGCAGATGTTGATAATCTTTACTGCACATGATGTATATCCATCATAACCCATAACTTTTAATTAGACCTTTTTACAAAAAAAAACTTTTTCAGTGTTAGTTTTTTCTTCTTTCACAAATTGTGGAGAGTACAAAAGAAGCCAATTAACCTGAAAATGACCCACTGTTGATTTTGAAATCCAAGTTGTATCATAATGAGCTGGTGTCATATAATTTTTATATTTTAAAAAACCAAAGAATTACTTCACATGTTCCATGGAGTCTTTAGTCAGCATTTAAATCCAGGCAATAAGTTGTATGTAACTTATCACAAAAGAACTGTATTATGATATACATGTGCTGAATGTTGAACAGTTGTATTAAATATGTTAACTAGTACACAGCCCTGGGCCTTGAATGATATGACTTCACTTTTATATATAATGGCTTCTTCATAGAGTATGTATATCCTTCTAAAGATCATAGCTCGATTAATAGTTTAATACTACAAGCTTCAAACTTTAATTTAAACTTCTCATATGAAGGAAGTAACCAGTCTGTTCTTTAATGTTCTAAGAGCATATGGAGCAGTTACTGATTTTGACCTTTTTTCCTTGGAGAATTTTCAAAAGCAATAAATCATAAATCAAATAACAAATTATCATTTTGATCCTTTTATTATAGGACATGCTTTTGCTATGATGATGTCATGTTAAAGCATAGCAACATTTTTGAGTATGTTTATTGTTTTAATTTTAATCAGTAACTTTTTGTTAATAAACTTTTCTTCCACTTTATAACTGTGAAATCTTTCCTGCTATTATAAATGGAATACCTGAATATATTAAATCAATACAGAGTAACAGACGTATGATCAAAGATAAAAACTACTGGACTAAAATCTTGTTTCTAATTGAAATTGATCACCAATCTTACTTTTTTTAAAATTTGGGGATATTTCAAAAATGAAAAGTTATGAATTTTTCTTAAGTAAAATCTATCATAATATTTCAATTTAGGGAACATCCTGAAAGACCTGAGAGAATTTTACAGTCTATTGAACGCTTTCAACAATTAAATTTAGACAAACGATGCAAAAAGGTTAAGGTAATGCTGCCTAGTTATATGGAAGATAACACCTGTACAACAAATGTTTGATGTAGGACTATATACAGCTATGAAGCATAGAAAAATGTTAAACCCAATTTTTTTTTGCTTACAATAATTTTCTACATTAAATAGATAGAAAAAGGCTATGGTGACAAATTATTGATTTATTTCTAGATTTTATTGATGTTCATAATATGCCGTTAGCTTGTTAGCAAATGGATGTTTTTGATCTCATTTAAACACTGAAATAAATAGTTGATTTATATGAACTTATTGGTAGATAATTTTCTATCTATAGCCACGTACTGCCACAGATGAAGAATTATTAACCGTTCACAGGTATTAGAATGAAGAGTAGTATTCGTTTTAGTTTTGTATCTCTTTGATGCTGTAAGATTTCACGACCCTGTGGTGTAGCCAGCCCAAAAATTTAGTCGTGCTATGTTAATTTTTCTGTGTCCACTCACTGTAAAAACAATAGATTTCTAAAGAAATGAATAATGTCAATGATCTAAAATTTACATAGCAGGACCAAAACTTTCGGGCTGGCTTCGCCACTGTCACGACCTTTTCACTTACTGCAGAGCATGGAATAAAATGTCCTACCCTCTAGCAAGTAGCTACTTATGTACTTCTTTAACTGCCTTTTGATATGACGTTTTTGTGTCTGCTGTCGATTTGGGAATGCATGAGGTGGAAACGGAACTTAGAGGACTTTTTTACTGTTTTTTTTTTGATAAAAAATTGTTGCCATTATTGCACTACAGTCGCGTGGAAAGATTAAAAAAGTCATGGAAAAATGAATTGATTATTATCTGACCTATTTGTTTTCTAGCAATGAATACATTGACGAAATTTCAAAAATTGATTGTTATCCGCAAGAGAAGCTTAAATTAGCAGCCGAACAATACGACTCAATTTATTTCAGTAATGTAAGAGTGATCTTTTTCAGATACTATGTGATCCTTCATTACCACTTTTCTTCAACTGCTGCACACTAGACATCTTTGTTTAGTTCACCAATGAATGTGCCAGAATGTCCGTTGGTTGTACTTTGGCAGCTCTTGATTATATCCTGTCTGGCAATGTACGTATGCAAGTTATGCAATAGTATATTAAAGATTTTTAACATGCAGCAAAAAATATCTCTCCTTCTCTCCGATTGATTGTTCCTTTTCCGCCTTTTTTCTATCAGCAATTCATCGTTGTAATTTGTGTATCTACATTGTGTCACTTGAATGGTATGACGATAGTGAAGCATATGGTTAACTTTAACCTTGAAATGGTTTCATTGAACTTTCCTGTTGTTTCTACATTTTTTCTACGTTTTAAATTGTCTCAGTGCAAGAGTTACACATTTTTAGCCGAGGGTCGTTTGCCAACGTAAAGCAACATTTTGTATCTACACCCTCGCTCTTATATTTACATAATACATACTTACTGAAAACCACATGTTATTTAATTGACTTTTAGGCCCAAAATGGTGTTGTCATAGCAAGGTTCGTGTTAGAAGTTATAAACTTGAACTTCATGATCGACAGATAATTGTATGTCTTTCTTAGTCGTGTAGAGAGGCAAATTGCAGAGACGTCGCTTGAATAATATGTTGTGTACAATGTAACTGGGCTATCATCTTTTTGAGAGTAGAGGGAAATAGGAAATAGTCTGGGGGATGGACTTGGACTTGTAAGGTCTTTGTTATTATGTTTTTATGCATGATATACTAGTGCACAGCTTATGTTAGCCACAACGATCTAGTTTTTGTATATTTTAGACCCCCTGGTCACCATGCAGAGCGCGATTTTAGTATGGGGTATTGTTACTTCAATAATGTGGCAATCGCAGCAAAGGTTGCCCAAGAAAAATGGAATATCAAACGGTAATTGTTCGATAAAGTCATGACAATTTTGACTGTCGTCAGAAGAGAGTAATACGTACAACCTTGACAACAACAATCTTCCATTCTTCCCCCCATTTTACTTGTATGTTTATTGGGCCGTTGCTTTATCATTTACCCGAAAATGCTATTTCTAGAGAAACTGTCATATTCCTCCCTTTCCATGATTTTGTGTGAATAATACGTTATAAAAATCCCCGTTTATGTTATCTTCATTGAAGTGTATTTTTAATTTCAACCTATAACTGCAATGTTTGACATCAGACTCTTTGATTTAGTGTATTGATTGTGGATTGGGATATTCATCATGGAAATGGAACCCAACACATGTTTCAATCAGATTCCAGGTAAGCATCCAGCTTTTTCAATGCTTTTGAAAGATCCCTTTCCTTGATCCTTGATCCTTGATCCAGATCCCGAGGATACACAGGTTTTATTTTTATTGAATGTGCATGCGTGTTTTTGTCTTCCATTTGTATTGTGCATTTGTTATGTCTTGTTTTGGAAAACGTTTTTGAGGAACTTAACTTTAGGACATGAGATATCGAACTGTATATATTCATTTATAATCGTCCATTTTGCTACAAAGAAAGCTGATCAACGTTTCCAAATAAACAAGGGCCAATCATTTCGTTGTAATACTCCCTGCCTCTTTAAGACCATAACTTGAAACTCTGTTATGTTAATTTGATTCAACATACTTATGTTACCAAATAAAATCTTGCTTACAATACTGTAAAACTTAGTTACACGAATTGCATTTCATTGTTTTTACTGTTAAATTTTAGCGTACTGTACTTTTCAATTCATCGCTTTGATCATGGCCGTTTTTGGCCCGGAAAAAAATATTCTGACTTCGACTTTGTTGGAAAGAATGAAGGAGAAGGGTTCAACATTAACGTCGCTTGGAATGAGGTTGAACACTATTGTACTTTTATCTGTACGTAGCTGCTATTTAAAAAGCAAGCAGGAGCGTTGTGCCACATACAAAACTCGACGCGAATGACTATAAATTGCTGAAAAATCTTTTGGTCTGATCTTCGTATTTGAAAGATATCTTTAAACAGAATCTCGCACAATCCAAGAAAATTGAAGTTGGAATGTGCAGCGTTTCGAGTTATAATACGCTTCTTTTGATTTTCGCTCATGAGTTATAGAGTGTTATATGGATTAAATAATGCCATTAAATTAGATGCAAGTATTATTTCTCTGAAGAAGTATGTTTTAATTATTTCAATTACTAACTGTAGAAGCACATGAATGATGCTGATTATATTGCCGTTTTTCAAAGAATTCTCCTTCCTGTTGCATATGAGGTATGAACTTACTGTTTGTACGCATATAAACCGTCCGATATGTTTTGTGCGAGCAATGTTTCAATGACTTGTTTAAAGTACTATATTTCTGTCTGAATTTCAAACTCATTTTTGTTGTGATGGTCTAGTTTTGTCCTGAATTGGTTATAGTGTCTGCTGGATTCGATGCGGCCCAAGGCGATCCTAAGGTTAGTTGCTTGTGTGTTTTTGTGGAAAACCTTAACTTAAAAGAAGAAGGTGATCGAAGTTAACTGTTTATCATTATATACTTGGAGAGGAGGACTTTTTTGAAGGATATTGTCGTTCCTTTCTCAAATATTGTACATGCATAATTATCAGGGATTGTAAATGCCCATCAATTTAGCAAAAATTTCTTCGAATAGCCTGTTTAAAAGATGCCAATCAATTTGTGTCTTATTTTTGTCAATTTTGGCAGGGCTTGTGTGATGTCACTCCTGAAGGATTTGCGCATCTTACCCATATGCTAATGAGTCTTGCCTTTGGAAAAATACTACTAGTTCTCGAGGTGTGTAATTCAAAAACAATGTTATCTGTATTTACTAGGAAGATGGGTCTGTGATGTACACAAATATTTTCCTTAAAATGTCTACAGAGTATTTTTGTTTAAAGTGCTGTTGTTCCTTAAACTTTTACCTGTTTTTCTCCTTTTCAGAACTTTCTCTGCCTGATAGTCATTTCATATTGTTTATACAACGTCATTTTCTACATGTAGGGTGGATATAATTTGAGTTCTGTTGCGGAGTCCCTATGCTCTTGTGTAAAAACACTACTTGGTGATCCTTGTCCTTTGCTCGAACCAATGAACATTTCACATTGGTAAGAAACTTGTATTCTTGAACTACAGGCAGAGAAAACTACATATTCAGGAAAAATCTACTATTACAGCTGCTTCATACACATTTTTCACTAATTGTGTGTATGTGATATATTGCAAGTGTTTATGAATCAAAATTTTCTAGCACAGTTTTCATAATAATGATTTTTTCAATTGAATTGTGTTAGTTTACTTAAACTTTCTGGCGATATCAAACTTTTGTTCACTATGAAATATTGCCATTATCACATTAATTGCTCATTTCAGGGAACATCATTTTTTTAGTATCGTTAAAACATTTCATTCACAGGAGTTTTATTGAATACGCGTGTGAATGAATGTATATAGATTAAGATAGTTTGTTGCCTTGTTTGCTAGTTATAATCTAAGTGTTGTCACGATATGCTTTTGCAGTATTTACTCATCTTCTGACGTGTAGAATGTTGAAAGTTTATCGTAAAGCAATGCGCTACCCGTCATTATCGGTTTGTTGTAGAATTATTACAACATATTTATCTAAAATGAATGAGATCTGACAAAAATGAATCTCCATTTGAAGTACTTTATTCATGCGCAAAATTCTTTAACTTTCTAGTGCACTCGAGTCCATTCAATCCACGCTGAATGCTCACTCTCAATACTGGAAAAATTTGCAGCAGATTAAAGATGACGCTTGTTAAGGGTGTCAACTTTTGGTATGCTACATCCACATCTGCCTGTTGTTTTGGCAGCTCGTAAATTTGTGGCTTTCCACGAATTATGAACGTCCTCACTGCCGAAAAATAATAGCTATGTATTTTAAACATTTATAATTTATTAGATGTATAAAGAACTGAAAAGTGTTTTTTCATATCATAGACTGAAGGGAACTCGTTTGAACACTTGCTATGGTATGCTTATATCAGCTTATTGTTATAGCCTATAGGTAATGGTAGCTGTGCGGTTTTTTAAGAAAAAACCCTGGTTTGATTCAGTTTCAGTTCTTATTTAAAAGAAATAGCAATACAAATGTAGTAACTCAATTATGAATATGATCTCGAGGCGCCATGAACTTCTACACCGTAATTAACGTGTGCATGTTTTGTATGTAATTTCTTAGAACTGTGGCAAATTGTATACTATTTCGAGAGTGTCTATTGTCCAATAATTCTTTTTGTGGGTAGTCTTTTCGCAGTGGTTAGCAGCTGCCGCTAGTACCATTTGTACTAGCTAGTATATCACAAATTTCGAGCGCGCGAACCACTGACCGTGAATGACTTGATCACTGGAGTGATATCCAATATGGAAAAGGAACGAGAACTATCTTTCTTGATAGAACAATTTGTTAACGTTACTGGCGCCGACAAGGAAAGAGCTTCATCATTATTAAATATTTGCAATGGAAACTTGGATATGGCAATTGGCATGCATTTAGAAGATGGAGGATCCCCGCAAAACTGTTCAAAAGGAGAGACAACGAGTCATCAAAATATTGGGTATGTTATTTTTTTATGACATGATTTACATCATATTTCATGACATTTTATATTCTGAAATCTAAAATCGATTGTCATGGCTTATGATAAAAAAATTAACGCTAGAATGAAATGTTATCTTGAAATTGCAAATGCCCTTTCATTTTATTCTTTTCTCATTAGTATCTTCGTTTTTAAGAATTGGTTTATTAATCGATATTTGTGAAACTTAGAGTGTGGACACTTATTCTGCAATTTCTCTGGCATCTGAATTTTATGTTTTAAAATTGCCTTTTAAATTGTGACTATATTTTGCAAACATTTCAAGTAATGTAAATGGCTTAATTATCACTTAATGAGTTTCTTATTTTGAAATCAACATAACACTATGTCCAGAATGATTTAAGTGAAATGTTGAAAATTCCATGAAAACATAGGGAGAATGAAGTACGAGCTCCAATTCCACAAAAAAGAGGTGTTTTGGTTGATGGCCCATTCAACTTCAAGAGAGGTAAAGACAGAAAAATAGGCTAGCATGATGATTACTTCTACATTTGTTTAGAGTTTGGGATTATTTTTTAACCCCCACAGACATTTGTTTAATGTGCTGTTGATAATTTGGTGAAAACATAGTGACCTGTTGTCGAAAGTTGATAGGCCTTTGGGAGAACTCGAGAGCAGATCAATGCAAGCCCAAGACCGAAGGTCGAGTGTTGCGCATGCTCAAGAGTTCTCACAAACATCTCAGAGGTTTGCTTAAGCGAGTGCAAACACAAAAAACATCTTTTATTTCTTTTATATAATAAGAATAATGTGAAAAAGACAAACATTTTAATTTTTCCTCTAAAATGTATTCATGATTTATTTGCAAATTCTCTTTGACTGATTGATTGTTTAGATTGATTTGATTGGTTGAGCTCAGATGTGTTTTGCACTGGATAATGCGAACTCAGCTCTAGACCAATTAGCGCATGTGTTTCATTGTGTTTATTTTATAAAGTAACATATTAACTTGTTTGTTGACAAGAAAAGTTTATACATTGAAAATATAAATAGTAAGACCAACATTGATCAAAGGTTTTTCACTTTTGAAAGATGGTACCACCTATAATCTCCCACAACTTTATCATGGGTAGATATCAATTTTACTTTGGTGACTTTTTGTGCATATTATTATATTGTTAACAGCAACTCCTCGTCAGAAACGTGGTGGAAATCGTGGTGTATTTGATGCATTTAGGGATTTCCAAGCTGAAGCAAGTATGTGTATTGTTATAAACTTAATTTTGCAGCTATATTTTTCATGTTGATCAGAGTGTTGCATGCGAGTTCAATTTTTACTTTACATTGAGGCGAATATGAGGATTATATGATCTTTTCCAAATTTATTTTTGTTGCAGAGGAGCAAGAGAAACTTTTAAGTGGAAATATGACTTCAACCAAACGTAAAACCCTCGAAGATCTTTTTAAACCACCCTTAGATATTATACACAAGGGAACATTTGACTCAGTGAGTATAATATTAGCGTAGATCTTGTCTTTTGTGGGTAGGTATGTTTTCCTAACAAAAATACTTTGGTGTCAATAGGCCAAATTAGCTGGAGAGAAAGACAGAAAGTGGTTGATTGTGAACATTCAAGATAGCACAGAATTCCGGTGTCAGATGTTAAACAGAGATGTCTGGAGCAACAGTTCAGTTAGGAATATAATTGCAGAACATTTTATACTCTGGCAGGTGACTATAAATGATTATCAAATCATAATTTTTGATATACATATTTTTTTATGTTGGTTTATAACAAGTTAAACTTAAAATGTCTCCAAGTTTCACCTGTTAAACTCATCAAAAAGTGATGGGATGATACCAATGAATGTGACAGCTTAAACAATTGCATCAGCTATTGCTCATTAATTAACATCAGGGGAGGATTTCCTGGGGGTGTGCACCCCCAAGAAAAATTATAAAATGGTATTGTTTATTGTAGACTATTATTATAATAGTAGGAGAGGTGAGAAAATTGTGCAGTAAGATTGAGCAAAAAGTGGAATTTATCATTTCAAAGACAATTACATATTTTATACCACCACTATTTGCAATTGAGTTACTACCATGCCCGTTTTCATTGAAACAGTAAAATTGAAATAAATTCTTAACGCAAAGTAAGTTGTTACTTTGTCATGTCAACTCAGTTTGGGCTTCATTTTCTTTTCCCTTGTTTGTCATGTGTGAAAGCAACTGTTGTATTTGTGTTTCACTTGTCGTTGGTAATATTTGGATGCATATTTATGAAGCTTTCTTGATTATTTAAAGAAGTAATATAAAGCTTACAAACAGGATTCATAATTTACTTAACTTAGTAAAAAATTCTTAAAAGCTAATAACATTTTCATTTTGCAATTTTTTGTTATCTGTAAGCTTAATTGCCCCAGGCCCTGGCACCAACAATGTACCCTTTAGAAAAATCTGCATCTCTCCCTCATTAACATAGCCATTTTTGACATTTTATTTTGTTTAGAATGAAGCAAATTTTTTAATAGACTACTTTGTATATAGGTGTATCATGATAGTGATGATGGAGATAGATATGTGCAGTTTTATCATGTGACTAAATATCCACACTTGGGTGTTCTTGATCCTAGAACAGGTAAAGATATAAATTTTTTAGCAGAGTGAGCAGACCACGTGTGTTCTGAATGCAAAGCTTTTTGCATTGTTGTTTACATTTTTAAAGATCTGTTGTTTGAAAACTACGAAAATACTGTAATAGTTCTGAGAATATGGATGGCTCTATGAGTTATATCGAACTTACTGATTGTGTCAATGTGCAATTTTTGTGTTCATTTTTTTGTGAAATTTTGTATTGACAATATGGTAAATACGGTCGAACCTGCATTAAAGCGGACATCCTTTATTAATTGGGCACTTTTTTAGGTCCCTATTCGAATTCCACATAACGAAATCGTAATAATAAAACTTCTATCTATGGGACATCTCCAATTAGGGGACACTATTCCGCTTATAGTAATCATGTTGTCATATTCGGTGAAATATTTTATTGCACTATGCTTTTAGTTGTCATGTCATCATAACTGGTAAAATATTATATAGTAAATGGTTTGAACCCGGGAGTATCGTTACACGTTTGTAGATGTAGATCGTTCAGGTTTGTAGAGTCCAGAGAAGGACTGTTTTTGTTGTTGTCGAAACGTCAGTCAGGACTTTAGGGCTCTACTAACCTGGACGATCTACATCTACAAAATTTTGTATAGTACTGTGGTTGATAATGTGGTCATTTTACGTTGAAAAGGACATATCTCTTGTGCAAACATTGATTAAACGGTTTGTTTTCGTACAGCTTGTTACAATTACGTATTCCACTACTTCATAATTGTTGTACGTAAATATTAGGATTTAGAAAAACATTTTCTACAGGTAAGCGTAAAGGTGCGTTTATGCGAAGTTTTAGATGCACAAGTTAGCTTCATAGATGAAAAAGAACTTATAAAAAAGAAACATTGAAGAAGCTAGCGAACAATGACTTTGGTGGCTTTGAAACTTTTGTTAACAATGACATTGTTGCAGATGATTTTCTTCGCAAGTTTTTCAACTTTTTTCTTTTAAGGTGAAAGACTAGTTGAGTGGGATACTGTCGATGCTCAATCTTTTTGTGAAGTTGGTTAGTACGTACCTTGATACTTAGGAATCTATCAAAATTGGTTTTATTTTTTATGATTTTTATTATTGTTTCAATATTGTTACTCGTGTGGAAGGTCAGTTGCAAATATATTTTGTCCATGGCTTTGTATGAATTAGAACCTTGCTGTTTGGATTAATTTGGTTAATTCTATCGTTGCCATCCAGCAAAATTGTTTGCACTTTATCCTTAATCTGTAGCTACCACTTTGTCCTTATTTGTACCACTTTATCTTTATCTTTACCACGTTCAAGTTTTTGTGTTCAACTCTTCTCCAACATTGGTTAGTTACTATGTTACTTGACTTCATGCTGTAGCCACAGAATTTCTCCTGAATCATTCATTTGGAAAGGAGTCTATTGGCTGTTTACCTCCTCCAAGAAAAAGACAAAAAACGGATAATACGGTAACATATATTTACCAAACTTTACTATTGAAACTAGTTAACTACCTGGTCATGGCTTTTTGATCTTAAGGATGGAGTTGGGGTGGGCTTCTTGACGATAGCTTTAATATCGAACGTCGGGTTTTTGTCGATTTTGATAAATATAATTCTAAAACAAGTTATTCGTGTAAAAAAAGCTCTTTTCGCTTGTTATCCATTTCTAGTTTTGGTTGACTTTTATAGTACAGTAATTACAACGAGCGATTAAAGATTGTCTCGCGATTTTTCCCGAAAATATGAATAATTCTAACAATCTGGTGAGCTATACATACATATATGATTTTGCAGCTTTGTTTCTAGGAAAGTATCATTGATGCATCAGAGGAATCTCAGTTACGAGCGGCCATTGCTGCTTCTCTACAAGATATTTCTACCGAAACAACAAATTACAATGATAAAAGTGACAAGGTTTCCGATAAACTTCACGATGAGGATGACGACAATCTAACTGAGTTTACGGCCTCTGAATCAGATTCGGAACAAGCTGCAACGGACACAGAAGAATCTTATATTATGGGAGAAAAGGCGGGGAAAGAAAACACTAGCAAAAGTAGTTTCGGAAATTTTGATAGCAAAGATATATCACACAATAACAATCAAAGGATGGCAGATGATGTCGGGTGTAAACAGAATCATGTTTCAATTGGAAAAACATTTTCTGAAATAAAAAGTTCACAACAAGAAAGTAACTTCTTCGAGAGTAATGAAGACCATAACGACGAAAATGGTATTACTCTTAGAATGTAGAGTTTATTGAAAATTCATGCGTGCTTATTGACAATTTATATGTTTTGCAGTGTTTGAAAAAACGCAGATAATGTTAAGATATCCCGATGGAAAACGTGAACAGAAAGCATTTCACGCTGGAGCACCACTATTGGTAAGCAAGATTTCGTTTGTTTTTAAGCTTTAGCTTTTTGGCATAAATTTATGTTTGCTTTGTAGTTCTTCAGTTTGAAATTAAAATTTTTGAGAAAAAATTTTTTACTGCTATGTGAATGTTTTTTCAGGAAATGATTTCAGCTAATGAATTAGCGCGATTTTAGCCAATTTTTACATGGTTTACCCGTTCAAAATAAAAGCCTCTTTTTCTTTTCTAGAATCTAATCAAATACGTTCAAAGTCAAAGCTATTCCAATGAAAGATTCGAGCTAGTTACCAGCTTTCCTCGAAGAAAGCTTTCTTATATGGATCATAATCTTTCATTAAAGGAAGTTGGACTTTTTCCTAGAGAAACTGTTTTTGTACAAGAAAGATACCACGATAGTCCTACGTAGATTTATCAGATTCATGTGTCTAGAGAAATATTTGGTTACAAAATAAGAGTTCGGGTCCTGCTTTGGTTGCTTAATCGGCCATTTTAAGCGACCGAACATCAGGATTTGGAAATGCAACTTTCTAACTATGAACATGGCGTCCGTCCACACGTATTTGTATCAAAAATTCTTACAAAACTTAATGTCTTATTTCTTCGTCATCGTGTGAACGGATGAAAGCGGTTCCATGTTGAATAAGTTTCGTTTCCTGTTGAAAACAAACGAGTGTGAATGAGGCCTTTATGTTTATTACTTGTATAAATAAGTCAATTGAATGTAGTGAAATTTTTTTAAAGAGGATAAAAATAAGTAGCAAAGCACTGTGAAAGCAAGCTGTAACTTAACACTACCTATCATCATACAACGTAACTTATCATGATTTATCACTTGATGTACTTCGTCGTACCCTATCATCACATTTCGTAACTTGTCATGGCATATCACTGGACAAATCTCATAATCCCATATCATCATACAACGCAGCTTATCATGGCTTATCACTTGGCGTATCTCATCGTCCCCTAACATACAACCTAACTTATGAGGTTATCATTGCTTGTAACTTGGCGTACCTCATCGTCTCCTATCATAATACAACGTGGCTGATCATGGTTTATCACTTGGCGTATCTCATGGTCCCTTATTACCACACAACGCAACTTATGGCCAATAGGTCATGGCCATGGCATACCATTGACGTAACTCATCGTCACCTTTCATTTTGAACTCCTCCCATTTTTACTCATTCTATCTTCTATCGTATGCTTGCACTATTAAATGAGATATGATCTTCGCACTTAGCTGGACAATTTAAGCAATCGTCTCAGGACCTGAAAAAATCAGGTGACTCAACGGGATTCGAACCCATGACCTCTGCGGTGCCGGTGCAGTGCTCTGACCACTGACCACTTAAAAAACATTCATACGCTTGCACTATTCTTAAGTAAAAGATTTAAATTGAAATAAAATTATCTGTACGTTCATGCTTGAATTTTCAGCTTTAACTTTTAATGTTTAACTCCACTAGTTTATCAGTCTTTCATTATTAGCAAGAATTTAATTTATACGCACCCCCTCTGATTATGGTATTCGCGTCCAATTTGATTGGTTCATATTTCGATCGATTCAAAACCGCCATATTTGACTTTCAATGCTAAAGTAAACAAGCCAGAACAAGCTCATTGTTATTTATTTTCATCTCATTATTTTTCTTTTAGTTGGTTGACTGTTATAAATTCTGTAAGTAACTTAAATATGGAGATGCAATTAAATTCACAAATCGAAGCGATGAAGTTGGAATTAAAAGATAAGGAAAAACAATTGAAACTTTCCGGTGAAGTCGTGAACGAGATGGTGCAAAGAAACAACGACCTTAATCATGAGCTAGAACGACTGCAGGAGTCGCATTTGCAAGAGATAGAGGTATTTTATTATTCTATATCACCGTGTCTTAACGAACATTTTAATTAAGGGACTAGTCATGAAAAACAGGATTAATTATCCAATACTAATATTATGTGCATTTCATCCATATTTCATTTTCATCCCCCATCCCATTTTGTTGATGAAGTGAAAAAACTCATTACAGCAAGAACACTTTTACAAAGTGGAAGCTAACTATGCACTGCATGGACCTGTAACGTAATGATAGCTGGCAAATATTGAATCATTATGTCATGAGAGAGATTGCTTTTGCTAAATGCTTTTTTATTGAAAAATCATTATGTCATGAGAGAGATTTAGTTAGTTATCTTCAGAACAGGCCACAAATTTTAAACTTTCAAGACATTTACCTGAAAGGTAGATCTTTCAACCAACCAAAAAAGAAGATGTAATATAGTAATTCACAAAGCAAATCAACACAAAGATATACCATTATAGCAAAAAGTAAGGGTAAGGAAAGTAATAGAAGTAAACCAAGCATATAAACACCATATGTTCATTGGAGATATCCAAATTCAACTGAAGCACTGCAGTCAACAAGTAAAAAACACAAAGTACCATGGAAGACAGTGGCGGACACTATATAACATCGGGGGGCTAGTCATTAAAGCATGAGATTTCTAAGGAGATCTTGTGGCATGCATAATGTATATTTTCAAAATTTGATCTTCACACTTGTAATTTATGTTAAAACATAATTCAAGTAATAAGTAAAAATGCAATTTTATATTGAATTTTCAACAACAAATTTTGTTTTTCTTTTATCGTTAATATTCATGACCACAACTAACTCTTGAATTGGTTCTGGCAAGTTGGGAATGTTGCTATTTGATAAAATAGGATAGTGTTATTTTGCTCCTGTGAAAGACTTCTGTGTGACTTACAAAAATTTTAAATGGTTTGAAATCCAAAAAATCTGTATAGAAGGAGTGTTGAGAAAAATTATTCAAGTTGTGTTTATCTGCAATTTACCTCAAGCCAATTTTATCAGTGCAAGCATGAGGCTCATTAGTGACGAAGAGAAGGGGATTGAGGAGAAGCTGCAGTCGTTGTTCCTAGCTTGAAAATAGCATTTCTGTTTTTAAATAAGTTAGGGCAGGGAGTCATTCATATAGTGCTAACACGTGTTTTGCAAAATCAAGAAAGTAAAACAAATAGACTAACGTATCCATGATCGTTTGATTTAGATTTTACGTCAAGAAAACTACAGTCTTCAACTGAAGTTTGATCAAGAAAAGCTGGTTCAGCAAAGCTTTGCTAATGAAATTGAGCTAACCAAGGAGAAAGTAGAACAAAATGTGAAACAGGAGTTAGCTCGCCAGGAAAATATTAATAACAGGAAGATGAGCGAGCTTCGTGCAGAAATTGAATCTTTACACTCTGAACTCGAGAAAGATGCGCTGGTTAATGAGCAGCTAAGGGCAAAAATTGCTAAACAAGAAGAATTGCTAGCTGAAGCTCATAGATATTCCAAGAAATTGAAGGAATTGAGCTCATTGGAGTCACAACTAGAAGGCGTCAAGGAAGAATGTTCTATGAAAAAATTCGAAAATGACGAGTTGAAGATTGTTTTGGATGACATAAACGCTGAGAAAGAACAAGTTATTTTTGACAGGCAATGTTTGAAGGAAAATGTTGCTAATTTAAAAAAGGATTTAGAGGAAACCTGTAGTCAAGGAAAGATATGGTTTGATTCCCTGCAGGTAAAAAAAAAAATTAGTTTAGTTCATTTACATATCATGCGTGCATTGAAAATTTAATCATGTTTAATTGTTTTCGCTGGAGTTATCGAACAGAAGTTTGATTTGTTCTTATATTTAGGAATGTCGTCAACATTTGTCTGAACTTCAAGTAGAAAATTCCATTCTAAAAGCTGAAGCTATGAATCGTTCGCATAAAGAAAAGGGAAATTCCTTATTTGGTGAAGTGTGTATGATTCAGTATTATTTATTTAATCGTTTTATGTTTTATCCTTCTATTGATTGCATTTCAACATGCTTGCGCATATAGCAATTACTAGAGTTTAACATACGTTTAAGTTTACATTTTAGCGACTGCATATTTCGATTAAAAGCATATTATGATTGTCATTGCTACATATTGTTCTTGTGAAAGTAGTTTAGTCGGTGCATGCAAATTGTTTTGATGATAAAAACTGTGTTTTACAGGTTGAAGACAAGAGGATAGAAATGGAACAAAAGCATAATGTTCTAAGTGAAAAGTATAAATCCTTGTCAACTACTTACCAAATTACTAAAAAGCAACTCATTGAAATGAAGGTATAGAAAATAACAGTCTTGAATCTCTTGACGCCTTTTGATAATCGCATTCTGTTTGAAATGTGTGATTTTTTTAAGTGCATATAATTTTAACTGTAAATACTTTGATTACCATGGGTGTTGATAAAACATGGTTTGTCAGTTGCTTTTTTATTTAGACTCGAATTCTACCAATGTTAGCAATGGCTGGCAATCAAGCTGACAGCTCTCAAATAAAAAGACTCGAAGTTGCTCTTCTTCAAAGCAAAAACGAGATTCAAAATCTTCATGTTAAAATTGAGGAATTAAAAAAAGAAAAGGTGTATTTTATACTTATCAAGAGCCACAAGCATTTTAGTTAGGAAACGTTTTTGACTGATGTGATTGAATGCAGTACCAATGGTCTTTCTAACTCACTTCATTGTAATTGTGCGTTGAATGATTACATTTTTTCACATACGTTAACCGCAGCTATATTTTGACGACTTATGAATCATGGAATCTCATTTCATGCTGTACACGATGAAACGTTTAACGTAAAAATTTCGTAAATTTTTGATTCATTGATATTTGCAGAATGGATTGGGAATGAACTCAAGGCTTCAAAGATTTCATGATGTCTTTAGTGACTTTAAAGAAAAAAAAGATTATGTCATTTATCTTCAAGAAGAAACTAGAAGTTTAGAGTAAGGTCTAGCTTTTCTCGATTCATTCGTGTAATTTATAATTTGTGTGTACGGGGCGTAAAAATAGTATTGTAATTTTCAGCTTTAAATATGTGTGCCTGAAGAAAATCTAGTTTCGCGTGATACAACTTTTGTAATGTTTTACGCTTTTGCCTTTTAGTGAGGTAATTGAAAATTTAAAGTCCAAGAATTCAGTTTTAATGATGAAGCTAACCGGAGAGACTGACAAAAGACGTCAGGTGGAGTCACAACTCCATTCAGTCGAAGTTGAAATGGAAAAGTTTAAGTTGGAGTGTGTACGATTACAGATAAAGAACAATGAATATAGCATGAAATTAAAACAACTCAAAGAAGGTAATGTAAATTTCCTCTTCAGTTACGTGAACCTAAACAAATGTTATTGAGATTAAATATATATACTGGTCATATGTTCATATGGCTGTCTGGCATCAATATTCAATTATTCATTCAGTTGGTAATCAAGAAAAATCACCTGAGATTACTCCTCTAAAAAGTGAAAATGTGAAACCATCGCTGTGGAAAGACAAAAATCTGTTTGCAAAGCTTGATGATTCAAAGAAAAAAAGAGAGTTTCCACAAGAAGGTAAGATTTTACAACCTATAAACGCATCAGCTGTGGTGGAGGGCAAACAGCAAAGTGCAGCCATAACAGAATCAAGCAAGTTTTGCCATGACGACAGGAATCATTCTGTATTGATGACGAAGTCGGACAGCAGTTTAAACTTTAAGTTTGAAAAAGTTGTCACCACGGAAAACGACAATAATGTACCTTCTGAAATGAACGCTTGTAAACCTGCCGATAGAAAAGAGAATATACAAACTGAAGAGCCTAGTGGCAATGTCTTGAAAGAATTGGAAACTGTACAAAATGAGGTAATGTGTCATATAATTTTCTGACCGTACAATAGATTGTGGGCTGTCTTACGTAGAAAGCGAAAGTAAGAATGGTTTTTTATTTACAGGTTCTAAAAACTGTTAAACCGAAGCGCGTTATTCATGTAAAGAAAAATGCTTCTAAGAACGAGTGTCAACAGCAATAAATACTTTATTCTTTTGCTTAATTCAAGGATTGTGGTGTACTTCTTCACTTTGTGTTATATCAGACATTTAAATAATGTGATATCATATGTCATTTACTGTTCATCACGAATAAAGGTTTTTTCCTTATTCAATCTTTTATTTCCAAAGTTTATTTCAAATCATCTTACCATCTGATTCAAATTCATCCATGATGCAAAAATAACCAAAAACAAGCTCTCGACGAGCTCTTTCCAATGAGCTAATAAAAATCGTCGTAACTCCAATATTTTACAGATACGATCTGCGCGTGCGCGAAGTTATTTCTGCGCGTGCTCAGTGCTATCTCCTAAACTACTGGGGCTACGGTGATGATCTTTGGCTCATCTGAAAGCTCTCGACGAGCTCTTTCCAATCAGCTAATGAAAATCGTCGTAACTATAATATTTTACGAGATACGATCTGCACATGCGCAGTGCTATCTCCTAAACTACTGGGGCTACGGCGATGATCTTTGGCTCATCTGAAAGCTCTCGACGAGCTCTTTCCATCATTCCTTTCCTGACGAACTCTAATATTTTACGAGATACGATCCAGGGTTTTTCCGCTGGATCTCTGGTTTTTGAAAACTTTCTGGGATTCTGGGGTTTTAGTTTCACCTCCTTGGGTAATTTGCTTTAAATAATTGTGTGAACTGTGAAGAAATTAGGGGATATTCGGAGAAATTCTATTCATTGTTTGCAGAGTATTCAAAATGTGGATATTTATGTTGAACTGAACATGTACCCGTTTGCTAATTGTTTCAATATTTGATATTTTTCCTTTGATATCTTGAAAAGCAATTCATAATTTTAGCATTATAAAAAGCTTATACAATATGTAAAAGAATATTTCAAATAAAAGCTCTTAAAATTTACTGTGTAGGTAGCATGGACTGAGAAGGATGATAAAAATAACTGATAATTTTCTGTTTGTCATGTTTTCTTTGCGTACCTATTTTTACTCCGCGTCGCGTGTAAGTCACGAAGTAAACACTTGACATGAGTTATATTTATATCATAATAACAGAGATAAGTTATGGTTATGGGCTTGTTTGTGCAGTTCTTTTAAATTGGATTTATTCATGTGGATTTTGCGATAGTGTTGTTCTCCAGTCTTAAGCTCAGGTTTGTTTTTGTGTACGGTTTTTCATTAATTTGAGCAATTGACAACAGTTGTATTTAACAATCATAAAACTTTTAGACAACTGTCATTAGTATCATACAATTTCCGGAATTTGTTTTAATGTTTGTTTTAATGCAAACAAGGAAGAATACAAAAAAGAGATGGCTTTTTGAAATTATTTCTATTAACGACATTTACTTTTGTAATTATGCCCTGTGAGTCTATGACTCTATGATCCTAAATTTACCATACCTATTTACAACAATGTCATTTCAACATGGAAAGTATGATATTTTATTTCAATAGTGTATTTAAGGAAGTATCGTTTTTCATCATCAGCTACTGTCTTGTGCTTTTTTTGATATGTACCATCTTGTACAAATATGCCTTGATGCATCAAAATAATTTAGATGTAAAATGCTTCATAAAAGGAGTATGTGTTCAGTGTTTTAATTGCTTGTGAGCATTTGTTTTTGTTGGTAAAGAAAATGTAGTTTCACTTTATTAAAAAGACAAATTAACCCTCTACGTGATTGCTTGCCATAGCAATAATTATTTCTTCAATATACCTAAAAAGACATTGTTGCAAGAAAATTTCACATGTCTTGTATGAGTCATGTCACAATCAGTGTGAACACCCTTAACGGGAATATTGTTGTAATAATTTTTTTTTGAAAACATTTAATTAAATTAGTTATTCAAATTATATATAGTACCACCATGGCACAAAGTCCAAAAAAGAAAACGTCATTATTTTACTGGTATCATAGTTTTATTAAGTGGATTTATCATTTTATTACTGGAAGATGTGAATTGGAAAGAATATGTTATAATATAAAGTGTCGTGTCACCTGCAATCTTCAAATTGGTACGCATTCAAAAAGTTTTGACTAATTGTGTGTGATTTTTTTCCTAAGCGTTCTTTTTGCACTTTGTTTCAGAAAATTCACTCTTGAATTCCAAGTCAAAGGTGAGAATTTGTTATCCATGATGTACTACCAATGTCTATATCCTTCCCAAAAATGTCATTACCTCTGCAAAAAGTAATTACTCTTAATTCATTTTTTCATTATTGTCATTTTTGAATCCAAAGCTTTTTTTCATGCAATGCTTAAAATCAGAGGAGAATAGAGATTTATATTAGGGAGTGTGTTGCAATTATTTTACTGTGAAAGTTAATGATTTACAGAAAAAGCCTTTGTGCGATTTTTGAAAATCATTTTACCTAAGTTTGTAATTCTGAGGGTGAATGACAAATATTTCTGATCACTAGTGATTGGAATCAGTGGATGTAATGCTTAGCATGAACTTGAAGATTACCAATTGCTCTTTTTAGAAAAACTGATATTATTCATTTCATCATTATAAGTACATGTAAGAATAGAATTATGCCTTATGTTGATTGATCATTCATATATCACATTCTATGTTTATTTATGCTTGTGCTACTCATGTATATATTTGTGATGGTTGATTTGCCTGTATATTAGTCATCTTTTTCATATGTTTCTTTTCACATAAGTCTTGATTTACTAGAGGTTGTTATTGCATAATATGTACAATTATATATTTTTGAAATGTTACAGAGCTTATGCTTAACGAAATGATTTAGGTTTTGAATGAAATTTTAACTACTACAAATATTGACATCAACAAAGTTGTACAAGATGTGTTGAATGTGAAAAAGATTGATGCAGATAAGAGTCTTGTGTAAGTCTTACTATTTCATCTGTTTATAGAGTTTGCATTTTACAGTGTCTTGTTGTTTTCAGGTCGTTTACTTAAGTTTTTTATGTCACATTTTATGTAGATTTATTGAGAGGTTTTCGAAATGTGTCGTTCAAATATCTGGCTACATTGATCTTATTGATCTTCTTGGAAAGAAGACAAAAATTGTATTTTCTTGTGACAATGCAGAACACGAGAAAAAGTTGTTACAGGTACCTTCCAATCACTTTTGTATTGCATTTTAAAGATGAGGAAACTTTTTGTGTCTTTCTTGATCAGCCTAATGAAGATACTCGAGCTCCAGATCAAATTTCAGCAAAGAGCATGAAAATAGGTCTTCTAGGCAACACATCATGTAAATGTGAAAGTGGGTATTTTTTCACATCAAGCAATCTTTTACACTTGTTGACACAATTCACTTGCTAAGGAATGCGAGTCAAGTGTGAAGAAATTGGCTGTTATAATGTGGACGTTGGCAAATTTTTGCGTGTTCAGAAAATTTGAGCTATAGTTTTAAAAAATTTGTGGTACTTTGTAAGACCATTAGTCAATAAATTAGCAAAAAGACAGAGCGAACCTACGCATTGAATACTGTGAATAGAAATGGAATATGAATAAGACAAATTTAGCTTGCTGTAAATTTATTTGTAACTGCACGTAAACAAAGTAACTTGTCAATTGAAAAAATGGTGAACTCATTCAAAATGAGGTGTAGGAAAAACGTATGTTGTCAAAATATTGCTTGACAAAATTGCCTATACTTGCGTGCATAGTTACATTTATCACCCTTCTTACCACTATGATAGGTCATAGCTCACAAATCTTTCTAATATCGGTTTAGAAGGGAGCATTGCATGATTCTTCAAGAAATAATGCAATGAAAAGTAACGTAAGGTTTGCGGGGTGATCTGAAGTCGGAAACGGCTGAACAACAAGGAAATCCATACCCTTGTCTTTAGGGCTAGAGAAGGGAAATCTATGCTGAGGTGGAGCGCCACACCTTCTCTCACCTCCCTGCTAATTACCGCGCAGATCAGATTACCCGATTTGCGCTACTCATACGCTAAGTCGGCGAGGGCGGGTATCGAACCTGGGACCTTGCGACTGAGCTATCCCTACTATTACTCTTACTAATAATGCAATACTAGTCACTCAACTGTGTATCTCTTTGATCTCATCTATCATTAATCATACTTCGAGATTATTCGAAAACTGCTTCAACTTAATTATTCGTATTTGCAGCTTTGGTCTTTGCTGATGCCCGATACTGTTTTGGAAAGTCGACTTTCTTCACAATGGGGAGAAATCGGTTTTCAAGGCAAGAATCCTGCTACTGATTTTCGTGGAATGGGTAATACTATTAGCTACTTGAATGTCTATTTGGTTTGTATATACACTGGAATCCTGTTTGATTGAGCTCAAAATTCATCATTTTATATTTAGGAATTCTTGGACTAGAGAATCTTTTGTAAGTATATTTCATGGATCCATCACATTGGGCATATAAACCATGTGTACATGTGCATGTACATTGGGCATACATATAAACCATGTGTGCATGTGCATGTACATTGGGAATACATATAAACCATGTGTGCATGTGCATGTGTGTATGTTTACTGCACATTATGTATTATAAATGATTTCAGGTTTCGATGAATGGTCGTTTTCTTGTTTTATTGAACTGTAAATTATTAGTGAAATTCCTCCTAGTCTCAATTTTAAAGTGGAAAATTTTGGACGACTGCATTCCAAAGATTTTCACTTACAACATGCAGGATTTATATTACATATATTGGTTGTTGTTAAGATATAAAATATTCGGCAAGTGAAAATTAGTGGTTGAATTCGTTATCTTGATGCACTCTTATTGTTTAAGTTCGAACAATTTCCATATCATAATGATATAACTGTTTCACCTAATGCCCTAATATAAAATACCCACGTTTATGATTTGAAGGCTTACAATGAAAAAGATCGTTTCAGTCTGACAAATAATTTGGTTTTTTGTGAAAAATGAAAGTCGCTAAACCGCATGTTGTAAACGATATATAGCTACTGAAACCACGTTTTCATTGATATGGTGCAAGTCAAATTGTTCATGGTACGATATTAGTCAAATAAATCTTTCCATGTTATGGTTTAAGGCAAATCGTTCCATAGTTTAGGCGTAGGTAAAAAGAAGTCATTGTTCCTTATATTGTTGCTATAGGTAAAATTTATTATTCTATTACTCTAGTATTAACACGATGACGATATTCTAAAAATGACAAACTTTTAAATTCCTGCCATTCAGTTTTCTCTAAAGTTTAATACTGAACCTACTCGAAATAAAGTAGATAGTATCAAAAAAAATGAAAGCAAATGAAATTTTCCGCTTTTTCGGAATGAAGGCTTGGGTCTTCGACTTGAGGAAGTTGACATAATGATGTGTAATGATAATCATTCTATAATATTACTGAAAATTATACATATATGAATAAATACTTCAATTTTAGATATTTTGCAAGCAAGCAAAATAATGTTTGTAGGAAAGTCCTATCCGAGTCTCGTCACCCAAAATACTGGTTTGTATTATATTCAAGAATTTTTTAGTTTTTGTTGAACTTATTTTGTTGCACATCGTGGCTCAGTTTTTCGGCTGCTTAGCTCAACAACTACATAGCTACACTCATGAAAAATCAAAATAACTCATTTTTTGCATGCACTAGAAAAGGACATTTAATGATTTTTGTAGCTTACAAATCTCTATAATGGTCACCAAATTAACGAAACGAATAATTTATAGAGAAATATATTAAATAATTTTTTGCAATAATCTTTCTAAGTAGTCATTGCCATATCTCATTGTAATGTTGTTTGCATAGGTACTCATTTGCCATAGTTGGAATCAATATTACGGCTTTGTCTTTGGATTTATTAAAAACTGGTGCACTGAAGCCCCATTTTTATAATACTGTATCAGGCAAACCTACAATGGATGATTTTCACAAAGTTTATTGTAAGTGTGTCATACTTCATGCAACTTTATTGTCTTTGATGTATTATTTTCACAATTGGCTGTATTCATTTTATTGGGGAAAGAGGTGACATTATTTCTAACGGCCTTAGCAAACAAAGTTAGCAATGGTTTGCAACTTGACAGCAGGCGATTGTCAAAAGAAAGTTTTGTTTAAAATCAAATGTCATCCCCACTGCGATGACAATTGTTTATTCTTCACAAGAGTAAATCAAGAATGTCTATTTTACTGTCACTTTGTTGCTGAAACACGTTGATATAATTATAATAAAAGCTCAACAGAAGTAAAATGCTTCGCTAAACAGCGAAGGAGACAGATAGATTATAAGTTAACAGTAAAATCGTTTTTGAACTTGATTTTCCTTATTTTCTAGGTTATTTGTTTCGCACGTTTAGTGCATTCTGGTTAGAGCAGAAGCCGGCTTCTGTTATGGAATTTAATCGAATCCGAGATGAATTTAGGGTGACAGTAGTAAGCATGCTTCAAAATCCATCTGCCATTTTGGATGTTGAAAATATGCGTATTAGAGAAGATGATGACGTGAAGTCAGTGCAATCTATATCTTCCCAAGACCTTGAATAACTTTATGAAGATTGCTTATACCTTTTTTTAATTATGGCCATGGAATGCAATATGTTTAAGTTAGATGGTTAAGATAAGTGGAAGAACTAGGGATCTGAATGTGCACATGCGGGTCTTCTATATTGTAGTGATATGTCTCTGTTCGTTGAATTTGTTTGACCCCATCAATGGTTTGACCTTACCATCATGGAAAGGATCATGTTTTAAGAATAAGAAATTGATTTGCTACCAAGATATCGTAGAAATCACTCAAGAGAATACAGGCATTACAAGAAAAAATACAGCCATGACCGAAAAAGAATTAAATCATTGCTAATAAGGAATACAACCAGTGAACTATAGCCTAAAAGAAACGCAACAATGCAATTATATGACATACAAAACAATATATGCTCATCTTACAAAATATAAACAACCGTAACACAAATGGCTAGCACTATACTCATTGCAAAACACGGGCAACCATAACGCAAAATTATTATACAATTGCTTTGTTTATTTATACTGGTTGAACCCATTCATTTCCCCCCTACTCCAATTCACATAGGATTTTATGTTCCAATGAAGAGAGTTTTGTCGACTTCGAATGGTACTTTTTTGATGATATATATATATATATATATATATATATATATATATATATATATATATATATTATACGGAGAATCATCAAATATAAACTTCCTATATATATATATATATATATATATATATATATATATATATATATATATATATATATATTCAAAACTCAGAGCTCTCTTGAATGACTTTCAAGTTATTAGTTTTCTCAAATCCAGTAATTTGATCGCACAGCGCATCTCTTCGTCAAACGAGGTAAAACATCTTTTTGGGGAAATTTTTGAAAAAAGTTTGCATTGTTGCGATAAATGGCGAAAATTTGCATCAGATATCATAGTGTAAACGTCGAAGATTGCTCAAATATTTTTAATTGCAATCCATTATAAACTGCTATGTGTTAACGCTTTCTCTCTCCCAACTTAAGGTTTGAAAGTGCATGGTTTCAATGTAGATTATGGCATTGGCTTGACATAGTAAAAGTTATCATTGTAAAAACTTTAAACTCTTGGACGCAATTGCATTTTCACATTCAATGAGATAATGAAAAGAAATAGTTTGTCATTAACACCGTTTATACTTTGCCCGTGATACAAGAAAAAGTCGATATAAGCGAGATATACGTGGCGAACTGCGCATGCTCGGATGATGTATGTTATAATTTCTGACCAAGAGATTTAATTACTCAGAAATCGATGCAAATATATCTATTTCATCATTTCCACGACATCGAAGTCGAACAATTTTTCAAGTGGACAACGCAAGCTAAGAAGATTTCTGGTTGATAGTATTAGAAGATTTCAGAAGATTGTTGAGAAGAAGGTTGTAGATATCAAAGTGTTTGAAAATATTTTAAGGGGAATGCATAGTAACTCGTTTTTGACGCTGGTGAAAAAAAGAAGTTAAAACGCGCAAATGTTAAACACGCTTAACTTAAAGTATGGCATGGCAAAATGTGTTCTTGCGTTATGTGCTGCTTTCAAAAGTTACATCTTAAATGAGGACGGGTTTGGTTGCTTATGTGTACTATGCAAGAGCGAAAGTAGAAAGCCTATTATGGGGGTAGGGTGTGAATCTTCATATATTCAGCTCTGCCCGACTGATTTGTTTTGAAATCATAATCGCTTTTTAAACAAATCAGTCGGGCAGAGTTGAATATATTGGCTTCCTTTAATTTTCTTGATCGAGATTTATTTCAAAACATGCATTTAATACTACTTCTTTTGCTGTCTATACTAATGTAGGCCTGTTTCAGTTACTAAAGCAGCGTGTGAAAATTTGGAAGACTAGTGTCTTGGGCTTCCATTGATCCATTATAATTGGTTAATCAGCTTGGTTTCCATGTTCCTTATGACACACCTCGATACACAGCAGGTGATTCAGATGACTCTAGCAGCTTCGTTGAGAACTTATTAAACACGTTGAAGTTGGTTTTAGATAGTATTGGAATCAGGGTGTGACAAGCCTGTTTAATCGTTTTAATGGTCGAGTAGAGAAGAATTTCCTTCTTTGCCACATGTTACATTTTATTGACAGTTTAGATAGCCTTATTTTCTGTTGTGGGCTATTCAGGACGGAAGGATAAATGAAGTTCAGTATCAATGGCATGTTCTTGAAAGCTAGGAGGGCATAATGACAACTATATCCTGTTATGACGAAGTTAAGATAGAGATGGAACTAGAAGAGCTGTCAACTTTCCGTTGTATCTACATTAGTCGAGTACACGGTATTTTTCATGCATTTGAGGCAATTTTAAATATCAAGTAGACCTTTATAAAAAATGACATTTTCCCTGTCAATGTGAATATAACACATGTATTTCTTATTTTTATTTACAGAACGTGCATGTTTGGCATGGGGGACAATTTTGTATGCTAAAATCGCTCATTGTCTTCTTTGTACGTTGTGATCGTCTGTGGAATGTAGAAAAGAAAGGTGTTGTTTGGAGTTTGATTATAACTATATTTGCAAGGAATATTTTGTTCCATTTTTAACGTTCTTATTTTATTTAGTCGAGTACATGCAGTATTTTAAAGAAAAGAGTGACTGCTCATCAACTACAACGAAGGTGCGTCCGTTAGTCTTGTTGCGGCTTTCTTGTTTAGTCAAGAAGTTCGACAGCTTCCTCACAATCTTGTACCTTTAGAGATTGTAAGATTAGCTCTAAAAACATGTTTTAATGTTCAAACTAAGTTGAATTCAAACTAAATTGAAGTGATGTTTACTGTCCAATTGAAAGGTTTGCAACCTAGTGAAATCGGAACAACTGAGTTCGTTCTACGCGTTTTTTTTTTATATTTTACATTGTATAATGGTATAAGAAAATTCTCTTATTGTGAATAATCTGATTGATTTGCGTCGGTCGTTACCCCATGCAGCTGTGAATGCCGTGATGGCAAATAATTCATTTTATAATCAGGAAAATGCACTTGCGAGTAGTGACGTCAGACTTGTATAGCTTCCTTACGTGTTACATTAACCTGCAAGTAGGTTAAAACTGATCGCACACAAGGAATAATGCCGAGGAATAAATTATAGAAGATATCTGTTAATCTTGCCTCATAATTGCAAAACATTTTTAATGGGAAACGCGAACTACTGCTTTGAATCTTGGTGTTTTGCGTTTCCGATGTTAAATTGAATAGCTGAAATAATGGCTATAATACTTTACATTGACTACATATGTGATAGCCAATATGCTTTTACAACGTAGTATTTGAATCTACACTGCATGTCTGTGGCTTTTTCACACATTAACTTCATGTAATAGTAATTTACAATCTATAACCCCTTAACGTGCCTCCATACATCTTTACGAGTGAAAATTGTGTTTGAAATTTTTTGACTCTGGGCTTAATACTGTAGGCTTGAATGAAAACAGGGCTTAAAAACAAAGACATTTGATGCGAAATTGATGTTAGGTAATCCTGTGATAGAGTGCACTACAAAAAGTCGTTTTTAATCGGCTTTTTGGCTATGGATTGGCTGTTATTACTCCTTTACCCGTGGAAAACAAGGAGTTAAGTTTCCAAAGGAGTTAAAAGATGTGCATAAATGACACATGATAAAGTTTTCTTGCTTTATGCATGTTAAAGAAGAAGTATAATTAGAAAGATCTTTAAACGAAACTTTAGCAGAAGTTCACTTGGAATGTTGAGCATTAAGACTTTCTCGTGTTTTATACTCCATACTAAAACGAACGCGTGTGATGTTTAACTTAAATTTTGAAAAGAAAGATGTAGATTTTAGTCTATGGAAGCAATAGGTTGGTTGTATAGTAAAGCACTCTATTGTTGAATGTCTAATCTAGCTTTGAGCTATAGGGTGATAAAATGGAAAAGGTATATCTCTTACCAACCTTGACGTGTCGACCACATTATCTCAGTCTTGCATATGATGTCGTAGTTTTTATCTTTAATCTTGAAGCAAGCCAGACATGCTAAAACTGCGAGAGAGAAATGAGAGCATATTGTCATAGTGCTATCGACTGCATTGTTGTTTTTCTTCCTAATGATCACCTATCAACGATGTCTTGTTGCTTTAGCTATTTATATAAATATATATATATATATACTTTAGGAATTATGAGAACAGTAGACTAAAAATTATCATAGCACTCTGCTTTCAATATTGTGAATCTTTTTTAGCTTTCGTCTTAAATCATTGGGTAAATACCATTTAATGCAAGAAGTTACCGAAATATACTAAGACGAGGTGGGGGGTAAATTTAATCTTTCATGCAAAAGATTATGTGCTTTGTGATAAATAAAATTGTCTCTTCATGTTCATTTTTTACAATGATCTGCTCATGGGTTTGGTGAACATTCGATTTTTAAAATTTCATTTTGCTGTACTGTTGTTTTTTTTATTAAAAGTGCATGATTTTGAAGAGAAAAAAGAAGATGGTAGTGTGGCACTGTTTTAAAAATATGTGTTGCAAAAAATTCTTTATGATGCGCAACATAAGTATTTGATATTAGTCGTTGTTTGATTTGATAAACATTGCATTTATACTAAAATAAGATAAGGCGATTGTGTTTCGCTTTAAATAAAATCTTAAATATCAACGAAATTCTTGACCTCCCTGTATACATCTGGTCATTGATATTTTTGTTTTTAGTATGTGAGCGTAGTGTAGCGCACATAGAAGTAAAAAATTCTGCAATATGCTAAAGGACGTAAAGGGGTTTAAGGGATTGGGCACTGCTATCTTCTAAACAAAATCAAAGCTAACAGTTTTGACGGGCAAGAAAATGTGTCAAAGAGAATTCAATTTTCCAAGTAAGAACTTGACATATCATTTCTTTTGACAAATTGAACAAACTTACTGGCCGTATTCGGTATTTCATTTTGCGTATGAATGTCATTTTACGTAATTTTCAATAAAATCTTAAAAAAAGTTGTTAGTAATAATTTGCAAGTTTACACCACACCCATTTGTGGGCAAATGAAATACTGCACTCTTTTGTCGGGCCAATTGGGCGTTCGCACCATATGCTGAGACCCAAGTTACGCGCTTGCTCTCAAACAACAGCTTTTACTTTGTTCTGTGTTGGTACAGGACTTTTTATGAGCATCTGTGAAATGTTTCTTATTTTTTTGCAAATCCTCCTTCGATTTTTCCTTGGCATGTACGTAAATTCAACTTGTTGATTGATTTCGATGCAAACGGAACAACGTTAACAACACAGAAATATTTTCTTGTTTTATATTATCTTGCTTTACCGAAAGTTAGGCTATAAAGCGAGATTTAGAAACACAAAATAAAGAACAAAACAGAAATTTTACAAACCAATCTTAAATACAAAGATTAGTAAATTTTGTTTTAGAAAATATTGACGACAGTATTCATATCCTGCTTAACGTTTCCTTTTAAACTGCGAATGAAAGTTTTTTACGTACTGGCGTGGCATATTTAAGTGTATTAACTACATCATTAAATACCATACGAATAATGTTAATTAACATATACTTGAGGTCTATCAACAAAATTCCAGTTTTTAACCAATCTACAAAGTTCCTGTGCTGTTTTGAATCAATTACAAAAGTAATTTTGATTCTACTCCATTGAACGTTGGTGATTTGTGAATGTGGGTCATCTGCAGTTTTACAGATGTTTGAAACTGTTCAAATTGGTGTGACCATAAGGCATTTTCAATTTGCGTCGTATGGGGGTGGTGTCGCCTTTGAAAAGCCGAAAATCACAAATTTACGTATAAAAGTGCAAATAGTCCAAAAAAATATATCTTGTTAACTTAAATTTAAGTTATAACCAAGATAATTTAAACTGTTATACTTCGGTTTCATTTCAAAACCATCATCAGACATATATTTAAAAGTTGGCTTTTAATTATATGTACATTTACTTTATATTTTCTGAAATTGTCGAGGATTGTGCAAAATTATGTTTATGTTCTTTAAGTATAGGGTCTATTTTCAGTATGTCAAAGTTTTTTTTTATTACACCGGAGGACCGTCTACACTTAAAATGACTTTTTTAATGCTCTTGAAGCCTTCTTTGCTGGGGTTAAGTTGGCAAGTGAAGAGGATAAAATTCTGTTAACAACTTCGTTCCGTTCCGGTAATAAGATCATATTACTTAGATCTTGCTATAAACAAGTGCTACTGACATCAAAGGATCACTTTGCTTAAAGTTTAGTGAGGTATCATTACTCTTAGATGCATTATCGATATTGTGCTGTTTAAACATGACAAACTTGGGGTAATTATAAATTTTTATTACATAAAAATAACTTAGTAAATATATCTTTAGGGATTTTGTAGAGTATAGCGATTTGTTCCATGATATTTATGATTCAATAGCGTCCGTATTGTACGATCGTCACATTTCCATTTTTATTTAAAACTCCCACCTTTTAGCTGATTATTTTGGCATTGTTAATGTTTTATTATAAATGAAACAACCTTTAAATGTTTAAATGTAAATATTGGAATTTTTCCATTATTATATGGAATCTTGATTTACGTTACGTTTTATTATATTTGTCTTGGGTGTTTTCCACACGTACTACGTATATTGCAAAACGGCAAAATCGTGATGAGGATGTAAATATGACAGTATATGTTAAAACTTGCTTGTCGTGACTCGTCAGCTATGTCTTCTAATGTCTAATATTTGCAATTTTTGCCTTAATTAATGTTTGTCTCTGATAAATTGCCATGTGTATAGGTGATAGATGACAGTTGGAATAAGATATATTTCATCTTATTATTGATAATTTCCACGTAAACGGTTTTTCTACTCATGCATTGCTTCGCGTGTGAAAACATGGGCAGATGTTTCCTGCTTAAATTGAATTTTTGCACAAACTGTCACACATCACGACTCAATTAAGGTTTACCACATTGTCTCATATATTGTCCGTATTTAACAATGAATCTCAAAACTTTCAAGCTCCTTTGTGCCCGATGTAAATTAATTTCAGAAATTGTAGAAAACTGTTGAAAGGAAAAAGCATTAAACAATGCTTCTAAAACTATACTAGTTATGGAAAAGTGTGTTTGATCTTTATCTGTTTACTTTTGTATTTTTACATAGTCTTTTGTTCACTGCATGAGTCCAAAATTGTCTGGAACGGTCCGTATGTGTTAAGGTCCCCTAATTGCTCAATCTGACAATATAATCCTTTTATTTGTTTTATTTCATTCGCAAACGATTTTAAATTTTATCTCGTCCAGGATAACGAAATGTTTTAACCTGTTGATGCTACTGATAATGATACGGGAAAGCCTGAGTTTTTATCAGTTTCCACGAGGTACGTACTGCTTTAAACACTAATCCGATATTTGTCATAAAACTGATTGTAGCGATTTCCGCTAATTGATATGTTTAGACTTTCTCTGTGTTCAAAACCTTATGCTGTCTGCCTGTATCAAATATGTTGTTTCACTTGCGGTAAATGTTCTCGATGTTGTGTAAGCGCCATAATTTTGCAAGTCATCACTCTTGTATTGTTTTTTTGTTGTTGTTATTAAAACTGTATACAGCCACTATCATTGTGGTTTGGATATGATATTAAGCCCCGACCTTCTTAGCGAAACAGTACAAACATGATTAATTCACCGCAACATTGCTTGGGAATGCAGGAATGCAGAAATTGGCAATGACAGAGGGTTGACTCAGCAAAGTCAGTCGGCGGCAGTCGTATTTAGCTGAACCCTCTTCAATAATAAGTAATAGGCCTCAGTCACTGTTCATTTGCACAATTAATAAGTTAACACTTAACAGCTTGAACAAGTATTGAATATTATGTGCACAGTGCTCCGCATACGAGTTGAAATGGGAAGATTTTTTGAATTGCTCTAAGTTCTCTGGTTTTCTAAAGTGCTAACTTAAAACAACTTTTTGGTAGATTTTAAACAAGAAAATAATTAGGTATCAGTCCAGAATTGATGTGACAATCATTTGCTATCAAGAAACGTACACTTTAATAAAATATAAAATATAAGTTTGTGTTAATTGACTTACATTTAACAAGTTTAATTACTTCAATGCAAGTGTCCTATCTTTTGATTTCATATCTCTCCTGAAGGTTTAATTACCACTGCGTATTTATAAGTTGCAAGTTTAACTCATTCTAACAGTTTAGTTTGAACTTCTTCATAACAGTTAGCCATTACGCCAAAGCTCAAAAAAATCACTGGTTGCACATTTGAAGATTTTTCCCAGTATGGCGGGCTACTCTTTCACTTGTCCATTTCCGTTTTTCGATATATAACAACTAAATATTCAGAGAAGTAACTTGTAAAGAGAAAAAATAAATCTGAAAACTTAAATTTTCTCAACATATGTTACAATTACATGTACAAATGTTATTGTAGCTACCCTTTATTGAACGCCGTTTCAAATTTGCCACAATTGGGAAAATCGAAGGAAGAAAGAATTAAATTGCCAGATGAAGGGTGAAGCATAATAGATTTTTGGCCTCCCGGAAAATAAAATGTTTTTCAAAATCGCCCAGTCGATTACAAGTATCTTAAATCCCAGAGACCAACCATCTTTCATATTATCTTGTAATCAGATGTAGTCATGATTAACTGTTTGCTTTTTTTGATACATCCTGTAGAACAGCACACAAATATTGAAGATATTGTTGCCAAACAAAAAGTTCATTTCACTATTTGCTTAATAAATATAAGTTAGTTTGGGTGATTCGCGGATCAATATAAAAGGTTCATCTCAAGTTGACCTGTTCATGGACTGCGGAAGTATTAGCCAAAAAACACTTTCTTTTAAAATAAGATGTCTTAGTGAGGGCGTCAGAATGTGCAGTCATTTGAAAGATTGACGCTTGTGTGGGTAATGTGAGAAATGAAAAATTTTTCAATCGAGTGGGCAACTAATAAGATCAATGCAGTTGCACTTCTTCTTTCAACACAATGAGGAAAACTGTATGTTCGTTAGATTTATTGATTGACAATTGTTGTGCATTTAACAACGAAAAACGAGGATCCCGAATTACAACTTCTTAAGTATGAAAAATCAATAGCGAATTATAAATCGAAATCTTTCCTGTCAATTTGTTTGTTTGTCAGTTCATCTGTACTTGTTTTGTACTATATTTAAATTTTTCAGCGATGTTGTTTACCCAAGAGCAACTTGTTCAAAGTGTATTTTTAATTTGGATAGAATATAAAATTTACATCGTGTGGTTTTATGATTGAAAATAAATTAGAAATACACCATGGATCTTCGATTCGTAAAGTTTATACGAACTATATTTAATGTAAAATACCTGTTATGTTTTCTTATCCTTCATTCACCTAACAATTTGTTAATTTCCTGTATTTGTCACTGCAGGGGTCAAAGTAAGACGAACTCGATTAAAAGCAACAAAAATTACCAATTGCAAATTTGGAAGTCGTAATTTCACGGTTGGTCAAGTATGGAATCCTACCTTGGAGCCAAATGGGATCAACTATTGCATTTTTTGCCGTTGTAAGAAGGTTCGCCATATCTACCATATTGCTTTGTTAAGAAATTGAGAAGTCCAGTTTTTAAAGCCTTCCAAGATTTTGAAAAACGATCATACTCTTTAAACGGTGTATATAAGTATACTTTATGGGCATAACAACTTGGTTGTAAGCATTAATTGAACTGTATTGATCAGATATATTTTGAAGTACATCAAGGTCAGAAAGTTTTTGTCGCATTTTTAGTCCATGGTAGCATGTCTATAAATGTATGTGCAAATTAACTTTTTTGTCTGGATTGAACACAGTATCTTTCTCATGTAGTTTTCAAAATTTACTCTTGATTGACTTTTAGGATGGTTTGGTAAATTGTGAACAAAAAAGTTGCAAGGTGTTGTCTTGTCATGGAAAATATATACCTAGCAAAAAATGCTGTGAAGTCTGTCCAAGTAAGTACCAATTGTCAAGAAACGAGAGGAAATTACTAAAAATAAAATGTTGCTTAGCCACCGTCAAGCTTTGTTATGATTTTTCTCATTTTTTTCATTGGGACAAAGTTAGCTATTTTTACTTCTTTTACCTGGGCGGGAAAAACAGTCTTTAAAGCAAACTAGATAAAAGAATGCATTTGTACTATTTTTATCTCAATAATTCTAAAATTGCAATTAATATCCTGATTGCGGACAAGTGTTATAAATGCTTCTCACATTCAGCTGTCTTCGTTTACTGTGTTTTAGGACCTACCAATGTTTCTGTTCTTCACAATCAATGCTGGCATAAAGGAAAGTTTTATCGTCAAGGAGAAGCTTGGCAAGTTGACATGAAAGATAATAATGAAAAACGTAACTGTGCTGAATGTACTTGTCACGTGAGTATTCGTGTCTATTAAGGATAATATAGGAAAGTGCAACTTAGAAAATGTATAATTTACGTGACTACCTGCCGCTCATCAACAGTGTGCATTTGTAGATAGACACTGTAATTTGCTTCACAATCGTAATTACCGTGTAAGAACATGCACTATTACAATTTTCTTGAAAACAGTACAATTATAAAAAGACACATGACATTTTGTTTCTCGAAAATCGTATGAAATGTTTCTTCTACTATCCTCTCTCTCACATTACATCTTAGAAATGAGCACACTTTATTATTGTGTTTTGAATGGCAGAGAAGATTGTGTAAGACTGCATCCGTCGAAATGGATTGACCTTAATGGAAAGACCGTGCTTTAATATATAGCAGTGAAACATAGGCTACAAATACAGTCGTTTATATGATATACCTATATGTAAATATAACTAGTGCATATTTTTCTAGTCTACAACTACAAGTAAAAGTATTGTATTGAGAAAATGCATATGTATACATATATATATTTATGTAATTTGTTATTTCAGAATGGTCGTATAGCATGTGCTGTTCGTTTATGTCCAAAACTAAATTGTCCAAAAATAATGCAAGTGAAAGGAAAAGATTCTTGTTGTGGTGCGTGTAGAGGTCTGTAATAGTTCGACATTAATTATTTTACTATACAGGTCATTGATGAACTGAATGATAAAGCTGTTTTTGATGATCTGTTTTCCAAGTTAATGTCTGTGATTTTTAATTTGGAAATTGCATTGATTTGTCACATTTTCCCTGTGAATTTTGCTATTTTTTTTAAATTTTTGCCATACTTTCAATGTAAGTTTGTTTTTTCATGCTGTGTTTTGCTGTATACGTTAGTTTGTAATCTTTGCTGTAAAAACTTTAAATTTTCGCCAAATCTGCAAATCTGCGCGCTTTAAAGTCTTGAGAGTCATTCATTTGTTAATTCAAACAGATTTACCGATCGTTCCTGATGGTGGACTAGCTCATTCTCAACCAGCAGTTACTGTTAAAGGTCAGAATATTCACAAACCTTCAATATATTTTTCCCATTTGAAATATGTTATTTATTTATTTTTTATTTTGTTACATTTTTCTGCAGGTTCATGCTTCTATAAAGGACGTTATTACAAAGATGGCGATGTTTGGAATCCTTCATCGTATTTGTCAGACATGGAAGTTTTACGGCATCCGAATTGTAATGTTTGTATTTGCAAGGTATGCAATATTCATTGAATATATGAAAATTTTTCATTTCAGAGACAACTATGTATAATTCTGTCTGTAACTACATATCTATAGATAGTTCTGTCTGTAGCTGATGGTTGAATAAATTATCTTTATCTATAGAGATCATTGGTGAATTGTGCACCAGTAAAATGTCCAAAGACTACATGTAGTACACGTCTTCTAAAAAATCCACAAGATTGCTGTAAATCGTGTCCAGGTAAAACATGGTTAAATATCATATGCTATAGTTGAACGAGGAATGTCAAGTCATAGTCACAAGGTAAAACATGCAAACATTTATAGGACAAATAAAATACACATCGCACATTTATAGGAAAACTAAAATACACATCACACATTTATAGGACAAATAAAATACAGATCACAAAATCGTCATACAGGAAAGATGAAAAGAAACAAATGTCAAATAATTTAAGTGCAAAACTTGCGTAAATGAATACGAAGCTTCGAATGAATACAATTGCTTCATATTGAGATGCTGACCCTTTATCTGTAAATTTCTTTCTTTCATTTTGAGTTTCATTGAGTTTCGCAAATATTCAAAGGAGACCAGTAAAGGCTTCGTGAAATAAACTCGATGTGTAGATTTCTAAAACTTTTTTTGCAGATAAAATAAAGAAACCGCCGGCTCGAAATAACACATCAAGAAAGCTCAAAGGTAATCATCCGACATCCAGAACTCTTGAAAATCTCCTACTCGTATTCGTTATGATTTCAGCTGTAGGGTCTTGTCAGGGGTATCGCTGTATCAGAACCAAAACTTTAATTTACCTGTTCAGTTCATGAAGATTGTCCATACAAAATTTGAAGTTTAACATAAAATCCGATGCCAACAATTTCTGTTTGGATTTTTGCTTCATCTGTGCTTGTTTATATTTGACAATTGTTTATTGTAAAATTTGTATGTTATAGATATTGAGGGTGAATTCTTATTCCTGTATCTATCGTGTTTTTTGAATATTTCTTCTGTTAGATAGTTCCACCTTTTAAAGTTGTCATTATCAGTTGACTTCTGTTCCAGAACTTTAGCCGTTCCTTTCCTTTCTAATTTCAAAAAACACGTAACACTTCTCGACTCGACTCACATTTATTTTTTATACAAACTGCAGTTTCGAAAATAGGTGATCTAATGAAAATGAACAACTGCTGCATTTCCTCATTTATCTTTCTTTATTTAGGTGCGGAATATCCTCATTGTAAATTTCTTTCCAAAATTTACAAGCATAACAGCTCATGGACACCACAAATACCAGGACATGATAGTAACACATGCGTGCAATGCACGTGCAAGGTAGAATCTACGTTTATGACTTGTAACGGGGCATTTTATTGGGCGAAAGGCGACTGCAGCTATAGATTTTTACCTTTCTAGTTTTCTGCCATTAAGTGTGATCGAAAAGGTTGCGTTAATAAGACGTTTCGTTGCAGAGGAAACTTTTGTCAAAGTAAGCTAAGTTATGATTAAGTAAATAAATTAATTAATGAATTAAATTAATCAATTAAACCAGGGGTCTCCAAACTACGGCCCGCGGGCCAGATGCGGCCCGTTGGGCCTCTCAATCCGGCCCGCAGAGACACTTAAGAAAGCCAATTTCACCACTCACATTGAGAAAACTGAACAGACTAATTGTGATTTTGTTATGATATTACACTTGGTTGAAATTTAACCTTTAAATTTTGAATAAATATTTTCTTAACTAATAAAGCTTGTGTTATGTACTTCGTTTTATTAAAATATTCGCTTTTTGACCAGCGGTATACGATTCGTCGGCCCTCAACAAGCTGGATGAAAGTCATGTGGCCCTCTGGCTGTTAAGTTTGCAGACCCCTGAATTAAACTAATTAATAATGATTAATAATGATATACAGTATAGGGAAGTAAGCAATGTAAACAGACCTTAAAACAGTTCTTCATCATGTTCGTCCATGAATGCAAAAATGCGTTATTAAAGAGATGTTTACTGTGTTTGCACAGGCTTGTGCAAACCGAGGAGACCTTTGGGAGAACTCAAAAGCAGATAAGAGTAAGCCAGGTCGAGGGTTTGCACCTGCTCGAGTTCTCTTTTACATTTATTCATGATTGATTTAGTTTGTTGAGCTCAGATCGGTTTTCAAAAGGCTAATGCAAACACAGCTATTGACCAATAACCTCTCGCATTTTGTTATTTTATAATAATTATTGGTACATCTGTTCTCAGCTCCTGTTGCACTCAAACCAACATCGAAACCTGTCACTAACAGACGAGGGTGTAATCATGCTGCTCAGACAGTGGAAGTTTACTTGTTTGTGAATGAAAAACGCCTAAAAAAAGCAAACATGAACTTTATCGCTAGGATTGCGATTATCAATAAGAAAGAATCATTTGTGAGTGTTCATTTTTGGGATGTCACCAACAGTAATGTGACAGTCAAGCTCTCTAAACCCAAAAAAGTTCGGTTTCGTAGTAGGAAGGCAAGATATGTGAAACTTGGCGAAACAAGACTAGGTAAGACAGGATTTGCCAAGGTATAGACAACATTATTTTTGTCTTACATTGTGGAATACATACCAGATGACTCGTCTCAATTGAGTCAATCCGTGTTAAGATTGTATTTTGTCGTCCATGCAGACGGCTACAAATTGTATTGAAATATGCAGACGAGAAATAGCATTCATTTAGATGAATAAAGAAGACAAGCATGGGAATTAGGATGTAATTTAGGATAAACTAAAAATTAAAAGATTTTAGTTTCGAGTGTATTCTCAATATAAATTTAGTTTCGAGTGTATACATATAGTCATTCTGAGGCTTGTTTTGTTTTTTTTTACAGGACGAATTAATCGGTTTCTAAATAGAGAAAAAAACCTTGAGAAGTGCAGCCGCCATTGTAAAAGCAGAGCGAAAACCTTGATTAATATTTTGAAAAGACGTGTAAGGTATATCAAAACACCTTCCTGTAAAGCTTATGATCTGTTCAGGCGACTGAAACCAAATGGAAAATGATCGCCGTTTGAAAGAGAATGTTGCATGCGCTATGTGATGAAGGACATCAACTTTTCCATTTAGGTAAAATAGTGTTTTCTTGTTGATCCAGTGGCAAAAAATTGTAAATATGCCTTTATACACTGCTTGTGTTTACCAGGCCAATCACTGTCTTTCCTTGTGCTTTTAATTGGGCCGAATTTACTGATATTGTTGTTCATTCATTTGCGATATTATGTTACCTCGTCAAAATCGTAATTAGAAGAACAATGATCTAATTAAAAATACAACAATATAAATCAGAGCTACTCAAATCTACTGATAATACGATCTTTAATTTTATTCAACGCCTCTGTTAAAGACAAGAAATACATTGACAAAAACACTGCATGATGTGAGCAGATATAATTTAACAAAGCTAGATATACAAGCAATACTTTAAATGTGTATAGACGAAGCGATGTGAACGATAATCGTAGATAATTACATCGAGACAACAATCTCTATGAAAAACATGCATGCACCATGTTATAATTCATTTTGAAATGACTACATAAAATATTGATTTATTATTTGTATGTAGCTAATATACATGTATAATAAGTAATAAATGCACAAAACTTATATTTTTATGTTACACTCCATTTGTTATTATGGAAGAATAGCTCATTCTTCAGCTGAAACATCACGATCTTCTTCAGTTTCTTCGTCAGGTGCACACTAGCAAAAAAATATTCTATAGCTTTTGTAAACAAATTTTTTATCGAATAGATGAAATGCCACCTAATTTTCTTATATACATTGAAGTTTAAGTTGAAATGTAATAAAATTTTACGTTTGTGTTTTTTTAATCGCAAAGCCATAGTTTGACTAAGTTACACTTTAGCAGAATAAATTGAATACTTGTTGAATATACATCACAACACGAATCATACTCTTACAACATCGCTCGCAACATATTGTATCACAACATTGTAAGAACTTCACGTGCTGTAAAAGAATCGCACTTTTCTAGAAATTTCCTCCCCGATGGGTTAAGTTGCCACTTGTAGCGGAGAGTACAAATGACAGCTTACCAGATATTCAATGTAACATGTTTCACCGTCTTCTGTAACAATCATATACTGCAATGAGAGAAATCCTCGATTGTCCATTCGTATAGATATTTTGTTTGATATATCCAGAGCTTTTGTCGATGGTTTCAAGAGAGTGATTTTATACCTGCGGTTTTGAATAAAACCTTGCTGATATAAGTGATTTTTAGTCAAAAACATTTTATCACATTCGACTGCGTTTTTTACCGAATTCCACTTACCTATTTGTTTGTGTTTGAGTACATTCAAAACTAACCATTTGCTCAGAGTCTTTGGGAAAATCAACCTGCAAGAATTAAGAATTACATACCATTTCAGATCCCACTGCCATAAGCACAATGAAAACCTTTTTAACGTCAATGAAAATGCCAAGATCTTTTTTAATTTCTGAAGGGGGGAGGGGGATTTCATGTTTTTCCATATCGTGGCAGTACGGTAATGGAGAAAAGTATTTTATGAAGCATCATCATCATCATCATATCTTTTAATTGCGTGAGCTGTAAGCCAGACGGCCCGGGTTCAATCCCGGCTCGTGGCACATTTGGCAATGTGTCTGTAAACCTAGCCCGGGTTGACCAAAGCCATGTGAGGGAAATTTGGTGGGGGACAAGTAGCAAGGCTTCACGTGCCGTCCCTGATTTCGACTGATTGCTACAACACGCGCAAGCGAAAAGATATGATGATGATTTTATGAAGCAACTCACGTGAGCAGTGCCAGCATGTCCAAAAGTTGAGAGTCTGAGATAAGGATTATCGGGTGACATGAGAATCTCTAGAATTTCACTTGTCATGTCCAACTCGTGAAAGGCTTCTTTCAATAAGGAAGACTATATTCACAAATGAAATAATTATTTTAAAGAATGTGTAGCTTTTCTAGTGTACTTATACAAAATTGGAAACATTTACCTGCATTATAATTTTATTCACAACATTTGGTGTCTGAAAATCAAAATCTAAGCCTTCATCAGGTTCTTCAGTTTGTATGCAACAATCAGTGATGACACCTTTTTCTTCTAAACTGTCAATTGCAAATCAAAGATATTTTTATTTTCCTTGAAATGTAGAATCATTCTACTGAAATTGGATATATTGTTACTTTTCAAAAAGATCAGGTATTTAATTTTTGTAAAGGAAAATTCATCTAATACATTAGCTTGAGAGGATATCCATGGTTTTCATAGAACATTTTCACCAAGGTAGTAGAGCCACTAAAGATGTTCAGACAACCCTGTAATAAATTGTAAATATGTATGATAACACATTTACATTAAATGATGTAACAGACTGTGAATGACCATTAATAAATGCCCAGGGCATTTTAATAAATTATTTCTGTTCAAGGGCTTCCTTAATAGAGAGGTGTTTAATTGAGAGAGGCATTTACAATTTAATGTGAACTAAATACATAGTTTCTTAGCCCAATGCATTGATAAACCACCCTAATAATTGATATCATTGTAATGATAATTTTGTTGTTTGGGGGCATCTAAACATGGTCTGGGTGTTCATACCCTCGAGTGGAACAATTATTAGATAAGAGGCCATTATTTAATGATTTATTGAAGATTACAAAGTAAAATGTAAATTTCAATGGACTGAGTAGGTAAGTATACTGAATTTAGGTATCTACCAATAGAATATTTAGATTGATTCCAAAGGTTGCATCATCCTTTGCTGAGAACTCATGAAATATACCAGTTTGTATAAATGCACTTGCTTGAACACATTTTGCACCTTCAACCATCACACGAATGCCGTGCTCATTTATACAAAATATCGACATCTAGGAAGATGGTAAAAATTAAATTGGTGGAATTGCTAAATTCATAGAGAAGTGGAATAAAACATTCGCATCATCTTATAAAGAAATTAGGGTAATATGTAAATACTTTTGTTGTTATACTATAACAATTGGGATGTACTAAAGTCAAGTATTGGTATTGTGTACCTCTTTAAAATTAATTGCTTTCAAAATGCTAGAAAGATTTCTAGTATCAAAAACAACTGCTTTTAGGATATATCCTTCGCTATCATCAGAGCCTAGTTGCACAGAAAGACAAGACATGTTTAAGAAACATCACAATGCCTGAGTATTATACTTTTCTCGGTTTTCTGTTGTTTTTCTTCGCTAGTAGACAAGTTAAAATAAAATTTCAAAGATCCTTTGTTGACTTTATTCATTTATTCGCGCTTTTGGCACCAGGAACGAAAAAATACTGGATTGAAACGCAAAGATCGCTGTTATAAGCAAATTTCATGGTGTTTTCGGGTTTTGTCGCTCCGTTTCGTTCGTGCCAGTGATTCGTGCATGGTTTCGTGGAGTACTGTTTTTATAAATACGTACGTGCGCGATTGTCACGCGATCACGGTTTCGTGTAAATGCCATGGTTAATTCGTGTCCAATGTCGTGCCACATTCGTGCTAATAATTCGCTAGGTTACAAAATGGCCGAATTTCCAAACAAAATCATGAATGGCTCCAATGTGCGATTGAAAAATGAAATGAAGAAAAAATCATCGCCGCAGAAGACATCTAAGCAGCAGCATACTTCATCGATTGGTTGGAACGTCACTACTACAGGATTTTCTTCCGAAATTTCATGGTCGTCGAGTGACCAAAGCAAACAGAATATTCGGACAAAGCTAAAGAAAATTAAAAGTGAAGGTAATCAAGTGCTCTTTATCAACATTGATGTCCACTAAGTAATATCATTTATTTTTATGGCATTGAATAGCTTCAAATATGAATATTTTGTTTTTAAAATTGAGGTTGCTATCGCTTAATGGCGTGTTGTAGATATTGTTATACTTTGGTATATTTCTGTCTTAATATTGACATACGTATAACTGATTTTGAAAGTTGAACCCTTTTCTTGAAAGTTTAAATTTTATTAAGACCACCCAATGTTTAAGCCTTATTCAAACCATCACTTTGACTCTTAACTGTTCGAGTTTGTGAATTGTGAGCAATTATTGATCCATCGTTCACGCCAGCTTGAAACTAACGTATAAACTACGTAACTATATGTTTGAAAGCTTGGCATCCATATTGTCATTCGTTGCTACACATGGTCTTGATATATTTACTTATTTAGTGCTAAGTTTAAATTATTTAATGCTGTGTGTCGGACAAATCTTTTGATAAACAAAAACATTTGTAATGTAATTCACAGATATCAGAGACAGAGATTTATAGTTCCTTCTCAGAATTTTTAAGATGGCTGTTTAATTAACAGCACTGCAACACGTTTCTACATAAGTAAATTAGCTCTGTCAATTTCATGCCACAATATTGGGTTTTGTTTTCATGACTTTGCCAATCCAAGTCAATTGAATTTCTTTAACAGCTCCAATACAAACAAATCAAAGAAACAAGAATTGTAAATATAAACCAACTTACCATGTATTTATTGTTCTGTTAGGTATTTGGCCTGAGGGATGCGGAAAATCGTGTAATCAATCAACTATCCAACATGGTGGGATAAAGTTGAAATTCAAAAGAAGTAATGGTATGTGAATGAAATCTTTGCTTAGTTTTTTGTGACACAAAACACAATGGAAGACTACTGTTGTCATGATAAATACTGTAGCACTAAATCATATGATGTCAATCATTTTTCAACACGAAGTCTGCGAAGCATTGCGATAATTTTGAAAATAGATCAATTTCTAGTACAAAGTATCTAATATGCAGTTCTTATGTAATATGTACATCACCGGCTTTAGCACAAATTTAGACCTTTCAAAGGGACCTTTTTATTGCAATTGTATCACATAAGGGATAGTTAAAAAAGTTTTTTTAAGTACAATTCAATTTGTGTTGCAATTAGATTCTTGTTCATAACTTGTCAACTGTTTCATATGTTGTATGTATATTTTGTTTGAGTTTTATTATATGAAATAGTGTTTTGTACTATTTGTTTGGTGCATTTGAACTGGCAGGTTGTTTCTCTTACGTATGCAACTTTGAGCATCAACAGTTTGAAATAGATTTCTTCAATCTTCCAGGATGTGCACTTATTTTGCATGGACTGGTGACATTTATTCCCTAATTTTAATAAAAGCGAACATTCTGTTATATGTATGAATTTGGTGATATTTAGTATTAATCTTCCCAACTTCAATTCTTAAATCTTCAGCAAACATGAAGTTTATTAATTTATATTAGGAACAGAATCACGTACAAGTTCAAAGCTGGACATACAAAATGGCAATGTACGCAAGAAAAAGAAAAAGAAACATCACCTTGAGAAACGAAGAAATTCTATGCAAGCCATTGAACACAGTGTTGGTAGCATGAAGGCAAAAGTTTCACTTTCAAAATTTATCAAAATTACAACATCTCCCAATGGTGGGGCCTCCATTGTTCACATTGACTATAATGAGGTGAAAGATCTCAAGGAAAAATACTTAGAAAAACTTGTTGATAATTTCTTTCGAATTGTATTTGAAGAGAAAGAGGAGGGAGTGGCTACTCACGTGATGGGTGTGGTTCATGACGCAGCACGCAATATACCTGAACTATTACAATACTTTTGTGAAATGCACCCAAAACACACAATAAAAACTGAAGTTTTGGGTAAAAAGAAAGACATTGACTCAACATGCTTTCTAGATTACTACAAAAAAGTGAAAGAGACATATCAAAATGGGACATTCCGCTGTGGTGGATTGTTGCAGTTCAGTCTGGTTGGTACACGACAGGAAGAAACTGGAGGATATTTTCCAGATGTGATTGATAGGCTTGAAAAGTGTCCATTTCTTAAACCTGTAATGCCCTGGGGAAAATATTCCTTCATTAAAATGAATGATCCAAGAAAGAGCAATGATGGACCAATATTTTGGGTTCGACCTGGAGAGCAAATGGTGCCTTCAACTGAAATTCTTGGATCTCCTTATAAAAGAAGAAGGTATTGAGTTTTTAAATCTTTTGTTGAACTGCACCATAAAGTACTTTCCTTCATGTAATATCAATGTACATGTGATACAGCTTACTTATTTACCAATTGGCAATTACTTACCTTCTCATTTGAAACTAACAATTGGTTACTAACAAATTGGCTGCTGAAGATTGAACTGTCAGAATTTGTAACATATTGATTAGTTGATACCACAAAAAAAATACAAACTGTTTGAATAATGTCTGTTGAAATAACCCAGAGACTGCAGTTTATACTGTAAGATAATGGTCTATGTGATCTACTAAGAAATTGGTTGCTGCTTATTATTTGCTATATTGACTTTAACTCCTCCTCTTCAGAGTGTCTGCCAACGAAATCCAAAACCTTCATTATCTCCCAAGAGCGTTGGCTCCGAGGGAAAGCCTTGCGGAGGATCGAACACGATGTCATGCTGATCATGTGGGTCAAGCTTTAGAACGTAGGACGACTGCAGCTGTTGCAATACTTAAAGCTGTACATGGCTCACATGGAAATGGGTACAGATTAATTAATATAGTAGCTAATTCATCACATTATGAGCTCTGATGATTAAATCTTATAATACAAATCAAAGTATGTTCAGTTTTATCCACATTCCATTGTATCATCTTGTATCTCTTTATGTTATTTAGTGGCGTGCCTTGAACAACCTTTCGGTGGGGGGAAGAGAGAGACAGTCGCTTTACTGAAAACGGCCCCTGAAATAATTTCATTATTTCTCTTAGGAATGAGCGTATAAATCGTGAAGTGAAAGACGTGGTTGCGTTTCACGCTGGAGATTTTGTTCGTGTTTCACAAACACTTCAATTGGATTTGCACGAACCTCCCCTCTCTCAGGTACTCTGCGCAATCTTGTTGAAAAAACACCTTTTTTGTTTACTGTATTAAGCGCTTATTTATTAATTGAAAAAGGCGAAACTTAAAACTGGCCAACAATATTTCGTGTTCTTATTAATATCAGGTTATGTTTGAAAGACTAATTGACGGATAGAAACAAGTTTTCATGTGCATCATTAAGTAGAGACTTTGTCTTAGTGACAAAACTAAAAAATGTTTTAAAGATAGCAGTTGCCATAGTGAACGGCCAAAATAACCAAATAGTTCTAGAAAGAACTGTTTTACAATCAAAACACCAACCCAATAATTTTAAAAAGAACTGTTTTAAAAATTTAAACTGAAAGACACCTTGCATTTCGGCAGACTACTCATTAGGCGTCAGCTTCATTTAGCAGAAACGCATCTTGTCTTTTAGTTTTAGTTTTTAAAACAATTCTTTTTTGGAATTCTCAGGTTCTTTTGGCTCACCATGGCAATTGCTATCGTCGAAATAATATTTTTATGCATTGCTTTCAATTTTCAGACATGGCATGTATTATTATTTTCTTGTTTTTCAAATAGTGTGATAGGTGATGGATTAATATGTTTTTCTTTTTATTTCTTTTTTTCTTTTTTAACTCTTTATACATCAGTGCGTGGCTTGGGTTGACGAAGCAAAGCTAAATCAACTAAGACGAGAAGGAATTAGGTATTCAAGAATACGTCTTTTGGATAATGATATATACTTCATTCCTCGCAATGTCATCCATCAGTTTCAAACCGTCTCATCTTGTGCAAGTATTGCCTGGCATTTAAGACACAGAATGTATTATTCTCAAAACGACTCGCAAGAAATTCAGTAGGATGTGAAGTCACGAAGTGAAAACGTATTTATGCGTCAAGTTTTACTGCACTATTTTACTGCACAGATGATCTTTATCTTGGAAATTTGGTGAATTCCTTTGACGCACACACACAGAAAATCGTATTATAAATATTGATGTTCTTTATGTGCGAAATTTCCACAGTCATGCAAAGAAGTACACTGCAGAACTAATTGGATTTTATCACCTACAGTAAAGGCATTGATGTAGAGGTGAATAAACATAATTCTTATAACGCTATAAAACTCAAAACTTAAATCATTTGTCACCGCTTGGCCGTAAAAAAAATTTTAGAGTTACTCGATAAATTTTATCTTTATCTTTTTATAAGCGTCGTCTGGCATTATTTTAAAAGAAAATTATGTTAAAATTTATTATCTTTCACATCGCCGACATTGTCCATGAGAGGTAACTATCCTATAAAAAAACAAGCCCTTTTAACAGGTTGAAGTTGAGGAGTTGAAAACTTGATACAATGAAAAAGCCTAACTTGCATTCTATTTGAGCCGAGCGGTGTTATATACTGTATATTGTCGTTATAATATCTAACTTATTAAAATAATTGTGTATTTATTTACGTACATTAAGTTTATTGCGCAATATGAACATGTTTTATTATATAAATTACTCTTATTGAAGAATATATGACAATGAATAAATATTACCATTTAAAATGAACTATTGTGAGAATTGCGTAAATACATTGTTCTTTCGCTTTTAATTCATTTGAAAAACGCATGTTAAGTGCCTTGACTGCCTTCCGCAGTTTCACTCTTTACGCTTCACATTTTTAGCAAGTAGAAATTCTCAGCAAACATGGCCGAATTTATAAATTCATTAGTAGCTGAACTGCAATATCTTTACCTATTCTTGATGAGCTGCAAGATTGTTCCAATGTTATTAATATATTGATCGGTTTTGTATTTCCACAATGCTACGTATCGCCTGACAGCATGCGATTGTGTCACAGCAAAAGAATACTAAGACTAAAACTGTGTTGTGACTTATGATATCGAAAATTTAAACCTTATTGACCCATGTTAGATTTCCAAGAACCAACTAACCAATGTGACAACGTCTGTAGTCCTCATCATTTAGCTGGTTTCTTTTGACTCCACGTCCAACAAGGCGACATACCCAGAATTTTTTGCTAGTTGTTTGTGTCACATGCCTTATATACGATAACTTTAAAATCTGTGAGTATTTTTCGCAAAGTTACTTTTATAATGAAAAAGGTCACATATTTACGTATCGTTAACCCGACATGTGTCAAAGATAATTTTAACTGTATTATTTTGTCAGAATACCAGCATAAAGTTATGCTTGTTTATATCACTGAATACATAAACATTACGACGCGTAGTTTGAATTCCTTGCGTTTCCCTATAAGTCTGCAGAATGTTCAGCTTTTGCTTTCTCGAGAAGGCATTTTAAATTTTTGAATATTCTTCAACAGAAGCCTTATGGTTGAATATCCCTGGTATGATTTATGAGAAATGCCTTCATTTATTTGATATTAATCTGATGATGACGGTATTAATAAATATTTGTACACTTTACAAAGTGTAAAAGTCGCTAGTCTAATTTGATTTTAATTAAATTGGCAACCTTGCATCGACGACGGGGAGGGGGGGAGAGTATTAATAAATATTCATATTATAATTACTCTGTCAGTTTGCGTATATTTATGGTTTCAAGTCTTCCTTTCGAAATGTTTACTTGATTGTTTCATTTGTTTGCTCGTGCAGACGTTTTATTAGTTTTATCGTGTGACAAATATTTGAAACAATAACTTTATGAGAGCAGCATGATAATAGACAGTGAAGTTTAACCTATGACCAGGCAAGTAGCCAGGCACAGTTTGCCGTTGTGTCCTTCCGAGATTCATGTATTTTGTTTGAAAACTATATTGAAATTACATCATGTCTAATTCTTCGAGTGGCGCTATGGAAGAATGGAAAGCGACTGAAGAAGCAAAATATGGAATAGGTTAGTTTTGGGTTAATTTTGCCTTGAATGTTGACAGTCGTTTTATCACCTCAAGGGTCCTTTATAATCGACTTGCATCGCTTCAAGACATATATACACCTTATTAGCATTATACAACTTTGATGGAAATGTAAACTATGGCCTACAACTGGATGTTGGGGATGCAGTTCATATTTTTGAAACTTGTGAAGGTTAGTAGCAAATTAACTTTTAATACTGAGACTTCCTTAACTTATTTACACTTTCAGCCACTAGTTCTACATTCGACATATGTTAATTCTATAAACTCGAGACGCATTGATGACAGTTGCAGTTTTACATAACATGATGCCATTAATGTCAATGCTTTCTGCCAATAACTTGCACGAAGCTTGTTTCTTTCTTAATTAAACTGCGAATGCTATTATCGTGACGTTTTTACATTTAATTCTACACTGGAATGCTTTGTGATTATGGAAAGCGCACTGCTCATTTGACGAATTTATTCATAAGAAGATGAATTGTACTTACGATTCAATTATTTGTACTGAGTAATTACTACAAATTAACAAATCGAAGGAAAAATTTATACATTTTATGGTTATGTTAAGAGAAATTTCTTGAAGTAATAATCACTGTTTTGTTTACAATTTGAGCTATCTTTTGAAAATTGAATTGGTTCGAAAAAACTACTACAAGTTTAAGAAATATCGAATGATTATTGTCGTGATTTTCAAATAAAGACATAACTTTTACTCCTTCGTTATACTGTTTAGGTCGTAGTTAGTTATGTGTATAACATCATTAAATATGAATTGATGTATATTTGATAAAATCAGAGGTAAATTTGATACTTTCAATTAGCTCAGTTTAAAGTCCTGTTGAAATACGATTAAATTGATTGATGGGCCGCAAATTTTATCTCAATTTTATGTGTAATGTTGTTATAATAGGCGTAAATACTTTTATCGCAAATCGTAATTTAGACTTTTAGCATAAATTGCTCATGCATACATAATTCATCCTTTGTTGAATTTGTTGTGGAAACATCGTCATGCTTTAGCACGAGGTGGATTAAAATAAAAATGCATTTGAAAATCAAACGTTTTGTGTCAATCTTTTGTTCACCCATTGTCAATAGATGGTTTTTGTAGAATCATCATAAAAAAGCCCATATTATAGTTTGAATATATATGAATTACTACAACGAAACTTTGGCCTCCAGTCAATTTTATTACCTGTAATGTAAAAAATATGGAAAATTAAGCCAAAACACAAACCTGTTATGACTAACCTGGCTCCGCCTTAGCAATGTGCATTCTTGATACATCCATTATATGTCTGTCTATTTGCTCACTTTTAAAAACTATATAACTACCTATTTGACCTGCATATGTATCTATTATTCAGGATGGTACCATGGCTATTGTCTTAAGAATAAAGCTGTCAAGGTGTGTGTAATTTAGCTTTTGTTATATTAGACAAGCATTTAAGAATCTGCATGACATGTATTGTAATCGTCTTTGTAGCTTAAATTGTTTGAGATGCCAATGGTTTTTTAGGGTTTTTTGCTATACTTGTAGAACCTCCCTCAAGGACAGAGCCGTCAAAAGCAGGGGGCTTGGCAGGCTTCATCCCTCCCCAAATAATTTACTGAAATTGTAGGAAAAAGCCCCACTTTCCCCCTTGAAAAATAGTCATATATTTGGATCAGCCTGCCCAATCATAATTTGTTTCCAACTGCCCTGAACTATCTAAATGATGTTTTTTAGTTGAGGCACTATTCTCTTTTCACTTGCTGACATATTGATAATCCAGTATGAGAATTACAATCTTATTTTATGAAGAAATATCAAATTCTGTGTCACATTTTTTTTGAAATATCATGAGATTTGTGGATTTGAAAAGTTCAAATTCAAAACATATTGCTGAGGTTGTTTGCGCAAACTTCAATTTTGATCAACTGCGTGTTTTTGTTTTAATTTCTTTTCTCGTAAGTTGTACGTTTTTATGTGTCATCTTCATGCAAATATTTGAACTTTTCAAAAACTCAACCAAGCCAGGTATTGTCATTGCAAGGTTAAGAGTGAAAAAACTGAAATGACTATTTTCTGCCAATAGCTATGTTACGAGAATATTCGATTGTTTTTACACATGCAAGCACTGAAAAATATAAAATTTGTCAAAGACCGTTTTACTACACAAATTGTTCTTTGCTTTCTTACGTGAATCGTATCACTTTTAGATCATCTTTTTTCACAGGGGATTTTTCCATCGTCCTATGTGCGATTAGAGAAATGCACCGTAGAAAATTTGGGGTATGAAATTTTTCGCTAATTATCCGTCAGCCGACAGGCGCTGAGTAATGTTGCATTGTGCATAAAATTTAGTACGTGTTATTTTTACTTATATATTATATTTACCCAACAGAACACCGCTTGAAGTTATTACTCCTTGCGGTGATGCAACAATCCTTGAAGTTACTGCAGTTCTGCGTGAATGGCTGGAATACTGGAAATCTTTATTTCAGGTGTTTCAAGTGAAGTTTTCAGGTTTTGATCTTGTTCATGATTGCAAATAATGCAACAAGCTGCGTAAAATACATAAGACGACGACAGGGTGCCAATTTAAAAAATACCAACACAAATAAATTGGCTGAACGAATATTTTGTGAATATTTTTGCTTTTGGTTGCTTATTTATGTATTCGTTTTCAGAAAAATTCAGTTCGAATGTTTAAAGAAATGACAGAAATCATGTGCGAACTGATTGGTCAACGAGAGGCAATCTTGTCGGGTTTTCTAACTCAGGTGACTCGCGGCACAAAGGTTCATGTCGAGTATATATAGATAACAATGAACTAAACACTGAAATTTTCTCATTTGAAAAGACCTTGTTGCTTGAACTTAAAGCTAGTATAACATCCAAGATAGACTTTTGGAACAGGTAATAATGAAATCTATTGACCTTTATCTTTTAACTGATGAAGTTTGCCAAATTTGGGCGTGAGTATTGTCATGGTATTTGCACTAAAAGTATTTTTTATTTTAGCAAAATGGGTTTAGATCTTGTCCCACGTGTTGATGGAGTACCAGTGGATGTTGATAAAATCAGTGTCGTTGAATTGCACAAAATTGTAAGCATTTTTAAAGAACATTTGTGGAATCGGGGACAGGCTGTACGAAGGTTGCTTCATGAGAAATAATCTCTGAATAAATAAAAATCACTTTTCAGAGGATAGCACCTTTAAGCTTTGTTATAACCGATTTTTTTGAATGTTATTAATGTGAATTCGTACACTTTATTACTGCATGCATGTATGTACAGTTTCTATTACTGTATGTGATGCGGTGTCTAACACTTTATCACTGTACGCATGTACAGTTTCTGCTTATGACTGTACATGTTATATGTTAATTGATTCATCACTCTGGTCATTATAATCCTATGAATAGTTGAATGTTTATTATGTTTTGTTCTTGGTTCTAGCATCAACAAAGCTTAAAGAAAACTGAAATAGTTGTAAGTTGTTACGTTTTATGAACTGAAATGACATGGTCAAAATGACCATCTAAATTTTCGTTCCTTTGTCAAATTTTCAATGCTACGTTCTGAAGATATAAAATCGTACTGTAATTGAACGAAAATATAAGTTTTCCGCATTTTTCTCCCTTGCATATCTTGGCCTTTTATATTTTATGTTTATTATTTTAATATTTTTCATTTGTTTGTTTTTGTATAAATGTTATATAAAGTTATACTTGTAGAAGTAAATGCTTTGTTTGTTTATTTATTTTAAGCATCAAGCAAGTATCAAAGTTAGACAAAGGATTGTAAGTCCATAACATCGATGTTGCATAGACCTCACATTTCAGATAGTATGAAAAAGTAAACTGGAAAATGTTTATACTTTTTTAGCGAAAGAGTGGACAGTCAATGCGTGTTTCAACACCGATCATTTTGAAAACTCATCGACATCTTTTACTATCAGTGACTAAATTTGATTGTAATGCTGATGATAACTTAGAATGTTTTTTTTCGTTGTACGATGCTTTAAAAGCAACGTTTATCAGGTGCAGTTTACGATTATTTCATTTTATAACAGTCTATTAAAATCGTTGGACATTTAAGCATAGAATATATTTTTCCTGTTGTGTGGTGAATAGAAATTATATGTGTTTTTTCATTTATATAGTCTTTGATGCCACTGTATTATGGTATGTGTTTTTTCCAAATTAGTGAAAGGTTTATGTTGTCCCTGAATAAGGATGTTCTACCAAACGTTGGGGAAACTCTTAGCTCGGAAAAAACCAAGACACTTTTCACGGTAAATCTTTTTACAACAGATTTCCTGCATATTAATTTGCAAAAATTAACTCAGTGAGCAACATAACTGACGGTAGCTATTCCAAATACTTCAACGATTTCGGATGATTCCGACTTTGTTTTTATATCTGTGATTCTTACAGGACCTTGGCAGAAGAGGATTAAACTCACATCTTTATATTGTATGTCAAGTAGTGAGAACAGGTGTGGTTGCAATCTTTATCATGTGATATATGTTATAAATTGAAGATTCGATTCCTACAAGTTACGTTGTTTATAATTTACGTTTTAACGTAATAGCGTTCCTCCTTGCAGGGCAGATGCATCTTGAACAGACTCTCACACGATTCAGAAAGACTTCACCAAAGTTTCGAAGACCTTTTGCATTGGGCGGTGAGATGGCGATATTGTCTTACATTGAAACATTTACTAGATGAACTCATAAATGTCTTATGTATCCCTCAATAAATAATTCTCTAGTGTTTAATGTCGAGAGATATGCGGAATATGACGAAAATGATGCATATGGTGGGGAAAAAACATTTTCTTTCAATGTTTTCTTGTAAGTTTTAACATCCTCCATATGAGTTAGTTTGATTGCATACTACATGATTGATAAATGTATCAAATGACTTGCCACTCCAAATAAAATGTGAATTCGACTGTTCAAGTGTCGTCATGGAAATCTGTATAATCATAGCGTATGATATTTAGCTACCATCTTACAATTCCAGTTTAATTCAAGATAAATACATGCGAGCAAAGTACAGTATATATTTAGATTTGGAGAATAATTTGAAAAAACTACCGTGCCATGGGTAGAAATAATTGAATTTTTGATATTAACTCATGTGTTTGGAATTATGTGAACTATGACTATAAGCTGTAGTTTCTTTGTAATTGTAATTTATTTCAAGTGTTTCGTTTGATTTATAGAACTACAAGCGACGCAAATTTTGGCAATGCTCACGAAGACACGATTCGAAAATTGATCAACAAGAACTCTGGGTCAATTCTGCTTGCGATAGTATACGTACGTGAGAAACAACTGATATACTGAATCAGGATGAAAAATGAGATTCCGTGATGCATTAACTTTATGATTCATTTTTACAGCTGTGACTGCGTCGTTAAGACTTTTCAATGGTGAACGGGACCATGTATGTTGTCTTTTAGCAGACTTTATATCTTGTGTAAATGTTTGTCTTGAGTTGGACGACATACGCTGTCTCTTTGTTTTTGGCTACCTACTAGTTTCTAGTCTTTTCTATTATTGCGCTGTTTTTACCAACCTAATTTACGTTTCGTGCGATGTAGCTAAAACATGAAAGTTGTGAGTATAATTAGATAAATATGAGTCCGACGAAATTTGAATCTGTTTATATTGAAGGTGATTGAAGTAAACCCTCTTCGAATACCAGCAGATATCAGTATTTCACGAAAATTAGGATTCGCTGATGTAATTTTACCAGGTGTGTTTTGAAAACGATCAAAAAGATGTGTGTAGTCTTGACCACAAATGAAATTCATCAAGATTGATTCTGACCTACTCCTGAGTGGAAGTATTGTTTTATATCTTATTATTTACCAATTAATAAAAGGGTTTACCGGCGTGAATACTAAGTGTTATTGTATCGATTTGTTCTTCTTTCGAATTAAACAAGAAACATAAAATGTTTGTGTTGTTGATAGAAGATTTATAGCTACATATGACTATATTTAACTATTTCGTTTTTCAGATGACGTTAGAAATGATCTTTATATCACTTTGGCTCAAGGTGAATTCGATAAAGGTAAAATGCTCACTTGAATATGAAATATATTGTTGTGATTTGACTTTATGTGTACAATACTACTTAGGTGGTAAGAAAACCGGGCAAAATGTCGAGGTAACTGTATCGGTGATGCTATCCAATGGCGTAGTTGTTGAGGTATTAGCACTTTATAATCACTGCTTCACATTTTCACCTAAAGATTTTTGTTTGCACTATATAATATATGTTCTTGCATCCTGCTGAAAAGTTTTCTTTAAGAATTTACCAAACTAGGGGCAAAGAGTTAGCTACACGGGTCCTATATCCATGTCATGTACATATTTGTTCTATAATTGTAGAATTGCATTTATGCTGGATGTGGATCAAAACCAGTAAAAGAATACCATTCGCTTATACTTTATCACAATAATTATCCTGTCTGGAATGAAACAATAAAAGTAAGTTAACATGAAGTAGCTGGTGTATTTTACTAGTTATTGACTTTTTAAAAAATGATTTTCGACGCGAGTTGCATTTAGAAAAATGTGGTCATATTACTTGGTTATGAATTGATTATTTTCACTTAGATGTCACTTAAATGTCATGCAGACATCACAAAAACGACATATTGCATAATGAGACGCCGGAAACTTTCCAAAATCTTTCAGTTTCCGGGCAAAAAATGCTTAGGCAGTATTTTATATCATTAACACTATTCAACGAAAGCATATTTGCCCGGTTGAAGTAAAATAACATCAAATATACTGGTTAAACCAAATTATGCATTATGACGTCACTGGTTGTACAGAACGTGGATATTTTAAATAAAAAAACGTTGGTAACTTCAAAATGAAAGATAATATTCGTAAAATGTTTTGGAAAGTCTATTGTCCTTTTTAAAGTTCTGTTTAATAAGACTAGAATTTAAAAAGTTAGGACGTAGAAAATCGAGAGTTCTCGTAGCTACGGAGTGTTAAATATGCAAGAAGTGCCTGTGAGGGGATGATGTTTTAACACATTATAGTTGGCGTTACATTTCACTTTAACACGTCTCGTTTTAAAAAGTTTTTTAAAAACTCGAAATAAATTGGAAATCCATCTCCGCATGTATCCATGTTTTAGTCTTTAGCTAAATAAGCTCGAAACTCAAAAGTTTAACGGAACATGAAAATTTAGGAAATACCACCACGGTTTTATCAACTTATGTCATCTTATCCTCGACAAGTGCTTTATGTTTAATTGATCTTTTACTGTAGTTGAAGATTCCAGTCAAACAATTCCAAGATTGCCACATTTTGTTTGTTTTTAAGCATTGCCCTACAGCATCAAATGGTACGTCATGTTATAATCACGAATCACACACGCATTTCCTTTATGATTTTGTATATATGGTTTTATTATGCATTCGTTTACTTTCCTATGTTTTGTTAACATGAAATCATGTTTCATAAAGAGTTATAACTAATAACGCATTGTTCCATAAGAAGGCCTAATTTAATATATGGCTTAGTTAGAGATGATCAAAGTCCTTGTCAAACATTCATAGGATATGAATCAGAATTCTATTAATGATGACTTTGCAACAAATACTTAGAAATTAAGTTACATCATCGATTTTAGAACATTTGACGCGTAATATTACCCTGCGGTATTGCATATTAACGATGAAAATTTCTCTCTAACAGGGAAGGTTTTTGGCTTTTCATTTCTGAAACCTTTAAAACCTGATGGCACGACTATTTTTGATGGAAGTCATAAACTTGTTGTATACAAGGTGTGTACATAAAGGGGAACTGCACGCACATTTTTTGATATGATAGAAAATGTATGCACTGTTACGTATTGTTGTGGAGGTTTTATCCTTTCGCCAATGTAATTTTCATTATTGATAGATAGACTGTGCACCGTTACCAGAAATACAAAATAGTTTGATCAACGAACTCAAACTCAGCTTATTATGTAGTGTTCCTTAGACTATGCACTTGTGGGCTCAACTGTGTCTTTACACATTCTTTTGTTTGACGTTATGTATTATATAAGTTAACAAAAACATTGCTTCTTGTCTGTTATCGCTAATGATTTAAACCGTCTCACGTAGTTAAACCGTCAGTGAACTCGTGTAAAGAAAACCTTATTTGTTGATTGAAGGACTTTTCATTTTATAGTCCAATTTATTAGATATTAAAAACCCTGGAAAATATCTCGCTTACCCCTCATCTGTTCCTGAAATTGCTCACGGGGAAAACCAACAGGTGTCATCAAAAAGTACAAAAGAAACATTCGTCGTGTCTACCTTGACTTGTTCAACAAAGCTCACAAGGAATCGTAAGTGTAGAAACTGTTATTTATACATGTGCTTGTTTGACGAACTCCAAACAATACATTGTTGAGTCTTGCTGCCTACATACCATGTAAATGCCGAAGTGAAAAAGCATTAGTCCTTTCATTGTCCGCGTGTGTTGATTTTTTTTGAAAAAAATCCAGCAACTTTCACAATGCTTAACGAGTCATCCGCTCGTGAAGACATTTGCAAACTTCGTTTTTGTCAGTAAAACCTGAGGTTTTTAGTCAAAGCTTACTCGTCAAAACGCCAAGGTAATGATCCGGATTAAAACGAAGAGTTCGAAATAACTTGACGTCAATAAAGTGGAAGGGATGAAACGCGGAGAAAGAATGCGGAACGGAATGGCGGAAGCAGATTCCGCAAATGGTGATAAAACGCAGATTCCGCAAATGGGAATAAAACGCGGAATTGAGCCGAAAATGATAAGGAGTCTATAAAAGCCGAAATGGTCAAGCTCATGTCGATAATTTGCAATTTCGTTGCATCGTCGCAATTTCGTTGCATCTTTGCAATTTCGTTGCATCGTCACAGTTTCGTTGCATCGTCGCAATTTCGTCGCAATTTCGTCGCAATTGCGTTGTATCGCTCCAATTGTGTTGCGATTTCGTCCCCGTTGCGTTGCAATTTTGTCACAATCTTTGTCGGATCGTTTCAACTTTCATCACAATTACATCGCATCGTCGCGTATTCGTTGCAATTTCGCCGCCATTACGTCGCAATTTTGAAAAAATCTCCGTTTTCAAAAACATCTGGGTATATGTGAAGATGTTCTTATTTATTAAACTCCTCCATGAGATTCTTAGCAAAGATGATGACGTTTTCAGGTGACACACGTGTAAATTTTACGAAATAATTTTTTTGACGAAACACCGTTGGGAGTTGTGAATCGCTTATCATCTGCTGAGTTTGAAGAATTGAAAAAAAACGAATTTCAACTTGTGGAAATGCTCAATTACCGGAGAATGTCGTGCTTTGCTGTACAGTTATCTATTTCATTCTTTTTTAAACTTTTATAACTATACGTGTGTATTTATGAGTTCCCCCATATTGTGCTCAACTTCACTTTCATCTCGATAATGATTTCTAGTGAATTTAGTCGATCTGTTAAAATGGAAACAACATAAACAGAAAATTCCCCAAGTTTTAAACTCGTTGCGTGAAGTTCCAGAGGATGAAATCGTGAAGGTAGGTATAGAAAGGTTTGAAATTGAATTTTAATTTTAATCCAAAATTGAATTTTAAAACATTATTGAAGTCTTATTCTCAGTCGTATTTTATGAAATTTTAGTGACATGTTAGCTACTTAGGCGCAACGTCCACGAGAAATAAAAATGATGTAGCTACCTATTTTTTTTTTATTTTAATTGAATATCTTTTTATAATTATTTTTAGTTTCTTCAAGATATTTTCGATGCATTGTTTGCCATTTTATATGAAGCCACCAAAGAAAGTGGACTTCTTGTTTTTAAGAATCTTGTAAGATTTTATGATAATTTTTCTTCTTATATACAGCGGCTAGGAGAAAGATATTTGATATTAATTAAAGGCGACGTTTATGATTCTGTTGTATATTCAAACACAATGATAGTGAAAATATGAAAAGTATGCTAATTTCTATAGTAAATTACATTAATTTTTTCTTATCGTTTCAGGTTTTTATCGTTAATTTGTTGCTGGACGGTAGATATCAACAATTTCAACCCGTATTAAACACATATATAACTAATCACTTCAGCGCTGCTCTCGTTCACAAGTAATGTGTTTGTTAGTTACTTCATTAACCCATTAGTTTTTTGTGCTTGGCAATGTCAATTTATTTATGTTTGTAAAAACGTATAAGTACATGAAAGAAACACTTTATTGTGCAACATGTGCAAATAGTAAAAAAACGTTGAAATTTCTGTGTGTTTTAGACACATCATCGTATTGTTCAACAAGGTTATGTCAGTTGGTGAAAAGAAAAAAGAAACGTCGAATTTAGCCAATACAGCTAAGGTTGAATTATACGAGTATTATTCAAGTGCTTTGAAAAATGGTTTTTATCTAGAAACCTACGCATTAATATAGCTGATATTTGTGAATCACAGGTTCTTCACTATATTATAAAGTTTATCATACAATCGTGGACATTGAATTTAAGGTATTTACATTGTGAATGCTGGACTATAACGTATCAAGGAGGTTCGTTGTATACACTTATGTCAGCTTTTCGTCCCACTGAAATTATCCATTTATTATTGCTATGAAAATTAACTCCGGCATATTAAGCATCATTTGTTATAAGTTCAACCTCTAATTTGATGGAGAATGCTCTTTTAGATGAGCCGACTTGTTAGACCTTCAACCATTCGAAACTGAAAATTGCTATAAATTTTAGAAATCAACCAAACATGTCAGATATAGAATTCAAACGTTCCATTCGTGACTTCTTCAATGTGCTAAATGGATTGATGAAGAATGTAGGTTATGGCTGGAAGTTGATTCAGGTAAATTTTACTTCCATGCATCGCTGTCTTAATTCCTTTGTTTGTGAAGTCATCCATTAGAAATAAAATCAGCCATTATCAAGAATGATATTTTGAATTGAAAGGAATCGTTTGCTCTTACTGTACTTTTTGTTTACTTTTATATTCTGTAGAGTGACATTCTTCTCAACATACCTAAGGTTTATAAAGAACTTGCATCTGTATTTTCAGACGATGAACTAGTGTAAGTATATCCACAATTTTTCAGAAAATTGCTTTTATTAAATAGCTAAAGGTTTTTGAAGCAGGATATAAGGGAGAACAGCCTGAACAGGATAGTCTCTGATCGAGTTTTTCTCGAGATTTTTCCTATCTCACAACTGTTTTTAACACTAGACTAGTCTGTAATTTCTTACATTTTTTATGATGTTACATGGTGTTGGAAACATTCGTGTTCCTATTTGCTGATATAGCTGCACGTGACATGAAATAGTTGCTGAAAGAAATAATTTTTTCAGGGTCATATTACAAGAGCTGTTTCGCAGTGCGCAATCAAGCTCTCTAATTTTGGATAAGCTAAATTTTCTCGATGGTTTGATAACGAGCAGTCCATTATGTCAAAAACTAAGTAAGTGGACAATATTAATTTTGCACCTCTGCTTTTGGTTTGCTGTCATCCTTACAACTTTGCCTTCAGTACAACTTATGCCTTTTATCAAGAGGATAACCTTCATTTGATTGTGAGAATTTGTTATAAAAAAATCCAGGGATTTGTTAAAGATGCAAAATAGCATCAAAGATAATATTGATATAGCTGTATAAATAAGTTTGGTAGTAAAACATTGGGACTCAACCAAAGGCACTGTTTTTCCCCTACTCACAATCACATAGATACCTATTTTACATTCTTGGTTTCCTTCGCCCACTTTCAGCATGCATTAAAAGACCAGTGGTAATTATAAGCAAGTGAATGGTATGAAAACGTGAATTGGGCGACAACGATTGGAAACATTTGTTTTGCTGAATTCTAGCATTGAAATCCATGATTTGCAATATTTTTGAATGTGTGTAAATGTTTGTTTGTATATGTAGATTGTCCAAGTTATTAGAGTCCTGATGACTGTTGATGTCGATGTTGATGTTAATGTTGACTGACGTTTCGAAACCTTAGCTGAAAGTCAATTAGTGATTACCGCCAAAATTGTCAAAACATCAGTCAACATCAACATCAACCTTCCTTTGCAGACTCTACTAACCTGGACGATTTACATCTACAAACATGTAACGATTCTCCTAGGCTGAAACCTTTTACTTACTCAATTGTTTCAATGTCTCATGTCTAGGCTGTAGAAAGATATTCATGCCTATGGTTTTAAATTGCTTGCTCGAGCAACTTAAACAAAAGAACGAACTGAAAGCGTGTGCGGATATTCTTGGAAATCTTTTGTCTTGCTTGAGTAAAGTGAAAGATGTGCGTCTTCTGTGTTGTCATATTCATTGATAACGATACTAAAAAAATATAGGTTGTACAGTTATTTTTCAACTTAGACTTTATCATTTAGAATGCTGTAACCAATGATGTTAAACAATTATCCAGTTCATTACTTCAAGTTGTGTTTCAAGCTGTTGTTGCTGTGGATCGATCCAGTTCACGGGCGGTAAGTGTTTTGAAATTTTTAAGTAACTCGAGAAACTTGTTTCGTACTATAATAACGTTTGGTGTTTTGAATTGAAAACCATTAGGGACAGTATGTAGCCATTCTCTTCACTTTGCTCAAAATAATGAACGAAGAGAATTATAAAAGCTACATCAAAAACTCTTTTGAGAACAAGCGGGATCTGAAGGTAACTATGCTATACATATATTCCGAACTGTCAATATTTCGATACCAACGATCTTTGAATGGTCAATACAGTATCTCTTTATTGCATTTTATGTGATCGATTTTAAGGATTTCCTGAACAAAGTTTTTGGAGTATTCACAAACTTGTTGTACAGAAATATATACCCTGAAGATTGGTTTGTCATGAAGATAGAGGGATATTAGTAAGTTTTTTTATTTTTGTTCCTGCACATAGAAGATGTACGTAAGTAAACATCTGTGGCAGCTTATCCTTGGGTTTTTTACAGTTCAAAATACCCTTATTCGATTGGTTAGATTTTATTATTTGGAATTACGAAGCTAAATAATACAGTCATGAGGGTATTTTGAAGTTTTATTTATGTTGACTGAAAAGCTAAATTTGTTCGTAATACGTATTTTGCATTGACATACTTTTATTATTTTATCTAGTTTCCTAATTAACTAATTTTTAATTTACAAATTAAGTAATTTTAATGATTCTGCTTAATTCTCTCTTTTAGTGTCATACTTAGTGCTGTTCTGAATTTTTCATTTGCACTAACAGAAAACTTTCTTGAACAAAAGTCCTTCGACTATCAGGTAATTTTTAGCAAACCTTTTGCGGGAATTCTGTTAAAAATGCACAGACTCATGTTCGAACCAAATGTTTTTTTACAAATTTATTAGCTACATTTTGCAAGTGAATATATATTTGTACGTTTTTTATTCATTTTCATGCAATAAAATGTTTTATAATGGGAAGACAATACAACGCTGAACGCGTGCGCTGATTGGTCGATCGCTGAGTTTCCATTTGCCTGTACAAACTGATCTAAACTCAATCAATTAAATCGATTAAGAAAAAAAGATGTTTACTGTGTTTGCACAGATTTATGAAAACCGAGGAGACCTTTGGGAGAACTTGAGAGCAGATCAGTGCAAGCTCGAGACCAAAGGTCAGGGCTCTGCACCGATTCGAGAGCTCTCACAAACGTCTCCGAAGTTTTCATAAGCCATTGCAAACATGAAAAACATCTTTTGTTTCTTGTGTGAAATAATGCGAAACAGATAAATATAGAACAACCGTTTTAATTTTTCCATTTGTTCTCTGAAATGTACTCGTGATTGATTTGCAAATTCTCTTTGATTGATTGGTTGATTGATTTCACATTGCTCAACATTGCTCAATAGAGTGTGCAAATGCTCTCAACATGTTGAGTCTGCAATGTTGAATGAACATGCTGCGTTCCTTTGCACGTACTTTTATAAAATTATATATTAATCCTAACACGGTTTTTTTAACATGCACATGAAAAACATGTGACTTGGACGAGATTTGAACTCGCACCTTCGAGATACTAGTCCGCCGCTCTACCTGTTGAGGTACCAAGCCCACAGGTATTGGAGACGAGTCAAATCTCTTTTAAACTGCGTATGGACGAGAGATTCTCGCCAAATAAGTGATGTTTTTTTGTATTTGTACAGATTTATGCAATTACAGTTTATTTTGTGGCAATATAAGAAAGAGTTTTTATTTATGTTTAGCTTTGGAGTGCATATTTTCATTTGGCAATCAACTTTGTATCTCACCAAATGCTGGACTTAAGTGATTATTCTGAAGCTAAAAGATCAAAGATATTAGAAAGGTTATTAGCTTGCCCTCTTACAGAATATAATTTAGTTAGGGCTGATCCGAGTTTTTGATCTGTTGTCCTTTTTTAAGGTATGGGGACATGAGACTTGCAATGGCATTTAACCTTGTTCGCTTGTGGAATGCCTTAGGTAACTCTAATGTTAAAAATTCGTTGGGTAATTCTAATTTTAAAAATTCGTTAGATAATTCTAATGTTAAAATTTCTTAGGGAAATTTAATGATAGACACTCCTAAGATTATTTTAACGTTAAAATTCCTTAGGTAGTTACTTCTAATGTTAAAATTTCTCAGTTAATTTTAATGATAGAAACTCCTTAGGCTATTTTAATGTTAGAAATTCGTTGGGTAATTGTTGGGTAATTCAATGGTAAAAATTGTTTAGCTAGTTCTAATATCAAAAATTCCTTTGTTAATTCAAACGTTGAAATGGTAGTTACAAGTTAACGCGATCGAACTGAAACTACTATCAACGAAACATTTTTTAAGATTTAGTGGAGTTTTCAAAATGACATCTTTTATGTCACATACAGGGCTAATTTTTGCTATTGGTGAATTTTAGGTGATTTGCAGGGCTACTTTGTTCCGTCAATGATTGAACCTTTTCTTGAAATGACTCTGGTAAAAGAACCAGGTACAAAAGTATAATGTACGACCTTCAAATAGGCTTTGTTTGACAACTGGTGTACTATATGCTCATATAGTTTGTGAAGATAAATTTTATATTTGCAATTCTTTCTTATGTGTTCATGTGAAGAAGTGATGTATATTTTAATAGCTGGTTATTATCTTCAACAGTTCTTCGAAAAGAAACTATACCGTTATTTTATGACATGATGGATAAAGAAATGAGATCATTCGGCCAAATAAAGAAGGTGACTTTATGATGCATTTGGTTAAACTATTGACCAACATTATTGGAAAAATAAGAATGCTTATATGTAATAATTACTTAAAAAGTTGCCATGTGTTTGATCTATCGTGTAAAATTTCAACCTTATTTCAATTAAGGTTGAAGAAGAGTATATTGACAAGTTAGATATTTGCCTGAGCAAGAAAGGAATGGGTGATGAAGAATATAAAGATCTCTTTGAGAAAATGTGAGTGAACATTTATATGATAAGAAAAATAGACATTCACAAAGATCTTTTGATCCCTGTACAAACTCGTATACTGTCAGTGGCTAATGATTGATTCCTGTGCATAAACTCTGATCCTACGGTATTATGCCATCCGGAGATGAATGCGTGAACGGTTGTAAGCGCTTTATCGAGTCAAGCCATCGCGTTGTTTAATTTATGTACAACTATGAACATTACAGGATAGTTGTAGATTTTTTCTTCTCTCTTTAGTCTTACTGAAAAGATCATGAAAAACAGCGACCTAGAAAAACCTGGGATTTTATTTGTGACCTCTGTCACAAATCTCTTGGATCGACTTTTGGACTACAGGTTTTAGATTTTTTTGTTTTACTTACATGCAAAAAAATTGTTTTCAAAGAAAATACATTCCATATGATTTGGTTGTTTGCATTATTCTACAAATTTTGTACTACATTTTTATTTAGAAAAGTTATTTCAATGCAGGAAGAATGTCGAGAAATGAAGATGGGATGCATTGTCAGTTTATTGGTTTGTTCAACCCTTATATCATGTTGCTTTTCTACTCAAATAATTCATTTTCTCTTTTTGTTTGTTTGATGTCTAAAAAAATAAATTTTGCTTTCTTTATTGTTGCCTCCTTATTTTCACGTTGCTAATTTGTCATCTTTCCCTAAGACATTATAAACGTTAACCTTCCCAGGCAACTACTGCTGAGAATAATCTTTGTTTGTGGCTACGTAACACTAAATGTGCGTTTTCGGATTTTTTAACTGTTTGCATGAAAAAGGGTTCGGACATCAGAAAAATCACAACATGATGAACATTTCCTCATGGAAAAGTTTAATATTTCGTAAATGCAATGAATACTTGGTATTTTTTATAGAATTATTACGAGAAAAAAGGAAAGACTGAAATGTTTCTCAGGTATTAGATATACTCTTTACTGACTGCATTTTTTGATTCAACTCTGTTTTACTATTTTGAATATTTTGTTGTTTCTTATAGATATGTCGAAAAGCTTTATGAACTCCATCTGTTAGCAGAAAATCACGTTGAAGCTGGTTTTACTCTTTTTCTTTATGCTTCTTGCTTAAAGGTTTGTGCAGTGATTGCACTCATCCTTTTTATTCTACAGCAATTTTTAATGTATATAAATTGTGTAGTAAAATAAAATAGACGGAAGTATATCGCTCTACGACGTGTAAAACTCGGAATACCGACAGCATATACTTCTGTCTATTTTATTTTAGGTTACCATCTACCAATAGGATATTGAGCGTTCTTTTATCGTATAAAAAGAGGAATCTTTTACGTATTAATTTTGTAATATATATGGTACATAGCTACGTATATAATATTTAAAATCTAATATGTGAGATAAAACTTAAAAAAGCATTGATTACGATCCTTCATGGAGTATACATACTTTGCACCCTTCATTAACTATTTATACTCTTCATTAACTACGTATGTCCTTCATTAACTACGTATGTCCTTCATTAACTATAAGTTTTGTTATCCAGTCTTGTTGTCCATTCATAATTAGAACTTTATCTTCTTTACAGTTTGATGATGTTCTTTTACCTGCTGAAGATAATCTACCATCCCAAACTGAGCGAGCTAGAAAGGAGATACTCCTAAAGAAATCTATGGATCTGTTGAAGAAGGGACAGGTAATATGTCTGCAGTATTTTTACTCCTTGTCCATTTCCTCAATACTTAAAGTAAAGAAAACAAAAACGTCATGAATTAAAAATAGTCCTATTTATACATATTGCGCATTAAACAACGTTATCTGAATTGCTTGGTTGCTTTGTCTAGATGTGGGAATCTGCCATTCGTATTTGCAAAGTCCTAGTTCACGAATACGAATTTCAGGTTTTCGACTTCGTTAAATTGAGCGAGATTTTGGTAAGAACTTTTTTAGCATCTCGTTTGTTAGTTAAAGTTTGATATATTACATCAAGTTTCATTTAATCTTTCAAACGCTGTACATTTTTTTCATAATGTAAAAGGTATCAACATTTTGATAATCGTCAGTGTATAAGACGTTTTAAACAACCTGATCATTTTGTATTATTCATATATTTTAACTTGATGTATCGTGCTGGTTTGCTACCTCAAATTTTCGTTCTTTTTCAAGCAACATTTTTTTTATTTTTTCATGAAGCAACTTCAAGCGGAATTTTACACGAACATAATGACAAAACACAGAGTAGAACCAAGTTATTTTAGAGTGTGTTTCTATGGAAAAGGATTTCCTACATTTCTTCAGGTAATTAAAAACAAATCGCTGACGTAGGTATCATTCCTGCATTGTTGTTTTAGAAAACCTTTTGATTCCAAAATTAAGTAAATATTTTCGTTTGAGTCTCATTGCCATTTGAGAACAAATAACGTATTGCAATATTTAATCCTGAGACATGAATCCCTTACGGCAGTACTTGAAGAAAACACGATGCACGTTTGATGAAATATTTTGCCCTTCAGAATAAGCAGTTTGTTTATCGTGGAGGACCCGTCGAGCAAATTGGTGAATTTTGTTTTCGTATTCAGCGCGAGTATCCCGATGCTGAGGTAGCTATATCGATTTCAAATTAGAAATTATTTCCTCGAAATATGGTGTTAATAAATTTTCTCCATGTCAAACTTTATTTTAGGTGTTGAGGCATAATAACCCATTGGACGACGACTTGCTTTCTTCTCAAAGACAATGTATCTTTTTTCGTCCTAATATATATGTATAGTAAAGCAATCTAAATGTGTACGTGTGTGTTCTCATCTGTCATCAAAGAAAACGTTTACCTGTTATAATCTATTTCAACTTTTTAAGTAGATTTCAAATATCATTAAAAATTCAAAACCATTTCACACTATAAAATCTACCTTAATGATTCCCGTGCTGTAGTTTTATATGTGTATATATTTATAAGGAATTTGGGAGAGCACATTATATAATATTTCATGTTCATCAGTATTCTTTATATAGGTTTTTATCTTATATATGATAATTCCTTCTCATGTTTCGAATACTTTATAATTCTAAAGTATTTGTAGATGTAAAGTTCATTTTTTACAGCGTTTGTACATTACACTTAATTTTGTGATCAGATATTCAGTGTTGCAAAGTTGAGCCGATTGCAAATGTTGCTTTAGTTCCGCAAAATGTTCATCCCAAAATATGCAGGTAATTGATAAATATCCTAATCACACATCCTTAAAATATTGAATTGCAGCCTAACTTCTTTGTGCCTTTCACTATCTGATAATTCCAACCAGTTATTGAAACTGTTAATTTGAATACAAATAACGAGTCCACTTAAAGCAGCCCTCCCTCGGCCTGCCTTTAATAATTTCATTAATTTATTGAAGAAAAAACACCTATTGGGTTATCATGTTCTGATCGAGCGGAGATTTTGATTCACTTTCTACCTTATAAAAATATTTGTTAAATTAATTCAGTGAATAATGATAAATAGCTTTATTCTCGATGATGTGTATTTTTAGGGTGTAGGCAGAATTTTTGAAGGGGGGGGGAGACGGGCCAAAATAAGCAACTTACATAGCTGTCAATTCATAATTGTCACGAAAGAAATTTGCCCCTTTTGCCCCCCCCCGTCTACGCCCCTGTGGGCTGTAAATATACACTTTCGTTGTTTTATAGTGCAAAAGTCTTTGGATGTCAATTTATTTGAGGTTTATTTGTTCTTATATAGTTATTATAATGCTAACTGGATTGATACATTTGAATTAACTCGACCATTTCGAAAATTTAAAACAGCTGACAAATCAAATGAATTCGCCGTAAGTGTATTTTAGCCTGCTAATGTACGTCAGAAATAGACTATGTATGTCAGGAAGATACTTCCATTGCCATATGATTTAGAAAAATATTCATGTAATAAGAAAAAATTTAATGTAAATATTTCATTAGAAGCCATATTATTTGATAAAATTGGTGTTTGTGCGGTAAATTCAATGTTCAAATTTAATTTCAGAATTTGTGGTGCGAAGTTACTACATTAAGGATAGAAACTCGTCTTCCTTGTATTCTTTCATGGTATCCCGTCGTTTCATGTGATCGCGTAAGTACTTCATGTTAGAGAATTTCTCTATGCATGTCACTTTCGTTTGTTGCAGAAAGCTTCTTCAGCTTGTTTCAACAAATGCATTTTCAAACTCGTTTTCATGTTCATGCAGCGATGACATGTTCCCCTATATTTAAAACTTAAAAACAAAGCATATGTAGTATACAACCATTGACACAAACTCGTTTTTATGTTCATGCAGTGATGACATGTTCCCACCATACTTAAAACTTAAAAGCAAAGTATATGTAGTATACAACCATTGACACAAACTCGTTTTCATGTTCATGCAGTGATGACATGTTCCCACCATATTTAAAACTTAAAAACAAAGTATATGTAGTATACAACCATTGACACAAACTCGTTTTTATGTTCATGCAGTGATGACATGTTCCCACCATACTTAAAACTTAAAAGCAAAGTATATGTAGTATACAACCATTGACATAAACTCGTTTTCATGTTCATGCAGCGATGGCATGTTCCCACCATATTTAAAACTTAAAAACAAAGCATATGTAGTATACAACCATTGACACAAACTCGTTTTATGTTCATGCAGTGATGACATGTTCCCACCATACTTAAAACTTAAAAGCAAAGCATATGTAGTATACAACCATTGACATAAACTCGTTTTCATGTTCATGCAGCGATGGCATGTTCCCACCATACTTAAAACTTAAAAACAAAGTATATGTAGTATACAACCATTGACATAAACTCGTTTTCATGTTCATGCAGTGATGACATGTTCCCACCATACTTAAAACTTAAAAACAAAGTATATGTAGTATACAACCATTGACACAAACTCGTTTTTATGTTCATGCAGCGATGGCATGTTCCCACCATATTTAAAACTTAAAAACAAAGCATATGTAGTATACAACCATTGACACAAACTCGTTTTTATGTTCATGCAGTGATGACATGTTCCCACCATACTTAAAACTTAAAAGCAAAGCATATGTAGTATACAACCATTGACATAAACTCGTTTTCATGTTCATGCAGTGATGACATGTTCCCACCATACTTAAAACTTAAAAACAAAGTATATGTAGTATGCAACCATTGACACAAACTCGTTTTCATGTTCATGCAGTGATGACATGTTCCCACCATACTTAAAACTTAAAAACAAAGTATATGTAGTATACAACCATTGACACAAACTCGTTTTCATGTTCATGCAGTGATGACATGCTCCCATCTTACTTAAAACTCAAAAGCAAAGTATATGTAGTATACAACCATTGACACAAACTCGTTTTCATCTTCATGCAGTGATGACATGTTCCCACCATACTTAAAACTTAAAAACAAAGTATATGTAGTATACAACCATTGACATAATAACATTAAACTGTGGGAAAAAAGAAAATCACTATTAGATGACAGAAATCATTTATTATTCAGAGAGAACTCAGCCCCATTGAGAATGCGATTAATTCAGTAAAGTCTAAAACTCGTCAACTCGAACAAAACATTGAAGAAATTCTTCTTGACGATTCTAAAAATATCAATCCATTGAGTATGCAGCTCAAAGGCGTTATAGATGCTGCAGTAAATGGTGGAATTTCAAATTATCAAAAGGTGAAATATCTATACTGGTTTGGAATGTTGTTTTTCTTGGTTGTTATAGAAATATCTCGTTGGATTGTATCAATCGGAAAAAATAAATAAAAGATGAATTCTGTATTTAAGTATTTTGAATTAGAATCATTGCATACTTTATAGGCATTTTTTACACCTGAGTTTGCTGGGAACAATCCTAAACGTAAAAGTGAAGTCAATAATTTATCCAAAGTTATGCTTGAACAGGTAAAATACGGAGGGTGTCTCCATTTTGTATTCTATTTAAATCAAGAATTGATTTTTGATTGGCTGAAAGTTAAACGATATTTTTCTATAACCTTTTTTTATCAATTATTGTTTCAAATAAACACGATGTACACAATTAACCATTTTCACATCATCAGCACTTTATCGACCCACTTCATAATGTGACCATGTTTCATTTGTGTTTCATAAAACGAAATCTAGTCAAGTAAATAACCTGTGTAAAATTATTTGATTATTTTTTATAATGGAACAGGTTGGTGTACTACGACGTGGTCTTATACTACACGAGAAAAGGATTTCCCCTGATCTTCTACCATTACACAAGAGCATGTTGAACCAATATAATAACATGCTAAAGGATTTACCTGGTGACAATAGTGAGGTAAGTCTGCTGTATTTGTGTAAGAATTTTCATCTACACCATAAAACATCAATATCTAGCGTTTTTTTTTCAACAAGTTAAAAACCGTAACATTTATCATGTATCAACTGACCAGCAATGAAAGATGTTTTGTTATTATTTACTACTGACAAATTCTATAGCTCATACTATAGTTCTTCTTGACAGCATAAGCCATAGGTTATTTAGATTTCTCACAGGTTGCATGAAATTCTTTTATCTGTTCTGTTTTTACAACATTTTTCATTTTATTAACCTTGTTTTAGCATGTGTTGATTCAAAGGAAAAGTAGCCTACCAATGAACCGTTTTCTAAGGTACTGTGTACATCAACGTTTAAATGTTTCCACAAAATTGTGTCAACCCAAAGGCAACTTTGAGAAAATGCCCCGAGAAGAAAGCCTTGATGGTATGTCCATCTCTTTCCTAAATTCACGAAAGTGTTCTATACAGGCACGATATATGGAGGGGCGGGGGCATATTCATGACACGCCGTATTAGTTTCTTTTAAATCCGTTGTTTTTTACGAATTATAAAATGAATATACAAATGTTCCCCACCAATTATCTTTCTGGCTATGTTCCTGGTTCTGTAGTCTTTTTGCCAGTTTATCGTCTGTGTATTTGTTGATCTGCGAGTCGCTTATCAGTAATCTACAAATACTATTTTGGGTGACTCTAAAAGTGTAAATTTCTTTAAACTTGTTCATATAATTGACTAATTATATATAATTTGGGCCGATCGATACTTTTTGTGATCAGCATTTATTTTATATGAAAAGCTTATATTTTGAGCTCGTTTACCTGAATGTGAATGACTTTGCATTGGACATTGTCAATAAGTTTCAAGTTTTTGAAAAACGTTTTTGGAACATTAATATTCTATATTTGTTCACTAAATAATATCTTCGTGATTATTGATCGAAATTATAGAAGTGTTTATATATGATCCAGCTGTCAATATCAACAGATTTCCAACACCCGCTCATGCGTTTTGTACACTAAACATTTTCGTGCACACAAGAATACTCTGGAATATCATTGATGAATGAATTTTTTTTTTTTGTGATGAAAATTAATTTTTATAATAATTTTTCTAGTGAAAGCTCCATGTCTTTAGACAAGCGAAATTCCAATGATATACCTGAAACAGGCACTTTACGCAGGGTAAGTAAATATATTACTTCATAACTTTTGATTCCTGTAGCTTTTGAAAAAATATTTCATTTTGCAATTAAAACTTTATTCCTCACCACATCATAACAAAAACTTTGTTTTTTAGACAAAATGAGAACTTAGCCTGTAAATCTACTCATAATCTACTATTAAATTCTGTAAACTGTACTTGCTTGTAGCTGTTTCAAGGATTTTCACCGCGTAAGGCTCTCACGTCGGTGTTTGCTGGAGATAATGATGGCAACAGACAGTCAACGGTGTCAGCGTTGGCGATAAAAACTAGCTCAAGTCTTTTGTCAATAACAGAGCTGGGAAAAAATTCTTCAGTATCTGTTCCGGATCTTCGTGAGGATCAATCCAGGTAACAATACGTCTATGTATAAAAAAAAGAAGAAAGTCTAGCCGGCGCCATGAAAATATAGGCGATTTATTATTGTTGTTTTTTTTTCGTTTGAAATAGAAAGTGTATAAATGTTTGTGGTGAAGTGATTAACGTATAAATAGATTACAACACCAAACGCGTAGTGAGATTAGTGAAAATGTAAAAAGCTACTTATTTCTACGTTCGTGTATTCGTTGCGATGCGATATTCGCGGGGTTTTCATCGATTAAATTTTATTGATATACGCTGAACGTTGAAAGTTTGATGTTTGCTATATTTAATATTGAATAGGCCAAAACTTCCTCAAAAGTTACGTGTTGGTAAGCAGTTAAATGATGGAAATTCAAGTCCTTCCTCTTACGCAAGTCGAGTTTCAGTTGGTTCTTCTGTTAGTGAAACATCTCTTAATGAAATTGACGAACAAGAAGAAAATGAAGCGATAACCCAAGATAATTCTAAACTTAATGACTCCCGTTCAAATACTCGAAAGTCGTCGTTGCACATTAAGGTACAATAATTGGCTTAAAATTCTGTTATTTTTGCAGTAAATTTCATGTATAGATAGGAATTGCCTCGAAGCTAGGAAGCTCGCGTGGGCAAACGCGTTCCTATAGTCATCTATCTCATCTAAAAAAACACTATGTCTTTGTAGCTATTTAACTATTATTCAACACAATATTTATAGCAAGTGGCACCGATTACTGTGTCACAGGTGCCAAGAATTCCACCAAAGACATTGAAAAAGCGTCAATCAAATGTCTTTGAGCTAGCCTCAAATGGTGAATATCGCGTTTTTAAAAACGTTAACACAGTGCATTCAAAATCGTTGGATGATTTAGATAAAATTGAAGATGGCTCGTCATTGATTGCAAAAATTGGGGAACATAAGAATTTTTCAGAAACAAAAATATCTGATAGAAAGAAAAGTGAGGATTTAAATGTGAATGCCAAAGAAGAAGAACCACCACCGTTATTTCCAAGAAAAGCAAAAACCAGGCTAACAGAACGAGAAGACGGGTATGATACTTTAGCGATACGACCGAATCTTGCTCGGCCTCGTGAAAATTTACATCATAGTGCACAAACTGAGATGAATCGTACTTACCTGTATAAAAGAGATCCATTGAAACCTGTTGAAGTTTTAAAACACCGTTATGCCAACTTAAACGAAGATGGTACGTCCATCCAGCCACAAGATTCCACTGGTCGAAATGAAACTTATGATGTTCTAGCTTTACCAGTTCTTGCTAGCGAAGTAGTGAATAACAACGAGACTGAAATACGAGCTACTAGGACTGGGATAGTTGAATTTAATCATACACAATCAAGGGATACTAATGATACATCAATCTTACGTGATGAACGTAGAGCAAGTGTAGAGACAAACGATAAAAGTGGAATTTCAGCCAATGGATCTCTTGATAACATTGTGGCCGATGATAAACAGCCCTCTAATAACTCTTTCGTTATTGGACATCACATATCAACGCAGTTAAATACCTCAAAATCAATGCAAGATCCAATTGCAGAGAATGGATTAATGATGCGTGATCCCGAATTACCTCTTGAAAGTCAATTGAAAAAAACATCCAACGCAAATGTTCTTTTGACAGAAGAACATTCAAAGTTGCTGAGTCCGCAAAGATCAGCTTCTGTAAGTGTTACACCAAAAAGCAGTCCTCCGGTTGCTCCTCGTATTAAAAGACCGCGTAGAACTGCACCAAATAATAATGCTATTTAGTTCTGTACTTGTCATGCAGTAATACGAATTTTTTAATGTATTTATTATTGAGTTAGATATAGTCGTATCTAACTCATGAAGCCGGTTTTCACGAAAGCTGAATGATGCTTACTTACTCGACACAGCGATGTTTTCTAAAGTTCATTTTTATTAATAAAAATTAACGATTTAATTTGAACATATCCAAGCAATCCTTTAAGGGCTGATTACATGTCGCGGTAGCCCAGATTCAGCGAAGCGTTAAATGATTTTGGCAAATGGAAACGAGTCAATACTTATCATCAGATAAATCTTCTTCAGCAATTTCATCATGAAAACAACTAATTTGGCCTAATTTTTGTGTTACCATTGGAATAACTTGTGGCACTTTACGAACAGTTGTAATTTTTCCGCTAAAAATTTTGCCTACTTTCAATGACTCAAAATCCTCTCACGCCTCACTGAATCCCGGTTAGCCGGGATCATGTAAACAGCCCCAGATGGATTTCAAAATGGCAACATTGACCAACTTGAAAAAATTATTGTGCGACCGGCTTCAGTTCAGTTATTTTATGCAAATACAGTAATCTTTTATTGTCTACATTCTTTTATTAACATATCGTGATACCTTGAAATGTGTACAAATTTTTCCTTGTGTTAATACTTTTCAAAACAATTAACTATACTGTAATATGGCTGTAAAAATTAACCAGGCTTAAATTAAAGTTAGTGCTTTTGAATTTGGTTGTGATTGCAATTTACTCTATAGGAGTAAATTTGGGGTTAAGGTAGTGTTTAGGATGGGTTGAGGTCACGATTAGGAACAATATGGCGTTATATGATAAACGATAAGAAACTCTTGAGGAATGACGGTATTGTGTAAAGAGTGTCAATACTGCATGTGACAAAAAGCTAAAACAAAGGTAGACTAGATAGACAGAAAGGTAAACAATATAGATAGGAAAGTGAACAAAAAGACATGAAGGTAAACAAAAGGTAGACAAAAGGTTGACACAAAGATAAACAAAAAGATAAACATAAAGGTTTCCAAAAAAATAAACGAAAATCTACAAACAAAGGTACACAAGAAGGTGGAAATGAAGGTAGTGAAAAAGTAAACACAAATGTAGACATAAAGATAGACATAAAGGTAGACAAAAAAGTAGAAAAAGAACATTGAAAAGATAACTCATATGCAATGACGACACTGCTAAAAAATGACTATCAAATGTTGACAATCAACTGCAATGTATTTTGACAGTTGACACTTTAGCAAACCATGCAAAAGACAGACCGATAAAAGAAAATTTATTTGAAAATCAATTATAGTGAATTGAAGATAAAATCCAGCGGCGTGCAATGCTGTAAAAATGTTAAAGTACACATGAATTATAGTCTTTGAAAATGTGAAAATGCGTAAAATAGTCGTGAAAATGTGTGAAAAAGCGTGAATCACACCTTTTCTTATTTGTGTGAAAAAGTGTGAAAGTTTGTGAAAATGCGTGAATTAAAGTCTTTATGTGAAAAATGTAAAATATCTGAAAATATGTGAATTATAGTCTTTGTATGAAAAAGACAGAAAATTTGTGAAAATGCATGAACTATAGTCTTTGGCATGAAATGCGTGTAAATGCATGAAATATAGTCTTTGGCATGAAAATGTATGAAAATGCATGAACTATAGTCTTTGGCATGAAATGCGTGTAAATGCATGAAATATAGACTTTGGCATGAAAATGTGTGAAAATGCATGAACTATAGTCTTTGGCCTGAAAATGCGTTAACTATAGTCTTGCTTGAAAATGTGTGAACTGTAGTCATTTGCTTAAAAATGCGTGAACTATAGTCTTTTGTTTGAAAATGCGTGAACTATAGTCTTTTGCTTGAAAATTTGTAAACCATAGTCTTTTGCTTGAAAATGCGTAAACTATAGTGTTTTGCTTGAAAATGCGTAAACTATAGTGTTTTGCTTGAAAATGTGTGAACTATAGTCCTTTTCCGGCAAAATGTGTCTTTTGCATGAAAATTCGTTAACAATATTGTCTTTGGCTTGAACATATGTGAATTATAGTCTTTTTCCGGCAAAATGTGTGAACTATAATCTTTTGCTTGAATATGCGTGAACTATAGTCTTTTGCCTGAAAATATGTAAACTATAGTCTTTTTCCGGCAAAATGTGTGAACTATAATCTTTTGCATGAAAATTCGTGAACTATAGTCTTTGGCCTGAAAATTGGTGAACTATAGTCTTTTGCTTGAATATGCGTGAACTATAGTCTTTTGCCTGAAAATATGTAAACTATAGTCTTTTGCTTAAAAATGTGTGAACTGTAGTCTTTTGTTTAAAAATTCGTGAACTATAGTCTTTTGCCTAAAAATATGTGAACTAGTCTTTTGCTTGAATATGCGTGAACTATAGTCTTTTGCCTGAAAATATGTAAACTATAGTCTTTTGCCTAAAAATATGTGAACTATAGTCTTTTGCTTGAATATGCGTGAACTATAGTCTTTTGCTTGAAAATGTGTGAACTGTAGTCTTTTGCTTGAAATTGCGTCAACTATAGTCTTGCTTGAAAATGTGTGAACTGTAGTCATTTGCTTAAAAATGCGTGAACTATAAGTAGGCAAAAGTTATGTAGGCAACTGTCTGACGTTAAAATTAATACAGCACAGGGGAAGTTAACGTTATCTGCAAAATAGTATGTTGGACGAGATTGTAGAAAATGTCACAAAACCAAGGAAGGTCACTGTCTTCTGCTGTAAACATAAACATCTTAATGACGTAAGAGGAGTTTAAAATAGGAACTATTTACGCACATACACTTGGCATAGAATTAAGTTAAAAACACTCAATTGCTGGGGAACACCGAAGGGTTACTGTCCAATAGTGGGTAAGAGGAAACTGTAAAACTCTATCTCATGGCATAATCTGCATACATGCGTAGAGGCAACAAACGTTGTTTCGATACGCATTCGACTTTCCCATTTCGCTTTGAGCATTGTCGCATTTTAGTAGGTTACAGTTATAAGCACTTAATAACCGACCGAGCGCGAGGTCTTTACGGAGAAATGTCGGAACATTTGTTTTGATGAAATTGTATCCGTAATATTTTTGTTATCTATCAACAAGACTTATCCATGTATCACAGTTATCCCTTCATTTTGCAATAATTTGTTCTTCAACAGTCCTCATATTGCCAAAGCCAAGCGTGCTCTATAATAAATGTACTTCATTTAATGATAGTTGAACAGAAAGGAATTGCTCTACTGTGGTGAATTAAAGGAATTAAATTAGGTAAAAGCCAGCCTTTAGTTACTGTTCTTGGCACAAATGGAAAATATGTTGAAATGCAAGTATACCATCAAAATCATTACTTATTCGGAAAGCAATTAAATATATTGGACAACATGGATGTTTTCAGGCAACTAGTGTAAATCAAGCACGTAGCCAGAACGATAATTAGACGCGGGGGTCATATTCATATATGCATGACATGCCGTTTTGTCGTATTAGTTTCTTCTGAAATCCATTGTTTTTTACGTATTATAAAATTAGTATTTGAAAATGTCCACTCCCCCCAATTATCGTTCTGTTTATGTGCCTGGGGTAAATGTGTATTACTCCAGTGATTAATTGTAATGAATATCACGCACCAACAAACGGTTCGTCAACATGACAATTATGTCGAAAATTGACAAAATGAATTCTGAAGTCTTTTATATATACACACGAGAGCTCCGTACTACAAACTTTGCAATGCTATCCATGGGATATTTTCATGTAAATTGTAAACCAACAAGAATTAATAAGATCTCAGCATTTTAGCGTTTCTAACTATTTAAAAGAACTGTAGGCAAAACTAAAAATAGAACGTTTGAAATGACGAAAAAAACGTTTGTTTGAATTAGTCAAAGTAGTTGTTTGTAAATTTGTATAAATGTGGTTGAATAAGAATATAAATAAAATTCATTCATTGCTATTAACAATGTCTTGAAGCCGTAGTGTATGAACTCTGTAGCATAAGACTTGGGTTTATGATTAGTAAACCGAGTAGTAAATAATGTAGTTGTAATTTACGAACATCGGATAATTTTCGAAGTGAATGAATAGGAAATAATAAAGTATAATAATGAATAGAGTATATTAAAACACCTAATAAAATTCTTTCATAGTTTACGAAGATACAGCTGTCGCGTTGTTTTATAAGCAATGACGTCAGATCATTACTTTAGCAATGATGCTTGAACCAAAGACTTAAGAGAAAATTCGGGCACTGCATGAGCGTTTTGTGTTTCTAACCTGATCTTGGTAGCTTTATTCGACACTAACGCCAATACGAGAAAGAAACAGAAGATAAGGTGGAATTATAAGAAAAAGCAATTTATTTCAACTCAAGTAGAATCCAAGGAAGAGTGGCAAAACAAATCTGGCATCAGTATCAGTATGGTAGCAGTAAAATAATGCTTTCAACTTTTTATTGATCAGTAAATCAATAAAATACTTCAAAGTTACACTTAAACAAAACAAATGAAGCTGTTACGTTCCAATTATCAACATCCATAAAATTCAGCACGAAGAGAAATATGATTATTCCATGAGACTGGTTCAATTCGTATGAAACTGGCAACAATTGAGGTGATATTTTATTGTGAACAATGGAATCTCTGTCAGAGTTAGCCTGAAACACCTGAAAAATAAAATGCATATAGTTGTGTGAAGTGTCCGAATAATTTTCCATTTTTATTTTTTGAATGTTATCAGGGAACTAGTGATGAACGAGAGCTTTAGTATTTTACATATACTCCGAAACATGGAGGCAATCCAATGTTTGTCTTTACTGAAATTTACTTTCAATTCCAGCTCACTTCGCACTATTTTTATAACAAAAAAATTATAAAGCTATTATTACCACTTTTAGCAGTGGAAATTTTTGATATTTCGTTTTTTGAAGAAACAGAGAGCTTTTGAAAAGATTTTTTGAAAGACAAAGCTCCTTCGCAATTATTGATAACCAAGAGACGAGTTTGATTTGTGAAAATAAGTTACCTCATTTTTTAGTCTGATAATTGCCACATATTGGAATAGGCAAAGAAGAATTAAGAGCTTGGTTAGGTGATATAATGTGATATTCGTGTTTTAACATTTTGCTCTTGTATTTTGTTACCTACCTGAGTGTTACCATTTACTGTGTATGGTGTAAATGTGGTTCCAAGGTCGCTGTAGGACAAGGAGAACGATGTAACCCACTGATCACAACATGCAGGTCTTCCTTGAGTACTGATACCGGTTATTTTTGTCGTTTTCAAGAAATTAACTTGAAGCCATTCATTGACATTGCTTGTTCGAGTAGACCAGGCTCCTGTATTTGGTGCGTTCTGTGGGCGAAATAATCTGGCGTTTCCTGGAGCATGATTGGAATCGAACGAAGAAGAAGCAGTAATTTGAGAGTCTCCAATCAAACCATTTCTCAATCCTAGCTCAGTTTTACATTCTATTAAAAACATGTGAAATCTGAAGGGCAATTGCTAACTTTATAAAAGATACCATGGCAACGGAATTTTCGCGAAAACCGTTTAGTATATTAAGTATAATTGTGTTAATAACCGACGTCACATTATTATGTCATACTCGCGTGAGTGAATAGTTACTCGCAGACGCTGTTAAGCCAGGCTGGATGCCTTCGATTTCAGGTTTGATTGCCTTGGAGCTCAAATCTGGCAATCAGAACTTACATTTCAGACCACTACACGTCTGCACCTGATCACACTTATAGGCGCACGGGAGCTATCCCTATCATTATGAGTAAATATTTTCTCCAACTCACAATCAAGGTTCAGCCATATTTTTGCCCGACAAATGTTTAAAATTCGCCCAACTTTTCAATCTTCAAACTTTCTTAGGACGCAGCTACCTCCCCACCCCCACCCCCCCCCATTCTAGCATAAATAATATGAGATTTTTGCTGAATTTATAGTCTACTAAACATTTAAACTTGGCTACTTAAAAATATACGTAAACGTACTTAATGTCTCCACATGTCGTAAGTATAGGAAATATGAAAATCTACAATCATTTAGCCTATTTTTTATCGAAACACTGGGAGCCACCAATGGGTAATTGATGGATGGCCTTATTGGTCGCGTTACATTCCTGCTTACGTTTAACTCAAATTTCTATTGACCAAGCGGCTTACAAAGATTCCTTCTCGCATTTGGCAGTCAATGACATTATTTATATTGAAATTATTATTCCAAATATCATTTGCTTGTCCAAGTTGATCAAACTGTTGATAAAGTTTGACTGCGTCAAGAGAGTTTATAATTGTGGAAGTAAAATAAATCAACCAATTAAACCACAGTATAAGGAATATAAATAATACAATAGATAAACTTTGTGTGCAACAGGCTGCTGTTAGCAATTTCATCATTCCCATTGGTCAAAAAAAGTAATTGAATGGCTGCCAATATGATGACATGTGTAATAAGTTTATGTGCGTGCACGAAAAAATTCAATGAAGTTGGCCCTACTATATATTCATTATACTCTGACCAAACAAAACGACTTTGGGACTTTCTACGTAAGCCAGCTATTTCTTCTCTTAGCAACGCATGTTTATATCTTAACGTATGTTAGAGCTAAATTCATCAAATATTTTCAAGTGAAAGAAAAACACATTGCGCACGTACATATCGTTGTTATTTTCCTAAATGTGTTATTTCATGATACGCTCAAGTAAATTAAGCTCGCAAGAGTTTTGGTGATGACAGACCTTTCATTATGAAGCTTGCATTAAAGTTTCAGTTTGAAATTGCTTACCTCCTGATTTCATGTCACAAAACACTGGAAATGCGTTTTTTCTATTTCCTAGAAAAATGAACAAAATCTTAAAAACTTTGTAATTGACTCTACATGAACTACATCATGGACAGAATGTTATAGGCCCTTATCAACGAAGCTCGGGGTTTTTGCGGAGAAATATAGGACCGAATTTTTTGTGCAGACCGAGCCCGTTGGGCAAGGTTCTACTAAAATAGAGCTCCGACATTTCTCCGACATTTCTCACTGAACAAGTGAAGTTAATAAAAGGTGTATTATATGGCATTATTTGACCAGAAACGAAGCTTTCCTTCTTTATTGTCCTCGCTGTTATGCAAGGTCTGGCTTTCACTCCACTAGTTTTTGTCGGTAAAAAATAAATTGTTTGAAATTGTGTCATCTGAACAATAAACTCACTTTGCAAGTGCTCTATTTTCGACTCACATTCGTAGCTATATGGTTTTTCTTTCGTTTTTTTATTTTACATTGGTCGTTTTTATGTTTTAAACATATAATACATCTGGTTGACTTAAACTAAACGGCAAAATCAACTGGTCGAGACGAGTTGACAACTTTAAATTCTCTCAAGACGAATTAAAAGCTAAAGTCGTCTTGACAATTAATTCGTATAATAGCCGTCTTTATCCTTCCGACGATTTAAGAGACGCATGAAAAAATTTCGTCTTAAGTCGTCCAGACGTACTATCTGTCTTAAGCATAAAAACGGCCATTTGTAAAATTAGCTACATGTGATAGACCGTCTCCATTGCGGGAAAATAATGGACCAGCAAAACGTTTCTGAGCCTATCAAAGAGTATCATTTCACCAGAAGTGACGCTTGCCGTATAATAAAAGCTAATTAATTTAATGTGGGAGCTCGTACGAAGTATTACAAAAAATAATCAATCTCTTTTCCTGAAACCCAAGCACTAGGAATGTTAGGATCACCTGGACAGCGTAGTATCGTGATATATAACGTAATATAAAAATGTCATTGAAATGTTTGTTGAAATAACCACACAAAACTTGCAAAATCTCGTATATGCTGTATCCTTTAAAGTATTTTATACCTTTAATGCGTTTCGTACGAGGGAGAATTAGTTTTCAATTGATTTTTATTGATGCATGCTACTGTAAACTAAATATTACTTGTATGGAACATGCACCAACGTAAGTTTTAATGTCTTACTATTTGGTTCATTAGAAATCCAATAAATGCCATTGGGAAGACAGTCTTCTGATCTTTTCTGAAGAATATCGTTGCAAGATTTGCCAGGTGACTTGATGGTACCATACTGAAATAAGTATGTTTGTATGTATTAGTGTTAATATCACTTCTCATTGAATATTATTAACTCTACTAATTAATCAACTCTCAAAAGCAAGTCAAATAAAGAAAGAATACTACTAATAGAAAGAGAAATAAAAATAGTCATTATTAAACATGATAATAAGCCCTTAATAACCGAGCTCGAGGTCTTTACGGAGACATATCGAACCGAGGTGTTTTTGTGCAGACCGAGCCCGTAGGACGAGGTTTGTAGAAAAAGACAAAAGGCCGATATTTCGATTCTCAGTAAATACGGAGAAAGCGAGGTTATTAAAAGGTTTGTGATATGGCATTATTCGACATGAAACAAAGCATGCCTTCTTTCTTGTCTTGGCTGTTTTGTACGGGTTGGCTTTCACTTTTATAGTTTTCGTCAGTAAAAATTAAATCGTTTCAAACTGTATCGTCAAATTGTACGATGTTTGTTTAAATTAATATTGAATGAATTCAAATGTTATGATTGTGCTAATGCATGTCTATGAAACTTTGCCGAAATCACAGGATCACGCGAGCGAAACCATCGGCAAACCCATCTTCTGTACAATTTACCGTCACTCATGTAACTATGTTGCTATCTTATGGACACAATGATGTCAGTGGCGTAACTGCCATGAGTTCTGTGTGGACAGAGCAATGTGCACCCAAGCAATCAACTTGCCAGAAGGCACACTGAACGGTGTTATTTATGGAAATAAAAATAAAAATTGCTTTATCAACAAATTCTTTTATGTTTTAGGTGTACCTGTTCTTCCTTAGCAATTCCATTCCACCCTAGTTTCTCTCTGAAAAATATATCATGAATATGAACGTCAATCGTTTTTTAAGAAGACATGTTGAAGTTTTTAAGTGACAAATGTGGTTCCGATTTTTGAAGACAGCCTATGGAATGTTTGCATATGACTTCAAAGTGGCCATGTTGGGGAGTACATCATTGTGCTGATACTCAACAGAGCATGAAATTAACTAAAATTCTTTTCATTATATGAGATCATTAATTTATTGCGCAAACATCACAAAACTCACTTGAAAGAAGAACTAAAAGCAAATTCTGTCCTCATTCAACTTCATATTTTGTTTGATAGTTATTGCAGTTGTTTTGAGCTTCATGCAAAACATAAAAGTTTGCAAGGGCTTAGATAACTATTGTTAAAATAATCAAGCGTCCAAGCCCTATACAAACCTCGACGCCAGTATAATGCCAACTGTGATAAGTATTATGCCTAAATAATAAATCGCCGAGTGTCGAACAACATTTTCTGTAGTTCTGGTGTTCAGCGAAACCACAGCATATAAAATACAGATGATGATCAGTGGAAAGATACAAGCATTTAGAAGCTGCAAGATCGTGTCTCCTGTATTGAGACATAAAGATCCTATAAAGGTAACAATATCTTTCCATTCATCGACGATAATAGGATTATTTTGAACAAGGCTACTAAAGAAATGTCCAATTATAAAACAACAAACGCCGAAAAGGATTAGTACGACAATGTTTTGGTCCTTATTCACACGACCACCAAATAAATCTACCATTACGCCAGCTTTGAATAGAGAATGCACATATAAAGACAACTCGCGTTGTTAATCTTTGATGTTAGCGTGGAGCCCAGACAGTGAACACTATGAATAACTTCTAATTCAGTTCACTGAGCTCAGATTGTTTCGTGCATACCGGAAGTCAAACAGTCGCAATTTTTAAAAGCAACGAAACTAGAACGATAACCATACAGTGGCTTATATCAATAGGTGTAACAACAACCTAAGTCTACGATGTATAACAATTTTTATGAATTTACTACAGCATATGAAAAGCTTAAGGGAACATTAAAAATAAACCATGACAAAATTTAAAAATCTCACGGTTACATTTGAACATAAAAATCTCACGGCTGAATTTCAGAAACCAAACCGCAACATTTGAAAAACTCAAGACGGAATCTATCAAACTATGAGTTAGCTACACCGATCTATATAATAACTTGTACAACGATAAACCAAAATGACATAATTTTATGGCCGACCAAGATGAAAGGAGGAATGTGTTATAAGTTTTTTTTTTCTTAATTACTTTGAGCTAAAATTCTTCAACTAGTTGCAATATTTGCGTCTTGTTATAGCATGCTATTGTAACCTCATTTTATAGCTTAGATAATATTTCAATATTATAACAAAAAATTTGGTTTATTTTTTGTGGGGTCTGTTCGGCTAGTCTGAGAGATAGAACTTGATACTGCCTAAAATGCCAAACTGTCCAGACAAAAATTCGTTCACCTTAACCAAGTTCTGGGCCCTCAACAAATATTATTTTTGATGATAAATTGAAGCAACCAGTAGATAGTCTATGCCAGCTGTCATTTGGCATTTCGAGTTCTGAGCCCTTAACGAGTAATGTTTGTGGAGATAAACGAAAACACCTGCAGATGGTCTAACTCAGCTGTCATTTGGCAGTCATCGGAATGCGAGTAAGGTACTCACATTTGAGCAGTTTTGAAAAAGAACTCAAGCAAAAAGAACTGTGCACAATTTCGATCAGCTAAAAAAGCTATAAATTGGACCCAAATAAAGAAGTAAAAAGATTTATTGTACTAGAAAGATTTAAAGACGGTTTCCTAAAAATGCTTGCACCGAAGAGGTAATATTGCAAAAATAACAAGATAATTATGCAAAAAGCCATTGCAAAAATGACAGCGTTTGATAGATCTTTTTATGGAAAAAAAATATATGAGTTATAAACCCAAGACCAACCAACAAAACCCAACAACTAATCCTCTTCCTCTCTTAAATGGATTTGAAAATTTCCTTGATAAATACCACAAGGAAAATCACGTAGCTCCCACCGTTAGCAGACCGTCAATGAAAGTATGCCTCACTCAGTCAACTCAGTCTCAACTGAATGCTTACCACTGTATTTAGAAAGAAAAGTTAATCTCTGTAAAGAACAAAACAAAAGAGACTTGGAAAACAATCAACCATCTATTAGGCAGTCAAAACAGACGGGGCAATGTCAATGAGTTATATAGAGATATTATTTTCTTTGTTGGTGTATCAGGTTCATGTTTAAGCATGTCGCAGTTAAGATCACCAAGAATATATAATTCTTTGTTTTTATCGTCAAATTGTTTGATTAGTTCTTCAAAATGCAAAAAGAAATCATTAGTAGAGTTAGGTGGGCGATAAATAGTAGAGACCAAGAATCTACATGTTTCAACATTGAATCACCAATGATAAGAGTTGATGCAGCTGAATAATTATGGGTTTTTTGGTCAGTTATATCTTGGTCGTCAGGAGTGTCAATTTTTGATTTGGTGAATTTTTCCTTCTGCTTATTGCGATAGGCATTCAGTCGAGATTGAGTTTTTTTGACAGTTACCTCGTTGTCTTCATTAGAATTGCCAATTTTTAATTTTGAAAACTTTTCTTTCTAAATACAGTGGTAAGCATTCAGTTGAGACTGAGTTGACTGAGTGAGGCATACTTTCATTGACGGTCTGCTAACGGTGGGAGCTACGTGATTTTCCTTGTGGTATTTATCAAGGAAATTTTCAAATCTATTTAAGAGAGGAAGAGGATTAGTTGTTGGGTTTTGTTGGTTGGTCTTGGGTTTATAACTCATATATATTTTTTTCCATAAAAAGATCTATCAAACGCTATCATTTTTGCAATGACTTTTTGCATAATTATCTTGTTATTTTTGCAATATTACCTCTTCGGTGCAAGCATTTTTAGGAAACCGTCTTTAAATCTTTCTAGTACAATAAATCTTTTTACTTCTTTATTTGGGTCCAATTTATAGCTTTTTTAGCTGATCGAAATTGTGCACAGTTCTTTTTGCTTGAGTTCTTTTTCAAAACTGCTCAAATGTGAGTACCTTACTCGCATTCCGATGACTGCCAAATGACAGCTGAGTTAGACCATCTGCAGGTGTTTTCGTTTATCTCCACAAACATTACTCGTTAAGGGCTCAGAACTCGAAATGCCAAATGACAGCTGGCATAGACTATCTACTGGTTGCTTCAATTTATCATCAAAAATAATATTTGTTGAGGGCCCAGAACTTGGTTAAGGTGAACAAATTTTTGTCTGGACAGTTTGGCATTTTAGGCAGTATCAAGCTCTATCTCTCAGACTAGCCGAACAGACCCCACAAAAAATAAACCAAATTTTTTGTTATAATATTGAAATATTAGCTAAGCTATAAAATGAGGTTACAATAGCATGCTATAACAAGACGCAAATATTGCAACTAGTTGAAGAATTTTAGCTCAAAGTAATTAAGAAAAAAAAAACTTATAACACATTCCTTCTTTCATCTTGGTCGGCCATAAAATTATGTCATTTTGGTTTATCGTTGTACAAGTTATTATATAGATCGGTGTAGCTAACTCATAGTTTGATAGATTCCGTCTTGAGTTTTTCAAATGTTGCGGTTTGGTTTCTGAAATTCAGCCGTGAGATTTTATGTTCAAATGTAACCGTGAGATTTTTAAATTTTGTCATGGTTTATTTTTAATGTTCCCTTAAGCTTTTCATATGCTGTAGTAAATTCATAAAAATTGTTATACATCGTAGACTTAGGTTGTTGTTACACCTATTGATATAAGCCACTGTATGGTTATCGTTCTAGTTTCGTTGCTTTTAAAAATTGCGACTGTTTGACTTCCGGTATGCACGAAACAATCTGAGCTCAGTGAACTGAATTAGAAGTTATTCATAGTGTTCACTGTCTGGGCTCCACGCTAACATCAAAGATTAACAACGCGAGTTGTCTTTATATGTGCATTCTCTATTCAAAGCTGGCGTAATGGTAGATTTATTTGGTGGTCGTGTGAATAAGGACCAAAACATTGTCGTACTAATCCTTTTCGGCGTTTGTTGTTTTATAATTGGACATTTCTTTAGTAGCCTTGTTCAAAATAATCCTATTATCGTCGATGAATGGAAAGATATTGTTACCTTTATAGGATCTTTATGTCTCAATACAGGAGACACGATCTTGCAGCTTCTAAATGCTTGTATCATTCCACTGATCATCATCTGTATTTTATATGCTGTGGTTTCGCTGAACACCAGAACTACAGAAAATGTTGTTCGACACTCGGCGATTTATTATTTAGGCATAATACTTATCACAGTTGGCATTATACTGGCGTCGAGGTTTGTATAGGGCTTGGACGCTTGATTATTTTAACAATAGTTATCTAAGCCCTTGCAAACTTTTATGTTTTGCATGAAGCTCAAAACAACTGCAATAACTATCAAACAAAATATGAAGTTGAATGAGGACAGAATTTGCTTTTAGTTCTTCTTTCAAGTGAGTTTTGTGATGTTTGCGAAATAAATTAATGATCTCATATAATGAAAAGAATTTTAGTTAATTTCATGCTCTGTTGAGTATCAGCACAATGATGTACTCCCCAACATGGCCACTTTGAAGTCATATGCAAACATTCCATAGGCTGTCTTCAAAAATCGGAACCACATTTGTCACTTAAAAACTTCAACATGTCTTCTTAAAAAACGATGGACGTTCATATTCATGATATATTTTTCAGAGAGAAACTAGGGTGGAATGGAATTGCTAAGGAAGAGCAGGTACACCTAAAACATAAAAGAATTTGTTGATAAAGCAATTTTTATTTTTATTTCCATAAATAACACCGTTCAGTGTGCCTTCTGGCAAGTTGATTGCTTGGGTGCACATTGCTCTGTCCACACAGAGCTCATGGCAGTTACGCCACTGACATCATTGTGTCCATAAGATAGCAACATAGTTACATGAGTGACGGTAAATTGTACAGAAGATGGGTTTGCCGATGGTTTCGCTCGCGTGATCCTGTGATTTCGGCAAAGTTTCATAGACATGCATTAGCACGATCATAACATTTGAATTCATTCAATATTAATTTAAACAAACATCGTACAATTTGACGATACAGTTTGAAACGATTTAATTTTTACTGACGAAAACTATAAAAGTGAAAGCCAACCCGTACAAAACAGCCAAGACAAGAAAGAAGGCATGCTTTGTTTCATGTCGAATAATGCCATATCACAAACCTTAATAACCTCGCTTTCTCCGTATTTACTGAGAATCGAAATATCGGCCTTTTGTCTTTTCTACAAACCTCGTCCTACGGGCTCGGTCTGCACAAAACACCTCGGTTCGATATGTCTCCGTAAAGACCTCGAGCTCGGTTATTAAGGGCTTATTATCATGTTTAATAATGACTATTTTATTTCTCTTTCTATTAGTAGTATTCTTTCTTTATTTGACTTGCTTTTGAGAGTTGATTAATTAGTAGAGTTAATAATATTCAATGAGAAGTGATATTAACACTAATACATACAAACATACTTATTTCAGTATGGTACCATCAAGTCACCTGGCAAATCTTGCAACGATATTCTTCAGAAAAGATCAGAAGACTGTCTTCCCAATGGCATTTATTGGATTTCTAATGAACCAAATAGTAAGACATTAAAACTTACGTTGGTGCATGTTCCATACAAGTAATATTTAGTTTACAGTAGCATGCATCAATAAAATCAATTGAAAACTAATTCTCCCTCGTACGAAACGCATTAAAGGTATAAAATACTTTAAAGGATACAGCATATACGAGATTTTGCAAGTTTTG